ATGGATCCTCAAGGAGGCGGCGTTCCCACCACAATCCAGCGTGTCGCCAGCCATTTGGATCCCAACGCGCCGATTCGGTTGCAGCCCAGCCCGGCGTACTACCCACCTCCACCTGATGGCTACGTGGATCCCAATAACGCCAACCAGCGGCGCCGTGGGAGCCGTGCTGCTGCTTCGGGACAAGGCAATCAGCGCAACCGGGACTTCATCCGCACTCTTGAGGATGGCGTCCTAGGCGAAGGCTACATGAGTCAGAACCAGTGACACTAAAGGGGGGCATGAGAAAAGCATACGGGGTGGGGCATCTACGACGAACGGGTGCCTTGCCCCTACGGTGCTTTGGTATTCTGGTTTTCTGATCATAGCTTCGCTGCAGTCGAGTACTGTCACGCCTGGTGCGTGTGTCTCTTCTGGAAGATTGTTCCGTTACTGTCTTGCGCTGTCTGGTTGATATGGAACTCTGCTCGACCTGCCTGCTTCCTCCCCCTCTCAACCCTACTGCCCTCCAACTGGTGTGGAATTTTGCTTAGCGGAGTACATACTCGGTGCCTCGGCATGAGTCACATCAGGCATGGTTGGCAGTTGACTCATAGCCCGTTCGGACCGGCTGGTATGAGGCCCTGGATCGACGTGGACTGTTTTTCACATAGGTCACCGTGGGTGAGAGGGTAAAATTCCGATGCATGCTCTCCGTAGCTTCGTGTCGCAAAATCCCGCGGTTACTCACTGATAAGTGAGTGTGCACTTACGACTGGAAGGCTGCTGTCCTTTATAGGCTTCATCTTCTTGTATCGCCCCTTCATCTGATTTTTTCTTCTCTAGCTACTTTGTGTGCTTTCTACCCATGCCCTTTCTTGCAAGTGATGTCTCTTCTTGTCCTTTCTTACCTGTTTTCAGTGGTCGCCATCATACATATGCGGCTGCTGTGTCATGAGGCTCTTTTTATTTCTTTTCTTCATATCTTTTCTTTTCTTTCGGCATAGCCTGGAGTATGAAAGAACGATATCATCCCCGTTGCTTGTCTCAGTAAACTTTGATTCACTTTTCCTGGCTTCGATTCAGGAAATCTTGTTCGAGACTCATTTGCCTTGCTCTCGCGGAGTTTGTTGCTGTATGTTGGATGCATTTGTCTGTTTCTTGGTATTCATGGTGGCGGCACACTTGCCTCAATCCGGAGCGAATCACCGGATTACTGCGAGTGGGTCACAGGAGGGTTGTGTGAAATTAGTAGATAGTCGTCAAATCCCACGGACCTCGAAATGAGTCAAAAAATGTATAGATGAGTGAGGTTTTGAGTTAATCGAGTACAATACAAAGGAACGCGTCAAAAGGAGATGTGTTGGCGCTAGTCCGAATCGGGGTTAGTCAGCCCCTCGCTTAAATTTCGTGTGTGGCTCTCGCCCGCCATTCAACTCCAACTTTTGAGAAGGGACAACCTGCATTGCAGCACCGGATTCAACTCATCCGCAACCATGTCTCGATTCTTCTACCGCGGTGGTAGCGACAGCGAGTCCAGCTCCTCGGACGAGGAGGAGGATGTCTACCAGCGCTCCGAGGAGGAGGAGGAAAGCGACGAGGAGTCCTCCGAACAGTCCGACTCCGGTTCTGACGATTCCGATGACTCTGACGACGAGGCCATCGCCAAGGGTGGTGCCGCCGCTTTCTTGAAGGATGATTCCGAGAGCGAGGAGGAGGAGGAAGAGGAGAAAGTGACGGTCGTTAAGAGTGCCAAGGACAAGCGACTTGAGGGTCTGGAGAACACCATCAAGTTGATCGAGAACGCCCAGAAGATCAACGACTGGTCTGTTATCTCTACTGGTGAGTTGTGCTCCTTTGGAATTTTTCTTTTACGTCCTTGTTCGCCCGATATCTACGGGTTTGGATGATGAAGCGGGGGAACTGAGATATTATCGGATACGAGGAAAATATGGAAGAATCGGCGCTGACCATTCGACACTACAGAGTTCGACAACCTGAACCGCCAGATCGTCAAGATCACCCAGTCTGGCCCCGTCCCCAAGGTCTACGTCCAGGCCGTCGCCGATCTCGAGGACTTTGTCAACGAGTCCGTCAGCAAGCAGAAGGCCGCCAACAAGAAGATGAACGCCAGCCAACAGAAGGGATTCAATGCCGTCAAGCAGCGTATCAAGAAGAACAACAAGGACTATGCCGCCCAGATCGACAAGTACCGTGCCGACAAGGACGCTTACATGGAGAGCGACGAGGAGGTCGAGAAGCCCCTGCCTGCCGCCCCCAAGCCCACCAAGGTCGAGAAGATCGAGAACTTCGCTGCGGCTGCCGCCGCCGCTGCCGCCGAGGACGAAGAGTTCACCACTGTCGGTCGTGGTGGCAAGACCCTGCAGTACACCCCCGAGAGCATCCTCAAGCACCTCCGTGTTATTGTCGAGTCTCGCGGAAAGAAGAACACCGACCGCCTCGACCAGATCAAGACCATGGAGAAGCTCCTGGCTGTTGCTACCTCTCCTTACCAGCGTATTCGTGTTTACCTGACCCTCATCTCCACCCGCTTCGACCTTACCTCCTCTTCCGCCAACTACATGAGCCCCGAGCAATGGAAGTCCGCCGACAAGGAGTTCGGCTCTCTGCTGTCCGTTCTGGAGGAGAACCGCAACCTGATTGTTAGCGAGGGTGCCGATGAGTGGGAGGATGACGAGAAGCAACCATCGATTGCCGAGGGCGAGACTTTCTACATTCCCGGCAGCATAGTCTCATATATCGAGCGTCTGGATGACGAGCTTACCCGCTCCCTTCAGCAGATTGACCCCCACACTGCTGAGTACATTGAGCGCCTGAGCGACGAGCAGCAGCTGTACAACAACATCGTTCGTGCTCAGCTCTACGTTGAGAGCCAGAATGCTGGCGAGAAGAACGACACCCGCCAAGACAGCGTTAACCGTGTGATTATCCGCCGTCTGGAGCACGTCTACTTCAAGCCCTCCCAGGTTGTCTCTATCCTCGAGGATGCCACATGGAAGGCTCTGCCCGAGAAGCTCGACTCCAGCGTCACCTCCCGCAAGAACGCTAGCGACGTCACCAACCTCATCCAGACCCTCTGCCACTACCTGTTCCAGAACAGCGATGGCATCATCCGTGCTCGTTCTATGCTGTGCCAGATCTACTTCCTCGCTTTGCACGACCAGTACTACCGCTCTCGCGATCTGATGCTCATGTCCCACTTGTCCGAGAACATTTCCAACTTCGACGTCAGCACCCAGATCCTCTTCAACCGCACCCTTGTCCAGATCGGTCTGTGCGCTTTCCGCGCCGGTCTCATCTACGAGGCCCAGAACACCCTCGGCGACATTTGCGGTTCTGGCCGCCAAAAGGAGCTGCTGGCTCAGGGTATCATCCTCCAGCGGTACTCCACCGTCTCCCCCGAGCAGGAGCGCCTCGAGCGCCAGCGCCAGCTGCCCTTCCACATGCACATCAACCTCGAGTTGCTCGAGTGCATCTACCTCACCTCCAGCATGTTCCTTGAGGTTCCCCTCATGGCTCAGACCTCCTCCGCCCCCGAGATGCGCCGCCGCATGATCTCCAAGACCTTCCGTCGCATGCTCGACTACAACGAGCGCCAGGTGTTCACCGGTCCTCCCGAGAACACCCGTGACGGCGTCATCATGTCTGCCAAGTTCCTCGCCGCCGGTGACTGGAAGAAGGCCGCCTCCATGCTTTCCTCCATCAAGATCTGGGACCTCATGCCGCAGCCGGAGAAGGTCAAGGAGATGCTCGCCGCTCAGACACAAGAAGAGGGTCTGCGCACCTACTTGTTCACCTACGCTCCCTTCTACGACAGCCTCTCCGTCTCCTCGCTGGCCGATATGTTCGAGCTGCCCGTCAAGAAGATTGCTGCTATCATCAGCCGCATGATCTCCCACGAGGAGCTCGCCGCTGCCCTCGACCAGGTCAACGACGCCATCATCTTCCGCAAGGGCGTCGAGCTCTCCCGCCTGCAGTCCCAGATCGTCACCCTCGCCGACAAGTCCATGGGCCTGCTCGAGTCCAACGAGAAGACCCTCGAGCAACGTACCCAGGGCATGGCCAATGCCTTCCAGCGCGAGCAGGGCCCCGGTGCCCGGGGTGGTCGCGGTGGCCGCGGCGGCGGTGGTCAGGGCCGTGGTGGTGCCCGCATTCCTGGTGGCCAGCATGGTCGGAGACCCGGTGGTCAGCAGTTCGGCGGTGGTGCATTGGGTGGTGCAATCAAGGCTTAAATGGAATTTTGTTGGTTTTCCTTTTGATGTAATGGCATGCCTTGTTTCCCCTTTTTTTTTTTAAACAAACTCTCTTCCTCCCTCTTCCTCTTTTCTCTTTTTTCGATGTCATGGTCTCCTTTTTTTTGTTCGCACTTTCTCCATCCCTCCCTCCCTCTCTCTCTCTCGCCCCGCCCTTTCTCATGCCGTTTCTGATCACGAGTGAAATACGCTCGTGGCTCTTCAATGATCCAAAATGAATGAATATAAATGGTTAGAAAGTTAATTGTTTTTGAAGGCGTAGTGATGTATGCTTCGTATTTTCCGAGGCCTATATTTCATGACTAGGTTACTGAGTCTGGACTGATAGATATGACGATAGATTTTAGTGTCGTCTGAGCGAGAGGAAGGGGATCCCGCTCTAGACTTCCTAATGCCGTCTTCATCTGCCTCGAAGGAAAGCAATAACTACTAGGTCCGCTCCGTGCGAACTCGGTTGAAAGCTGGCAATGACTGTTGTCTTACGAGAAACTCATTTCCATTGCAGGCCTCAATGGACACCTTGGAGGTAGTACGTTGCACTAGGTAGCGGCAGTTTAAATCTAGAAGAGGATACAATACCTTCGACAAAGGAAAGCACAAAGTTCTATAGCACTATATCAAGACAACTCAAGAAAAATATGCTCTCATCCCAGCCTATGATCCCGTTCCTTTATCCTCACCCCGATTCCAAGCAAAATAAGTACATAAACTATTCACCAAAGAGACTCTTTCCCCAAACCCAAATTCAACTTAATACCCAGGAGCCGACTTGCACAAATGCTTCGGACTCTTGAACCCATCCATATTAGCGGCATGAATAAAGTCCTTCGTCTTCTGCAAATCCCCTCCACAAATCGCCCCACACCAAACAGGCCGACTGTCATGCCCATACGGCTGCAAGATATACTGTTTATCCTCATAATCCGCACCCACAGCGTTCCCAACATCACAAACCGGCACCGTAAAAATGCCCTCCCAAGCAGCCCCCTTCGCCCCCGGACTCGCCCAGGCATTCGAAATCGCATCCTCAGCCCTCGCCCTCGCCGTATCAGCATTATAGTTATACCCAGCAACATTATACGCGTCCAGCGAGGAATTAATAATATCCTGCACCGTCACACTGGCGTATTCATTCGATCCGAGCTTGTCCGCGCCGGGCGGACTAGCAACCCACCCCCATTGATGCGATGTAGTCGAGATCACGTCGTTCTCTTGCCAGTAGTATAGGTACCAGGCTTTGCCGTCACGGCAGACGACTGCTTGCTGGGGGCCGGAGCCGATTCCTTGGTTGTCGTTGCAGGCGCCGCCGCCCATGATGAAGATCTTTTGGCGCCGGTAGAGGCTGTTTATGGCTGTGCCGATCAGCATGCTGGTCATTGAGTCTGTGACGGTGTTTTTGTCGACACCGGGAAAGTCGAGGAAGGCCCCGTGCGAGATGTAGCTGCGGATGTCGGCGTTGTTGTAGGATTTTCCGCCCATTAGCTGGTTGTTGGCTGTTGTGAAGGATTTGAGGGAGTCGACGACGATGGAGCCGAGGATGGCGCCTAGGTCGGCGGATTTTTGGAATGTGTCGTCTTTGCTGGGGGTTTGTTAGTGATAGGATATAGTATGAGATGGGAAGGTTAATCTGATAGCAGAGGGAGACACATACTGAGTACCAAGGACAATGCCAGCCGCAGCATTAGCACCACCAGCAAGCGCAGCACCAGCACCAGCAAACGCGCCAACGACCTGCCCACCACCAAGACCCGCAAAAGAAGCCCCAATACCGATAACAGTAACAACAGCATTAAGCACCTCCTTAAGAACAGTAGCATCCTTATCATCCTTATCCTTATAAAAAGTAGTAGCCCACTCATCCTTCGACAAAGCAGCACCAAGCGCCGCAGTCGAGAATGCCTGCCCAACACCAGTGAAATACGAGTGCAACCGATTAACAGACTCAAGCACATAGTAGCTCGGCCGGATATCATTGCCACGATCATTCAAGACGCGGTTATCGCACAGATTCAGATCACAGTCTGAACTGGACCCGTCGTCTCGACAGGTCCAGTCCGGATTACCGATGGCCCATTGGCCGAAGGCCCCGGCGAAGCCGGCTGTGTTCTTGTTGATTAGGTCGGTGTTGTGGTTCCACCAGTTGTTTAGCCAGTCGCCTGTTTTGTAGGTGTCCCAGTCGGAGGCTTTTTGGTTGTAGTATTGTGAGACGGGGCCGCAGCGTTTGTAGACGCTTTGTGGGGAGGTTGAGGTCGCTGGGGCTGCTTGTATGGCAGGCAGGAGGGCCAGAGCGGCCAGGGCAGTGATGGGAAGCATTTTGGTGCTTCGAGTAGCCTGTTTAAACAGGAAACAAGATTATAACAAAAGAGTGTCTAAGAAAAGATGGGATAAATTACTTCTCAGCAGGAGATATCACTCGAAAGACGATGTGATGAAGAGCATAATATCTCGTCTATTGTGGACTATCAAGTCCTATTTATCCTCCTCCATCGCCATAGACAAAGATCAATCTCACATCACATAACACTGTAATATCATCCTCTCGAAACAAATCCCCAGCATGAAACCAAATCCATCTGACTGGCCACGCCCCACGTGTCCTGCAATGCAAAGCAATGCAAGCCTCGACTCTCATCTCGATTATGCAGAACCATCATAAACAGCCCATCAAATCCCGATTCCCATCTGCAGCCCCATCCACGGCATGATACCCGTATACGGAGTGCAGACAGCAAACATCGCCCAAGCCCCAAGTCAGATACTAAACATGGCATGATCGACAGGGTCTAAGTAAGCTCTAGGCTTAGCGGGCGCCGCTTAAGCCGCGTGGAGTGAGCAAGTCAGGGCATTTTACACTTCGGACTTGGGGGCCGTTGTTTGTGGGGGCTATATACATACGCCCCGGGGGGAGTGTCAAAGAATCTGCAGCTGAATGGGAAGGGAGTATGGGGGCGGATACTGGGGCTGATTTTGCTTTGTCTTTTTCTTCTGGATTAGGAATTTGGTCTATGGTGTTTTTGTGGGTGGGTAGAAGAGGGTTGCGGGTGGAAAGGCAGGTTTGTGGATACGAAGGAGGGTGGGTGTTGCAGTAGTGAGCTTGATCAGTTGAGAAGGAAGGGATTGTAATGCTTTGTAGACGGGTAAAGTTCAGATTCGTAATAGTCGTAGACTAGTATGATGATTATTGTCTGTATCCATTCGCCTAATTAGGTACGTCGAAGAGTGTATCTCGGCCCTAAGGTTATTATTGTGCTTGTACAGAGGCAATTCAAAAGTCTCGGTCTAGCAACCAGAGAAACCGCCCAGTCAGGCATGCTTCAATAACTTTTACTTGGAAGATCTTTCTAAATGTCTTTCGAACCGTCTTTCTTGAAGGTACAGATATTATTTCTGAGGTGTATCGTTGAACTCGTGACTGCTCAGATAGGAGCCCCACCGTATGCTTTCCAGAAAGAAGAATACTACGCAGTGCCGCCGAGTTCTAGAGGGGGTTGCTAGCAGAAATAAGAAAGAAATTTGATTATCATTACCTATTACCATCACCCGAAACAGATTCTTGCAGATCTATCAGGACAAAGTCTATAGTGCAACTAGTGGCAGAGCTCAAACACATAGATTAGAGAAAGTAGGGCTATTACTTCCACGCCATAGGGAAGTGAATAGTCGTGTCATATAGAGAAGAGGAAAAAGTTCATGTCGGTCATCACGTCGTCCAGCAAACCAAGTCAAAGCCAGTAAGGGTCAGCCCCTAAGTCTTCCTTGAAAATCGAGAAGCCCACCAATGCAAGTTACAATTTTGTGTCAGCATGAAGCCAAAAACGCCGCAGGTTCCAAAACCCCGGCCCCAAAGAAGGATCAAAGTAGCAAGTAGTTCAAGAAAGAGGTTCAGGTCCAGGTCCACGTCTCACACCTCGTCTATCACGATAACCCGCTCTACAATCCAATCAACCAAGGCCTGGCCTTCTAATTTCCACCGTCCTTCTGACCAAACATCACTCACCCAGTAAGCCCATGGCTTCCCTGTCAGATGCAGGTCCCACAAGGTACTGGATGCGTGACGGCCGGTGGCATGGCTCTCAGCTCCGGCTGATAGATCATAATTCACGCTATGCGATCCAACTGCCGATGCTGAAGTATTGGGACTGGACAGCTCTTGCCGAAGGTGCCATTCCCGCTCGGCTTTCTCGCCTGCACGACGGGCTACGGCTTCTTCGTCTTCGGCCTGGTAGAGATCACACTTGCTACACTCGGTGCATCTGGATCCCGGATTAATGCGGAAATGCTCGCAGAAGTGCTTGTAGCCTTCTGGCTCTTCGAACTCGTCATCTTCGGATTCAGCTTCTGGGTCGTCCTCGAACGGATTTTCGTCGGCTGGGCCGTCGTAAGCGTCTAAGTCCCGGGGACGTGGCCGGTCAAATCCACGTCGGGCTCGGGCGGGTTGCATGCGCGGGCCAAGTGCCTTCCGGCACAGGTAGCACATCGAGTAACCGCAGACGCAGGTCAGCTTGTTACAGCCCGAGGACTTGACAAACGAGAGGCTGCAGCGAGGACAGGTTCGCTTGACTGCTGCAGTTCGTGCCGCCTCGACGGTGGCTCGAAGGTCTAGTAGAAGCGGCTCGTGGCAGATATGTGGATCACGCCAGGGTTTCTGGCACGTTATGCAACTCACACCTTGACAAGTTGGATTGGCACATGTGAATCGTTTAGGGCGGATTTTAAGGCAAAGGTGTCGAATCGCGTTTTCAAAGACGGCGGTGACAGATGACGGGTCCACAATAAGGAGAATTAAGAAAGGAATAATGAGTAAAGGGACAAGGTCAAGAAGGAAAAGAGTCATTAGAATGGAAGGGATGATACCCGCGTCCCGGCGAACCTGCCAGCGGATACCGCGAGAAGAGGGATGATAGACCGGATCAGCTTCGGCGTAGGAGCAGAACGGACATCGAATGAGTTTCATTTGAGACTTGAGCAGCGTTTCCGAGGCTAATCGATCCTCGAATTTGCGGTACGTTTCGGAACCAGCGGTGTCGAGAAGGACGGCCTGTTCGACGATTTGAGGATGGAGACAGCCATCACACGCGCCGGCTGATAATGGAGCCAGACACTTTAATGTCGAGCGCTCCAAGTCCACAGATTTGCCCCAGCCCTGACCGAACAACGCCTCGTAGATCGTTCGTTGGATGCAATGATAGCAAATGACATGGGCATTAGACGAGCAGACCGCAATCTGCTCAAAGGCAACGTCGGCAAAGCAGCACTCGCACTCATACAATGCATCAACCGCTTTTGCCTCCTTCTCGTTTAGTTCCAAAGCGAGTCGGAAATCGTCAGCCTCCTGGTTCTCCCGCCGTTGGTCTAGTAGTGGAGCCAGGAGAATGGTATGAAGCTCGGCATCAAGCTCGGCTGAACCGGTTTCTTTCAACCGGGGTATAAGCTCGCCATCCATACGGCGTTGCCACGTCATAAGCGGATGATCATCTCGATCTTTCTTGCGACGAAACGGTAACATGCTATTGAATGTTGCCCGCCACGTACGGCGCGAGAGATCCCGTAGCGTCGGACGTGCACGCCAGTAGCTAAAGTTCGCCTCGGCCAGTACGGCATCAACGGTGCTTTTGCTCAGACTGCTGAATTCCTTCGCCAGACTGACCTGCACCGCGACCTTATACTCCTCTGACCGGAAGCGCTCCTCGACCGGGACGACGTTCTCACCCACGGGGCCATGCGCCCCTTCTCGAGTATTGGGGCCATGGCCACCCGGTGCAGCTTCAGTCTCAGGGACATTCCACCGGCCCTCAACCCACTTCTCCTTATGTCGCAGCAGTTGCTCGATGCAGACCTGCAGCCGGCTCTCACCGTCGAAGCGTACCAGTAACTCGCGGAAGACCTCTATGCGCACATCCGGAAATGTACGCGCAAGAGTCTCTAGCGCGGCATTCAGCTCGTCCTGCTCTCGCATCTGCTCCTCCTTTTGGCGGAGAGGGACATGTGCTGGTCGGGAGCGCGACGTACTCCCGAAGGGGTTATTTCGGAGAGCTTCGCTGAGGGTGATGGAGTGTCTGTTCGGGGAAGACGAGGCTGCAGAGCTGCCTATGCCAGAGGGTTTCAAGGCAGTCCGGCCGGTTTGTGGTGCAGGTGTGCCATCGGCGGGGCGTGAGGGGGAGGGTCTGGAGAAGCTGGGGATAGGCAGCGAGAGCACCATGTTGCGCTGCTACATCGTCGGTCTGCGGGAGATAGAGGATAAAGATTTCGGGAGAGCTTTCGAAAGACTTGGAGCAGAGGAAGATGGAAATTTGGTGGCCTGATTGACTAAGAGTGAACATGAAGGATGAACCCTTGCAAGTCGCGGTTTACATAAGGCGCGGCTCCCGAAGGACGGAGACTCATGGAATTCTGTGCGACGCTAGGCAAACTAATAATATCCACTAGGAATTTGTATGGTCGTGACGTCTGTACAGACGGAGTTAATTAATTGTGCAAGCCTGGGCCTAGGCCTACCTACATGATTGCTTTTTCTGATCAAGTAGAGTACAGGGGTCTAGAAACCAGAGAAACGGACCAACCAGATTCGCTTCAACATACTTTTATTTGAGAGTTCTTTTGAAAGGTCTTTTGAAATGTCTTTCTGGGTGCCTCTCTTAATTCCTTTCTAAATGTCTTTTGGACTATCTTTCAACCCGTGATTGCAAAGATGATTCTGGAATATTGTCAGGATTTCACTGTACCTCGATAGTATCAAACTGGAATATGATACAGAGATCCATAATCGAGAACAGACGAAGGAAGTCAAATAAGCTCTAATTAGGAAAGAACTAGACCATTCAAGGAGAGTGTTGGCTCCCCCGTGCACATCGTGACGCAAGCAGGTCACTGAGACGAGCAACGATTTCCTCTCAAAAAATGGTCAGGCTTAACACTATATCTTACTCGCCCCTATTCCAAACCCTAACACACCAGCATTGGACTCCCTCAATATGCCTTGTGATCATATCCTACATTCTTCGAGAATGTTTGTCGAAAGTCTACCACATATAGCATATGGGCTTTCCCTTTGGGCCTTGGCAACATTAGCAGTCGTTTTTATCATCGCAATGGCGACCTGCAACGGCCAGAAGCAGGCGGGTAGCTTCTATTTAGCATTTGGCATATCTATGCTAGACGTGATGGAGCTTGCTGCCTTTGGTTTCCTTCTGGCTGTACACCTGATTCCAGTCTCATTCAGCCTGAAGCTGGTTCTCATGGGTATAGAGACCAGCGGCGCAATGAAATTTTTTTGTTGAGCGATTGGATGGAAAGCCCAGCCAGGATTGGAAATTTATCATTGGTACACGCGATTTCGTTGTTGATAAGTTGACGGACTGACGGTTTTGATTTTCCAAAACTGGGAATACCTTTATTCTTACGGGTGTCGCCTGTCTTGCTATGTACTTAAGCTCTCTTTTTTTTAGCTGGAGCTCCTTCTTCTGTCTTCCACTTTTTGGTCTTTTCACTCTTGGGAGTCGTCCGTCTATCGGGATACAGCTGCAGAACGCCAGGGTGTGGTTGATGTAGTGTGAATAAGAAAATTAAAACATCTCAAGATTCATTCAATATTCAGGTTCCAAGAGATCGTAAACAAAACAGAAAAAAAGGCTATTTATATACAAACAAGAAGCTACATTCTGACTGGAGTATTCATTCCCAGCTCACGCGCCAGGGTATATCGCCTCAACTTCAAACCGAAGATTCCATATTTTACAGCTTAGCCTTCGCGCCCTCAAGCAGCTCAGCACCAGCGCCCGTGATAGCAGGCTTGCCAGTCTCGACGACAGTGGTCTGGAAGAGGACAGTGTTGCCCTCCTTCCACATCTCAGTCTTGAGAGTCTGACCGGGCAGCACAACACCAGCGAAGCGGACCTTGAGGTTCTTATAGGCACCGTACTTGGCGAAGACGTGCTTGGCAGAGACACCGAGCGAGCACAGACCGTGCAGGATGGGGGTCTTGAAGCCGCCGACCTTGCTGAACTCGGGGTCGATGTGCAGGGGGTTGAGGTCACCGTTCAGGCGGTAGAGCGCGGCCTGGTCCTCGGAGGTCTTCTCCTCGACGACGGCATCGGGGGCACGCTTGGGGGCCTTGTAGGCGGCGGTGGCGGCCTTGGCGCGGGCGACGGTGGGCTTGGGGGAACCACCGAAACCACCGCTGCCACGGATGAACACGCTGGACTCGTTGTAGAACAGGTCCTCGCCGGTCTTGGCGTCCTTGGTGGTGTAGCCGGCAACGACAATGGCGGCGTTGCCCTTGTCGATGACGTCGATGAGCTTGGGGTAAGTGAGGGTGTTGGCGGAAGTGGGGATGGGGAACTTGCGGACCTCCATGTACTGCTCACCGTGGAGCAACATCATGGGCGAGAAGTTCTTGACAATGTCGTCCATGTTCCAGGGGTTGGCGGTGTTGAACCAGGGGATGACACCGTAAGAGGGAAGAGCCTGGAAGTGCTCGCTGTTCTCGTACACTAGGGGCAAGTCGGTGCGCTTGGCACCCACGCTGAGGTTATAAAGGATGACATCGCGGTCAACATAGTTGAAGGCAGTGCCCTCTGCAGTGAGAGACTTGGCCTTCTCGATGTTGGCCAGGATCTCGTTCTCGCCAGAGCCGCCAGCACGGTTGGACATGTTGGCCATGATGCGCTCGGTACCGGCCTGGCCATCCTCGGGGTGGTCGGCACGGCCGTCCTCGAAGTTGGTGATCTCCTTCCACTTGGATACGACGGCCTCGGGGGTCAGCTGGACGTCCACGGGGAAGCCGTGGCCGCCAGAGCGCTGCCAGCGGGTGCGGCCGAACCAACCACTACCGCATTCGAACAGAGCCTTGGTAGCGGGCTCGGGAGCGGAATCAGAGCACAGAAGGACAACCAGAGGAGCAACGTAGTCGGGCTTGAAGGCCTGGACCATCTCCTCGGGCATGATAGTGCGAGTCATGTTGGTACCAGCGTTGGGGGCAATGGTGTTGACCTTGATGTTGTACTTGGCACCCTCCATGGCGAGAGTGCGGGAGAGGCCGAGGATACCCAGCTTGGCGGCAGCGTAGTTGGCCTGGCCGAAGTTGCCGTAGATACCACTGGTGGAGGCGGTGTTGACGACACGGCCGTACTTCTGCTTGAGGAAGTAGGGCCAAGCAGCCTTGGTGACCTTGTAGGTACCGCGGAGGTGGACGTTGATGACAGAGTTCCACAGGTTGTCATCCATGTTGGTGAAGGCCTTGTCACGGAGAATACCGGCGTTGTTGACAAGGATATCGATGCGGCCGAAGGCATCGATGGCGGACTTGACGACGGCATCACCGTCCTCGCAGTTGGCCTTGTTGCCAACGGCCTCACCACCCATCTTCTTGATCTCTTGGACCACGGGCTCGGGGTCCATCAGGTCGTTGACAACGACCTTAGCACCGTACTTGGCGAACAGCAAGCAGTAAGCGCGGCCGAGACCGGCACCACCACCAGTGACGAGAGCAACGCGGCCCTTGAAGTCGGGCTCCTCAGCCTTGGGGGCACTGGGGAGCTTCAGGCCATCCTCAAGCAGACCCATGAAGTCAGCAGGGCCGGTAGGGTACTCGGGCTTGGAGAAGTCGTTGACCTCGTTCCACTTGGCGGCAATGGCGCCGGGGGTCAGAGACTCATCGGTCTTGAGGAGAGCACCCTTGGCTCGCTCCCAGCGGAGCTTAGCGACGTGACCACCGCCAACTTCGTAGATGCCACCGGTCTCGGTGGTGTTGGAGGAGTGGACGAGAGCAGCAACGAGGGGAACAACCCAGTCGGGCTTGAGGTTCTCCAGAACATCAGGGGGCATCACAGTGGCGGTCATACGGCTAGCAGCAATGGGAGCAATGACGTTGGCAATGATGTTGTACTTAGCACCCTCCTTGGCGAGGGTCTCGGTGAAGCCGACCTGGCCGAGCTTGGCGGCCGAGTAGTTGGCCTGGCCGAAGCTGCCGAAAAGACCGGCGGCAGAGGCAGTGTTGATAACGCGACCGTACTTTTGCTTGCGGAAGTGAGGCCAGGCAGCGCGGGCGCACTATAGATCGCGGGGGTGATATTAGCTTTCTGTGTCTTGTGTGCCGAGGCATGCGGGGGGAGGTGTAACGCCGTACCTTGTAAGCACCGTAGGTGTGAACGCGGTTGATGAGGTCCCAGTCGGAATCCTTCATGTTCTTGAAGCTGATATCGCGGAGGATACCGGCGTTGTTGAGCAAAACATCGATACGACCGAAGTTCTTGATGGCAGTCTCGATGATGGCCTCACCGTTCTCGACGCTGTCGTAGTTGGCAACCGCCTTGCCGCCGGCGGCGCGGATCTCCTCAACAACGACATCTGCGGCCTGGTAAAGATGTGAGCGGGTGATCCAGAGACGGTGGACAGTCTACCATACCTTTGATGACTTGCCCTCGCCAGAGTGAGAACCGCCGAGGTCGTTCACAACGACGTTGGCACCCCTTGAGGCGAAGAAAAGAGCATATGCCTTTCCAAGACCACCACCGGCGCCGGTGACGACGACCGTCTGGTTATCGAAGCGTAGTTCTGACATTTCCGATATATGTGTGATGAAAGTAGTCCGACTAGGTCAGTCTACAGGATAGAACTAGAAGTTGGAGAAGGGGAAAGGGAGAAGAAAAAGCTGGAGAGGAAGAGGAGTTTAAAGAACGAAGCTCGGTCGGTCAAACCTGGGGGACCTCGGCACGTTTGGTCTGCGGGCAACGGCGGTAAGAAAAGTACTGAAACGAGGCGTGTATCGTTACATGGCAGATGGAAACGCTTCACATGCCGACGATCGGCCTAGATTGGGGATATTCTGGGGGACAGTCGTGTGCATTATTTCTGCTCTTTACTCCTATTATGTACTGTATCAGTCTGACTGTGTAATAATGTATAAGTTTTGAGGATTATTGATCCAGCTGTATCTCACATATTATCCTAGACATCAGACAGTACATGCGAGTCCAGACAAACTTCTACGGGCGGAATGTACCGAAGACCACATGCTGACTCAGACATGTGACAGACTGTAACGTCATCGCCATGTGCGTCTTTCTAAAAAGTGAAATAAACTATATCGATGGTAAAGTTTTATATTATGTAGTTGACTGTGGTAAACCATCCAGATGTATTCTAGATAGACAATGCCAGCTCTTATAATCATCGACTAGGCCGAGTAGTCCATGACTCGCCCGAGAAAGGCAAATGAAATCGCCTAAACGTACCCCGCGGGGCCTCACAAAAACCCCAGATTCCCCCGATCGGAGAACTTGCCGACCACCGTAACCGATAGACCTTAAGAAACCACCAACATGCCAGAGATCGTGGACGACAAGTCGCAGCATTGCATCCCATTCCTACTGGAGCGCTTGCGCATCCATACGGAACGGCGTACCAATGCCGACGGTAATACCCCGCCGTTCTTTCTGGGGCTCAATGGCGTGCAGGGCGCCGGCAAGACCGTGTTGGTAAGTTGCCCCGTTCTCGACTGGAGTCCTGCCTCGGGACGGGTTCGGTCCCATTGCTCCTCGGGTCAAACCAGGCTCATTAATACCACCCCAGGTGTCAACATTGCAAAATACGCTCCGCTCCGAGCCGTACTCGCTCTCCGTGGTGACATTGTCGCTGGACGACATCTATCTGACCCACGCCGATCAGGTTACGCTGGCACAAGCGCATCCGACGAATCCACTCCTGCAGCACCGTGGTCAACCATCGACTCATGATCTCGCGCTAGGTGAACAGGTGTTTGCTTCGCTCGCGGCGGAGCAGCCCACGGCCATTCCACAGTATGACAAGTCTGTCTTTGCCGGGCAAGGCGACCGTGTATCTCAATCGCAATGGGAGATCGTGAACGCCGAGGGCCAGAAGAAAGTCAAGGTCATCATTTTTGAAGGATGGTGTGTCGGTTTCCGTGCCTGGGATGATCAAACTCTTCGCGCCAAATGGGAGAATGCCGTACGACAAAAGGAGAGCGGCAACTACCAAGGGCGATTGGGATATGTCCAGTTCGAGGACGTCAAGGCAGTGAACGACGCATTGAGGCAATATGATGCGCTGACCGAGTGAGTGATCATGAATGCAGAGCGCCAGATAATGAAAATCAAGGACTGACCATTATCGCAGTAAACTGGACGCGCTGATTCACATGTAAGGCTTCCGACGGAGATCGTTGCAATGGCAACTTGCTGACTGTTTTCTCCAGTGATGCTCAAAATCCCCGATTTGTCTACGAATGGCGCCAGGAACAAGAGCGCACCTTGCGCGCGGCCAAGGGTAACGGAATGACCGAGGAACAAGTCAATCATTTCGTGGATGGCTGTCCGTATCTCCCTCAACTATATCACAGATTTTCCAGGGCTGACCATTTTTCAATTGCAGATTATCCCTCCTATGAACTCTTCACAGAGACTCTTCGCGAAGGAGTCTTCAAGCCGCATAACAGTCCCGCAGACACTTCAGATTGGCAGGGTAGACAGCTCCGCTTGGTGGTGAACCGCGATCGGAGGGTGCAAGAGGTCATCCAGATTTGAGATATAGCATACCGTGTTGCAATTACCGGTTAAATAGACAAAATAGACACACATTCTTAGCAATGACTGGAGCCTAGACTTCCAGTTAGTTCAATACACATATCTAATTTTGGGTGTGTATCTTGTGATACCTAGCCCTGCTCGTTGGACACGATATATATATTATGGTGGCCCAGCGGAATGACCCACCACAGGCTGCTGATGAAACATAATTTGATCAAACTTCTTATTTGAACTATCGGACGCAGGTATTTGTATAGGTTTTAAAAAATTTGTGACAATTTCATTTCTCATAGTTCAGCCACTTCTTTCCTTGGCTTGAGGGTCGACTGTTAAGACCTGGGAGTTCAAGCGGCGCCAAGGTAATTCCACTGATTCTCAAGCGGGTCTTAGACCCAGGTCGCAACTCTTGAGGCTGTTCTCATAGTTCTCTTCCATGAAATCGCTGAAGATCCAATTAGCCAAAGTAAGTGAACCTGCGCTTGAGAATGCCCGTTGGTGGGCGGTGCAAGGGAGTCTCTTCCCTGTCAGGTTGTCGTGGTCTCTCGATGGACCATCGTGTAGTAAGTGTTTCATATATCAATATCCGAGGTGTCCTGATCGAACTATTCATCCACTATCATCCAGCAGGTTCTGGGGTGACCAGTACTCCTTCTCCGGACCCTGAGCATCCAGCCAAACAAGGCCATCGGCAAGTAGATCGTCAATGACAGTCTGCGCCCGGGCCTTCTCCCAGTTCAAGTTTAGTTGTAGCATCGAGACGCTCACGAACCCAAGCATTTGTATCACTTCAAGCACGGTCGCCTGGTCGGTGTTCAGTTCCTTTGGAATAGACCGAATGTATTGTTTGGAGCCAACATGGACGATAGAGAAGCCGGAACCGAGAGGTTCTAGAGATCGGACGGCGCGGAGAATATCATCCCTAGAAAATCAGAAGCTTGATTAGCAACCCTCCAAACTCCTCGTCTGCGCCCGCATAGAGTCTGCGTACTCAGAAACCTCTAGTCCACTTCCAATGGCCTTTCCCTTACGTACTCGCTTTCGACATTCTTCTACTCCGATCAACCCGCCGTTCTCCTCCCTTGTATCCCGGCATAGTTCCACAACACGGACAGCAACCTCAAAGTAGAAGTCGTTCATATCGCCGCCCATGATCTGCGTCCAGAAACTACCACCTTCGCCAAGTCCGCGACGGCCATTTTTGCCTTTGACGTTACTCGCAGCAAGAGGATCGACCCCGATCGTATTACACATGCGCGCGAACTCGGCCCGGAAGGTAGGATTGGATTTAATGGTGGAGCTATGCTCTAGGGCGAAGGTATGGAGTAAGGACTGGAAGACCGAGAGCTGAGTTTGGAGAGACGCCGTATGCGTGGAGCGTAAGTTAGCGCCATGGGTGGCAAAGGACTGTGTTGCTTGAGTGCGGTTGGCAAAGGCCCCGAGGCCAACGCCGCGACGAGACATGGTGATGGTGATCTGGGAGGTTGAAGTGAACCCCGCCCAAGTTACCAGCTCTGGTGTTTAGGGGCCGGCTGAGGGGAATGCCGATGATGAAGTCATCTGACATGGTCCAAGCCCTAATCAAAGGGCGATAAGGGTAGGACCACCCAAAACGGGATTAGTGCAAAGTCAATGCCAACCAGTCCCAAATAGGTTAGTGGACCCATCACCCACACAAGCGAATTCTCCCTTCTTCTTTTCTTCGAGCTTTTCTTCCTTCGAACTTTTCCACGACAACCTTCGACAATCGACCTTGCCGGATCTTCAAAATGGCCCCTACCCCTACGTATGCTATCCCTTGAATCCTTTCTGACTGATGCAATCCCTCGAGATTGTGAGGTTTCAGTATAGTCGTCCTCTCGCTGGAAATGCTACGGTCATCTATCGCCGTCGATGATGGCTGTTGAGCACCAGCTCGATCCTTCCGACGCCCTCTTCCTGTTCGCATGGCCTTGGAGATATGCATTTGTGTTTCGAAGAGATCCAGCGGACAGAAGGAGGACCACGGAGTCTTGAGGTTGAAAGCGTTTGCGCGCCTTCTCCTCCAAAAGCATTGTTGTCAGCTGTCGTCTCCGGTGCTCTTGATGCGGTAAAAGCAGTCATTGCCCATATGGAACGAAGAGCGTCAACAGATATTTTTCCTGAACTTCGGTTTAGGGTATTGTCGGATGAGGGCGGACATGGCAAGAAAAGTTTTTCCTGGGTAGTCGGAATTTTCGCGAACGTTGTGCTGGAACATGCCAACTAGTACCGAGAAGACCATGAAGCCCTGTTCTTGCCATGGCCCTCACTGATTAAAGTCATTCGTCGAGTTTTTGTTTTCTATTTGCCTTCCAGTTGAGAATGTGGCGCTCTATGCTGCAGTTCTTTACACTCGACGGATTGTTTCATGTCATGCATGATCCCATGGACGCACTATACTAACCCCAACACCAGCTCCGTCCCCACCCAGGACCAGGTCCTCGTCCCCGAGACCCTCCTGAAGAAGCGCAAGAGCCAGGAGGCTGCCCGCGCCGAGCGCCGTGCTGAGATCGACGCCAAGAAGAAGGTCGGTTTTTCCTCCCAAATGCAATTCCCCTGCATTTGCCTTCTCCTACACTTCCCTTCCAACAATCTGATGAAAACACCAACCACGCGACTAGACCACTGGTCAATGCTGTCGCCTGTTAACCATCTTTCGGGGCTGATACTTTGTTGATGCTACTGATACTTGTCACATCATCAATATCATTGAGGAATTTCTTGCTGACCTGAGTACCTCACTAGGCCAACAAGGAGAAGCGTGGCGTTATCTTCAAGCGCGCTGAGTCCTACGTCAAGGAGTACCGCGATGCTGAGCGTGAGAAGATCCGCCTGGCCCGCGCTGCCCGCCAGGAGGGTAGCTTCTACGTCGATGATGAGCCCAAGTTGGTCTTCGTTGTCCGTATCAAGGGGTATGTCACTCCAATCCATACAACCTTTGATCCATTGCTAACCCTTCCCCAACAGTATCAACAAGATTGCCCCCAAGCCCCGCAAGATCCTGCAGCTCCTCCGTCTGCTCCAGATCAACAGCGGTACCTTCATCCGCCTGACCAAGGCTACCCAGGAGATGCTGACCATCGTCAACCCCTACATCGCCTACGGTTACCCCAACCTGAAGTCCGTCCGTGAGCTCCTGTACAAGCGCGGTTACGGCAAGATCGACAAGCAGCGTGTTGCCCTCACCGACAACCAGATCATCGAGGAGAACCTCGGCAAGTTCGGCATTGTCTGCATGGAGGATCTCATCCACGAGATCTACACCGTCGGCCCCAACTTCAAGCAGGCCAACAACTTCCTGTGGCCCTTCAAGCTGTCCAACCCCAACGGCGGCTTCCGCACCCGCAAGTTCAAGCACTACATCGAGGGTGGTGACACCGGTAACCGTGAGGAGAACATCAACGCTCTCATCCGCCAGATGAACTAGAGTGTTTCTCTCTCAAACGGGGGTTCCTAGTTGAGGTGCATCATGTAACAATGGAGTAACTCGACTATCAAAAAATTATTTTAACGTTTTCTTTACGGGTTGTTTGTTTTGCACACGGGCTGTGTTTATCATCTGTCAATTAGCGATATTTATGGTCTGGGATTTCCGGTAATTCAATGCTTCAGACAACCCGCAATCGCCTTCATCTCTCGTAAATTTGTATACCTTTTGACTGCAAGCTTCCCATCGAAGGGGTCTCTTAAGCCATGGTTAGTTTAAGTTGGGGCCTTGTTCAAAGTCCTGCCCCGGTTCAACGGTCTAGTTCCAGAGGGCCGAGGGAGGACCTGCCTAGTTTTTTAACCCCGCCTTCGTAATGATTTTTTTCAATTGTTCTGTTTGACGACTCGAAGATCATCTTCTTGGTCTTATCGTTCAATGCACGACTGATAATTCGATTCCGAAGCTTTCTCAGTGTGTTGAACCAACGGTATACAATCCTACAGTATGACCAGACCCGGCCAGCTTCATCCCCAACCATCATCATGCTAGTCTAATTGAAGCTGGAGTGATTGGACTGAGAGAGATCAAGTCATGGGTAACACCAGCATACCTAGTACTGGAGATTCCCATCAGCACTAACGTTGTGCTGCGGCTTGCTTTTGATTTTGACTTCCTTTGGTAGGCTTTCCATCTGAGAATCCTCTTGAGTAGATCCATAAATTGCTCAGTCTGATCAGTTTCCCCAGCTCTCCTCTCTTATATTCTTTTAGTGCCTATATAATGGCCTCTTTAAAGCCCTCAGCTATATAGTATAACGGAAATAATCAGAGCCGACTCGGTGATTTATGCCTACCTCATCGAACAATGCGGCTTCCATCCACCGACCGCCGAGATGTATGGAGTCGCTGTCGACGCCCATACCGAATTCTTCTCGTCAATTGCATATCCTGCAGTTGCAGACCTAGGTCTATGTGTGAACAAGCTTGGAAAATCTAGTGTGACATATGAAGCTGCTATCTTCGAGCGGGGTGTGGATGAAGTTAAAGCTGTGGCACAATGTGTCCATGATTTTGTCGAACGCTAACGGGCAGACCATCGAAGGAAGGTATGAGTGCAGCTCTGAGACAGACATTTGAGAAACTGTATGTGGAGGAGAGAGCTATCAAATTGTGATAATAGGTGCTTCTGGAAGTTTCCAGACGACGTTTAGTCGGCCACTTCGCTGGCACCCGGGGCTGTAAATAAGAACAAGACACCATTAATGAGAATTCGGCGCATTGGAGATACATAGTTAAAGATATTGAACATTTATATTCCCCGAGTCTCGTCTATTGTGTAGAAATACGTGATAAAAACTCCTAGTGAAATACGTTCGCTCTTCAGCCCGTTTTCTCCTCATCAAGCTCTCCATTAATCCGTTTCTTTCCCTCCTCCTTCAGCTTTTCGTCGTCATCTCGCTTCAGCCCAACTTGTGGCATGAGCCAGCATGCTAAGAAGAAAGCAAATGCTGCCAATGCCGCGCCAATAATGAAGATTATCCGAAAGCCCTTTTTGTAGGCGGGAATCAAAACGCTTCGAATTTGCTTGGCATCATCAGCCGAGAGGCTGGAAAGGTAAGACTGTGGACTTGACAGTAGAGACCGCGATTGGGATTGATCGAGATCGAGGACCGAGATGGAAGATGCAACGACGTTGTTACTATAGATGTTAGCAGCGGAAAAACCATACATTTGATAGTGCGAGCTTACATGATTGTTCCTGCAATTGCAAGACCTAGTGTACCTCCAAGGTTTCGGACAAAGCTGGTCATGGTTAGATAGTGGATCAATCACTAAAATTAGATCTGACCTACTTTCGGAATGAAGTGACAACGGCCATATCTCGGCGCTCAACACCCGCTTGGACCGCAATGAGAGACGGCTGCAAGGTGTTTCCAACGCCAACACCTGTCAGAATACCGTATCCAATTTGTTTCCCTATACCAGAAGACTCATCCAGCGTCGAAAAAAGCCCGAGTCCGACTGCCCAAATTACCCAGCCGAATAGAATACATTCACGATAACGACCGACCCAGTGGACCACAAGACCAGAGAGAGTACTACTGACGGCTGGAAAATTTTCGAGAGTCAGCCCAAGGCCAGCGAACGAGTCAAAATGATGTTAACTTACTCTGCATCAATGTGATTGGAAGAAGCATTGCACCCGAGACAACAGTCGAATATCCAAAAACCAGTTGATAGAAGGTAGGGATATAGTACACCTGAACCAAGAAGTTCCATCCATTGACGAACATGGTCAAGCATGATCCGTTGACAATTCGGCTGGCGAATATGTGCATTGGCACCAATGGCACTCTTGCACCCTTCCACTGCCATGCAATGAATGCAATTGAGATAACGAAACCGACGACCAAAGTCGCAACGACATGTGCTGAATACCACTTGTACTCACCACCTCCCCAATTCAGCCCTAATAGGAACACTGATGTGCCTCCTAGAGCCAGTAGTGCACCAAAAAAGTCTACTGCTTTTAGTTTAAGCCGCCAGTCACCTTCGACCTTCCTCAATGGCATGAAAAAAAGCACAGATAGTGTCGTCACGGCTGTCAACGGCAGGTTCATACGGAATATCCATCGCCATGAGTCCTCTGAGATTGATGCCAGGGCACCACCAATAACGGGGCCAATGCCATTTGCAATTGCCACCACAGCACCGAGGATGCCCTGGTATTTACCTCGTTCACGCAGAGGAACGACATCACTCACGATCATCTGGGCAACCGTCATCAACCCGCCACCACCAACACCAGTCAATGCCCGGAAGACGATAAGCTGGGTGACAGTTTGGGAGAGTGAGGCCGCTAGTGAGCCAATGAAAAAAATAGCGAGGCCGACGAATAGAACTATCTTTCGCGACCAGATATCAGAAAGTTTGCCGTAGATGAGCTGGAAGCATGTTGATGTTCTAGGATATAGAAAATATTGATTAGCCCTTTTACTGTGAAGATCTCAAGAATCATTCATGGCGAACAACTCACACAAAGTAACCTCCCGAGATCCAAGATGTTTGATCGCTGGCACCTAACGCATTTCCAATGATAGAGAGAGACGACGCGAGCATCGTCTGGTCCATCAGAGCCAGTAGATCGACGCTGGAGCAAGCCAGAAAGATCTAAGCGCGATTAGAGCTGAATTTCTCCCAAGGTCCCGTTGCTTTGTCAGGCAATCAACCGCTTTTTCTCACGTAGCCGTAGAAAAACTTGATTTGATAAGGACTTACTGTGATGATTATGCGCTTGGGCACATAATTTGTTTGCTCGTTGAAGACCACATGGGTCCCATTTTTGTCTGCCACGTCGACATTGACATCTGAGCCATCGGGGCTGGAATGGCCTGAGGTATTTTGAAGGACTCCACTCATCGCATGTAAAACTAGCAGCTGAAAAGGTTCACAAGTCGAGGCTTCAACAACAGAATCGCCCTTGAAATAAACGAGTGCTAGAAGGTCCTTCAAAAAAATTCAAGACCGAGGTGAAAAAATGGGCCTGGACAGCCGAATTGAATTATCAAATCAATTAGCCAAGCGACTGACCGTACTTCGAGCGACACTCATCATATGTCCGTCCATAAGATGTTGCTACTAAGCTTATTCAATCCCCGAATGTGCCCAAAAAGACAGGGATCGCCGGGAACAACCTTGACAGCCGCCGATCTGCAGCCGAAGAAGTGAAACTTGCTCAAACACCCTCAAGGTCCTTAGACCGTCCACGCTAACCGTAACGAGCACCACAACTATACGATTATGGCATAATACGATTGTATAATTTCTCCCGGAATATTAAAGGCTTTTTGACCAGTCATAGTAAATTTCGAGGACCTTGAGGCGTTGTTCAAAAGTTAAACCTTTCCCAAAGGTCCTGGAAATCTGACGGCCAAGACTGGAGGACGGCAGACTTGCATAAGACTGATATGCAGCACGAGCGCATTCACGAATATTTGAGGCCATTTTCTAGAAAGAAATGACCCATCAAAGTTCCCGAGAATGCGACGGCGGAGACGCCAATGACGCGATTCCTACAGGCGATCGTACCGTTTTCATAGTTCTTGATCCAGGATTCTTCACCCGATGCTATCCACCGGCGAAAGCCGATCAGGACCTCGGAGGCGTGTTTCTCGGTTATGAGTCAAAAAAATGTCTAGTTGCAGAGCGCAATATGGATAGCTGGGTGGGATTGAGTTTGTCTTACGCGATATCTTCGTGATCAGTATCCGCGCTTGCCTCATTCATCGCGATCCACGGAGAGGCATTTTTGGCGGTTGCAGCGTTGTATGGACGGCTGCTCCCCCAGCTTCGTATATCCCATATCCGAGTACCTGAATAGTTTGCTCACGTTGTCTGAAGATCTGTGCTAGTGGGTCTGCTCGGGCAAATCTCATGTTTTCCTCGTGGTTCCTACCTTCTGGGTGCCAAGCGGACGCAACGGGATAGCGAGGGGATTGATGTCGTTATAGCACTATATCTGCCAGGGAATTCCCGCACATAGTCTCCCTTATAATCCAAAATAAAAGACTGTTTTCTCGGTGTCCGCATTGGTATCACGGGCATTGGATCTCTCCGGAAGACGATCGACCCTCCACGGAAAAACACAATGACCAACTCCAACAACCGAAATGTATACTTCGGGCCTGACTCATTGAAGAAGTACTTTGACCCAGATTGTCAGCCTCCATTACCTCTGGTCGAGCTGCCAGAGTATTTGAATCCATTCTATCAGGATGGCGTTCGAATTTATGCAAAGATGATGACCATGCATCCTGCCAACAACGTCAAGGCCATGCCAGGTAAGATGAGATCAGGCACATTAATACACCGCTTGTTACTAACATGAGAGTAGCATTGAATATGCTCGAGTCAAGCGTCGTCCCAAACCAAACAAAAACAATCATTGAATACAGCTCTGGGTCAACGGTGATCTCGATGTCAATGATTGCCCGGGTTATGCATGGCGTGCAGGACACGCGGGCGTTTCTGAGCAACAAGACTAGCGATGCTAAGCTGAAGTTGATGCAATTCTTCGGCTTGGATATCACACTATTTGGCGGACCGTCCCAACCAGAGCCCCTCGATGGCCGTGGCGGTATCCAAAATGCCCGCCGTATGGCTAAGGAAGCCGATGATATCGTCAATCCCAATCAATATGAGAACAACGATAACTGGCAGTCGCATATGCGATGGACTGGCCCTCAGATATTCCGGCAATTGCCCGAGATCAATGTTCTCTGTGCTGGTATGGGCACCTCTGGCACTATGACCGGTCTGGGGACATACATCAAAGGTGTCAAGCCCTCCGTGATGAGACTCGGGGTTTGCACAGCTGCAGGTGATAGGGTGCCAGGTCCCCGATCCTATGCGCTGATGCGCCCTGTGGAGTTTCCATGGAAAGAGGCAGTGGATGCAATCGAAGAAGTTGGCTCTTCTGACTCGTACGGTCTGTCCCTGAAGCTGTGCCGTGAAGGACTGGTATGTGGTCCGTCATCCGGATTCAACCTGCAAGGTTTGTTCCAGATGCTATCAAAACGGAAGGCCGCGGGGACGCTGCCTGACTTGGCTGGTTCGGACGGGATTACGCATTGCGTCTTCATGTGTTGTGACCTGCCATATCAGTATATCAGCGAGTACTTCCAGAAACTCGGGGCTGAGGAATTCCCGCCCATCCGCAACGAGGTAAGCTTCCCCGAGTCGCTGACGCGTCGTAGATTCCACCCCCAAGATCCCCACTTGATCGTGGATCCCCATTCTTCTAGATTTATCACGCTGACAGTTTCTGTCGAACAGCGCCTGACCAAGGTTGACCTGCACCGATACGACGAGGCCTGGGAGCGCGATGCCCTCGAAGTCCTCCCACAAGTCTACGGCTCTCCACGACCCCTGGACCAGACTCCGCTCAGCGAGATCACCCTGAAGCCACTACACCGAGTCCTCGACCTCCGCCAACCCGCGGACTTCAATGCCTGGCACCTCCCAGAATCAACCAATCTACCGCTGTCGAGTGTTAGGCTCCACACGGGATCACCGTTTTCGGATCCAGCCGTGCTTGAGGCACAGTGGGTGGAGCTGGAGCAGATCTTTGGGGACGAGCGCCTGATCTCAGATCTTGGTTCGCATCACGTTCTGGTAGTATGCTATGACGGAGATACAGCGCGCGTGGCTACCAGCGTGCTTCGGGCCAAGGGCCTTGATGCGGACAGTGTGCGTGGAGGCCACCATGCGCTGCGGATGTATGGCATTGGGAGCGGGAGTGTAGAGCGCGGGGTGTCAGTATCGGCGGACTGTTCCGCGAGCAAGATGCCTATTGCGGCAACGGTCTCTGTCTCAGCTGTTTCTCTTGATTATTGAAGCGCGTGTCAGATGAGGATCGTCATCGTTCACGCAGTCAGGAATGTAGGCTTGGAGCGGGTCATCCAAGGTGTTAGGACTGATCCAGAACGGCGAAGCTGGGGGCGGTTAACATTGTAAAAAGTCATTGTTGACTAGGTAAATCGAATCATCATGATACTTGTTTGTTTCCTGGGAAGTTGGGATTTGAAGCTCGTAATATTGATAATATTGGGACCTGTAAATTACTAGATTCGGTTAGTTTTGCCGGCTCCGGGCTTAGATCCAATACACCTGAGTGTACTGTACTTTTCTTCGCCAGCCATAAACAAGCAGTTCACTATTCCAGACATAATCATTCCGACCACACGAAGTCAGACCAAGTTATCCAATACCAAGCGGATATTAGATGTCGACCGAACTCCCAGCCAGGATTTTCACGGTCCCATGATAGAATGGCTGGACCTGGACTTCTCAGAGACCTCACCTGTAAAGCAAGTCAACTGGAAAGATTCTCTGAATGAGATGATTCAAGGGGTCGAGGGATGTTCCCACATCACTTTCGCACGCCCGCTCGAAATGCCCCATAGACTATGGATTATCATTCGTAAGGACCAGGACTCGAATGAAGACAGAAAGAAGAAAAACTGACAAATGAGTAGAGTGGTTGTCTGAAACACAACGAAATGAGTTCCACAGAACAGACACAATTGCTAGCAACGCCAAGAAGACCCTTTACCAATACAGCGACAATGTCCATTGCAGTTATCGACTTGACTACTCCATTGGAAAGATAATCTCCGCTGGCTTCCCCTATTATCTCGATCCAAAACTAGTCCACGAAGTGTGGATGGTTTACTTTCCTATCTACACGTTAGATGCTGTAAAGAAGCAAGAGCGTCAGCTTCCTTTGCTAACAGATTTCTATGAAAATTATGATGAGTCTAATCCGATGACCGGGATTGTCAGTCAGGATATTGCCTGGCTATCTGGAGAGATCAATTACCATGGGGTACAATGTCAACGCCTCGTATGGTTCATGAAGTGGAAATCCAAGGAGGCGGAAGAGCTCTACAAGACGACCGTACGATGGGTGGCGGGGCATGAGGGAAAATCCAGCAAAGTACAACTGACAATAAATATCTTCATAGATGACTTGAAGAGCATTGCAATGGTCGGGTATGAGACATGGCACGCTCACTTTGAGGATCTCCGTGACGTGCTAGGTATCCGTGTCTTCAACCACCCTGCTTTACGCGGAACCGGTTTGGGTGCGCTGAAAGACACGAATGAACTTGGCAATAGGTGAATCGTGCGCAATTTTGCTCCAGCCTCAGTGGACCTAGGCCTAGCTTGGTTAGCGTGTTTTCCAGCAAGGATGGTGTATCTTGAATAACATTCGAGGCACAAATGCACTCTCGAAAATTAGGGAATTAACTCAGTTCGAGCAGATACCAAGAAGAAGGAACTAACGTCTCACATTAAGTAACAAGGATGAAAGCTGTTTGATTTCAGCTAAATTTGCGCAACTTACCGCAGATCATCGCGGCAGATCGACACAGAGAATGCTATCAGTTATGGAGCTCATCTCTCTCAATTACTCCGTTCCCTGGTTCGTTTGCCGTCTTCGTTGCACCTGCCAGATTGCCGTTTTCAGCACAATCCTTCTTTCACGGCTCTAGTAGTAGTTCAATGGAATACATCCATGAACTCATTGACATTGCAACCAAATGACTTAATGATCAAATCATGCAAAGCGTGGCCTCCGATGCCTCCGGAGTCTTGACCCTGCCAAGCTTTAACCCGCTGATCGGCCCCGTTTTCTATACTCCGTCATTCTACCCCTTGGTCATCATAACAATCTTGTGGCTTGCTCGGTTTGATCTGATTCATCACTTTTCTTCTTTGACAACAACGATTATCGAATGCCGGTGAGAAAGGCCAGATAGGTTATCTGGTTGGCTCATGATGATGGATATGGACATGGACATGTCGGGCGGTGGTGTCCCCTGGCTTGATCAGCCTGTAATGCTCCACTCGTCTCGTCAAGATAAGTGCAAGTTATCTGGTGCACAGTGTGCTTATCGGAATAATCACTGGAGATACTGGTATGCATTCCAAGCATTGTCACTTGTGTTACTGAGGCTCATATCATCCGGGAGACTACAGGTACCAAGCCGACCATGTATATGCCCTGAACACAGTGTATTTCTGCTGTGCAGTTATTGCGATCTTTGCCATCTCGAATATTCTCGTCAAGATTTGTCCAGATTGGCTCAAGAGAACTCGAGTATGGCGGACAATGACTTCAGTCTCCCGGTACATGTCCTATCGGGGGTATCAGTTCCCGATGCTGAAGTATTGGTCTCCATCTTTGGGTGTCACCATGTTGGGTGTCGTGGGTGCAATACTCTTCCTCGGTACGTGTGAAACTGTAATTCAGCTTGAAATTGGGATAAGCTAGAATCTTATATTCCATTCACAGCTATGACACTCGGACCTAAGCCCTACTACTGGCCCACCGATGCTAGTTATGGAAGTAGCCCACCCATAGCGACAAGGGCAGGCTGGATGGCTCTAGCTTTGTTGCCATTTGTCCTGTGAGTATTGAGTCCCACTCCATCAAGACCGCCTAAGATGCTAATATACAAGAAGTGGCCTCAGTGTCAAGGCCAACATGATATCTGTCCTAACTAGCATCCCTCATGAGAAGCTTCAAATTTTCCATCACTGGACCAGCTACGCCATGTTCTTGCTTGCACTCATCCATACTTTCCCATTCATTATATATCATATAGATAAGGGTGATATGGTGAAGCAATGGAAGACTAGTCTAGTCTACTGGACGGGCATTGGGGCAATTATCCCGCAGGCCTACCTAACTATCATGTCGCTTCCGTTTATTCGAAACCGATTCTACGAGTTCTTCAAGGCTACCCATATGATTGCTGCAGTTGTCTTTATTGTCTTCTTCTTTCTTCATTGTGACTTTCGGCTCTCTTCCTGGGACTACTTCATCGCAAGCGGCATCATCTACTTCCTCTGTCTATCATTCTCCCAGGTGCGCACCTATCTGATGCATGGCATCCACACGGCCACACTCGAGCTACTTCCCAGCGGACTTGCCCGAGTCTCTGTTCCGACTGTCATCAAATGGACGCCCGGCCAGCATGTCTTTGTGCGTTTCCTAACGCCAGATTTGCATCTACTTACCGCACATCCGTTCACTATCTCCTCTGTCTACCGCGACCCGGATCAGGCAGGTAAAGCTCCAGAGCTCGCGTTTTACATCAAACCCCGACGTGGGGTAACCGCTCGCCTTGCCGCGCTGGCCGCCAAGCAAACCGGAATCACAAAGAAGATTCTCATCGAGGGGCCATATGGCGGCGTGAGCACTCATCACATGTCCCAATTTGATACGATACTCGTCATCGCCGGTGGATCAGGCGGCGGCTTCTCGCTCGCGATGGTAGATGAAGCACTGCGGGTGTCTGGCCTTCACACCGGCGAAGACGAATCGGGTCAAGAAAGCCGCCGACGTCTCCAAGTTGTATTCTCGACCCGGGATACACCAATGGCAGACTGGTACATCGACGAAATTGAGTCGCGCCTCTCACAGTCCACCACCCTACCGGGCTCAGACAACGGCTTCGAGACTTCGGTCTCGGTGCACATTACCTCAAAACCTGACCTAACTCGCTCGACCTCGACGCTAGACTCGGAGAAAGGCACCGCCGGCAAGTTACCTCCAACAGACATCACGACAACGGGATCGTTTAGTCTTAATATTTACCGGAATGCCCGCCCTGATATTCCTGGCCTCGTGGCTCGAACGGTAGCTATGGCTCACGCGAATCCGATGCCGAATGGCAAGAAACAGCGGATTGGGGTTCTTGTTTGTGGTCCCGCGTCCATGCTTCATGACACTCGGAACGCTGCAGCGCTGGCGCAGAAGCGGACATTCGGTGGTGAGATTGAAGAGCTATATCTACACTCAGAGTCTTTTGCGTGAGTCTTCTTTTTCTTGTTCACGATCGCAACGTATACTGACTGACCGCTCCTGATACAGGTGGTGATTAACTTTACGTGATAGCTTTGGGATTGATATTTGCTGGCCTAATATTCGCTGGAACGCTGTACTTTCTGTGTATATACCCAAAGGAGCACTTGGCTCCACAATACTGTTGATGTTGTGACCTACTTTCTGATGGTCCTTATTTTTTACTGTACCTTCCTCATGCTTAGTTGCTTCGGTGAATGCTACCATGTTGATCTGATATCTTCGTGTCTGAGCTACAACAATTTAAGATCTTGCCATACTTAATACCTCAGATATTTCTCTCTGTAAGGTCCTGAGTCACCATGGCCAGCGACTAGGTAGACAGACTGCATATATTACTACAAAGCTTGGTGGTTATAAATAGGGAGGTATAGTGGTGATTTGATGATTGTCAATCTTTGTCTGGCACGATATTAGTAACCAAGGGGGTTTAAAACGTTTGGTGAATCACAGTAGCTAGAGCTCTGTATGACTTACTGTTTCGTTTGCTTCACTTGTGTTTGGCATAGAGCTCTTCTGGTGTCGAGCATATGTTGTGCTCGATCACGTTGCCGGTGCCCTCTGTATCGACGAACAGATCGAGAGTATTGTCGCGGAAAATATTCTTGACGACATTATTGCCCGAGGCAATAGCTAGAGTCCCAGTCGATTGGTCGTCGAAGATGGCGAAACCTGCAGTGAAGCCGCCATTGGTTTTTCCCTTGATAATGTTGTGTTGAACATCGGTATTTACGGCGCCGGAAATGATGATTCCGAACACACTCCCTGGCGGGCAGGTTGGATTCGATGGGTTATCATGAATCTTGGCATCGTCGATGAAAGGATCAACAAAAGCCCCAATGCAGCAGTTACGGACATCGTTTTTTACCACGTCTGCGGCTGGTGTTTGAATGCAGAGGGCAATGATGTACCCGGAGATGTGGTTTGTCGAGACCTGGGCATCAGCGAAGTTATCCACAAAAATGCCGATGAACTTCAGCCCCGTGTCTGACATCACCGTATTGCAGATACAATGGTGTTTTTTGAGCCGTCCGAGAGCAAGCCGTACTGTCCGCCGTTGGTGAGGTCGTTCCGGGTCACACTAACATCCTGGCCACCGACAATCGCCACGTTTTGGCCCGAGAAGTTGTTGATCTGGAAGCGGTTGATTGATACACCCTTCACTGGCTTGCCCACCGAGATGACCTTCCTGTGTTCGGACAAAAAGGGCGCCAGGACAACATCATATCCGGTTACGCAGATACCCGCCTGGGTGTTATCACCGGCAAGACCGGAACATAAATTTGAAGCAGCCGAGGAGGGAGGAACGAGAATGGCGCCATGTCCAACCAGGGCAATCCCGTCTTTGTCGATAGTCAACTGCTCGGTGTAGGTTCCACGCTCAACAACGATAGTATCTCCGGGAGAAGCTTTGTTGATCGTGGCCTGGATGAACTGACCGGGCCAGACCTGTATTTTGGCACCGGTTGCGGAGCTAATAAGCCCTAATGCAACCAGAATGAGCGAAAGACAGGCTGTGCGTGCCGGAGGGTCGAGGAGTACGTCGCGCCATCTAGGCTTTTTGCGGTCGCGTCCTTGTGATTTGTGTATTTGTGTTGTATTCTGTGGAGAAAGAACACGCCACTTTTGGTTAAATGATATTTATTGAGTTACAGGAAGCAGGAAATATGAGGGAAGACTGAGTGCTTATATAGAAGCAAAATCGCTCTGCTCTGGATTCAATGTCTGGGCTGATGCTGTCATAACTGTTTTCTGATTACGAGGGACCTTGGGATACGGACGTCATGATGCTAGAGACTATTATTATTGTGATAATGATAATCAACTGTCTGATGCTGTGGCAATCATCACTAAACCTATCAATTTCCGTGCTTATTGTTGCCAACTTAGCTTTGGGACATGTAATATGAATTTTGAATTCAACCGAGTTTTCCAGACCGAAGAATGATCCAATCATACGGCCGTTTTATTCTAGGCCATAAGTAACTAGTATTTGCTGTCGTCTAGTCCTACTGACACCATCGCACTTTTTAAATTATTGTGGAATAGGTGTGGCACGTACTTCTCAGTAGTAATGCGTAAAGAGGCCATGACATAAAGCACGGAAGCACTGCCAGCGCTAGTGAGCGGCTCGCAATAGAATTATACAAGAATAATGCAAAGGGAAGAAAAAGGTCAGTAAAGATGAGGTCTAACTCAGAGATTTGTTTTCAACAATACTTGAGAACCATACACTCATAAACTTTGGTTTGAAACCTTAGATCTCAAGGGCAGAAGGAACCGACAATATGGCATATCGTCTCATCCCCCAGACTTGCATTAGGCCGCTCAACGAGCCACATACGTTGTTGACTCCCTAAGCTATTACCCTGCGATCCCAGGCCTCTTCACGACTAGGATTCCGGGCAAAAGTTTCCCGTATACCAGTCCCTCTCGACTGCACCATGAAGCCGAGGTGGCTGTAGCGTCCAGTCAAACCAAATCCTTCACTCCCTGAAGTCGCTAAATAAAGTGCTGGTATTGGTGGGTAACAGTACCGTATTCAGATGCCAAGATGCCAAAAAATCGAAAATCAAACCACGCTCACTAGACCTAGAATAGGGGTTTGTTTGTATCTGGTAACCTGTCGCAGCATGTTTACCTGGGGGTAAAATTGCTTGTTTGCCTTATTGTGTTGTGCACAAGCGTGATTGATCCATTGCTACTCATCTCTCCACTTTGTAGTGCCATTGATATACACGAACGCTTGAGTCACGATAGTTTGAGGGTCCGTTATTAGCCATCAACTTTTTGAAGACTGTAAGGTTCTGATTATGTTATACTAGAGTTTCAAAGGAGATTTTTTATAATTTCAAAGGGTACTGCCACTAACTGCCAGAGAATGAACACTGCGGAGTGCGGTGCTTAGAGTGGCTGTAGAGAAGGTGTGAGTGGCGTAGATCTCCTACTAATTTAGTTCAGTAGTGCTTAGATTATAGGCAAAGAGAGGCTACGGGTATTCCATAAGGTTAAGTGGATGGCGTCACAGAAAGTGCTGTGTAGTAGCTGGTAGGCCCCACTCACGGCAAGCTCAGTGAGAGGCGTAGAGAAAGACCATACTTGCGGTACTGTCTCAGGGACTTTCGCTATTGTTCCCTAGAAAATGTAAACCAGGAGCTAATAAATCACAGGTAAACTTAGGATGGTGCCCAGCATGCTTAGCAAATCATCAGTAGTGTTCCAGCCCACTGAGTAGATCAGTGACCAAAAGCGGCGAGGGTCTGAGCACTAAAACGGAAAGTAAAATTCCAGTCGTGGCATAGGAAATTCGGTACGTAGGTAGTCGGTAGAGCTAGTTCTAGTCTCACGCATGAAGGCCCCGGCAATAACGATTACTAACGGATGTCTATCTAGACGACTAGCAAGAGTAAGGGTATCTATTAATATTAGTGTTATCACTAGGATTTATGTATTAGAGAACATAGTACCTAGATTGCTCTTAAGTCCGCCAACAGTATCTCTAGCTGATAAACGAGTGCTCTGCAAGAGTAGTTGTATAGCATCCTTAGAGTCTAGTCTGTTGAGCTGAAAAGACTTCCCTAGCTCAGTCAACCCTTGGAGCCGAGATATAAGAAGAATAGAGCTATACTCGGAAGTAGGGAAGAATTCCGGGATATCATATACATCACTAGTAGTGCTATTATCGGGGAGGTATTGATTGATGTTGTCGACATGAGTGGGTGCATAAGCCCATGCTATCGAACTTGACAGAATGCGACGGAACGTACCGATCTTCAACGATTGACATCAACGGATTGTACACATGACGAAAGAGCTTCAACACTCTACATTTCTCCTGATTTCTATGAGATTCTAGTCTGACGTATTGCCTCGATTTCATAAAGATTATAAATACTGCCTGTTTTCCATAGCTAGTTGAATCAAGTTTAATGATTGTGATGAAGTTGGAGCATTCTTCTATCATAAGTTAACTTCCGATTCTGAGCCGAATCGTACGACGACCTGACCTATACGATTCTTCGCCAATCGTATACTGATTTGACTAACCGTGCACACTTGCTTGCTTGTGCACGCAGAAGGATTTATGCCGACCCTGTAAATCCGACATGAAGTTATATGATAGGCCTAGTAGTAGAGATAGAAGAGAAGAAGGAAAGGATGCGTGTATGTGAGAAGGAGATGGGTGGTTGAATTGGTAATTGTAAGGTATGAAAGGCTTGGCAAAAGTCAGGCAGAAATCAGGCCAAATATCGTGCCGCCAGAATTTTGATATCGTGCCAGCAGTCGCCCCCTAAAAAAACCTAGCTAACCAATAAAGAGATATTTATTAGGGCTTAGATAGGGCAATACCTTTATCTCGGTAATTAGGCAACCTTACGAGTAGAAGGCTCTTATCCTATTCTGAAAAAGTATATAGGGGTATTAACAGGTGATATACTCTTTGTTTTTGAACGAATTAATAATACATTAGAAGCTTAGTACTATACCCTTTCGTCTGATCTTGCAGAAGATCAGATTAAAACGCTAAACTTTTGCTTATACTTTCTCTATTCAAATATTATAAAGAGAACATTACGATATTCACTTCGCTTAATCTCTGTGTAAGGATATACTCTATAAGTCAGGATAGAGGCCTGTCAATCAGGTAGGAGGAATGGAGCCAAGTCAATAGTGTAGAAAGGTCAAAGACTGTTTCTTGAGGATCACAAAACCTCTTCAACATGGGTCAATTTATATACAGTCTCATCACTCAAACAGGAAGGAGATGTATCCTTGGTAGGGAAATGGGAGCGGGGTGAAACACGAGGCTTGTGTAACCTCTGTCAAGGGTGTTCCCTGCAGGAGTTCGTACACGTACTGATGCCGAAGCCCCAGCGAACCTCCACAGAAAGCCTGACGGCTTATCAGAGCCTGATGCACCAGCACATGGGGAAGGCCTGCCGGCTTATCAGGCCCGGGAAGCCTGAGGCACCAACACTTGGGAATAACCTCATGCCAGGATATATTATAACACTCTGAGTAAGCTAGTATAGCTAAAAGAGCTACTCTAGAAGCCTCTTTATCTAATTGTACTAATATATTCTCTAGGATAATAGGCCTTCTGTGTACCTACCGACTCGCTAGCTTATTATTAACATAGCAGCTAATTCCACTAAGCGATATTTATTTATTTTTAGAGGATAGGCCTAGTTATAAGTAATCAGAGTATCTGCTAATACTTAATCCTCTTATACCACCGCTACTATCAAGGAAATTAAATCAGAATATATTATATTAAAGTAACAAAACATCAGACGAAAGGGTTATCAAAAAGAAAGGGCCATTAAAGTGCTTAAATTGTGGAGAAATTGGCCATACAATCCGTTCCTGCAGGGTATAATAGGCTATATAAATAATATATAATAAAATAGATAAAGAATGAAGTGAAAGATAGATCGAATAGAAGAAAGAGAAGCTCTTATAGTACCGCGTGTCTGCCATTTTGCGTACAATATAGATTTATTATAAATTTCTCCACTATCGTCAAAATTGAACTGCATTAGTCTAAAAATAACATTGGATCAGAACTTCCAGATTCCGGATTTGTTTGCCTGGGACCCAGTCCGAAGAGTGTGAGGACAAACTGTATTCTAAATATACTGTATGATAAATGCATATCCTTCTCTAACATTCTATACGGTGTCAGCATACCCTTCGTTGTGATGACGGCGGACGTACTGTGCTACGTACAGGATGAAACGGGCGGGAGAGCATCGAGAAGACAGCCGATCTTTCGAGAGCGCCGGATCTACCACAGACTATTAACTGCGGCAGAGAGATATAGTGGCTAATACCCTGAGAGCGGAGGGTATCAATTGAATTCAGAAGATCTAGTTGCTCTTTAGTGCATAGATCCTTTAGGGTCGCGGTATGGAAGTTTCGCAGGGCCATTTGGGAGATTCGTAATAACGTGAAACCAGGACGTCCTGTGGAAGAAACTGAGTTAGGCAAAGGATAAGGTCGAAGAAGTACTATTTATATATTACTCAAAGTGATCTATTCAATCATTGGAGCACATGAGTAGTCGACCCCTGAAGGCAAGGGCTTAGGTATTCCGCGCAAAGACTTCCCGACAATTCCGTGAAGCCAGATAGAATGTATGAGCAGTCGAGGAGTATAGGCCGTTCGACTCGCGGGAAAGGCAAATGCCGGGCCTACTCAACCCAGGAGAACAACTTGCTGGTGAAACTAAAGGAGCAAGAAAATTGAAATGGGAAGATATCGCGGGCTATTTTCCTGGTGCACTTCATCTGCACTGCAGATGCATTACTCTACCAAACTGAGATACCGCAAGGCCAAAAATGCTTCCTTCAGCGGTAATGGAAGGGCTCGCGTCAATGACAATTCACACTGGCCCGCTAACCCTAGCTATATAGACAGCAAACGGAGGCATATCTGTAGCAACAGTACTTGGCCCTCTAAATGGTTTCCTTTAATACAGGGGATTGTCAGATGCAATAGTGCCGCCAGTAGAAAGCAGCCAGTCTTGATCGTTGCCAGGTTTCGAACAATCACACATGGCTGGAATTTCGTATTGATCCAGCTATAGTACACAGTCAATAATAGAACGTGAAATGTAGGAAAGGGGGCCACAGTGGCTTACCTGTGATCGAAGCAGTTGGATTCCTGATTTGCAGCAATCTGCCGCTAGACTGGGGGCATCCAAGAAATTTCTGGCCGGTGTCCACCCATTTGTCAGAACTGCACCCTTTGGATTCGATGTGATGTAGGCACCAGCCGCTGGGGTATTGGCAGAGATAGTTTTAACGAGACTATTAAGAGCTTTATCCATGAGAGATTTTGTCCAGCCTTGATAACGGGAGGGGTAGGTTGTGCATGTAATAGTATACGTATTGCCATTGCAATTGCAGGTGGCCACTGCATCACTCCTTCTGTAGGTCAAACCACCACATGAGATCGCCCGTGGAATGAGATCTCTCTCATTAAGCTTCTCTACCATAGTATCAGGGTTAACAAAGCCAAGGTCACCGAGACGTACGGCCTTCGCCATATCTTCCACAGTCCCGTTGTAACTTGTGTCTCCCTGGCCAATATGGAACAGTGGTAATGGATTATAAACGGATCCGTCATATTTTGGCGTGGAATTGCCCAGGTCTCGTCCGGAGAGTGATGAAAGATGTTTCGCAAAGGAGAATTGCACGCTGAATGTTTGTCCATTCACAGTTGAACTCCACACTGATATGCCGCCAGTGATATGCTCATCTTGATCCCATTCATGGAGCACCTCTAGGAAGGAGGAAGACCAGTCTCCGTACCCGTCACAAAGCGAAGCCCCCGAAGGGCCGAAGACAGCAGCCTGTAGTGCGGCCGTTTCGCCACTTGATCGCGACCAGGAACGCTGAAGCAGACCTCCAGTGGGCACACAAAGTGCAGTACCGGGGTCTACTTCGTTGAACTGAACGATGATGGCTAGCAAGTCATAAATGTTCAAGGAGTCACCCGAAATTGCAGATTGAGGGATGATATCCTGGGGGATTGGACTTGGAATTGCTATTTGAATTCCGTCGTAAGCATATTACCTCAAGACTAGCTAGTAGAGTGTAGGGAAGGGGCAAAGAAAAAAGTAGACGAGAGAGGCACCTACCATAACTAAGGCCACCAAGACTCAGGAGTAGGATCCCCGTGTTAACGAGGAATTGATTTGGGAGCATTTTTCGCCTCAAATAATGGATCAAATGGCAAGAGCCAGATCGAATGCTGAGAATATATTATCAATGAAAAAAAGCGCCTGCTCTATGAACTGCGCTTAATTTCAACGGCTGGGTTTTTGAAAGTACGAATAAAAACTGGAACAAGACGGGGATTTATATCCTAATATTTTCAGGCAAAGCCGTAACTTCAACAGCGACGTTACGAAGTTTAGGATAATTTGAAGAAGTGGGGCTCCTCAGCCGGCTCTATCTTGAAGGTCAGCTTCTTCCTCACGTCAGCTTTCTCACTAATGGTCTATTAGGGCCGAATCGAATTGATTAATACAGGCTACGAAACTTCTTGTGGGTAATCGCCGCCCCACACCATGCCGAATTCGGTCCGAATCAAATTGCTTGTTGCATTTATGTTGTCTTCTAAGTAAGAACGGTAATCATCGCAACCATACTATACTAGATTCGACATTTGGACTCTTGAAAGCTGAACTACGAGTACTTCTTTCACTGAATTTGAGGATCTACTCCTTCCTGAACAAGGAACTCCCGTTTTCAGCTGAGATGGAAAAAATCTCAACTCCGTGGGTCTCTAGATTTTATAGCCGAGATGTTCTTCTCATTGTACGAAACAAGGTCCAGATATCGAAACCAAGCAACCAAGTGGAAAATATGTCACTCCCACCGAATGATTTTGTTCAACTGGCCCTTTGCATAACCTCACGACCAATTCATGGTCCTAAAGCTATTCTGGCCGTGTAGGCGGGATGGGTACAAGTTAAGAAAGTCTTGGCAGTTGGGGGTGGAAGCATGATTTTTCTTGCACCCCCACCCCTCTAAGTACCCGAAATCTTGATAATTTTTTGATCTGATCTTTTGGATCTTTTCATCTGTTGCCTAGATCTATCTAAATGCCGCGTGATATTCAGGATTATCACGTGGAAGGCCCTGACCCTAAAGGGTTGGGGTAAGCCTGAAGGATTTTTGATGGGGGATGCCAAGGCCAGAGCCGACGGGTAGGCTATACCCGATTCGGCCAACTATATAGCTGGGGCTGCTAAGCCTATTTTAGTAGCCTTAGCTATCAGGCCTCGAACGCAGCGATTAGCCAGTCGCTAGCTGACGTAAGCGATTCATAGCTGATCGGATCAGAGCGCTCAGAGGCGTGCTCAGTTCTACTCAGTAAGCAAAAGCGGCGAAGGGCTAAGCACTAAAACGGAAGGGGAAAGCCAAGACGTGGCATAGGAAATCCGGTACGTAGGGATCCTGAGGAACATATCTAATTTCTCGTTCTCCTAATATTTACTGACGTTATGAGCGACTAGAACCTTCGTAAGAAAGACAAGACTCATAATTTGATTTTGGTAATAAAAAACATGCTTTGAAAATGTATAAGTCCGCGCCGCCCTTTATTGTCGTAGGCACCACCTGACATGAATTGCTTCCGGCTGCTCTATATGCAATGTAAGAAGAGATCGGCTGTTTTGCAATACGCCCAGGGCCTCCACCTGAGCATCTTTAAGACTCACTCCCGGCCTTGGTTCAATCTGTACCGAAGCCTGGCGCAGTAAAGTGACAAGAACTGCAAATATCTCAAGTTGAGAGAATCTTCTTCCTGGACATGCACGCGGACCTTCGGCCCATGCGAAAAGATGGTCGACTTTATCACTGTCAATATTCTCATTACCTAACCATCGGTCTGGCCTCCACGAAAGAGCATCTGTGCCCCAGTAACCTGGATGTGTGTGTAATGCTGGCGTATGAATATTGACCAGAGTATTTCCCGGGATTGAAATCGCTGATCCGTCACAGCTTGTAATGATCTGGTCTTGATCTTGGGATGCCCTTCGGAGAATATTAACAACGGGGCCATAGAGTCGGAGTGTTTCGTACTGGAAGTTCAGTCAGCCTGTTTCATGGATTGAGGATGACTGGAAATGTGTTACCATAATTGCCTTTACCCGAGTCAACCGATTAAATATACTCTGGTAGGTGATTCCATCCTCCAACGGCATACCAGAGAATATTTCGTCAATCTCGTGGATGGCCCAGGTCTGCCAGTCTGGGAAAATTGCCAGAAGGTAGATAATGTAGACGAGCGTATTGGCGGTGGTCTCATGGCCGGCGAACATGAAAAGAAACAGATTCCCTTCTATCTCCTCGTCAGATAGAATTTGCGCATCGTATGAGCTTAGCATAGAGGAAAGAAGATCTGTCTTTGATGACGGGTAGCGTCTTCGATAATTCACCAAGCTTTGTATGAATGACTTCATTCCTTGGTGACTTGCATAAAAGGAGGCAAGTGACTTTTTGCCGCCTTTTTGGATATCAGGAATCCTCGTAATCATATTGAAAAACGTTTCCAGATGCACTTTTGCTGCATGGGTGATTGGACTGCCCGTGTCTGTGCTGTCATTGTCGTTGTCCATCCCAAGACACGCCTTGAGAAGAACTGCAAAGCTTAGTCGTATCATGGTAGGATGGGTGCTAGAGACAAAGTCTTGTGACATGAAGTATCTCAATGCTTCGGATGCCTCAGAGCACGATGTCTTCCAAACTGCTTCATGTATCGTCTCCGAGAATGCTACGGTGGTACATCGGCTATGACGGCTCCAGTCGGTACCATCGACCTATTCAAATATACCGATTAGTAGACATTCAAGAGAGGAATACATAATTGAATCCTGGGCAGCAAGGCAATTTAGAGAATATCATACAGTAGCCAAGCTTTTCCCAAATATTTGAAGCTTTCCTGGAACATTTGTTAGCACCATGAGATAACAGACAAGGTTCAACGTTCGGCCTACTTGTCAAATCAAGGGGCTTAGGGAAGTCTTTCTTCCGCGTAAGAATCTGTTTGGCGGCCATTGAATCGGCAATGAATAGTTCACAGCTCGCTGGAGTGACGATTGCAAACACATCACCATAGTCTTCGAAGATGGCATATTTTTCCAGAAATGGCCAATTCAGCTGTAGAATTCGAAGAAAGGGGAAGATCTTCCGCCAAGACAAAAGTATTTTAGCTTTGAATAGAGTCCGAAAGCGCATCCACATTCGTCCACGGCGTGGTATAGGACAGACGATCACTGGGACTTTTAGTCTTTGAGCGATGGACCAGTTGCGATAAAGAGGAAGTCCTAGGGTGCCGACCCCCCAGGCAGCAACGATTAGTACCAGTAAAAATATGAACATTGCTGCGAGTGAGGGGAAATTGAGAAATTATAAAAATTACACTGACTCCCAGCGGCAACAATAAATAAAGAGGGGGCTGTAAAGACAGGGCTAATGTCAATATCGTACTAGATCCATCGAGTACCGGGCCGACTGACGACCCACATTAGCCAGCCAGGTTTTCAATCCTCAAACTCTAAAGGCCTGAAAGTGGGGCTCGCGTTCGTATTCGTGATTTTATCTGCATCTGGATCTGCTTGTTGCCGCAGGGCCCCAACATCATCCATCTTACTTATGGCTCGGTCCCCGTCGGCAGTCTCGAATATTACCCCCTAGGCCGAATCTTCGTTTATCTGACACGAGTACGAACACTAAGTGCACAGCCCTACTCCTTCTCCTGAAGGATTACCGCGAGATATGGCCACGCGCCGCTCCCATCAAAAATCACGTCATGGATGCAGCAATTGCAAGCGAAGGAGAGTGAAAGTATGCAACCATGTGCCTTTACTGGACAAAAACCAATTGAATTGTATTTTTCATGCTAATGATTCCGTCAGTGTGACGAGAAGCGGCCATATTGCCAAAACTGCACTCAGCGCAATGACAAATGCGTCTATATCGCACCAGGGCCTTTCGTTTTCGCGGGTGAACCGGAGAGGTCGGCGAGATCATCAGCAAAGACTCCGAGTAGTGCAATATCCTCAACCGAGGCAGGCAACTCCCTCAACAGCTATGCTCCCGCCTTGGAGGCGACAACTGGGGCACCTCCACTGAATTTAGAGCACATGGAATTGGAGCTCCAATGGATTTTGCATACACACAAGATTTTTGCAAGGAATGAAGAAACAAGAAAAGTATGGGAAATACCAGTGCTTCAAGAGGCACTTCATACGCCGTTCCTAATGCACGGAATCATGGCCATTTCCGCCTTGCACCTTGCTCATCTTCGGCAGAATGAGCGCCAAGTAGAGTGGCTCAATATTGCGATCGCGCATAAGAGCACGGCGCTGGCTATCTTTTCAGAACAACTTCATAACATCGACAAGTCTAATGCAAGAGCAATGATGAGTTTCGCCGGGATCGCAGTCGTTTTCAGCTTTGCAAGTGCACTTTATTGCTCCGACTCTGATGACGGACCTAGCCTGAATGCCTTGGTCGATCTCTTGATGCTGGCTCGCGGAGTACAGACTGTTGGGAGCCAAGCAATGGAGTTCCTTCGACACAGCAATTTTGCACCTCTATTCAATATTACTGAACCCGGGGCGACCATCCCCGATGATGTCCTTTCGGCTCTCGATCATCTTGATGATCTAAACGCTCAGTATGGTCAGAAATCAGGGAATCATCATCCGAAGTCCTACGAGCGTGCCATTCAGACGATGAGAGAACTGGCTCCTTTTACCTTTGCAGAGCCGACGTCACTGACAGTAGTGGGCGGGTGGGCTATTCGAGCTTCCCCAGAGTTTTTGGAAGGACTCAAGAACCGTGAACCATTTGCTTTGGTGGTGCTTGCGCACTTTTGTGTATTTCTGCATATCATTCGAGAGAACTGGTGTATTGGACCGTGGGGCCGGCTTATTCTAGGCGAAATAGTGCAGATCTTGGATTCCGACTGGCAACGTCATATAAAATGGGCAGTGGTGCAAGTTTTGAGATAATGACTTATGTGACCAGCGATGAGATTTCAATGTATTTGATTATATATCCGCGAAAAATCCAGATGCATAGTTGTTCAACAATAATAGACCATAAAATCATCATGTAACCTCCCCAACATAGCAACTATTCATGCAATCTCCTGCCCTCAAACTTCTCCCGACCGGCCCATCTCTAGAGCAGAGGCTGGAACAAACTCGCGTGTCCAAATAACCTTCTCTGAGTACTTCTGACCGCGACCAATCAAGCAGTTGATCTCACTGGGGTGCTCATACTGAAGAACCAGCACAGTAATGAACATGAGAAGGGCGTCGAAGACGTAGAGGAAAACCTCGTGCTTCATCAGATATCCATCATAACCTTGCAGGTATTCCACCACACGAATAACTGATCGAATAAGAATGAGAATGCTGGCTGTGTAGAGCGCGATCATGTGGCGGTTCCAGAGACCCTTCAACTCGATCGAGCGGGTAGTTGGGGCCTTGGCGATGCGATATTGGAAGACAATGGCACTGATTGTGAAAAGACCGAAGAAGATGATTTGCACGAAGAGACCGCCGATAATAATGTGTTCACCAGTAGATGGATTAGAGCCTTGGACCATAAGTCCCGCGCCTTGAATTCAGTTAGTTTGGATGTTTCCGTAAATACCTCTGATTGCTGCAATAAAATGACATACCTGATGCCTGCATCAGGAAAGATAGCACATCGCCGGCGACGAATGTCTTGGTGAGCCAGCCTACTCGGATGATGGAGAGCTTCTCCGCTTCAAGCATATAAATAATGCGTCCGAGGGTCATGTAGATACTCGCAGCAAGGAAAGCCGGCGCAATCAGGATCAATGCGCTTTGCATGATATAAGGCCCCTTTGTGAAGTCCGGTGCCTCAAAGGATGCAAGCAGACGTCCAATATAGCCAATAGTTTCCACTAGCAAGAGAAGTCTCGATCAGCATTGTCTCCTGAAGTGAAGCAATATGTTCTGGATTTACAGATTGCGCCAACCAAGAAGGGAATCATGAACCATGTCCTTGTCCGTACGAGCTGATAGAAATGCAAAAGACTGCTCAGCCCGAATAGGACAGTGAAGATGACTGCCGCCGCAGTAGACGGGGTATAGTAGTAGAAAATGAACTCCATTGCTGCCGTGTTTCTTTCTTTTCTCTGTGCTGCTATGTGTTGTGAGATTGAAGATTGACAACCAGAACGATCTATCAGGAGTCTTTATATCTCACGATCAAGCGGAAGGCCACCGAGAAACCCAAAAAACTTCTACCAGCCTCCAAATTCTAATTCATGGGCATCTAAATTAGGGGTGCGTATATCCCTTTCCCTTAAGCTTATTTTTGCCTCGTAATCGTTCCGCACTCCGTTGCAGGAAGGCTGAAGTGGGGCGTCGGGTGTTCGCCACTATTTTTGCGACGGTTTGTTCGTGTTCGTGATTTTGTCCAATTTAGGTGGGATGAATGGGTTTCTCAACCAACACTATTTGAAAATTTATCCGCGACTAGGGTCCTTCGAATTTGGCTGGACCTAGTTCCAGAGGGGCAATTTTATGTCCTACTAATGGATCCTATAGAAACCACGATGCCCACCTACCATCCAATCAAATATCTCAACAAGTAAGGCCTGGGAGTGAACCGAGACAGTAGTCTGATCGATAGTCTCAGACCTTCATTATTATTCGTATATCATGCCCTTTCTAGATATTTGGGAAAAGCTGTTTTATCAATGGTAGCCGTCATATTTAAACACAGTGAACCTAGAAACCTTCAATGCTTTTGCCACAACATTCATTCTTCGCCTTTGTATCTGTTTTCCATTCTCTTTTTTATCTCCTTCCAAAGTATGGCTTACAAACTTTACAATTACAACCCTTCCGGCGGTGCGGCCATTCCGGTTGCTGCCCTTTTCGGGCTCACAACAGTGATCCATATTGTGCAGATGGTTCGTGCCCGGAGTTGGTTCATGATTCCATTTACGATCGGTGGTGTCTGTAAGTTGGCCTACGATATTTATGAGTGTGCATTTGATTGACCTCTTTACTTCTCTTTTCCAGTCGAGGCAGTCGGCTACTTGTGCAGATACATCAATTCAACCGAAACGCCAGACTGGCAAACCACGCCCTATATTGGACAGAGCCTTCTTATTCTTCTTGCCCCTGCCCTCTTTGCCGCATCTATTTACATGATACTCGGACGACTTATTGTGGCTCTGAATGCGAGTTCCAACTCGATCATCCGGCCGTCATGGTTGACAAAAATCTTCGTGATCGGAGACGTCCTTTCCTTTCTCATGCAATGTGGAGGTATGATCTGGTTTCGCTATCTGAATGAAATCCATTGAGCAGTCGCTGATGATATTCCTAACAGGAGGAGGATACCTTGCCAGCGCGAAGACTCAGGACAGTGTGGACATGGGCGAGTATATGATTCTCGGGGGCCTCTTCGTCCAAATATTCTTCTTCGGATTCTTTATTATTTTTTCGGTCATTTTCCATCGCCGAATGCTTGCGTCTCCCATGAACTACGTGGGAGGAAGCCAAATCCCCTGGGTGCGGTGTATGAAGGTCTTGTATACTGTCAGTTGTCTGATCATGATCCGCTCAATCTATCGAGTGATTGAATACGCGCAGGGAAGCGGTGGCTCTCTGCAAAGCAAGGAAGCATTTGTCTATGTCTTTGATGCCGCTTTAATGCTTGCTTGCTGCATTGTTTTCGTTATTTCACATCCTAGTAAGATGCTGGGTGAACAGGGGTATCAAAAGCCTGAAGAACTTGAGATGCTGGCCACTCATTATGGGAGGTAGCCATCCAGATTTGAGCTAGGAAGTTATTAAGTAGAATGCTCGTTTTGCCTCTTGGTACATGTACCAGATCTTCAGAACTGCAACAATCGAAGGAAATAGGCCGATTTTCCGGCAGTTCAATGAAATAGCTGATAATCCCACATGTTTGAAATTTCTGTAGAGTGGCCTCGCCACGTTGGGATAATGATACGAATACGAGTTTCCTGTCCTACAACAACAGCAGTGAGGACCTGACGAGTCTGAGCGTGCCGCAAATACTGCCGGTGCCTATGAGATACGGTGCCATAATAGGAAAAAAATACGGAGCTAGCAGATTTATTCTTCTTCAACTGGCGCAGACCAGGCAGCTAGATATAGCTATTTAGATGCTTAAATACCCATCTATATCATGATATCTCATTCCTTTGATCAACAATTCGCTCCATTGCTCACAAACGCAACTCAAAATGAAGTTCCCCATCCAGCCGACACCAAGAAGCAAGCTACGACTGGACATAGGAATGTGCTTTCTCCTAGCTCTGGTATTCATCCTCATCATCGCTCGGGTAGCCAACAAAGGCACGCCCTCAACAAGAACTAATACATGGGGAATTGCAGTAGTAAGCCGAATATCGCAAAACATTTGCAAATATTCAACTAACACCGCATTCTCCAATAGTGTTTGAAATCTGCAGTCTCACTAGCATATCAAATGGTCACAGGGCACGTTGATCGTTTTAAAAGATGGGGAAGCACCAAAGTCAACAAGATTCTCACCATTATCGATACGGTATTCTGGTTTGCACTATTTATCATCTCTATTTTGGGGACTTCGGCATCACATAGTACGAGCAGTCGGGCTTTGGGTGTTATTATCATCATGCTGGCATTGGTTTTATGGTAAGCGACCTTCTCTTACGCTGGGCAGAAGACTCAGAGCTGATTCAATCCTCCTCAGTGCCTTGGATTGCATCCAGAGCTATATTTGCATTCGTATTCGGAGGTACTATAAGCAATATGGTTTTCTTCCAGAAGAGGGGGCGATGAAGAACTCGGGTGCTGTCTAGATCTATCTTGTGCAGTTGTCGGATCCAAGCATTTTACATACGCTAGACGCTGTTCGTTTCATTCTGTGATGGTTCATGTGTGATAAGAATGTGGGTATCTACCTGGCCTGTCAGGCATTACATGTTTATTGTCCTCATGATTCTCTCTTTCTTTACTTTCTCATGCCCGGATACTATTGCATTGCTATTACGCTGTTATTTTTCATAACTGAGCTGAATTTTTATTTGACTGAAACTCTAAACTTCTCAACCTTATCTCAGGGAACGAATAAGATTTCTTATATATAAAGACAGTCGGCTCTAGACCCTTTAGGTTGATTCCCCCCAATTTTCCCATCCTTCTCAGAAGAGATCATCAACAAGCGGGCTCAACCCCTGCGCAGTCCCAATTTTATCCTCAAACACAAACCGCAACTGCTCAACAGCATCCCGATCCTCCATAAACTGATGGAAAGTCACATAATCCGTATTATCCGCATCCCAAATAGTACTATTCCCAACATCCTTCCTCACAGATGGCTCACCCCTGCTTACCTGGAACTCCTCCGAGATCAAAAATGCCTGGAGGAGCTTCGCAGTCTCGGGAAGCTTGGTGTCCTTGAAGATAGCGCTTGTTTGGGTCCAGCTCATATATCTGTCCGAGACGGGTGACACACTGGTCCAACCCTCGGCGGGAGGGTAGGTAGTGAAGGAGATCGTTCTGCTTGAATTGCGCAGCATTATTTCTGCGGGTGTTGCGGTTCCGCGGACCCATTGGACGTCTTGTTCGAGGAGTTGGTCTAGCCATTGCCAGCCGTATTGTTGGATGATGAGTTTGAAGAGGTATAGGACGGCGTCGTCGTCGTTGGGATAGGTTAGGACGATTTTTCCTTTCCATTTTGGATCTAGAATGTCTCCGTAGGACTTGGGTATGTCTGCTGTGGGAATGGCTGAGGAATTGAAGACGAATGGTCCAAAGCTAGCTATATTTGGGAGGATAAGTCAGTTTCATGTCTTGTCGGAGTAAGAAAGGCGATGGGAAGTAAAGAAGTACCTGCAAACACCGGAATATAAGCGCCATTTGCATTGGTCAAGCTGGGCCAAACATTATCAAATGAGGGTGGCTTGTAATGCAACAAAACCCCCTTCTCCTCCCAGGCATCATAATCATGCAGCGTCTGAAGAATAGCCATATCGGCATACAACTCGTTTTGCAGGAAGGCTTGATTGATTCGGCCATCGAGATACTTGGAAAGATCAACAGTATGGTTCACCTTGACGTTGGGGAACTTCGCAGAGAATGCCTCAAATAATGCATCAGCCTGGTCTCGTTCTGCGGATTTGGATGTCAGTACTAGTTCAATCCGTCTATTAACATATATGTGTACCATCTCCTCCATGAACTACCCGAAGAACGCCATTCTCCTTCTGCGCGGCCGCGTAAATGTCGGACAGGCTTCTGGAATCAATAGGGACAGGAGAGAGAGCCGCAGCTAGAACGCTGGGCATGAATGCCAAAGCTTTGAGGACCCTCATGGTCATGATTTGCGAGTTAAATGATGTATTGATTTGAATATTTGTTAAATTGATGCTTGGGTGAACCTGGTGAATTTGGATTTAAGTTATGACCTGCTTACATTTATACTCCTTGTCCAGATAGGCAACCAGACTGGTATGGAAGCCCAGACTCCCCTGCCATGCGTCACAAACATCTAGGGAATAAGTGCGGTACTTTTCCGTCTTTCGATATGCGCTGACACAACTGTGGAGTTTAGACCGAAGCTGACAAACTAGAAATGTTTTTAATCTAAAGTTGTGGTGGATCATGATCCCCGTTCCACGATAGCCTTTTAGGGATGGTATCTTGGCGCAGATCGTAATACGTCTAGACTCTTGTGGCGCCTGGCGGGATTTTCTTCACGGCGGGATAGAGTAGATACATATTTCTAGCCTACATTTCCCATCAAGCTATCGGGCCTTAGAGGTTCTACTCAGAGGAATGATAGTTCTCCTAGCTAAATAGCCCTCTAGGAATTAAGGTTGCCATGAAACAAGCAGGATCATCATGACTAAAGCCAAGCACTGGAATAAATGGGCAGGGGAAGGGCCGCACGTCTAACAAACGGAATTGCGATATTAAACTCATGTATTTTGTAGTTCCAGCAATAAACGGAGACCCTGAAGATTCCGGGAGTCCGGTCGAGTCGAGGCTGTACTGAGACACGCCATGCCGAAGAGGTCCGGTTGGGTAGATAGAAGCTCAGCCCCAAAACTTGGCATCCTTCAACTTTCGACCACATCGGACTATGTAAAAGATGCTAAAGGGTATTGGTGGGAGAGAGCAGCCACTGTAGACATTAACTTTGATCAGATAAAGGAAGATTTTGATCAGGAAAATTCTTACTATGTGGTGTATACGGGTCCGATGACGATTTTGCCTGTGGAATGTGGAGTACCATTAACTAAATCACGCTACCTAATTAGATCAAAGTCTCAAATTGAGCTGCTAAAAGTAAATTTCATCTCTGCCTGCTTGGCTGAATAATTGATTCGTGTAGAAAGCGGCTCAGTACCGAGTACCTATTGCGTGATCAAGCAAGCTTGATGCGGCATTAAACTTGCAATAACTAGAGTCGACACAGATAACCTAATGAAACAACTAGATTATCAATATCGATATCGCTCTTTATTAACATCCGAGAGAGGAAACCAAACCATCTAAGACCCCAGTCAATATACCAGACCCGAAATGTATGACACAGTCTAAAGTTGTAACACAGAAACGGAATGAGAAAAAAGATCCCGGTAAACGCCACGGCCAGATGATGAAAAAAAAGTAATGCAGAAGATGTCCCCAAGCAAAATATTATGACCAGGCCCAACTCCAAATATCTCAAATCTCAAGAAAAAGAAGAATCCCGAGCCCAAGTCCCAATGATAAGTCTAGAGTGGAGAGGAGAGGGTGATGACAATCCCAGGAAAGAAAGAAAAGTACAACGAGAAACCATGTAGTCATCAGGTCATGAATCCCCGACAACCGCATGGGGCTGAGCTCAGTCGGATGTCTCGTATTGCGTCACCGAATGCCATGACATGCCATCAGTCGATCTTCTTCTCAAGCCGCTCCATGAGAGTAGCTCTCATCCGGACATTGACAACACCACCAACACCATAAGCAGGCACAATCTTGCCCATACGAGCAAAACTGCTGGAGACGTAGTCTCTCCGGATACGCGTCACTCGCTCGGTCCAACGCATACCACCTGGCGGCTGTCTGTTATACAAGTCCAAACCGAGCAGGTGCATCGGCGTACTGAAGAATTGCATAAGAGCCGGACAAGCGAATTGCGCCGTAGCAGCCTTCATACCAGGCGTAGACGCGACAAAGTCCGGTATTGAAGGTGCGATCAGAGCGGGAACATTAAACGAGGCGAAAATAGTGACGCTATCGCGAAGACAGAAGAGTCCATATGAGACTTTGGGAATGGTAGGTGCGGCGACGGGTTGCGATAGCGTTGGCGGGCGGAGTGATGTGCGTGGAATTGAAGGGGTAGAGGATGCTTGTAATTGTGTCGAGGCTTGTGTCGGGGGAGGTGAGGCGCCGAAGATCTTTGCGAAGCGCGCGTCCTTGTATACACAGATGGCCATGTTGACGGCTGTCGTGGAGATAAACTTAGCCGGGCCGGGAGTCACGGTTGAGTAGGACTGGTTGCGGAGGGTGGAGGTGACGGTGTCGATTGCATTTGCGGTGAGATATGTTGAGGTGTATAGTGTGTATATGAGGATGAAAGGTGTGCTGAAGAAAAAGCCGCTTGGTTTGGCAATCATGGACTTGAGGCAGTTTGTGATTGTTTGGCGAATAGGGAAGCCTTTGGAGGCTTTTTCGATGATGGCACTGGAAATTTTCAAAAGACCTCGTTAGCGCTCAAAATCTTGGATGGTATCTAAGGCTATTTTCGCGTCGTCATAAAAAAATCTCACCGATCAATGATCGTAATCAGCGGACATGTCAGCGCGCCAGCAGAAGCTGCGCTGACAACGTCGACGCCGAGTCGCAAGCCCAAATCCTGGGTATTCCATGCTGGCGCTACCACAGGAGCTGGAACTACCTTTGGGCTTGCTGTTGGCGGTGTCGGGCGCGCAACAGGACGTTCTGAGACCGTGGCCATGGCAAAAGAAGCATCCTGCGCGACTGCATCGCGAGTCATACTCATACGGAGACTGCGGGATCGGAGAGTGACGGAGATACCGAGGCGTGGCGCATGAAATAAACACAGCAATGTACAAACGCAACAGAAACCGCAGAAAGAAAAGAAAAATAAAGCACCAAGCCGAATGAAAAAGGATCAATTACAAATGGGACTCGCGATGTAATCTTAAGGCCGGACAGATGAGCTGCAGCGGACGAGAATGGCCCGGGCGTCTCTCCGATGCCGGCCCCGTGCCGGGCCCGATCACTTGGTTGGTTCGGATAAACGCTCAACGCGAACTACAGAAGTGTATGGTAGAACCCAAATCTTCTGTATTTTGAGAATTGGACATTCAGACTTGCAACTAGAATGAGGAGACTCAAAAATGGTAAAGAATATGCTCGTGATATTTTATTAACCCCAGAAAACGCCTTATTCACAATGATATGATCCCAGAACCCAACCCAGATGAAAGAAAACTACGAGGACTCAGCTTGAGCTGCGTGAATGCCATCCAATGTGACATTGACAGCGCCTGCTTCCACAAGCTGTGAGGAAAAACAATGTTAGTCTGTGTTCTTTCTCGTTCTATTGTGCTATTCACACCATCACATCCAGGGAAATCACTTACTGCTCGTTGCAGATCCTCGATCAAATCATCAACATCCTCAATGCCGACACACAGACGAATCAAATCCTCTGGCATAGCGCGTTCCGCCCGCGTCTTCGCGTCAATGCTAGCATGGCTCATACGGCAGGGCATACTGATCAGACTGTTGACACAGCCAAAGCTGACACTAATAGCCCAAATCTTGGCACTCTCAACAATGCGCTCGCTGACGTTGACATCACCCGTCTCGAATGAGAGAACCGCTCCAGCGCCCCGCGCCATCGAGTTGTGCAGCTCGTACTGCGGGTGCGACCGGAGACCAGGGTAGCGCACCTTGAAGCCGTGCGACTCAAGGAACTCGGCGATCCGCTGTGCGTTGCTCTGCTGCTGGTCCATGCGAACCTTCAGCGTCTTCACACCGCGCATCAGCAGCCAGGAGTCGAATGGTGCCAAGCCACAGCCCGATGCGTTAATGGGGAAGTAGAGGCGCTCGCCGAGGGTGAGGTCGTTCACGGCGATCACACCGGCCATCAAATCGTGATGACCAGACAAATACTTGGTGCCACTCTCGTAAACAATATCCGCGCCCAGGTCGAGGGGGTTCAACAAAAGGGGCGACATCATGGTGTTGTCAACGGAAACCAGGCAGTTAGGGTTGGCCTCGTGGGCAGCTGTAGCGATCTGGCCGATATCGACGATCTTAATCAGCGGGTTTGTGGGGGTCTCAAGCAGAACCATGGCGGTCTTCGAGTTCAGCACCTCGAGAACCTTCTCGGGGCTGGTGGTGTCGACGTGGTGCACGATGATGCCACCGTTGGTGGAGAGGAACTTAAGCAGTCGGTGAGATCCGCCATAGAGATCGTCACCGGTCACTACCTCGTCGCCAGGACGGAGGAGACGGGTGATCACGTCCAATGCAGCCATACCAGATGATACGACGAGCGCGCGCTGTGCGGACATGATCTTGGCCAAGTGTCGCTCGAGGTGGGTACGAGTAGGGTTGCCGGAGCGAGTGTAGTCATACTCTCCACCGCCACTGCCGGAGGTCTGCTTAAAGGTAGCGCTCTAATGTCAAGATGAAAGATCAGTACTTGCACTCCCTTCCAATTGAGATGGCCTCGTTCGTGTGATGATCAATGCTCTCCTACCTGATAAATTGGGACACTGCTGGCATTGTACTGATCACTGCCCTCGGTGAAGACCAACTCGGTGGCAATGTTGTACCGACGGCCACCGTGCGGGCTGGAGGGGGCAGGCGAAGGGGGCAGGTCATTGCCCTGCAGATCAACACGAGGGAAAGCCTTCTTCGTAGAGCTTGCTGACCCCGAGGCACCACTGGGTGCTCCGGATCCTGAGGCCGACATCGCTAGAGAGCGGGGCAGAGATAGAAACAAATAAGGTGAGGGGAAGATGCGGGTGTAGATGGATGTGAGGGAGGTTGGACAGTAAGATAACAAAGTGAGAAATGCAGCCTCCCTGGACAATGGATAAGAGAAGGGAAGTAAAGGAGGAATGAGCTGGGAAATGTTAGAAGTCCATTATTCTTTTCCCCCGGACAAAGTCCAATTGCTCAATTGCTATGACTCCGCTCGAGCGGTCCGCTGATTGGCGAATCGTAGGCCCCGGCGATTTCGTCATCCGCTGGTCCCGTGAGGTACAGTGTCACATGATCGGAATGGAAACTGTAGTTAGAGTTGGCTAAGCCATTCTCATTCTATTCAATCAGAATAGAAAACTCCAAGTATTAGAGACGAGACTTGCAGAGCTTGGTATCGCTACCATTTACTCACAAAATATTGGCCAACATCTCGTAAGCAAAGCCGAACTTTGACAGGAACCTAAGTGTAGTGTTACGCATTCCTCCTATCCAAACGGGGTAATCTCCACACGCAAGAGACAATAAACAACAAGCAACAAGTAACAAAGACACTCAAGCGGAGGATCTGCGACGTGATTTTGACTTTCGTCGCTTGTTCCCGCGTTTGCGTGCTCACGGAGCTGGCACCTGATCTCTCAGATCGTGTTGCCTCTGCACTTGCTTGAAGCAAAAGAGTTTCGATGCCTGGGTGCTTCCGCTCTCTCGCGCAATCCAGTGCGGTCTGGTAGAAATGGTCTTTCAGACTAACGTCGGCATCAAACTCCAGAAGAACTTGCACCACATCGAGGTGGCCATGTCGGGCAGCTACCATCAAAGATGTCTTGCCAAAGTTGTCCTTCACATCTATTGACGATGGCCAATACAGGAGGAGTAGCCGCACGATCTTGGCATGGACCTTCCGACTTGCGTGCATCAAAGGCAACATGCCGGAGATATCCGCGAGCCCCAAGTCGATATCGTCATGGTCGAGAAGCAAACGAAAGACATCGTCATGGCCGTGTCTCGCTGCGAGTGAGAGCGACGTGCGGTTTTTGGCGCCCCACTCGTTGACCTTGATATCTTTGTGGGCAAGTAGCATCTTCACCATGCGGCGTGAGCCTTTCTTGGATGCGACACAAAGAGCGGAGGGGTGGACCAGGTTCTGGCATTTGGATCGGTTGCCGGGAAGTTCAGCAGGGAACGGATGATGTTCTCGTGGCCTTTTTGGACGGCCTCGATCAGTGGCCTGATGTCCCGGAAATACGACGTCAAGTTTGGATTTAGGTCTTGCCTGGACAGCAAGCAATCCACCACTTTCTCATGCCCCCTTGCCACTGCTTTGAACAAGGACAGGCCGTCGTGGTTGTTCGTCTGGATCTCGTCGTGTCCCACCAGCCATTGAACGATCTCTTCGTGGCCCTCAGCGGCAGCGCAAGCGAGTGCGTCTCGGCCATGGTTATCTGATTGCAGGTCAATGGACGGGTGGTCAAGGAGGAGCCGCACGAGATCGGCATCGCCATAACGGGAGCACCAGTAGAGTGCCGTGTAACCAGAGATATCCCTTTGGTTAGGGTTCACCTTTTTACCCCGAAGGAACAATCGAACCAGTTTCTTCATCTGGAGACGCGCAGCCACAATGAACGAGCTACCCACGCACACCACACCTTGCTCCGCATCTGCCCCCAATCTGAAGAGAAGACGCGCAATGTCTCCTTGGTGGCCTAAGGTGGCGGCGACCAGGGGTGAGCCAAGGAACTCATCGCACTCGTTAATATCAGCGCCCCCTGCCACCAGTGAACGGACGAGCTGTTCGTCACCAAGTTAGGCACTCAAGGTCAACTTGCTGCGGATAAACTGTGCTCGGAGTGGGTGTGTGAGCAGAATGTCTGCTAGTCGACTGCAGATCCAGGTGGCAGCCTGACAAGATACCGCTAGTTGACATGCCCAGAGCAGATAACTTTGGATCGACCCTCCACAACGAGCAGGAAGACTAGCGGCATCTGGAGGGGTCACAGTGTGTTCCACCTCAGTGGTTCCTTCCGCCAGCACTTTCTGGTACAGCAACCAGACCGCTGTATCGGTCGTCATTGTTGGGGCCACCATCATGAGATGGCTGAGGTCGATCCGTTTGTTTGCGCGATAGGAGATGACCGCATCGAATCTCTCTGGTGGGGAAGATGAGATGTCAGTTTTCATACTGTCAACCTTCACAAATCGGGGTGAAACAGATTTCAACGTGTGAGGATGATGAGGCATCAAGTGAGATGGATGTGTCGGTATAGTGAAGTCTCCAGAGATCGCCTCCAAAGATCCTTACAGCCCACGACGACGACACCATACTTCACGAAACGACGACATCATACTTCCTGCGATCAAATGTCATGAAATGGAGACAACTTACTGCACAACGGTCTTTTCTCAAGCTGGTCACGGCCTTCTTGGCTTTTATCCCAGCCGACGGGGAGGAGCTCATCTACGATGAGGCACAGAACCTCTGTCGGCAACCTCTGGAAGAGGTCCATGATGTGAGCGGGGGGTGGGAGAACGAAGGAGAACGAAGGAGAAGATGTGCAAATCTCGAACGTCGGATTCGAGAGAGTCGAACGGGGATGGGAGGATGTTGGGAGGGAGATGAGGAGAAGAAGCAAGACCGGGAACGATGAAGAAGGCTCAAGAGCAGGGTGGAAGATGCTCAGAGGGGTTCGCAAACAAGACTATCCGAAGACACGTCGCGAAGCCGTGAAGACGCGAAGCCGATATGGTTGTGTCGAGATGCGTGTCTACTCATGACGTTATACCATTTATACCAGGTGCGCAGAAACAGGCAGAAAAAAAGGTCTATATTAACAATATTAGGCGGTCATAGACGGAGTTAAAGTACATAAGATCAATATCAATCACTCATTGCTGAGCATTATTACTCTGGGTTCCGTTGCGACTTGTCAAGCTCTTACTCGGGCTCGACTTTGTAGTCGATTCATGGCCACACTCGGCAGACTCGCCGACAGCCTGTACGACAGCAGAGCCAAGGGCATTGGCAGCATGACCAAAGTCAACTCCACTGACGAACTGCTCACTGAGGAACTCGAGTCCAGCAACAAAAGTGCAAAGAGCACTGGCGATACAGAAATGACTGATAGTCATGCCAATATCCAGCCAGGAGCCTTCGTCGCGCACCATGTAGAAGAAGTTCAAGGTCATTATATCCGAGATGGACATGACGACCATGAACAGTGCACTAGGTGCGACTTCAAGGCGTCGGTTCAGAATACCCAGGTTGGCGCTGATAATGGCGAAGGGGATAAGTATTTGTAGGATCAACAGCGCGCCTTGGGCAAATGGGTCGAAGATGGGGATGAGACGGCGGACACTGTCTAGGGAGAAAGTGGAGATGGAGGCGACATTTCCGGTGCTGAAGAATCCTGACTGGAGAAGGAAGAAGAAAAACAGGGCGACACGGGTATCAGAAAGGGTCAGGGCACGGTAGCTGTATGTCTGTCCATCGACGGTGGTGGTGCTGGTAGGAGCGGGTTTCGATGGAATTGCCGAGTCCTTAGTAGCTGGCTCTTGCGACTGGACTGTTTTCGAGTCTGCGGTGTGAACGTAGATGGCATGTTCGAGACGGACCCATGTTACGAGGGTCATGCAGAACACGAAGTAGAACAGTCCCTCCCACGAAATGGTGAGAATGATGAACGTGGGCGAGAAGGTCAGGAAGATGACCATAAGACGGTGAAGGTAGTTATTGTTGGGGTAGAAACGGTGGAAGAAAGGCAAAGAGAGTGAGGCCACTAACATTGATTAGCTTTGCAAGGTAATTAAAAGACTTGGAAAATACTTACCCAGTACAAACCAGCCCACGACTTGGTTACCAATGGGCAAGCCCTCACGAGCTTGGAGAGAAGCCACGCTCGAGCGAGTCACGATCAATGCAAGAAGAACCATACCAACCTAGATGAGCCTTTATGTGAGCGCATGCCAATGAATCTTGTGGTAAGGAGTCGTACCTGCAAACCCACGATGACTCGTGAGCCAACGGTAGTCAGCTTAAAGCCCTTTGCGACATTGCCGCCGTGCTCGAGGATTGCATCTTCGAACAGAAGATATAGAATGCCGGTCAAAAACATGATGAGGCCACCATACGTGCTGTAGCGAGGTTAGAGCTGGTAGGATCCGGAGGTAACAAATAGAAATAACTCACATAGTGTCAAGGTTCTCCACCTTGAGGACCGGAAGAAGAGTAAAGGTACTCATCAAGGAGCAACCAAGAGCCCATGTTGCAGTGAGGAAAGCGTGGTCACGAATGAATCCAAAGCCGTAAACCACAGGCCAGAGGGCACCCAAGGCAAACCCAACGGTGAAGATCTCACGGTGGAAGTAGGATTGGACCTGCATAGAAAGCGTCAGTCATGTTCGAGGTGCGAATAAAATAATACAAACATACCAGTGCTTCGAGCACGCCAAGGAATGCCAGCGCCTGCAGCCCAAATGTCAGGTACCCGGAGAGCGAGTGAACATGACCGAGGACAATTTGACGGCCGGCAATCAGCGCCTTGCGGCGAGCAAAGACTTCCTCCCAGAAGTAGACGGGGAAGAAAGCGTAGAAGTAATACCGCCACGAGGAACCTTGGTACAGGAAAACGGAGAATAGGGCCACCAAAATTGACGAGAAGAATGAGATGCTAGCGATGGTTCGATGAGAGTCGGTAGTTCCGTGCAAGACGTGCAAGTCAATGACCGTGGTCAACGCATAAGCAATCCAACCCAGATATCCCAAAGAGACAATTGTCCGCAGGAACAGCCAGTCATATGTTTGCAGGTAGCGCAGACCCTCGAGACCGAGAACCAGCAGTTCAGAAGATAAAGCAATGGAATCCTCGTAAGCTCCGTTTGAAATGAGCGCCTCCAAGTTCGCAAATCGTCCTTCAATTGAAGTTTCGCCGTCGCCAGAAAGAGGCTCGAAGGGTACGTAGCGTAGCACTGCATTCCTCTTTTGCTCTTCCTTCACTCGATACATTTCAAGCACGGCCCGGGTGTTTGCAAGTGCGGCTTGTGCCTTCTCCTCGGGACTGGCATCAATGTAATCCAATGGCAGCTGACCGACCGAGTTAACGGGATAGTCAACGCCAACCAGATATGCCATTAGAGCCGCGACGTCAGCCTGTGCAACGTCATGTCGATGGATCTGGTCAAATCCCCAATCCGACGAGAACCCATCCTCGTGGCCAGGAGCGATTCCATTCATGGTAATTTGAGGCTTAGCGACACCGGAACCCCAGACAACCAATGGAGTGCGCGTATTATCTGGATGACCGTCTCCGTGACTGCCCATGTCGTTCATGCCATGGTCCGCAGTGAAAACGAATGCGGTCTGATCATCGCCGTAAAAGTCCTCGACCAGCTTGGTGACCGATTGAATGCCCTTGTCCACAATTTTGATGTTATTGAGGTATTCCTTGGAGTAAGGCCTGAACGCGTGACCTGTAGTATCTAGTCCCAGCAAATGGAGGAAGAACACCAATTTGTCCTCGCGCAGTTTCCGGTCAAGCTCCGGATCAGTCTTGGCGGACTCGAAAAGTTCGTGGACCTTCGCGAACACCCAAGTATCCAGATGAGTAGCGTCTTGACTGAAATCCTCCGCTTCCTCTGCATACATCTCCGCGTCAACACGGCCAGGTTCCGCACCCTCCTTGAACATTGGCAGAATATCCGGACTGCCCCAGCTCCATGTATGCCGACTGCGATTGAAGACGCTATCAAAGTCCACGGGGTTCAATTTCCACCCCGTTGTAACCGCCGAGACGTCTTCGTACAAGCCCGCAATGAGGGCAACATGACCGGGCCGCGATTCGGTGGGGACCCGAGTATGGGAGACACCAAAAGTTCCATGTGTAAGAACTTTAGAGCGAATGAACGGTGCCAATCGAATCAAATCATCGGAAGGCTCGGCGAGAGCATCGGGGGACGGATCGGGGAATGCCTGGAAGGCCTTGTCGGCGCGGAGGCCATCGGCGACAAAGAGGACGAGTCGTTGGGCGGGAGCATTGGTTCCAATTGGGCGCTCAACCCCATATGAGCGCATGCCACTCACAATTGGGCTCACGAAATAGATATCGAAGATCGAGTATGTATAGATCAGGTGGAAGACCACCGCGAGGGCGAGGAACCCAACGCGGCCGAGACGCGCCATGGCTGTCTCTTCTTACAGCAGGTCCAGTTTAGATCGAGATGGCGAACGAGTGTAATTGGACCTCTGCTAAGAAGGAGAAAGAAGGTAGTAGAGACGATAATGAAAAGGAGGTCGGCATCACCAGCAGCAAGACAATAGACAATCGACGACACCACCTATGCTTGAAACGCATCGGGGAACTTGCGGACGGGGGGCGGTGAGGGCCAATCATGGGCTTCGAATCGTGCACGGCAGAACTGTAATAGGACCCACTTGCCAGGCACAACAAGCTCCTTTTCAATTCCATAGATGGATGTTTATTTGTTTTGTGCTACTTTATGAATGTGTGAACTGTATCAATTACAAAATTAAGCTGAGTGGGCAACAATTGAACAAGAACTGTTTACTTAGTAATACTTTCCAGAAGTCTTCAGTAAGCTATCTTGTCTCGAGAAAGGTTGTTAAGTCAGGGCGGAGTAATCAGGGCATGTATACAACTCCATAGAAGAGTCGATCCGCATGCAGGTTTGGGTACACTATAGTCAGTGCTATACCATCTATTGAATCCATCATGGCTACGCAAGAAAGGCGGCATGTATTCATCCACAAAATGCTGATATTTTCCAAAATAGATTGCCCATATATCCCCCATATATTAACACTGTCATGATGTGCTGGTCCGCCGTTTGGTAAGGGCGTCAATCACCCGTGTGTAAAACTTGGACGCCTGCTCTCGCTTGAAAGTAATATCAACGGTCAAAAAGTCTGGCAAAATATTAACAAGCTCCCGATCACGGCTGGCATCCAACAGCGGGAGATACTGGAACTCGGCCTGCTCATACTCTGAGCTAGCCACCTTGGGAATGGCCAACTTGAAATGAAGTGCTGCAAATTGGTTAGACATGAAACTTTGCGCTCATTCCAGGTAGTTTTGGGTACTTACTTCCATTGACACCGGTTTGGATGCAGTCATAGAGATGATCTGTCTCGCGGTTCTTGACATCACGGATGATCAGTCCGGTGAAATCAGTGTAGAGATCCTCCTTCAGTTGCGCAAGCTGGGCGACCTGAGCCGCCTCGGCAGTGGCAGCTGCGGTTGCCCGGTTGGCTGCGCCACCCTTGATGGCACTTCCTGGGACCTTGGTAGCCTCGAGGCTGGCAGCCGTGTTGCGTGCAGCGGCAAGCTTCGTCTGCAGGGCCTTGATCTCGGATTGTGAAGAGGCAAGTTGAGAGCGCGCCTCGTCTGCTTGGGCCTTGAGCTTGGCCATTTCGGCATCCCGCTCTTTCAGTTGTTTCTGCAGATTGCGGCTCTGTGAGCCTAAGGTTCGCTGCGCTTCCAGCTCTGATCTTAGCGAAGCAACAAGTTCGTTGGATGCTGCAGGGAAACCAGTCAGTTATTATGATTCCCCTATCGAGTACAGCACCAACTGCAAGAACGTACCTGTAGTGATATTTTCACATTGCTTACGTAGTTTCTCCATGTTCGCGTTGGCCTCTACGACTCCGATCTCACGTAGGTTGCGATATCTTGACTCTAGCGCATCGTGTTTCTTGGTAATTTCACCAATCTTACGCCTCAAATCCGGATCCCCGCCTTGATCAATAGCCGCGCTGGACTTGCGCTTACTAGGTGAGGAGTCACGAGTATTCTTCAACGTGGCGAGTCGCGCCCTGGCATTTTTCACAACGGACGATGGCACGTAGGGAGCTGGGTGCTGGTTATCATCCAGCATGGACTCATCTACAACTTCATCTGCCGCTCCATCAGTCTGCTGCGTCTCACTCATTTCGGGTATCCTTTGTTGTGGCACAGCGCGGGTTGGTGTGTACTCGAACTCTCCGTCTGTTTGCACTGGCCTGGCGGTGCTTGCACGAGCTCGGCCTCGTCCACGAGTTGCTGCTGTCGTGGCCCTGCTTGCTCTCGCGTTTTTTGTAGATTTTGATGCTGAAGGGTCCTCATTTTCCTGTTCATTTGATTCTTCGCCCGTAACCTCTACTGGGACAGCCATCCGCGTCTGCGGCTCGGGGACTTCTGAGGCGCCGCGCGCCCGCCCACGCCGAGCTGGCGCTTTTTTTGGTACTGACGCTTGTTCCTCTTCTTGTGGTGCTTGAGCGGCTGCTTGTTTCCTTACCGGAGCGGAAGCTTTGGTGGTAGTTGCGGTTTCAGCGGATGTACGCGGTCGACCGCGACGTTTCTTGGCGGGAGGCTCCTCCTGAGGGTCGTGGGAGGGGACGGACTCGTTTTCAGTAAATTGAAGTACATCCTCATCATCTGAGCCAACAAGGCCAGAGAGTTTTGAAGGAGCTTTCCGTTTTGGCATGGCGTAATTGGGGTTGGCGTTTAGTCTGATGTTATCGGGCTTGGAGACGCGCCGCGATTATCAACAACTCTCCGCCCAGCGGCAGACATGTGACATGTGACATTCCGAGCCACAGGGATCATCCGCGCCACAACTGCCCGAGCCAGATCTCGGGCCTCGCTTGAGACCGTTCCACGTTTTCGGAGTCGGGATCGCATTCGTCTTCTTTGTTTTACCATCTGTCGATCGAACATCCTAAAGGGTTCAGCAGTTCAAGTTCTCGCCCCTTCTTACCCCTTATCCACGCCGCTGTCGTCATGGCATCATCAGGCGGCCGCCGATGGCAGAGCTTCCTGCAAGAGCTCGTAATGGTCGCCGGCACGGTGAGTTTCAACGCTCTGGACTGACTCAGGGCCGAATATTTCTAACCGATTATAGTCGGCTTCGGCATACTTTCTCATTCGCTATCTCCTATCGCGCCTCGATTTCGACCCGGAGAGCCAGAAGAAGGAGGAGCAACGACAAAAGTCAGCAACCATTCTGCGCCGACTTGATGGCGGAGATGAATCAGATGACGAAAAACGAGGGAGCACTAAGAAGGGTCGCCGCCAACGACGAGGCGAGCTAACGCTCAATCAATATGAACAAGCCGTTGCGATGGACGTGGTTGCGCCTGAAGATATTAATGTCTCGTTTGAAGACATTGGAGGTCTCGATCATATTATTGAAGAGTTGAAGGAATCCGTGATCTACCCATTGACTATGCCTCATCTTTACTCGTCAACTTCGTCTCTCCTCACCGCACCGTCCGGTGTTCTTCTATATGGCCCGCCTGGTTGCGGAAAGACTATGCTCGCGAAGGCACTGGCGTCCGAGAGTGGCGCTTGTTTTATTAACTTGCATATCTCAACATTGACGGAGAAGTGGTACGGTGACTCGAACAAACTAGTGAATGCGGTCTTTTCTCTCGCACGCAAGCTTCAGCCTGCGATTGTTTTCATTGATGAGATCGACGCGGTCTTGGGAACCCGGAGGAGCGGCGAACACGAGGCAAGCGGTATGGTGAAGGCGGAATTTATGACACATTGGGATGGTCTTACCTCCGCCAATTCGACGGGTGAGCCCCAGCGCATTGTTGTGCTTGGAGCTACCAACCGGATGCAGGATATCGACGAGGCCATTCTCCGGCGTATGCCTAAGAAGTTCCCTGTCACCCTTCCTCCTGCCCAACAGCGACTCCGAATCCTTAGCCTAATCCTTAAGGATACTAAGGTTGATCGGGATAACTTTGACCTCCACTATCTGGTCAAATCTATGTCCGGCATGTCCGGTAGCGATATCAAGGAAGCCTGCCGAGATGCGGCTATGGCTCCCGTACGCGAGCTGATCCGTCAGAAGAAGGCTGACGGTATGCAAATAACAGCCGTTGATCCTCAAGAAGTTCGTGGCCTTCGCACAGAAGACTTCTTCGCCCGAGCCGGTGGCGTGAGGGTTATGCCTCCTCAAGTGCCTACCACTCCAACTGGCAAGGTCATTGAGAAAGAAGAGGGTGATTGGACGACTGAGGATGAGGCCGCCTCGGAGACTGATGGTCGGCCCTCTGAGATGGCTGAGCCTCCAGAGTGATCGTGAATGATCTGTTTCTATTTCTTTCTTGGTGGATAATTTAGAGGCTCATGTGCTTCCCGGTTTCGAAGGGTTAACAAGGCCATTTCATTCTGTTCTTCTTGGCTGTGGTTTTATACGGTTTCTGGCTGGGCCCAGGTTCGGTTCGTTCATAGAATCGTCGGGTTTCTTGTACAATTTGTGGGGATCTGAATTGCAATATAATACACATCATCGCTCTCAAATATGATCTGGTGCCAGGGCTTATCTTGTATATCTAAGATGAAAACCTTCTTTTGCAAGTACTAGTACAGACCCGCTCATATTAACCCACGGGGAACGTTACGTACTTCTACTTGGCCGGGCGGCGAAGTCACCTGCCGATCATCCAACAGCGCCTCCCGAAAACCCACCCACTCCCTATCGACGTCTATTTCTACATTCCCTCTCTCCTTGTACAGAAAAAACTCCTTCTTTTATCTCCCCTCGGGTTGTGATTGCTGGCTCCTGGGTCTCCCCTGTCTTCCCCATATCCGTCGAGTTGGCGCCTGCCGCGGTCTTTCCTTAGTGGGTCTTTATCGTCACCTACGTACCACCTCCACGCTTCCCACTACTGTCTCCTATCGCATCCTTGAGTAATCACATTTACTCCGCGGTCTTACCTCCCACGTTGTTCACGGGAAACGCATTCTATTGTATATCGAGTCCGGCCGATTGTGGACGCAGTTTCATGATCTGCCTCATTGTCTCGTCTCAGCGCTGAGGCCACGAATGCGACACGGCCGGTGGATGACGAATGGGTCTCTCCTTGGAGACCACTGATGGCAATCAGTGCCTTGGCAACACCCACAACTCCGAAGGGAGTCTTTGAGTCTTGTCTTTGGAAGAATACTTCCACAAGACCATACTGACAGGAATGAGTTCCCAAAATAGCTTCGTCAATGCTTCCCTGAGCTCCAACACTGTCAGCGCCGGCACCACCTCCGCCTCCGCGGTCCGATCGCGCCCTCGCCGACTCGTCTCCTTTATCGACGATGAAGATGATTCCAGCACCAAGAACAGCAATTATTCCTACCAGGATGCCCAGCCCTTTGCATCGGGTCTTTCTACAACCCTCTCCGCCGATGTTGGAACTACACGATCTCGTGGTGCTACCCCCTCGCCGCTATCGTCCCGTGGAACCTCGCCGCTGCCCATGAAACACCCCTCCCGCGTCACGCAACCGAGCAATCGCAGTCGGAACGAAGCATATTCCTTTGCTTGGAATGGGTCATCAAAAGCTTCGTCTTCTTCCCGAGGAGCGGCAGACTTTCTAGACTCGTCGTGGTCCTCTCTCCAGAGCCTGGCGTCGTCGGTGCTCGGCAGCGACACTGGGTCAAACACAACAAATAATGCGGCAAAGGGACATTCGCGGAGGAAACCATCGAAATCAGACGTATATATTCGAAGTATTCCGCGGTCTACTCCGACAGCATGGGGTCCATCAGCACCGAGTACTACAGAAATTGGAAGTGGAACCAAGGAGGAGCGTCAAGCATTGGTTCAGGCGAAGAAACGAGAAGCACTTCTACTTGCAGACTCCGATCCCATAATGAGCGGCGCCTTTCGGCACAAGCGACGCGACTCGGGCGATTATTTTGACCAGCCACTTGATGCAGAGCAAGACGAGGATGCACTCGCATACATTCACCCTGTCCAGGCAACAGACAGCATTACGGGAGTGACGATTAAATACGGATGCCAACCAACGATTTTCCGAAAAGCGAACGGCTTCTGGCCCAATGACAATATCCAAAGCAGGAAGACAGTGCTACTGCCAGTTGATGCATGCAGCGTCAAGGGTAGACCAGTACCACCTGCAGAAGTAGATCTTCTGACGATTGATTCTGAAGATGCAAGTGGTAGCTCTATCACACCGGCTGTCGCCTCCACGAATAGCTCGATGTCGAGTCAGAAGGTTCCTGGAACTGCCGACACCGACAGCAATCAGATTTGGAAACATGAGTCCTGGGTAAATATTGACGGATTTCCGTCCGCGGTACAGATTGGCCGAGTCCCACGAAGGGCATTAGGCTTTTCCCACGCACGCGTCGAAAATCTGCGTGCTATACCGATGCAGAACCTTTCCATGATGACTCTTCCCGAGAGCCAACCCGGACTTCATCCCCCGCCGGTTCGCCGCAGATAACACCGGCAGAGGGCGCTCTTCCCCGGGCCAGACCTCGCGGAGGCCAGTCGAAGCCACTCCGTCCCCAGCATCGCCGCCAGCGCAGCAGTCTCCATCTGACTGGTACTGGTGTGGGTACTCTTGATCGAACTTCCACTGCACCTGGACCTGCCCTAGACGGTTTGAGCAAATTTTTCTCGCAGCACATGCCCAATCTAGCTCTTCCTCCTGTACCAGAGAACCTTCGAAGATCATCTTTTGGATCCGAGTCCACAGCGACGTCCAATGCATCAAATGGCCTTGAAAACATTGGTGGAGCTGTCGAGGGTTGGCTCCGCAAAGTCGCAACCCGCACCAAGGCTGGAATCAGCGAGCTTCAACAAGGGTCCCCCAACCAACAGGCAACCAGCCGTGGCCGTGGGCTTTGGGGAATTGGCGATCTGATCGAGCTGGACGATACCTCTGAAGGTCGGCGATCGCCTAGTGTTTTAGGAGGTCCTTCCCGGCGGGAAGCGCGGGGCACAAGCTCTACTTCCTCGTCATTTAGAGTTGCAGGTCCAACTGCGTCGGCGACGAGCAGGTCTCGAGCGACAGGGCTTGGCTCTGGGTCAAATGCATACGGGGAACGCGTGAAGGATGATTGATCTGTGTCTGATTGGCAGAGTCTGCAAAGGTACCATACATAATAGAGCGTCTATGCGATGTGCATTCTCTTTCATTTGTTTCCCCTCTTCCGATTTTTCGATGTCCAGATATTCCTCTTTTTCTTTTCTCATGAGCGGATTGGTGTTCTCTCTTCTATTCAGATAACCTTCTTCTTCTTGCCGGGCCTGATCAAGGCAGGCTCGATTCGACTCTTTGTATTGGCACTTGGGTCGATCAAATAGTAAAATAGAACTATACTGGAGTACATGTGATCCTCCTATTCCTTGCGACAAATTTCTCTCTAGTTTATTAGATGTACATCACTCTGTCAAGTCACGACAAGCGATCCAAATCCCGCGAGAATTGGACTGAATAGCTTCATCTAGCCGATGCCTTCATATATCACTGTCCGACATACCAACAATCTCGGCGCTAAGCTTCCATTTTGAGCACCTTACCCCGACCTCCAATTCACTTGTGCCTACAGCCTACAAATACAACAGCAACCCCCGCCAATTTCATACCGGAATTCTCCCAGCTTTATTTTCCCACCTATGAGCGTATCCATCCCCACAACTCTACGTACGAAGCCCCTAATGAAGTCTAAATGTAGCTTTGCAAAACTCTCTCGTCGAAACAATTTCCCCGGTTTAGCCTGGTTTTGGTTAATTTGCTTGCTATCTAGCCTATTTTCTGGGTTCGATGATCCCTCGATTGAGGGGTTGTGAGTGTGGTAATTGATCTACAATAACGTCTCTGCCTTGGCATGCCTACTGATTGTATAATTACTCCGTTGTTATTTCTTGTTCCCACTGGGGCATATATGTACTGAATACCTTACCTCGATCCGTCGTAGCAGGACAGTGTCTTGTCCCTCAATTGTCTAGCTCTCAAACTCCTATCTAGAGGACTGAATATCCACAGACAACCAAAATGCTCCGCCCAGCTCTGTGGCTAACCTTAGCCACGGCAGTATCCTCAACTCCACTATCCCATAGTGGAGCCGCAGTCTCATCACACCCACCAACAGCGACACTATCCCCAAGTAAAGGACCCCCCAAAACCGTATTCGTGGGCCGCACACTCCCCGAATTTGACCAAGACCTTTTCCTAGGCATCAAGTATGCCGACGAACCAGCTCGATTCACGGCCGCAGAATTGAAGTCGCATTACACTTCGAATGATAGTAATTCTGGTGTCTATGATCTCTCTACGGCCGGTGTGTCGTCTCACGGCAACGCTGTCTATTACAATGCTACCGAATATGGATATGATTGTCCTGGCTACGGGTCTGATACCACTAAATTGGTGAATATGGGATTGATTCGGTCGAGTGAGGATTGTTTGAATCTTAATGTGATTAGGCCTCAGAATGTCGGGGAGGAGGGGTTGCCCGTTATGTTGTGGATTTTTGGAGGTGGGTGGTCGCAGGGTGCTACTGCGGATCCCAGGTTAGTCGATTCCTATACTACATTGGATTGAAGGAGTTGCATACTGACCTTTTTTTGTGCTTGTGTAGATATAACATGAGTTATGTGGTTCAGCAGAGTGCGTTGAACGGCAAGCCTGTGCTGGGAGTCTCGATTAATTACCGCTTGTCGGCGTTTGGTTTCCTGGACTCGGAGGAAGTGAGGGTATGTAGATCCAGTTCTCAGAGCAGGCTCCTATGTATTGACATTATTATAGGCGGAGGGAAATACCAATCTTGCTCTTCGAGATCAGCGGACTGCTATGCGCTGGGTGAAGAAGCATATCAAGGCATTCGGTGGAGACCCAGATCGAGTCACGATCTGGGGTGAGTCGGCGTGAGTTTTTTTAGTGACAAAGAAATGGGTTGGGTTTCTCCATGGGTACTGACACTGATTTGTATACAGGGGAGCATACAGCGTGGGTGCGCACCTTGTCACCAGCAACGGAGATAACGAGGGTCTCTTTAGAGCTGGTAGGACATCCTTTCTCTCAACGAAATCAGAAGTGACTGACTCAGGATTCAGCAATTATGGAGTCCGGAAATGCAGTTGGACCGCCCTACAACGGCACTGAATGGCACCAGCCAATGTACAATCGGATTGTCCAAAGAACAGGGTGAGTCTGTCCAAAGAAACCAGCTATCACAACCACAGACGCTCATTTCCAGCGTTCAGATGCACCAATGCAACAAACACTCTCCAATGTCTTCGAGACCTACCATACCAGACTTTCTACAACAACGCCTATGAAGGACTAGAGTGGTTCGCCACAGTCGACAACAACTTCATCTCGCAGTATCCCCAGATCAGCTACCGCGAAGGCAAATTCGCCAAAGTCCCCATCCTCCTAGGCACAAACACAGACGAAGGAACCAGTTTCGGGACAACAGGCACAAATACAGATGAAGATTGCATTGCCCAGTTAATCTGTGAGTACCTCACTCCCACTCAATAGAACCTTATTAACCAACTCTTGCTGCACAAACACAGCCTCCAAGCGCTGGGTCCTCACCCGCGACGAAGCCACCCAGCTCCTCTCATACTACCCCAACATCTCATCCCTCGGCTGTCCCTATGGCTGGGGCAATGTGACCTGGCCGGAGAAAGGTCTTCAATATAAACGCTACGAATCTATGGCCGGTGATATCACCATGGTAGCGCCCCGTCGGATGTTGGCACAAGCCATGTCCCGATTCGAGGACCACGTTTATTCGTACCGGTGGGATGTTGCTGCACTGAATACTTCGACGACGATTGGAGTGCAGCATTTTGCTGAGGTAGGGATTACCCAATACCCAAGACTCTTTATAGGAATGAGCTAGTGGAACAAGACTGGCTGGATTACTGACTGGTTACGTTACTAATGTATAGATTCCCTTCGTCTTCGCAAACCCAGTTCAGAATATTACGGCTCTGGGATCTGATCCTGCGCGGCTGGAACTCGGACAACTGGCGGCTCGCATGTGGACGTCTTTTGTTACTGATTTGAATCCTAATGGACATGGAGGTGAGTTTGTTTTATACCCTGGGGTGCTCTGTTTGATGGTGCCTCACTAACAATAAATCAAACCCCAACAGTACCGCACATCCCTCAATGGCCTCGCTATTCCTCTAAACCTTCAAACTTTGTTTTCCGTCTTTCTCGGAATGAGAGCTACGTGGAAGCCGATAGCTATCGAGCGTCCGGGATGGCATATATCAATAGTATTGCGCGATAAGGCTGGCTTAGCTAGGTTTGAGGTAAATTGGGGAATTCATTATCCCTATAGCTGTCTTGAAGTTGAACATGTCTTCGATCACCAAAGCTGGTCTTGTTGTTCTGGTCAAGCTATGGCTTTTCACCAGGTTGGCGGAGTATTTCTGTGTCAGCACAACTACGGTACAAGGCTATAAGCCTACGGTACGTAGATAAGTGCTTTGTCAATGGAAATAACCAGAAACTGCCATGTTGAGTCAATAAAGATGTACTTGAATATTCTATGACTCCCTGGGTCATTTTGTACTCAGGCCGACTCTCCCATTGGCTGGATGCGGGGATGTACTTAACAGGGCGTGCGGGCCCCAGTTTCTCCCCGCGGCTAAATAATCTCCTCTGTTACCCTAATATCACTATTTAACAACCCCTTGATAGCAGCTGATAGGAAGAAAACTTCGATCCCATCTTTCACAGCACCTTCGCATAGTCAATTTCAGAATATAGGCCAGCGACTACCTTGTTTAACTACGCAATGCCTCCTCCAACCCCCACTTATCTCGCATACCAACACGACTCAAAACTCCTTCACCTCGAGACAACAGTCCAGTCCCTCCAACCATTCTCCGACCTTGAAGAAGCCAACCAAGCCCTCTTCAAATCCGCCAGCAACGATGACTTGATCCTCGTGACAAAGGACACCATCTTCCACCCACAAGGCGGCGGCCAACCCTCCGATGAAGGCTACATCTTCCCCGCAGGCACAGTCACCAGCACGATCAACAATCCAGAAAATGCACTCCTCCAAGTCCTAGCCGCACGAATGGACGCTACAAACAACGGCCAAGTCCTACACCTCGTCCGCGCCATGCCCAGCACAACAACACCCCTCCAATCCCTAACCCCCAACACACCAATCCTCCAAACCATCGACGCCGAAAAACGCCTCCTCTACTCCCGCCTCCACACAGCCGGCCACGTCCTCGGCTCCGCAGTCCGCCACCTCCTCGAGTCCTCCATTCCGAACTTCGACGAACTAAAAGCCTCACATTTCCCCGACAGTGCATCCTGCGAATTCCGCGGCAGCATTGGCGGCGAACACAAAGACGCTATTCAAGCCAAAGTAGACGAGTTTATATCCCGAGCGATGCCGGTTGAGATTCAGTTTTGGGGGGAGGAGGATTTTAAACGGGAGGGTGTGGAACATCTTCTTCCTGATCCGGGGTTGTTGGGACCGGGGCAGGACAAGTTTCGGGTTGTGAGGATTGTGGGTGCGGAGGTTTATCCTTGTGGGGGGACGCATGTTGATAGTACTGATTTGTGTGGGGGGACGGTTGTGAAGAAGATTTCCAGGAGTAAGGGGAATAGTCGGGTTAGTTATGCTGTTGTATAGGATGGGGTGTGTAGTTGATGTGCATAGATGGGGAGATTAAATACTATAGAATGCTGTGATTTGGCGTTGAGGCCTGAGGGTTGTCTACGAGGTTATAAGGTTAGGGTACGAGGAAGGGATGACTGGCAAAGCAAGCTACTCCATGGCTGATTCCCCCTTCGATGATTAGGGAATCATGACCGGAGCGTGTCCACCAAATGTTTGATTTCTTGTGTTCTAATCCGCTTCGTTCCGTTGTCTAGATCGTGATCTAGAATCGGGGAGGCGGGGGGTGTGGACCAAAAAAAAAAAAAAAGAAAGCAAGCTAGGACTCAACATTGTATAGTCAAGGAGTCTAGGCAGACTTGTTGTTGATCTTGACGAGCTCGACCTCGCTGGAAAGAGAGACAGTCAGTATGAATGGTTCTGTTGGAGAGGAGTGAAAGGACTGTGAGTAGCTCTCTGTAACTTACAAGACCAGGCGGGAGTTGGGGGGATCAGGCCGGGGAAGCCGCTGTTAGAAAAAAAATTGTTAGTGTCTTGATCGAAAGCTCTGGTGCCGTATTGTGCGTATATGGAAGCTGGATCGTTGGAAAGTGCGAGGATTCGGTAGTTTCGTTACATACTTGGGTCCGTAGCCGTAGTCACTGTCGGGGAGAGTTATATTAGCGCGCCGTCCTGGGCAGATTTCATGGCAGCTAGTAAGATCCCAAAGGGTAGGAGAACACTCACGAGCTGATGTCAAGGATAGCCTTCTCGCCGAGGCTCATCTGGGGGACACCCTCGTCCCAACCTATTCAGCACCATTGGGTCAGCAAGAGCCTTATAAACAGACCTACGCAAGCTAGATCTCATAGCACATCCACCACGTAGATCATCGCGCGCGGTCAGAAGTCATCCACACACCCTTGATAAGACGGCCAACGCCAATGGGGCTAGCCAGAGGGGAACCGCGGTCCCGAGAGCTGTCGAACCTGATCATTTGCAGCGGGGTTAGTAGATAGTTCAAGTTTCTAGCAGAAAATCACGACCTAGCAGATCGAGATACTCACTTGGTGCCCATGTAGTGGTTAGCAGCAGCGCTGGCGTCGTACAGGCAGCCAGTGTAGTGCATAGCGACGTTGTCACCCTTCTTAGGGAAGTCAACGCCGTTGCCGTTGGCCAGGATAGTCTTCTCAACACCCATTATGAAAGAATTGTGATTGATTCGAAAGGGATGACTGTAACAATGAAAGCTGAAGGATATTTGGAGAGAATCGAGGGAGGAGAAAGAGAGAAGAAAAGGGAAGCTTTAAAAAAACGAGGGGCAACCACTCGGGGTTCCACTTTTTCTCCAAGTGGGGTGGTGGTGGTTTCGGAGGCGCCGCGACGTAATGGACTAGTTAATATGGAGTTTTAACCCATAGGAGTTGACTCTGGACCAGTGAGAATTATCTATCTAATCGGATTTTTTCGGTATGTACTACCCGAATTACTTGGGATTGGCAAGGGGCTTATTTTGTCGCTTCTCGTTGGATGGCGCCTTCCGGGGCATGGCTCACGAAGCTCCGGAGGGGCGGGAGAATGAGGGGCAGACTCTTGGGACCCTGGGGAGATGGTTTTGTGAATTGGCATCTTGATAGAGGGGAAATAATATCCGAGGGCACATGTCGGGCTGGCTGAATGTTAAAAGGCTCTTCCTACAGTGTAGAACTATGCGAAATGTACTCTATAGAAAATTTTAGGGGTTCGTTCATAGTCATAGTCATCGTATCAGCGTATAGTTGGTTAAATGGATTATTCCCAGGATCTTAAGGCTCGCTATTTTTGGACTGGTATGATTCGCCATGAATGAGGCAGTTTGAGTATAGTCTAGCTGCCCATTTGTCCAAAGTACTCCACAATTGAGCTACTGTCCCTCCATAAAGTTGAACGTGGCAGACAACCCCACGGTCAAGCCGCATTTACCCGAGCTTCCCCAGTGGGAGCGGAGAGTTCTTATGGTAAGCCTACATATTTCAGTTTAAAGACCTTAGAGATCCTATGGATAATCACCAAAAGCGTTATGTCCGACCAAGCGAGAATCTATGCTTCTTGAGCTTCAATACCGAGCCCGCTCTTTTACAGCCTTGGCAAGCTGCTTCTGATAGACTAATCCGATCGTGTATATCAGACTTATCAACATCTGATGAGACGAGTAATGACCACACCTAAACAACATAGCGGTAGCGTGTTCACCAAATAGGAGAAGGCATCAAGCAGGATAATGAAGAATAAATCAGCGGTATCTATAGGCTTTTGTATCTAGCAATAACAAAGGTACAATCACGCATAGATAACACAAGGCACGAAACTAGGAGGTACATTGCACCCTATATCTGCATCGCAGCATCATTCTGTCTCCGAGGGTACTATAGTAGGAGATCTCTTCCGCTTCCTGGGGAAATATCTCTCCAATTCCCTATGGATAGCAACAAACCTTGCGGTTTGCGCTTCCAATTGTCCCAAATCTTCAAACTCCTCGTCTAGATCTTCATAGAAACTGAGGGTCCTCTCAAATTTGGCATTGAGATCTCGCATTTCGTCATCCGGAATTCTCAAGCGCTTATATCCCTCGCCCTCAATCTCTGTATCAATAGGCCTGTAGTCAATGGGTCGATCTCCGAGAAGAGCTCGGCGGAACCAATCTTCCCCGCGTATTTCACAAAGCTCAAACTCACATTCACGGCAAATTCCCTTCCCCTCTGCCATGGTTTCTTCAAAAGCGCAGATCTCACAGCATTCTATTCCCCGAGCTCGACGTTCTCGTGCAACGGATCGCCAGTAGTGAACTTCCTGAATGACCGTCTTGTAGATAACGAATACTCGCTCTGCGAGATCCATATAGATATACCCTGGCTCCCGCCATGGGAAATGATGGCGTGAAAAGACAGGCGCCCAGAGCACCCCATCTCGCGGAGAGCCCTGACGAACAGGAAGTGGGCACTCTAGAACTGCAAGCCAATGTAGAAAATGAAATCCCTCCGAGAATACACCATAGGAATTTCGAATGTTCCATCGATTTCCTTCTTCTTTCTTTTTCTTTCCGAGTTCGCGGTAGTTCGGGGCTCGGTGGATGCGTGAAGTATGATAGACATCATAGTTCTCGTATGTGTGTTTGATCACAGTACCCAGTCTTTCTGTTGTTGGCAGATCGGGAGGCCCGTCTGTGAAGAAGATGCAAATGGAGCTCATTTTGCGTCTCCCAGGATCATGATTGTGGCCAGTGGCGTAGACGAGAACACACCCATCTTCTGAGACATTTAGACCGCCAAAGTCGAATGGCTCCTTGGAGGAAGTGGCTAGATTTGTCTGATCAGAAGAAGTCGATATGTTCATAAATGGCTCTTGGGGTGGCATCCGCCCTTTCTTGAAATAGTTGTACAAGTAATGGACAATATCCCTCGAGACTCCGTTGCTGGGCACCAGATAAACCGAACTTCCCTCGCCAGCAAATCTTAAGCATTTTCGTTTTATAGCAGCAAGGAGGGTATGTCTGGCATTTCCAGCACGAAGTTTGGTGACGAGATCTTTGACAACTTCCATGTCGCAGCCCTGTTCTACCGGTGGCGGCATGGAAGCTGATATGCGTGAGTATTTTGCAGCCGTGGCGAGACATTCAAAGGCGTCTTGGGCAACGGCAATCACGACCAACTCTCGAACTTGTACCCAATCTGGCATCAGGAATGATGAATATGTGACTGAAGCGTAGAACTTTGTTTCATCAAGATGGTAGAATCGTGGCATTCGAGTGCGTCCGGTCCACTGCTCTTCCATCATATTCAGACAAGCCCAGCTAATCAAAAGTGGGATCTCGTGCAGCTGTGTGATTATTTGTCGAGCGAGAGTTTGAGTGGCCGGCTGGTCAGTTGACTGAAGCATTGTCGCCACATTGTCTCTCGTCACGAAGAAGCAACGGTAATGACTCTCGATAAATGTGGCATGACGGACGACACCATGTTGACTGTCCATCGCTTTAAAAGCATTCATGCCCTGATCGTAGCTATCCTGAATGAGCCGGTCGTCCTCATGTGGGACACTGAGATGCATAGATGTCAACGTGGAGAAAATGTCAGTGTCTGGGTGAACCATGCTTGCACTATCATTCTGCCCTGATGCTATACTCCTGAGTTCGCTCAGTATATCCTCACGATAAATGTCACGAGCCCATTCGAACACATAGTCCACAATTAGCAGAAGTTGTAGGGCCCCGTTTTTAGATGTTATCGATCCTCCCCAGAGGTCAAAAATTTGCTAGGAAAAATTTAGCGTCTCCAGAAGATCCTAGGACAGTAGGGATAACCAACATATTCAGCACTGCCAACTGTGCCGGATTTTCTGCCAGCATCGTGCTTTATGCATGCCGCGCATACTCGCCAATCCTCCCCCCTGTTCATGACCAACCAAACCAGGGGACTTGGTTTCTGATAATTCTGATTCAAGAATGATTCGGCGATTTCCTTCAAGCGCGTTTGCGTGCATAGCAATGTTCGCACCGGAAACGCAGATTGTAATTGAATCGAAATCCAATCACTCTCTGCCGCTTTTCCAGACTTTGCCTCGAGTACTAAGAATGGGAACAAGATTGGATCTCCTTCCTCGCTAAGTGGAGATTCCCCCAAGATCTCATGAACAAGCTTATCCTGTTCATCCTCTGGTGTACCCGGACAAGCCTTGTCGTTGAGAAGGTTCTCGATGTTCCGGGTCTGTCGAAGTCCGTAAATTGCATCTGGCTTTGTTGCTCTGGGCAGTTCTTTCTCGATACTTGACTCATGATGGACAGGCTCATCTTCCCTGTGACTGAAAATCCGATTCAGCCCTACAGCTTCGATCCTACGCTGTCTGTCAGTTCGGGTAGCTAGGAATGACACTGAGTCAGATGGCTTGTTACTAACGCGTCACCTTTCCTAAAGTCTCGCGGACAGCGGCATGGTTGTCTTTTTCTCTGTCTAGCACGTAGTGCTTCTGCCTTCCTCGAGCCCTCTTCCCTGGTGGCTTCGATCTCCGAACGCCATACTCTGTTCCGGCAACGTTTACTAGATTGGATTTTAGCCGAGCTGGAAATCGCGCATGGTTTAGAGCTGCTCACCATACGACTTCTGAGGTGAGTCGGGCCAGGGCGTACGGCTCGCACGCAAATCGCCAGGTCGATTCATTCCGTCTCACACAGCGCTTAGCTCGCTCGGTGAGATCCTCCGCTTGCTTCTTTACATCTGCAGACCATGGGGCGGTTTCGACAGTCGTCAGGTCAACCGCATAGGTGTCAAACTGTTTTCTCCCGAGCTCCTCGACCGCGTTGAATGTTGAACGGTGGCTTTCGGGCCATTCATGCCTCGGGACTTCTCCCAAAAAATCAATTCTGTAACGACGTCTCAATTTTTCCACTTTTTGTCTTTCTTTGGCTGTGAAGGGCATGGTAAAAATATAATCGTGAAGTGAAACACAGAGAGTAGCGAAGAAGGAGAAAGGAATAGGGCTGCTGTCGAGAATAAATACAGAGTGACTGGAGAGGAGGGCAAAAGGCAACCATGACGCCTTGTCCACTGTCCACGGATGCCTGGCGGCATGACTTTAGCCTTGCAATATGCCTGTTTGAAATGCTGGCTTCTGAATGGCTAAATGTTACTACGCTATGTATGTGCAAACTGCGCCGCCGTACTTTTGCGCAGAGCATCTAGTGTTAATCAGGTCCGGGTGGCGAAACAAGACATAACCACGAGGTAGGTAAAGAATGCTTGGGTCTCTCAGGCTAAGTTGCAAATATCTTTTGCACCTCTACTGTAGGACAGGTCAGGCAAATTGGCCTGCTTATACTGAAGTCTAGACTGCCGTCGGAAGTGGGCGAAGTTCCACAGTACTGTTGGGGCACACAGAGTGGGGTCCGATTGTGGGGGCGAAAAGACGAGGGTGAGGAACGGTGTTAACCGAGACAATGACATTGTCGGGACATGTAATATAGGCAATAAGCTCTAGAGTACCGTGGGAAGATAGAAGTGTGCACTGTAGTTAGAGAAGATCCCGTCAACGATATTGGAATTTCAATATAATGGTTGGCCCTATTCGATTTGTTATAGCCAGTAGGTAGAAATAATAAATCCAGATTAAAAAAGGCTTCTGGAACAATTATGCTCCAAAGCCAGTTGAAAATAGTTGGTGAGCAAATCTGCAAAGAATGCACAACGAGATAATGTCTACCTGTCGCATGCTTTGCCGGCCCAAGAACCTGCGCCCTTAGTTTCCCTTGGCAGGATATCCCATTCAACTTATTCATTCCCGGGCTGCCTGGGCTGCTTGGGGTTCTTGTCATTGCCATGATCACCATGATCGTGGTGTTTGTCGTCGTCATCATCGCGATCCTTCTGGCTGCTAGCCACAGGCTGATGATGGTCACCCTCGTTAGGATGATGATGTGCTTGCTGATGCTCGGGCTTTTTGTTAACGGGATGCCGCTCGAGGCAGATTTGAGGTGGGCAGCCTGAGCTATTATTTAGCTGTTGTTCAATCATAGAATGTGTAATCTGATTTAGATACGAACTTTCTTGCATCTTGAAATGGATTGGTCCAGAAGTGGTGGTAGTTCGAGTGGTCAGATGAAGCTGACTTGTCCTCATTGACACCCGCTCAGGAGGGTTGACAGCGAATATTTATCATACTATAAATGATCGTTGCCGCTAACAGTGACGTTCACAATCATCATAGATAGCTCTGTCAATCCATCTGGAAAAGAAGGTTTGGTGAGGGGCATATAGACTTTCGAGTCTAACAAACAAGCTTCTATGTTCCTAATCTTATCAATGCTCTTTGCCTTGCCCACTCTCTAGTTCTCTTAGCAGAGCATTTCTAGTTTAAAGATATGGAACGCCTTAGGAATATTCTATAAAAGAGAAGAAACTAATAGAATATTCTAAGAAGGCTTTGGTTTCTAGCCTAAGAGAGGTGTATATTTAGCATGTGTCTCGTTTCATGAGAACAGAATTTTGTGTGAAGAGGGAAATCTCAAGTATGCAGATGATAGAGTGCAAGCCGACCATTATCCCACATGGTCTGTGAAACACTGGACTGTAAGGATTCCATGCTTGGCTACCTGAATTCCGAGCTAAAATTTCGCTGGTGCTGGTGGCAGGATTTTATCGCGCGCTTTTCTAGCCCCAAATCGACCAATTTTCGCCCGGTTTGAAAGAGGCAGTTGTCATGGCAAGGCATGCTTACGCAGCAATAGATATCTACTGCCCTTCGACGGACAATCCTGTCTGTCCAAAGATCTAGCTGGTATTCCTATGCTCTGACAGATATCTCGGGATATACTACTATGAGCACCAGATCTGGACCAAGAGTGTCTAACCCACAAGATCTAGCCTAGCTGACTTTGTGGCATCACTCAATTCAATGTGAAACTTTTCGGGAACAGCGCAACTGTTAGTACTGCCATATAGCAAACAATTTTGTTTTTTGTATATTTTCTTTATTCAGTTCTAAGCCTTCAGTCCGGGATGTGATGACCAAGGTTTTTGATCGAGAGATTCATCAAGTGGACAAAAATCTCTGTGTTAACAGGTTATTTGCTATGACTCTCTGCCTCGGCGCACTCACCTATCACGTCAAAAGTACTCAATATGACAGGACTCATGTCCTCTCATGCCTGGGACCGTCATAAGTAGCGCATACAACATCAGTATGAAGCAGTCCTGGCATTACCGGTTTTATAGACAGCCTATAAACACTAAGAACGTGCATACTCGGCTCTCTCTGTCTTCTCAACACCCCGCATTTCATTCGTAAACACTGTGTTACATGGTCCTTGAACATTCTATCATAGCTACACTTTCCAATATTTGAGTATTCAATGGATGGAATCATGTCATCAACTGAACTTTAGTGGAGTAGACCCTCGCAATATGTGCATCATGCTCGACCTCACAGACGCGATGATCACACCTTCCAGAAAGCCATCTGCTTAACCTCCTCCATAGAAACGGCAGCGACTCTCGTGCGAGGGAACCGCTCATCCGGTGCAGCCGACAGGTCCCCACCTTCCTCTCCAACCAACGACAAATAATGCAACTTGTCCACGCCCAATCGATCCAAAAACTCCAGCACGCGGTGGAAGTTCAAACTCACCTGGTCAACGCCATGACTATCATCTGACAGACAAAGGCGTCCACCAAGGGCCAAAAGTTCCTATCCAGAATCAATCAGTATCTCCAAAACAGCCCAACATAAACCATCACTAAACATACCTCACAAATCTCCCCCTTCGGATAAGGCTCACTCATCCCCTTCCTAAGCGCAGCCCCATTAACCTCCACCAACCCGCCATACCCAACCACAAACTCCAAATTCCTCACAACCCTCTCCCAAACCCCGGGCCACGTCTTAAAGCTCCGCTCAGGATCATCACTCTTCAACCGAATCAAATCAAAATGCCCAACGACAGGCGGCTTCAACGCCTTCAGCATATCCAGCTGCGCGTCAAAGTAATCCTCGAATAGACGCTCATCGGTGCCGCCGGCGATATCGCGGGCCCGGATGTACATCTCGTGGTCGTAGTCGATGGGGATGGTGTGCATGTGGTGCACGGAGCCGATGAAGAATTCAAAGGGGAAGCGGGAGAGGGAGCGGGCGATGACGGTTTGCGAGGAGGGCCGGATCCAGTCGCATTCGAAGCCAATTATGATGGAGATTTGGGAGGAGTATTTTTTGCGTAGGCGGAGGGCTTCGGTGAAGTACGCTTCTTCGTTGGTGGAGTGCCAGGCTTCTGTTTGGCCGGCTTCGATCTGGGAAGTTTGTTAGCAAGTGAAGTGAATGTAGAGGGGTGGATGATTGGAAGGAGATGGTGGTGAGAAAGGATATAGTACCTCTTCTGGGTAAAAGTCCACCTCTTCGCGGGGCATGTGCTCAGTCAGGCAAAAGACTTGCATCTTCTTGCTGATGGCGGTCTGAATGACTTCCTCGAGGGAATCTTTGGCATGGCCAGGGCAGAATTGGCCCGAGTGGCTGTGGTGGGAGAATGGCATTGTGTATATATTCTTTTTCTTTCCCCTGGGTCGTGGTTAGTCAATGTTCATGTGAGGTTGATGGTAGGTGGGGGATGGGATGGTCTGGCAGTAGACGAGCAAGAGAGAGAAAGAGATGGCTGAAGGAGACCGGGTATCCAGCTTGTACTGTCTTCATTCTTACCTCTGTTTCTATCTTCAGGTGTGATGCGATGTACAGGAGTATTGAGAATCAGATATCAGAAGTTGGGGAATTGAGAAGTTAAAGTTAGATGGAGACAGAAAGTTGATAGCAGTCCCGATAAGGATTTTAGTCCCGCTTTTTGTGGGGGAAGGCGAGTCATATGTACAAGGACGTCGGATTCTATGAAGACTCCGTACACGGGGCCCAATTGTAGAACAGGATTGGCTTGTGACTTCTATGTCCCACTGATTGGCTCATTTATAAATTAAGGCGTGAGCTTTTCTGTTATTCGCATCTATCTGGTTTGACGAAGCGCTCTTCCTTCAGCCTCGGCACACCTGTGTAGAAGCAGCATGTTATGTACACAATTGCCAGCCAGAAAATACTCTGGCATTAACCCATAGCTATATCGTACAGTAATCACCGTTTGAGAAATCCTGGCTCCAGGATGTTACTTCATGCCCTCCTGTCCTTCAGGTCAGAGACCGGGGCCATTCTGCTCCTTCTTCCAACGATGAACCCATCGTATGCAGCAGACACCATTGCACCGTCGAGGTACAAAATGACCTCGATATACAGTAAAACAACGCCTTCAAAACTCCATCCAAACATCTAACCACATAACCCGCTCCCAGTAATAGCAGACACCAGCACATCCCTTCCCACTCCACGGAAACTCTCACAATCTCAAAACGAGCCAAACCGTCACTCAATCGCAAAGCCCATCCCTGCATAAATCCACTCACCCAGCCGCCAAAACAGTCGCAACCACATATTCCCCATCATGCGAAATCGACAATTGACCCAACCGATCCGGCCTCCCCTCCCCACCCCCCAAAAACACAATCTCCGGCCTCCGGCTCGTGCCCTCCTGCGCCGCCGCCAGCACCCCATTACCTCCCAGACTATTCCCCATATCTAGCACAGTAGCATTATCCATCTCACTATCCCCCGGCACACGTACAACGACATCCTTCCAACCAAGCGCCGCAGCCCCGCCCGGCGCGGCTTTACGCGCGGCTTCTTTTGCGGCGAAGCGGCCGGCGAGCCAGCGCGTCATGTCTGGTGTGATGATAGGTGTGAACGGAGGGAGAGAGGGGGAGGCATGTCGGTTTGGATAGAGGGTGAGGGTATCTTTAAAGCGCGTTTGAAAGTCGAGTTGTTCCTGGTCGCTGAGGATACGGCGTGTGAAGCGGGTGAGGTAGTTTGTTCTTTGGAGGAGGCGGGTTATGCGGGGGAGATGGACGATGTCGGTGCCGATGTTTAGGGCGAGGGGGAAGGGGATTGGTTTCATTTGTGGAGGTGGAGGTGGAGGTCAGTATGTGGGAGAGAGAGGTAAGTGTGACCTGGCTTGTGGGTTGGGTTCTTGTGGTGTGGTTGGTGAGATTGGAAGGGAAAAGGTGAGGTCGGGAGAAAGTTGGAGAGTGGTAAGCTTGAGCACGCGGTTGGTGCGGTGAGAGAGAACTCGTATATTCGAACTGGGGGGCACTTGACTACAGCTTTATTGAGTACTTTTAAAATCGAAATATGGTCTGTCAAGGATCTATGCCATAAATTCGTGGGGATGGAGTTCTGCCCCGTCTACTATCAAAGCCGCGCGATGAGAACTATTCCGCCAAGCGGGGCCGGAGACGCTACGAAGTTCACTTAACCTCATAATAAGAATAAAAGCTCAGGAAAGTCCGCTAACGCGGAAGGAACCGAGCTTCTTACGAGCTTCTCCGTACGAAAGAGCTTGCCCGCAATTCCTCATACGCATGAACAGCTTCATTGACCATCACCGCAATCAAGGATTCGGATCAACGGAGAAACCTCAGTAGAAGGAACATTTCTTCTATGCAGCGTACACGCCTCTTATGTACAGAACCACGAAATAACACATCACTCGCTATCCTCCAAGATCGGCCCGGCCAACTCCGCAAAGTGCAAAGTCGAAGCGACTAAAATGTCGCAGGCCAGCCGACGAGTCGAAAACGGTCGGAAGGGAAGCGACACGACGAACGGATATGAGGTCAATTGGAAGTCATGCATCATACGAAGTCGTACTCATGGCCGGGCCGGGCCGTCGATATAAATCCGTGTTTGGAGAGGGGAGTTTAGTGTTTCTCGGACTTCTTGTCACCTCCGTCGACTTCCTTCAGGAATTGTCTGTAAAGGAATGGTTAGTACGGGCGATCTTTAATTGCAGGGTTTCATGCGATATCAAAAGATGAAGTTGATATGTCGTCGGCATCGTCGGGGATATTCGGGTCTATAGCAGCACGTACTGAATGAAGTCACCTTCCTCCTTGGACGAGGCGTTGATGGGGGGACCAGCAGCGGTCTTGGGCTTGGAGCCACCGCCCAGGGCGAGGTAAGAACCGGCGAACATTGTTCCGAGGACGGCCATGGAGAGCTGGTAGAGTAGAAAGCGGGTTAGCTTGCGCCGGTAACATTTCCAGCTTGCTGGAGGTAGTAAAAAGGGATACGGGGAGCGCCAGCGATTGTCCCCCGGGGAGGGACGGGTAGTGAGCACTTACGACGTGAGAGCCGACCTTCTTGCCGGCGACCTGGTAGTAGACGACCATATTGAGGAATTGGGGATGTGAGAATCGGGGGAAGGTCTAGTGCAGCGATGTGGGAGCGGAATCCTTAGGCTTGGAGCAGAGACGAGGTCGGGCTTTGAGACCGCTTTTCCTAATGTGGTTAGTGTAAATGATGGATGAGTCAGCAGAGAAGAGAGTGTCGGGTCAGGTGATCTCCCGAGTGTGTCCGAAATCATGTGACTGGATCGGGAAGGATGTCACGATTGGCCGAGAAGATGAAGAACATACAAAACACAACAATTAGATTGAAATGGAAATATCTGATATTTGAAGGAATTGATGGTTTTGAAAAGTCATTGCTTGGGTATTCCAGTTTTACTATCACAATACCATACCATGTAGCTGTTTGATCAACTAGAAGCATGTAGTAGAAACGGGAAGTAAATTATTCCATCCTCCCCTCTAGGCCGAATATACCTCCGGCTATGTGCCTGGCCCTGGTCTGGCTGATGCGCTGCGCCTGCTTCGGCTGCCGTGGTCGGTTACTGCGAATGCCTCTTCATTAAAGTCGCCTGGGCCGCGGATTCCCTCTCCTTTTCCTGTTTGCTCTCATATTCATTCTCTTCTTTCTGCTTTCCCTACGCATTTCAGCGTGTTCCTTTACCGGTTTCGCATCTGCATACCTCTACAACATCTCTCCCACCACTACCAGTCAAGCCCACGCTCTTTTTGATTTCCCGAATCCTCGATACTAGCTTCGCACGATGTTCTGGGGTAGTAGCCAGCCAAAAGAGCCGAATAGCCCTCCCCCGCCGGATCAGGATGCAGACAAACCCGTTACGAGGGAGAAGCTCCCCACAAAGCTGCAGCATTTAGTGGACCGGGAAGACGACTTTTACGATGATATCTACCCATCATAGTAAGTATCTGGCATTGCATTCTCTACACTGTGATCCAAATCGAGTGCACAATCAAGAGTGATACATATGAGCGAAGAGCCTAGAGCCAGCGAGAAGCCCGTCTCTTTCCCGTTGTGCTCCACTTTTCCGTGCACATCCCGACTGCCAATGACATAACTGGTCATTGCTTCATTACTGCACTGAACTCTTCAAAAGACATCCTCTCAGCTTCAGCTTCAGCTCTACCCCCAGCTCCTGCACAACCACCCACAAACAGAGCTTCGCTAACATGAGCTCCTCCCAACCCCCTAGCTCCGTCGACTCCACCGACACCCCATACCGCTACGCTGCCTACGCCCAGCGCGTTCGCACAATCCTCCTCTCCGCCCACCGCTACGTCGCCTACACCTCCGACATTGGCGAGTCCTTCCGCCCCGTCGCACACCCGTGGCTCGTCCGTTCCGCCTACGGTATCTCCTGGACCTACCTAGTTGGCGACGTCGGCCATGAGGGTTACAAGGCGTACCTGCGTAATCGGCGCGCACTAGCCCCGCCCGGCGACGCGCACAAGGATGCCACGTCGGAGCAGATCCTGGTCGGCATGGCTACGGGGAATATTAGCATGCCGCTGTCGAGCGAGGGGAGGGCTAAGGAGAAGGATTCGTTGACGCCTTGGCCGACGACGGAGATTTCGCTTGCTGAGGATTATCGCATGGTTATGGTTAAGCGAGCTGTGTTTCAGAGTATTGCTAGCATGGGATTGCCTGCTTTTACGATTCATAGTGTGGTGAAGTATTCGGGTCGTGCGGTGAAGGGGGTGAAGAGTACGCTTTTGCGGACGTGGTTCCCTATCGGGGTAAGTGTTGAGTCTTTTTTATTCCTTTTGACTTTGGATCCGCAGCCCTACGTTGGAAAAGCATATGCTAATCGTTTTTTACCTGGTCTCCAGCTTGGTCTCTCTGTCGTCCCCTTCCTCCCATACATCTTCGATCACCCCGTCGAAGAAGCCGTTGACTGGGCTTTCGGTACCGCCCTCCGCCTCTACGGCGGCGAAGATGCCGTCCGCCCTCTTCCTAACCATGCCATGCTCTCCAAGGCCGCCGCCGAGGAAAATGGAAGCGTGACGACTGCCGCACAACTCTCGTGGGAGGAGTACAAGAACGAGCGGGAAAAGGCTCGTGAGCTCCGTCTGGAACAAAGCGGTTCTAAGTCGCTGTCAAGTTGGTTTGGAGGCTGGACCTCTGAATCTGAGAAGCCGAAGAAGGAGTAGAAGAGTTGAGTTGGGCTGTAAAACGCTTTTCTCTGGCTGGATACCTTCTGATATCTGTTACTAATCCCCTCTCTTGTGGGTATACACATACATCTCTCCTGTCACTTTCTTTTCTTGTACATAGGACATACATATGAATAACTCTATTAACTTCAGCTGAGATACTTTTACCTTTAAGGTTTACATTTAGCCTCCCCTTGTTCAGTGTGCATTGCAGTGGTTCAACCTACGTCATTTTACCCGCCACAAAGCTTCCTACTTAAGGTTAACATTTACCGTACCTCAGTACGGAGTTACCTTTTTAGGTAGTTCTCGAAGCTCTATTATCTCATAAGTAGAGCCATATATCTCGCAGGTAATCGAGGATTCGAAATAACCTCATCCGTCACCAAGTCGGATCTTTACTCGCAGATTGAAGGTAGAAGTCCAGTAGTGGTGATCGCCAGTACCTACCTACAAGGGTCCGATACTCCGCTCGCTTTTTCTTATAAATGGACTAGAAAAATAATTGCAAATGAGGTTACAACTTCGCTGAGTATCAATCTTGAGGGTTTTTGTGTCAGATCAGGTAGGATGTCAAGTAGCTCCGAGTGAGAGTGATAATCTTTCTTAGCTAGTTCCCAAAAGAAGACCAGATAAGACAAATAGCTCAACCTTAAAATATGACACCTTTTATTGATACTTTCAAGTGTGTGATAATATTCAAGTCTTAAACTCACATATCTAAATCATAACAGACCTCCCAAACTCCATGCAAGACTTGAACACGCTCGCCTACCCATGCTTCCAAAAGGGTATAATACCATAACTCCTTATAAGAACACCAAGCAAAAAAAGATGCTCACTCAAACTTCTCCTAACAAGTTCTTCTAAACACCCAGTCAGCATACACCGCAATTCAATTATCCATCACCGGGTATTCAACATACCTTCTCATCCTCCACCCAATCCCTAGATGCCTTGTCTTTCTCCTGCCCTCTCTGTTGTCGATGTACCTTAAAACCCCAAGCAACACCCAACAAAACAACGACCACAAAAACAATACTAAACCCACAACACATCATCGACTCGTTCTGTCCGATTCCCAGTAGTGGAGTATCCGTACTTGGACTGGACTGATGCCCCAACCCCGATGAGTGTTTACTCGGGAACATAATCGATCCGTAGCGGGAGACTTGTATGACCGAGCCATCGTCGTCGACATGTATATTCTCCGACTGGCTGGGCAGAGCCTGTGATTTTGATTTCGTGTTCATTCTCGTATGATCTACGTCATTGTCGTCGTCGTTTGTATTATCGGTATCAGAGGGATGGTATCGCGGTTTCCCCGCTGGCTCGTAATAGTCATCATGATCCTTCAGCCACCGCTCATAGTCCGTTTCATGTCTGTCGGTGGTTTGTTTTGGGTTGGAGGGTTGGCGGAGCGCCATGGTTGTTTTGTTGTTAAGTTGAGTTCCAATTTTGGTGGTACTGTAGTGATTGATCGGTGTTTAATTTATTTCCGATGGAATGCTCTGCGTCGGCCTTTTTGGGGTTGAAATAAGAGCTCGGGTTTCTTGAAGCGGATTGCGCGGGTTATTGTATCCGTTGATGAAAGACTTCGGCCTAAAGTAAAGTAAAATGTCGAGATAAATCGCGCGTCGAGGCGGGAGCAGGCAGACACAGTGATATAAGTACAGCACTATGAAAGTCCATACTGCAAGGACTTGAATACAGAAAAAGAAGAGGGGCCGGACTCGGGGGCCATAAGCAATTCGTGGCTGAGCTTCGCTCTCACGAAACTAGGCTCCTATTTACCATAGGAGGGAGGAAATGCTATTGGGGAATCCACGAATCGCTTCGAATGTCTCAGATGGGGCCGAAAAGACAAAGGTGAAAAAAGGGTCCAGTCCACAAAGAAAGTGTCCCGTCAGGGTCCAGGGTTCTGCACGAGGAGAAACATCTGCGCCCTTTGTTGTTCCTGATTGGGGGCGGGTTGGGGTCCGTGGATGGTGGTGGAGGTTGTTTATTGGTAGATCCCGTCGGCTATCGTGGTGGTAGAATTAGAGAGCTTTGTGACTGAAATGTGGCACTACGCTAAGTGAGTACTGTCCATAGTCTAAGTACACATGGAGTTGAGTTGAGACATTATAGCTAAAGTCGGCAATTCTTGACGGTTACATTCTTTCTGTTAATTCGCGTGATCATGTGTTCTGTACACTGGGGGTAAGTTGGCTCGAAGCCCTGTCGAGTGGATGATGGTTTTCTGCTTTTCTGCTTACGGGGATACATCCCATGCTCCAGTGTCACAATTATTGCGTGACATGATAGAAAAGTGAGCTCTTTGACGAGTAAGTTTTGATCGCGACGATCGCAGTCCATACAATCGTTCTACGATAGAGGAGCCAGAAGTTTGAGCTAGAGTCTAGTAGCTTGCGAATATTGTAGAAGGCCTGCATACAAGACTTCCAATTCACTTCGGAATAATCTTATCTTCCGTATTCCACTCTTCCCTTAACCATGGTCAATTACCACTTCTAGGGTGTAAGACACTGCCAGGTAGTATCCACTGTCAGCATCGGCAATGCGACCCTATTCTATCATAAGACCCTCAGAGCAATTAAGCAATTATGATCAAATGAAAACAGCGAGAGGGATTGATGAAACCTCCAGACTTGCTAAGCATTGTCATGTTAATCTTGGCAGTCTCAATGCAATATCCTAGTTGAATTACCATGATCTAAACATCTACAAAGCACAGCAATTATCAAAAAATCTACACCTCTCATTGTCTGCAACCAAAACTATCTCATCTACATCACACCACCACAGCCACCACCTATACATCTGTACAGCGATCAAAAACAAAGACAAAGACACAGACAAAAAAGAGATACAATCCATCAACTGGATCATAACGACAAGGAAAGAAAAATGGCAGGGAAAACTAGCGTCGGCTCATGAGGGAATCTCGGCCACCCAACCCAACTCATTAGTCGGAGAGTGTGCAATGTGCAACGGAAACACTCGAAACATAATAAAACTATGGCCAATAGAAGGGAAAGGGGGGGGATGGACATTTTTCAGTGGCACGCAGAGGGAGAGAGGGAAGCGGACAGGAACAGGAATTAATGTGGGAGATAAAAATATCAGTTCGTTCTCATTCAGGTTTGTCACAATGCCATAGAAAAAAAAATACAGACAAGATAAGGAAAGATAAAAGGTATTGTAGAAACAAAAGGGGGAATATTCCGAAGAAGAAAAATGAAAATGAGGATGAGATACAGACTGCGTTTCCGGGAGGTGGGACGCGGACAGGAGTATCGAACCCGGAGAGAAGGGGAGGTAAAGGTAAATGGCCAATATCAAAAATTTCACAGAGAGAAGATACGTGATATATGAATGACATATATATCCTGGTTTGTGGAGGGATGATGAACAATGAAAGGAAGTTTTGTGCAGTCTCTCTCCTCTCGACTGGCCCTTGCCAGTACATGAGCTGACACACCATGGAACCCGAGTGGAATACTCGAACTCCGACGGGGCTATATGGCGTGCCGTCAAATTGCCATTCCGGAGGTCTGATCTGCCGGAGGCATTGGCGAGCAGGTCAAAGAGAAAGAGACGAGAAAGGTATGGAGAAAAAGGAGGCCAAGTCTATCCGTCGTGTTTTGACAATTTCGAACATCTAGTTCCAGCCCAGGGAGTTCTCAGCCATGACCGGAGCGCTGATCATCTGTCCAGAGCGGCCAGTGCGCTGGCTACCAGACATACGACCACCGGTAGCGAACATAGAGCCGCCAGAGACCTGGCTCATCTGCTCGGCAGTAGAGCTGGAGCGCTTGTGCAGCTGCTTTCTCTTGCGGTAACGGCGGGCAACCCAGAACATACCAGCACCGTAGGCAGCGGCACCAGCGACGACACCAACACCAATGCCAACGGAGCTAGCCTTGGCCTTAGACGAGTTACCAGAGCCGTCAGTGTTGCTGGAGCTGTCGGTGCTGCCACCGTTGTTGCTAGAGCCGCTACCAGCGTTGGAGGCCGAAGAACCAGAAGAGGTTGGGTAGTTGCCGGAGAACTCCAGAGGGATGGAGGGGTCAACCATGGACATCAGAGTCTTGACAGACTCGTCCGAGGACTGGTAAAGAGCGGAGTTGGGGTTAAGCTTCAGGTCCTTCAGAGCCTGGACCTTGTCCCGAGGGAAGTAGAAGATAGCCAGGGTAGCGTTGTAGCCAGTGGTCTGCCACGAGTAGTAAGGCTCAAGAGCCCACATGGTAGAGGCAGTCTGGGGCAGGGCATTCTTCAGAGCCTTGGGAATGTACTCGAAGATCTGCGAAGAAGACAGGGGAGTAGTAGCGACGAAAGTCCAGGGGAGGTGGCCATCAAAACCGAGCTGGAGTAGAACCGAGTCGGAGGGGGCCTCGGAGACACCGTTCGAGGGAGTGATGGAGCCGGGGAGCGTAGTTGGCGCGGCGTTGCTGTTGCTGTTGGTACCGGTGCTGGTGGTCTGCGAGGGAGACGAGGTCGGCAGCACAAGGATGGATGAAGGAATCCAGTTGTTGGTGTTGGTGTTGGACTCCTCTGGGGCCTTGGTAGTGGCAGGCTCAGCCGTGGTGGTGGGCTCGATGGTGGTGGTAGGCAGAGCAACGGAAGATGTAGGAACCTTGGTGGTATCCTGGTTGCCAGTAGGAGTAGGAACGCCAGAGCCAGTTCCGGACGACTGAGGAGTGGGAATGATGCCAACCGAGGTCGCAGTTGTAGGCGCGGCGGTGCCAGAGACGGTCAAAGGGATCGACGGGTGGGGAACACCGCTAGACGCAGGCACACCGGGAGTAGGGATCAGACCGATGCCAGTACCGGTAGAAGTCTGGGTGGGACTGGGAAGAATTGAACCAAGGCCGCTGGTAAGGCCGCCAATAACGGAGCCAAGCAGGTCGTCGGTGCTGCTGGAAGTCGGGCTGCTTGTGGGGGACACAGCAGGGACGCTAACCGGGATGGTGGATGAGCCCGTAGGAGTAGTGGTCGTCTCAGCCGCAGGAATAATAATCCCGAGACTCTCGAGAAGACTACCCTGGGAAGAAGTAGTAGTGGCGAGAGCTGTCGATGATATCTTCGAGTCCTTATCGGTAGGGCTGGCGGTAGAGCTGCTGTTCGTAGCGGTGGCTCCAAGGAGGCTTGAAAGACCGGAGCCAACAGAGTCCAGAAGGGAATCGCTAGTGGTGGTGGCTGCATCGGAAGTGGCCGTCTTGGCAGCAGGGCTGTTGGCGTTGGAATTGGCATTGGAGCTGGAGCCCGTAGCGGCGGAGGTAGCACTGGTAGTGGTGGAGCTTCCAAGGCCAAGCAGGTTGGAAACATCGGAGCCAACCTGGTTCAGAAGGGGGTCGCTAGAGGTGGCCTTAGCGGTGTTGGACTGGACAGCCGTGCTGGTAGTCGCCGTAGGCTGTGCAGCCGAGACAATTTCCGTGGAGGTGGTGAGAGTGTGAACATGGCCCTCCGCATCGGAAGAAATTACTACGATAACCTGCTTTCCGGCATCGGTCGAGGTGGGTATCGGGGTAGGGGTGATGCTGGTGGAGGGCTGCTCAGTCAAGCTGTCCGCGATGCTCGCCCAAATCGCACTCCACGAGTTATCGGTACTCCGGGTAGCCAATGTACTATTCCTCACAACCCGCTTGACATCACGAGCCTGGTAGCGGGGGTGTTCAACATGCTCAGCAGTGACCAGCTCGAAACCTCCAATGGCGAAGGCCGCGAGAAGGGAAAGGGTGTTGGCGCGCATCTTTTTTGACGGTCCGGTGCTGAATAAACTGGGGTATCCGGTGCTGGAGGGTACAGAACGAGTTCAAGTCGTACTCGTCTGTCAACCCTTCAAGCGAAAGTGTTGGATGGTCTCTCGAAGTCGAAATATCCGATATATCGCGGCTTCGTCAGGAATCCAATACTCGTCACGGGTCGTGGAGGATGTTGGGACGCAGTCGCAACAACCTTTTCGAATGGGAGATTGTCCTGTTCCTTCACAGGTTGACGGACAAAGAAATCGGGCGTCTCGAAGGGCAACCAGATTCAAAGTGAAACACGAGTCGAATCAAGCACGATCGACAGGATAAACGAGTGGAAGGGGTGTTCGACAGAAGATCTGGAACGACCCGAGCGAGTTGCAAAGTAAAGAGCGAGTGTGGGCTATTGAAGCTGTAAGGGAGCGAGCGGCAGCCTACTAAAGAGGCAGAAAGAGAGAGACAGAGAGATGTCCGGGCAACGGTCTGAAACGATCACAGAAAAGCCGGGAAGAAGGTTAGTTTAATTCCAGCGCGACCGTAGGCGGGATGCAAGGGGAAGAGTGAATTGGCAAAGATCCCAGGGTCTCAAAGGCGCCAGGTCGGTCGACGAAGAGGAAGCATACGAGGAAAGGGAAAAAGGAGTGAATAAGGTGAATAATGAATGAGAGTAAGGATTAAAGACGGCAGAGTGCCTCGTTGGGTTGGTAGGGGGGGCGAAGGGGGGGGAGAAGGAGGAGTGAAATGGGGGCGGGAGTGGAACACGTGTGGAAACACAACAAATTCCTGTAATCTGACGGTAAATTATGGGTAATTTATGGGATGGACTAGGCAGGGTAGACTAAGCTAGCCAGGGGTAATTTCTCCTCTCGGCGGCGTTGGTAATTTGTGGTTTTATACCCACGCACTGAGTACAGTAAGAGTGGGATTTAATAAATTAATATCTTGGATACATTTACCCAGGGCTGAATAGATTAAGTAGTAGGGCACATACAGTAGTATAGATATTGAATGAATTAGAAGAAGCAATGGATTGCAAGTATAACTTCCTTTCAACGTCTTTTCTCAATTAAATAGATCATAACAGTGTACTTTTCCATCCAGTCAAGCCCATGTGACACAGCATCTCACCTCACAACCTCCCCTATTCCTCCTTTTTTCTCCTATTGATAATTCCCCGGTCTAGCCAAGAAAGACGCAGGTACAGAGTCTAACTCATAAAGGCTGATGCAGGGAACCGCAACGACCACTACCTACACCTGTCACCTCTGCGAGCTGGCAGTTAGAGCAACGAAGAAACAGAAATGGAAGGAAGCAAGCCTCCCGCCCACTTTTCCTCGGTCGGGGCTTGCTCAAAGTACGTACGGAGTATTGGACTCCATGCTACTACTGAATGCACGGATTCCTACCGTTGGCGAGGCCGTATGGTACCACACAGCAATTAGAGCTTCATGTACTCCGTAGCGATCGACACATCTGCCAGATGGCCAAAGTTAACGGTAGGAACCAGTCCGCACGAGCCACTTTGGATGATGAGATTGATCAATGTTGAGAAGAGATGGTTAGCTTTACGGAGTACTGTAGGTAGTTATTACTGTAAGTAGTTATTGTAACAGGATCTGACTCGCGACGAAGGAATCTGTCTCGTAGTTAGTCCAATTTGCACTTCCCATTGCTTGAGTTCAAGGTCAGGGTCCGGGCCTGGATTTTCCCTCTCTTCTTGGCTTCTCTGTCTCTTTGACTCGAAAAAAACGTCCGTGAACCGTCGATCAACGGAGTAGCACGATCAGTTTTCGGGATAGATAGCCCAAAGTCATAGACCAGAACGAGGATCGCAATCACCCACAAAGCAAGTTCCTAACACTATTATTCTGGCATAGTATTCGTATATTATCTTTTAGACGAGGTTCAACTCCCAGCCTGTACGAGGACCAACGCCGAGATTCATACAAAACACATCTTAAGCCAGTCCATATTAACATTGTACTTGTTCCTGGCCGTGGCCCTAAGACCTGGATAGTGCGTGACCCTACTAGCCCGGCCCCACCCATGGCTCCATCCCGAACCCACGTCAATACACGGGGATTACATCCTCCATACACTCCATACACTAAATGCTTCGTACATCAAACTTCCAACCTGCAGTCTCCGTAACGCTGCGCAGACCCCCACTAATCCCCATTCAGCTCTAGCGTCGCGCCCAGGTCTCTCGCGTCGCTCAGCCAGGTAAGCGATCAACATCCACCTCGAATGGATCGAATCAGCAACTTGGTGTCTTGGTGACCCCCGGCTCGCTACCTAGCCCGTTCCTTTAATGCCGCCTTTACAAGTAAGTACCGTAGTGGTATTCTGTTCACATACTGAATTAGTTAGTACAAGTCTACAAGGCAGGTGAAGACGCCGCCTTGCCCTTGGCTATTATTTTACATTACAGCATGTTGTTGGCGTGTACTTCTGGGCTGCTTTGGGTTGTTCAACCCGGAACCTTACAACCTTTCAAGCTGCCCCTCTTGCCTGGTGCAGGGTGGCGTCCTGTACTGGGCTGGTTTACCGTAAGCCACCCGTGGTGGACTGGACGGTGCCATTTGCTGGAAAGTTTACGAACAGAGAGTTTTTCGGCTGTACTGTACGTCATAAATTATTTCTCCTCTCTCAGACTCGTGGCAGTACTCGAGTACCCCCGTATGGTAAGGAATAATAGTCGTATCGGAGGCTGACTGGAAACGGGAGAGAGCGTTGGAACTATTTATCCTTTATCCCCGACTCCGAGTCTATCACTTGGACTATTGATTCTAATTTCCATCTCAACTCTATTCCAGGATTGCTTATGTACTACTGTACTCCGTACTCCGTACTGGAGTTATTGCCGCTTTTCCATGCGTAATAATAACAATTATCTCCGGTCGCAAACGACCAAGAAAGTTGAAAATGGCCAAGATGCGATCGCACCACCACGTGTAGGAAGGTCCAGTGACAGATCAATGGAATGAAGGGGCCATAGTCATAATGACAGTGGCACGTCCTGCCCAGTCCTTGACAAGTTGCCTTCCGTCATTTTAACATTCTTGACGTGTTTGAGATTGTTGTGGAGTGGGATGTCCCCCGGCTGCTGGCGCTGCTTGTCGGATCGAGATTTGTCGCATGTTTGTCCGATACATCGTTTGCCTTGAGATCGTCAGGTTGGCATTTTGTTTGAGATTGGCCGTCCTGCGTAGTACTGTACCATAATAGGTTGGCAGTGTCTACAAATGTCTATTCTTGGGGATGTACCTGATCCAAAGTCATGGAAAAGAAAATATTATAACAAAGAAAGGTATTCCTCTACCGAGTCATAAGTAGGCTCATAGCGACCACCAAGTACCGGCGTCACTTCTCCAGTCAGACTATGCCCGCGGTAATGGTATTGGTATAATAATAGACTTTTTTTTCTCTCGAGTCTCCGAAGACAAGCCCCATTCTTTGTTTGGGGCCTGGGCAGTGTTTGGGGCCTGGGCAGTGCAAGGCTCCGGACAATCCTAGCCTAACACCTTTGTTAAGACTCTCGAGTCAGACTTCTAGTCATGCTGACCACCATTCCCTGAGCCCGTCTTGAATTCCTCTTCGTCTTCTCTGGCTTTATACATTCCACACTCACCCTACTGTGTCTGGAGTAAATAACGCGATCATCATCGGTACCAAGGACGAGAAACACACGCTAGGCCTGTTCCTGAGCTATCGGCCCCACCCGCCACCCGTGAGTTTCAGGGCGAGCCACTTAACTGACTCGAGTGACTAAAGTGGCTAGACAGCTTTACAGGTTTTCCCATGGTCCGCAGTCCACACCCGTGACTTGTCATGCCCTTGGTCATGTGACTTGGTCTGGACAACACATGTGTGGAGCCGATCACACAGTGTGACAAGCCTAGACCTTTGATGATAGATGCTGTGATGCAATGATGGTCCCACTGAAAAGAATGCCGTGCAGAATTCGATTGCATGGTGGAGGCTTGACGCCTTGTATGCCGGTTCTCGTGGAGTCGAGGGGTGGTGGACTTTGATTGGGACGTCATCAGATTTTCGCTGGTGCGTGGTCTAGAACGGGGAGATAGATGGCTGGACGAGTCGATTGATGGAGTTAGTGTGTGTGATATATATTCTGAACCTTAATGGATACGCGTATGGGTTGTAGACTACAGAGATTGTAGTCCCGTCTTTTTGCGACGGGTTGGTAGATGACTTAAGCTCAGTCGGCGATATATATCCTTGGTAAGTAAATCTGCAACCATTACTGCCCAGGTGTACCGTGATGGTGGCAGTAATTTCACCGCTTGGTGCCTCGACTCAAAGTGCAAAGGATGCCTCATCTTTTATTTCAATTGTTGATACGGAAGCTCGTTCGGGCAAACCTGCACTACAACGAAATTACGTTTCTAAATATCTAGTTTCCGATGGTCTAGGCGCCAAGTATACGCGTCTACATTCAACATGACCACTCTCTCCAATATACGGAACGATATTTTCAACGATATCCTCCAAAAGCGAATCAACATCAAAGTGAAAACAAAAACCTTAAACCCCGAAGATTACCGTACTTCCACCTATTACATCGTCAACGAAGTCTTTCCAGACTGGACCAACGACCCTCGCATACTCTTCCTTGCAATCGACATATGGAGTGAACGCACATTCATCGTCATTGACATCAATAACTATGCCTACGACTTTCTTTCAGCACATGAGATCAAGACGGTTCTCCCCGTTTGTGTGCTTCAAAAGCATAAAAGAAGGCAAGACTGGGTTCTGGCCCGATGGCCTGCTGAGGATGAACCACTGAGTGAGAAGTTGGCTGACCTGCATAATGTCACTGGGTTTGATGCCATCCTGCCTTTCCTAGAAGATCATACCTCAAGAATCGTCCATGAGAATCCACGCTGGTTGAAGTGCGATTGATGCAAGCGTTGGATCGATTTTCTGCCTGTCCTGCGATTTGCGTCTATTTATCCGCATATTGTATCTGGATCTCAATATTGGGTTTTCGATCACTTAATTGTGCATCATCACACTGTTCTTTGATTAATATGTCTTCGCGTTTTACTGCGCACTCTTCTTCCACTAAAATGAGCGTGTACTATTGTGGTCTTTCATCGGAGATATCGGTAGCTATCTTATCAATCAATGACGAATATCTGCCAGCATGCAAGGTTGATGGTTTCTGTAATAGTACACGCCTTCCAATTGACACTTAACTAGATGGCACATTTGATTATAGTCCTCTTTGGTACTGGTCAGTACTAGGCATTAATTACCTCGAGTTATCACCTGACAAGAATTTGAGAATATAGCTTTGATTGAAGTTCCGAAATCGAACTGTAGCCATGTCGTCTAACTAGGATATCCCAGACCACTGAGCTCGAAAGCCCATTATGTACATATCTATTCAAGTCTATGTGTGAATCGGGAGGGTTTGGCTATACCATAGAACCGACACTAACAATAGAAGCAACTTTTGGGCTACCAAAGCGGTTATCAGATGAAATGAGAGATTCTGATAGAAGTCATGAAGATATTGTAGCCTTTGACTGCCTATGGAGTTGATTTTAGTTGATGGCTAGCGGATGCTGCCGTTTAATTCGAGCTGGCTATGCAGACGATAAGAAGGAAACTTTCGAGGGAAATTCCGTTGAACTTGAGACGCAAGGTGATGCAAATGATGACAGGATATTTTTGCTTTGAGAAAGGCTTACTATGAGGGACAGTGATGAAGAGCAAGAACAGAGTTGTAACTAAAGAGAGCGAATCGAAGACTATCCCACTACAGACAACATAGTCAAATAAGTTTCATGCAATCATTCTGGTTAGGGTGTAATGAAGACCCATTGTATTCTATCTAGTATTTTCTTATCTGATCATCTGGTTATCCGGTTTCTTTTGGATTCCGCCACACGCGGTCCTGCGAGACGCGAAGTCGAACTGAGGCATCGACAAACAACTTCCACAAACAGTCACCCACGACCTGCCTGGAAACCTGCCTACTCTTCCTTCTTCTCGCTCCCCATAAATTTCCCTTTCCTCTCACCTCTCGGATCCAACCCCCAAGAAGACTCTTCCCACGCAAGAGTTGCGTATGGTAGATTCCATCTTCCGCCTCAACACTCGCTCCTTCCACGCCGCAGGCTCCCCGTGTCAACTCTAGTCAAACCTCATCTCTCTCTCCAGCCATCTAGCATGGATCCACCGGAGAGTGCAGATCCCGCCAACCCGTTCTCTCCGGGCGCCGATTCTACAGAAGAAGAGGGGCCTCATGAGATTCTCGTGCATGGCCTTAAGGCAAAGTTCTTTTTGAACCAACCTGTCACAGATCTGCTACCAGATCGCTACCTGGAGAAGGCCGAAAATTCGCGTGAGTCATCCATCTCCTCCTCTCTCTCTCTACGTGTGAGTGGACAAAGTAAACTGACATATCATCTCTGACCTCGCAGCAGTCAAAACGAAGCCCTGGGTCTTCCGCAACGACGTGAAATACGCTCGCGACGTCAGTCTCAAGGAATGGTCCAAGACTAACAGCCGATATCGAGCCGTCTTCAAGACCCTCCGCCGTGTCCCCAAATTCGAGACGAGCCTCTGGGAGGGAGGATGTGAGGACTGCCAGGATGAACTGTCGCAAAACCGGAGTCATACACAGGCGCAGGTGGTCTTCGCCCTACTATCCGAGATCGGGGAAATGCTGGAGCTGAAAAGATTGACGGCGGATGGGAAAAGGTCTTTCTTCTTGATGTCAGTTGCGCATTTCCGTCATGAGGAGGTATTGTGCTGACATCCCTCTTCTCTCCAAAGGCCGCGGTTGATGGTCTACCAGCTTGAATATTGGACGGGATACCGCGAGAAGCACAGAGATGCACCAGATGTCGATGGAATTGTCTCCCTCGACTTCGAGCCTGGGAATAACCGTGTGATCCCGATTCTGCCCATCTCGGTGGTAAGTGGTCCCAAACCAGCTGAAAATGTTATCCAGCACCCGTGATACTAACAAACACCTCCCAGACAAACTACGCAGAGCCTCTCGAAGATAACCTCGCCGATAAGTTCAAGCTCATCCTCGGCCAACTCCTTCAACACGTTAGGCCCCTCCCCGTGCCTGGCGACAAGGTCCCTGACCAAGAAATCTTCCTCATCGGCCAGCACGGCTCAAAGCTCCACATTATGCGCACCTTCTTCCCGGGCCATAAAGTGTCCAGCCTCTGGTGTCGCAGCGAACTACCTTACACCGCATCCGCCGTCCCCCCAATGCTAACCCCAAGCCCCCCAACCCCCTCGCCATCCTCACCAGAAGGAACCAGTACCCACATCGAGCATATTGAAGTCAACGAAGCCGCCCGATCTCGCAGCAACAGCAACCGATTCTATGCAGCGGAGAACATTGAGCGCGTGCAGCGACACCTTGACGCCGCCAAGCTGAACATGCTTGACCACGAGCTAGATACCCGTACATTCCGAGTCCTCTGCACACGCGAGTACGATCTCTGGCACGAAGACGACTTTGCCGCTGCTGTAAAAGCCCTCGTTGCTTTGCACATGTACCTCCTCAGCGGCTCCGCGCAGTGCGGTGCCCTCCAAGCGGTCTTCAACAAGCCCCCGTACCCGCCCGAAAATCCAGAAGCCGAGAACTGGGAAAACGGGAGGTTCGCCGACGAAATTCGGCGAATTTTGGAGGATTGGTCGCGGGAGGACCGCGACGTGAGGAATAGTCGGCAGGAAGAGTGGGCGCTCCTGCGTCAGTTCGAGCTCATGCAGGAGTTGACTGCTGGGCGGAGGAAGTGTATGCAGGTTATGAGACGGTCGTGGTGGGATTTTGTTTGGGATGATTTGGAGGGGGAGAGGTTGGAGAGGATTGAGGGGGTGGAAGTTTCTGACGAAGGTGAAGGGGATGAAAATGAGGAGGGAGTACAAAAGGAGGACGAGGTAGAGGGTGGAGAGCATGGTGAAGAGATGGATGAGTCTTAAGTTGAGACTTGCCTCGGGGTTAGATAGGCATTATGATGGGCTAATGATACCCATCCATTCAGAAAAAAAAATGTTTGAGTACGATTGCATTTTCTTCGTAGGAGATGTAATACTCTCTCTGGGAATCCAAATAAAGGAAGTAGTCATAAGACTAATAAGTAAAGGGTGATCTGATCTCATTCAAGATCTCCAACTAACCACGTAAAATAGCTATCATGGATGTCACATCATAGTGCAGGTATCACAACAAAAGAAAAAGCACCAGCCAAAGCAAAGAACGGAGGATAACAAAAGGGGTATATATCAAGAGTGGATTGGCGGTTATTCCTCCCCTAGAACAAAGAACGAAAAATCCCTCAGCAAGTAATCCGAAAAAATATAGTATGTGGGTGCAACTGTTTACTCCCGATGCCGTCTCTCCGACTCAAAAGGTGTAAATCCATCCGCACCACGCCCGTCTAAACCCCCAGTACGGAAATATTCTGTCAAAACGCCGATCGCATAACATGATCCTGCGGTGATTGTGCCGGTGAGGATGATTCTGCGGATGAACTTGCGGAAAGTGGATTTGGATTCTGATTTGGGGGTCGAAGTTGACGAGGTCAAGTTTGAGCTAGAACCAGAGCTAGAACTGGAACTGGAATTGGAGTTGTGTCCGGATGTCGATGGCTAAGTCGACCAGTTAGGGACGGAGTCCGCGCCGGGATAAACCGTTTCATTTCATTTCACAGCCTACTCACCTTAGAGGTGGAAGACGGGTTGTAATGGCGTACATAGCTAGTTGAATCAAACGAGTCATGGCACAGATACCGCGCAATATCGGCATGGACATCGTCAGACAACACAGAGTCCACCTGGTAGAGCTCGTGCTGACCAGCATCTAGGGTAGACTTGGAGGTAGTATTGCTGTTATTGGCGAAGCGCTTGAAAACGAGAATATCACCTCCACCAGTCGCAAGTTCATACCCATCTTTCTGCATCGCGGCAAAATAGGGTACAAATTTGGCTGGGTTGTGGAGGCGGGAGAGGATCTCGTGCGGTTGGATGGGTGGGTTTGTGCCGAAGAATGTGTCTGCTGAGGTGGTTGTTACTGTTGATGTTGTGGTGTCGTAGGCTAAAATGCGGTAGTCTGCTTCGGTCCATGCCGGTGTTGTGGTTGACGGTGTTTGGGTTTGGGATTGGGTTTGAAGGACGTCGCCGACGCGGTCTTCGGAGGCATTGAATTCGACATCTTTGGCGCTGCGGGACTTGATGCTGGTGTCATTGTCGGTGTAGCGGGCTCGGATGTCACTGGCGCGCAGGGGTGTCAAGTCCTCGCTTTCGCCGCGGATCTCGGTGCTGGCGGCATCAGAGAGGAACTTGGCTTCGAGCTCATTACTAGGGCCACAGTCAACGGTGATGCCAGGTTGCTTGTCGTCGGAATCAGCAGTGGCCATGGTCGGCGGGTAATGCGTAGCTTGAACGGCGGCCGGGTTAGTCGCGAACAAGGCCTCAAATTCACTGCTGGGGGCGCAGTCGACGGTTGGGTCGGATAATTGAGCACGAGTGGTCTCGGCAACAATCCTTGCTTCAAGCTCACTACCAGGCCTGCAGTCAACGGGTGTTGCTTCCGGCTCGGAGTTGCAGTCCTTTTCTAGTTGAGCGGCAAATTGGGCCTCTAATTCACTACCCGGTTGGCAATCCACAGAGACGTTGGCTGTTGGATGATATCCAAAGCTCGGCGGCGAGTGACTCTGGTCATTCCCCGTAGCGGGCTTAGCAGTGAACAAAGCCTCTAGCTCGCTACCAGGCGCACACTCGACATTCTGGCCGGAGCTCAGACCGGCATCGGGACTCAGTTTCTTGGCCATGGTCTGGACCTTGAGGGTCTCTGACTGGGGCTTCTCTGAAGGGACGGACTCGGAGATGAAGAGTGTCTCCACCTCGCTTCGGGGAGGGCAGTCAATATTCTGCGAATTCATCGCATCCGACTTGGCACTCGAAATGCTACCTGGTTGGAACTGGCCATTCTCCACAGTAGAAGAGTTGGAGACGAATTTAGCCTCCACTTCGCTTCCCGGAGGACAGTCAACGCCTGCGTTGAAATTTTGCATCGTGGTCTCACTTCCAGTTTGCGACTGTGGTGCTTTCGGGGCCATACGGCCACTGATGGGATCATATTCAAGAGTATCTCGGCTACCAGATACACTCGACCGGACAGGAGACTGCGCAAAATTAAAATCCTGCAAATGAGCCTTGGACGGATGCTCCGTCATAGGCTTCTCAGCCCCCAGGAAAGCCCGCAGGAAACCCGGCCAAGCCGTCGCAGTATCAGACTGGTCAATATAATGGGAAGATTGTACAAGTCTGCGGCCAAAGATCGCCTCGTAAGGGTCTCTGGCAACCTGCCTCTTCAAGTGCGCAATACGGTGATTCATCTGCTCATGCTGAGCATCCCAATAGGTCTTCTCTCGACCGGCGAGTTCGGAAAAGCAAGATCGGGGCCAATGCGTGGCCCAGCCTTTGCTGCTACTGGGTTCTCTGTGGGCTGTGGCGGGCCAGCCATTGCAGGTTTCTGCCTTGGAACGGAGGTTTGCTTGTGGGTGACGCTGGTATTTATCGATGGATCGAGCGATGCGTTCCATTTTATCGCGGATGCTGTGATAGCTGCGTGCAGAGCGCCAGATACTGTGGCTTCGGGAATTGGGTGTGGCTACTAATTGTGAGAGGACTGGTCGGGTTGTGCCCGGCCTCGTCATGGCGACGGAGGACATGGCGATTGAGGAACTCATGATGGATTCTGAAGAGAGAGGTATATTGGAAGATAGGTGAACCGGTCCGATTGAGTGAAGAGGGGCTCTGAAGCGGAGTCGGATCACCAAAGGTGTACAGGAACTGTGGAGAATATGGATAAAGCGCGCGTGGGGTTGAAGGCTCCAGGGCGCTGGCGATCATATCCACCCGAGATCACACGAGATTGGGGAAGCGGGTCTTGGGCTTATCTGGGGTGCAGATAGTCCGATTAAGGCCGTTTAGCTTGGGAACAACGGGCCTTGGGAAGGATTTAGGGAGATAGATGGGATTAAAAGGAGATAGAGAAAACAGAAATGAGATTGGAGGGGGTAGACGAGTAGAAGAAGGGTAATGTAGGATGCCAGTTGCTACTCCGACAGGACCAGAGCACTCCGACGCGGGGACTCCAGTTGCTGGGATCAGCTGGAGAGGGGACCAATCACATGTCTCACCCACTTGTTTCCCCCGCAAGTCGCAAGTCAGATTGCTGACATCAGCTGGTATGATGTCATTGGCCCTCATTGGGTCTCAGCCCAAAAGGCGGAGAAGAGACACTCGTCATCATACATACTTAACAGTACTACTACAATCCTACCACAGGTAAAGTACCGTAGATGTACTGTAGTATGTAGTCATCGTAGATCGTAAATCGTAGACCCCGGTTCCCTTTCCTGAAGTTCTGGCACTGGTTTCCCCTCTCGCTCTACCTTCCATCCTGATTGTGTGCTCTTGCAGCCCCTTGCAGTGTGGGCAAATCCTCGCTCTGTCTATGCTACTAGATAATTGCTCCAGAACCGTAGGCCTTCTATACCTTCCTCTCGACACAATATCCCCCGGTCCTCTGCCATCTCCAATTCCTCGGCAGCCACCCCCACACTCCATTTGAATCGCTGCGCAGCTTCCTGTGCCGTCACGGCCCGACCAAATGCGGTCCAATCCCACGGTACCGCTTCGTCCGGTGGAACACAGCGCAACTCTTCCATCCACTCTTGCAACTGTCGAACCGTCTTCTCATCGCTCCAGTCATAACGCTGAACCACCAAGAGACCACTCTTAAACCGGCGTAGACGTACAGGTAGCTTCAGCTTCTCCCAGAGCTCGGCCGCCCGCTGGAAATCGGACGGGCTGATCAATTCAACTCCGTTACGAGATCGATTGAAGACCGCCCAGAGGTCAATCAGGCTCATAATGCCTCCTTCTCGTTGTAAAACGCCCTTGCGATCATCTGTAAGATACTCGGCCAGGTCACGCGACAGCTCGGATAGATAGAGGTTCTCGGAACCGGAGCTGAGCATGTCCTTTGTAGTCACCATCCCCAATGCTGCAGCCGACTCGGACAGGACTGCATTGGTCTCTGCAGAGGCTCCTCCGTTAGTCGTCATCCCTGACTCGCGGGCTAGGGTCTCGGCGAGTGCCACGATCTGCTTTGCCGAGGCCATCAACGCCTCGAGATCCTCAAAGGCGTTGCCAATCACTAATTGATTATTCATTCGCGTTTCTAGCCCGCGTTGCTCCAGACCTGCAATTCCCACTGCAGTAGCACGTGGTGTCGCAGGTTGAGGCTCAGCGATAGCAGGACCACTGGGCAAGGCACCGGCCTGTGATGGTGGCGGCACCGGGGGTGCATTCTGAAGTAGCCATTTCCTTTGGATCAAGGCCCCCTTGAGTCTCTCGTGGAATGTTTTCTCTCCGCCTTCTCTGAAGGAAAGCTTGATACTGTCGGTAACTTCAGAATTGGTGATGCGAGATTGTGCAAAGAATGGAGCCGGGGAGTCGACCCGACTCGTGTCGTCTCCTTGAATGGAAGGCCCTCCGACTTTTAGGGGTGCCCCGCAGATCTCACACTCCATAAGAGATGGATGATTGACAAAGGTACAGCGCGGACATGACACAGAACCTGCAAGTCCCGAGGGGCCTGACAAACTGCCATTCTTGTGGGTATTATCATTTTCGGTCGGTAAGGTTGCTGTGTTGGGCAAGGGGGGATCGCGACTCGTTGCGGCGCTGATGGCAGCCTTGAGGACTGTTGTAAATGGCGGCTTGATCCCGCATGCGAGACATGGTGGTAAATGAGTGGCCGCAGTAGCCGTGGCCGGATCAAAGTTGGAGGGCACAGGATTGGAGAAGGAGCATATCGGGCATATCCAGGTCGCATTTACTGGCTTCGGCGAAGACGACTGCTGTGGCCCAACACTTTGCGGCCGAGGAGAGGATGGATGAACCGAGAGAAGGCTAGTTTGTTGTGAGACTGCAGGACTGGCAGTCGCGCTTCGAGATTTGTCATTCTTTCCCTTCTGAGGTTTTGGATATATTGTAATTTTTGGCGATGACTTGAAAAAGCCCGCCTTTAGTGAGGTTCAACCGATTAGCAAGCAAGCCAAGCAGACTGTAGATCGAGCCATCCTAACCTGGTATTCGGCTCGATCGATTTCCTTTAAATCGATCCCGACGGAGAATTTGCGCGGCTCTTCAGCTGCAACATAGCACACCCGATGCGAAGTCAAGTAGGCATGGCCATTTTGGTAGTCCGGGATTTTGTATTTCCTGCTCGGCTCATATCAGTATATGTCGTCAACATCATCGTTCGGCGGGGGAACCAGCTTACCCCTCATATAACCCCACCGCATCCTGGACAAAGAGAAGGGTCTCGTCAGGTAACAGTAAGGGTCGCAGTGCAGTAGTCAGGTCCAGAGACTTGAAAAACATCTAGCAGAGGGAGCAGGCGACATATCACCCTTTCCAGGATGTCTGGAGCTGTCACTGATAACAAGATAACCTGGGGGAGGTCGGATCGGAGAAAAGAAGTTCCGGAGGGAGTAAGCGAGTTGGGAATCTTCACCCTTGGGAATCGACTTGTGTGCCGCTCCACCAGCGCTCCAAATCATCAACCGCAGCATCCAACCTCATCTTGTCGTTTGATATCGCGAGCTTGGACCTTTTTTCCCCTTGTTTGCTACCCGCCTACAGCCACATCGACCCCACCATCGTAGCCAGTTTCATTTTCTTTCTCCTTTGTTTCCTCTCTCGCGCCTTCCCGCTTTTTCATCTCTCTCTTGCCCTTTTTGCCTCATCACAATACACATTCATACTTTAGACACCGGGATGAGCTCCAGCGTTCCACCGTGGCGTGCGACTGCCTCGGCTCCAACCTCACAGCCCGTTGCTTTCCATCCCTCTGGTAAGATCACCCTTCCGATTCGCCTCTCGTGTTCGTTCGCCTCGCTGACATGACTCCAGCGACTCCTGCCTATATCCCAGTACAAGCACGTCGTAGTCTCACTTCTAATAAACCTACCTACCCACCTCCCACCGGATCCTCCTTCTTACAACCCACCATGAACCCAGCGGCGGAACCTCCTCGACCACGCATGGAGTTTCCTCCCGCCGTCCGCCTCTATGTCCAACGGTGCTTTGCCCCCGAGAACCAGGTTGCCAGCGTGAGCCACCCCGAAATGCAAGAGAAGCTGCGACAAGTCATCACCGAAGCGGCTGAAAACGACAAACTTCACATCATTGACTGGGAGCGACTGGCCCTGCCACAGGTCATGATCCAGAACGAACGCAACCGGATCCTGGCCAACCCCAGCGTTTCCAAATGGGGAATGTCTGGCCAACCCTCTTCCCCTAGTGACGCCAGTCGCAAGAGAAAGTCGACAGACTCCGGCCAGCTGCAGCAGACCGAGAAAGATTCGCCACCTTGGAAGAAAACTAACAATCGAAGTCGGTTTGAAGACCGCATTACTCACCCATCAACAGAGAAAAAATTATCACGAATGACTCTGGATGATTCTAGTAAGTCAAAAGCTAATTTGGAGATGAGGAGGAGGCGCTTCGAAGGCACCGGCGTCAGCTACGGAACCTCTGGTACTTCGTCCCCCGTGGATTCCCCATCCTCACGCAGTCCCGACCAGGACCAAGGACCCGTGGTGGGACGATGCCAAACTCTGGAGAAGAACTACTTCCGTTTGACCTCTGCCCCCAATCCGGATACTGTTCGCCCGTTGCCGGTGCTCCAGAAGGCCTTGGACCTCTTGAAAAAGAAATGGAAGCAGGAGGGCAACTATACCTACATCTGTGATCAGTTCAAGTCCCTGCGCCAGGACCTGACGGTGCAACATATCCGGAATGAGTTCACGGTCGTTGTCTACGAGATTCACGCGCGGATTGCCTTGGAGAAGGGGGATCTTGGTGAGTATAATCAGTGTCAGACTCAGCTTCGTGTTCTGTACGGGCAGAAGCTGGGTGGGCATCCGACGGAATTCAAGGCGTATCGTATTCTCTATTTTATTTACACCCGGAATTGGACGGCCATGAACGATGCGCTAGCCGATGTGACTGCAGAAGACAAGAAGACGCTTGCCGTCAAGCATGCTCTGGAGGTCCGCTCTGCCCTCGCACTGGGCAATTACCACCGCTTTTTCCAGTTGTATCTGGACACGCCGAACATGGGGGCATACCTCATGGACATGTTTGTCGATCGGGAGCGGTTGACTGCTCTGGCCACCATTTGTAGAGCGTGAGTTTGCACCCTTCTCCAATGTTACCGTTCCACTGCTAACCGTTCATCTTCAGGCACAAACCAGATGTCAACATCCGGTTCATCACGGAAGAGCTTGGCTTCGAGTCTGATGAACAGACCGCACGTTTCATCCTAAACCACTCGACCGAGGACACTCTGGAAGAGAAGAACGGGACTGTGCGGCTGTTGACCAGCAAAGCGGGCCCGCTCTTTGAGCGAGCCAAGGCTGAAGCCCATCGTGTTGTTGACATCAAGGGCCAGATCTAAGCCAGGCCCATCTCCTCTTCTCGATCTGTTCCGTCCCTCTCTTCCTCCCCATTAATCACACACCTAGGCTGGCCGCCGATGGACTTTCCACTAGTGGATCCGCATCTACCTCCGTGCCGTTGCATGGCAAAATCTGGATCCGTCTCATTTCTTCCGAAGCGACAGGCGTTTCCCAAAATCATTTCCTCGTCGTTCTTGGTGTTTTTCAACCAATGCCCGCCATCCCACCCCCTAGGCGTTGTCGCAGCTTTCATCCTCATTTTTATGCATATCTTATTTCCTCCCGTTCGACGCTTTCCTCTTGGGGAGTCTAGTGTCCGTCCGTCCCATCGAGTCAAGTCCGTCTCACTCTGCGGCGTACTTGGATCCCGCAATCATACTAATACCCCCCGCACGTGTTCTTGTTGAGTCTTTTTTCGCATTCAGGCTGGATTTGGGGTACGCGCGCTGTTGATGGATTTGCGTGGGGTGTCGTGGCGCCCTGGAGTTGATATTGGTAGTTTTGCCTTTCGTTTACTTCGTATCTACAGTCATCAATAAAATTTTTCAGAGTACTTTCTTTACATGAGGTTTCTCTATCGTTGTAGCTATTCCTGGCTGTTTATCGCAACCTATTCTGATCAAGGACAGTTGTACCATACCCTAACAATCCGTTTTCTCGACACCCTGTTCTCCAGGCTACACATATCCGTCCCCTTCCAAATCCAGAACAAGTCCTGCCTCCCACGACGATCACCCATCCCATTCACACCCACATTCACACTACAGTGTCCTTTCCATAGGTAATAGCCTAAACCTCCAATCTAATGTTCTAACCCGCCACCCATCGAAGCCCACCCTTTCCATTCCCATCACATTCCCATCCACAGATTTCCCCCTCGCCGCCCCGCCACGTGGGTCCCACACCCCAGCGTCCATGGAAGACCCCCACCAGCATTAGTGGTGACTGGCGCAACCAAGCTCGGGAGGACTCCATACTGGGCTTCGAGAAGATTGCCTAGGCGAGAAGGGTGGATTTGGACCAGATCAGTATGAAATAACTACCAAGTAAATGCAGTGTGCTCTGTACCCTTGAATATGCACTGGACATGGTTAACTTTGTTTAATGCCCCTCATCGGTACCCGCCGATGCTAGATGACGGACCAGGGGTGGGGTTTTTGGTAACTTGGTAACTTGGTAGGTTTATAGGTTCTTGCAGAATGAAACTGTGTTTTGGGTTCGGAGAGAGGACCTTGTAAGTTCTTAACAGTTTCTTGTAGCTGGTACTGACTATAGCGGAGTATCCGCCACTGCATGGTGATGATAGGCCTTGGATGTAGGAAAGGAATTCGGGACGTTCGACGATATAGCTCACAAGACTATGGTAAACTGTACATCATCCATCTTCCTATCGTATATCGTATATGTACCTAGTCCTATATGGCAATCTGCCGTGTAAGTATCACGATGCGCCAGCCTGCAGGAAGATTGCTGTCATTGCGGTGATCGGCGCGGCGGTGCTTCGACCTGCGAACCGCGCTGCGGCTGAGAGTTTCTTCAGCTGTGGTTGACGGCCCAATCGGGGTGCGCGAACTACTACAGAATAGACCTTGATTGTGTATGGTGGATGCTAGGTTCAGCTTACTATGGAGAGCTGGGAGATTAGTGAGTCGATTTCTTGAGAATAGGACGAGGGAGCTGTATATGCTTGGCAGCCGACCGATGCATTTATGGTGTGTTTTTCAGTGACCCTGAACTAAGGAATCATGCGAAGTATCAGGTAGGCTAAGGATCTCATCTCTGTCAGTCAAGGCGATATTCATCAAAACTGGTAGAAACATTCCAAAAATCAAGGTCAGTAGTAAGTACATACATACATAGTACATCACTGTATGTACTCTGATCTGTGCTGTGCTCTGTGCTCCGTTACTCCATCGAGGACCCGTCATGGGCTGCAGGCCGCCCCGGAATTAATTTATGTTTAATTAACTTATTTCCAGCCCAACCCCATCTGGACCGTTCGAGTACTACAGTATGGTATGACAAATATGAATATCTCCATGTAGTTATCCTTTATTCTTCATTCTTTATTCACTCGTGTCGATCTTTATAGAAAATGACATCTCCAATTTTCTCTGTCTATAATCCACATCCAACTTTCAATTTCCTGGCCCCCGAGTAGTATCAAAGGAAAGAAAAAAAAAGGTCCGCCGATCTAAGCTGGATTCGGATGAAACGTCGTCAGAGCCATGGACCTTCGACTGAGTGGACCGTGGATGATGGACGACGGGTTGGTGGGGTGGAGGGGGGTTGAGGAAGAATGACGGGTCATTTTTTTGAGTTCTTTTATTCTTTTTGTAGGGAACTCGGCGCCTGGAGATGGCCGGGTTGCCGAAGGAGACAAGGGGAATATTTGATTTGATATAAAGTGTATCATGGCATGGATATTCTAGATTTTTCCAGATAGTATGTCTTTCATCTCGGTGCATGCTGATTAGTTGGTTTGTTCCTAAGTCAGGAACAAAGGGCCAGTCTGGAGGGGCCAGTAGCCGCCCCAAGCTGAAGAGGTCGGTGCCCAACGAGGCGCTGTGGCCCCGGCGTAACAGTGGAGATCGCGTGGGACTTCTAATATTACGTGACGGTTCTTTGGTTCTTGGAAGTTTGGGGGCGCTTCGTGATTGCTTGTTCTTGTAGAAGAAATGGAAATGATGGAGTGGATTTGGTATACACATAGTCATGGATGTATAGTTATACTTCAACTACCTAATACTTGTTCTACTGTAGATATGTATTTCCTCTGGGGACCATAGGTATTCATTCGCGCGCTAAATCAGACCTTGCCACAGGCACATCTCGTGGTGATCCACGGTCGTTGGTCCCAAACTCTCGGAGACCATGTTTGGAGGACTATAACATAACGCCCCTCGAATGGCGAACAAATTAGACGATAGTAGTTACAGTACTCGACAGTCTGGGTGCATTCCACTTATATTGTACTTGTACTCTCTGACCCCATCCTATATACTCCATTCTGAACGACAAATCTATTCTTATCGCTCTTCAAAGAAGATCGCTTGTCGACATCGCAATCTAGCCCGTTGGTTGGAACCCCAATACGCAGCCTCGCTCGTTCTCTTTTTTCTTCTTTCGCCTTCGCCCTCTTTTCTTTCTCTTGCTTTCACTTCTGATTTCGAAAGGTGGCCAGAGTTTAATCTAGAAGTTGACCTTTCTATCATTATCTACTACTGTGGTCCAACTTTGAGCCTAGTTCTAATTCTGACTACACCTCCTGTTCCTCTTTCCTGCTACTACCTAAATGGCCCTGGGTATACTGCTGACCTGAGAAAAAAGAACCCATTTCCACTACTCTTTCTCCTTCTCTTTCTCTTCTCTCTACTTCTCCTTCTTCTCTCACTGGTTTCCCCTTTCCCTAAAATCGGATCCCTATCAAATCACTCGGTTCCTTCTCTTCCCTTCCGGTCGCGATGAAGGTAAGTTTCCGATCCCGCCCCTCTCCGTCTCTCTCTGTTCTTTCTTGTGGACGTGTCGCAAACCCTCAACTCCAAAAAGAGATTACGTATCGTGTGTCGTTAAATTAACCCGGTCCCCGCCCAATATAGGCCATCCGGCGCTCCTTGAAGGGGGAGAAAGATCCCAAGCATCATCACCACCATATCTCCATCACTCCCAAGTCGGCGATTGCCATCCTGCCGCCAAAGAAGGTGAGTCTCTTTTGTTAGGAGTTGCGCATTCTCCCTTCTCTCTGTCTCTCTTATCCCCGGTCCCCCTTATGCCCTGCCCATTCCCTTGCGGCCCCTCCCCAGCCACCAACCCTCTTCCTCTCCTCTCTCTGTTTCTCCCTACCGCCCCAGAAAAAAGAAAGACAATCGCCCCTCGGTTGCGACGCCCACTACCGCCACTATTCAACTCTGACGGTCTCACACCCACTTCTCCCCCCCTCCTACTTTTTCCCCCCTCCCTCTCCTTATCAGCCCTCTCCTCCGGTTCCCTACCTGAATCACCCGATCCACGGTTCTTTCTGTCTTCTGGAAAACAATCGAACCACAACACAACCAAACTCATACCCCCAACAACAAAGACCTCGCTGACCCTAGTCGCTGGCTGTACACATAGGTAATCAAAGCGCTCTACGATTACACCCCCGAACCCGGTACCACCCAAGAATTGGCCTTTAGCAAGGGCGACTTCTTCCACGTTATCAGCAGGGAGGACGATTCAGACTGGTACGAGGCGTGCAATCCACTCATCCCTAGTGCCCGAGGGCTCGTTCCTGTCTCCTTCTTCGAGGTCATCGGCAAAAACGAAAGGGATAGTGGGGGGTCCGTGGATCTACATAAAAAGGACCACCACGATTCTGGTTTCTCCGACCGCAGTCCCACCTCCGATTCTTCTACAAACACCACCCGACAAGGCGCTTTCAGAATGTCTGCCCTCGGAAAGGGCCAAGGCGCCATGGTCTACGGCATTGTCCAGTATGACTTCCAGGCCGAGCGACCCGATGAGTTGGATGCGCGCGCGGGCGAGGCCATCATTGTTATCGCCCAGTCCAACCCGGAGTGGTTTGTGGCCAAGCCGATCGGTCGTCTCGGTGGCCCAGGCTTGATCCCCGTCTCGTTCATTGAATTGCGCGATATGCAGAGTGGTCAGGCTGTGACTGATCCACTGGAGGCGGTGCGCCGTGCTGGTGTGCCCAAGGTTGAGGAGTGGAAGAAGATGACCGCAGAGTACAAGAATAGCAGCATCACGCTGGGTAAACTTGAACCCTCTGGCGGTGGCGTTTTCGCGGTGACTTCGGGCATGGACAAGATGTCTATGGGCGGATCGCACCAGAGCGCCAGCCACATGAGTCAGAATGGCAACACCTATGTAAGTTGGACAGGACTATTGTGATCAATTATTGATCTTGTTTGCGACTTTCCACCTTTGGCAATGACTGATATATTTTTGTGATGTGTTTTAGGGATACCACCAGCGCAATGCCAGCAAGGGTACTATTGCCGGCCAAACCTCCATGCAAGGCTATCAACAGCCCCTCCTCGCGCCGGTCGCCGCTTCGATCCCGCGATACTGCTTCGATAACGACAAATACTGGTACATTATCGAGGCGAAGATGGAGGACGGCCGGTGCTGGGAACTGTCGCGATACTACCACGACTTTTACGATTTCCAGATCGCCCTACTCACTCAGTTTGAAGATGAAGCTGGCAACCGTGGCCGCCCTCGCACCCTGCCTTTCATGCCTGGCCCCGTCACCCACGTCACGGATGCCATCTCCAACGGCCGTCGCCAGAACCTCGACGAATACATCAAGAAGCTCCTCTCCATGCCTCCACACATTGCCCGCTGCCAACTAGTACGGCAGCTATTCGCACCGCGTCAGGGCGACTTTGAAATCGACCCCAGCGCTTTCGGCGAGGAGGCGCGCTATTCGGATCAATCGCACCACTCCTCCTCTGGTCTGGAGCCTTCGCAAAGCGTGTCTCGCCAGTCTTCGCAGGCGCCAATGAACGGCGGACCTGACCGCGCATCGCAGCAACGCGCTCAAGGCGCCCCCGCCACATATGCCAATGGCGGACCTCCCCCAATGAACCGCCAACCTAGCTCCCTGACTCAGGTGTCGAGCACATCCAACTCGAGCGCCATGAAGGTCAAGGTGTTCTTCCAGGATGACTTGATTGCCATTCGCATTCCGAATGGCGTCAGTCTGCAGCACCTCAAGGACAAGCTGTGCGATCGACTTAAGATTCAGGAAGATATCATCGTGCAGTATCGCGATGAGGCTTCAGGGACTTACGTCGACTTGGTGTCAGATCAAGATCTGGAGAACGCGATGCAGCGCAACACCAAGTTGACATTGTTTGTCAACATCGCATAAATAGGCTGATTCTATGCTTTCCCTTGTCCTTTCGACTGTTCTGTTGTTCTCTGTTCGACCATTGCGATAGACATCCTGTACCCTCTCCTCCTTTTTCTTTTTTCCATTCTCCATGTTTCTGGGTGCATCGGCGTTCTGGAATTCCTTTCGGGAGGACTCTCACCCCGAGTCCTCCACCTGCTTTTTCCAGCGATGAGCATCTTTTCTGTTTTTGTTCGAGGGGAGGATGATCATCGCGATGTTATGAGTATGATGTGTGATGTTTGGCATGGCTTCTTTTATTTTTATTTTTTTTTCTTCTGCGCATCTCTCACGTTTTCAACATCTTTCAGTCATATTTTTACACTATCCCGGTCACCACAGTGCTCTTTTCATCTTTACTTTCTCCTTGTTTGATTTTCAACCGGGCTTCTGATCTTCACCCTGTACTGCTCACATCTGGGCATGGTTTCTTTTTCCCCATCGTTTTTTCTTCTCTTGTGTCTTCTGTGTGTGGGTGACATACCCTGGGTGCTGGGTGCTGGGTGCTTGTTTTTCCTTTTGTCTGCTCTGGTGACTTGTAAATATGCTCTCTTTCTTGTGCATATACAAGGGAGGATTCTCGACCGATCTATGATCTAGCAGTCAGTGTTATACTTGTACCAATATAATTAAATGTATAACTAGGGAAATTGGGCCTTTTGTACTGATGAGTTGCCTAAGAAAATGCAAATCACGTGACTCGGCATATCGGCCGGGATGCCTTTTTGCCTCAGGGACAGCCACACTTCGGAGCCAGATCAATAGCCGGGTCCCCGAATTTATCCTTAGTTTGATTTTCTTGTTGATCTGTAGATATCTTTGAAGGCTTCATTTTAGCCTTCTTTCTTGCTCTTCCAGATAGGCTGGTTCCCGTTGCTGGTATTCCTGTCTCTCCTTGGAGACTTCGTGCTGTCCATCCGCCGTCTGTACTCCGTACTTCGTCCACCTCGCCGCTTCCCCGGAAGAAAACAATTCCTGCGGCGATACCTCGGCTACGACTTTCACCCGCCTTTCATTCACATTTGCCCGTTACCCCATGAGACGCACCCTCAACCTCACCACTCCGACTGTACATACACATTATCTATGCAAATGAGGCGACCTCCGGCGAAGCTCTGCTCGGACTGCGTCCCATGCGCGGTCCGCCGGTCTTATGGCGCGCGGGTTGCGCCAATGCCCCGAAGCATCACGGAGAATTCTCGCGGTATGCGACCGATGGCATACTCGACTCTGACGAGACTCCCGAATCGAACCGGTCTGTCATCGAATGTACCTACGCAGCAGACTGCGGTGCCTGTGAATAGTGTTCTCCTGCAGAAGCGGGGTTTGGCTACGACTGCTGAGGGGGCTGCGTCTGCGCCTGCGGCTGCAGAGGCTTTCGAGACGAAACCCTCCGGTGCGCCGCAGGATGGACCGATGAGGGAGTATGATGTGCGGGTCGAGGAGGGTCGACTGCGGGACGATCCATATCAGCGAGGTAAGTAGACAGGGCACATCAGTAGATAGCCTCGCAGCAATGCAGTGCACGTTCAAGCTAACGCAGATCCTCAGGAATCATCCAGAACCTCCAAGACCTCTTCGAAGCGCTAAAGCACTACAATGCGCCCTCTGTCGTCCACCCCAGTATCGAGTCGCTCGACCCACAACCCAAAAAGTCCTTCTTCGGCTCGCTGTTCGGTTCAGGTACCACCAAGCCTGCGACTACTACGGCTCCTGAGGGTCTGCCGAAAGGTCTGTACATGTATGGTGATGTGGGTTGTGGCAAGACCATGTTGATGGACTTGTTTTTTGATACGTTGCCGCCGAATATCAAGACCAAGACTCGGATTCATTTCCATAATTTCATGCAGGATGTACATAAGCGTATGCATGTGGTTAAGATGAAGTTTGGGAATGACTTTGATGCGTTGCCGCTTGTTGCGGCGGATATTGCTGAGACGGCGAGTGTGCTGTGCTTTGATGAGTTTCAATGTACGGATGTTGCGGATGCGATGATTCTGCGAAGGTAAGTTGGTTACTCGGTTTTCCCTCTCGTTCTTTGGCAACTGCGATGTTAACATTGATATTGATATCCGGCAGACTCCTCCAATTCCTCCAATCCCACGGCGTCGTCCTAGTAACAACATCCAACCGCCACCCAGACGACCTCTACAAAAACGGCATCCAACGCGAATCCTTCATCCCCTGCATCACACTCCTCAAAACCGCCCTAAACGTTATCAACCTCAACTCTCCAACCGATTACCGCAAGATTCCCCGTCCCCCAGCTGCAGTCTACCACCACCCACTAGGCGAAGACGCGGACCAACACGCCCGCAAGTGGTTCGATTTCCTGGGCGACCCTATCAATGACCCGCCTCACGCTGCTACCCAGGTTGTCTGGGGCCGAAAGATCCAAGTCCCGCAGGCGAGCGGTAAAGCTGCGCTGTTCACTTTTGACCAGTTAATTGGGACGGCGACCGGCGCGGCGGATTACCTTGAACTTGTTCGGCATTATGATGCTTTTATCGTTACGAATGTCCCGGGGATGAATCTCAATCAGCGGGATTTGGCGAGACGGTTTATTACTTTTATTGATGCGGTTTATGAAAGCAGGGTTCGTCATTTACCCTTCTTGCAACCAACCAATGCTCTCTTTTCTTTTCTTTACTAACCTTCCCTTTTTGGTTCTCTGTATAGGCAAAACTAGTCCTAACAACAGAAGTTCCCCTAACAAACCTCTTCCTCTCCGCCTCCGACGTCCGCTCCTCCCTGCAAGGCAAAGGCGAAGGCGAAGGCGACGACCACTCAGATCTCTCTGACGCAATGCGCAATCTAATGGATGACCTGGGCATGTCCGTGCAAGCGTTGAAGAATACATCGATTTTCAGTGGTGATGAGGAGCGATTCGCGTTTGCGAGGGCTTTGTCGCGGTTGTCCGAGATGGGGAGTCGGGAGTGGGTTGAACGGGGGCTTGGGGTGGGCAAGAGTGTTGTTGAGGGGCAGCAGGAGAGGGAGGCTTGGTTGAAGACTAGGAGTCATTGGAGTGAGGATAATATGTAGATGGAATGGGAATGGATGATGGGGTGGGTGGGTCTTGCATTTTTGGTCCTTGGGGGAGGAAGGTAGATATTGAGTTGTGGCCTGTTTGTATTGTAGGTATACCTGGGGGACAGATGCATTTTGGTGGAGTGTTTTAGCCTTGGGCAGAGGACCTTGGCTTCCTTTGCGTGGTTTAGAGAATTGATATCCTTTGTAGATACATTTTTACTTTCGATGAACAAAGGTTCCCGGAGAATTTCACTTTTCTCAAAATGGCCGACAAAACTTAAACTTGTAATAGATCAGGGTCTCACCACTGAATTCCTTCGATTAATCTCTCATTTATTACTTAAGAACAACGGTATAGTCTACAGAGATGAGTGATGAGTGAAATGCAGACAGGGAAGTTGTCTGGCAAATGCCTCAAGGAAGTAATCAATCAGGTCTCAAGAATTACCAAGTGCCAAAGCATAAATCCTCCCGTCCTTCTATACGAGTCTCTTTAACCACCGATGATCTACTTAAGGCCCCTTTATCTTTTACATAGGTTATGTATAAATTGAGTAGATCCATAGCCGCAGCGTTGAAGCTCCACAACCCAATTCGGCTGCAGATATCAAATGACGTCACGACAATTCAAATCAAGTTCTAGAATTCTTCCGCAACACCATTCTACTCAAGAATATTAATATCAAGATTTCAGTTGCTCTACTCTCTATTGCTATGTAGTAGTTAAAACAATGATCACAGGCTCAACGTCATCGACACTGCTGTCGGAAGGTGGTCGGTCCACATCTATATCCTCTACATACTGCTAACCACAAGTGCGTTATCCATGAATTATAGTTAGCACCGATGATCAACGGAACCGAACTCCTAAAAACAGGGCTGTCCGTTCCGATATCTAGCTTTCTACTTGGTGGTTCCTCGGGTAGAAGGGAAGGTAGGCAAGAATAAGTTGTAGACTACACAGAGGGTACGATGGGATTGGACCCACGAATCAGCGGGCAGATATTCGCAATGAATATGTTGAGTAAGCGGGGACAGGCAGGTTTTTGATTTGTCTTTGAGAACTGTTGGTCATTGTTTGCTCATGGTTTTTTTTAGCGTTGCTTGTGGTAGGCTACGACACTGGGGAAGAGCTACCTATTCCTCATATTTTTCCAGTTTCTGGATCTTCTCCACTCCGTAGGGTAAGCTCCTGATGTAGAGATCTAGAATTGAAGCTTGGGTAATCAGATTATGGATTTCTTGATTGCTTTTCCTGGTGACATGATTGGTGTTTTGGGACTCTGATGTCGGAATTACATCATTAGTATGATGCACTGGATTACATTGTATTTCTTGGCTCGAAGCAATCTTATACATATAACAGTTCCGCAAGACTGATTGCGCTTCTCTCCACAGTTTGACTTTCATCTTCATTCCTTTCGTGACACTTGAATTTACTCTATCACATTCTATCGCGGAGAAGAACTAGAGACAAGTCACGAGAATGGCAGCTACAGCTACAAAAAATGCCAAGTCTGCGGACGGCAAGTTTGCCGATATGCAGAGAGATACTATTGAACTCAATGACAAGGACCATATGACCACCGACTATGGCATCAAAATTTCTGATCCTGACCACTGGCTGAGGGTGGCTGACGAGAAGAAGACCGGTCCAATGCTTCTAGAGGACCAAATTGCCCGCGAGAAGGTTTGCTCTCCAACATAATCATGAACTAGGTTCAATACGCTAACCCGCGTGCTTTTCTAGATTATGCGCTTTGACCATGAACGCATCCCAGAGCGAGTCGTTCACGCCCGAGGCACCGGCGCTTTCGGTACATTCAAATTATTCGAGAGTGCGGAGGATGTCACCACCGCTGGCGTTTTGACTGATACATCGCGCGAGACTCCGCTATTCCTGCGCTTCTCGACTGTTCAGGGTAGCAAGGGGAGCGCAGATACAGTCCGTGATGTGCGCGGCTTTGCTATTAAAATGTACACTGCGGAGGGAAACTGGGATATTGTCGGTAACAATATTCCTGTCTTCTTTATCCAGGACGCGGTCAAGTTCCCGGATGTTGTTCACTCGGTCAAGCCTGAGCCGCATAATGAGGTGCCGCAGGGCCAGAGCGCTCACAATAACTTTTGGGACTTCGTGTATATGCATTCGGAGACGACACATATGAATTACTGGGTAAGTTGGAGATGGTCCTTGAGGATGATAGGTGCTAATAAATGATATAGCAAATGTCTGATCGGGCCATTCCACGATCTTACCGGATGATGCAGGGCTTCGGTGTGAACACCTACTCTCTTATCAACAAGGAAGGAAAACGCCATCTTGTCAAGTTTCATTTCACCCCTGAACTAGGCGTACACTCGCTAGTCTGGGACGAAGCCTTGAAGATCTGCGGTCAGGACCCGGACTTCCATCGCAAGGATCTCATGGATGCAATCGACGCCGGCCACTTCCCGCGCTGGAAATTCGGTCTGCAACTTATTCCCGAGGACAAGGTCGATGACTTTGAATTCGACCCATTGGATGCTACAAAGGTCTGGCCTGAGGAGCTCGTGCCGATCCGATATATCGGTCAGCTAGAGCTCAACCGCAACATCGACGAATTCTTCCCTCAAACCGAGCAGGCTGCTTTCTGTACAAGCCATATCGTGCCTGGTATCGACTTCTCGAATGACCCGTTGCTGCAGGGTCGCAACTTTTCCTATTTCGATACGCAGATTTCTCGTCTCGGTCCGAATTGGGAGGAATTGCCAATTAACCGCCCGGTTTGTCCTTATATGAACCTGGTTAATCGTGACGGGTCTATGAAGCATCGCATTACGAAGGGCACGGTGAATTACTGGCCTAACCGTTTCCATGCAAATCCACCTGCCGATGCCAGCCAGGGAGGATTCACGAGCTACCCCGAGAAGCAGCAGGGAATTAAGGCGCGCGCTCTATCCGAGAAGTTCAAGGAGCATTATAAGCAAGCGCAGACCTTTTATAACTCCCTTTCTGAGATTGAGAAGCTGCACGTTGCCAAGGCATTCTCCTTCGAACTAGATCACTGCGACGACCCTATCGTGTACAAGCGCATGACCGAGCGTATTGCGATTGTCAGTTCCGAGCTCGCAGAAATGGTTGCGACAAACGTGGGCGGCGATATGCCATCCAAGCCTTCCAAGAATCACGGCAAGAAAGCAAAGGGTCTCAGCCAACTCGAGTATCTCCCCGAGAAACCAATTATCGACACACGCCGCATTGCAATCCTTCTCGCCGATGGCTTCGACTACAACGCATACACCACTATGAAAGACGCCCTCTCCGAACGAGGCGCCTTCGTCTTCACGATCGGCGCCCAGCGCAAGGGCGTCACCTCCGAGTCCGGGCAGACGGTCGTCCCGGATCATTTCTTCACGGGCATGCGCTCAACACTCTTCGATGCCACATTCATCCCGGGCGGCAAGCACGTCGCGGACGGGCTTGCGAAGAACGGCGTGGCCAAGTTTTGGGTTACCGAGTCCTTTGCTCATCTCAAGCCTATTGCTGGTATGAATGAGGCTGTGCCTTTCATTAAGAAGCAGATTGGCTTGGACGAAGTTGAGGTCGCATCGCCTGGTACTTTGTCTGCGGAGTCTTATGGTGTTGTAACTGGATATGGGGATGCACCTTCCACGTTGAAGGTGGGCAGTGTTGGACCCGATTCGAAGGGGTTGGCGGAGAAGTTCATCTGGCATATCTCGCGTCACCGTAATTGGCAGCGAGAGCTTGATGGGTTGTCTGACCAGATTGCGGCTTAAAATCCCAGGGCAGGAGACAATTATTTAGATGTTGCCGGGAGATGAATTGTACTCAGCGCTGTAGGAATACGCGTTGGTGGCGTTTGAGTTTTGGGTATGCTGGTCCTGGATTAGCAATCAGAGGACGATGTAACGAATTTCCAAATTGATACTTATTTTCAACGACCTTAATTAACATACCGTCTTACTTCGAGGAATCTTGCATTCGCGGCTGTTGTCATCCTTGCCTGTTCGGGTTCTTGGGGACCTTGGGAGTTGGGAGGATGCTTGCATTCTTCACGGTCTAGAATTTGTTGCAGTCCAGGTCTCAATCGTGATTCACACGTTGGTGTAGGGTTGGATATGTACTCGTAGTGACTTTTTCCTGGTCAGGCGCTATACAACCGTCAACACAGGAGAATATTCAACCCCACAACCACGATATATTAGATTTCGCGGAAGCCTCATCGGCCTTTAAATTAAATTTTTCTTTGATCAGAAATTTATAAAGGAAAAGTGGAGCCTTGGGAGGCTCGCACTTGAACCCAGGTGGGCTTCGGCATGCCGCATCCTCGTTGCATGCCACAGCGCGGCCGGGAAGGCGTTGGTAACATGGTCTTCATATGTATTCAACACACGCGCCAAACCGGCTATTGCGATATCGACTAACTGCCAAGATGAAAAGTTTGGTACCTGGAGCAGGAGGATTTGAGTGTTTGACAAATAACCACCTACCTCTCTAGTCCTTGTTCACCACTTGACCACCCCCTTTGATTTTTTGAAGACAGTCTGCGTGTTTTGCTGGTATTGTACCGGTTGGATCATACTTGTCACTCTTTCTCTTCCTCTAACATCAGTTCTGACTTCGGTGGCCTCTCACGCAGCCTCGCGAAAAGCTGATATCAAGTCACCTGTGACCCTGCCTTGGAGTTGGGCTGAATCAAATCATGCCATTTCATCTCTCGCATTCGACGCGGCTGGCAGTGGTCATTGGTATTTCGACATGTTTCTTCCTCGGCGAGATCTCAGGTAGGTGCTCATGAACTCGTTCTGATCTGGCGACGCTGACTCAAAAACAGTGGGGTTTTATACCCACTCGCTTGCCTTGATTGCTGATGCATTCCACTACGTATGTCTCCCATGACTCTTCGTCCTGGATTTTTGCGCTAACTGATCAAAAGTTGAATGACCTAATGGGATTCGTGATCGCCCTTGTGGCGTTAAAGGCTTGTCATATCAATATCACTATCAGTCTCCTTGACATCAATACTGACTTTCAATCCCACCGCTAGGTTTCGGAAAAGGGCAATTCTCCACAAGATCTCTCCTTTGGCTGGCAGCGTGCCCAGCTGCTTGGCGCTTTCTTCAACGGGGTCCTCCTCTTTGCATTGGGCCTCAGTATTTTCTTGCAGTCAATTGAACGCTTCATCTCTTTGCAACGTGGGTCTTCGCCTTTCATTGTGGGAAATCCATCGCTAATCGAGATGTAGGCATCGAAGATCCTAAGCTGGTGATGGTTGTGGGATGCATTGGTCTGGGTCTGAATATCATCAGCGCGCTGTTTCTTCACGGTATGTCCTTTATCTTACTATCAGGTTCGTTGAGCTGAATGAGTGCGCTAGAACATGGACATGGACATGGCCACGGCCACGTCTCCCCGCCGGTTATTGAAGATGGACTGGCGCCCGTCAGCGACTGCGAAGAGGATTCTATTTCCAATGTACGTGATGCTCCCGACTTCTAGTGTGCAAACGATTGACAATTGTCTTTTAGCATCGTGATCATAAGCATCCGCAATTTGAGAATACACTATCCGCGCACTGCCATGACGACTTGGATAGCCATAGCCATGGTCATAGCCATGGACACGACCATGGTGACCTGGGAATGATGGGTGTCCTCTTGCATGTTTTGTGTGACGCTGCCAATAACCTTGGGGTTATTGCCGCCGCGTTGGTCATCTGGCTGGCGAAATACGAAGGCCGCTACTACGCCGACCCTGGGGTAAGCATGGGAATCGCAATTATGATCATTATTTCGTCCATTCCACTGGGTAAGTCCGATACCTTCCTTGGACTACTATGCCCGTGCAGTTATATATTTCCGACTGACCCGCACTTAGTACGGACTACGGGCCTTATCTTACTGGAAAGTGCCCCGAATGGCGTAAATCTGATGGATGTCCAGCACGATCTTGAAACGGTCAGCATAGTACAGGTTACCGCAAGTTTTCTTTCCCCAAATTTAACAGTTATTAGGTTCCGGGCGTGCACTCTATCCACGAACTACACATTTGGCGCCTCAACCAGCGCAAAACCATCGCATCCGTCCACGTTGTGGTATCTGATCCCTCGGTATCCAGTTTCTTGAAAACTGCCAAGACTATTAACGAATGTTTCCACGCGTATGGAATCCATTCTGCCACCCTCCAACCTGAAGTGTTGTCCGAGGCTGACAAAATGTTCGCTGGCGAGAAAGGCCCGCGGTGCCAAGTTGTGTGTGGAACTCTCTGCGCGGCATTAACATGTTGCGGATGAACATGATGCCAAAAAGTCGAATCCCTTGCATCAAGCACACCAAGTGGTCGAGCAGTAACTCGGCTAATACGTCTTCCTTGGTCTAGTGGTCATGATTTCCGCTTGTCATTAACACCGATAAGCGCGGGAGACCGGGGTTCGATTCCCCGAGGGAGAGTTTCTTTTTGCATCTTTGCACATACGCTTCAGGCTACTAGAAGCTAGCTATTCTTTTTTTCACTAAAATGGGGTCATATTAACAGACCTATGATCAGCTTGGAGTTTGTACGATAATGAATGACTATCCAGTGGCTGCCTCGGTAGCTTCTACCACTACAATCTAAACGAATACCCTCGTCGCTTTTGTAGTAGGGTCACTAATTGGCCAAGCACTCAGATCGCCTATCAAGCATGTCCGCTAGACACCAAGCCAACGGAATTTTCTCCGCCATAGATCCTTACCCCCCTAAGGCGACTCCAACTGCATGATAAGGAGAACCAACAGCCGTCGCAGCTCGACTCCACTTTTCAGACGCGGGGATGTCCATCCGAGCAGTACCTATCAACGGCTTCCGATTCCGAGAGGAATGTAGTACAAATAAATGCTGTCAGCGGGGGCCTAAAAAGAAGAGGGGAAATGCTCAAACTGATTACTTCCTTTCATTCTTCTTTCTCCAACTACTGATCCTATAACAACATCCACTAAGCCATAAAAACATACCCCTCCAGTCCTACCAACATGTCGCTAGATAGCTGGCAACGCAAAGCACAGACGGGCAGAGACATTCTCGACAAGTCGATTCCGAAACAATGGCTGCTGCCGGAATCGCAACTTCCACCAGCTATGCAGAAGAACGTGATTGATTTTCCGAGACAATCTGGGCTCCTGAGTGAGCGCGAGCTGATAATTACTGAATTGTCTGCGACAGAATTAGTTAGGGAGATGGGGAAGGGGGATTTGACTGCTGAGGAAGTTGTTGTTGCCTTTCTTAAGCGATCTGTGATTGGACAACAGCTGGTATCAATAATTGCATATTACTCCTGTTGAAGCGGGAAAGCTGACTGAATGATTTTGCAGCTGAACTTTGCGACGGAATTTCTCGCCGACGAGGCAATTGCTCGGGCGCGAGAGCTTGATCAGCACTACAAACAAACGGGGAAACTTGTCGGACCTTTGGTGAGTCAAAGTCCAGGCGAACTCGTCGAGTAGCTTTTGATTGACAACTGTTGTAAATAGCATGGTATTCCAATCAGCGTAAAGGAGCACATCGGGTTCAAGAATAAGACCTGCAACACCGGATATGTGGCTTGGTTTGTCGAGTCAAACCCCCTGCTTTGATAACCATCGCTAACGAAATTTCCAGGATTGATAATATAGCTCCCGAAGACGCACACTTGCTACGACTACTAGAAAATGCAGGCGCAGTGTTCCACGTCCGAACGAATCAACCCCAATCACTCATGGTAAGTATCGAAGGGACTATCCACTTGACATAACATTCCCGACTAACTCATCCCAGCACCTCTGCTGCAGCAACAACATCACAGGCACAACTTTGAACCCACACAACCGAACATTAACGCCCGGCGGTTCTTCAGGTGGTGAAGGCGCTTCGGTAGGCTTCAAATGCGCACCCCTCGGCATTGGCACTGACATTGGTGGGTCGATTCGTTGTCCCGCTGCATTCTGTGGTGGTTATGGATTCCGACCTACCGCGATGCGCAATCCCATGGCTGGAATTCAAGTGGCGTGTATTGGGCAGGAGACTATTCATGGTGTTGTGGGACCTATGGGTAGTAGTTCGATTGAGGATCTGGAATTGTTTCAAAAGGCGGTGCTGGATCAGGAACCGTGGGATGATGAGACTTCTTTGATGCCTGTACCTTGGAGGACTGTGACGCCGACGAGAGATATGACTGTTGCTATTATGTGGGATGATGGGTGAGTTACTTATCAGCACCCTCGAGTGACCTGGACTAACCGCGAGTACTAGATGTGTTCGTCCTCACCCACCTATTACTCGAGCTTTGCGAATGGCAAAGGAAAAGCTCCAAGCTGCCGGGATCAAGGTCGTTGACTGGGAACCATATAAGCACCAGCGTGGCTGGGAAATCATTGTAAGCACTCCTCATCCCCATGCCCCCAAACTAAGCTCATGCTAAAACATCCTTCCAGTCCGCCCTTTACTACCCCGATGGCGCCGCCCTCCAACACCAAATGCTCCGCGAATCAGGCGAACCCGCCCGCCCACTAACCGAATGGGCCTTCTCCTACAGTCGCCCAACACCCCTCACCCACAGTGAAGCCTGGGTGCTCCAGCACTCGCGCGACGAATATCGCGACGAGTACCAAGCCCTGCTAAAACGGCGTGGCGTCGACTTTATCCTCTCCCCCGCTAATCCAGCCACGGCCGCTGTGATGGGCGAATCGCATTATTGGAACTATACCGCGATCTGGAATATGACTGACATGCCTGCTGCTGTTTTCCCGTCGGGACTTACAGTTGATCCGGAGCTGGATGCACTTACGGCGCAGGATAAGAAGTATGTCCCGCGTAATGCGGTTGATGAGAGAGAGTGGAATAAGTATCAGAGTCCGGAGAGGTATGAGAGTGCGCCTATTGCGTTGCAGATTGCGGGGAGACATTTTAAGGATGAGGAGACTCTGGCTGCGGCTAAGCTTGTTGAGGAGATTATCAATGGGAATGGGATGAGCTCTAAGCTTTGAGAATTTTTGGCTTCGAGGGAGGGATATCTTGGTATTTAGTCGTATTTAATGGAACCCGTGCTTAAACGAACAATCAGTAAAGGAGAAAAAGTTAGAAGTGCCATTGAAACAATTATTGCTCTTGCTCCGAACTATGATGAAGAGTTTAGATGCAGACCAATCGCGCCAGAGAAGGAAAATCTCCACGAAGGATTGAGTGTTTTGAGAAAAGCAGTCGCATTGAGATAGTCTACACTAGCAATAGAGATGAGAGGCTGGTGAAACCTAGCTAAGCTTTTATTATGCCTGCATGCGAGCGTGCTTACTACCGGATTGCAAAGCATTACTACGAAGCCTTTGCGGCACTCTACGCAGAAAGCCTTTACAAAAATATCTACCGTTATTCTCTTAAGATTTTCCAGTAAACTTTTTCTAAATCATGCCCTAGGCTCTTCTGGACTGAGTCACTGAGATCTGTTCATTGAGCATGGCTCTGGGGGTGTACCGAATAAGTCTATCTCTATTCATGGACAACATCTAGCGTAAAGCTCACTTCTTGGATGGAAGATTTCTTTGGGTCGAGGTAGAAGCTGTCAGCGGTTTTTCCTTTTTTTTTTTTTTTTTTTGCGATCTCAGATTCTCCCAGTTGAGGTATGTTTCAGCCCTTCTTTCCTCAAATGACAGTTATCGGTTTCCGCAGAACATGGCGTGGGTCAAATATGCCTAATCCCCTAACTCGATGATTCAAACACACATGCGATGGATTTTCACGGCTCAGTCTTGCGCTTCTTGCGCTTTGGCTTCAGTTGGGAAGCTGGAGTGATAAGAGGCTCCAGAAGATCAACCAATTCCTTTAACTTGAAGTCCTTCGCATGCCTCAGTGCACGTCGCCCCAACAAACATGTGTTTGGGTCGATGCCGAGATCCAATAATGCTTGGACCACCTTCACATAATTTTTCTTTACTGCAAGCAACAGATACCTGTCGTCCTCAAAAATCTCGTGTGGGGCTGTGTGGTCGATCAGGAGCAATGCGCAGTTCTCTTGCCCACCACGCATATGCTCTGGGCCAAGCGCATTCTGCAAATCAAGAATGTTCTGGGTCTTGGTGGCCCAATGCTCTGAAAAGGCCAGATCGAGAGGAGAGTACTCGTTATTAGAAGAGCTCCCTTTCAGATTTGCATCGGCGCCATGGTCAAGCAAGAGTTTCACAATGCCGGAATATCCACCGCATACCGCACTGTGTATGGCTGATGGATCAGTCCTCGCCCAGCTTAGTGTGTTTGGGTGGAATCCTTTCTCCAGAAAAAGCCGGACAAGAGACTCGTGGCCGCGATGTGCTGCCAGCTGAATGGGATAATATCCATACATGTCGATGGATAGCATATCGCATCCGTTGTCCAAGAGGTATTTCGCCACTGCTTCTTGATTCCACTCGGCAGCTCGATGCAAAAGGGTTTCGCCACAAGCAGAGAAGCTCAAGGATTCTTTTTTACTTCTAGTGTGGCGCGTTCTGGCAGAACCTCTCTTGCGTGTCATGTTTTGTGACTTCAAGTAATTCAGTCCCAACTGGGTAGCAGCAGCACTTTCGGCTCTGATCTGCAAGTCAGCCCCGTGAGCAAGCATGCGTTGGATTGTTCCGAGACTTCCAGTTGATGCAGCCCAAAACAGAGCGGAGCTGTGATTGAGCCGGATGTTGTCGAAGTACAGAGTGCTGTTCAGAAATGCGTAGAACTGCTGACAGGTTTGGGCGAGGGCGTTGAGGTCGGGACGGCGCAACTGCCCACTGATCATGTAGAGCAACTCATTGGGTAAGCTTTGAAAGGACATGGTCACGTCAGGCCTGCGGCGTAGACAAGTGGACTGAGGAAAGAGATATTCTGAACCGAGCAAGTGGGCGGTTCCGGATGACCAGATATCTTGGATTGTCTCACAGTGGTGAGAGATGTGACGATAGGATCACGATACCGGTCAGAATGTGAGAGAGGAATGGAGAGACAGGTGGGCCGAGGAAAGAAAGATTGTCGAGGCTGTGAGAGGGTGAGTTTGAATGTCTGAGAGTATCTCACGATGTCCAGAGTGCGCAAGGATGTAAGCGATACGGATCAGAGATGAAGGGACCAAGAGATGGATAGAGAGACAGGGAACCCAAGAAAGAAAGATTTTCGAAGTTGTAAAAGGGTGACTCCGGGTGTCTGAGAGCGTCCCACGATGTCGAGAGAACGTGAGGATCGAAGGACGATACCCGTCAGACTCGAGGAGATGGAGCGAGAGATGCAGAGACGCGTAGGCCGAGGAAAGAAATGCTGTGAATGATGCAGGAGGGCGGCTCCCGATGTGTGGAAGTGCCGCAAGGTGTCGAGAGACTGCAAGGAAGACGTGAGAACGAGGCTGGTCAAGGAGAAAGAGAGCAAGAGAGAGACGGAGGAGAAGAGGAGGAGGAGAGGGAGAGACGGAGAGAGGGAGAAATGGAAAGAACGCTCCTGGGAGTTTGCCGCCGGTATTTGCCCTGCAGACATGGAAGGAGAAAGCTATGGAAACAACACGATGGATGTAATGTTTGTTTATGGATATCATAGACCATGAAATAAGGTTTTCAGACAAGGAAGGCTGTTACCGAGTGCAGAATAATCTCTTGTATAGCAATAAGGAATCAATTGTTAAGTAGCTATTCACCCCAACCTCACTCTCCTCCACGCTCTCATACAAGCCAGCATATCCGAAGACAAATTCCCATTCCCCGAATTCGCCCTTTGCACAACAGCCACCAACGCAGAAGCATAACAAAAAGCAACCTTATTCTCCATCAACAAGGTAAGCTGCACCTTCTGCATTCCACCAAACTGACACCACAACATCCATCTCTCCAGGATATCAGCAATAAGCTTCGCCTGGCCTTCATCAAGAATCATAAGATACAGCACAGCCTGCGCCAAATCATTTAAAGTGTAATCGCAAGGAACGATCTCTTCACCAATAAGATAGGCAAGATTTGCTTGGGCGATGACCAGGTTATCAAGCCGTGGTGACTGGATAGCTTCAACAAGTCGTCGTTCCTGATACTCCTCATGCGCGTGCATTCTCTTGATGTGGCCATTGTGAAAACGTTGTGACTCGCGTAGCATGCGGACTTGTCTTGCCTCTGCGGCTTGGGCGGGCGGCATGGTGCTTTCGAGTCGTCGGGCGAGATTGTCCTCTTGCATTCGTGCTTGGATGTCAACGTGGGATTCGCCGAGTGGTGGGGGCGGTGATGCCCATGGTGGAACGTTATCTTCGTTTAAATGGCCCAGTACAACCATCACGCCACAGGGGACGGACTTTTGGCGGGTGAATTTTGAGATGTTGCTCGGGATGGCGAAGTTCCAGATTCCCGAATATCCATCTTGGGTTAAGGCGGATGCAGCACAGGCGAACCAAAGATCAAAGGTATCTCCGAAACGGGTTAAGTCTTGCTGCTCGCCGGTCGAGCTACCATTGCTCTCGAAGAGTACACGCTTGACATGTTCTTGATCGATCTTGAATCGAACACTGTCAAAATCGGATTCTGTAGCCAGAGCTTTCAATCGCTCGATCTCGGCGAGAAGCGACACCGGCTTTGAGGAGGTAGAATCTGTGCTAGAATCTGTGCTAGACTCGGCGATTGTTTCGGCCACAAGTGTATTTTGCCGACTCAGTGGCTTGGACTGTCCAGTTTCAGGCCGGGCAAGATCCTTCGCTCCAGGTATCGATTTAAGAGTGGTCTCTTCGTCGCCGTCCACCTTGCCAAACCTCGGCTGCTCGAGTCTCATCCAGAAAGGAGGCAAGCTATTCGAGTTCCTCAAATCCCATTGCTCCTTCCAATTGGCCTGCAAACTCAACACGCCATCCGAGTCATCAGGAGGCGCAACAGCAAGAACCGCCCCAGACATACCTTGCGGCGGTCGTAGGATAACAGTACCAGGCGGCGCCCAGAGACCAACCGTTCTCAGAATATGCCATCCATGTGCATCCGGAACAGCCCCCCGATCAAGCAAGAAGGCAACAAGATCTTCGAAATCAACATCCGCCTGGGGAATGGTCAATTCGTCTTTGAATTGACAGCGACACAGAACTTTTCCCGTGACAAGGCGGTTCCAGTGGAAGAGCGACCAACCGCCGCCTTTCAATGGCACATGAAGCGCGTTCAATTTCCAGTAATCGGCGTCTGACTCGCGGTCGAGCGGGGTGACGCTGCATCGTGGTAGCTCCACCTCGACGATACCCCCGATTAGACTGACGCGTGTAAATGCTGACTCGAGCAGTCCATGTCTTTTCAATGTTGACCGGATCGATCGCTGTGTCCAGAGAGCCCGAGAAGACGTGTATAGAATTGGAAGCACACCGAGCACTGCAAGGGGAACACCAATGTAGGTAATGATGTCCGTTGCCGAGGTTCCGTTGTCCATGACTTCGGTGTAGACGTCAGGGTGTCCTCGTCACCCGAGATTGGGTTCCTGGCGATTGTTGGTCAGGGGCCATGATTCTCAAAGTCAAGGCGCCAAGCTGCCGGGCGTCTATCGTGCAAGCAAATCAGCCTTGCGCCGCCTCGTGTTCGAATCGCGTAACAATAAGCGACCCACGTGATCACGGCGATGTGAGTGGTCAGAATCACTCTATGGAAGTATAAACAGAGTGGAGTACATTATCAGAGCACTTATAATGACCACTGGAATAAGGACGTATTGCTTAGAAGGAAACTCGATTGAAGAATGGCATTTAATTAGATCAGACGATATGCCCGTAGATACATGAACTTGATAAGAACAGAAAGTGCGTAGAAAGTAGTGCTATGGTCCTAATTCAACCCCCGGCAGAATGCGCTATCAACAGAGTGGAGTATATCAACAACCACACTTCCTGGATCATTCAGTTTGGGAGTCGAAGCTGGCTTGCAATATTTGAGGAGGAATCGTAATGAAGATTTTGAGGAGGCGTAATGAGGATTGGAGGAGCCGTGGTAGTGAAAATTTGAGGCATGGCAAAGAAGACTCGAGAAGGCACGGTAATGGAAATTTGTGGAGGCGCAGTAATGGAGATTTCTTGAGTCTTAGTACAACGTGCACAGGGGTAGTGCATAATAGGCTGTACACTCGCAAAAAGGATGCAAACGTGGACGCTCGCACACAGAAACGATCTCTTCTTGGATGACGCTCATCAGCATCAATGGATTTTGTCGGAAAAAGGATAATAGCTCGATGCTTTCAAGAAATGTGGTCGCAAGGCAGGTATGGGACGAAATGGAAACGGATGACGATGGCAGTTTCCAGAATCTCAGCTAGAACTTTGTAGTAGTTCTAGCAGAGTGGTAGAGGTATCTCGGACTTGCTTGAGCTAGACTCGTCTTTCGTCGCTCTTAGAAAAGACCGAGGTCCTGGAAACTTATAGGGTGTTTCTGCTGGTCGCGTACATCTTGTTCTGTGCATCGTGTAGGAGATAGATGATTTCGTTATTACCACAGCTCTTTGCCAGATCCATGATAGTCGTAGTGGGTGGAGTGTATGTAGAGAAAGGGAAGGTAGGGCTCGGAGGAAGGTTTGAATAAATGATGCTGACGCGAACATTGGGACTCGCACCCTTTTTGAGCAGGTGCCGAACGACGTCCACGTAACTGACTCGGATTGCCAGTTCCAAGGGGGTTTTGTTCGACCTTGGAAGAGCTCGAACGTCCGCCCCGTGCTCGATGAGCAGAACCGCAGTCTTCGCCTTTCTTGCATCTCGTTTCTTGACCGAGATCTTCTTGCCCTTGCCCTTGTGGCGGATTTGGTGCTTGAAATGTTCCAGGGACAAGTGTAGGGCGGTCTCTCCGGTCCCGAATTTGGTGACATTGACCTTACATCCTGCTGCGAGCAGAAGACGGACGATCTCAGCATGCCCATACTTGGCGGCTTGGTGGAGGGGGGGTTTCGGGCACCAGGTGATTGGTCTGCTCCATCAACAGATGCCCGTGTCTCAGGAGCATTTGGACTATGGCCGCATGTCCATTCTCTGCGGCATGGTGCAAGGCAGTCTTGAAGTGGCCGTCGAGAAAGGTGATCTTAGCTCCATGGTCCACCAGGAGCTGGGCGACCTCAACATTGCCATAGGTGGCAGCGACGTGGAGAGGGCGCTGGAACAGGGGCCCAGGGTAGGTCTCGATATTTGCCCCACCTTTGATGAGGCGCTGGGCTGTTCCAAGCTGCCCATGCTTGGCGGCCCAGAGCAGGGCGGAGCTGCCAGACTTGCGGATGTTTTGGTCGTACAGATATTTATTCAACAGGGCGTAAGTAAAGCGATCCGCCTGAGCCATGGCGTTGATGTCTTTACTTGAGGACATCTGCTCAGCGATCATCAGGAGCAGCTCGTTGGGAAGGCCGAGCAGAGACATGGTGATTGAAGGGGGGGGGAGGGAGAAAGAGTGAGAGATTTAGAGGGGAGGAGTAAAGGAAAGAGAGCTGGATAGTGAGAGGGAAGGAGAGAGCGTGAAGGATTGAGAGTGAACAGTAGAATGCGAGAGATGGGGAGCGAGGAGGAGAGATGGTGAAGGTTGAGGGGGAGAGAGGAGAGAGGAAAGATGGGAGGAAAGAGAAGGAGTGGTGGCAGACGAGATGAAAGAGGTCGAGAGACGGAAAATGGAGATTGAGAGGACAGATGGAGAGGAGGAACAGAGACTGGGGGACAGAGATGGAAGACAGAAAGAAGGCGTAGACAGGATGGAAAGTGGTCGAGAAGGTGGAGGTTGAGAAGATGGAGGAAGAAGGGAAGATTGTGGGAAGGGAAGATGGAAGAGAAGATGGAGGTTGGAAAGTTGTGGGAGGAAGAGAAAAAAGTAGGGCAGCGTTTGCCCTGATGCCAAACTTGTCATCTCACAAACAAAATATCAAAATAGCAAACTTCAGGTGTTGGAGTCCCTCGCCATGCTCCCATCAATGAAATCGTCCGAGCAGACCATGATATCAAGCGAGGGCCCTCCTTACATCACCTTGATGACCGCCATTGGTGGTGTACTATAGAGGCATTGGATAGAAATTACCAAGTCCTGGGGCAAGGGATAATAGAATAGATAGAATGAAGCTTCCAGTTTGCTAAACTATACCAAAATATAGGGTTTATAACCTCAAGTTTTGACCGTTAGTTGATCAATGTCTTTTTTACCTGCCCTCGGTTGCAGGTCTGGACCTAAATGACCGTTTAAATGTGGCTGCAAACGCGGTCAACGGAGGAGAACAGCGGGCATTGAAAACGCACTTTATTCTCAATAGTCCAGGTGTTGTAAACAGAGCTTGCAAATTCTGGGGCAAAGCTGCTGGTTAAATATAGTCTTTACTCAGGTTTTGACTCTCAAAGGATGAGGGTTTTCAATCTATGTCCTACTCTCGCCTTGGAGCACGGTTAGCGAAACCGTGACCTGGTGCAAGCATAAAAAACTGCTAATGCACAGCAAAATCGAGACAGCTTAGCTTCTGAGTTCCCTTTTTTATGTCTTCTCCCTTCACTTGTCTAAAAGTAACGCTCGAGGCATCTCTTTACTTGTGGAAGTGGCTGCTTAGAAATGATTGCTTTCACCACACCACCGACAGAAACGACTTGGTGAGCAAGAAAGCAAAGCGCCAGAAACAGTGTTGTCTTCGTAAATAAATTCTGATGGCGAAGGCATGCGAATGCAGCAAGACGTGCGATGGAGATAGACAACAGGGCATACGTCTCCGTGAGACGGGCCAAGGACATATTTTCTCAGCGAATTCTCCACGATTTTGGGCCTTAATTGGCTCTCAGATTGTATGCCTATACTCTTTGATGGCCAGTCCAATAATTTCAAAGAATGTACTAGGCACGCGCTATATCATTGCCCCTTCTTCTTCCCAGGCTTTCGACCCTCGTCTGCTTGCTCCAGTCTGACACAAGGGTCACCGAGCCGGAAATTTTTGGAAGAGGATTTGAGTTCTAATTTGCTTCTTGAATTTTGGGACGAGCCTGTCTTCATTCGGATCTTTGCGGTGCAGACGAAGGCGATGAATGATTGGTCCTATTAGCGCCACTAAACATGCATCTGTATCACACCCCTCGCGCCTTCCCCTCTCGAGTGGGCCTTTAAAAAGACTTCGACCTTGCACAACAGTCCACCATTGCAACAAAATCACTATAACAGAAAAAAGCTTCACGGAATTTCCTCATCTCCTCGCTAAATGGATGGACTGTCGTCTGCAGCTAGCGTGATCGCGATCATTCAACTCGCGGGCAGTATTGTGAAGTTTTGCGGGGGCTACATTCAAGAGGTAAAGGATGCTCGAGATGAAATTTTCGAGCTGCAGCGGACAGTTGCAGATCTTGCAGGAATTCTCCAGGAACTGAAAGTACTCCTTCAAGGCCCTAATGGCGCGAAGCTCTCCAGCTCTCACACCCTGAATGATCCATTTACTAAGTGCCATTTAACCCTCACATCCTTGGAAGCGACGGTTGATCCGGGTAAAGGAAAGAGAGTGATAAAGAAACTGGGCTTTCGAGCGTGGAAGTGGCCACTTGATCGCATAGAGGTGAAAAAAATTATCGAGGATCTTGAAAGATACAAGTCGTCTTTCACCTTGTCCTTGGCGATTGATCAAACGTTCGTCTTCCAAGAAGTGTTTAGTTATTGACGGCTAGCTCATGTCTACTTAGAGCCCTCCTCGCTGATATAAACCATACCACCGACCGCCTACATTGCAACATGGACCTAAGTCAGTTGTCAGTTGCACACGATGCTACATTCGACTCAAACGTGAACCAGTATGAAGATGATTGTCTTCCAGGTACAAGAGGACACGTCCTCCGCCAAGTTGAAGAATGGGCTACATCGCCGCAAGGAAAATGCATTTTTTGGTTAAACGGTAGAGCTGGGACCGGGAAGTCGACTATCGCACGAACGGTAGCAAAGACTTTCAGCAAATCGAGTTTACTTGGTGCAAGCTTCTTCTTCAAAAGGGGTGAAGCGGACCGTGGTCATGCGGCGAAGCTTTTCCCAACAATTGCAAGACAGTTGGCGAGGAACATTCCTCAACTGGTACCCGGTATCCAAAAGGCGATTCATGATGACTCTGAAATCTCAACGAAAGGATTAAAGGAGCAATTTGATAAGTTACTCCTCAAGCCACTGCTCAGCTTGAACGCATCCATCGTCCCAATCCCAACTGCGGTAATAGTGATTGACGCACTGGACGAGTGTGAAGAGGAAAACGACATGACGCTTATTCTTCAACTGCTTCCGCTTCTACAGAAATCAAGCACTATATATTTGCGTCTTTTGTGACTAGTAGGCCTGATCTACCAATACGCCGGGGGTTTTCAAGGATTGCAAACTATGATTACGAAATTCTGGTTCTCCATGAGGTTTCTGACAGTGAGATCAAGAACGACATATCATTATTTCTACAGCACCGGCTTGCAGAGATTAAGGCGGAGCGCTCTATGCCTATCGACTGGCCGACAAACACCGATTTTAATAATCTGGTGACTTTGTCGGTCCCGTTGTTCATTTTCGCCGCTACCGCATGCCGTTTATTTCAGGACCCTCATTGGGATCCAGTGGACAGTCTGGCTGACATCCTTGCATATCGAAATGAGGGCTCTAAGCTAGAAGGAATGTACGTGCCTGTCCTGAATCGACTTCTCCAGAAACAAAGTAAGAAGCAGGAAGAGCAGCTGGTTCAAGAGTTCCGAGAGGTGGTTGGTACAATCATGATGCTCGAGAGTCCACTCTCAGTCAACACACTTTCGGGGCTTATCGGTCTCCCTGAGAGGCTGATTTATCTACGACTGAGCCCATTGCAATCGGTTTTGAGTGTACCAGAAGATGAGACATTACCGGTGCGGCTCTTTCATTTATCATTTCGAGACTTTCTTCTGGATCCGGAAACCAGCAAAAAAACCCCTTTCTGGGTAAATAGGAAAGAGATACAACACTTATTGACCACAAGATGCCTCTTTCTATGTTACGGTCTGAGAAGGAACATATGTGGATTGCAAAATGACGGAATACCGCGTGCAGAGATTGAACTTCAGACTGTCAACCATTACCTCTCTCCAGAGTTGCAATACTCCTGTCGCTATTGGGCGCATCACCTAGTGAAAAGCAAAGACCTAGGTGCCGTTTTCGACGAAGCTTACGCCTTTCTCCAGCGCCATTTTTTGCACTGGATGGAAGCAATGAGCATATTAGGTCTTATTTCCGAAGTTTTGGGAACAATTAATTTGCTGCAGTCAGCCATACATGTGCGCTACTCCGAACTTCATAAAATATCGCCTATGCTGATTAATATAGGAAGCAAAGTCTCATGAAATATCGGGCTTTCTGCACGACGCAAAGCGTTTCTTTCTGAAAAATTGGCAAATAGCTGATGAGATGCCTCTCCAGTTGTATTGCACTGGACTCGTGTTTGCCCCAAAAAGTGCAATAATTCGGAAGAATTTCGACAGAGCGCTCCCTAATTGGATCCGTAAGTTTCCAGACGTCGCAAAAACCTGGAGTGCAGAATTGCAGACTCTCGAGGGCCATTTGGGTGCGGTTTACTCGGTGGCATTTTCACTCGACGGTCGTCTGCTAGCTTCCGGCTCCTGGGATAAGACAATCAAACTGTGGGATACCACCACTGGCGCTTTACAGCAGACTCTCGAGGGCCACTCAGACTCATGCAGGTCAGTCGTTTTCTCACCTGACGGCAGTCAGCTGGCATCCGGCTCTTGTGATAAGACAATCAGACTCTGGGATACCGCCACTGGTGCTTTAATGCAGACTTTCGAGGGACACTCGGATTCATGTAAGTCTGTGGCATTCTCGCCTGATAGCCAGCTCCTAGTATCTGGATCCGAGGATAAAACAGTTAGGCTCTGGAATTCAACCACAAAAGCCTTACAGATGAGCCTTCATGGTCATCGTGGTGCGGTCTACTCGGTGAAATTCTCCCCTGACGGCCATCTTCTGGCGTCTGGCTCCGAGGATAAGACAATAAAAATCTGGGATCCTACTACAGGCGTTCTGCAGCAGACTCTAGAGAGTCATTCAGGTTGGGTTTGTTCTCTGGCATTCTCCGCCAATGGTCGATGCCTGGCATCTGGATCCAACGATAGGACAATTAGGCTCTGGGATACCACCACAGGAATTCTACAGCAAACTCTGAAGGGCCAAGATGGGTTTCAATCCGTGGCTTTTTTATCCGACGACCGTACATTGGTATCTGGCTCCCTGGATAAGAGAATTCAGCTTTGGGATACCACTACAGGCGCATTGAAACGTATTCTAACGGGCCATACAGTGGGGGTTCGTTCTGTGGCATCCTCACCCGACAGCCATCTCTTGGCATCCGGTTCCCAAGATGGGACAGTCAGGCTTTGGGATACAGCCACGGAGACTCCACACGAGGCACTTCAAAGTCCTTCAGATCGGATTCGGTCTATGGCACTCTCCCCTGATGGCCGTCTTCTGGCACTCGGCTCAGACGATACGATAGTCAGGCTTCGGAATATATCCACAGAGACCACAATACAAACCCTTCGGGGCCACTTACATTGGATTTGGTCGGTGGTATTCTCGCCAGATGGCCGTCTTCTCGCATCCTGCTCGAGGGAGACAATTAGGGTCTGGGATGTAGCAACGGGTGATCTACATCAGGCTTTCAAGAGCCGACTAGGCGAGTTTCGGAGCATTGCGTTCTCTGCCGACGGCCGACTCTTGGCATCTGGTTCCTGTGACAAGATGGTTCGAGTCTGGGATATTGCAGCAGGCGCTCTAAAACGGACTATCGAGGGTCATTCTGGTTGGGTTTGGGCTGTCGCTTTCTCCGCAAACGGTCATATAATAGCGTCCGGCTCGGATGATAAGACAGTTCGGCTCTGGAATGCTGCTACTGGAGCCGTACGGCAGACTCTTGAGGGTCATTCAGGCTGGGTTCGGTCTGTTGCATTCTCCGCCAACAGTCATATCCTTGCGTCCGGCTCAGATGATAAGACAGTCCGGCTCTGGGATATCGCCACAGGTGCCCTGCGGCAGACCGTGAATGTTGAGGGGACAGTTGTTGAGCTGCAATTTTCAGATGATGGAACATACCTAATAACCAATCTCGGATACATCAGTGTCCAGTCCAGATATGTGGATCACATCTCCAAGCCGCTTCCCACAAATGCCCAGATATTTATACAGGGACTTCAGTGGATAACGCTCCAAGGCATAAAGGCACTCTGGCTTCCTCCTGATTTTCGGCCCACCTGTTCGACGGTCAAAGACAAAACGCTTGTCCTCGGACATGAATCAGGGCGGATTTCAACCATAGAATTCAACTTATAGTATGCATCAATGGGAGAACCTTTTTTTTTTAAAAAAAAAAAAAAAAAAAAAAAAAAAAATAGGCGATCGCCAGGAGCATTCTGCACGATTCCATGAAGCATTGCAGCATCGGAAAATAACTGATTTAGTGAAACTACTCAATACGATACAACTAAGCAGGGATTATTTTATGGAGTAACCCAATACAGATTAGTGCGCTTCAGGATAGGGTCCGGGAAATAATTCGTGTGCACACGAAGGGGAATCTGTTATCGACTCGGACTGTTGTGAAAGTAAATCCAGTTTTCTTGAAATGCCAGCATGTGTTGTTGTAGTCCCTTTGTTCATTAACTCTTGATGTCTTCTATTAGTTAAAGACATGGCGAAGGCTGCAATTGGGGAATATTTTGCTGGAAATATGGCATTTATAATCGAGCTTCTGTCCCAGAATTTGTCAAGCCATGGCATTTTGCCAATCCGATTGCCTCAAGATGGTTTGGTCAATCAAAATTCCCCTTTGTAGTGCTTGAGGTGGATAAAAATAATGAAAAAGAAAAATACCTTTCCGAAATACTTGAAACGCTGCCATATCCCTTCCATCATACTATTAGTGTCGGTTCCTCTTTCAAGGAACCCTATCCTACTTGAAAACGTCACAGAGCCTATCACATCAAATGCATAGTATTGTAGCCAGTCGCTCAGTACGCAAGGTTGCTTTGTATTGGCAAATCTCTCATTGAGTTGCTTGACCATCACAGAGATTGTTTTATCGACGAGGCCTTCGTATGCCAAAACACTGGTCATTGAGTAAAGCCCTGCGATAGGTCGTTTCATTTTACGATGAAGGCTCTCATCAGTGGTGGCAAAAATACCAGGGACGAGTTTGCCACGGTTGTAGGTGAAATTCACAGGATAAAAGTGAGACTAAAGAGCTCCAGTTGTAAGTCAGCAAATGAACTACATATACCAGGATGAGCGGACTCGTAATGATGCTGAAGAACACGCTTTTGTAAAACCACTTGAGATACCATAGATTTTCGGAATCAATTTAGGGTCCCCAACAGACACCATATTCGGGCCCTAGGCGGACCAAGCTACCATATTTCCGATGCATATCACTATCGTGAGTATGAGATGTTCGTAAGGGTCCTTTGGAGGCGGTAAAGGTTGGAATACCCTGCTTGCCAGGGCCCGGGAACATGGTTCAGCCCGTAGCCATACTTATTGGTTAAAGCCAGGTAAACAACTCCCAATACACTGAGCAGAACAAGTAGTGATGAAAGTTTGAGGCTACCGTCGACAAAGTCTTGGATAACCTGAGTAAAGAATGTCATCTTAATTCTTCTTTTGCTGAAACACTCAACGAGCTCGGATACATGAGTTTGGATGGATGTGGCAACCTGCCCTTATATATTTCTATGCCTATAATTTAAACACCATTTATCTCATTATATACCGGCTGGTTTTGATCTAGATACACTGTAGTCCTTTAGTCACTGGCTGCTTCACTAGGCCCCATCTTACTTACCTTATCAAGTAGAATTGCCCCAAGGCAAATAGACGCTTGCCTGCTTTTGTCATAACATCGCTAGGATATCATTGAGGTGGTGAGAAGAGCAATAATGTCATCATGTTGAAGAATAATGTAATGCGGCTGCACGTTGCATTAGTTGTATTTTTAACCCTAAGGAATAAAGTCTCGTCAGTAGATACTATACAACACTGTTCAGACTTGCTATCGTTCCCGGCATTCATTTTATGTGGTTACAGACGGGGTTCACTAGCTTTAGAATTGTGTAGCTACTCCACTCATCTTCCTGTTAGTAGAGGAGTACTATATTCTGACTACATGTGAACAGGAATAGTCAATGCATATGATCATGAGCCATATGCACTAAGTCCTTCTAGTGGTATTCAGTACTGAACTCTATTCTTCTTTAGCATATTATTGAAGTCACAAAGTGTTGGGTTAGTGAACTATCCATTCCAGAGATCAAGATTGAATTATGAAATCCGATTTGTTTATTGAAGGGATTTCCGAGGCTCGCACAGCGAAGGTCACTACACGTCTAAAGTCATTCATTTGTTAGTAATACAGCACAATCTCACAAAATTATGCCCGACAAGTAAGATAAATTTTACAAAATCAAAGGTCACATATGTCTTTATAGAATGAATGACAGATAAAGGAAAGACAGGCGAGAAAGCGTCAGAATTTTTTCAACGTAGGAAAGGAACGAGTGACTGAAGAGAAACGGTCTCTACTAGAGTTGCATAAGAGAATGGTTATTTTTCTCTCGACCAGATATCAGATCTCATTTATGTACTCTTCCTGAAAAAACCCCCTGTTCGGCCCCCATTAGAACCTCTAAAATATAAGTCTTTCCGTGTCATATGTCTCTATAGTGAAATTAAAAGAAATCTCGGTGGACACAAAGTACGATACTAAACACGCCGGTGAAGCTCACCAACAGGGTATCTTGAGGTCAGGCATAACTGAGGCGTCCCTGCCAAGCCTCAATCACCATAATGCTTGGATTTGGCCCCCCATCTAATGCCAAGAGTCACAAATACCCGGCCTTGGCGGTTGAATGAGATCCTCCTGTTGGCTAGGGTTGATGCCGTGACATCTAGTCAGTTGCCCTAACCTGGACTAACCAGGTCATGCAACTTCACTACGGCTAGGAAGCGCCCAAAGCCAGCAGCTATACTGTGCTAACTTGCAAGGGTTTATCAATTTATCAATTCGCGCCTCGATCCCACAATAAATCATAGACATTATGGTAGTGGAGGATTATGCACTAGAGCAAAGGGCAGGAATGCTGAGAACTGCGCGTTGAGGTGTTTTACCTACGGGTTAAGCAAATTGGCCTGACTCGCGTGTTAACTTGGCAGGGTCCCTTAGTCTATTTTCCGCTGGTGAGACATCCGGGAAGCTAGGTGCTTGGCGTTGCTTCTGTTCCTTGTCAGTGTCGGGGCCCCAGGTTTTGCGTTTAATGGAGAGAGCAAATGCGGGGGAAATTCAGGGTCCGGGGCATGGACAATAACATTACGGATCATGCGTATGTCGCATTGCCCTGTATCTTTTTTTTTTTTTTTTTCATTTTCATTTTGCCCCAGTGAAACATTGACGGCTGCACAGAGACCAAGTCTGCGCCGAAGAGCTGAAGAGCTGAAGCATTAAAGGCGTCCTGTCAAGCAGCCCAGGGAATATGGCGCTTCTCTCCCTGCTCTATATGATGACGACCGTCGCAACGAGTGTCATGGCCACGGCACTGACAACCCCATACGTGCCGCCCAGCGGGTGTACTTCGGCCTTCCAGCTCACTACCATCACGACCATCTATGGCACCACAGTTACGACAATCACTGTGCTCGCATCTGATGCCACAGTCACAGGATTCTCGGCCTGTCAGCCGTCAGGATGGAATAGCGGGAGCACGACAGGTCTTTTTACCTTCAGTCCAGCCGTCTGCCCCCAAGACTGGACATATTACGAAATGTCATCGACCAAGAAGTATTCAGCTGCGTACTGCTGCGCTAGGTATGTCTATAAGCCTCTTCGTTTTTATACTGTTTCAATAGTCACCTTATCTGTTTGATTACCCCTACTAACAAGCCTTAGTGGCTTCGATTTTCGAGCACCGTGGTATGCTCTGCCTACGTCTGCGCTGAGCCCGGCATGTGCGCGCACAATTAAATCCGGCGACACTACTATCACCGCGCTGCTGGCGACTCAGACAGATACTATGGGCACCTTCACCGAGGGGTTGATCGTGCATCGTGCATGGCACGTTTCGTGGGCCAAATCTGACACTGCGAGCATGTCCCCTTCGCTACCACCGCTGACCTCGGGGAAATACCTGGATTACTGGGAGCCGGGGCAAGTCATCCCCGATGGGATGTTTGACCACCACAACGGCCGGGATAGCGGCGGGGCGCAGGGGTGGCCTCCTGAGTATTACTTTGCTGCCATTGGGGCACCTCTTATTTTTGCCGCTTTCCTCGCCTGGGGGGGTATTTTCTGTGTCATAAGCGGAGAAAGCGCCATGCTCTGCAGGTTCCAGTCAATATGGAGCTTCAGACTAAGTGATGTACTTAGTTAGGATACTCAATGGAAGAACCATAATACAAAGCCTTATAGTATCTTTAGGGGATTGTGATGGTCATGGTTTAATGAATGGTCGAAAGAGTAGGATTGAAGGGAAGTGAATAATAAATTCGGATTTAAGGGCAAGTAGCAACGGCAGTTACATGTTAAACAGGAAGTTGGTTTACCAATCGTACTTCAAGTGTAGAAAATCTTCATCGAAAACCATTCATCCTATCCAATTCAAACGCATAAGTACATTCCATTGTTCACATATACACATCGCCCTAGGTGTCTGTGACAGGGGTGGGGCATTAACCATCACAATATTTCCATCATAAGAAAAAAAAAGAAACATAACATAACAAAGTCATAGACCCAGATATCATAGGAAAACAAACTCCGTAAATGAGACTCCAACATCAAAAGGCATCAGACAGCCAAGGCAAAAAAAGGAACATAGCATGTCTATTTTCGCCAGAACATCGCCTTGCCCAAAGTTCGGCCAGCAGTCCACCTCGCCTCAGCAACACGATCCTTAAAGCTCGGCCCACCACTATACCGAATAGGCTTTGAAGGACCGCTCCCCTCCGAACTTCCGCCCACACTACTCCCACCAAAGGAACTCGGCGCGAAATTCGATATGTTACCCGCATCAAACTTCGTCTTTCCTTCAACGATCTTATGCACAAGGTTCAAAATCGCATAAATCGTTGAACCAATAGCACGCACAGCTGCCAGGACAGCGACAGCCCACAAAACAATAGCGAGATAGATATTCGTACCGCCCGAGTCCACGCCGTAAACCTCGGAGACAGCCATGCCGAGAATAACATTAGCAGCCATCCAGATGGAAACCATGTACGTGCGGACAGCGCGGTAGTAGTCTTCTTGCATCTGGGCCTCGGGGATGGGAGTCTCGGGGACTTCGAGACGATCACGGAGGTTGCGAAGGGCGGCGTCGTAGCCGCTGTCAATGTCTAGTTGCTCGGAGGGCATTTCGACAACTACAGTGGACCCGTTGATGACCTTAGCAGCACCGAGATCTGTGTTGATGACGTTGTCACCCTTGGTTCCCCATGTCACGTCGTGCGTATTGCAAAAGGCGTAGACCTGCAACGTGCAGATGTAGCTGGGCAGGAGCAGGAAATATTGCGCGGATGAGGTGAACATGTGCCACGGATCGAGGTACAGGAAGGAAGTGTAGAAGTACAGGCCGACGGTGGACAACATGGACAGGACAATGTTCATGAGGAGCGTACTGCTGACATGCAAGTCTTTTTTACCAACACCGGCACGCGACATGAGCTCCATGACGACAAGGTAGAGAGCGCAGAAGACGGTGTAGAACATGATAACGGCGTAGACGATGATACCGGAGAGGTACATATTTTTCGCTCTTGAAAGGTGTTAGCAGGGATAGATTGTGTTTGAGGTGTGATGAACATACCCTTGAGGACGATTACCCAGAGAAATGATGAATTGCAAGCACATAACCAGAACACAGGCATAGCGCAGCACAATAAAGATGTATTTGCCCATATTGTGACCAAATGGATCAAGCTTCTCATCAGTGAGCGAGCCAGCGATGAAGTAAAAAGCAAGGTAGAAATTTGCCTGTGTAGAGGTTAGTAAATATTCACAACAAACAGAAATCCACAACAGCAAGATACTCACCAGACCAAAGTAAGTGAACAAGAGGTTGAAGGTTTGATACACAAACTCAATGTGCAACAAGATCTTTCTTGCCAGCGAGTGATCCGTCTTCCAGATCTGCTTAGCATTGAAAATCGAGTACACGGCCGCGAAGAAAGCACCGTTCAGCCAACGACGACGCTGTGAGATGAACTCAGGCACCGAGTCGGGTACATCAGTCTCTCCAACAGCACTCTTGACGAACTTGAGCACCCATCTCTCTTCTCGTTTGGCGACCAGCTCCCAGCAGAGAATACGATCCTCGGCCAGGTACATGTTGGCTGTGAAGACATCCGCATCCTGACCGTGCAGGGTCTCACCCTTGAAGTATTGGTTCAGTGGACCATGACCGTCGGCGTCATTCTGGAGGGCGAAGAAGCGATAGGCACTCAGCGCACCCGGAAGCACAGTAATGTAACCAAACACAGACTCCAGAGGCTTGTCCAGAATGTTGGACATCTTGTACTCGAAGTTCTGACTGGCAACGAGCGGGTTGAAGAGACCCAGCATACCCTTACCCTTTCCGGCCTTGATTTCTCCAGCAGCACCAGCAACATTGGAGTCCTGATCGAAGGCCTTCCACAAGTGATACAAGGCAGTTGGCTCAGGCTTAGTACCAACGTCGAGGAGGATACAGATATTCGGCTGCAAGGCACGACCAAAGGCATTAAAGAACCATCGGTGAGAGTTGAGCTTCTTCTGGTTGTGTTCCTTCAGACAGAAGATAACCTGACAAGGCATGATACCCTTCTCAGCACCCTTGAACTTCAAGTCCGAGTCAAGCGACACCTGCGTGGTGTACTCGTACACATGTGCTTGCACTTCCTTCTGGTTGACAATATTCTTCGCAATTCCTTCCTGATAAACACCGAGCGCGGCCAATGCATTCAAAGTGCGTGGATGCACCTTCTTCCGACCATCGGAAATGATACAGACCACAATCTTCTTCCATCCATCCTTGCCCCAAGTACGGGACTTGGTACGCGAACAGAAGTGGGTGATATTGCGCATGATACCATGCATCGTTCGAGTGAAGCCAATCTCATCTTCGTTGTACATGGTCACGCAAATAAACAACTCGGTCTCACGGGTAGTGCTACCAATTTGCTGGCGCAGCTTATAACCCCGAGATGTGAACTCGTCGGGATCGGAGGTCACAGCCGTGTACCGCATGTGAGTAAACTCGCGCTCATCGCGGCGGGGAAGGAAACTGTGCAGGATGGTGGGAATCTTGCACTCCAGAATCAGCTCGCCGTTGATGAGTTGAACCTCCTTCTTGGCCATTTGAGTAGCGCGAACACCACGGCGGCCTTGCTTATCTGGCGCAGGTCCATAGTGCAGATTCGGATCGATCATGCTGGACTCGTCATCGTCGTCTTCTTCCAAGTCGACCTTGGCCATTTCGTCCTTCTCATCGCCCATTACTGTCGACTCGCTCATGAATGATCGGACACTGCCGCGAGATGTGTGATTAATAGTCCGGCCGCCTCCACCGAACGGGTCCGCACCAGACATTCCATCGGCAATATCAATACTGGAATCTGTAGCCGAGGACGGTGCTGGTCCAGAGAATAAGGGTGCCGGAGGCAGAGGTCTCCTAGGGCTTCCTCCATATCTCGAACTGGGTGTCCCAGGACGTGGACTACCATTGATGTCTGCGCGCTCGTATCCGACACTCGACACTGAAGGAGGGCGAACGTGGCCGGGACTCCAAGGGCGGGTAGGTGAACCTGTTCGTGGGGGAATTGATGGGTAGACTGATGTATCTGCGAGGCTAGCAGTGGGTGCCGGGATGCTGGGGGGAACTCCAATGCTGGAAGGCGGACGCGATGGTGACGTTGCGCTAGGGACATTGTAATAGCGATTGTCGTATGAAGGCACTTGGCCAGTTCTATTTCGCGTTCGAATGTTAGCACGCGGCCTTGTAGGGTAGTCCATGTTGAACCAAAAGCGAGTTTTTGCTTCAAATGAATGTGCGACGCGATATAGTCAACAAGTACTATCGATGGAGTCTTATCCAACCGACTAGCAATGCACCACCAGAATTAATTGCCTCTCGTCCAATGGGAAGCATCCCTACAGGCAGTCTGTCAAAGTCCAACGCGCATCTTGGCTCTTCTGTCAAGGGAGGAGCCGCAATGAGCGCAGTGTGCATACGTCCTCGTCACGGTGGCAACGGCACGAATGTGTCGTGGAATAAAGTTTTGATAGTCATGACAAGAGAAAAACAGTATACTTACGGGGTAGAATCAAAATAAGCTGGCTGGTATTGCGATGGCGAGGGTGCGCGATGGCTACTCATATCCGCATCGATGTCGCCGCTGGTTGGGAGTAGGCGCATAGTGGCGCCGTTCTGTCGCGACGCACCATTGGGAGACTCATGGTCGGAGAGGTACGAGGACGCATCTTGGTCAAAGTAGGCAGGCGGCCCATCGCCGTAATTGGATGGCGGATGACGGCTCATGATGTGAACGTGGAATGTGTTCGTTTTGAGAGGGGCTGGAGTGGTTTAGTTCCTCATAGTAGAGGAACGCAATGCGGTTGGTGCGGGTGAGACAGGCTGCGCAATGGGACCTTGGATCAGGACTTTACTGGTACCACCGCTGAGAGGAGTAGCAGGTCTTTCAGGTTGATTGTCGCGTTAGTGAATGTTCGGTGGACTGTTGGAATGTGGATTCCCGCGAAGGAATGCGGGAGATGTTGCTTACCACGTGTACTTTATGAAAACCAAGTACCTGAGAAGAGGAAGCAGTAGATGTGGGAGATGGCACAAGGAAAGAGCTTGAGAATAATGAGAAGAGGAGACAGGCTAACTTGGAAGCGCAGGTGGTCTTCAAACAAGCCCAGCCCGGTTGATCCGCAGGCGCAGTCAACAAAGTGGAGGTTGTTTTGCGGTTGTCGGGGCAACTCTGCAGCCTGCCGAGTCACGACATTCGCTGATTTGCAAGGGAGCCGCCCCCTCGAGCTTGATTCTGCACGGGGTGCGATCAATTTATTCCAAGTTTCAAGATTTACTCGATTCACGATGTGATTAATCTTCAAAGGCGATATATCCATGCACACTGCAATTAGATAGATATTCTCCGCTTGCCTACCGTGGTTGTTGATATGGATGTCATCGCCATCTCCGCGGTTCCACTCTCAGGTGGGTCCGGGCTGCCATCGGGATTGCGCAAAGGCCCCCAGGAGTTCATAACGAGCACAATAATAATGAAGATGCTAAGCAACATGGGGTTTAGTTTAGGCAGGCGAATTGTTTTATGAATAACATACAAGGAACTATCTCACCGTACGTTTTAGCAGAGTAGGTCCAGTTGTTGGATCTAGAGAAGTAGAGACTTGCTGAGAATGCTCAGCGCTCACAAGCATTACAACAAGAGCTCAACACTCAATCGAAATATATATACCGAAGGCTCATTAAGGTCTCTGGTAAAATGCGTCCTTAATTAGGTACTGCATACATACGGAATTGTATTCTCGAGGTGATATTCAGTCCATAACTGGACCTATAATGTCATTCTTTGCCACCATATTCGCCTCGACTTGCACCCAACCGACATGAACAGACAGAAACATAGATCGCCCATCATTATCTTGCATTTATATGACCACAGATCAACACTAAAAAGAAAAGAGACAAATGACAAACCAGAATCATGACAAAAGGGAATCATTCTCCGCATATCCATTAAACATCACGCATGAATCGAGTCAAACTGTCAACGAATTCCACCAATGCCTCTCCATCAACAAGCTGTCATCCATTCCGAACTTTCCCCCTGTTCTCCGTCCTGTTCAATATCCTCTCAACCTCAGACAAGCCACAACCGTCATCCTACCAAACTACCACATCTGTTGTGCTCATCCATGGCTTCACGTTCGACTAGGTCGTATTTCCCACCTTATGCCTCCTCATTAAGCAGGGGCTGGCGCTCACGATCCGTCGACTCGGGGTGCGCAACACTGCGGAACAGACTGTCACGGCCGTAGTACTTGGTACTTGAGATGTAGAGAGAAGTCACCAGGAAGACGGCGAAGATGACAAACGCAAAGATCCACTGCAAAGCAATGATCTTAATGGCGACTTGGCGAAGTGCCAGCGCTAAAACATACAAAATTAGTACAAGCCACCCTCCTCGTGGACAATTGAATGCCGCCGAGGTCTGGATCAAGAAACTTACACAGCGTGAGGAAACTAAGACAATACCCTAGGATATAATCCTGTCGCACGACAATATCAAACACACCCACAAGCAGAATCACCCAAATAAAGATATTAGCAACGATCCGACCAGGCAAATTGTGGCTGTTCACGGCGACGGCACCGTTCCAGAAGATCGCTGTCAGAGTCCAGGCGTAGGGTCCGGCGACGGCGGATAGGTGTACGAAAGCGGGGAGGCCTTGGTGACGCCAGTAGGTAATAGCCTGGTTGATGAAGTGGGCGATGAGAATGATCTCGGAGCCCCAGAAGTGGTTACGGGTCCAGAGGAGGATCCAGGCGAAGACGAAGAGGTTGTTTAGGATGAAGTGGGTGGCGACGTTGGCGGCGGCTGCGACGAGGGCGGTTTCCTTGGAGAAGAGGTGCCAGACGTAGCTGAGTTGCGAGAGGAGGAGGAGGATCCTAGGTTGGGAGTGTTAGTTGGTGTGAACGTTCGCTGTAGGATAGAGGCAATAGTATATATAGATTGGGGGTTGTCCAGCTTGGAGAGTCTGGTAGGATCTTCTCACCAGTAAATTCCGGTCACGGTGGTGTTCTGGCTGAAGGGCGTGTTATGCTTGTTGCCCTGCTTCCAGAGTTTCTTGCCGCCTTTGGTGTCGTCGGGCGAGTGGAGAGAGTAGTAGATTCCAACGATGACGACCACGGCCCAGGTGAGGGGTACAAAGACCCGGTACAGATTCAAGGCGTGGGCATTATGCGTCTCACGACGGGCGAAGGGGTTATAGGTCGCCATGGATTGTGAAGCAAGTGCGTAGGAAGTTCGAGGAAATTGAAACGGCAGCCTGCGTAACTATGGGAGATCCAAAAAAGAAAAAAGAGCGCCAGAAGCGGGGTGGGGATTGGATTATATACGGAGCAAATAATTACCAAGTTACATTAGTTGGACTGTAGGATGGTCTGTCTCATCGTCCGAGGTCCTCCCGACTACCATAGTTAGCTACTTGTGTAGTACCTTGGTACCCTTCACTTCGTCATCTCGTACGACAACTGCCCATTAGCTGCAGCAGTTGCCGCCCAGAAAGTCCAGAAAGTCCGGGCGTGGTCTGATGACCCAAGACAATTAATGCCCATATTGGCATATCCAGGGTGGCGCCAATCTGGCTGCAGCACCATGAGGTCAATCCCCTCGTTTGGGGATCTTGTAGAGATTATCATTGGTGATGTCAGGCCAGCTTAGGCTATCTTAGCGGCTCCACTCCCCGCTTGAAAGCCGGTTCTCACCCGAGCCCGAACTACAGGGCAGTACTCCGTAGTAGTATCCTGCTAGGCTGGCTCCTGACGCTCTAACGAGGTCTCGACCCGGTGATAGACCAGACAATCTCTCTGTCAAAGATCATACAAGAAGTCTTTCAATATAGGGCGGGGGTGAATAGAAAATTGTAGCATGCCCGCGCAGGGGGGTCGCACCCAACCTGTAACATGAATGGCGCAACTGAATGCTGGGGGTTGTCGATCTAAGGGCACGGCCCCTGCAGGCAGATCAACCTGGAGAAAATAATGTATCTGTACACAGTACCCCGTACAGGAGATGGCGCATGGTAAAGTTCCTTTCCTGCGAGGTGCGACGCCATACAGATGCGAGGCCGACGCCCCTGGATCAGAGCGAAGCAGACGCAGATACAAGGAAAACTTGACTAGCGACTGGGGTAAAAAAAAAAAAAAAAAAAAAAAAGCAAGGCAAATGGCAGTTGGCAATTCCAGCAGGTCTCAACGCTACCTACGCCTGTCCGTGATTTAAGCGGGGGAATACCTACCCAGGTCGACATGGAAAAAACACCCTGATCAGAGAGTGTACTCCTGGATATATATTTATAGGAATACCTCCCACGAATGAGAACCTAAGGGAGATGCGGGGGTCAAAGGGGGCCAATACTGAAACAGCGAATGATGGGATGGCTTAGTATTGGGATTTACTCACTGCTAGTGAATTGAGAGACATTTATACCTGAGCACCTCTTGTAGGCAATTAAGTAGGCTTATGGTTCATGGCCCGACGTGGGATAAATTGCGGGTTGACGCCAACTCGGAGGACGCCACCGAACATCAACATACTTACTGTATTTCGGAAAACAAAGAAGACTTGACCTTAACACCTTTTGAGAGTAGCGAGTACTTTTGTGTACTCGTTCGGTTATGACCGTAGAAGAAGGAGCACATCGTGGGTGTGGGTTGAACGCCCACGAGAACCCTCAGCACCACTCATAGCAAATTGCTTCATAAAACCAAAATATTCGAAATGTTCTCATAACAAGCCTTCGTGGTCTAGTTGGTCATGACGTCGGTCTCATATGGATCTTATGACGACCCTGCTTTAACAGGGTGGTAATCCGAAGGTCTCCAGTTCGAACCTGGACGAGGGCAATTCTTTTTGTGTTTTGGTGGTTCCGCTATTACCAATTGGAACCCGGAAGGGTTCCTCTTTCTTTTTATTAATGAACATTGAATGCATCCCCTAAACATTATGTTTTAATCATATTTCATTTTATGTCAGCGATGTTATGTCTAATCGTATATCCCAACTCCGTATCAAATGACATAAACCATAACCCATGAACCATGACCTATAATCCATGAACTATGCCTGCCTAGCAGCCCTGACAGCCTCCAAAACCCGCCCATGTATAGAAGCTTCAGCAACAACCATTCCATAACACCCACCAAGCGTCCTCCCAAGCCCACAATCCACAGCCTTCCCTTCCAAATCCGTGACCACACACCCCAGCTCCTGCACCAACAACATACCCCCAGCATGATCCCAGATCTTCGACCGATAGCTCTCTCGCCGCGGCACCTTGACAAACGCATTACACCCACCCTGCACCGCAATCGCCACATACCGCATCTGCGCAGACCACAAGTCCACCGAGTTCGGCCACGGGCAGTCTAGCTGCGCCGCGACCCGAGCATGGATCTCAACATTATGCGACGACGCCGCCCGCGTATCCACGAATCGCACATCGCTCGCCTTCTCAACCGCCGGTATCCTCTCCAGCGCCCGGCAAGCGTGTAACGCACCCGTACCCAGCGGCGCAATGAACGCCCCATGTCCCGCGACAGCAGTCAAAAGCTGTCCATACCCGTCCCGATCAACCGTCTCCTCCGAGACAGGTCCCTCACCAAGCTTTAAGTTTGGACAACCCAGCACACCAATCCGCTGCACCCCGTCCTCGACCAGCGAGAGACACACCGCATATTGCTGGCCCTGTATGAACGTAGCCGTGCCGTCGACAGGGTCCAGTGTCCATACACGCCCGGGTCCGCAGGCGCCCCTTGCGCCGAGATCGATCAGCTCGAGGAGCTCGTCGCGCGAGCTGGGGGTGTGCAGAAGTGCTTCGCTCGCTTCATCATCGAGGTGTACGGATGTGGCAAGTTCCCAGGTGCGTTCGAGGAGGGTTGGGTTCTCGCGCAGTGCGGTGGAATCTTCTTCGCCGACAATTTGGTCTGTGGGGAAGGTGTGGTGGATGGCGGCGATGATGGAGGCTTGGGCGGCAAAGTCGGCGATTGTAACTGGGGTGTCGTCCTTTTTGTCGAAGGAGCCTTTGTCTACTTCGGAGAGGAGTTGTTTTGTGAGGAGAGCGGCTCGCTGGACGGCGAGGCTGGCTAGGTGTAGCTCTTTGGCGTAAGAGTGTGTGTTCATTTTGGTGGTTTTTGGTTGATGGTGTTGAGGGATTGGTGGTTGAGGTTAAATAAGGAAGGGCAATTGAGTGTCCCGACGGAGTTGAGCCGGCCGGATAATTGCAATGACTCAATTGACTGTTCCCCACCATCGTGAACAATATTTCTTGGATCCCGATCGTTTCACCGGGTGGATCACGTGGGGTTATTGGTAACTACGTCATTGGGCCTGGGAGAAGCGAAAACGGATGTCGAGGTGAGGATTAAAGATAGGAAGCATTGCTGAGAAGTTCTAGAATGTTTTCAAAGCTATCTACTCAGAAAAGCCGCCTTAAGAGGCTGTTGCTTCTAGGGTCTCAAAATGTAGATCATCAAAGAATCCTTGTCGCCTTGTGGGGTATATTCTCCGTGGCCATATACAAATCTGGGATAAAGGAAACTTAAACTTTCCATGTTCCACGCTGCTTGGCAAGACCGCTTGTCGAGAGACCTAGAAATAATGTACCAAGCAAGAGGGAAAGCCCAGAAAATATCTGTAGACCAGAGTAATCATTGTCATGCTGTCGGTGGAGAAGCGCGCCCTCAATGGGAAGACCAGTCAGACAACTATAAATATTAGGCGAGACTCGAATCAAAATTGACCATACAAAAAAATTGATAGACACAGAGCTGTAATCACTCACCTCACGGAAATAGCTATCTGGAACGTCCCAAATCTCTGCCCCAAAGTCTCGAGTTTGCCGAGTTTGGCAACGCATGGCATGAAAAGAGACACCAGTGCGCCGCTGAAGAATCCGAAAATCAAGGCAAAGACGATTAGTCCGGCATGCGAATGATGATAATTGAACGGCAACCATAAGGCAAATATTGTCACGCCCGAACCACAGGCACATAGTGTGAAAATGTTGAAGTGGCCAAAGATGTCTGCAAGGAATGGCGGGATAACACGGCCGGGGACAGATGTTGCACTTATGGTGGTCAGTATATAAGCAGGTAGCCATAAGCCGACCTGAAGTTTACATACTTGATCATTGAAATCAGATATAGAGCTAGAGCCGGCGAGAAGCCCTGGTTCACTGCCATGGTCGAGATATAGTTGAAAGGCGCCCACATTCCCCACCTGTTCAGGATTCAAGATATCAGCTTTGAACTAGATACTTTGAAATATTCCGAGCCCAATAGATCATCACTCAATACCCACATCGTCAGATAAGTACCAACAGTAAAGAGCATAAACTCCTTCTGCTTGAAAAGCGTCACGTCAAACCACTTTAACTCTCGATTCCACTTCTTGCGCGGCAACCTTGCCCGTGTCAAGATGCAAGCTGCAACCAACAAAACACCCATAAGCAGCGCCACATAACGAGTGGCACCCGCAAACCCCTTCTTCTCCATCACACGATCCATGAAAATGGGACAAATCACCCCGCCGACACTGCTCCCGGTACTAGCAATACCGGTGGCCAGTCCTCGTCGACGCACAAACCACTGTCCAACGCAGAGTATACCCGCAGAAAACAGACCGCCGACTCCAATACCAAAAAGAAGGCCCTGAGCTAGGAAGATCTGGTAGTACTCGTGCGCTAGACTGGTCATGCAGAGTGAAAATACGCAAATCACGCTGCATGGGTATAGTACGGGGGCAGGGCCGTATGTGTCGAATATGCGGCCGTATAGGGGACCTAGTGCGAGCACGAGAGCTAGTTGGACGGCAAATATCCAGGATATGCTAGAGGGGGAGTATTCGTGGAGGATTGTTTCTTCGTAGGTCTTTTGGAAGACGCCCATGCTGTGGATGATTGTCAGTGGAATGGGCTTATCAAGTGAGTACTTGCAAAGTGTAGGGGAGTTCACGAGTTAAGAAAGCCGAAGCTGCAGAACATGCAGAAGAAAGAGCCTAGGACGCATAGCCAGCCGCGTATACCTCCTTCGGGAGGCAGTTCCTCAGGCACGGGAGCTGGTGCTGTGGTTTCATTTTGAGGCTTCTCGGCCATTTTGAGTATACTAATACAGAAAAGAGTTATATTGATAGGAGGACGAAGTCACCTATTAATTGCCTCTGCTCGACTACAAACATGAATTACAAAGGATTTATAGGTTTGGGAGCATGGTCGAATAACGGATACACCGAGAAGACTGCGTCAATTGTCAGCGATCGACCCACTTCAATTGTCATATACTTAACATTATACAAGACTTGAATTATTAACCCAGAAAAGGCGACATTACTGTTCAAAGTAATTCAACTATAGGAATCGCGCCAACTCTGTCGGCCGCCGCTAAACCGGTTCGGGAGCAACCGGATGCGAGCCTCGTGGGATGTAATAAGGATTCCAACCTCTCTCAACCTACATGGGGAAATTCACTTCCAGTCGCATCCCTAAAATCCCCTAATGTCGGCCGACAAGATTCAAATGAAGGCGGAACTTGCCTGTTTGATGTGCAAGACCAGGAAGAAGAAATGCGACAAGGCTCTCCCGCGTTGCGGATATTGTACAGGGTGGGTAGTCGCTGTTGTTTCTTGGCAACCTAGTCATTGCTGGTGGAGAGATCTAACAGTATTCTACGTAAAAGGAAGAACCTGAAATGTCGATATCAGGATTCACGTCTAAATGCCGCCAAGCGATATGTGCATCTCGACCGCCTGAACCATGTTGCCAAGGCCTCGATCTTCCTTATGGATACATTATCTTCTGTCGACCTTTCGAGCTATATCCCGGTCGACGAACTCTCCGAGATGAAAAGTATGGACGTTTTTATCAGCGCACAAGTACATCGCATAGTTCATGCAACTGGTCGATTTGTCAGCGATATAATCGAGCAATTCTTCGGCGGGATATACCGCTTCGTCCCAATCGTCAGCCGCAATCGCATCCAAGAAGTGATCGCTGGAATACCAGTCACCACACCGCCGGCCGATTTTTCTATTCTACTACTCACTATATGTCTGACAACGTATCATCCAAAGCCACTCGAGAAGTCGTTACCAGGTATCGACCACGATTCATTGTATATCGCCACCAAGTCCCTTTTCAGTAAGGTGCAGACGGCTACCTCCGCGCAAGGCCAGCCATCCCTATCACTTGTGCAAGCAGGTATTTTGATCGCAGTTTACGAGTATGCGCGGGGAATGGTAGATAGCTCATATCTCTCTATTGGTGCCTGCGCGCGCATGGGATATGCTGCTGGCATCCATGAACGGACAAGACTGCCCGGAAAAGGAACGCTCTCAAAGGAGGAAGGCAACACTTGGTGGTCGATACTAATATATGAAAGGTATGTTGTTCAATAAATTTTCGACAATTCGTCAAAAGGCTAAGGCCAACTTCTCTTTCGCAGATTAATTTGTTGTGATGTGACAACGTCTCAGGACCAGCCATTTGCCGCCACCATGCCTGGACCAGATGCGCTACTTCCAACAGAGCCAAAGGAAATTGACAGAGCTGATCGTCTAGAACCTCAATCAGTTACTATTAGCTCACTAAGCACTGAAGAGGGCATTAGCCCACTTGGACGTGCAGCCCAAGGGGTCTGGATTCTCGACCAGGTTCTCCAGACAATCCGTATGGAACAAACGAAGTGCAAACTAGCCCGACTGACTGAATTAAATGATACACTTCAATCATTTATGATGACTCTCATGCGCCAACTATATGGTGGTCATGAGCTTTTGTGTGGCTCGATAGCAGTGGTGATCAGGTCAGTCATTGCCAAAACAGCTCAGAATGCGAGGCTTAGCACATGGGTCCTAATTCTGAGTAGGACTCTTTTCCTACTCAACGAGAAAATAGCTGCAGAACAGCTTGAACAAACACTAGATATCAATAGCTGGTGGCAAGAAAGAATTGAACAGTCCCAGGCCGCGCTCACCACAGCTACGAAGATGATGGTTGATATTGTGAAGAGTGACTCACTGGCTAGCCCACCATGTGCCTGGCCTCCGAGTCGTTTGCATCGGCTTCGAGCTGCACTTAGACACCTCAAACAGCAGCCGTACTTACGGAAAGAAAGTTGGTATGATGATGCCGAGGGTCGTCTTCGCGAGGCGCTGGATGAGGTTTGTTGGTACTGGAGTGTGGACCGCAGTAACTTATGAGAGAGTCATCGGGAACAAAGTTCACTTATAGAAGAATCAATCTGGTTAATATCCGAAAGCATATTCTCTGTTCAAAATGATTCGTGGAAGAAAGGGTTTCTGGAAAAAAGGCACCTGGAAGAAAGGTCCCCGGATGATCGGCCTTTGATCGGCTTTCGCAGCGAACACCGACTGGATCCCCCCACCACCACTACCCCGCCCTTCATATTGGCCCCTCTTAGGCTAAACTTTGGGCTGTATGTAGTAGTGTGGGGGTCAACAGCCCCAGACACGGATACACTCATAAGTTCGGCCGTCGGATAAAAACCCCGAAGAACAGAAATTAATATAATCATGCCACATTCCATTCTTTAAACGACATCGAAAGAAACCCAAAAAAGCTATCATATTCTCTCTCACCCAAAATGTCCGTCCACGCAAACGGCAAGACTCCCTCTCATCCATTCAGCGACTCGCCATTCCGCACACGCGCCGATCTCCAAGCAGCATGCTGTGCCCTTCTAAACCCCTTGCTCTCCCTCTTTACCCCGGGTGGCAGTCGTGTTAAGGTCGGATCATCCACGACTCGGTTCGACGAAGGTGGTGCCCAAATTGAGGGTTACGCTCGTCCTCTGTGGGGATTGGCATCTCTTCTCGCGGGAAACTATGATTATCAAGAAGCAGCGAAATGGCGAGAGGGTATTATTAACGGAACGGACCCCGAGAGCCCGGAATACTGGGGTGATATCGAGGATTTGGACCAGCGCATGGTGGAAATGTGTCCGATTGGCTTTACGCTTGCGGTTGCACCACATGTCTTTTGGGATCCGTTGACGGATAAACAAAAGGATAATGTGACCAGGTGGTTGAATAGTATCAATGAGCGCGAGATGCCTAATACTAATTGGTAAGAGACAAGCTTATCCAAAACGCCAGTTGTGGTCAACTTGTTCTCCAGCTAATTTGTTCTGTCTAGGTTGTGGTTCCGAGTTTTTGCGAATCTAGGACTGCGAAGGAATGGAGCTGCTTATTCTCTGTCACGTATCGAGGCTGATATGGACCACTTGGACACTTTCCATGTTGGTGGTGGTTGGAGCAACGATGGTCCTAAAACCCATCATCAGATGGATTACTACTCTGGATCGTTTGCAATCCAATTCTTGCAACTTTTGTACTCAAAGCTTGCCGGTGACTTTGATTCTGAGCGGGCTGAAAGGTATCGCGAACGAGCAAAGGAGTTTGCAAAAGATTTTGTGTACTGGTTTAACCCGGATGGTATGCTGCTTGAAACCTACTCTGTAGGTTAATGAAATATTGAGTAAAGCTGACTAGAGTTACCACACAGGTCGAGCTATCCCATTCGGCCGCTCTCTAACCTACCGCTTCGCGATGGTTGGATTCTGGGGTGCCTTGGGTTTTGCCGATGTCGAACTTCCAGCACCTTTGACCTGGGGCGTAGTAAAAGGCATTCTACTCCGCAATTTCCGCTGGTGGGCTACACAGCCAGACATCTTCAACAATGACGGCACTTTGAACTTGGGATACTGTTACGCAAACTCATACCTGACGGAAAACTATAATTCTCCCGGATCTCCATACTGGTGCTGTCTGTCATTCACACCGCTGGCGCTACCAGAGACACACCCCTTCTGGACCTCAGAGGAAGAACCCTACCCGACAGCTTCCCTTCCAGAGGTTGTAGCGCTCAAGTACCCGAAACATATCGCCATCCGCCGAGGTGGACACTCCTTCCTACTATCCTCCGGACAAGCATGCCACTACCCGATGCGCGCAACTCATGCCAAATACGGCAAATTCGCGTATAGTTCTTCCTTTGGATACTCTGTTCCCACCGGTGGTTACCAGCTAGAGCAGTACGCCCCCGATAGCATGCTTGCACTCTCTGAAGATGGCGAGTTCTGGCACACACGGCGACTAGTCGAGGATGCGCATTTCGAGGAACCCGGCCAAGACGGTGTACCCGTCCTCGTTTCTACATGGAAACCTTGGTCTGATGTTGAAATTGAGACTATTCTGATCCCACCAGCGACTGAGACCCCGAATTGGCATCTACGTGCACACCGTGTGCGAAGTGGCCGCGCTCTGCAGAGCTCCGAGGGCGCCTTTGCGATCTACGGATGTCGAAGCGATAATGGTCGCACTCTCGGCCCCATGAAGGGTGATGCAGAGGAAGGGACGATTAGCGGCTCGGGAAGTGCGCTCGTTCTTTCGTCGGCTGGAGCTGTGGGTATTGTTGAGTTGTATGTTTCTGGGTTGCGGGAGGGCAGGATTGTTCTTGCTGATCCGAACTCGAACATTATTCATGGGCGTACACTTTTGCCGTCCTTGAATGTTGATTTGCTACCGGGGCAGGATCAGTGGTTTGTGACTGCTGTGTTCGCTTTACCTGGGGATACTAGCGCATGGCGTGCTGGTTGGGAGAAGAAGCCAATGATTCCAGGATGGTTGGCTAAGCGGATGGAAGGCTCCTCTTGAGATGGAGGGCCTAATGTTCAGGCGACCCTCGCACACTCCATATATTGATGGATCAGCATTACGACTGAGGTAACCTGAGTCCATTTTTAGTCTTGCTGATTTATGGCCTGAAACTTTCAACCGAACTGCAGTTTTCAACCTAACGTGTTGGATCCGAGTTGTTTTTCTTCATATTCCCTAAACTGGTAACATAGATAAGAAAATACCAATTCTCCGAAGAACCTCGAGTCCGTTCGATCACTACGCATGAATAGCTAGAGTGATAGGTGACACAGGTGTCAGTCGAAAGAGGGGTAGGCGGTTTATTTGGCGATTTTGGGAAAGTGATAGACACCTGCATCAACTATCTCTGCTAGCGAGACAAAGAAACCGCTCGCTTGGCTGCCTTCTATGAGAACTTCCATCGCCACAACTTGGTACTTTCATAACTCTCGAGGAAAGAACAATCAGCAATCAGTATTATTGTGATAATAACCAGAATTATCCAAATCTATTTCGTCCTGCCTACACGGACAGAGAACCAACAGCCGCATCTCCTTTCAGAAAGGAAAACCATTTGCCTGAATTTCAATAGCTTCAACCCTCTCCAATATGACATCAATGGGCAAAGTTTTCACAGGCTATGCTACCCGAACAGCCCTCCTCAAAAGAAGCAGCAATCCTTTCTCCAAGGGAATCGCCTGGGTCGAAGGACAACTCATCCCTCTATCCCAGGCTCGAATCCCCTTGATAGATCAGGGCTTTTTACATAGCGACCTCACCTACGACGTGCCCGCTATCTGGGACGGCCGATTCTTCCGTCTTGACGATCATCTCTCACGACTTGAAGCGAGTTGTCATAAACTCCGCATGCGACTTCCTCTACCGAAAGATCAAATCAACCGTATCCTCGACGAGATGGCTGCGAAAAGCGGTATTAAAGACGGCTTCGTCTCATTGATCGTTACACGGGGCCTTACCGGTGTGCGTGGTGCTACGCCCGAACAACTTCTCAAAAATAACTTGTACATGTTTATCCAACCGTATATCTGGGTTATGCAGCCTGATGTCCAGCGTACCGGGGGCTCCGCTATCGTCGCTCGGACAGTTCGAAGAACACCCGTGGGATCCATGGATCCGACCGTCAAGAATCTACAATGGGGTGATCTAACCCGTGGTTTACTAGAAGCCTCCGATCGCGGCGCTATGTACCCATTCCTGACCGACGGAGACGGGAATCTCACAGAGGGATCTGGGTTCAATATCGTGCTTGTCAAAGACGGGGTTCTGTTTACTCCCCAACGCGGGGTCCTTGAGGGCGTGACCCGTAAAAGTGTTCTTGAAATCGCCCGAGCCAATGGAATTGATGCCCGGGTGGAGTTTGTGCCTGTGGAGATGGTGTATCACTGTGATGAGATCCTCATGTGCACTACTGCGGGTGGGATTATGCCTGTTACCTCGTTGGATGGGAAGCCGGTTAAGGATGGTCGGATAGGGCCGATCACTAAGAGGATTTGGGATGAGTATTGGGCGATGCATTATGATTCGAGGTATAGCTATGCTCTCAACTACGGGGATTCTGAGGAGCAGAGTTCGGGGACTCCGCGGGCTCAGAAGCTTTAGATGGGATGTTGGGGTTTGGTATTAATATTGTATTTCATTTCGTGTCATTTCATATTGATAACCTTGCTGTGAGGGCTGGGAGAAGCTCGTGAGGGGATGATGGGGCGAGTGGATCCTAGCCGGTGTAGTGTGGATCCATAGTGCGAATGATGATATCAGGATCAGCCTGACTCAGAGGACCTTAAATTTTCCGAGGACTAGACAGGAGAAGATGGTTAGATTGAGGGCATTAATAGCTGAGTGAAGCTGTCGCAAGTACTTACTCGCAGCATGAGCCAGTTCCTCCGACTTGGATGCCTGCACATGCAGACTGATATCGTCGAGCGACCGGTACAGATGATCCTTGTTGCTCGTGTAGTAGGACTTGTCATGGATGCTCGCTGTCTCTGGCACCCTGCAATGAAAATCAAATCTCAGCACCCGTCGTATCGAGCAGCCACACGTCCAGTGATTAGATCAGGCAACATACCACGTGATAAACACTAACTTGTGTCGCGGTGCATCTCCAGCAGTGGGCGAATCATACGCAAAGTCCACAACAGCATACCGAGGGGCATCATCCTTGAAATGAGACAAGAACTCCTCGTACTTCTGGTACTTGCCAGACTCAGCCACGGAAATTGTCTTGTCGTGTGCCGAAGCTTCGTAGATGACAAAGTTCAGAGCATCAGTCTCTTTGACTGCATCAAAGGTTTCCTCACACTCGGGCTTGATGGTAGCGAATCCTCGTGTCATGATGGCTGAATGATGGGATGGTTAGTTGGGAGGAGAGGGGGTGTGGAAGATGAAGTTAAGGGAGGGGGGGAAAGTGAAAGAAGGTTTGTTGATGGGCGATCTTACCCCGGCTTTTTGTATGCGGGGAAACCCGATTAGGTAAGGTTGGTGGCTAACCTTGGTGCAAACAATGTGCCTGAGACATTGATGGTTGATGGCCTGATTGTGGGGGATCCGCACCGCTGGCGCTGTATATGACGTATGCTTTTGTGTATGGCCCAGGATTCTCTAGGAGGAGCTGGGTTGTTGTCACTTAGATAGAACAGGAACTGGCTGATGGCCTGGCTCATTAAACAATCGATAAGTGAATTGGTTTTATAATGGACCACCCACATCTGGGCAGAGATATCCGGTACGAGCGAGAAAAACGTCATTCCTCGGTGCCATCACATGATCGGGGTATATCATTCCTTTCAAGACAGTTTGCTTAGATCATACGATGTCAAAGGATCTGCATAGAGGAGGTAGCATGAAGTGGAAATTTCCACACATTTCCCCTTCTAGGGTAAAGCGTTATTACAGATAGGTCATGGTTGATAATTAACGAGTCAGAGAGCGCTACAAGCCTGCTCTCATCCTGATAGTTGCCAGCATGATGATTCTGAGGTCATATAGTGCTCTCAATTTGACCAATCAGCAGGCAGAACCTCAATCCCAACACTGGCTGTCGCAAAATGGATTAAAAGCTGGGAGACATGTAATTCCACCGATTCATTTTGTTCCTATTCTCTCTAATCAGTACTCAAATTAATATCAGCCAAACCATCAGAGTATCAAGCAACATGACTTTATCCCCCACAATCGAACTCGACCAAACCTTCCACCACTCCACTCCCACTCACAGCTACGCAATCCACTGGACATCCCTCGGCGACCCATCTTCCCAACCTCTCATATTCATACACGGCACACCATGGTCCTCACGAGTATGGACTAATTACGCACAATCATTCTCAAAATATTTCCACGTCTACCTATTCGACAACCCCGGTTTCGGGACAAGTCCACTCGGCAAGCCCCTCCCCGACAAAGAAGACACTATCAGCGAAGACCTCGCCCTCGATGCAGATCTCTCGCAACAATCGGCCGTATTTGCCGCTTTATTCAACCACTGGTCTCGAGAGTGGCAGCAAAAACCACACGTCGTTGCACATGATCATGGCGGGTTGATGACTCTACGGGCTCATATCATCCATGGCTGCGAGTATGCCAGTCTATGTTTGATCAATGTAGTCGCGATAGGACCATTCGGTCAACCACTCTTCAAACTTATCGCTGAGAATGAGAGTGTTTTTACAGCGTTGACGGGGCCGGTGTTTGAGGGTGTTGTCGAGGCGTATATTCGTGATGCTTCGTATGCAGGCTTGGACAGGGAGACGACGGAGGTTTTGAAGAGGCAATGGGTTTCTACGGATGAGGGGCGGAGGGGGTTTGTTAGGCAGATGGTACAGGCGAATAGTCGGAGTACTGAGGAGGTGGAGGGGAGGTATGATGAGGTTGGAAGAAGTATGCCTGTGCGGGTTATTTGGGGTAAGGAGGATGCGTGGATTCCTGTGGAGACGGCGGAGAGATTGAAGATGAAGTTGAATGCGAGGGACTTGGTGCTTATTGAGGGTGCTGGGCATCTGGTGATGTATGATCAGGAGGGGAAGTTGGGAGTAGAGCTGGGTTGGTGGTTGAGCCATGTTCGAGGTGTGAAAGAGTGATTGTGAGATGGACATCCTTTTGTTAAATTATGAGATCTATACAGATATCTTTCTTTTTCTTATTGACAAGCCAGAGACGGCATCACCATATATTCCTCGCTTCGAATGCAACAATTCATGAGTCGTAATCCACCCATTCGACCACCTGACCCACCATCCTCCAATACCCTCTTCCTAACACCACTTTAAATAACCCTGGCCTCAGACTTAGGAGGTCGATCCCCAAAGATCGTCGTCCCAACACGAACCTGATCACTCCCCAGCGCAATAGCCCCCTCAAAGTCCTGACTCATCCCCATACTCAACTCCAACTCCGCATCAGCCCCGGCCAACCCCAACTCAGAAATAATCCGATCTCGCGTCTCCCGCAGACAAACGAAATCCTCATTCTCGTTCTCAGGGGTGGTCGCCCGTGACCGCGCAATGGCTCCGATAGTCATGACACCCTGCAGCTTAAGCCGAGGGCATTTCTCCCGGATATGTCTCGCCAGAGCGGGCGCAGCGGCAGGCTCGATACCAGCCTTGTTCTCTTCGCCGGAGGTGTTGACCTGCACGTAGATGCGGAGTCGCGAATCCGTATCTGAATCTGCAGCTTCGGCTTCTAATTCCTCGGCATCGGGCTTGCGCTCGCCACGACCTTTATCTAGCAGCGTCGCCTTCTTTTCGGTATCGACGCTCTCAACAGCCCATAGTCCGCGCACATCCCGTGCAAGCGTCACGCATTTATTTGACTGCAGACCGCCGATGAAGTGCCATTTAATGGTTGGTGGGAGTAGGCGCGATTTCTCGAGGAGTTCTTGCAGGTAGTTCTCGCCGAAGTGATATTGAGTGACGGGGGATTTGTGCAGGGCTAGGACGTCGGAGGCGGGCTTGAGCTTGGAGACGGCGACGAGGCGGACTGGTTTGGTTGGGAATTGGGAGTGGGCTGTTGCGGTGGTGATGCGCGTGGTTACAGCGGCGATGTTGGAGAGGAGAGTTGAGGTGCGCGCCGGGGTGGCGGCCATGTTGGGTGGTGCGTTTGTGGATGGGGTGGTCATGGCAATTCCGATTGAGTAAACTTGGCTAGGCGGAGACTGGATGTAGAAGGTGTGGGAAGTATAGTATGATGGAGAGTGATTGCAGGCGTGGAGAGGGTTCTGGTGTCGCCGCGGAATGCAAATTGGAGAAATTACGAGATCAGCTTTGGAGTAAATTGAGCAAAACCGACAAAACGGGCGATAAGTCCGCTGATAACGGCCTGAGGCATCATTCTCCGCGGAGAACAGGGGTCACCTGACTTGAATAACTGCGCCATCTGCCCCGGCATTCCTTTTCCCTAGCTCACCAGCCACATTATTATCTAATCATCAGCCACATCTCGGCCTCGATCTCCAGGTTTCTTCAGGCCGTTTGCGGCCTGGTGGATCGACGAGGTGATCTCACCTGGCCATCTTCAACCCAACTTAATCGTCTTGATCAGGTCTATGCGACGCTATAAATGCCGACGTTGTGACATGAATCCACAACCTCCAAATTCCCATCCAATTACTGCCCAACTACTTCCTCGGATGACTCTTCAATGACTCCTCGCAACTGGTCGGCGCCAACTGACACTGGCCCAGCAACCCACTCCGGCTCCTGGCGGCAGCCCTGACAGCGGGCCAACCAATCAGCCACCAATCGCGTCGGATGTACAGACCCTGAGCGACACGCTTCGGGGCTCTGCGGATCCCGTTCGTCTCGTCTCTCAGCCCTGAACCGTCGTCTTGATGGTCGGTCGATCAGATTAGTCCGATAGTCGCCGTTGAGTTCCGGACTACGCGTCTTTGATGCCGTACAATTTACGATTCAACAAGCCAAGCTAATCGTCTAACGCCTAATTTTAACCCCTCTCGAAGCGCCCATTGTAAGTGCGTCGTAATCCCCTTGGTTTGTTTTCTTTCACCGGTGTGTGTAGCCTGGTTCTTTTTTTGGTACTTCTGCCTTTCCATTGTGTTCGTGTTTAGCCTAAGCCAAGACAATAGTAAAACTAAATCGGATTTTTGTTCTTTTTCGTTACCTCACATCAGCCACCAATGCATACTTCCCCGGGGTCTCCAAGCCCTAGAGGCGCTCGCCAAGGTACGAGGCCTCGCACTTGTCGCATTCCGTGCTTGGTACCTGACTGACCTGGTACCCAGTGTCCACTGTCTACAGGGAATAATGGGGTTGGCAGGTCAAGTGAGTAGACAAAAAACGTAGAATCCGGTCTATTCTCGGCCTTTGCCCAGGCTTCAATACCACACCCCCTGTTACCTGATTGACTGGTTGACTGGTTCACTGGGCAAAAGATGTAACTCCCCCTCCCCCTCCCCCAGGCGCCAGACGGATGGAGTAAGTTCCCGGCGCGGTCCACAGGATCTCTCAGGCAGACGAACTAGATTTTTGACAGCTCTGGTAGACTATTAAATATGGTGCCTTGTACTACGATATTTCTCGGGATACGCACCATCCCCGATTATATTAATATCTTTTCACTCCTTCTCCCTCCCCCCAGCTTTTTTCTTTGACGTCAGACCATCCGTTGACCATGGTTCTTTCATGACTCCATTACCCAATTCACTCTTTATTCATTATTACTGTAGGCTGATGCTCCGCTAAACCCGGCGCCAGCCCTACCTCTCTCTCGTTCTCTCTTCTGCACGCCCGATCTAGAACATAAAGTGTCTGGCAGGGCTGCATTTACCTTCCCCTCGATCTTTTGCTCTTATTTTTTTCTACACCCCCCACTACCCTCCTCAGCTGGTCTGATCTTCTCTTCTGTTACTCTACTATCTTACTGTCCTCTTTGAAACGGGATATCCCACCTCGACACTCCCACTACACTATCTCCCCATCTACTCAGCTCCCAAGCAACGCTGCTCCTCAACCAAATTTACCAGTCATACCGACACTCAATCTCATCAATTGACCTCTCCCAACCCTCATCAGGGCCAGACCACATCCCCCTGAAGCTCCGGAGCAGCTCGGCTTTCCATTGCGCATTCCCAAGCTCTCCCCACAGACCACTCCACCCTCTTCACTACTAGTGATATCCAAGTGGACCCTACAACAACCACACCTCTATTCCTGTCCCTGTAGACTTGAAAACACAAATCTCATAAAAAGTCGACTATCTCGTGCATATCTCACCAAATTTACTATCAACAATGTGTCGCCAATACTACACCCTCTACGAATGGTGCCATTGCGAGGAAGACGCCGGCCACAGCGTCTGCTCCGGCCATCGTCGCAATAGTTGTCCCGGTGTCAGCATCGAAACCGTCCACATGCACTGCTTCTGCAATTCCCACGCCAGACGTGGCTTCAAGACGGAGAAAGAGACTAAAAAGGACGAGAAGAAAACGCGGCGCCGGTCTCAGGATTCCTTTGAGGAGAAGGCTTCATTCGGTCGTCGGTGGTACCAATGGTATCAATGGAGGGGATTGCGATCGCGGTAGATGATTGCATTGCACACCCTTTCTCTCCCTTTTCGACTCTTACGTCTTTTTATAAAGACTTCTTTTTTGTTTCCATGTTTATGTTTTCAGCTTTGGTGTTTCGGCTGATTTGGGTTCTTTTTGATTTTGGGAATGGATACTGGATATGGAGGTATTTTGATGGGCGTTTTCAAGGTGATCTGGTCTGGTCTGTTTTTATGGGTTATGGATTCATGGCACTCTCTTTTTCATTTTCATTTGTTGTCTACAGAAGACTCCTAGAAAAAGTTAAAGATGGATAGAAGAGATCTCATTACTAGATATCTAGAATACAATCATTCAGTTGATCATGCAAGTTACTTGGTTCCTACTAGTAGATAGTAGATAGTAGTCCAAGCAGGCTTGAGAATAAGCTTTCTAAACAATTACATCGGTGGGAAACTCAGAAAACTGGTTTTTTAATTCATGGACATTTACAAATCCATCCATACAATAGTATAGCACATACTACTAACTATTCAAGTGAAACAAAGTGGCTGAGGAAATGGGAGCAAGAATGTCTTGTGTTTGGTATGGCCATTAAGGATCGACTGACCCCTTGCCCCACGAAGAAGTAGGAACTAAGAAACACATGCTCATCCCGCTCCTTTTCTTCTTTTCCCCTACTTTGGTCGTCCTGCAAGTTTCCTTTCTATCCTGCAAGTTTCGCAGAACAAGGCCTTTGGTCTCTTCTATCTACATACACGTGTGCTTGTCTTCGTGGTCCCCGCTCTATGCTCCTCTTGCATCATGGACCCCTCCAAACCCCCTCAGGGTGATCCGCCTCCACGGTTCATTGATAACGACCCAAATACTACGGCAACTACCCCGTCCCATTGTGATTTGACCGACTCTTTGAATCGTTTGACCCTGGCAAATGCCGCTGCCATTCCTTTACCTACATCTCCGTCCATCTCACCTCCCCACGATGGCCTGTCGCGACCTAGTCCCCCCATCGCTATCGCCGTCGACCGCGCGCCGACACCGAAACGCGCCTCCAACTCCAACTCTAGTTCTCTACGTGACGACCACGGCAGACCAGTTCCAACACTCCAGAAACGTCCTTCTACTACATCCCTACGATCTGTGTCCCAACCTACCGGTCCCGCGATCGCCGGTGTTCACGCGCCCATACCACAACGTACCCCCAGCTCCAGTTCTCTACGCGACGAGCGCCGCAAGTCGACCCCCGCACTCCAGAAACGCCCATCCGCTGCGTCGCTGAGATCAACTGGTCCCACATCCCCGGTTCCAGCCTCATCGCGACGATCCTCCGCCAATTACCCTGGTTCTCCAACGACCTCGACCTCGCCCGCGATGCCTCCGCGCCGAACATTCTCCCCCACAGAGGCGCAACTCCCGACAGCAGCGTCGGTAGCAGCAGAACACTTTCGCAAAGAGGTCGACCTGCACCAAGTTGTGGATCTCAAGTCTAAAACGGTGGTGGTGGTTCATGATGCCTGCTACGGCCACCGATTCTCGCGGCCCCGCGCTTCAAAGGCAGTGCTAGCCTCGATCGTGGAGAGACCGGAGCGCATTCGTGCTTGTGTTTTGGGAATATCTGCGGCGTACATTCGTATGGGTCGTCGACATGAGGGAGAGCAATTTGCGCCACGCCCTGATCTAGATCTACATTTGCTTCCTCCGCCGCCTTTCCAGATTCGCAAGACGTCGCGCTCGCTGCCCCTTCAAGATAGTGCTGTCACGCATGTCCATGGGAATCAGTGGATGACGGATCTAAAGAGTATGTGTGATGTCGCCGAGTCACGGCTGGCGTTGAGTGGGAAGGAACTCGCTCGACCACGCGGTGAGGGCAGTGATAGTGCTGTCAATGGGCCGCAACTTCACACTGGTGATCTCTACTTGTGCTCCGAATCGCTGGATGCATTCCAGGGTGCGCTAGGTGGAGTATGCGACGGCATTGATGCGGTCTTTGGTCAAGGTCCAACGACACGTGCTTTTGTATGCATTCGACCACCGGGTCACCATTGCTCGGCTGATTTCCCTTCGGGCTTTTGCTGGGTCAACAATGTTCTTGTTGGGATTTCTTATGCGGCAATGAACCATGGCCTAACCCATGCAGCTATCTTGGATTTCGATTTACATCACGGCGATGGCTCTCAGGACATTGTATGGGACCACAATTACAAAGCGTCGATGGCCCCGCGGAATGCGCCAGCCTACAAGAAAACCGCAATCGGATACTACAGTCTCCATGATATCAACTCTTACCCTTGCGAGGGCGGCGACCCAGAAAAAGTGCGCAATGCGAGTGTATGTGTTGATGGTGCGCATGGCCAATCCGTTTGGAATGTCCATTTGGAGACATGGGAGACCGAAGCAGAATTTTGGGAACTGTATCGGACCCGTTACATTACATTGATCTACAAAGCTCGCAAATTCCTGCGTGCTCAGTCCCAGAGACTGTCTGAAACTCCCGGCGGGCCTGCTCCCAAGGCTGCCATCTTCATCTCAGCGGGTTTCGATGCCAGTGAATGGGAAGGCACTGGGATGCAGCGGCACAAAGTCAACGTTCCAACTGAATTCTACGCTCGTTTTACAGCCGACGTTGTGCGTATGTCCCAGGAAGAGGGTCTTGGTGTGGATGGACGTGTGATCAGCGTCTTGGAAGGTGGCTATAGTGACCGAGCTTTGACTAGCGGTGTCCTCAGTCACCTTGCTGGTCTGGGCGATTCTAATGCATCTTCGAATGAGTCTGCTCCTTCACACCTCGAATACGAGAGCAAGTGGTGGTCTGCAGATCACCTCTCCGAACTCGAGGCTCTCATGTCCCCACAAATCAAGCGCGAGAAATCATCACCTACCTTCCTCGCTTCTACAAAATCATTCGATGCAAAGGTCCTCACTGTTCGGGACCGCAGGTCTTTCGGCTCTCATACAGGAATTAGCCCAATCCTACCCCCTCCTCCACAGGTTGACTGGGCGACTGCAGCCTATGAGCTATCCAAGATTCTCATTCCCGATAAGAGCCGCCAGACCATGAGCTGTCGGCCAGAAGATTTAAATGCGGAGGCATCCCGTCAGCGACGAGATCGCCAATTAGCTTTGGAAGGTGTCAAAATCGCGGCGTGTCCACCTCCCCCGGCCCCAGAGGAGAAGCGACAGCTACGAGTGCGAAAGGGAAAGTCTCCAACACCCTTCTCACCGAGACCAGCGACACCCCGGCAGCAGGCTATGCGCAAGAACCGTCGCAGAACGATTGACGGAAATGACCTGCCTGATCCATCGGGAGAGTTGTCTCCATCTGTGGATGCAAGCCGCAGGAAGAGTACCAACACTAGCACAACATCAACTGAGCCAATCACTATGGGCGATTTGGACGGCTCTGGAAATCCAACACTCGTGATAGAAACCGCAGCCACGACCACTCCTTCAAAGAGTGTCGGTGTGCGCAAGACAAGTGGAGGTTCACGAGCAGGCACCCCCAGACGTTCCGCAAGCCCCAGGAAGCAACCGCCAGTACCCAAAGTACCAACTGCTTATCTGCCCTCGAAGCTTTCCGATGAAGCCTCGGCTAATGACGTCGAGAACCTCTCCGCTGGTCTTCGTCGGATCAAGCTGGTCGTGCCAACCCCAGAAGAGCAGGCAGCTCGCGAGAAAAAGGCGGCTGATGACCGCAAATCCTACGCGGCTAAGACTCCAAAGTCCCCTGCCAGATCTCCCAGAAAGCCCAGTGGTACGAAGACTCCTCGTAGCAAGGCATCATCTGCACGCTCCTCCGTCGCACCAAGCAGCTCCCCGCCTCTCCCTCCTATGGGTGATGCGGTGAAACAAGAGAAGGCCGAGACGCTATCAATCCCTTCACCATGGGAGTCAGCCGAGTCCAGTATCATGGACACAACCATGCAAGATTTCGCAGCGCCACAACCATCTGCACCCTATGTTCCAGAATCAACATTCCAGCCATCCACCCACTTTGATACCAACACATCCCCGCCATTCACGCCAAATCTTACTCAACCCCCCGACCTACCGGGTCCACAATCAAATACCTACACTCCGCCAATGGCCGCGGGACAGACCAAGCAAGGTCTCCCTGTTTTTACATCCAGCAGTCCTATCCCCTTCGCCCCGCCTGGTCACCAACAGACGAACCCAGGACAGGACAATCGATCATTCCAGCCACCTGCACACCCTGGGTTCCAGGATGGCCGGTCTTACCATAATCACCCTCCCAATTGAGTATGGCGTTGACGGTTTCCGGATTTTGCGTCATATACCCCCCTCTTGTTATCTTTGGTGATGGTGTTTCTGTTTCTGTTTTGGTTTTCGTTTGGGATTGTTTGTTGGTGTTTGTGGTTTGGGTGTTCTTCGTGTTAGGCCTCTTTCTTTTAAGATCTGTTGATCGATTGTTCCTTTTTACTTCGTTTAAGGACTGGTTATCCCATGTAGAAATGTATGTATGATTTGATGTCTATTTACTTGGTTTAACCTCGCTCTATAAACGTGTCTTTGCCGATGGTATCAGCTAGGATGGCGTACGGTCCCATATGTACCTCTCAAGATGCCCGTATATCGGAAACGCCCAACGCCTGCCTCTAAGTATAGATGCACTATACAATTATTGTACACCTAAAAAGTGTACATCATGATCACCATCACGCCAAAACGGAGAGAACAATGCCCACTGTAACAGATTAGCATCTATCCCAGCCTGAAAAGGAGAAGCACACTTACCAGTAAAAACCAGCAACCCTCCCCCTCTCATCCCATCTCTCCCCCTCCCACCCCCCATACCCGTAGCTTTCACAACCCCCGTCTGCGCTGCCGCCGCCGCCGCCGTACTATAAACCGGCAAAACAGGATCACTAACACTATCCCCCCCATCTAACTCCCCCTCCACACTCACACTAACCCTCCCATCCATCCCCGTACCAGCAGCATACTCAATAAATCCCTCCTTCACAGCTTGCTGGATAGCAGCCCACCACACAGCCGCCATATCCCGATACCCTTCATCGTCCGGGTGCGTGCCATCGACTAATTGGCTCTCTTTGATGAAAGAGCCCATGTCGGCCAGGACGATGCGGTCGTTTTGGGCTCGGCGCAGGGAGACTAGTTCCCGGTATTGAGTGCTGATTTGGAGCACGCGGTCGGGTTGTTTTTTGTTTGGGAGGAGCGTTGAGAGGATTATTGTTGTGTTTGGGATGCTGGTGTAGAGGGTGTCTAGGAGAGTGTTCATGCGCATGGCGGCGGTGGTTATGAGGTGGTTTTGGATTGCGTCGTTTGTGCCGGCGCTTTTTTGAATAGCTGTTAGTTTACTTGAACCTGAAATATTCAAATGAAAGTGCCGAGGAGATGAGTTTACTTGATTAATATCAGGTTTGGTTTTTCGAGGATGGTCTTTTGGGTTTTATCTTCCAATTGGTCGATTCTGTACCCAAAATGGCCATCGTGTTCCTATTCAAAATTGTTAGTATTAATCTTAACAACCCCTTTCATTACTATTTTGATCTCACTTACATTATCATGCATAGTCCCATTCCTCAAACTCCCAATCATGTTCACCTGCCACCCCGCATACCGAAGCTGCTGCCGCAACGGCTTTCGATACCCATTGTGATCCGTCGACCCATAACCCAATGTAATCGACGCGCCCAGCGGCATAATCCGCAACAGAAAAGTCCCATTGTCGCGTTTCTGCAACACGGACGAGCTCTTCTCAATTCCTTCAATCAAGCTCCTTGACCTGGAAATCACATCACCAGGCAGACGCTCGGCGGTCGCGAGCGTAACCAGCAAGACCAGCCATGTCAGACAACAATGGACAACCCAAGGTATGGGCGTCGAGTGCCACATGGCGATACTGTGCCTAGACAGTGACACCCAGTCGCCGACGTAAGGGGGTGAATCTGAAAGGTTGTCGGTTGTCGATCAGTTTAAGAAATTCAAATTCAGGGTCCTCCCGCCATGCACCCACCAACTTAAATCAAATCTTCTTAATGATTGGCAGTTGCGCTAATCTGTCTGCCTGAGACTAGTGCTTCCAATGGCTGGTCCGCAGTAACTAAGCGATGGTCAAGCTCGCACTTGGCATTGATAGACAATGCAACAGAAACATTTAGCTTGGTCTCTGGGTCTTGGGAAACCGTGCTCTCCCTATGATCTGATCAAGCCTCGTTAGCACGAATGAGAAGTGGATATGGGTCATGATGGGCCATTGGGTTCGAGCACGGCGCTAGAGGGGTTAGTGTGGCTGGATTGGGTTAGTGGTCCTCGGGCAAATTGTCTTTTATTGCAAATCGCTATGGCTAGGGACGCGAAGGCTGAGCATATCCATGGCTTCTATGATTATGGTCTGGGCTTGCTGCGCCTTGAGCCATAGCCGAGTCTTGGGAGCTTGGTGGGTTGGACCCCTGGATCGGATCGGCAATGGGTAACGGTCTTAGCCCGTCAAGCACAACAGTAACAGTAGTTCCATTCGGCGATAGAATCTAACTTGGACTGGGATCTTCGCTGAGCCGCAGAAGATCGGATGATCGATGGTTAGACCTTGTATGTAGTAGTATATTATTGGGATACACCGAGGTACCATTGAGCTCCATTGAGCTATCGTCTTAAATGTTCATGTTGGAGGAAAGAAATTGACCAGCGGGTTTCGTTACTTATCAACTGGCGAGACTAAACGGCAACTAGCGAGATTAGACATCAATCATCGTTTCTACCCACCACTTCCACCCATTTATGCACCTCAAACACTTTCTCTCATTCAAACACTTTCTCTCATTCAAACACTTTCTCTCATTCTCCCAATTAAGACATATCATCGTTTCTCCAACCATCCTTAGACCAACAATCTGCTTACTCTCTACTGCCCCTGATGTCTGAAATCCACAAACCCGCAACATCCGATGGCTGGCATGGCGTCATCCCCAGCACCCAATTCCCCGCCGAACAAGGCCGCTATCACCTCTACATAGGACTCTTCTGTCCCTTCGCCCACCGCGTAAATTTCATCCGCCATCTCAAAGGACTAACCGAATTCATCGATATCAGTATTGTAAAGCCATACCCCAAGGGTGACGAGAAAGGCTGGCCAGGATGGTGTTTCCCCAGTTCCGATGATGAGTACCCCGGCGCGACAGTCGATCACCTCTTTGGAGAAGATTTTCTGCATAAGATCTATTTCCGGGCAGATCCGGAGTATAAGGGTCGGTATTCGGTTCCGTTATTGTGGGATAAGAAGAGTGCGACCGTTGTTTGTAATGTAAGTCGCTTGTGGCTCTTTAGTGAAGGTTATTGTGCTGATCGGGTGTGTAATGGGTAGGAAAGTGCTGAGTTACTTCGCTGGCTTCCTACGGCTTTCAATGAGCTGTTGCCTCCATCGCTTGCAGAGATTGATCTTTATCCCGTCGATCTTCGTGCTAAGATTGATGCGATTAGCCCGTGGATGCAGTCAGACCTCAACATTGGCGTCTACAAAGCGGGCTTTGCACCATCACAAGAGGTCTACGATAAGAACATCATCCCTGTGTTTGGAGCATTGAACAAACTCGAGCACATCATAGCTCAACACGGTGGACCCTTTGTGCTAGGCCCAACGATGACAGAACTCGATATTCGATTGTATGCGACCTTGATCCGCTTTGACACTGTCTATGTGCAGCATTTCAAGTGTAACTTGGGGACTATTCGACATGATTATCCTGTCCTTAATAATTGGATAAAGGGGATGTATTGGGATGTCGAAGCAGCGAGAGCGTCGACGAATTTCAAACATATCAAAGAGAACGTACGTGATGCCTTGAAGGAATCTTGTAGGATGAGAGCTAATTGTTTACAGTACACGAAGAGTCACTATGATATTAATCCCAAGGCTATCACTCCAATGGGGCCTTTCCCTGATGTAGAGGAAGGGGTCCAGAGAGATTGGAGTAAGTTGGTGGTTGGAGGTGTGAAGCATCCTGCGGTGTTGGAACACGAATCTACGCTTCCTGGCGTGTAGTGAAAAGTGATAGTCAAGTCGAAAGCTCCATGACCTCTCATGCCAAGTAAAATCCGAATCTTGAAACTTGACCCATAGTTTCAAACAACATGGCTTATCGGCGCACATATTGGAATGTATCTTTCTACTAGGCGTGTGCAATAAAAAGGGCAGTCAGGCTGGCATGCCAAGAAACGAGCTCTCTTCAAATGAAAGGTTTCAGAAGTATGTGTCACTTTTTAAAGATAGAGAGTAGTCAAATGTGATATGGAATAAGCAAATGAAAATATCATCCCGCCTTATTTCTCGTCTGGAAGATGGTCATCTCGAGTCGTATTATCCGGGTAGCATAGTCCTCGCCTCGTCCTTCTGAGGTTCGAGTCTGACCCTCCCAAAGAAGAGATAGCGGGACTTCTTGTAGAATAAGGATGAACTTAGATACCACTAGGTAGGGCTGGTTGTCGGCGCTTTCCGGGTATTAGCAAGAGGTCGGACTCCAATAGGAACGAGCGCCATGCACAGATCAAGCGTAAAGTCGGGGTTAGAATCCATGAAATCGAAATAGATAAATGGGACACGCTTGGGAGTAGAATGCATGTACCCCACAAGCATCTCGATTGCGACTTCTCTTAGCGGTTGGTAATCAGCTCGAATCGAGTAGAGCTCTCGAATCGTCTCTTCAAATGTTTTCTTCCTCGGGTATATTGCGAAGTCCTTCTCAAAGGCGCTGATTGCTGCTTGTTTCAGGTTATCGATCATAAAGTAGTCTGCTTCTGCGTACATCCGGACGTGGAAGTATGCTGGGTTTGTGAGGCAGTAAGCGACAAATTGATCGTAAGAGCCTGTGTCGGTGGGGTTTTCACTAGTAACAGGAGTGCCCGAAGAAGAGGCATTTTCTTGGGATTGATTTGGATTGACTTCGGACTGGTGCGTGGCACCCTCGGGGTTTGTCCCACTCGTAGTGATTGAAGATTGCTGCACGCACGGTACGGGCTCACTTGGTCCAGTATTGGGTGTTGCGAGAGGTACCGAGCCGGACTGACCCACACTAGCATGGTGCAGACTAGACGTATGAGGTTTGCTGCTCCCATTCGCCGTCTTGAAGTCGAAAGTGTATTCACCAGTGTAGAAAAACTCTAGCACCTTCTTCATCAATGCCGGCTCTGTGTCGGGGAGTCGAATTGGCTCCTGGGATTCCTGATCCGAATAGCCACGCATTAGCAAAATACTATAAACTTCTTGATGCGAAGGATGGTACCTTGAAGCCGCTGGAGCAAGCCGTCTTGAAGTATTCAGACTGGGGGCAAATAATCACTTTGTGTGCATGGAAAACCACGTCTCGACAAATGATTTCCATATCGCTGTAGTCTGGGCTGAGGTAGGCGCTAAAGAGAGTTAGCACAGGAGAGTCTCCATGACCCTAAATTCAAAGTAAGATGAGCACTCACCTTTTTACGATTCGATCCGTGGTATCATTTTTGTGCATCGAGAAAATTGATTGAGGGAGAACGAACCCAGATCTGGACGTGCCTTCCATATTCTTCCTCTTCGGCATTTTGGAAGGCTTGGAGGAGTTGAAAATAATCCTGGTCGTCGAATCTAAGGCGAGGGTGTAAGGTGAGATGATGATGAACCTTGTGATCTGAAGAAAGTGAGTCGGTGCAATACCTGGGAGGGGGTCAAGGACAACTCAAGAGGAAGGAAGATGTGGAAGTGAGAGATGGGAGGTCTGCCTGCCTTTTTGGGGAAATGGAGTTGCCCAGTCGTGCTCATGTGATGTGCTGATATCAGGTTGACTTGTCGCCCTCTAGATACCTGCCAACCAGGACTCCTTCGTTTGTCCTTGCTCAGGTACAGGCTCAAGGAGAGGCTGAAGAATGATCGGATGGTCTTGATCTCACATGAAGAATAGTTTTTTCGTCATTAATTTTCCACTGCTTATATCTTACTACCAACACCCTGGTAGGCCTAGCAGATTACTTTAATGGCGGATATATAAGATTTACATACAAATGACTTGGGAGACCGAGATGTATTTGGGGAGATGCTTCGATTTCTACCTCTGTATTTGAAAGCTATCAAATCTGACCGGTCCTTAGCTAGCAGCGTTCATGATGGTCCGGTTGCGGTTCGATTCTCACAGGGTTAGCGGCCTAACCTTCGAGTGCCTTTAACTTTTATCCGAGAAGTATTAGGGGCTTTCGGTGCAAGATTAGCTTTTTCCGCGCAAGACGGCTTGACCTCCGGGTGAGATTTCAAAAGAACATTTCTCCTTCATAAGTGCCATGCATAAATCGAACGCAAAATCAGGAATGGACTTCATGGACTTTCGTAGGGGTACACCATGCTTGACAGAAACAACATGTATGTTTTCCACAATTTGGCGGATTGCAATACACCTCAGTGAATAGTAGTTAGCTCGAGTTGAATAGAGCTCTTCCAGTGTTTCATCAAGTGCCGCCGTCTTTGGGTCCTCCTTTGTCAAGCTCTTTGTGAGATCAGTAGTGAACTCGGCTTGGGTCATGGTTTTGAGGCCCTCGACTAAGACGTAATCGCCCTCTCCATACACTCTCGCATGAAATAGTGCTAGGTTTCTTGTTGGGGAAGGCTCAATGTCCACCTCGTTGCTTCCAACGGGGATAAGGCTACTCGAAGTAGACTGAGAGAGTGCCATGCTTGCCGGGAACGAAGAGTTATCCACCAGAACAACCGGCCTAGCGGCACTGGAAGGTGATTGCTGGTGTCTGATGTTTTTTGAACTGCTCGTCGCTGAACAACGACCAGACCCCAGTTTCAGAGTGTAGTCGCCAGTGTAGAAATACCCCAGGACCTTTTCCATTACAGTGGGATGTTTATCGGGGAATTTGATTGGCTGATGAGCTTCCTGATATCACCATCAAGTACCAATCAGTATCAAATCATAGGACTCTATTGCTCATACAGAGCATGTACAAGTGATACTACCTTGAATATGCCGCAACAGGCTTTTCGGAAGTAATCTGACTGAGAACAGACAACCAGCCTATGCGCTTTGAGAACCTTGTCCCCACAAACAATTGTCAAGTCGCTACATTCTTCACTGAAGTATACGCTGAGAGTATGTGAGCAATCTTAACAGATAGTAGAAAATGTTTAGGAAGGGCGAGGTGCTGACTTTTTGACCATGTTATCTATTGTTTTATGTTCTAGTTTGGCTCGTTTTGGGAGGGGAGGTGCAGACGAGGGAGAATTTGTCGAAATCCCTAGTGCCCCCAGTGTTCTTCCATCAGTTGTCTTCTCTCTTGGTGGAAGTGGAGCCCTTGTAGAGGGGACGCGAGGATTTGGCATCTTCGAGGTGAAGAAGCTGTAGTTTGAGGAGGAAAGGTGGTTAGGTTCACTAAGTGGGTTATTTGGATTCATAAGAAAAGCAAACCCAGTGAGGTACATTCCAATGCATGGCGGAACGAGCCGTTAGAGAGCGGTAGGTACCTGTAACAGGATGTTTCATTATCTGCATTGCATTGCGTTTGCGACGTTTCCAAAATGTCTCTAGATAACAATGGAGCCTTCCATCGTGGTCAGAATCCTTATTAGGCCCGAAGTCCATACACTCAACTCACAACCTATTGCACCTTCCCTCTCGAATCAACAGGCCAAATCTCCTCAATAACTCCTCCCCGATAAGAATAATAAACATCATGCAGATTAATCGTCGGGTCAATATGACTAGGAATAATCATAACGCGATCCCCAACATCCAAATCAGGCGTCCCCTCCTCCCAAACCAGCGAGCCCTGCTCATCACCAAACTCACTATACTTGTACCGCTCGTCACTGCACTCAGCCATCCCACTATCCGTAGTCAAAGACTTCAACCCCGCATCAATAGTCACAGCCCTCGGACCCTGTTTGCTAACAACGGTCGACAATATCGTCAAACTGTTCGAGTAGAATGTACCAACAGCGTTGCGGTAGTCTGTATCCATGAAGATGAAAGAACCAGGTTGGAGTTCAGTCACGCCGGGCACAGAAGCGCAGAACTCGGCTGTACCCGTGCCTCCAGTGGTGACAACTTCAATATTGAAACCAGCCTGCCGGAAAGACTCGGCGGTACTAGTGAGAATACGCATCGACTCTAGACATTGACTCTTCCGGTCTTCGTAGTCGTGCAGATGTTGTAGATGGCCCTCATACCCCTGGACACCGATGATCTTGAGATATTTCAGTCCGCCGACGTACTTGATTAATTCCATCGCCGGTTCTCCGGGCTTAACACCAGTACGATGAAGACCAACATCAAGATCGATCAGCGTGAGAATAGGCTCTTCAATGCCTGATTTCGACAGAGCATCGTTGATAGCAGATGCACCGATCTCAGAATCAACCACGATCCTGACTTGCCGATACTTTCGGAACAGTTCCGCCAATCTCCTCACTTTGGCGGGCCCAACGATCGGACAGGTTATGTGTAGATCGTCGAAGCCAGCGGCGGCAATGACTTCAGCTTCGCTGACCTTTGTAACGCACCCGCCCTTGGCACCGGCTTTGGCGAGCTTGGTCGCGAGAATAGCGCTCTTGGTTGTCTTTAGATGAGGACGAATGTCAAGGCCTGTCGGGAGTAGTTTGTCCATGAGTTTTTTGATGTTACCCTCCATTAGGTCGAGATCAACGATCATAGACGGTGTGTCGATATCGGCGATCTTGTCGCCGACTTTGGGAGTCTCCATTTTGAAGTTCAAGCTGGTAACGTGGATGTCAATTGTGATGCTGGTTTGGTCGGGGTTTGGTTTGAAGAGGCGGGAATTGGACGCTGGAACTCTCCCAATTTATAATGTGGATGCAAGGGGCACTGTAACATGCACTCTCAACCGATCGGCAGAGTCATCTTATGTTGTATCCAACTCCAAATCCCACCCTTTACCCCTCGGTCACCCTCCGATCGCTGATTCGAGAGTTGCCCACGGTATAAGTGGTACACCCCCGCGCTGGAAAGTGGGATGTCCCCATATAGACCCATAATTTGATCGGCTAGGCCTCGTGGGGGCTTGGGGATGTTACCATAGCTTCGTGTTGCTTCGTGTTAATAGAGTAAAGCATTTGCTGACACAATCATCTCAGGGGAGTTTACTCTAAAAAGTGTCGCCGAGAAATTGGGCCAGTGAATATTGTCGATTGGACGCTGGGGAGGTTGGCGACACGCCCATGGATCAGTCTGTTTGTGTCTCTTAAATGGTCTTTTGGGTAGACTTTAGGTGAGGTTAGCAGCACATTGAATTCTACAACTTATGGTCTGCAATCACTAGATCAAGACCTCAAGAACCCGAATCGAGGAAATCAATTGAACTATCAATAGGGCCCAATCCCACCAGTCCAAAGCCGGCGCAATATAACACATGCCGCCAGGACTAAAAATCGATCATCCCCGTTCGTAACCCATAAACTAAAAGCCAAAAAGGTATATCTCGCACAACGCCCAACCCAAGGAAATCATCCAAAGCGAATGCGAACAAGACAGATAAAAAATCATCATCGTAAGAACAGAACAGAAAATCATCTACAAGGAAGCAAAGGCCAACTCATAGGCAAAAGCCAAGCTCATCTTTGCGTGCTGCAGCATGTGATCGAAGCTGAGGTACTTGATCAGATCGTCCGTGCTATGGATTTTCTTGTCCGAGTTCTCAAATTGAGATTCGATGACGAAGGCGGATGGGTAACCAAAGCGGCTAGCGGAGGCGTGGTCGGAGCAGGCGTAGCCGCACTTTGTTTCGACGTAGGGGACGTCGCAGTACTAGTTAGGGGAGATGGTTAGTAATGAAGGGAGAATTAACGGTGATGAGTTAAGCGAGATACGTACGGTGGTAATGACCTGCTTGATGAATGCGGTAAGACCCTGGTCGACATAATCGACAATCACACCGACAGACTCCTTCTGACCGGCATCGAGAGTACCCTGAACGTAACCGGTCATGTCCTGCTGCAGCATGGCCTTGACCTCGCGCAGGTCCTTCTTGTACTTGGAGTAAACCGCCTGGGAGCCGAGCAGACCACCTTCCTCTGCAGAATACCAGTGGAACTCGATGGTGTTAGTCGCCTGGCCCTTGACAATCGCCTCGGACCGCAGCAGGGCCCGAAGGGTCTCGAGGATAGTCACAGTCCCACTTCCATCGTCATCAGCGCCGGGTGCGGCGAGAATGGACGGCAGGAACAGGTTGATGCTATCCTGATGCGCGCCCAGGACGACCGTGTTGTTAGTCTGGCCCGGGATGCGGGCGATAATACTGAATTGACCCCATGGGTGAGCGAAGCGCTCGACCGAGGCACCGTACTCGGTGGCACCAGACTCGGAGACAACCTCGCTGACTTGGGAGAAGAGCCACTCGGCAGACTCGATACCGTAGTGAGACTTGTAGTAGCGGGTGTGGAAGGAGGTGAAGTGCTCGAGGTTCTTCCTCATGTTGGCCTTGGACAGGTCGGCAGCCAGAGGGCTGATCTCTTGTTCGTGGTACATTTGGCCGGGGTAGCGGACGATGCGCGTGGTGTGGAGGGCACCGTAGGCACCGGATTGGAATTCATCGGTGACATCGATGAAGTTGACGCCGTCCTGTAGAGTTGTATTGGTCAGCCGATGCGCTCGCGCTCGTTGGGCAGTAAACAAGCAGTCGACAGTCCCTCGATAAGAGAGCACCTGGGAAGGCTTTCAGACTCACCAATTTCAGCGCCCACTTCTCCTCTTCGGTGACCCATCGTGTCCGGTATGGAGCCAATTCAATCAACCATTTGGTCTGCTGGGTGTTCTGGACGATTGACGGGCCGAGAGGAGCCTGTAGGCCCTGTGGAGGAATGACCGCCGCCAAGGCGGTCGAGGCGGTCGCGCTGAGCGCCAGCGGGGTGAGGAACTTCATAGCTGGGAGATAATGATGAGAATAATAATACGAAGATAAACACAGGTCTACGAGGAAGGAAGGTTGGTTTTGTAGGTCCGAGTCAGCCTCGTCAGGTACCAGGCCAGAGAGATTGGGATTGGTAAAGATGATTGGGGGCCGAGAGGAGAAGAAGAGGTATCACGCGCCCTTGGCACCCAACTGCAGGCTGAGGCGACTATCGATTCCTGCCAAGCCCCTTTTCGGACTCTCCCCGCGCTAACTCGCTATGGAAAGTTACACTGGATAAACTGGATGTCTTGGATCAGGGAGAGACTGCGCCTTGCGATGATGGATCCCTTTTTTGTTTACTTTGAGAGATTTTCAATCGTGGATTTTCCCTATATTTTCTATTTTGCATTCAGAAATACGAATTGCACGCGACGAACTATTACTCACCTGCCAAAACAAAATCACCACTTATCCTCGGCAGGAATAATACGATGCGAGGATCGTCTCTCCGCGTGGGGATTGGAGAGCGGAGAAGTTGAATGACTCCACTTGCTGGCCGGCAGCTCGGATGCCCGTGACTCATGCACTACTACTCATGGTCGGAGATAGCGATATGTGCGCCTCACATTCATCCTATCGTATTGCCCTGATATCATCGCAGATACGATCTTGAAAGTACGATCATTGCAAGATCTATGTATGAGGACCGTGGATCTACCAGAACCATTTCAAGATTTCCTCCATTCAAAGACAAGGTTACTCTCCTTGACCAGGGTTTCCTTGCCAAGACCGAGTTCCAATACTCCCCAAACCGGAAACTAGGGCAAGGGCTTCCACCGCGTCACTGACAGCCACTGTCAGTCATCGACTGCCTGTCTGAGTCACTCAATCACCGATCCACTTCCCGCGAATCAGCGCGCTTCGTGTATCCCGTGTAGATTTGGGAGGGGGACGCGCCTTTATCTCGTTATCTTCCCCCTCTCTCAGGGTCCCTCTGTACTCCAAGGGGACTCCGATCTCTTATACCTCTCACTCTATTCTTATCCAATCCCCCTTTGCATTGATCACCCAAACTTATCGATAGATCCCCTAACAACCATGGCCATTCATCCCAGGCTCCGGCCTGATGCTGCCCAGGGCAGCCTCTCGCCGCAGCAGACCCTGGCTATCTCCGCGTGGACTGAGCAGGCTGTGGCTTCATTGCAGGATTTGACCCTCTCCGAGTCCACAACCACAATCCGAGCAGAACCGGCTTCCACACCCTCGCGTTCCAGCCTACGCGGTACCACCGTCTCGTTGACCATCCCCATCGATGACCAGATTCCGACCGTGACGTCTCAAGTCAAGGTGGTGTCCTCGGCCGAGTCTCGCCCACCGACGGTCAGCTTCCGGCGACGCGAACCCTTGAGTCGGGATAGCTCGAAACGGCGCGAGGCCCTGCTCAAGGGCAAGGATGGAAGTCGGCGGCGGCAGCGATGGGAAAACGGTATGCACCCGGAGCCACGAGTTGATGATACTCGATCATGATGCCCCGATCCCATGACCTGAGACCTATGACCCATGACCTATGCCATCACCGCCTAGCAGTCGCATAGTCGCATACTGGTCGTGGGCCATAGGCCACGAGGACATGAAACTACACGAAGCTGGACAATGGGAAAGCTGACTCCTCCTTCCCAAAGACCGCCTGCTACACAACCCGTGGGCCGAACCCCCATCCCCACATGACTGGACTATCCAACCTACATATCCCCGCCACGACCCGATGCCATACTATCTCGCTCCGCTCTGGGACGTCCACTACGCAAAGATGGCCGACCACCACTCCGCCCGCAAGAACGCGCAGATACTCTTGAAGCACCGCGTCCCCAAGGACCTACGGTTGAAGCTCAAGCATGCGCGCGCCGCCCGCGGCATGCTGCAAGATCTGGAAGATGATATCCGTCTTTTCATCCGCCAGTGGAATGATAAGCAGGTCTTCTTAGCGAGCGAGGGTTTGGCTGATGCGCCGGAGATCGAGGCTGAGGACTCGGAGGATGAGATTGTTTTTGTGGGGAGGAATGGTCAGATGCATGATGCGCCGGAGCGGGTGCAGAAGTTGCAGCAAATGCGGGCGCAGATGAATCTGCATCATGAACGGGATGGTGAGAAGATGGTGTTTGAGAGTTTGGTTGAGGACCGGGCTGCTGGTTTTGGGTGAGTGTGCTTCTCTCTCTCTCTCTCTCTCCCCCCCCTCTCTAGTGGAGAGTCCCTGTGCTTTTTCGTAGTTTCCAGCACTGACGGACTCTCTTCTTGTTAATACTAGTCGCTGGCTCGTGCACTCCATCGCCTCCTACTACGGCTTGCATACCTGGTCCGTCACTGTGGGAGAGCCCGCTCGTCGAGAGGCCTATGTGGGCTTCCGCCCGCCGGTCCCGGGTAGTCGTGCTGGACTCGTCACGCATCCGACCTGCCGTGCAGAGGAGTTGATCAAGCCTGGCGAGGAGCTCCCGCAGCCTCTCTATGCGCAGGTTTAATGCCGCGTGCGAGGCTGATCTCTTCTCGGTGTTTATTCGGTTCTCTGCACCTAGGATCATAATCTCCGCTTCTTCGGTTACAACGTACATTCTTTTATTATGGGTTTGTTACAGGGGCGTGGGCTAGACTGGTCAAGACTGGACTTGCTAGGGATTTCATCTGTTTTATTCTTTTTTTTTGGATTCTCATATATATGATTTTCATTGAGATGATTTCTTGCCAAGCCGCAAGAAGAATCATATAGATCTTCTCCACGGTTATTACCAGCTTTTGGATGAGTTTGGCTTGGCGAGGTGAGTTTGGCACAGCCATCGTCAGAATCTATGATCCAAGTCGCAAGATCAAAGAGTAGCGGTCAAGGATGAAAAACGTGGATATGGCCCGCGAACCCTCCAAGTTTGACCTCGTAGTCGTAGACGATCGCCAAAGAACTACGGTACTTGCACGAACACGAACACCTTGATCGAGATGATCCCTTGACGATTGTCCCCACAAAGTTGCAACTTATGTCCGTGCACTTGACGATCGGTGTCGTCATGTGTGGCGGGTTGCATAACTGTCCTGGAACTGGACTCTTGGAATTCGAGTTATCAGATCGGAATGGGAATGGGAATGACGATGGGGTGGGCTTGGAAGGGATGTAGAAGCCAAGGCTATATTCTGTATCAGTATGCAGGATTCGACCCCATCGGGATTTCGGGATTTGTTTGCATATTCGCGAAGAAGCTGGTTCTGGTTATGAAACTGGAGTGGTATGTTGAATAGATCTAAAACAGTATAATGTGTGTAAACAAGTAGGCAGGGTATGAGATTACTGCTGTTGATTTTGTAATCTACAGTACAGAAGTAATTCGTTCTACTAGAATCGGCTATACTCTTATATCAGATGAGACCTTTACCCCGGCGTGTCGTAGTAGTTCAATCTCAGGTTCATCCAGTTCAACATCACAATCGGAACCGGATCGGACCGCGACCCCCACCAAGACTAGATAGATATCTACTGTAGGACGACTACTAGTCAACACTAGACAGTAAACACTAGACAAAATTATCCATCTATGACGTCCCACATTCTCTTCTCAACCTGCAACATACCGTTGCGCTTCTCGAACCACAGAGCCCGGAGATATGCACATAGTACATCATCGAAGAAGACTAGACGGTAGACTAGACGGTAGTGTAGTTCTGGAACTACCTTCTAATTCCTGTAGTGTTCTGTGTAGCAGTACGGAAACCAAAAACCCTACCTTTACTAGGCCTTGTAGGCATTCTTAATGGACTAATATCCTGCTCACCCGCCGATCAGACCCTGTCTCTCGCACGCGCCCATCCCCAAATTCTCCGTGTCCAGTCAAGCACAGACTTAGATTAGAGCTCATGACATGACATATGAGCATAATAAGATCATGCTCCCTGCTATCCTGCTTGGAGGATCCTGCCCTAGTTCCTTTCCAGAATACCACATTCTCGTGTCCAGACCCCGTTCCACGCTCGTGCCCCTTCCGCTGACTGGCTACCCACCCCACCTTCCCTTTGTCTTTGATCGCATGGGGGTGTGGAGGGGAGACCAGTGTGGATGGAGAGCGTGGTGCCAATAATGCCAGGGCCCTGCTTAGTGCTTGCCCTTCGGTTTGTATGGATGGGCGTGCCTGTCCCCGGCGAATGAAGGCCCGACACACTCACACTCACCGAGGACTGCCAACGAACCTACCCACTAAGTGACTGCTATAACCAACCAACTATAACAGATGTCACTCGTAGAGCTGGACTAACGCAAACCGCGGCTTGATTTTGGTGTCCGTGGATTTGGATGTATGTAGATGTGTCTGTCCACAGAGTACTCGCCTTGCTCTTCTTCCTACCGCGGGCGCCGCGGGATTCGGATTCGGGGGTGTTTATTCCTATAGGGTGCTTTGTTGCTTTTACCACACCCATCCATACTCTTTTCTTTTCGCCGCCGTGAGGCAAGAAGGAAGGAAGGAAGGAAGCTAGGTGGGGACGGAAGTAGAGACACGATCGTGGACATTCTCTTTTTGGTTCGCGTTGCGGGTTTGATCGGGTGTGATTTGTTGAATTGGGTTGGGTTGGGATCTGGTGTCGCGGCCTGAATTGGGCTTTGTGTGACGCGAGGCGTTAGGGGGAGGGCGAGGGTGGGGGAATTTGGTTGTTACATATTGTGTTGAGGATATTATCAAGGTCCTGGTAAAAGTAGTTAGTTAAAGTGTCAAGGACGAGAAGAAAGTGTGTTTTAGACGGACAAGGTCGGAGGGAGGAGTGAGTATACTTTGATTTCCTCGTATAGTTGTAGGTATACTTTTAGAGTAACCACAGTAACCTACACAGACAGAGATCAGGGAGTCTACAATGTCATGCGCCATGAAAATGTACTCATCATCTAGACTGGCCCACTATTAGACTCGTAAAGTTAGGCCCCTCGTGAGGATATTGTTGGTCGTTCGCTGGCCAACCCAAAAGCAAAAACACATAAACCGGCTAGGCGGACTGATTCGTTTGGCTTCATGTCCCAACTACTTCGAATGACTTCTGTACCTACAGTAGTATTACATTCTTCCTCTTCATCTTCTCGTCTATCTCACTGGTTGTACCAACTCGCCCCGTTCTCAAGGGCTGTGAATCCATCATCCTTTCTCCCGAATAATAGACGATTGGACTAATCGCAGTTCTGCCCACCCTCACTTGCTTCTTCGGGCCTCACCCCTCCTTTCAACTTTTATTTTTCCCCATCCACGACTCTTCGTCTCCACCAGGGAATCCTTCAATTCTTATTCTTCCATACTACGGCCCCCAAAATTAAACGAGGCATCCAGTCCTAATTCTTTCCTTGCTTCTTACCGTCGCAATCTCACCACTTTGGGATCCTTCCGCTTACCGCAAGGCCCCTGCTAGCGCTCCTTTTGCCTAATTCCCGCGCTGGCCTTTGCGATCCTTCTCCTCGGGTTCCCGAGAATCAGATATTTACCACGCGACAAAGCAACCATCATATGATTTTTGGGGAAATCAGGTCTCCCTACTTATTCTCTTGCCCATATTGTCTGCCTATTATTCCCGAGGCTGGCTCGAGCTCGAGTGGTGTGAGAATAATAACACCCTAAACACCCTAACAGCCCCGACAAAAGATCAACGAACGTGTGTTTTTCATCTCGCCCTGTCGGCCCCTTCCGGCTTCTCGTTCCATGCCAGTCACTTCTGTCGATGCCACCAACTGCGTCATGGGAATTTGACAATTCGACCATAGAATTTTTCTGAACAACTTACTGTCTCGCCTCGCCATTCCTCCAGACCTGTACTTAACCGTAAGAATCCGGTCTCTTCTTTGCTCGATCGCTGGGATAACCACAACAACCCTTCCGAATCCGATCGTCTGAAACGTGATTTCCCCTGTGATATTGAGGGAAGATTAAGATTTGATATCTTGCATCCACGCCTCCCCTTGCTTCGTTGTCAGGACTTGAACGGGTCCTTCATTTTATCTTGTCTTGGATATATTTCCGACAGTCGCTTGCATTGGCGGACTACTTGTGTCTCTCCTCGCGCCTACTTGAACATCTCTTCGACTAGCTGCTCGTCGCTGAGTGAAGTTGTTCTATCTAATCACCCACACTAACATACATCCACACCTATATCAACCAACATGGGCTCCTACAAATCCTGTCAAGATCGCGCTGGCAGCGGTGGCAGTTCCAGCTCAACAGATACAGCTGCTTCGGATCGATCAAAAAGCACAGCACCAACCCTGCTAAGCGAACGGGCCATGTCCGGCCCCAGATATCAAAAATGGCCGGAGTATGAGTACCTCGACGAGATCCCCATTTCAGTCTCCGTCGAAGAAGAAGAAGACGAGGATGATGAAGAAGAAGAAGAAGAAGAAGAATATCAACGAGTCTCTCACGCCTCCGTCTCAACATACGCCTCCACAACACATTCCAAAGCCCACATCGAACCCGAAGAAGCCGTCTTCGAAGTCGACGACAGAGAAGAATCCTTCCCATCAGATGCCCTCGCATCAACACCATCCTCCTTTGCAAATCTCTTCCCATCAACCCGCCGCCTCCTCATCCGCCACGACGACGCCACCATAGACGGCAACATGAACCTCCGCGTCGACACAGTCGTCCCCTGCCGCGACGGCTACCAACAAGACGTCATCCTCTTCCACCTCCGCATGTACGACCTGTTCTCCCGCAAATTTTCTTTCCGCAGATACTGTCGCGACTCCGGCCGCGAGGTCTGCCACTCAATCCGCAAAGAAACAAACCCCCCACACGACCGCCGCCCCGTCTTCCGCCGCTCCTGGAGCACCATGCTAGCCAGTTTCCGACCCAGTTCTAGCGGTAGTAATACCCACCACGCCCACGTACCGATGATAGACCAACTCAAGCGTCAAGACTCCGGATACGGGCCTGGGAAGAAAAACGATCTCCAAGCCCTGGTCGACGAACTCGCCAGCCAAGAACTATCCCCTTCATCTTCATCCTCGCATGAGAAAACTCTCGCCGACACGATCCTCCTCGAATTCTCCAATTACGCTCACGTCGAACTCAAGCGCCGCGGCGGACCGGGCGCTAAGCGCTACGAGTACGAGTACTGGAGTACAAAGTACCAGTGGCGCTGTGAGTGTCGGCGCGAGGGGGATTTAAGGGAGGTTTCGTATTATTTGGTTGATATGCGCTCGGGAAAGACGATTGCGCATTTGGTGCCGGATATTTTGACGCCGTTGGAGGCGGTTGAGGAGGAGAGTAAGGGTGGTTGGGTGCCACCGTCTAGTTTGTGGATTAGTGACCCCACTGTGTATGAACGGATGCCTGATGTTGCCGAGTAAGTGGGACTACTCCTGACTGACTTGACCGTTCGCTTTTGCCCCTCATTGCTATTTCTGTTTCTTTTTGTGTTGTTGGGAGAGGGGGCTCGTGTGATATGTCTTCACTCTTTTTTTTTGTTGGCGGTTATGACCCGGTTCGCTTCTTTCTTGGCTGGTTTCATCTTTCTTTCATCACCATTGCTGCCCTGCCCTGTCCACCTCTACTTTCTTTCCACTTCCCTTCCCATCCAGACTTTGACTTGACTTACCTCCGCCACCCACCTCTTCGTCCGAGCCCACACTAATATTTTCTCTAGCGTCATCGTCGCAACAGGCCTCATCACACTCGTAGACGACTGCATCCGCCGACGATGGCACCACGAGCGCCGTGGGTCTTGGATGCTGCCTACTGGGTCAGCGCTATCGCGGAGCTTGGAACGGATGGGTCCGCGCCGTTTGATCGGTGAGGTCCTGCAGCGTCGAGGATCCGCGTAATATGGCGCGTGTCACGGGCCCCGTCGTCATTTGGTTGTGGAGTTCATTCAGGTTGGTGGGAGGGACTTGATTTGCTCCTTCCTTTTTTCCTGGTTGGATTTGTGAACTATGTGACTATGCCCGTTACTACGACGAGTATTATGACTACGACAGATTATGCATGCAGACAGATCATATCACATCACATCAGTGTGGGACGTTTTTCCGAGGAAGTTGGAATGAACTTGGACATGGATATGGGTGGTTTTTTACTAATGACAATGACAACTGAACAAGAGGGTCGGTCATCAGGTGGTGAATGGGTCCGTGAGTTGGCAATGCCTTGCCTTCCTCGCTGGATGGACCTAACCCTGACCCTAGCCCTGGACCTGGCATTGAAACTTTTCATGTATATTGCAATTTCTTTTATTCCCGTCTCTTTTCTGTTTTGGGTAACGTGGTGCATGGATTGCAAGGATTTTGATCTCATGACATGAGAGTTAACGATATTATGACTTGGCAAATGATGACGATGTTCGTTCTTTTAGCGTACCTGGCTCTTCTTATCCTTCCTCCTTTTCTTCTTCTACTTTAGGTATTGTGGACGACACTTGGCATGGGCCTGGGCCTTGAGTTTCCTCTTTCGGACAAAGAAACCTAATGTCTCGACTTCTTGACTGAAACTCTGGGCTTGAACTTTGCGGCTGGATGCAGCTGCGAGTCATGTCAACGTCCACGTCAATTACTAAGTTCAGGGTCATGACATGTTCATGTCATGTCCACCTTGTGATTATGCAGTCCGTCAAGGCCAGACCCCGGCCCAAATTTAGGCTCAGCTTCGAATTGGGTTTAGGATTCAGGGCCAGATTCATGCTGATGCTCATATCCATGTTCATGTTCGTGTTCATGCTCGGAGCTCGGCTTTTGTAGCGGTCGATCCCCGTCCTGGCGCAATTGATTGGCTAGGAATTAGCATCCGGACATGGACTTGTGCTTTGTTGGGTATGTTTAGGGTGAAGCCGTGAAGGTATTCTGAGCAAGCGATTTATTCTGCATTCAAGTTTGCATATCTAGCTTGGGACGAGGATGAGGAGGCGTAAGGTAAGGTTGCAATTTTGAAATGGACTGGGTGATCGTGGATTATGCTCCACATGTTCGTATGCCGATATAGCTACCTGGGCAAGATAGCAAAACAGCATGATGCATATTAACTGTATGACATTGAATTGATGCTATTGCCCGTAAATCAATGTGTTACTCTATCTTAATATGTATGTCTCTCTATTGAGGTCTACGATCTTCCTGCCCAGCTGCGTTGCTCTGTTGGCGATGCATAGATGGAGGCAGTCTTCTTGACTCGACAGCCTGACCGCTGCTTCATTCACAGGAAGCAGGGATGGATATCTTTCTTCTTCCCAACCTCGTGCACACCGACAAACCTCGTGGAGAAGATCAATCAGGGGTGGGTAGCAATGGTTCGTGATGAGGCGCATACAGGAGCCAGGGTCGGTTGGTAGATTAGGTCGTTAGGTATGTATGTATGTTGGTAGGTAGTGGCAGGTAGATCAGATGAGGCGAACAGCCACGCTAGCCCAGGTAGTGAAAAAGCACATGCTGGTGATATGCCAGTGCTCTAGTGAGCTGTACGTGGCTATGGCGGTGGTGGGGATCTACCAGGTTCTACTGTACAAATTATGGTTCACCTGCCAGAGCCGGGAAATCGATTGGCTATGGATGAATCTTTTGTCTTTTGACATATTTTTATCGCGGCGGGTAAGGGGATTCTCTTGGAGCTAAGTGGGAATTAATAGTGGAGAGGCGGTTGTTAGTTGGTTTTAGGGTATAGTTCGGAACCATGGTTCGAGGATGGCACTAAGGTATGTGATACCGAAGTTATCTACAGTAGTGTGCTGTAAGCACGTCAGGACATGAACCTACCAGGGGTGTCATCATGGCATGGCCCTGTCTCTGCCATATACCCATCTAAGACTTTTGGATGCATGAATAAATACATGTATGCATGTCAAGCACGTCAGGCTCGGGATTGGGGCCTGGGAGACCCTTGGAGGTGTTCGGCTTAGATCTGGCTGGTTAAGGCTGGTTAAGCTTGTGCGGGGGAACCGCTTGCCCGGGCTGAAGCGGCCCAGCCCCCGAACCGGCTCGGCTCTTTCTTTAGTTTCCCCCTCTCCATTCCCAATTCCCCATTTCCCCCTCTGTCACCTCGCCACAAGTCCCATCTTCTTTAGCCGCATACTCGTGAACCATGGAACCATCACCTCCGCCGTTAGAGCATTCAACCCTTCTTCTAATGTTTCTCACCATCAGACTGCCCCTCCTTAGAACATGCACCTCTACGTGGCTGCATGTCGGCCTTACAATGTGCAGATACTAATGTCTGAATGCCCAACCATAAAGGGCGAAATGGAGGCGAAATAGCTACCCAGAGGCCCAACATTGGAGCCATTGGCGATGGTGATGCTCACTATGCACTATTGCTTCACTCTCCTAGGAGGGCCTTGGAGGCACTACCAAAGGTAGGTGCTTTATAGAAGAGGGGTGGTGGGTGGTTGGTGCTCGTTGGACAATGCGCGACCAGGGCAATAGCCACCCCCACTTCCTCCCCCAGAGTGGCTGGCACTGGCAGTCGTGAGGCGAAGCTACTGACGGGGGGAGACTCGGGGACCTGCGAACCAGGGTTCTTTTGAAGCAGTACTCGGATTGACTCCCATTCCCTGCTGAGCTGACTGGCTCTGGTTCATTGCTGATTTCAGCTTCGTCCATAGCTGTTCATGCTCCCTCCAGCAAGGGATCATTCATGCAATGCGACCTAACAGCTAGCTGGAACTAGAACTAGAAATGCGAGGAAAGGATACAATCTTCGGGGAGAAAGTGAACAGCTCTCTGTGCTGGGGCTCTGCTTGGGACACGAGACGAAAAAGAAAAGGAATGAGAATGAAATGAGGAACTATGATCTCATCAATGGGTTTCATGATGCGCTGGCAAGACTATCGGATTTTGCGCGAGTCTAGCAAGAGAATGGCAGCCCAATGTTTCAATTCATCTCGTGCTTGTAGCTTCTTTATTCTTTTATTGTCAGTTTTGCCGCGTTGTAGTACACAGTGTAGTTCCCATTCTGGACCGTTTAGTTAGTGTATGCCCAAAGTAGCTGGGTTTACATCACAGCCTATGCTAAATCTTGTTCCTCTGTCTATAGTTCGATCGCTATATAGGCAGTAGAAGAGTGAGCACACTATGACTGGGACAAGCCCTACCCACAAAATGCTATGGCCTTACTATGGCTTGGGCACTGATCAGCAATCCACTTACCTAAAAGAGGTTTAGGCGGATAAGACAACGACACATACATACACATGCCCGCCACCCTGCAATCCATGCACTCGCATTACCGCAGGGTTTTCTTCCAGAAGGCGTTTCCGCCGATTTGGTTATCCATGCGCGGCACTAGGGCAATCTAATTGAGGTACCTAGCCACTCATTCCGAACGACGCCGCAGCTCACCAGGCATGTCATCAGGTAGGTACTTTGTGTTCCCGAGGATCCAAGCAACCTTGCCTGCCTGATGCGCCTGGCCGATGAGGCATAAACGGGGCTCTGGATCTATACCACTGGTGATGGCGATTTTTCTTTTCTTTAATTTTAATAAATCTGGTACCATTTTTTTTTCGTAAGATATTGTGGGAACTGGACTTGGTAATATCGATGTGGGGTGGATGCTCTGAGTTGTTCACTTTTTTTATCCAATAGCTTTCTTCCCTTCCTCCCCGGACGAATTGAATGAAGTAGACCTGGCATTTAGGGTTCAATTTAATCTTTGATTTTTGTGTACATTTGTGTCGGTCTTTTTTTTTAGAATTGATTTTTTCAGGATAGCTTGGAGGATTGGAACTAGAATACAGATTTTGGTGACCCCCCTAGAGTCTGAAACTGGTCCAAGTTGATAGTCCGTCCCCTTGCCGAGGATCAAGGAAACTAGACTATCAAAATTGGAATACGATATTGTGGATATAGTGGATAGCATATGTCTGTCACATTTTGCGCCAGACCTGCTAGTCAATGGAACAGGACAAAGAATAGGACTAGCTGCCCCTCTTTCTCTACCTATTAAGCAAGTAGATCCATCTCTCTGCAACTGCTTGGCCGTTGGCTTCTCGCCCCTTGCCCCGTTCTTGTGTTTCTTCAAGGACTGGTCTGGTCGCCGTGCGCCGGGCCGTTCCAGTGTGCAGCCTCATAACTAATGATCCGCATGTCCCATCCCGCCCTGGTTCTTGACTGGTGGATCACTCTGGAACTAGAACGGAGGGAGGGGGAAAAGGTATCTGGCTGACGCTGTACCATGTCCCCAGTCATCCTGCATAAGTCCGCTCCGCTAGGTTTGACGGGTTCGGGCTCCATGTTTGTCACAGGGGAAAAATGATGAGAGAAAATTCTGTAAATGGAGAAAGCCCAAAAGGAAGAGAAAAAAAAAAGATTTGCATTATGCTTCCCCTCTAAGAACGGGTATTTTTTTGAGGCGCTTTTATTTTTAATTTTTTTTCTTCCTTATTTTATTCCTATTCCTATTTTGCAGAATTCAAGATAGGCCCACCGATTATATGACCTCCCCGCTTCCCATGTCGATTACCGTTCGAGATTTAAAAAGGTCGTGCGAGAGTTCCGGATCCATTGAAGCTTAAGAGTTGTCCGTTATCGTTCGTTCGTAAGGCTACTATTACTTTCTACTTGGATATATCTGTGGATGGTTCCGACAACGAAGAACTTTGAACTTTGAACTTGGGAGACTTTTTCGGCCCTTGAACTTTTGGGACTACTTCGTTCCTCTAACTCGCTCTCTCCTCCCCCACAACCCACCGATCACCGTCCTATCGACCACCGCCCTCCATCAGACTTCATCCCTCTCGTCAATTGACCCCGCTATTACAATTTCTATCAACTATCATTTTCAACAGTCCACAATGTCTATGCCAAATAGCCCTCAAGGAAGCAGCACTGCAGGACGGCCTAGCTGGCAGGAGCAGCTCCAGGGTAAGCCATTGGAAGACCAATCTTTCCCTGAACCACTCTAAACAACGCCACGAACGATTCTGAAGAAGCATCAGCCTTGGCTAACGTCTTAGAAGAACACTGCAGACGAATGAAATTGCCCCCTCCTGTCTTCAACATCGTCTCCGATCGGCGAGGTACCTTCCCGTTTCCAGTTTTGTCTCCTAGTCCCTCCCATACATATCCCACCGTCTTCTGCTTTCGCCAAAAGGAAGAAAAGCCTTTCCTCTTTTCCCATCTTCCTTCCCTGCATACCTATTCTCCATTGTCATTTCCTTCTCCTCATTCGATGCCCTTATCTGCGGCTTCATTCTCTCGCTCTTCCCCTCGACGTGCCTCAGCATTGCAGAAAGAGCAGAGTGGAGCTGCAGAAAAGGAGCCATTGTACACCGACTTTTAGTTCCGAGCTTGACAGCTGATGCTAATTGTCCTTGTGTCGGGAATGTAGGAGGTCGAACTGCCTGGTCTAGCAATCTCACCATCCAGGGCGAAATCATCTCTGCCCGCTATTGGTACGACGGCCAGTACATCAACAATGCCAAAGAAGATGCCGCCGAAGTCGCTGTAAAGAAACTCAATGAGCAGCCCCGTTCCTCCACCGTCTATCCCGGACAGCTCTACTCTCAGCAGTCGTCCGCTGGCTACGGCCGCGGAGCTGGTGGGTATTGAGAATACTTTTCTTCTTTCTTTCTCCTTTGTTATACTTGTCGACTTCTATTTCTTTTGTTGGGTGGCTATCTCTACTTCTTTCCTGTGTTTTTACTTCATTGGGGATTGCCGCAGGTTTCCTGCGATGCCGCACTTGTGTGGGTTTGATTTTTTTTTCTGCTTCCTGCGCGGGCCCACAGCAACACTCACGCCTTGCTGTTGCTCTCATTTGTTTCTCTCAATGCGCATGCAGGAAACCGAAGGGAAAAAAGATAATAGGACATTTCCCGCGTACCACCCCGTCCACCTCATCCCGCGTCGACAAACCACCCTACTCCCCGAATCCCGGATGCGCGATGACTTCCCCGGCTGGTGGAAATCGAGACAGCTGGCGACCTGCAATACCGATGCAGCAAGGATTGGTCACCGGTTTATGATCCAGTAGATTGGGCGGGGGTTGGTGATCATCTGGAGTCTGGGACAAGAACTCGGCTGGACTGACAGAACGGGGGCTACCCTGGTTAATGGCTGGTCGTTCTCTTCTCAAACTGCTATGGGCCCTCTGCAACAGTCCTAAATTGCATCAATACTGGACTATGACCACTACCGTGCACCTAGCCTGGTGTCTGTGCAACTTGCCAGCGAAACTGTGCTACCCACTCGATGCTCACGGCCCCAGGAACGGCGCTGGTCAAATTCTCCGGCAGAGGCTTGCGGTACCGGCGAATTATGCAGATTGGGCACAATCCATGTGGTCGGGTACCTCGTTATGCATACACGCCTTATACCGACAATGGTTCAATCTCGACGGTCCGAAACTTCAACACAGACACCAGTGTCAGCATCACCGTATTGGGTCTTTCAATATATCGTGATCCCTGTCTTTGGAACTCCCCCATGGCTGCCAAAATGAATTGAGTGGAGTGTGTCGGTGGGGCTCTGCCGTCGAGATACCCGCCTCGAACCGCGGTTACGGAAAACTCTGTTGTGGGTGCCGGGCCAACGGTGTCGTGCGTGACAGATGACACTGTCTCAATTGTGGCTTCGGCTTTGGGTGGTATTTCCCAGTACTGCTACATTTGTGTCCGAAAGAGCAAGTCTAGTTTGGCTGCGGGATTGTGTATCTTGATTGCCTTGCTCTGAAGGCCTTGGTCTTGGATCCTTGTGTGACCTGAAGGACGGGAAGCCGGTCGGCTGAAACTAACGCGACCAGGTCTTTACGACAAGACTAGCAGGGGGGCGGTGAATCGAGTCCGTGCAAGGAGTTATAAGGAACAGACCCATTGGGCAAATGGGATCCATTGCCTCGCTTCTTGGTCTGGGTCTTCTGGGATGATCGTCTTCACGGTTCGGGGATGGGCTTGACTATTGGAGTTTTTATTTTTCGGCCTGTATGACTGGCTCTATGTGCAGGAATTGGAACCGGGCTGAACTGGGCTCTGCAACAGCCCTATGTATTTCTTTTGATTTTTTAATATCTCTGGAATGCTGAGCTTGCGATGGCTGAGGTTTATCAGATTGGTTGGAAGTTTCCTTATGTTGGACTACAAAATATCGACAGGATATCTCTACAGAAATTTGAATTGCTTTTTGTTCGAGACTTTGATATCTATTCTGTCTATGATTTTCGAATCCGAATAAGTTTCTGTGCGTTTCAAACCAATGAACAAAGGAGGCAGGTATGTGCGACTGTAGATTTTATTGGTGTGCCTGCCCTACAAATGTTCACTCTCCACTATGTCTACCTTCGTATTTATCTTATCTACTTAGGAACGGTATACAGTCACAAGACCTCCTTCAACTCTCCGACTACCGAGGTGCGCTGGAGTCTAAGATGGTATAGCAAAAACTGCTTAAGAATTGCAGGCAATGATATCATCAACATGATGAGGAAAATATCACATATCCTCGTCGGGAACACGCTACAGATGGTCTCCATAAGCCCATTGGAGCTTAGTCCTGTTATTGTGTTGTGAATCGTGTCTACCATCGATCCTCAGATTAACTCGACTGCCTTGAATCGTAACACCAAGTATACGGAGTAGATGCATCCAAGTCCCTGATCGTCCTTCCCGTTACCTCATTTAGTAATGAATGAGCCGCCCCCAACTTCAAATCGTCTCCATGGTTTTCCCCTCAGTTAATGACGAAACTTGGATAAGCCGGGCGGTGGCTATGTTACCTGGGGGCTTGGAACGCTTGAGAACAGCCACGCTTGCCCAGAAATAAAAACCTGGTGCCTTGTGAACGAGCCACTATGCGAATTTATTAAAGATCCAAACTCGCTATTTAATTTCAAATACACTTGACATTCCATCTGTGTTCGGAACACCCCAATCAATTAAATCCAGCTGAGAAAATACCACAATCACACTCGATTCATCATGTGTTTCGGTTCATCCAGTTCAAAAGAGAAATATCCACCCCCTCGCCGCGTCGAATACGGCAAAGACTACAATCGATACGTTCGAGATTATGACAAATATCAAGCCAAGAACCTCGAACACGATAGGAAACAAGCGAAGCGAAGATCCCGCAATACGGCCGCAGTTGTTGCCGCAGTTGGGGCCAGCGGAGGTGGAGGTGGATGCTAGAGGGATATGCAATGGGAAGAATGCATGAATATTATGCTGGCATTTGATTAATTGAGTGACTTTTACCATGGGGTAGATTTTCCAGCCAGAGCCCTTGCTAGCAGTACAGAACGGCCGAAGGCACATGTTGGTGAGGTGTTGTTTTCTACTGGGCGTCTTTTCGTTGAGTCTCAGCTCCTCATTTTGTACAGGAGAACCTCTAATGAATTGTTCGATGAATATTATTTATTTTCACAATTTGTCATTATTCTTCGATTTATATACTCGCGCTAGCGAGAATGTGTCACTCTTGATAACGGCCGTTCCGCATAATGGCATATCCCTTGCAGCCGGAAATGCCTCATACAGTATACTTCGTATACCCTTTCTCTACCCATCATCTGACTCACCGAATGGGCATCTAATACGCAAACTTCTTTCCATTTCCATCGCCGAATCCTCGACTATTTCTCCACCCGTAATAGAGTCTAAGGAGCACACACCCGGCCGCAACGAACAGCAATAGTGCTGCATTTGTCCAATGGCCTGTCGGATACCCCTTTTTCGCCTCGTTGCTTTTGTAGATCCAGACGCCGACAATCTGGCCTGGGGCGCCGAAAGATACGTTGAGCGCGATGGCGAGACCTGCGCCAGCGGTGGAGCGCAGGTTTGAAGAGAGCCAGCCAAGGAGTGGTGGGATACAGGCAAAGGCGCCACTGGCTGCGACTATCAGACAGCCGTAACGATGCTAGATTGAGATTTGTCAATTGGTGTTTGGGGGGATTCAACGCTTATTGGGGTCCACTTACTAGGTACGCGTCTGCGGGAAGGACGGCAGAGGCTAAGAAGCCCATTGCCCCGATGAAGGAGAAAATGGCTGAGTGAAGACCACGACTATAACATAATGAATCAGTAACGAACTCTCAATAATTGACTGGATAGTCTCTAGCTGACTTATTGAAATGGTCTGCCGACCAGGCTACAGTGACTGTCACGACATATGCAACGGCATAGGGGGGTACAGTCATGAGCTGAGCACGCAAGTTCGAATATCCCAGGCCAGCGGTGATGGCCGGTGTGAAAAGAGAAAGACTCGAGAATGGCGTCGAGATTCCAAAGTATACCTGCCAAACATGTTAGCCAGGTGTGCCTACCTCGCTAAGGCGGATGTCGACATACAGCATAGTGGGCATACAAGCGCCAGTCTACCAGCACTGCCTTCGCATCGGCCCAAGACATGGAACTCGCTGAGCCCTTTGATCCTTCTAAGCTCAAGCGATCGGCCGCTAACTCCTTCTCTTCAGCGGACAGCCAGTGCGCAGTCTCCGGATAGTCTGGCAACAGGAACCAAACTAGAAATGCTGAAGCACAAGACGGCGCACCCTCGATGATGAACAGCCATCGCCAAGCGGAAAGTCCGTGTGCGCCATTCATATGGCCTACGCCAAATGCAATCGCACCGCCAAAAGCACCCGCCAGTGTTGCTGAGGCTAGGATCAAGGCTACCCTCATAGATCTCTCGGAGTTTCGGTACCAGAATGTTAGATAGTAGACGAAGCCAGGGAAAAGGCCTGCCTCCATGACTCCGAGCAGGAAACGCAGCCCTGTGACTTGGGCGTAGTTATGCACGCCGCCGAGACCCATTGTCGTTGCGCCCCAAGAAAACATGAGGAAGGCTATCCATCGCTATCCATATTGTGAGCTTTGACTATGTACTTCCTTCATTATGACATGGACTTACGCTTGGCCGGAGCTTCTTCAAAAAGTAATTTGATGGAACTTCGAACAATGCATACGCAATCAAGAACACCATCAATGCGATTCTTAGACAATGTCAGGGTTTTGTTGTAGAAAGAAGGTGCCGAGAAACACCTAGACGCAGAACTCACGTATACTGGTACGAAGTCATATGGGTCTCCGAAAGAAGGTCATCGTGTGTATTCTGATTGAGGATTTTGGCATTACCTGCAGGATATTAGCTGAAAGTCCTCGGCCTACCTAGACCTTAACAGTGCTCACCAATGTTCGACCGATCCAGATAACACAAAAGATAAATAGCCGCACATAGAGGTACGATCCTGCGATCCTGTTTCCAGACCAAAGCCTTCTCGGCTGCCTCACGGGCCGGGTCGACTATGTCGGACTCGGAGTACTATCATCGTTAGATCGAACACAGCCGCACAAAGAACCTCAAACACGATCGTGAAGGGAAACTTACCCCCATGACGTCCTCGACATCTCGAGAAGCCACTTTTTCCGCCATGGTACAGGAGAGCTGTCGATCCAAGAACGCACGAAGAGGTGCAATTTCCTGACTCAGATGCTAAGAGGGAAGGATTTGTGCAGTAGAAAGCACTGATGCCCCCCTTTTTGGTCTTTTTCTCTTCCCCTCGGCATGAACCAACTGCAACTTGCCCGGAGAGTCGGGGATAGGAATGGGCCCCCGCATTTTGACCCTTCAGCGAATCCGCACTGGCCAGGTCGGCCATCCTCCGAGGGCTGGCTGAACCCCCACTGGCCATTTTACCCCATTGGAGAGTTATGTTAGACTTTACCGGGAATTCGCTAGGGTAATTGAGAAACAATCTTGAGCCGAGCGAGATAGAGGTAATTTATGGTGAAATGCATCGCTCAAATGGAATGCTTGACTACAATGCTTATGCCGAGCTGGGCGTTCAAAGAAAGGCCTTGTAGATCATATCCGTCTTGGAACTATGTTGCGCGGCTGGGGAGGAACTTGCAATTGAGGGATTCATGCGAGCATATACTCTCTGATGAGCTTGTGTATTGCTGCAACATCATTGATCTTCCACAGAAGGATATCGATTAGACGTATCACCAAAGTCTTCATATTGAAAGCTTATAAGTGCCAACCCTAGACCCTGGATCTGGGCTTCGGAAGTGGCTTTGATTAGCTTTTTCGCGGTACGAATCCTTTCTCACTTAGAAGGCTTCATTTCTCAAATCGGATCCTAGAAGAAGAGCTCATACGAATATCCCAACATTTTGAAATTATTGCGACCATCACGGTTGTATAGAGAAAGTCGGTGTTTTCCTATGGACCTAGGCCCAATAGGTCTAGGATGGGTTGGGAGGACTCTTCGTAAGAGTTTCCTTTCCCTATGAATGGCCTCTAATTTTGGAGCTTTGGGAACTTTCTAGCCATATTGTTTGAAAGGGCCTAATTAGATCGGAGAAAACCGACTTGCTTAATTTTTTGGTCGAAACAGACTTATTGTAAAGGGATTGATTGTATGGACTGGAGCCCACAATAGCAGCGGATGCAAACCAGACAAACACCTTATCAGTTAGATTGTGCCTGGGCGCATCGCAAACGCTGTCACGCACCAAACCCCACGCTCGCTCTCCATGCAATGCTATGCTGCGCTGGCACGACTCGGACCTAGATTGATACCCAAGACATTCCTTGTGCCTGCTGCAGCCATGTCAACCGCTGCTGAGCCCGTCCGAAAAGCTATGCCTTCCGCATTGACTTTTGATCGTCACGCGAAATGTTCGGTACGTCTTCGCTTAAGACTTTCCGCCTAAATGAGTATATGACTGACTCGAATCATGGATTGCTTGCCATTAGACTACGAAAGCCCGCGCGAGTACCCTCCACCTTCCCCACGGCTCCGTGCCTCTGCCGATTTTTATGCCTGTCGCAACGCAAGCGTCTCTAAAAGGCTTGACATATGACCAGTTGCGCGAAACAGGGTGTATGCTCTGCTTGAACAATACGTATCATCTTGGCTTGAAACCTGGACAAGAGGTGTTGGATGCTGTAGGTGGTGCTCATAAGTTCCAAGGATGGGATCGTAATCTTTTGACCGACAGTGGCGGGTAAGATATGGCGCATCCTCCAAGAAGAAAGTGACGTAGCTGACAGAGTAATTTTGAAATGTTTAGCTTCCAAATGGTTTCGCTACTTAAGCTTGCTACTGTCACCGAGGAAGGCGTGCGTTTCCTCAGTCCTCATGATGGATCGCCTATGTACGACTCTCCGCCACCCATTGATTTTGTGATTCCGTGCCATGTGTTGGAAATTGAATCAAGCGCTGACAATTCTCCAGGCTTCTCACCCCCGAACACTCTATATCTCTACAAAATTCTATCGGCTCAGATATCATCATGCAACTAGACGATGTGATCGCGACCACATCCCCAGATCATGCCCGAATCAAGGAAGCTATGGACCGTTCAGTGCGTTGGTTAGATCGGTGCATTGATGCGCATAAATACCCCGAAAGGCAGAATTTGTTCTGCATTATCCAAGGTGGCCTCGACCTGGAGCTTCGGAAACAATGCTGCGAAGAAATGGTGGCTCGAGATACCCCAGGAATTGCGATCGGAGGGTTGTCTGGAGGTGAAGCCAAGGAGGAATTCTGTAAGGTGTAAGTGGTATTGCTCCAGTTCCAGCGTGCGTACTGCTAATTCCTTGAAGCGTCGACACATGCACAGGGTTACTTCCCGAGAATAAGCCCCGATATGTGATGGGAGTCGTATGTATTCCTCATTGGATCAATTCAGCTGCCTCCTCTAACATTAACGCAGGGATACCCTGAAGACATTGTCGTCGCAGTCGCTCTTGGTGCAGACATGTTCGACTGTGTGTGGCCCACACGCACTGCGGTAAGTCCCCATGAGTATCACAGCTCGAGATCCCTACTGATATCGTTTCAGCGTTTCGGCAATGCCATCGTGGATGCAGGCACCTTGAATCTTCGCCATCAAAAATACGCACACGACTTCTCGCCTATCGACGAAGGCTGTGACTGTGTTTGCTGCCGTCCGACTGATAAAGGTGGCCTCGGCGTCACCAAGGCATATATTCACCATGTCACTGCGAAAGAGACCGTTGGTGCTCATCTGTAAGATCCAAAATAGGTTCCCCGTTTGAGTATTACAGTGCTAAACATGAAATCTAGGCTCACTCAGCACAATGTGCATTATATGTTAAAATTGATGGTTGATGTGCGCCAGGCTATCATAGAAGACCGGTATCCGGCTTTCCTTCGCCGGTTCTTCTCTAATATCTACAACGGAGATAAGACAAAGTACCCCGAGTGGGCTATCGGCGCTCTTCGTGGTGTTGGTATGGATCTTTTGGAGGATTAGGAATCATCTTAATCGTGCACTTGCATTTACGATCGATCTCTTCAGCAAGACCATTACGACGATTTGCATACAGAAAGAAGCGTTTGCATTTGACCGGTGTTGGAATCGCTTATTAGATTCATCTTATATCTCCAGCGAAAATCAATTGCCCAAGTCAAGCTATAATATTTGCATGAACACCCGATATTTAATCCGTCTTGCTCTTGGCAAATCTTCCAGTGAACTTTCGTATATTCTTGCCCCAGAAATAAATCGGCACACCCAACAATCCAAGCACGCCAGTCAAGGCACCAAAGGCACCAAAGGCACCATCATAGCCATTGCTTTCCACAAAAGCAGTTGTGCCATAGCTCGTTCCGAACGAGATGAATCCTCGGAAAGCACAGATAATGACGAGCAGGGGACCAGCACGCGCTGGATAACTATCCAACAAGTATGTGATTGCAACAATGTTGGCACCCACGAAGCAGAAATAGTACGCTGCCACTGCCCACGCATATACGAACCAGTGGTATTGCTCCGGATGAGCGGCTCCCTGACCGTACAGGACGGCGGTGAAAACACCAACGATGACAGGAATGACAAGAGGTATAATTCGGGTTTCAGGCTCATGCATGCCTCCATTGCGCCGGGCAAACCACTTGATGATTGTATCAGAGCCTGTTCCGAGTAGTGGGAGGGCAATAAGGGCGACTATAATCTGTCCACAGTTCACATAACTTGTGCTCGAATTTGGCCAGTGATAGGGCGCACTAGTGAGAATTGTGCCGTAGGTGGTGGCAATAGCAATATTGACGCCGATAGTGAGACCGTTGATGCACAATGCCCAGAAGACGTTCGGGAAGAGAAGGAGTTGAAAGGTTTGCTATAAAATGTATATTAGACATGCAACTTCTAACGAGGAAGTCGAGATTCGTACCTTGAGGACATCAACTGCCTTATGCCACTCAGGCTTTCCAACCCAGAGTCGCATGTCTGATTTCCAGGTCCTTGGCTCGTAGTTAACAAAGTCAAGTGGCGGTCTCTCCTTGCAAACCATGATGTTGGGCTTAACAGGCCCATCGTTTTCGAGGTCCATTTGTGCAGTCGAGTTTTCATCCGAGCCAGTCTCTTGGTACGCTGTCAAACCACGATCATACTTTGTCTCCGGGAGAAGAACTACAGCAACTAGGAACTGGAGCCCAGCAAGACCTGCACCAAGACCGTACCAGCCTTGAGGAGTAATACCCCCAGCAATTGGACTAGCGAACAGGGTCCATATAGTAGTCAGGACAACTTGAATGGCTTGTTGAACCATTAGGTACTTGCTTCTTTCGTGTAGGAAGAAAATTTCCTAATTATCGCACGTTAGTCCCTCTCATTCTCTCGCATTCATGTTGTAAGTTTCGTCAATATACCTGGGTGATCATCGGGACAAGTGCTTCACTTTGCCCTGCACAAAGTCCCAGCACCATCCGAGCGCCGAGATGCCATTCATAGTTCTCTGCCTTTGCACATAACACCGCGGCAAGTATCAGAATAAGGGTGAAGATCAGAAGAACGATTCGACGGCCAACAGCAATGGCGACAGGCATGCCAATAAGGTTTCCGATGCCCCTGGTGAAAGAAAAATCTGGATTAGCTACTCATTCGTCATTGGCGTGGAGCATGGGCGAATCTCACATGAAAAGTGTTGGGTATGTCATCAACTGCGAGATGGCCGCATAGTCCTTGCCAGCAGCACTGTACTCAGGCACATAGAATGTAATCACACCTCCGAAACCAGACACAAGAGAGACGCTAAGGGTAGAGACTAAAGTCGAACAAGTCAATGAAGCTCCGGTAGGTTAGACACAGCAAGGCCCATCACTTACATGTAGAGATGACCGTAAGAACAACAAGCTTTTGCCAGATTTGCATGTTCATGGGATCTGTTCCGTTGATCAGTATTGGCATAAGATCTTTGGAGCAGGCTACATGTACCCTGGGGATCCGCAGTAGGAGTAGGGATATAGACAATTGAATCTTCGGTCAACTTGACCGTTCCCATCACTTTCGTCGACCCATCCAGGCCATTGTCCCTTGTTGTATCATCATATACCTCGATGTGTTCATCAGAAGCCTTCTCAACGTCCTTCATATTGCTCGTGTTGACAAGACCAGCTTGGTCGAAACACAGATAGAAAACTCGATCGATATGTTGCTCCCTAGTTATGAGCAGTGCAGTACCAGGCCAAGCTGTAGGATAGAGTTTGGAGATGGCTTTCGAAGCAAACCTTCCAGCTTAATAGGCGGGAATCCTTGTGCTCCCCAAAATAAGCCCCAAGCCCCTTTCGGCTCTTCTGTAGAATCCCACTCTTGCCGAGCCATAAGATTCAGCCACAAGCCCTGGTGGCAAGTAGACGGAAGCCATGGCGCTCTAGTTGGATTTGTAATATCCAGTCGTGATTCGCAATCAAGTAGACGAGATTCAGCCGATGATCCAGACCTTTTTGCCCCATGGTCATTCTTCGCTTCCCCGTACTGTATCCACCGTGGGGGATGTGGGGGTTGACCAGCTTTCTTATGTGGACATCCGAGCGGGGGAGCGGGAGCAGCCTAAATGGATGCCATTTTCACTTTCTCGGGCGGGAAGAGCGAGTTGAAGCGAACTTTGACGGAGAGTCTAGATATGAAAGCATTAAATTGGTATAGCTGAAGAAATTGTGATCGGCTCCCGACCAGAACAGGTAAAGGATGCATTGCTTGCTCAAGGAACGAGGGCAAACTTGCAGGAAACATGTCTTCATTGAACACCCCGTGGTTTGTTTCCTGTGGATTCCACCTCCATAGACTTGGTATTGGCCATAGCAATATTCAACAAATCCAAATCCGGAAGGTGTTCTCATTATCTCATGTGGAGCCCATTTTGTGGAAAGTCAAATTAGAAACAAAGATTGTGGAAAGTAAAACAGCATATTTCAATTTGTCATTATATATCCTAAAGGGCTCCAGTGCTTTGCTCTCAGTAAGACTTCACGCCCGCCAATTGCAAGACTGTGTCCGTCAACTCAGGCTTCTCAAATGGTTCACTGCGGTCCTTGGGGCACACAGTATCCCCACGCATGGGCTTCTCCTTAGCAGGCCGGATGTTGCTAAGTCAAGTTAGTGGCGGCCCAGTAAAATCGCTAGTTCGAGGGCTTACGTACCAGTGAGGCCAGTGGGTTGTTCCAATATAGTTCTCAAAGCACTGCTTCTTCAATTCCAATGCTTCGGGCGACGCAAAGCGCTTTGGCGTCATGCAGATATACTGTACGTGGCGGATTTGATCTCCCTCGGGTAGACAAGCGTAGTGCATGGTGCGAGAGTCCCATAGAACGAAATCGCCAGGTTCCATGTTTACCTTGATCAGCTCGCAACCACGCTCCTTGAACCACTCAACATCCTTGTCGCTAAATAGGAAAAGATCCATATATTCCATCTCGGGGGGTGGTGCGTCCTCATGGTTGTAGGACTCACGCTTCTGTGAGAAGAACTCATCGAAAAGCTTAGCAGAGCCTTTCATCAACATGAGGCCACCATCCTTGGGGCCGTTGGGGGCGTAGTTCAGTAGTCCTTGAACAGCTTGCATGCTATATTTATGTCAGTAGTCTAAGATTTGAGACCGTAGGAAAGTTAAGTTACCCTTTGCGCCTTTGGTTTTGGTCGCAGTGAGGCCATGGGCTCCAGCGAAGATCCTTCCGCCGGGGCATGGAGATGTTCATTCCATCAAATGAGCAAATCAGTTCCTTGGTCTCCCAAAGCGTCTCAAAAATATTGATAACAGCGGGCTCTGTGCGTGCCTCCCAGGCCATTTTCTCATGGGCAGAGCCATAGGCAAAGTACATGCTTTAACACAGTCAGTCGTTGAATCAATTCTCCGCATACAATAATTCTTACCCTCCCTTGAAGCTGACGGGCAGATGCGCCTCGGTCCAAGTGCTTTCATCATTCTCATCGAAGCCCAGATCGAAATTCTTCAGCCACTGAATCTGTTTCTCGCGGTAGTATTGGGCCCGCTCAAGGCTGATCACGTTTTTGATAAGGACGCAACCTTGCTTGTGGAACTCATCGCGCCAGTCGCCATATGTGCGTGGCTCGAAGGTAACCAAGTCGTGGCTGCCTCCGTGGGGCAGCCAGTTCTGGCTATCGGCTGGATTAGCCTTGGTTTCGGTGGAAGACATGATATCAAAGTACAAGTCTTGGAATTGTAAGTAAAGGCCGAAAGAACCACCACCGGTCTAGTGAATTCGTCTTTGCTTCTGGCGCTGGGAGTAAGCTGCTAGTTCTTTTTCTTTTTCGGGGGCAATAAATATCACTTATTCGCAGTCGATCCCTTTCTCCTGAAACTGGATGGTCAGCTGAGATGTAGCCTGAAGCTGGGGCGTATGATCATCAGAAGAGCTCACCTCCACCCCCGCTCGGGGGGCCACGAAGGTGGACAAGCGACTACGATATCAACTGATTCAAGTCAACAACAATGAGTGGGGCAACACGGGGTACTTCCCCACTTCCCCAGGGATTAGTCTGCGGGTAAGCTAGCCCCATGGTGTGAAAAGCAGACATAATGTACGTATATCGGGAAATGGGGAGGGCCGTCCAAAAGAGGAAATCCGATCGGGATATAGTGGGCGGATCGGATAGGCAATGTGAATGTCAATTCCATCTTGTGCGCTTGGAGTATAATTCCCCAGGAACCCAGATCTTTTTTTTAGCAGCACGGAAAATAGAAACATCAAATCAATCATATCATTCTCAAATTGCACATCCTCGCACCGGTTCATCCTCGCACCGCGAGTGTAGTTTGCATACAACCTGCGCATCTCTCAGCCAAAAGTCTGCGAGAGTGGGTTCAAGGAGTGCCAGACCATAAAGTCTCAGATTTCCATAAGGATTGAATGGATCCAATGCCAAGCCCCTAGAAAGCGATATTCAGGTCAGCCACGATATTGAAGTTGCCGGACGTAATCCTGGCCTACCGGGCACTAGACGCTCATGTGTACCAACAAGCAAACACCACCGAAATGGTTCTTGCGGTGCTGAGTTGGTCATTCGATAAAAAGAAGTAATATGCTTTGGACCTGCTCTCTATGCTTGTCTAGAATTGCTGTGCCACCCCGTGACCCCAACGGCCTCGAGAAATTCGAGGGTCTTGATCTACAGACTTGTTGCCCTTGGAAATATGCCATTGTTAACGTCGACACTCGTGGCTCGGCGCATGGCGATGGCCAGACTTGCGTGATGGAAACTCAAAATGCAGAGGACAGGCATGATGTCGTTGAGGCAATTGGACGTAGGGACTGGTGCAATTGCAGCATCGGCATGGCCGGTAACGGTTGAATCCTGTGCTATGTTTGCCCCTTTCTCCTTACAGGCCCCAGTCGTCTTTTCCTGATAGCTGCTTTGGTATCCAAGAGCCAGTCAAAAAAAGTCCTCCCTCGCATGAATCGAATCCTCAACTTTCTCCTCCCCTATATACTTCGCCTTGTTACTGCATCGCCATCCCCAGACACCGAAGAACATCTCCAGTCCCCAGTGCACCCTGATACAGCCCTTTCCACTCTCCTGACATCGTTAGAAAGCCAATTAAAGAATCAAATCAATATAATGTAACGGCCCGAGATGAATCTTTCTATTAGAAAAATAAGGTTACCCAAAAGAACTCAAAAAAATGTACTCCGCCCGCCCAGGGGTGTGCCTGGCCGTCCATGTAGCTTGAAGCGTCAACACTGGCCCAGTATTCTTTTCTTTTTTTTTTGGTTGCCCTTTCCTCCTGGGCACACCAATGGGTTACCAATTTATGGTGGATACCAACTAGGCCATCGGAGGGGGGAGTAATTGTTTGACCTGGAAGATGACGATAACCCATGTTTGATTCCTGCCATCTCCCAATGGTTGATTGCCGCTCAACAACCCTCCTTTGAAAGCTACTGCACCATGCGAAGAGGCTGGTCATATTTACCGTAGGCAGTCCTGCCATGATGGTTCATTTTCCTGGAGCACTTTCAGTCTGATTGCAAATGGCATCGGCCGCGGTCCTGAACTATCCGGTCTTGAGGATTTTGAGATGTATCGTCGCTTGCCGGTGTATAAGGCCTTTTGGGAGAACAAGCGAGCAGATATTCCGCGTGTCAGTAGGCTCCGTACATGCTTATCTCAATTAAACTGTCATCAACTTATCCAGAGAGGCTATATGTCAGTCTGTCATCGCAAAGAAAACTCAAAATAGATAGTCCTAGTCCATTCGTAGATTCCAAAATTATTGGATTCTTTCATGTATTATTGCCCTTCAAGCTGTATTATTGTAGACCACGTCCGTTACCGACCTCGGAAGGTTGGAAGCTGGATATGTGATAAGATAAGTCACGTGATAGCGCGTCGCGTTGACGCGCATCAATCCCGCTTCTCTCCCGTTCCCCTCCAGTAAAAGACTAGATTGGAGGGTGCAAGACAGCAACTGCACCCATTTATAATTCCCTGATCAGGATATCTGACCGAGAAAGCCTTCCTATCATTGTCTCATTCCATTCATCTCCAACATGACTCAAGACCAAGTTGCTCCCGCGGCGACCCCCACGCCAGCACCAGCACACAATCCCTCGCACGAGGAACATCAATACCTCAACCTGATCCGGACGATCCTTGACCAAGGAGAGCACAGGCCCGATAGAACTGGCACTGGAACACGATCTTTGTTCGCACCGCCTCAACTTCGCTTTTCGCTCTCAAAGCCTGATCCCAACGGAGGCGACCCGATCAAAGTTCTGCCTCTTCTCACCACGAAACGGGTTTTCCTACGCGCCGTTCTCGCCGAGCTTCTCTGGTTCATTTCCGGCTGCACATCGTCGCTACCCCTCTCCGAGGCTGGCATCAAGATCTGGGATGGAAACGGCAGCCGGGAATTCCTTGATAAGCTTGGACTGGGACACCGGGAAGAAGGCGATTTGGGACCTGTGTATGGCTTCCAATGGCGACACTTTGGAGCGGAGTATGTCGATGCTAAGGCGGATTATACGGGTCAGGGTGTGGATCAACTTAAGGATGTTGTCAACAAGATTATGAACACGCCTTTTGATCGTCGTATCATCATGAGCGCTTGGAATCCGGCTGACCTGCGCAAAATGGCTCTCCCGCCGTGCCACATGTTCGCGCAGTTCTATGTCTCTTTTCCGCCGGAAATGAAGCTGGATGAGAAGACCGGCAAGCCTACTGAGAAGGGGACCCTGTCTTGCCTTCTTTACCAGCGCTCTTGTGATATGGGTCTTGGTGTACCTTTTAACATTGCCTCGTACGCTCTTCTCACGCATATCCTTGCTCACGCTGCCGATCTTCATCCCGGCACTTTGATCCATACGATGGGCGATGCTCATGTTTACCTGGATCATGTTGATGCGCTGAACGAGCAGTTGACTCGCGAGCCGACCGAGTTCCCTGAGTTGCTTATCAAGCGCGATGACCGGGGCAGTGCTGTTATTGATGGTTGGAAGGAGGATGAGTTTGAGGTTATTGGATACAAGCCTCACAAGATCATCAAGATGAAAATGAGTGTTTAGTGTACATTGTACATTACTGGATTGCGATTGTTGCCTACGTTATAATGTTTAGACGATACCAGTCTCTTTTGGTTTGAGGACATAAATTTCATGAATTCTAAGACTTTGCAAAAGCGATACAAGCTATGAGTCCCCTGATTCGTAGCGCTGTGTACACTCAACGCCATAAAGCAAACCGCTACGAGGTACCATTGAGCCAATAAAACGCTTCCAAATGTAGATGCCGCGAAAATGAACAGCAAATAAACAGACAATATGAGCAAGATAGCGAGGCCGGGGGTGTGAGTGAATCACGATTTCTCGAGAACCAAGCCAGCACCTCGCAACAACACGATAGTATCGCCCGACTTGAGTTTGCCACCACCAATCGTATCCGAAAACTCCAAGAAATCACCAGACTCAACGTGGAAGATTCGCAACCGTGCCTCCTCTCCACCGCCGCGATTATTCAAATTCTCGACCTTCAACTTGCGGGCCGCATCGTCGAGCACACGACCAACCTTCCACCGCGAGTCGTAATAAAAGTCACTCGCCGGTGGCTCAGCAGCCTGAGTATCTGCCGTCCCGACCACATGCAAATATAAACGCTTATCAGCGGGGACCCCAGCATCGCCCTTCGCCGACCGCTTCATAGCATTGACACTTGCGATACGCGCCGCCGGACTATTGGGCTTAACTTTCGGCTTCGGAATGAGATTCGACGTCGCAACTTGTTTCTCCTTACCCCAGGTCCGCATTCGCGAGAACATCGACTTTATCGTCTCATTTGGGCTGTTGCCTTGCCGTGCGCCCAGCGGGGTAATCTTGGCGCACTCATGTTCCTCTCGAAGCCGGTGCTTAAGGCAGTACTGGCGATTACAGTTCGGGCAGCGCACGCCGGGGTCTTTGAGAGTATTGATGAGTGTTTTGCAGGAGATGTGGGCGCATTGATCGGAGTTGTAGATGTTGGGCTTTTGGGGCGCGGTGCGGTTCTCTTCTAGGTTATGTGTACCGTTGCGCCGACGGGCCCATTCACCCGCGTGAGGGCATTTATGGGCGGTTTCGGATCGGTGGTCGAGGCAGAAGGTGCTTCGGCAGGATTCGCAGCGGAAGGGGAGGAAGTCGAGTTGGCCGCAGTATTCGAATTGGCAGTGGCGGCCGATTGATTCGAGATCTGTGTCGGCCATTTGGGTGTAGGATGAGGAGGGTGAGGATGTAGTCCCCTTGGATATGCTCACGGGAGACATGGTAACGAGTGGAAGAGAGTAAGTACCAAGAGAAGGAATCAAACGCAGGAGAAATGAATGAGTCTTGAAGCAGGTATATAAGAAAGGAAGATCGAAGATCGAGCAGAGTAGAATGCGATGGCAAATGGAACCCGTGACTAATGCGGAGAAGCTTCCAGCGGAGCCTCCGCCATCCAAGCGGGCTTAGCTAAGAATCGCGGAGGCTCGGCGTTAAATGGAACGATCTGGAAATCAACACGGAATGTGTGATTAGACACATTTAAGTGGGAAAAACTGTACAAAAAATACATACGAGGCATCCAAATGAACGCTCGCTGATATTTGGCTGGGAAGCTACTGAAAAGATATACATGCATGCCCCCATCACCATCGCTTACAAAATGCTCCCATCCTCTAGGCACCCTTCCAACACGCGTCCCTCTTCTAATCATAGGAATCCCTCGTGGTTCCCTGGGACAGCTTCTGCTCCATCTGTCGCGCCAATCCCTGTGGCACACCTTCTTTTGTGGCGCGGATAGTAACTCGGTACATCTATCATGGGGTTAGCATTCATTCCACAATTCAAGCCTGAGAAACAAATGTATACATACCGACTTCTCGTAGTTGGGCTCTAGTCGCAACAGACAGCCCGTCTTGCCCCCCTCAAACTGGTACACACTGCAGCCAACAATGTTCTTCGGGTTCGGATCCACACCATCAATGATTTTCCACCCGAAGCCTTCAACCATCTGTCGAGTATACGCCTCGTTAGTCACCTTATTCTTGCCACTGAGGCCGAAGGTCTTTTGGGCTTCCAGTGGGCCATCACCAATCTGGCGCCAGCGCTTGAAGAAGTCCTCAGCGGAAAGCGACGATGGCTCCATGTATCGGTGCATGAGAACTGGCAGCTGAAGGGTATAAGCCTGCAGAGCACCGGCCAGGTAGGAGATACGGATGGTAGGTGCATCTGAGAAGGGACCATGCGACGCGCAGAAGATAGTCTGCTGAGTCTGCCCAGCTGCGGCGACGCTCGAGTCGGGTAGGTTCTTGGTGTCGAGCTTCAGGTTTGGTGCGGCCGGGTTTTCAATAGTCGTTGTCAGAGAGTTGATGGCGTAGGCGGACTTGTTCGAAATGTACATCTTCACGACACCCATGTGACCACGGTACTCTGACCGCAGTCCAACCTGAATCTGGGCATCTTCGAAGAGCACACCCTCGTGTGAGAAGTAAAGTCGGTTGTAGCCAATGTCCCAATCCGGGGTCAAGTGCGCAGCGCTGGCTAGGTTGGGAGCAGGAGCCGATGGACCGCTAAAGTCCAGCCCAGCGAGGTCACCCGAGGCACTGGTAGCGCTGGTTGGGGTGGTTCCTCCATTAGATCCTGTGCGCGTGCCATGAACGATAGTGGTAAATGTGCGCTTGAGACCAGTATTTTGTGCCATGAGAACTTCTTGCTTGTCCGCATTGGCGTCCTTGCCACCAACAACCCAGGTCTTCTTCTCGCTGGTACCCGCCGTCTTCTGGTGCAGTCGAGAGAGAAGAATAGACGTTCTTTCGGAGAATGGCGGCATTTCATCACAGACTGTCCGCAAAAGATCGTCCGTGGGGAGCGTTGCGAGCGAAAGATACTCGAATGCTCGCTGCTGCAACTCAGAATCGGGGGAGTGGCTGTAGAGGCGGAAGATCTGAAGGAGTTGCGGTTTGATTTCAGGGAACAAGTTGACAAACTTGACGAAGGATGACAAGATCATGGCGCGAGCATTGTCAGATCCAGTAAACATCTTGGCCTGCAGGGCTAAGAACTGCTCGATTGGGCTTGAGCCAGGGTTTTCAGCAATTAGGTGGCCAAACTCGCCGAGAACATAGCAGCCGATCTTCACCAAGCTCTCGTGGCAGTCAGTCTTGAGGTAACCGAGTAGCGTGTGAGCAGCATAAGCCTGCAGCTCCTCGTTGTTCGTCACGATCTGAATGACTCGCTGCCAAACCTCCTCATTGACGTGGTCGCCAGCCAGCGACAGTAACTTCAGGGTCATGTCAATGTACCACTGTGCATCAGTGGCGTACTTTTCTGTCAGAATAGCGACCTTCAGCACCATCTCTTCGCGAATTGCATAGTCGGCGGTCTGCAGATAGCGCAGAAGCTCGTTGACAATGGGGCCCGCATTGGTGGTGTCACACATGCTGTACAGTAGATCAAGGCCCTTACGACGGACACTAATGTCTCGGTCTCGAAGAGAACCCAGAATGATATTCTGATGCTTTTTGATGGGATCGAGTGTTTCTGCTCGAGCAGCGAAATGGGTCAAAGCATCCAAGCCCAGATACCGGACGTTGGTCTCACGAGACTGGATGTATTTGCCCAACCGAGAGGAAATTTGCATCATGAGGGTATGCTCAGAGTCGAGATGAATGAGGAGGTTAATGGCTTCGAAGAGGATGGCATTTTGAGCATTGTTCTGCTGGACGTTTTTGGGTGTTTCCATGGCAGACTGCATGATCTGGGCCAGAGACTCGCGGATGATCTCGCGAACATGGCTATCTTGCGAGGGGGGATAGTATTGCAACAGGCGCAATAGCTTGACCTGAATCCAAGGGCATGGAACACGGTAGTAAAGGTAGTCAGGTGCGATGTCGTTGTCAACCACGATTCGCTTCAACCTCTGGGCTGCTTTTACGTAGCTACCCTTGTATTCTTCGGGCATATCCTGGGCGAGTGCCATAACAAGCGAGGTGACGGACAGTGTGACTCCCATGTCGGGATCATCCATGATCGAGATGATTCGTTCGGCCCATTCGTTCCGGACAATTCCCGGGTACTTGCGGTACAGTCGGAGCAGTGTGAGGGCAGCCTTTTTCTTGACGAAAGCTTTGGAGGTCCTATTAAAAGTCAGCCTTGTCGATCCTCACGTCCCGAATGATGCTCATAAACTCACGGTGAGATCAGGAGTCGGTGGACCTCGGTCGCCAATGCTTCTCCAAGCTCCCGACCACCTACATTGGCCACGGCATGCAGCGCCAGACAATTGAACAATTCATTGTTGTCCAGCAGATCTTTGCGAATGCTATTCACAACCAAATGAAGCAGCTCATGCTCCTCGTGCAAGAACAAGGTGACCGCCAGATAGCCAATCTGCTTCTCGGAGTATTTGTTCGAAGAAATAAGATTGACCGCTTCCAGGTGTCCGAAATCAACATCGTAGCCTTGAATGTAAACATAAAGCAGCTTGCAGACATATTTCTTCTTCTGATAGCCGTTGAGGTTGCCGGCCTTGAATTTCTGCCGGATGTTGGCCAGCTCCTTATTCACGCGCTTCTCCTCCAATTCGCGTGCGCGCGCATTGCGCAGGTCTGCGATGAACTGAACAAGTCCTCGCATAGACGACATGGTGTCGGTTTAACTTTGGAAGAAGGCCGTAAGCCTTGGGGAATGCTGGTGCGATCTCACGGCGTTTCGTTATTTCGTGGGTGGGGTTCGAGGTACAGAGTCTCGCATGCCACGCGGAGGTCACCTCAGGGGTTCGCGATCGGACTGACCACGTCACACAACCATGTCTCTGTTGTGTTGTTTCTTCGATGGACCATTGGCTTCCTAGAGTTCGGCCACAGATTTATCGGATGCGTAGGCCGGGGAAGTGAGAGCTTAGAAACAGGGGGTTGGTGGGTCGCAGGCTATCTTCGACGATTGTCAGCAATGGCGAGGGGCAGTCGAGTCACCTCAACACAGAGCAGAGCAACAATCATACCACAGCACTGAAGGTCGAATGGTCCCCAAGTAAAAGACGACGAACTTGAAGTCAAGTTGAGGGTCTCTTCCGTAACACCTCCCGCGTGGTCTTTCACTTGGCTACTTCCGCCGTCGATCGCCGGGGCTCTGCTGTGGCACGGCGGAGTAATGATGATGCGCTGTGGCGGTGCAGTGATCTTTTTAGGTATCTACTAAGCCTTTCTTGGATCATCAAACTACATAGATGCTAAGCCATTTTGGACCATTTGACTATAGAGATGGCAGTTAATAATAATGATTTAGGTAGGCTAGATTGACTTATGTAGCTTCTAACCTTTCTTCTCAACTTGCTCCTCGACTGCTCTTCCTCAAACAAAATCCTACGTTCGTGTAATATCTCTAGATTGTGCAAGACATGGCACCAACACTACTAAGTCTACCTGTCGAAATTCGACTCATGATATACGAACACCTTCTTGTTGCACCATGGCCGCTTGACGTGGATGAATGGGTATCCCGGGATTTCCAAAACAGGACCTGGGGCCTTGTCGACCCAGCTATCGTACGCACCAATCGCCAGATATTCCATGAATCTATCAACACCCTTTACTCCAAGAATGAGTTCAGCGTAATGTTGGCCCGTTTTCCTGAGAAGGTGGGGAGATTTCTCGAGAACATCGGGTCGAACAATGCAGCCCAAGTTCGGAAAATGGGCATCTATTACCCCGGCGGTGTTTTGCAGCCTCTTCCAATCGATTTCCCCGACACTGAAAATTATCTCAACCTCAAAGATCACCCAGTCCCAGTGGGCACGGCTGCCTAGGCTTTGATTATATGAAGACGATTCTCACTATAAGTCCTGAGTTCCCACCAAATGCAACAAAACGTGTGTTTTCTTTGCTTTGAGCATCATGTTCATAGTCCTTACTCGGCTCGAAGAGTATGCTTCTATAATATTGTTTACTAAATTGTTGTCATGTGGAGTCAAATCTTGTGGGATGCCTTCTACATTGCTAATTTACGTTGAAGAGTGATATATGATGTTCAAAAGCTAACTTGACGCTAAAGCTATATGTGTCTCCACAAAATCCACTTGTCTAGATTACTTTATGTGCAGTCAAGATCGAGAACGCCTGAGCCGGTGCCCACACAAGTGGAGATCCAAGGAAGTGAATTAAACAAAAACGCTCTTATTCAGAATAGAAATTTCAGTGTCGAGTGAAACCTAGCACAATTATATTGGGGCAATGATCCCAAATAAATCCCAAGTAGAATAGCGAAGACGCGCGTAGAAGTTACTGTGTGTAACCTTGAGAGACGTCCCGTCAGTGGATCTCGATCACCTTTCTTGCGGAGAAATATCCAGCGATACCACTTCGCTTGCTACGATGTATAGTCGATACTTATTCCCTTCGAGCTACATCAGTGTCATGATCGATGGCGAAAATAATGTTCAAGTGGAAGCATGATGATATTTCATGACTCATGATGGATCACATATGAATAATGTGAATCAAACTATTGTATGATAATGTAAGTCAACCCCAGATAGCTCCGTCCAAACGCCAGCCTTCCCAAACCCAAAAACAATGCAACTCAAGCAAAACCCAGTAATGCGTGGATCATCAATCAGCAACACCCATCAGCGAAGCTATTTAAGCACGGGTGGTGAAGTCCTGCTCCAGAGCAGACTCAACAGCCTCGGCCTTCTCGCAGGTGCAGGAAGCTAAAGGATTTGTTAGAATGTCTCGTCATTTTGAGATCATGCGATTGAAATCTGAAACTTACCGGAAGGACGGCTACCGCAGGCGCAAGTCTCGCCCTGGACGGGCTTGTTCTCGGTGACAGCGCGCTCACAAGTGCACTGACCAGCGGGGCGAGAGCCTATAAGTGATATTAGTACCAGATGATCTAATTATTATCAAGATAATTTGACTTACGGCAAGAGCAGCGGGCACCGGAGATCTGGTTCTCAGAGGAAGCCTTGTTGCAGGTGCAGTGGAGAGCAGACTCCTTGCCACATGAGCACTTGGCCTGGGCAGCACAGACACAGCCTGCACCCTGGGTGGTCTTGCAGCAGGTAGAAGCGGGGTGGACCATTTTGACGGTGTTTGTTGGCAGATTGGATTGAGATAAGGTGGGTCTTTGTAGATAAGCTTGCAGCTTAAAGGTGATCAACGGAAGTTGCTGGTAAAAGGTTTGAAGGCACAGAAGAAAGGGTTTTGTGAGTTTGGAATGACACTGAAGATGAAGATGGAATAATGAAATGAAAGAAGCAGGGAAGTAGTGATTTTATACTCGCCTGAATGCGTCACAAAGAGGTGGCCTGATTATTATTACCCGTGCGTTGATTGGCTAATTGATGCTGGTCACGTGGAAGAGAGGTCATAACACTCGGTCGCTGATTGGCCGTGATCGCTGGCGAACTCAGTTACTGGCAAATGGCCCTCTCATGACTGGCTGGTTCCTCAATGATGACCATTACCGTTCTTTTGATTCGATGAGAGGTGAGGTTTATGTCATTGCAAAGCTATTCAAGCATCTTCGAGGTGCTACAGGAGTAACAAACGTCCAAGGAAACTCCCCGAAGCGATAACTTACAATCAGGCCACTTTCGAAATCCGGGACGGGAAGTGGGGACGGTCTTCCATGAAGCATCGAAGGAGAAGGAACATGAGTAATTTGAGTTATGGGCTGAGTTAGAATGGCGGTAATGTGTTTATGAATGAAATAGTGGTAGGCCCTGTAGTATTCTACAAGCCACTGTACCTATATTCAAATAATGTAAGATAATGAAAAATATGGCAGTTGTCGATCCAATGAGAACTTGTGGACTGTCTCTTCCGTTGAGAAAAGAAATCTATGGACCAAGTCTCTAGAGGAGCCTCCCCTTTACAGAAGGAGTTAATTGGCTGGTCTATTGATCAAACATGACTACATCACAGTTCATTGTTTGAAAGCTCCCAACCGGCAATGACCACCTATTGTTGATGTCCAGGTTCTTTCCACTACGCATTCCGCCCTCTACAAAACTGTGAATTCCCATATCCTCAGTTTCCCTTCAATATTTAGTTTGCAAGCCCCTTCGACCATGTCTCAAGGTCCCAAATTTTTATGAAATCACGTCTATATACTCGCCATTCTCCGTTGCATGCGGCACACTTTGAAAATCATACCTGAAATCCCTGTCCAGAAAATCCAGTCTCCACCAAGCACAGGCACGTCGCATCCACCATATGGCAGAATCTGCTGAAACCCTTTACATTACACTACAACATTCAGAAGGGGGATTGATATAGCTGAGCTTTAAGAGTGACTCGAATATCCAGAGTCGATATCAAGACCAGAAGTCACAAGTTAACATGTGTGAATTTTCGGTGTCAAGATGGCCAGGCTGCAGACGATGTACGTGGACTTGATCCTTTCGGGTTCCTCACACCCAGCTCCCACCCAGAAATTCTCATCTATGGCCTCTTTGTGATCTCTTCGTTCTATGTCTACTGTATACAGAGCCTGGAGTACGACGCTCATAAGGAAAACTTGAAGAGAAAGACTATTCGGGAGTGAAGGTAGGTGCCTACTGCACGGAAATCTTTATGGTACCTCGAACAGACGATGTCCTTTTCGCACACTTTTTTCTTCAATCATTTTGCTATTGAATATTTTTCTAATATGTTTCTCCGGAAGAACCTTAGGGCTTTGGGACTGCGAAAGATCTTCCAGCTCTGGACGAATCTTCTTCCAAAATATCCGGGCTAATCTAGCAGCCCAGATCGAGACACACCACAACATCCTTGGGCCAAGCGACAGAAGACAAATGGATGAAGGACTGGCCCATGTTCTGGACTTCTGTGACATTTAGTGCTTCTAATAAGCCCCGTCCCGCCGCAGAACAGACCTATACTCATCAGGCTTTGGCCTTTCAAGATAACTGAATCATGACAATGTCGATCCAGGCGAGCTTCCATATACATCCTCGTCTACGGACCGAGGATATCAATCCCCCTCAACGTATCGATACGTTTTGCAGAAGGAAGTTGGGCTTTGACTCCGAGGACATGGAATGACTGATCCATGCCACCACCGAACGACCGACTTTGATTCAGTAAAATGCCTCACTTGAATCATGCTCGTGAGAATCTGCAAGACACGCAATCTTCCAGGGTGTGGAACTAGAAAATCCGCTCCCTCGAGCCAATCGGCTCGCCTTCTGTGAGTCTCCAGGGGCAAAATCACAGTACCCAGAAGCTGTATATATATGGTATCATGCCATGTCAACCCATGTCGAAACAGAAGCAAGGAGACAAGATACCACTTCTTCTGTGCCGTCTGCTTTTCTGATGCGTGAACTTGCCATATAGTGGTGATGGTATGTTCTAGAGATACCAGAACAGCATATTAGTGTGCAGATACCACGCTGACCTGCTATGACTTTATGCAGATTTCCATAATAATATTGCTACCCTAAAGGTGCTCTCAGATCCAGGGACTGTCTTAAGAGGGGGTTATATTGTCTTTCATAGAATAGATAAGAATTTTTCAAAGAATGGACACAGCTAAAAGTCAAACATAGGCCGATCCAGGTTCAATATGTTCTCATATCGCATGTAAAAATTAAAAGAAAAAAAGAAAGGCAAGCTGGTAAGGCTAGATCTTGATTCAGCACGACAATCCATATATTCAGGTGATAAAAGCGTATAGGGTGTACTAGCCCAGGTGAAATAATGTAATTTCTGCTCATTCCCACTCAGAAACTCCCCGGACAGGAAGGAGCCAGGCCAAATCTAGTTTTTTACAGTATTTGTTTTTTCTGTAGATCACTAGATCGACAGATGATCGTCTTGAGCATTGATGCCGGATCGACACTCATCCACCTGTCTAGTGGGGCTCCCCATGGCCTAAGGTTCCCGCCTGTCGGCCCGGTAGGGCTTGGGGCCATGGTACAGTCAATACTCAACCATGGAGAAGAATATGCTAGAGAATATTTGGCCTGCAGCTTCAGTTATCCGTAGAGCTAATAGAAATGGTCATACTATTGAAGCATATCTATTGCTAAGGCATGTTCTACGTAGACTGAGTCTTCAAGGTGCTGGAATATATTTGGCCAGAAGGCCTCGTTTATACAAATATATGTCACGAACATCCATCTTCGGCACAACACAGGATACAGACAACAATTAAAGTTAGACCAGCCTTCGCTCATGCGAGAAATGACTCAGAACTAATGTTCAAAGAGGTGAAATGGAGATGATCAGCCTCCATAACCAACCCGTAAAAAATAACAGTCGCGCAAAACAGAATAGAAATATAAAAACAGACTTGCTTGCAATCTGAGGTAGCCCGCCCGAGAAACAAAAAATGCAGTAAGAACCCAACGCAATGATAGATGAAAAGAGAACACAGAGATAAGAAAAAGAAGAAAATGATAGGTAAATACAAGGATGAGAAGAGAACAAGATAGGAAATGGGCTGTCGAAGCATTAGGATTAAAACACGCTGATATGATTGTAGGCCGTACCAAACGGCAAAAAAAAGGAAGCCACAAAATGAGAAGAAAGTAAAAGACAGAGAAAAGGCAAAGCAGAAAAAGGAGTGGGGATACCAGACCAGCCTGAAGAGAAAACTTCCAGAGTGTATTACTTTTGTATGGTCCTGCCGCGTGATGCATTTATTGTTGAATATAGCTCGCGTAGTTGAAGGGGTGGTTGCCGAACTTGGTTCGAAGGGACTCGAGGCCGGGCTGACTCTGTGGCAACTGGTCCTGCGAGGCAGACCCGGTGGGTGCGAAGGAGGGGGAAGGCTGATGGTGGAGGCGTTTGATTGAGTGTAAGGCATGGTACCCATTGGTGCCGCGGGCTGAGCATACGGATATGGTCTATATTCTTGAGGAGCAGAGCCAGGGACAGACTGTAGAGTCGATAGAGGTCTCCCGTGCGATGGAGTTTGGGAGCCCGTACCCAGACCGCTATAGTCCTTTGGCGTGGTCATTGCGTGCTGCGCGTGATAGTTTTGGTTTTGCGAGTCTATTTTCGATACTTGGTTAGAAGGGGTTTGCGCAGGTGCGAGGCAAGTCGAGGGAACCAACTGATATTCATTTCATATGTCATTGGCGCTCCATGGGAATCGGTTGGGGATACGGAGCCCTCGAATGGCTGCTGTTGATCGTATGGTGCTACCATTCCACCCGGATGACGAGGAACCCCATAGTCCAAGTGTGGTTGCCGCATGTAAGGCAGGCCACAAGGATTTGAGGATGGGGCGAAACGATTATGCATTTGCATGCTATGATGGAAGGAGGGAGGGTGAGAAGACGCATCTGACAAGCTGCTAGACCGGGTAATTGAATAGTCGTTTCGAATCGTTCTATGCAGATCGGACATGGATGCAGATGCTGCGGGTCGACCGAACATCATCCCCGAGCTGGGTAGCCCGTCACTCCGTCCAGCAGAAGACATGTATGTTCCTGCGGTCGACGCAGAGCTGAGGGGCGAGACGAGGTAGTCGTCTTCATTTGGCCGCTGGAAGCAATCGGTGCGAAGCGCCCTGAGAGACGCAAAATCCGGGTTCGGGGCCCCGTAATCATGTGGCGATGCCATGGGCGTTGGGCCTGTAGATTTACTTTCAAACGGCGTACGCAAGACTTTCGTCGTATCGAAGTCGTCCGGCAGGGCACGCGATTTTAGCATTCTTTCACGGTCATTTGTAGTCAAACGCTTGAGCTTCGCTCGCCTGTAGCAAATAGCAAATAGTCAGAGAAAGAGCCACGGGTCTCCATCGAAATAGTTGAAATTCCTACCTGTTCTGAAACCACACTTGAACTTGGCGTGGCGTCAAGCCAGGAATCTCCCTCGACAAACGCTCTCGATGAGCAGCGTCCGGATGCGCTTGACGAGTAAACTCGCTCATCAAAAATCGAGTTTGATTGTGCGTAAGCCTAGAATCCCGATTAATCTCCCGTTCACCGAAGTGACTTCATTCGATCTTTCTTGGCCATCCTTACCGAAATCTCTTCATCTTTTTCTTCTCCAACGACGGCGATCGGTTACTTTCATCATCTCCAATCATCTCACCCTTCTCATCAGAAGGGCTAATCGTCGACTCCTTATCGTGGCCGTCATTTGCTTCGAGGGCCGACTGAGAGACATTCGACGACTCGCCAGAGCGACCGAATTCAACTTGTGGCTGCGACATCGCATAGTTTGTACTACCTCCACCAGGAATTTCCAGCTTCATTCGGGGCAACATGTCTTCTCTTCCACCTCCCATTCTTTGGTTGAGTGCTTCTCGCGATGGGATTTCTCCCTCACGATACGATCCAGACGCCGCCGTGTTCCCTGGATTTGACACCGGAGTGGGCAAGGCATTTCCAGCCATAACACCAGTCCGTTGCATTTCAGCTGACGACGACGCACTTTGAGAAGTAATCTGCCGATCCCTAGGTAGCATTAACAGCGGAGAGGCTATCCGTGGCGTCGAAGAAACCCGTTCTCCGTGACGAGCTGCTGCGGATAGGTGGGATGTGACAGCAGACAGATGCGAGGCGACTGGCGAGGACAAAGACGGCACCCAAAGACAAGGGCCACCAACGGACATGGTAGGAAGTGCTAACAGGTCCTCTTCGACCGGATTAAAATTGAGTCTGAAGTCTCACGGGCAAGACAACTCAAGACGAGACAAGACCTAAGTCCACGGTTCTCGAAGCTATGGATAGACGAGAAGAACCCAAACACTCCCAGACCACCACGACGCAAAACAAGAAAAAGAGAAGAGTAGAGGAGAAAAACGGGACAACAATACAAAAGCGCTCTTTCCCCGAGATGAGACGACGGTGGGTCTGATCGAAGTGCCGGGGGCGCTTGCGCAACAGGCTCAGGGTTCCTGGTGCAATCAGAGCAATTAAACGGAATAAAGGGTGAGGTCAAATCAAACGTAAAGCCGCTCCTCAGGAGGGGTATTTAGTCCAACTGGAATCCCCGAGATCCGCGATAGGAGAAGTCAAAACAAGAAGGGAGGTAGAAGCGTTGCAGTAGGCGCCGGATCACTGGATCACTGATCTCTCAAGCGTGGCGAAGGAAGTTGCAGTTGCAGTAGTTGCAGTAGTCAAGTGTGCCAGGCTTAGGCTAACAAGCTAACAAGTCGAAGCGTAGTCAGTGGCCAGCGCCGAACTCTCCGTCTCGAGTAGCAACAGTCGAGGCCCAAGTGGAAGAAAGCGGGACACCACCGCCACACCAGTCCTTTAAGTCCTTTAAGCCCTTTGAGTTGACTTTTGGGCTGAGATCTTAGATCGTTCTCACCACCTTTACACCTTATTGCAGATGCTGATCGTTACGCAGCTCGGCAGTAGTCAGACACGAGGGCATCCACCCACAATTATGGAGACAGTTGAATGATACTTGGGTCAAGAGCCGGCAACTGGGTCACCAGGATCGGCCGGAGATCTCCTGGGACAGATACTGGGACGTTTGGACAAGGATGGGCCAGCCAGAGGGGCACGACGAAAGTAACTGGTAGACTGGATAAGACCAGACAAGATCAAACAAAACAAGGCCGAAGCAGGAGGAACAGAAGTCCTCCCCAAGCGAGGTCACCACGCTGGTAGTGGAAATAACAAGATGCTGTCGGTTGAGATATTAAACGGACGCCCGGGAATACCTGCCCCAAAAGGGTCCACTGGGAGATCAAAGTTGGCCACCGAGAAGACGGGATCGGTCTAATTGGAAGTACAGTACGGAGACGGATTGCAAAGTACATAATATTGTGGTACATGACCGTTGAATACAATGGATACACACTACGATATGCACTGTTGTACTCCTATGTACGGGGTGTCCTAGAAAAATTCTCCATTTCTGTTTCTCTATACCCACATAGTCCTTTTTATCCAGCTGAAACTAGCTTGTGCCGAGCAAGGATGTACGTACAATTTATGAGCGACGATCTTTAACGGTCAAGACGATCATAGAATGGGTGAAAAGACAAATTTTGAACGTTTGAAAGTCAAATCTTAGTAGGGACTGTACCCGGCAAGGCTAGTGAACGGGCCACCCCAAGATCGGATTTCATAAACTTTACTATACGAATAAAAAGGAGATAAGCATGCAGGCTGGCCAGAAGTAAAAACAGAGGATAAGGGGGAAACCTTTCCAGAGTTGTACAAACGACATTTCTTACACAGTTAGTGAGAAGAACACGCAAGACAGGGCTCACTGGACGTGTTGGACTGGGCAAGGCATCAGCACACGACCATCTGCTTGGCAATGATCAGCAGTGAGCGATCTATGAAGACGAAAGGATTCTCCTTCCGGTGGAGTACATTGGAGACAGGCATCACCCCGGGTCCGACTCTAAAACATTCTCCAGTCAGAGTACTCCGTACGGGATCAAAAGCGAGATCCGAATTGTTCATTTCGAATTTCTCCAAGCGAGGATCAGAAACGACCTGGAGACTGTCTGCAAAATATGCTAAACGGGGATCTCAAAATCTCAGGAAGGATTTGCAGCCCCGAGATCTCGTTGTTCCACATCTGGCGTCGGGACCGTGATGCAAGCCTGCACGTACCCAACCTTGATGATTCTGTAGTTAGTTAGCATGAGTCGACTGAGGACTGATTGGACTCTTGGCTCCTGAGAAAAACACGGGGTAGCCACGGAAGCCACGATTAGACAGAAGGAAGAGGTATGGTATGGCGTGCGCAGAATCGAAGGCTTTTCGTCAGAGTATAACCACGGCCAGCACAGGACTGGTCTCTGGTGATGGAAAGGAAGATGGGTCTGTGGCGAATCGCAGTTCTACCCGAGCTGAAAAATAAATGAAAAAACAACAAATGAAAACAAAATGAGTAATCCGAGCTTGAAAGCACTGTGGGAACGGAAACTAAACTTGAATCCATAACAAGCTCTGGATAACCACCATTGCTGGGGGAGACAGTGTGTGAGCAACGAGGCGGACCTCCGGTATCAGGTATCCACCCAGTGGGCCTTCCAGCACCAGAAGTCCAGAAAGAAAAAAAAAAACAAAAATGAAGCCTAGGAGCTAAAACTTGAAGACAAAGCGTTCACGGCCCGGCAGGTCAAGAGTCATTCATTAGAAAATTCTCCGAGCGTGGAGCGCGTGGCGGATCTCGCGGGCCAGTCCAAGCATGGCCAAAAAGCCAGATATCGATTCCTGCATGGGCCAACCAGTCCGCCAGCCAACCGCCAGAGTCGGGGGCCTTAGGATTTTGGGATCAGGAGGGGGGGGGAAGTGAAGGGCGGGCGTATCAGGGCGTCCAGAAAAGACCCTGGTTCTCTACAGTGACGCGCCATTTACTTTGCACTGGTCGAAATTCGGCCTCCATGTGGAAGACCTGTCGGGTTTGCTAGCGTGCTGGCTCCATAAGTGGCCATGCTAAAGCCGCGGACCCTCGGGGCCAACGATCAATAACTGTGATTAGCCACTCAGCAGGCTGCCCGCCACAAGTATCCAGCATGGAATGGCCCTTTTGGAGTGATGTTTGCTTAAGTGTGGTGCATGGGAACCGGAGGATTGATGTGGAGTCTGGCAAATACCAACAGAGTGAACAAGCAAGGAAGGGAAAAAAAAACGTGAAAATTTGAAAAGAAAAAAAGAGTAAAAAATGTGAGGGGAAGAAATGATATCGAGGCAGGAACAATCCGGATCATCCAACCCCGCGATCCTATCAATGTATGTGGTCTCCAATCGGGTTATCAAAAATCCTCATTGGTGTTAGCCGATGAACCCTGAAACTGACGACGGGGCTACGGCGGCTGAAAGGACCACCAAATCTACTGAACCATGTGAACAATTAGACTTTGAAGGAAAGAAGGATGAAAAAAATAAAAAATAAAAAAAAAATCCTTTGAATCAACAAATGAATCAATGGACTTGCGACATACTAAGAAAGATGAGTAAGACAAATGAAACAGAACAAGAAAAAAATCCGGGCCTAACGAAACGACGGAAAAATAAAATCCGTGCAGAGCCTCCTACAGTGACCGAACTACAGTACGTTTTGCATGAAGTACGATAAATATCCTGTACCTAGAACTAGTTCACCTACAAATATACTTAGATCCTCTTTCCCCTGACGCAGGGGGGCCATATAGCAAGCCCTGATCAGGAAAATAGTCTAGACTCTGAACACTCGGACCATGCGCGATCAAGGGCACAATAACGATAAAAGAAATGGGAGAGAGCAAGCCTCGCCGCCTGTCAATCAGACTTATCAGGGTAAATTCACACTGTGGCGAGGCTTGAAGGGCGTTAACCATGGCTGGTAGCCGTCTCAAGGGCCTTTGGAATCCCCACCACAGAAGCGAAGCCAGAAGCTCCTGGAAATCTCCACATCTAAGTATGAAACAACCCAGGTCGCAGGCTGGAAATGAAACAGTCCTGCTCAAGTGTCCTTGTGATCGATTCGAATTTGCAACACCAAGGTCGTTAATTTGTTAGCAATCATGATAATACAAAGACCATAACTAGATCAGCTAGGGGAAATGCTGGGTTGTGCTTTCACGGTGTTCTCCGTACATGGCGCCGCTGATGAAAAATCCGGACCAAAAAAATTAGTTGAAAAATGCGACGAGTCTGAAGGGTTGGAGAATGAAGTGGGCCTATGGAGACACTTTCTGCGCCTTTTGCGCTTCTCTTTCTGCCTACAGAAGCTGACAGACGAGTTTTGTCGGTTGAAGAACAGTCTTTTGCTTTGCTTAACACTGATTTGTGCGGCCATACTGCGGCAAACAGTGGCAAAAAGTGGAGAGTGGAGAAGCTTTCTTGTCTTTTGATAACCCGAGGCAATTGAGACTGCTTTTTGTCCCCTACTCATTACACCATATCATCTTGATCGCCATGGCCAAATTTTTGGTCTTTGAGACTCGGAATTCCCTGTCGAAAATTCGAAATCTATTCTCTGGACTTCAATACTCCGTATAACCGGGCTATGGTTGCGGATCAAGAACGTAGAAAGAATTCTCTGTTAAGGCGGACCAGACCACAGATGAGGTCACTATAGTGCCACAGTTCAGCTACACTCGACCATGGATTGTGGCCGTTCATTTACATTTCTCTGTTCTTCTAGAAGTAAGAGGACTCCGTAGTGTAGCAAGTAAACAGCAATTTAATATTCAAGTAATCTAATGTTTAATAACCTACTACTGTTCTTCCATAATTTTAGATGAACGTTTGGTTCCAGTATGAACTGATCACTCCGCTCCTGTATAGTTAAGATCAAAATGCTACAATCTTAAAAAATAAAAATTGAATAAGGTTCCCTTCCTTCCTTTCCCCCTTTTTTCTTCATCCTTCAACATCCGAGCTTAGTGGGGGCTGCCCCCAAACATATTAGCTATTAGCCCCATTACTCTGAACAGAGGAAGAAGTACGGATACGGATGACACAAGAAATGATGGTTCAGAGCCTTGATCGAAAGTCTTCCCATGCGTATCCGTAGCGTGGGGACCAGGTCTCCTCCATTCTCCAGTTTTCCCCCTAAACTCCATCGAGTACTAGTACGGGGTGGGGCCATGATATCCACCAGCCCTCCAGGGGCCTCAGCATTGGATCCTCCACCTCGCACAGGTTTCGGCTAGGGGAGAAAACTCGGAACCGTTAAGCTGCAATCCCGAATCATATCGCGCAGAGCTCGTTTCTACGGCCGAGACGATGGGCGATGGCTGCAACTAGTGTAGGGCCTTGCTCGTGGTTGATCGGGCTGTCTGCTTTTTCCCATCGAGGCATGACGTGGGCGCCGTTACAGCTCTTGGCTCTGGGGGCGAGAAACTGGGCAATTGGAAACTTCGGCTACAACTAGCTGGGTTTGAGGAATCGTCTTGCATCATTGCATGAACAGTACTGTCATCCCTGAGGGGGTTAAGTTTGTGCCCCCGTTGTTCAGGAGGTTTAAAGGAGGCCAACCGAAAAAAGTATATGCTTTGAGGGTTGCAACTGGAGACTAAGTCGTATGGCGTTTACTATGGCGCATTTGCATTCAGCCAAATCCGCTTTCACGTATCGAAGAGTCCCTCCGTGCTCTATACAACTGTGAACACTAGGATAACGGTGCCTGGGCGCATTATTCTGGAACAACCGGTGCGGGGAATCCGATCGCGAGCTTCGATCGCGTTCCAATCCGCGCTGACTAGGACAGAGGCTAGCTAAGCAGCCTAACATTGTACTGTTGTGTATTAACATGTACTCCGTACTAACTAGCCAACTTAGCCCAGTCAAGGATGTTAGGTCATCTTTAATGGCGCGCAACTTTAATCTCGGGTTCGCGCGCCGCCAAGAACTGCACTGGGTCCCTCCTTCATTTCGGGATACCACTAATCCGCGATCCCTGTGATCATGCACGTCGTTGACTCGTCATCGTGGCAGGAGAGGGGGAGGTGACGCAAGCTGATCGCTTGGCTGAGGAGACCTTTTCCTTTGGCACGTCCCCTCTTTCATGTGTGGAGGTCGTCGAGAGGACAGACAACACTCAACAGACAACAAAACTGAGCAAAAAAGATTGGCTCGCAGCGGGTAGCATATGGATGCACCCCCATTCGTGCACGTTTCGGCAAAATGGGCCGATGGGAGATGGGCCCTGCAGATCGATGACCAAGCTTGACTTTTGATGCAGAGGATGAAGGACTAACCTCGTAGCGATGTTTCCACAGTCCTGTTTTACTGCTGGTGATCCCTTCAATCAATTTTTAAGATTACAGTCAGGACGTTGCATTCTGTTGGAAGAGCTAAGTTAGTGGCCACTCCTTCGATGAGCATTAGAGTACGGAGTAGTCTGTACTCATGCGGTACTTGACAAATTGCTCTGTATCTAGGGGGCACCTCGGTATAGACGGAGTATATTTCCGATTCCTGATGTATCCTCGTATGTGCCTATTCCTACAAGGTATATTTTCTCTGTGTCTATGAGACCTATGGGACTTATGTGCCAAAAATTTAAAGGAAATTCAATGTCAGCAAGGTACAAATTCCAATTCTCTGGTGCCGTTTCGAAGCGGGGCGGTTTTTCATCAATTGAAACTCGGTTGACACCCTCGCATACCACGGCTCGGTTCGCCCATACACCTGAACTGGGTATTTGTTGCGAGATAGACCTGCAACTAAACAATTGGATTAATCAGATCAATAATATGGTGCATTAGATTGGGAAATGCACTGACTCTGTTAGCCACGGAGGACTTGCTGCTCGTATCGCATTCTTGAATCATTGAATGCTGGATAGAACTTATCCGTGTATACCTTCATACTTCCAAGACACCGACACATGGCCAGTGCTTAGCGCAATTCCCAGATCGGGAAGAGTATGAAAAAAAGAAAAAAAAAAAGAAAAAGAAACTCAAAAGAAAACGCAGCGACTAGCTTTCCCTAGCTTTCTTAGCTGTCGTTATCAATATGGAGCACTGAAGCTATCCACAGCTACGGATTCTACAGAGTACATAGCTCTTTGCCGCACTGACATGACTGCGAAGAACCATCCTGTCGCTGCAGAAAAGTCAATTTTACGGGGTCTACGCCTCGACGGATATGCACTTCCCTTCTTTGCTTCTTCTCAAGCTTCTTTCTCTCTCCCTGTTCTTCAACACCAATGAGCACCCATGTGCCTCCTTCCATCTCCTGTGGTGTAGCGCAGACTTTGAACTCCACTAGTGGACCCCGCAAGTCACCGAGCCAGAAACTGGGAGCTACTCTTGCGCCCCTATGCGATCAGTGCGTCAGTTGGTTTTCGAGAACAATCCAAGCTGCGAACACCCGCCGCATGGCCCGGCTCGCACGGAAGACGGAGCCTGATTAATGTCCTCCTGCTGGAGTACTACTATGCTTTGTATACGGAGTACTTCGTATAGTGAGACTGAGACCCCCAACCATCTAGCAAACCCCGTGGATAGCTTGGTTTTGTGTATCGTACTAGGTAGTATACGGACGATCTAATCCGTTCATAGTATTTAGTCAAACTCCTGACGGAAGAATTCCCCCTATTTTCCGTGATATATCTCTCCCCTTATACAACCTCCTGCGGAGCTTTGTTGACCTGCGGGGACTAAAAACTACAATTAAAACAACGGCGAATCCACCTCACTATCCCGCTAATCTCTGCTCGGAGTCTGCACAGGTCCTCAGATCCTCTAACGCCGTTGCCGTCGAATCTTATCCCTTGCCCTGGCGAGAATCTGAAACATGGCTTCGACGGTGCGAGCGCCTTAGCCCTGTCACTTGATCGTTCCGTCGTGACAGAAACCTCTATAGTACTTTATTTTTCTCCCTTTTTTGATTTGTTTCTTTCTCTTTCCAGGGGTAAACTGCTGAAGTTACCGAGGTACAGAAGTATTTAGAGTAGGGTGAAGGGAAGTTGGCAAACTAAGTGGAGGCATGGAAATCAGGGGCATTGAAACCTATCCTTGAAAAGGATAACGAGAAAAAATGATTCACTCCATGATTACGACATCTACAGGGGTATAGTCAGTCAAGTTTGATGACTCCATGTCATGCAGGAACCTCTTGTTCTGAGTTCAAATGTGATAGAGTTGCCGATCCGCTGAAAAATTCCCTAGTTCCCCCACGTTGGTAGCAAGTACAACATCAGAAGAGTTCCATCGCAAAACAACCGGTGTTGCTGGAGAGAGCGACTCTCACAGATGGTTATGTAACATAGTTCCCTTGTGCCACAAGGCAACAACGTGGTCTGCCTACCCGTTTCGATAGATCAACGCCAATTACCCGAGCTAACGGTCCTTCACTGCCTCGCTGGGGCTCCAAATCAGAGACATTATCCCGGCAGTGCAGAATTCTCCTCATGGATCATGCAGGTACAGCCGCGCAGAGTTCGGAGGCTTGACTTCTATCGAAACAAACTCCCTAGTATCCGCTTAGTCTTGGATTGGCCTGAAGTTCGAGCCACTGAGACTTTCATGCGTTTTGGACCCCACGATGTAGGTTGCGCGATGTGGAAGGAGGTAAATAAATTCGGTCCTATAAGGTTCAGCTGTGGATAAGATCGCCACGGGGCTTTCAATTTTGCGTGCAAGACGGTCCTCCAAATGGAATTGTTGGTCAATTGAAGAAGTCCGCTTGGGGTGATATGTGACAAATGACGCGGACATGCTCGCCAGGCTCTGTACATCTGAAGAGCGATAGGCAAGCGCTATTATGAAGATTCGGACACAACGTAATGACTTTCGTGCAAGGTTGCAAAACCGCCAGACTTGGTTCTCAGACGCTGTCGCAAGCCTTGCATTCACGGTGATATTGAGGCATAGAGGCTTACCCATAAGCGACCCGGACTGGTGGATGTGGCTGATCGAAGGCTGGCATGCGCCGCAGAATAACACCCGTTGTTGCAGGCATCACTCCGCAGTACCGATGGAGGGGTCAAAGCAGAAAAGCGCCCAGCCCAAAACCTTCAGCTCTGCCGGACACACCAGCTTCTCAGGTTGCTGCAGACTCCTCTTTGGGATTATCTCCGGAAGCGGCGCTAGAAAGCGCAGCGTTCGGCGTGTCGTTCGTATTCTCTTCGGGAGGCGCAAGCGACCCTGGTTCGGGCTTTGCTTCTGGTTGGGATTGCTCTTGTTGAGAATTGTCGATGACGTCTTCGCTCTCGTTGGCGACAGGGATGTCCTTGATCTCTTCGTCTTGAGCGCTATCGCCACCAAAAGACGTCTGTTTTGTAGTGCTTTCTTGACCGGCCCTCTCCTCGGGTGGCTGACTAGTGCTCTCTGTCCCTTCAGTGGGCTGGGGTGTCCCCGTCGGTGCTTCCGGGCTTTCAAATAGGGCAGTGAGATTTTCCCCGTCTTTGAATTTGTCAAACCTGGCCAGCTTGGTCTTTACTGACAGGCGGAGAAGGCGCCAAGTCTTGCTTGACTTGGCTTTTTCTGCCATATCCTTATCGTCTGGGGTCTGGGCCATGTCCACGTCCATTTCGTCATCCATGATACCCATCATCAAAGCGTCTGCGGAAGGGACGGCGACTCTGTCGGAGTCCTTCAGCCGTTCAATGTTGGCCAATGCCTCACTATCGGATAAGAATTTCAGATCTAGGGATCCCATCGGAGAGGGTCGCAGTCGCTTGTTGGCGTAGGCTTTGGTTGCATGCTCACGCGCCTGCATATAATCGGGCACCGAGACTGCTGACCGCTCGATCGGTGGGCATCCTTCAGCCTTCCAGCGCACCCAGTTCTTATCCCTGGACAACACTGTATCCACCATCCGGAAGTAAAAGGGTCCACCATCTCCCTGACGCAGGTAACCCTCAATGCTTTTTCTCATATCGGTCGCCCATTTCGCATGCTCTTCGTTTAGGACAAAGCCATACAGCACAGACTTGTTTGTTGCGTCGGCCAAGCGAGCCTTGCCGGTTGGCGTGAGAGACAACATGAAATCGATGAGGATGAGAGCTTGTACCAGGACGTGTCTCCTAAAAGCCGTGTCACTCACCTCGAGGTCAAACAGGTCCCTGCTCGTGAGATACTTTGGGTTGAAACTCGTTCCAATTTCGGCATCATCGGTAACACGCTTGCGTTTGTAGACCTTTCGTGCCTCATCTGACGACCGTGAGCTGCTTTGATTCTTGAGTTCGGTGTTGATATTTTTGAATGCAGAGAGCGTCGCATCAAGGCCTGCCTTGAAGTCTGCGAATCGCTCCGAGTCGAACATCTTGCTTGGGGCGGAGAAAAAGGCCTGTAGACTCCAGAACACTGGATAAAGAGCATCCAAGTCCACTTTTTCTTTGAGTTTGTCGCTTTTGCCATGCTTGTCTGCAGTGACCACCACCTTTGGAACGTGTGATGAACCCTCCGGTTGCGTTGTACCCTCGGTTGGCGTCTTGGTGGGTGGAGAACCCTCATTGCCATCGGCCATGACGGTATCCTCGTCGCTTTGGGCAGTTGACTTGGAGACCTCGTCGTAAGTAGTGACATTTTCAGTGTGGAATTCGCCCCGTAGGTTCACGGAGCTTTTGTCACCGAGTGGGAAGCTCTGAAACAGGAAGATGAAGACTCGACCGCAGAACACCGTATCTTCAGCGCGGGATAGTCGGCGAAGGAGTTCGTTACAAGACCTCAAGATGACGAGGCTCTTCTGTTTGAAATGTTTCTGGGACAGTCAGTTGCCGGGCCAGATCTCCACCTCGACCAGTCAACAAAGACATACCTTGATATTCCGTTCGCGGCGCGACTCTAGATAATCGAAAACCTTTCGACATCCATCGATTGTTTGACTGTCCAGAAGCTCCTCAATCAGCCAGAATATCAGGCCGGGTTCGCATTGTTCTGCAAGGCATGTTAAAAAGGCTGCTTGTAGACTGTCTTGTGGCATGAGGCGACTGACCGTTGTCGGAAAAGATAGAGACGATGTCAAGTAGATTCCAAATATAGATGAAAGAAATGTCTTGAATGGAGGTGGAGGCCTGTGGTTGTGAAAGAGCAATTAGTGTTCATGTCAACCATGCTGAAAGCTTTTATGTACGGCGGGCTGTCTTCTTACCAGGATGCGATAGAATTTCTCACGAAAAGCAATCTCCACAGCGGCAAACTTGGTCTGTGGGTTGAGATGCTTCACAATATCCTGTTCCTCGGCAGGAACTTGCCAGATCGGCTCTCCCAGGGTTCCCTCGGTCAAAGGCGGTTCGATGTGAGAATCAGGCTTGACTTGAGCTGCGCGCGCAAGTAGTCGATCGACGACCTCCTTGTAGACGCGCACGGCCTCAAGCTCGGGAGCCGCCATTTTAGAGAGGCGAGAGGGGCGTGAGGGGCGACAATTGTGGTTGCAAGAGGTTTGTGAGGAGAGAAGAGAAAGATGGACTGCACGGGGGTGACGGTTGGTTTGCGGCTCGGTGGACTCACGGAGAGGAACGCCAAGACTGGAAATGCTCCCCCCAGCTACTGGCTTAGTAAGGAGGGTTGGATCCGGCAGAAAATGTTCTGTATGAACTTATATGGAATAAGTCACTTGGCTCTCTTTGTTATGTGAAATCCACATTAGAGTGGTGCTCACAGTAATACCAGTTACTTTGAATTAAGCAAAAACTAAGACATTTTCATATTGAAACACTTGAAGTCGACTATCCACCATGTTTCCTACATATCTATCAATGTGGTATAGAAAGGCGGTGAGGTAAGCGGTAGTTATTTTATGTGGATGACTAAGTTTTGGCAAGATGATCTCAATTGATAGCCCAAGCTTCACTTGGAAGTTCCCGACGTGCGCAGATCCACACCACTCCCTTGACCACCCCCAGTCTTTCAGGATTAGGGACAAGTGCTGTGATGGCGCAAAGTCTGGAGTCTAGGCCGACCGTGGTGGATTTCCGCGAGGACAACCCTTGGGTGAAGCTGGCCCATGCGCACTGGTCGGATGCAAAGAAGGTCCGCAAGGTCAAGCCGGAGGTGATCAAACAGCAATTATGGGATCCATTGGAAGCTGAAGGATTTGCAAATCGCTCACTCCTGATCTTGGAGAACCTCAATGTTTTAGAAAAGTACGTTTCTCGCCAAGTGATGTTGCTTCGGCATTTCCACAGGACTAACTAGTATCGCGTGCAGATTCCTTTGGCCGACATACACCGAAGATGCCTCGAATCATCACGTTCTTTTGATCGCCCTGGTCGTCAGCGTCAAGTATCGCGAGCACCTTCCGATATGGGGTGAGTCAATGCGACAATCTTCCGAGTTGGATTCTTGTATATGATGGCTGACTTGAGTATGCAGACATTTTCTCTGATCGCGCCGACGACTTCTCGAGCCTATTTCATCGGATCCTATCCATGAGCATTGACCCCTCACTGCCTACTCAGTCTCGCATGTCAATCGTCTCCTTCATTATTGGTGCATTCCAATCCCTCGAAAACGTCTTGATCCGGAAAGAATGCGCCCCGCTCGTTTCAATCTCGGTATGGCACAATCTTGCAAGCGACGAGGCCAGGGAGCACGTTGTCTCCAAATCACCAACATTGAAGAAGGCTTGGAGGGCTGCGGGCAAACGATACGATGCGGGAGATGATGCTAGCAAGGCGAAGATGCGGTTCGAGCGGTCATGGCTGTACACCATGCTTCTGCTTTTTCTGCAGAAGCTCAGTGGTCCCGAAAAGGAGCAACCAGAAAATCTTCTCTACTGCGAGCGGTTCTTGGAACTTCTGGTAGATCTTCTAAGCCAGCTTCCGACCCGGCGGTACGTAAACACGCTGCTGAAGGATCTGAACCTCTTGCCCGTCATTCGCCTGTCACAGCTCTACCGCGTTCCCGAAAACGCGCTTTTCCGTGATCTTTACAACCTTCTCAAGCATTTTGTCGGCTTCGCCATCGATGATTATTCTGGCGAAGCGCTTTCGCCCCAGGCAGTTTATGATCTGCACTGCCAGGAGCTGGCGCGACTGCAACGAACTGCTATGAAATTCTTTAAGGAGAAGCTGATGATTCTTGCACTTTCAAACCTGGGGGCAATTGAGCAGCGATCTGAGTTGGAAGGTCAGCTGTCCTCTTTGGACGAGCCAGAGCTCCAGCAGCTATGCACGCACTTGGGCTTCCGGACAAACTACCCAAAGTCGTCAAACGTCACACCAGGTCGGCAGCTCTATCTGGAGGTCCTCTCATCTTTCTATGAGCGTAAGCTTTCCTTCCAGGAAGTCGTCGCCCAGCTAAGCGTTATCCCAACGGAGGACAGCCTGTACGACCCCGCCTTGCTGAGAAGTGAGTCCTACGATGGATCAAGGCCTCTTGCCATCCCAAAATTGAACCTTCAGTATTTGAGCATTGGGGACTTCCTTTGGCGCTCATTCCTTCTCTATCGATCTGAGGCTTTCTTCCAGATTCGAAAGGATATCGAATCAGTTGTTAAGCGAATGCAGCCCAAGTCAAACCGAGATGGGAGCGTGAAATTCGACGGCTTCTCTCGGATGGCTATTCCGATCTCTAAACCTGCCATCGTCGAAGTGGCCCCTTCCAAGGTTGGCTGTCCTAACCCTGCTTTCGTTCGGGCCGAGATTGCAATCGAGGTTGGACGCCTTGCAGATAATATCCGCAAAGAGTGGGATACCCTTCGCCCGGATGATGTGATCTATTTGCTAGCTGTTCAGACACCCTCTCCCGCACAGCTGGGAATTATGGATCAAGTTCCAGATACCCCATGCATGACCTATTTACGTACAGCGGAGGTCGTGCAGGTTCTTGATGAACAAGGGCGTCCATTACGCCAGCAAGCCGCTGGTCAGGCAAATGGATATAACTCTCGCCCCAGAGTGCGCAAGCTCCTTGTTAACTTGGATGCTGCGGCATTCAAGGCTGACAAAGACCGTCAACTACATGGCAAGCCTGACATCTACCCTCTAATCAACGTTGTTGCTCGTAGGAAGGCCAGGGAGAACAATTTCAAGTCGATTCTTGAAACTATGCAGAAACTCATTGTTTCAGACATGACTCTCCCATCTTGGCTCCAGGATGTCTTCCTTGGATATGGAGACCCTGCGGGTGCGCAGTATGCACAACTGCCCAACAAACTCAAGTCTGTTGATTTCCTGGATACATTCCTGGATTGGCCTCATCTTGTTGAGAGCTTCCCAGGGAGGTCCATTGAACCATCGGGAACTGAAACCTCCAGTTTCGGCCCTCCCTATGTTCTTGAGTCGGTCGAGAGCGAGGCAGGTGCCGCTCCTACTGCTCCGCAGAAGAAGCGCCGCCGAGAGCATGCCGAACAGACCCAGGAAGGACCTACTGCCATGCGTGTGTCAACATATAAGCCACCTAACCCAGGCCCTTACCCTGTCGATGCGCCCAAGCTCAACAAGGTACGCTTCACACCTGCGCAAGTAGAAGCAATCGCATCCGGCACGCAACCAGGTCTCACAGTGATCGTGGGACCACCAGGTACCGGCAAGACCGATGTCGCAACCCAAATCATCAACAATCTTTACCACAACTTCCCCAATGAACGCACCCTTCTTATCGCTCACAGCAATCAAGCGCTCAACCAGCTTTTCCAGAAAATTACTGCGCTTGATATCGACGAACGCCACTTGCTCCGTTTGGGTCACGGCGAGGAAGAGTTGGATACCGACTCCAACTATAGCAAGCACGGCCGAGTCGAGTCATTCCTTGACAATCGAAACCATTACCTTTCGGAAGTCATGCGACTTGCGGCATCGATTCAAGCTGAGGGTGCCCACGGCAACTCTTGCGAGACGGCCGGCTACTTCAACACTGTCCATGTCCAACCGGCGTGGGCGAAATTCTGGGATCACGCCCATTCGGAACAAGTCTCGAGCGAGGAAATTATCTCCTCTTTCCCATTCCATGCGTTTTTCTCGGATGCTCCCCAGCCCTTGTTCGGTGAAGGAGCTTCAAAGGAGGCTATTTTGGATATTGCCTCGGGCTGTCAAAGGCACATCGAGCGAATCTTTGCTGAGCTTGAAGACATTCGGCCCTTTGAGATCCTGCGCCAACCACGGGACAAAGCCAACTACCTTTTGATCAAGGAAGCGCGAGTGATTGCGATGACCTCTACGCATGCTGCTATGCGCCGACAGGAGATCGCGGACTTGGGCTTCCACTATGACAACGTGGTTATGGAAGAAGCCGCGCAGATCACTGAAATAGAGAGCTTCATTCCTACTGCTCTTCAAAATATGAAGAACGGCGAGCTCCCGCTTAAGCGAGTTGTGCTATGTGGAGACCACTACCAAAACTCCCCCATCATTCAGAACATTGCTTTCCGTCAATATGCCCACTTCGAGCAGAGTCTCTTCCTGCGACTGGCACGACTGGGTGTCCCAGTGATCACTTTGGACAAGCAAGGCCGTTCCAGGCCGAGCATTGCCGAGCTGTTCCGGTGGCGCTACCATGAGCTCGGTGATCTGGCAGCTGTGGAAACCGTGGAAGAATTTAAGCAGGCAAATTCTGGTTTCCAATTCGACTACCAGTTCATCAATGTTCCTGATTATCAGGGCACCGGTGAGCGCGAGCCGACTCCGCACTTCATTCAAAACTTGGGTGAGGCAGAGTATGCAGTGGCTTTGTACCAGTACATGCGTCTCTTGGGATATCCGGCCGCAAAAATCTCGATCTTGGCAACGTATGCTGGTCAGACGGCGCTGATTCGTGATGTGCTGAGCCACCGCTGTGCAAAGAACCCTCTGTTCGGAATGCCCAAGATTGTAACGACTGTCGACAGATACCAAGGAGAGCAGAATGACTGTGAGTTTATTACGCCCAACAAGAAGATCTTTTCCAATGCTAACCATCAGCCCAGATGTTATCCTCTCTCTAACTCGCACTCGCACTGTGGGCTACCTTCGTGACGTTCGCCGTCTGACTGTTGCACTCTCCCGCGCCCGTTTGGGTCTGTACATTCTTGGTCGCCGTGAAGTCTTCGAGTCCTGCTATGAACTCAAGCCCGCATTTGACCGCCTCTTGCAACGTCCTGATAAGCTGATGCTTGCACCGGGTGAGATGTTCCCCACCACCCGAGCGCTGGACGCTCCGGTCGAGGGCACCCCCATGGAAAGTGTTGAGCATCTTGGCCAATATGTCTTCGAAATGACCCAGGCCAAGGTCAAGGCTATGGGGGATGGGCAGATGGTTGTCGACGGCGCCACAGCAAATGGCGAAGAGCCACGTCTCGACGAAGACGAGGAAATGCTTGGTGCTGACGAAGATCAGGATGAGAATATTGTATGAACATGCGTTTTCGAATATTGCCCTATCAAAATATAGGGCCCGCAAAAATTTCACTACAACTAGATACTTTGAATGATATTTTCAGAGTTGTGACCAATTTCCCGAAACCATGTAGCAGCACGTATAGAATAGAAGTGTTATTGATCTGCCAAAGTGATGGGGTGAACAGACGGCCGTCTGGTACACTACCCAGTCTTACTAATTACATCCACCATGTCGCTGGAGGTTCGATAATTTGTTAACATACTCTATACTCTCGATTTCTCTATTCGATGAGACCGCTTCTATCCTACTGAAGCTTATTGATTTCCTCCACAATATTCTGGGGATCCCTCCAAGCAAAGCTAACATATCTATGAAGCGAATTGATTTAGCCGGAGCCAATGTAGTAATTGGGAGTTGGACAGAGCAACTTACTTCGTGTGGCTTCCTCGAGCAACAACTTCACCCTTGTTGTTCGTGAACTTGATGTTGGTGTATGCGAGGGATTTGCCGACTGTGACACGTTAGTAGCATGAAATGTGAGAGATGATTGTGGGTTCATACACTTGTCGCAGGTTACCTCCTGAAATCATGTTAGTATGCTTTGTTTCTATCAAACGTGATTATTGATGAGACCTACCGCCATGATTTTATCACCAACCTTACCGCCGGAGCTGAGATAAGTAACTGGATCAAGCATATTGGTAAGTTATTTGCATGTTGACGCAGAGCTACCTGCTTAGCACAAGTGTTGCTCTTAGCTAACTTACCGTTCAGATCAGTGGACACGCCAGTCGCGAAGAGTCCACGAGAGGCAACGGCCAGGGAACCTCCAAGGTCCACTAGAAAGAGGTGTCAGTCATGAGCAGTGTCTTCACTGGTTCAGTGCTCTGGCTAAGTACCCATGCTCGCAATAGTACCTCCATGAAGGATGTTCAGGCGGTTCTGAGATAGAAAGTAATTAGCTGATGAATTTGTCTGGTCGACTGAGCATTGACTGATTTGATGCAAACCAAGAAAATGACACTTGGTTCGATCCATCATCAGTGAGAGCACATACTGTGTGTTCCTTCTGGATATCCAATTCAAAGTTGACAGTTCCGGGTTTGGCCGCAGTGACGCGGAGCTAGATGCAGTGATCAGAGTTATCCTGACATAACTTTCTTCTACACGCACTTCAAGAACTTACATTATTCAACAGCCTGCCAAAATGAGGTGAGTTAGCTCGGCCAATGCTTATTTTCTTCTTAGAATGTTGAACGACTCGTATAGCTTACCGAGGCTCTAGACCCGAAGTAGCCCGGAAGGACTCCCAGACCTACAAGGACACAGATGTGAGTAATGGGCCTCCAAGTGATCTCAGACAGTGACCACTTACAGACTTGACAAATCTCAGCGCAGTCATTTCGGCAGAACTGTGAGGATTTGAAGGTTAAGAGTCAAGTGCCGAATTTCGGGAGATGGCGAGGAGGCATTCATCCCGGAAACTGCACCAAGTGGCCGCTCCGGCCACCGTACAGAGCAGTCATCCGTCGGCCATGACTTCACCGCGCAACTCTCTTTTCACAGAGCTACAGAGACGCCAGGTCTCTCGGGTCACCACCATGGCGGCATCTACGTCTCGTCCCCTCGAGTACCTGGAAAGCCTGCCTGGAATGACCTTCAACAAGCTGTATCAACAGCCGTCCACAGCACTCGCTATCTTTCGGCGAATGCTGCCTGATCTGGGTATATCCAGAAGCTCTCCACTCGTCAATCGCAGCTTTGAGACTGACAGCGAGAACAGCAAAATGCTTTGTCATGGCACTTTTATATCTGAAAGATCCTTTGCCGACACAGGATCTTGAGCTCTGGGTGAAAGCCGAGAGCAAGAAGTGAGCGCGCAACGTCCCCATTGTTCTCTGTGAAGATCGACATTACTGACCTTGGAAATTCGACTGAAAGGCAGCGCGATAACGCACTCTCAATTTTGGGACGGCTGCACATTCTATCGAAGACTTTCACCGCCGAGAATGTTAGCGCTTATATGGTCACCAACCCGTTCGCATCTTCCCTCCGAAAAGCCCTCATGGGCTCCGAGGATTCTCAGTCATTCGGCGTCTTCTCCCAGATCCGTGGTGAACACCCCGTGTCGATCGCCGACCTCGACGAATATGCGCGTCGCCAGTGGGAAGGTGTGTTGGGCTACATGGTTGGAACGAGTGCTCTTAGCGGACAACGAGACATCAACCTCAGCAAGGGTGTGAAGCAACTGCTTCAAGCGGGTCACCTCGTCGAGATTCGCGATCGCCGAGTGGATATTACGAAGGATGGCTTTGGCTTCGTGCTTCAGGACGTCAACACGCAAGTCTGGCATATCTTGATCCTTTATGTCGAGAGTGCCGAGGCCATCGGTATGGACAGCGTCGAGGTTCTCTCATTCTTGTTCCTGCTCAGTAGTTTGGAGCTGGGTCAATCTTATGAGAAGAAATACCTGTCGTCTGTTCAGCTTCGAACCCTGGCCGACCTCGCCGACTTTGGCATCGTTTACCAAGAGACGCCCGAAGCTACCCGCTTCTACCCTACACGACTGGCGACTACACTGACATCCGACTCGAGTGCTCTGGGCAGTACTGTTGGTAGCTCGTTGACCGGGCCCGCAGGTCAGCCCGGCACCTCCGGTACAGGAGCGGGTTTCATCGTCATCGAAACAAATTACCGCCTCTACGCATATACCTCCTCGCCGCTCCAAATTTCTCTCATCTCCCTCTTTACAACCCTCAAGTACCGCTTCCCAAACTTGGTGACCGGCAAAGTTACCCGGCAATCAGTGCGCCGCGCCATCGACATGGGTATTACCGCAGACCAGATCATTTCATACCTACACACCCACGCACACCCTCAGCTGCGTAAGCACAACGCCGCGCATGCAACCTCTAATACATCGAGCATCCCGCCCTCGGTTCTTCCACCCACCGTGACGGATCAGATCCGACTGTGGCAGCTGGAGCGTGATCGACTCCGAGCCACCGCTGGCTTCCTATTCAAGGACTTCACTTCTTTGCAGGAATACCAGGCTCCATGCCAGTATGCCGCGGAAATCGGCGTGCTGGTCTGGAAGTCGGACCGAAAGCGCATGTTCTTTGTGATGCGGCATGAGCAGGTCGCCGCATTCCTTCGAAGCAAGAAATAGCCGTTGGATTATCGGCTGGGGGGTTCATGAAAAATGATATTTCGTATTTTGCTGGCGATTGGTCTGGGATTTTGACTTAAAAGCTTGGTTCGTCGTTATTTGGTACACGGTTGGCGTTTTTGAGAGACTTCGATGGGGCATTTAACGAAATCATGATGATATTTTAATCTATACCATATTCCCCATCAGATTGTACAATAGAAAGGATTTTTAATCATCTCTTTTCGCTCCTTTGTTTTGATCTTACTTGAATCCAACTCGCCGCTCTAAATGGACGAGTACCCGGGCAATCTGTTCGGAGTACTAAGGGGTGAAGGTGAAAAGACCAAGATCGTGCGTGGCTTTTGGAGGGAGAATCGTGGTCATTTCACCCAGAGCCTCGGACACCATGGCCGGAGCTAATTTAGGCCTAGCGTGACTTCCTTTACCTATACATGCACAAGGATGCTTAATGCGTGAATTAAAGGGTTAGTGTATAAATAAGCCTTACATGATTATTAAAACACCGCTTCATGATAGTTATACAATGCTGATTATCAACTATTGCATCGGATGAAAGAGCAACGAGTTCCTAACACTCTCGTATGCCCCCATATTATTTCGGATTCTCATCAGTCTTTTCCTATGACATTCTGCCATGTACCCAAAGTTATAAATACTGCCTATTTCCCTAGTTAAATAAAACAAGTTTCACACCCTTTGCATTCATGATTAGAGCTCAAGGCAATTCTTATTAAACTGTGTTGACATTCCACAGTTCAACCTGTTCGCTGCCGACCCCCCTCTATCATACTTTCGTTTCTCTTCCATAATCGCGGATCTAAGATTAGATTGCACGATCGACTGTGTACGAACACTTCGTGCACGCCCCAGAATTTATGCACATTGCGTAAATTTGTTAGCGCTCTGCTCGTATAACTACCTTCTGCGCTAATATAAGGCCTATTGCGAATCCGGTCTCATAAAAGGGATAGATATCCTCCGGTTAAATTTAACCGTGCGCTATACGATCGTAATCCGCTCTCATAGAGCCTTTAGATCCTCGTTAAGAGCGCACTAATAATCACATCGTCTAGAAAAGCAGGTACGAAGCTCATCGCGCCGTTAAACGAAGGAAGATAGCTAATTTTTACTAACAGTAGCTAGTAGAATATTAGCTATATCGCGCACAGTAGAGGGCCTAGGGGCTACACCACGCGTATCTATAGATATAATCACTTAGCCAGCAAATCCTCTTCTAGTTAGGTTAATTTATAGCCTAATGGGCTTTTCTTAACGCATGGGATTTGACCGTGGGCGCGCGTATGTAGTATGGAGACGGAGTTGGTAGAGCTTTGCGGCTGCGCGGAGGGATTTGATGGGGCCATCTTTGATATCGGAAAGGGCTAATAAGATCCTACCCTCTTGATTGGCCGATTTCTACTAAGATTCAGTGCGGATTGGTGGCATGGTAGGCGGTTGAATTAGGTAGGGTAGTACAAGCTGGCGGTTTTTGATGGGGTGTCCAGGACGGCCACTGCGATTGAATAAAACCAAGTCAACAGTGGCCGAAAAGCAAGACAGTACCTCCGAAATGGCCGATTTTAGTCATTACGGATATCTCGCTGAGGAATGGACATCTTATGTCCGCCAGCATGCACCCCTACCTCTGCCACGGTATGATTCACCTGAAATAATGGCCGCGTCACGACGGATTACCAACGCTGCACGTTTAAATGCCTCACGCAGCATGATGGAAGAAAGGTCAACAGAGAATATTCAGACCCAAACAGTAGCCACCCCAACGAACGACTTCCAAGAGATCAGCGCTCGTATATATCGTCCCAGAGAATCGCACCCTTCTTCTAAGGCAGTGCTTGTCTATTTTCACGGTGGCGGATTTCTTACCGGCACTCTTGGTTCAGAGGATTCAACTTGTTTCCAGCTAGCCCAAGCCTGTGGTATAGTCGTTGTTAGTGTGAACTACCGCCATACACCGGAATGGACTTGCCCAGTACCATTTCAAGATGTGTGGGATGCGCGGAATTGGATCTTGCAGAACCAGGGTCAACATCTGTTGCCCTCTAAGATAGACCTCTATGTTGGTGGAATTAGTAGCGGTGCCTGTCTTGCTGCTAGCGTTGTGATAAGGGAACGGTTGGTATGAACTGAGAGAATCTGCTGGTGGAAACCAAAGCCACTCCCGTATTGACAATTTATGCAGGAGTCAAACTCCACCATCAGAGGGCAATTTCTTTGGTGCCCATGGCTTTGTGTACCACAAAGCTTCCCGCTCGAGAAGTTCTCCACCCCTGACTGCGCGTCCCCGATTCAGTGCGCGGGAGCCGATCTATTGCCATCTAGCCTAGTTATGGACTTTGCGACATTACTACGGCCATCACCGGCGGATGGTCAAAGCTCTGTCGTCAATCCCCTGTTAGCCAATAATGATCTTTTGGAGGGTATGCCTCCCGCTCATATTATGGTGTGCGGCTTTGACCCTGTGCATGATCATGGTCTTCTTTGTCACCAAAAATTACTGAACTCAAGGTTCGCATGCGCCTTTCAATTTTGCGATATTCAATGATGATTGATATATCTCTAGAATTACCGTGAGACTCAATGTCTTTGCAGGCTACCCCCGCTCATTCAGAAGGATCCCTTCTCTCAAAGCGAGTGATAAATGGGACGAAGATATGATATGTGGGGTCTTGTGGGCTCTGGCCCTTAATGCATAGTAATTCATATAGGAAATAGAACTTTGACTAACTCGTTGACATTCCCTATTTCTGACTATATTGCAAGAACTAATGAAAAGAACAATCGATTCGCAAAGTCCATTCTGTTCTCACTGAATTCGACCATTCTGCTCCTCCCAGGCCATTTAATGCTTCGTACTGATGAATTGACAAGAGAGGAGCAGCATATTCCTGCTTCATGCCGACTTGCTGGAGCAATCGGTAGCGACTCCCTGGCTTCCAACCTCTACTTTTTTCAGGCGATGGATATGTTCTGTAGTGTACCAGATGTGATAATCTTGAAACACCTCAGGATCATTCTTGGGAGTAAGTCCAACTTTGATGACTGTGTCCATTGTTTGTGGGTTCAGTGGTCCATCTCGTTTGTCAAAATTGAGGCGTTCGTAAGCACAACGTCCACAGCGGCGGGAAGTTCACTAAGGGTGTCGTTCAGCTGGGAAATATCGACTTTCGAAACATCATCTAGTTAAAACAAGATTTCGTATTGGTAATTTCCTTCCGGCTTGGAGACTTCTGTGACCTCTAAAACCAATTTGGAGGAAGCGGAGGGAATTGCATTCACGGCGAACAAGCTCGAATTGCGGATTTCCTCCCACCTATCGCGTGGTTCAATCTGAATGGATAAAAGTCCATATTTCGCCATTCTCGGATTGATTTGCTTGAAAGGAGTTTATTTAATATTCCAAACTCTCTATGGACGCTTTTGGGGTGCTGCGTGTATAATTTGTACCATGCTAATTTCTCTGCATGATGGAGATCACGGTGATACATCTTCGGTGGCGGAAGTTTCGGCCACGGTAGATATTCTATATAATATGCTCTCGGCATGATCAACCTATCAAAGAGATATCTACTACCACGTTTGAATTTCAAATGAATTACTTAAAGCTTCCAGAATTCGGAGAACTGCCTCTCAATGAGGGCGACCCACCGCTGTCTGCATGGGGTCTCTGGAAAAACCCGGCGCTAGGTTCACTTGAACACCTCAATGAGGGCAAGACTTTAGGAGCTGCAAAATCTGCGATTAAGGCAGGTGAATGAGTCACACTTAAGTGATCTCTCTCTTTGCATAGCTATGCCTTCTTTGCCTGACGTAAACTATTTATCACGCCTTCCACTGGATGCTATCGACCCGGAGCTTTTAGGCCGACAAACCTTCCGACAGGAGGTGATCGATAAGAGTCCAAGCGTTGTGAATGATGATATCGTAAACCAGCCACCTCCTGACTTGTTCGTAATTTACCTGACTTTAAACCAGATCTCTTTCAACACCCAAGGTAGCTCCCAATGAGATGGCTTTCGTCACTTTGCCTATCAGAAACGAAGCTTATTTTTACAACGGGTAAGTTGGACGTGAAAGCTCAAATATTGCATTCCCGGATATTAATTAGTTCAAGTGTGACTCAACAGAATATCCATGGCAAAGGCCAACCAGATATAATTGTATCAGTGCATGGGCTGAGCAAGGTATTGCTGGGAAGGCCTTCCTGATCGATTACCTGGATTGAGCATTAGAAAATGGAAAATCTTATGATCCTCTCGCGTCTTCTCCTATATTACTTTCCGATGTTCAGGTAATCATCAAAGAAAAGCAGATTCAGCCCCAGGAGGGGGATATATTGATCCTACGGACGGGTGAGTCTTGTTGCAAAACTTGGTCCGGACGTTATTGGGCTCACATCAAGATCAGGGTACATCCCAGCTTGCTGTCTAGCTGACGCAGATACCAAGCGTTCACTGTCCTGCAAGTTCGAAATTCCCGGCCTTGCGCAATCAGAGAAAACTTGCGAGTGGCTTTGGAGATGCCGGTATTCCGCAGTCGCATCAGACTCCCCGGCTTTTGAATGCACCCGTATGTTCAAACCAGCAGTCAAATGGCCCAGTTTCTACTCACAAAACGCTATACAGCACCTCTCGATGTTAAATGGGCCCTGCATCCTATCCTCTTGGCAGGCTGGGGAACACCGATTGGAGAACTTTCCGACCTTGAATCGTTGGCAAAGGCTTACAAGAGACTGAAGCGATGGACTTTCTTCTTTGTCAGCATCCCTTTGAACTAACTATACAGGAGCGGTAGCGAGCCAGCGAAATGCGATGGCTATCTTTTAGCTCCTCTTGCCATAACAGCGTCGCGTGTCGGAAATATTTAGGAACGTGGGATACACTTGAGACAAGAGATTATCCTGTCATCTATAGGAGTAATTAATCCATCCAGAAATTCCCTAGAGAGACCTTCCTGGACGCCAAGCCAATGCAACACTCTCATGAACCATGGGTGCCACAGTCGAGCCACATTACACTATCCACGTCGCTATTAAGGGTATTCAGTGGTAGGATATTGGTCATAGGATTTCCGCGTACCCTAATTCCTAATTGATTATCTCCCATATCCAGGTCTGCCTATTTTGTAACTTGCAATATTCTCGCATGACCGTTCAGAGGGCTTGTCCAGCCGTATTTTTAGTATTAGATATATTATTATTCTATATCCGAGAACTATGCAGCAGTCTGTACGTGGGCTAGGAACTACCTTGAAGCCGTCGGCAGGCTCGACGGCACTCCCGCGAGGCAGCACAACAGGTCCAACAGGTAACTCAAGTACCCAATGAAGCCCAAAGAGTCTGACGAGCATAGTATTTCATGAGTCTCAATCAATCTCTAGCATATCCAATATTCCTTGACAGAAGTCCCTAGAAACGGTCGAGGGCCAGTGTATTTCAGGACTACACATCCTTTTGCGCTCTGTACATCATCGAAATCTGCACTTATTTCACACTTCGGAGAACCTCAAATTGGATAGCCTTAGACCCCTTCTCCATAGGTATCATCCAAATTGGAACAGAAATAGAGATTATATCGAAATGAGTGTATAGTGAGTGGGTCTGTAACCACATATTCCTTCGAATCCATAACCTTCCCCTTGTTCCCGCTCTCTTTCCTACACAGCCAACTATACAATAATGTATACAAGTCGAAGGGTTCAAGATGCAGACCAATGCTCATCCTCAATGGCTGAAGTGTCCACACCGATAGCGATGCACCCGATCAGACCCTTGGCAAGATCGTTTTCATCGACCGGGCACAACTGAGACAACCGGGTTGTGACCATTCGCATTGCCTTTCGAGAATTCCATATCAACATCATTACGAGTGCGGTTGATCTGCGTATGGGAGGAGTAAAGCTTCATCCCCATGATCTTTTCTTCGAGTCTTTCGTCGAAATGTAACTGCCCGGTGCTGACTGTGTTCTCACGACCATGGTTCCGTTTTCGCGGGTGGTCCAGTCGGTGTGAACCTGGACGTGGATATGGATAGCTCGCTCAACGTAGAAACCTATTGATGTGAGCCAGTCAGCGGATGAAAATCCTCGCATTAGTTGTTGCTCAAAGGGAGTTGAACAGACCAGGGAATATAGTTTTCATCTGCATTATTCCGTGGTCATCGGTTGGCCACATGCCCCGAAGCCAGGTTTCGGAATCAGTATGTATATCAGTGCTGCCGACAACAAATTCCGAGGCATTCAGGCCCTGCTCAGCAAGAAATGCGGGAAAATTGGTATTGGGAGACAATTAGTGAAGCTGGAGTAGCTACCTGTCGCGTGGCAGTGCCAGAGATCGACCATCACGCCTTCCAAGGGACTGCACGTAGCCATGTCCATAATTCCAATATCTAGCCACAGAGGTATTCCGACTTGATCTTCTGTCATAACCTGGCGAAGTAACTGAGACTGCGGCCAGTAGTAAGGACCGGCGGTTATCTCAGGGGATAAGACGCAGGTGTCATTCTGCGGCGCATCATAATAAGGGGCTTGCGTCTGGATTTGCACGGTCCTGTTACCAATATGGCCGAGGTTCCTCTTCCAACGCCTGTCGTTGAATCGAGCAACATGCTGCGCACACCGGCCGGAGAGTCTCGCTTTGTGAGCCATTTCAGCATTTGATGGGGCAGCGTGAGGACCTGGGTGGGCGCTGGCTGAGAAAGCTAAGATGGCTACTGCAAACGGAAAAACGATGCGCATTTTTAGGGAAGCTCGTTAAAAGAAACTAAGAGAAGATTTGTTCGGAGATATTTTAACGTTCCAGCATCATCTTATGGCTGGCCCTTCATACTTTTCTATGACGATACCCCACTGAGATGAAAGGCAGTGAAAAGAGAGAGAGAGGCAAGAGTTTGACCTCCTAGGTTAATTATGGATCAGCTTACGCAGATTTCCACGAATTTACTTAGCCTTGAAAGGTCCAGTGGATACAGGTTGACGATAAGGATGGATGGCGTCTTTCTAGGCACGAAAGATCTGTTGTCGATCGGTAGGCTGATGAAGCAAAGATCGCTAGCGGCATTATTTTAAGATATTGTATGAACATCCCGAGGAAAGTGAGGTGCGAAACCTTTGGCTTGGCTATGCCGATCCATTTTAAAATGGGTATAATAAAGTTAGCAAATTTAGCGGTTCCAGATAAGTAAATTTTGGGCTATCTCCGGGCAAGGTGACCCTGATCTGAATCAATCTAATATAATAGATCACAGCTCTTGCTAATAAAGAAGAATTTTTTTAACATAACTAGCTCGTGGATCTGCGCTTCATAGTACGAATCTTAATATGTCGCCTTATCTGCTTCCCTACATATCTCTAGCCCAGAGAGCCATGCTAGGATAATGTGTATCCTAAGTTCTATGTGGAAAACTTCAACCTTTTTTGGGGAGAATATGTCATTTTTGTGTTTCCATCTTCAGCTCATGACTCGCCCAGCTGGGTTCGTGTTGCAAATCTTAAATGAATTGCGGATTGGTGCAGACTAGTCGGATGAAAGGACGATCTGAATAGAGTAGTTCCTTCTCCCCTGCCTGCTTCGAGCCAAATGTACCGTAGCCATGTTTGGCTGACCGACGGAATCATGTCCCATGGTATGAAACTCCCTACACGCACATCCGCCTTCCTTGGATTGGTGGCAGGCCGGCCAGACCCCAGGTCAGCAATAGCATTAAGTTGTATATCCTTTTCGCTAAATATAGGACTTATTAGTGGATAGTGGATTCCTTAAAAAGATTGCTTGAGAATCATTTGCACCCGTCTTCTTATATCATCGTTCAGGTGGTGGGGCCGTTCTTTCCCCGGCAACGGTGGGGAACCAATCGATTGGTGATATCGGAAGTAACAAAAAGGAACGAGCTAAAAAATTGGACATAGTGAGGCTAAAAATAAGCACATTCCAAGGTTAGGCAACACGGTCCGGAACCTGGCCATGTGGCTTACAAGTGTAAACGTATATTGTGCAAAATAAGCCTCATTTGACGACCATGACCGACTTATTGTTCAGGATATCATTGAATTATTCCGAATTAATCATATCAAGCCTCAACGGTAACTAACTAACTAACCCAACTAAGCGTGCTGAGTAATAAAGTAATAAATCCGAAGGTCGTGCGAAAAAATGCCGTGGAAGTTTTTGGGTTGCCGCTGAGGCAAAAGGTTAATTTATGCCCGGGAGTTTCGAGTATATGCGATATATAACTTTTCATTGAGTTATGTAAAGATAAACTCGAGGAACTTGTTCTACTGTATCCTAAGATCTCGGGGGAAAAGGAGATCTAGTAATCCGACAGAGGAGTAAGATCCGTGACCGGCTCCCCAAGACATTGGCTAGACATTACATTTTTGTTTCTGCTCATTGTGTGCTATTTTTACTAAGGCATATGAAACTAGCGGAAAGAAGCTTACGACGGCCACGGGCTTGGCAACAACCCCACCCCCTTCCCTTAACTAGTAGTAGAAGGTTTAGCAATAGTCTTGGCGGCCAGAGCGAGTATATAATAGACGATGATGAGACATACAAAGAATCACCTCCTTTGCTCTTCATGTGTACGCGCCAGAGCTCTTTTCCTAAGTCATAAGCTTTTACTTTTGTCTATTCGCCTCAGTCAAATCACCCACCATGTCTGCCACTACTACTACAGCAGCCTTGGCTAGTTCCAGCTGCTCAGCAGAGCTCTATGACATACCTGTTCATAACGCTGCATGCGCCATGCCAATAGCGTATTCGAATTCCTCCGCGATCATGAAAGGTTGCTGCTCCTCAGCTTCTGTCATCACCTATAGCAATTGTGATTACTACTGCCTTGCAGTAGGCCAGACCGTTGGTGAGCTGGCGAAATGTCTCACCGCGGCCTCCGAAGCGGGACAAGTTTGGTGTAATTCCAATGCAAATGCAACTGCAGCCAGCAAGTCAATCAGCTCAGCAACTGGAACCTCAACTGCCTCCAACACTAGGAGCTCTACGACATCGACTAGCAGCTCAGGATCTGTTAAGCATGCCAAATTGTCCATTGTCGCTCTTGGCGTGATTGGGCTATTTTTATCTGGGTCGCTTTTGCAATCAACTGTCTTTTGAGAGATCAGGGCGATTACCTCCGTTGGTTTGGGTTGGCATGGTTCTCGTTCTGAACCTAGTCTTTCAATTCCCTTCAAAGGCTGAGACAACGTGCTATTTTAGGTATTAGAATCTCACGTGCCGGATAACGAATACTCGTGATAATACGTACTTCCTACCAAACCTTCACCTCCACTCTAAGTTGACATGTTGCCTTCTGTATTCACGTAGATGCCCATGTTTGTACTTGTAAATGTATAATTTTTTCCTTCGTTTAAGAGACATTCAGAAGCGGGAACATAATGTAATACGATTCTATAAATCAAAAGAGACCGGTATAGTGCATAGACATGGCCAACATAGATTCTGGGTTGAGGTACGCAGCTCGAGATGGAAAATGTATTGTCCTTGCTCATAACTAGCTGGCACGGACTTGCCAAGTGATTTGTGGGTGTTGTATTTAAAGTAATGTGAAAAAGAAGAGTCAAATTAGAAATGCCCGGCATAGGTGCTTGAGTCACTATTCATCACGTGCCTTTCTTAAGCAATCACACTAATAAAAATATCCTACACCGGGCGGCCTTGAATCTCCAAGCTAACTGATCTTGAAAATAAATGACAACCAGGCGAGTTTCCGAGACCCTGCCTCTTCTGTGGTCTTGTTTAACTACGGAGTAGATGATAATCACGGCAGCATGATCAGCTCTAGGTAGATTCCCCCTGCTTGAGCGGTAACCAAGGGCGGCTGCCCACAAGTCAATGTACGCTACGAGTACTGTAACACAACTGTATTTGGAATTAAATTCTTGCTTGCAAAGATTATTTTGTGCGGCTGTTCTAGCAGCTAAACTGGGCTTCTTAGCCATGGATTGGTCGCACCCATTTTCCGACGTCAGTGGTCAGAACCTTGTTCTTTCGTGCGGCCTGAGCCAGAGTCACGAGTCCGAGTCTATTTCTGATTATTTCCATTTTCTTCAGTACCATTTTTTCGAGGAAAATATCTCGGAACTATTTGAAGTTACAATAGGCTATGATTCACATGCACTAATACCGAGAAGTTCTTTACAATTACAGCACGGGTCATACTCCCTCATATCCTGAAATATATATCGCTACATATTTTTTGGCGCTAACAGTTGTAGTTCTCCGTGAAGATTAATATCGAGAGTGCCTCTTTGGGGAGATCTTGGTGTTGGAAAATAGGCCAAATACGAATCCGTACCTAGCCTAGCGGACCATGGTTTACAAGTATAATCCAACTTCGCAAACGAGATGTGGGATCCCCCAACTATGTATATTTCCGTGTACAGATAGCGCGTCCCAATTTCTCCTTCACCCCTTACTCCTCCCTTCCTTCTTTACATTCTCCCAGCACATCACAACCTTTTCTAAGCAATCTTGATACTTCGCCGAGACCTGACGTGGCTCCATAACCTTACCATTATCTTCCCATACTGTCATATATGAGTACTGTAAGGAATACGGGTGCATCAGTAAAACCCACAATGAGTCTGAAAGGCTAGCCATGCCCTATCAAACAGAAACTAAAAAGAGATAATGAATATATGTTACATCGTGTCCGACAGATGTTCTGTTATGGGATACGAGAGCGCAGGAAAATTGTTTACTATAACTAATCAGTTATTGAATTTCTTTGTCATTTCGTATCCCACGTATGGAGAGCTTTGTTCAAAATTGGGAACGAGCTCGAATCTTTGCACCTAAGAAATATAATGGAACCACGAGCAAATAACTTGCCCATAAAGCTCCTGCCATAACACCAAACTGCTTCAGAGGACCATCACGGAGATACCAATCCATTGACTGGAATGAGACGCCGAATGCTAGAAGGTTTTTGATGACATTTACCAGTAACGCTACATGCGCAGCTTTGTAGGGATAAGCGTCTACCGTGTAGGTGAGAAGAATATTTGCAGAAGCAGTTAGACCCAGCGAGAGCATACCCCATCCAATCGCTGGTCCAATCCAATGAGTGTGGTGACTCATGGTGAGGCCGATAATGAGGACACCAGCAGGGCTAAGAACCCCGCCGACAGTGACTAAAAGGAGCCGGCTTTCTGGGATATGGATCCCCAAATGTCGCTTTGCAGAACGAGCTGATAGGCTGTCCGCCAAGATGCCTCCGATTGGGAGACCGACAATCAGTCCAGTCAAAGGAGCAATATTGAACAAGCCGGTAGCTCTTGCAGTCCACAACATAGGTGGCTCTTGGAAGACATTGGAAAAGACAATGGAGCAGGCAACGGTCCATCCAATCGTTAGGCCGAATACAATAGTAGTCACGAGAACAGCAGGCCTAGAAAGCATCAAGAATGGCTTGTATACATACTGAAATGCGTTTTCGTCCCGATTCCAGTCTGAGTTTCGAACTTTAAAGGACCGCGACACCCATACATCCCAAAGAACAACCTCTTGTTGTGTGTTTGGGATGGTTTCGGAATGCTCAGCAGTTTCTGCACCCTCTTTGCACGCTAGTATCCCAGACTGGTCGCAATAGCCGACGGTTAGTGAGTTTGTGGTCGTCTCAGGTAGCATCAAAATGCAAAGCAGCATAAGAGCCCCGGAAATAATCGCCAGGAGCGCGAAGTACCATTGCCAATCGCCCGTCCCCGTTCCAATAAGGCCAGCAAGAACAGGTCCAAGAGCAGATCCGGCCGCCATGAATGCTACATAAATGACCATAGCCGAAGCAAGGCGTTTTTCGTGAAATGTTTCCACAACCATCTCGGGGCCGAGTGCTTCAATGACTCCGCCGCAGAGGCCACCAACGAATCTTGTCGCTAGTAATGAATCAAACGTAGTCGCGTACACGGCCCAAACATTTGTGGCAGTGAACACGGCGAGTGAGATGAGGGTTGTATATCGTTTCCCAATGTATTTAGATGCTACAACGGCAAACATGTTCTATCTCAGATAAGAATTAATTCGCCAAATCAAGGATGAGAATTTCTCCTACCGAAAGGCCAAGAGCGAGGACAGCATATGATGATAGTTTTGAAACTTTGACAGTGCTGACTCCCAGATCCTCAATGATCAGGCCAAAGAGGGGCGTGATGCCCGCAGCAAACATGTTCCCTAACATGGTGTACGCGCTGACATTGAACAGCACGATTACCCGCCACCACAGTGGCCAATCCTATGCAGTCCTTTGTTAGAAAGAACGCTGAATACTTTAAATGACTATCCGATTACATACCCGAGGGCTGATCATTGTGGTGATCGGTGATAATGTTCGTTCCATGTTATTGCAAAACACCATGAGATGTGAGCTGGAACAAGTAGCAACTTGGAGTACAGCAGCTAAGAACGAAAAGAAATCAGAGGACAAGAAGAATTGAAATGTTGAAGTAAAAAAGAAGTAAGTGGATAGAGAGAGTGCTTTGCGGCGGGCTTTCCGGGGTCTAAATCAACCACCTGAAAAACGCGTTTTAGTAGTCACGACGGCGAAACAGGCCTGGCGGAGTCGACCCAAAACGTTCCACAGGATGGCTCCAGCTCCCGACCTCCCCGCTATTTCCCCGCGACGCCACGTAATGCTCTACTAGAACCTGCTGCTGTGGACAAATTTAGTAGTAAGACTCAGTATAGTCTCAAGCGTCAGGAAGATGCTGGCCAGCATCGGCGGTTTCTCGAAGGTTTCCGAAGATACGCTATCTGGTATTGTGATTACGTGTACCCTGCCACTTGTCACGACCTCGGGCGTGTACGGTCAGCCAAAGGGATTTTTGAGGATATTTCGAAACTCCAAGCAGTTCGGCAACCAGAATCAACACTATTTCCATCCCATCCTACTAGTATTCAAAAGCAACAGCATAGTCGTTCAGGTGTAATTTGCTACAAGAAGTCAGTTTAATTCCAGCATGACTCGTGGCTGTCGTACTGGCATACCTGGAAAGGTGGAACTGTCAGCTGCCGTGCGCTGTCATCCAACAATCGATGGATACGTCCTTCCTGGTACAGTAGCCACCTTTCAATTCCGACAATAATTAGTGCTCGTAGATGACCCTCGTGCGCGTGCATGAGGCGTTTCAACCCTCAATTATTCAAATTTACTTTTACTGCTGCTGGGCTCGTTCCACTTCATCTGCATCAGGGTGGTCGGGGAGTCATCGGGGAGAGAGCGGAACAGGTTACCTCATAGTCTCACCACGGAACGAGCTAGGCGGTGATTTGCAAACAGCGAACTGCCTTTGTGGTGCTATACCACAGCTGAGGGAAAGAGATAAATTAAATTGGCGTATCACCATCCCCTGAAAAATTGCTATAAACTTCCCCTTCGAATGCCCTTTGGCAGATATTCCACAATTCAATTCGCATCCCAAGATGTCTCAGACCAGGGCGTGCTTTCCCAATCGCCCTCAATTCTCGGGGTTCATGAAGCCCTGTCGTGTTGAAGGAGATGTTTCCCATTTGGAAGTGTATGGTGAGATACCCAAGGAGATCGATGGTGTTTTCTATCGGGTAATGCCCGATCCTCAACTGCCTCCCTTCATCGAAGATGATCCCGTAAGGAACCTCTCTCCCGGGGCTTCCACACCGAACTGACAAGATACAGTGGTTCAACGGGGACGGAAATGTCGCTGCATTTCGTATCCAAGACGGCCGAGCATCCTTCCGGCAACGGTACGTGCGGACGGAGAAGTTCGTGCAGGAGCGCGAAGCGCAACGGGCGTTGCTTGGTCAGTGATCAGCTGGCCCCCGCAGGAGCAAACGAACCCATCAAACCTGACAGTCTCATTCCAGGCAAATACCGAAATAAGTTTACTGATGCGGTGGAGTTCCAAGTCCGCAGCACGGCCAACACTAATGTAGTTTTCTTCAACGGGCAGCTGCTGGCCCTAAAAGAGGATTCTCCCCCTTACGCCATGGACCCCGTCACGCTAGAGACCAAGGGGCTCTACGACTTCGAGGGCCAGCTGCCCAGTCTCACTTTCACCGCGCATCCAAAGTTTGATCCGGTCACGTCACGGGCGAGATGATTTGTTTCGGATACGAAGCGCGGGGGGATGGAACACCCGACGTGTGCTATTACACTGTGTCGCCCACCGGCCAATTCACGGAGGTGGTCTGGCTGGTCGCGCCGGTGGCGGCGATGATCCATGATTTTGCCGTGACAGATAACTGGGTAAGTGAACCTGTTCCGTGAGGGTGGCAGGATGTTTGGCTGATGCCAGACCCAGGTCATCTTCCCAATAATACCTCAAGTGTGTGACATTGAACGCATGAAACAAGGAGGCGAACACTGGCAGTGGAGCCCCGATACACCCCTCTACCTAGAAGTCATGCCCCGACGGGGCAGCAAAGCGGAAGATGTGAAGGTACCTATACTAATCCCTTTCCAGCCCTGTATCTTGGGTAACGGCAACTAACACCGACACAGTGGTTCCACTATAAGAATTCATTCCCAGGTCATACGGCCAACGCCTACGAGGATGAAAAAGGCCATCTCGTGGTCGACCTAGGCTTAAGTGAGACCAACGTGTTCTTCTGGTGGCCCGATGGCCAGGGAAGGTCACCGGAACCCAGCTCAATTCGCTCCCAGCTGGTTCAATTCACCCTAGATCCCCAGGCCGTGGATCTCGTTCTTCCCGAACCTAAAATCCTGCACCAGGGGAGCTCGGAGTTCTACCGGATCGATGACCGGTTCGCCACCCAGCCCTACCGCCACTGCTACTTCGATCTGATGGATCCGGAGCTGGGTACCGATTTCGAGCGGATTGGACACAAAATCGGGGGTGGTCATCCATTGTACAATTCCTTGGCCCATTTTGACAACGTCACGGGGAAAACGGAAATTTACTACCCCGGAAATACCCATCTAGTCCAAGAGCCAGTCTTTATCTCGCGGAAGGACTCGACCACGGAGGGAGATGGGTATGTTATGGCGCTGATCAATAACTATGAGACTATGGCCAGCGAGCTCCATCTGCTAGACTCGCGAGACTTCACCCGCGCACAGGCCAAGATCCTGCTTCCGGTCCGCTTGCTGCACGGCCTGCATGGAAAATGGGTTGATGGGAGAGACATTGAGCCGTCGACAGAGTAGTTGTAATAGATACGCAGATCCAAACACGGGCACAGTATTCGATGCCTCTGATGGGACTTTGTTAGCCCAAGGTGCGAATATTTTCTAATTGTATTGCGCCGATAGCTTAGGTAGCCGTCGGACGTCCTGCACTCAATATTCCCTAACGTCGTCGGGAAGAGGCCGCACGTTTGAACGCATCGTGCTTCCGCCACTTTCGGGACCGCGGCGCCTATACGTAGCAAAGAACAACCTCTTGTTGTGTGTTTGGAATGATGTCGAAATGCTCAGCGATTTCTGCACCCTCTTTGCACGCTAGTATCCCAGACTGGTCGCAATAGCCGACGGGTATTGAGTTTGTGGTGGTCTCAGGTAGCCTCGTTTTATGTCTCGTCCTTCTGGGCAATTTCCCGTTCTGATTCCACTGCGCTAATCATCAAGTAATCCATAGTATTTCTATAGCTATACGGGCACTCCTGTTACAAAATATATCAACAGGCCCAAACAGAAGGTAAGCCATTCTCCCTGTCAGATATGAATCGCCCCAAGGAAATACGTAACCTCAAAAGCTCCATAATTTTCTCCACCTCAAAAGGACAACTGTATTTCGCGAAATCTGCGAGTTGATTTGACTAATCTACTGTCACTATTGACAACCGATCCTGCGACTTGCTGATAGTGGTTCTGCTTATCTCGGCAGCCGTGCTGTTCCTGGTTTGGGTAAACTCCGTCCCCGCCCCCCCCCCCCAGGTTGAGCTCAGTCAAAGAAGGCCTACTACAGTAGCCGCCGTATTGCTTTCCATTTTGACAATATGTTATAGGTCTCAGTCTTAATTGTATGACGAGCTAAGCCCATTGTGCACTAAACGTCAAATAGAACTTTGTGCGGGAAGGAATCGTATGGAGGATACAACAAGAACCGAAATGACGCAGGTTGGTGTGTAGACGCAGAAGGATATAGAACAAGAAAGGAGAGAGACGAGATACCACCTGATGGGAACAGTCTACATCAACAGAGTCCGAGTGGTAAATTCAAGTTTATTTGGATACAGTATCAAGCGAATGACGAGTTAGGTGTACCTGATGTTGATCGGATAGAAAAGCAGAACAGAATTTGTATACTTCCATTAAGCGGGTGCGTGACTGTCTCTATTGTTGCGGCGTAATAATTTTAACAGAGGAAAGTACTTGAGTTATGAGACCTGGGTTTATCACATACTCCTAGAAGACCTTTAAAAGAAACTTAATAAAAGACTTATATATATTACGTTACGTAGCTTTTATTTCATCATACTCGAGAGCTTTCTAGAATTTTACATCTTTCATCAATCTGCTCTCGACACCTTGAAACATGAAACGTGAAATACAAGGTAGATTGAGTGCTCGCTAGCTAACTTAACGGAAGTGGTAGAATACCGCGCCTTGAGCATGCATGCAGATTCACGTTTGAACACAGTCACCTATGACGAGTCAGTGGCACTTGCAATAATAGAAGTGGCAGACATAGAGCCAATGCTACCCATTCAGCCAAATTCATGCTGAAATTACCGTTCACTTCACCGCCATCTTCAGTCCAGTAACCCTCGGGTGAGAGATCGTCATCTCTTTCGGCATTGATGCCAATAGAGATCCATGCGAAAATGCCGTCGGACGCATGTTTTCCAAGATAACCATATTCCATAACCGGATTGGTGTTCCCCGCCTCAGCCTCGAGGATACTGTCCTCGGAGTTCTTAAGCAAATCCTGTGTGTTCTCGGTGTATGGATGACATTTCTCTACTTCAGTGATGAGGTCCTGATCGAAGAATATCTGACCAACATGAGAGGATTTCCCGTTATACATGCCGGCAAGTGTGCCGTTGGGGAGAATCTGGGTCTCATTCGCTGGGTGGGTAACGACTGCCCGAGAAAAAGTTGAATGTATGGTAAAGAATAGTGAATTCATCCGCTCATGATAGGACGTACCATGGATATGAGTAGTCCTGCCAGTATAGTGACCAGGGAATATCGTCTCAAATTCGACAACACCATCTTAACCGCTAGGCTGGACACCACGAAGAAAAGTTGTTTGCAGATTGGCAGTGTCATTGCCGTTGCCATTACCGCTGGCAACGACGCCAGAATAGACACCCTAGGAAAATTCCGGTAAACAAGTCAATCTGCGAATATGGAGCAGTTCTGTGGAAGACATACGGTCGAGTTACAATGCTAAATATCCTTGTAAATACTAGGGAGTTGATCGCAAGTGTTCGTGTCGATGAGCTGAATATCTAAGAATAACGGCACGCCGGCGTGATCCTCGGCGACATTCCTGCGTATCAGTTCGCCAGCAATGTCTTCCTCAATGTTAGTTAAGAACCAAAATGGGTCAAGCTTTGCTATTCACAATAGGGTTCCTGTGTAACCTCCGGCTGCACAATACAAGTGCCACCCGATGAAAACAAAATGCGGCGGTCAGTCGATGGTTTGACTTTCTTCAGGTTGGAGTGATGATCTGTCTGCAGGACAGAATTAAAGTCACGGGCCTTAAGATAATCGGCACCTAGGATGCCATTCAGGGTTCTGTCAGCAAAATAGAAATGTAGGAGAGTTCATACCAGTGTCTAGGCCTTTTTGCTTGCGTAATTGACACACAGCCACTTCGCGACGAGCAAAATTTGTATCATCAATGCCTCGTTTTCTGAATTCGTCTGTGCAGTGAGTAAGGCTGCGTGACTGAACAGGGATATTGCGAAGGTACGCAGCTCTCACAGCCACTTCAGTCTTTACATTGTCTCCGGGATGAGCTGAAACAAAGCTTAAAAAACCTGCAAGGCCTACAATAAGGGCATAGCAAATGCGAACCATTATGATTCTTGGAAAAATCTGCGGACAAGTTTCTTAAGAGGACGATAGTCGAGAGTAGAGCATAAGGATACTCTGGCAATAGCAGCTGGGAGATCTCTTTTATAAACGGTAGAAGAAATGCCAAGCAGATAGCTGGACTCGAAGTTGTTTCTAGGCTTGGTAGCTATTTGCAAGGATTTCGAAATTGGGCCGTAGTCCACGTCCAATCTCTCGCTCGTTAGCAAATCTAGGTAGGGTTAGTCGTGGCCATGGTCGTAAGCTCATTGAAATCTCCTCGAATTTTATTCCAAAGTAATCTAGAATTGCAGATCTTAACTGAAATGCCGCGCCTTCATGCCCGAAAACATGATTCATAGCCATTAGCCCTTCCAGAAACCCCACTCGACTTAACAAAGACAGGAAGGACTGATTATGATGACGAATCCAGTTTCGTCAGCTGCCTAAAGTGAATTTCAGTCGAGGGATATACCAAGAAGTGCAGATGAAAGATGAGATTTCTGCAAGAAAGTACAGATGATTCGATTTGTCTTGCAGCATGACAGAGCGCATCAGGTGTGAATGACAGTACCCAACGTAGAGAGACGCTGACACTGCCAATTGGTCTTGCAGATCAAGAAGGGGTTTTCTTTCGTGTTTCACGAAATCATGATTGGCCGAAAGAGGAGGTGATATGGAGCATTGACGTTCACTTGATTCCCTCCCCTCCCCGGGGCGGGCCAAACCATAAAGGATATACACCTAGTCCTAATCCAAACATGTGGGTCTTTGGGACTTTTTAAAGGCAACGAATGAACTTACATTTAGAACCTACGGCAAGTAGACTGTAAGAAAACCAGCAAATGCAGTCGTTCTAGGCCGGCGATTTGCCGGTTGCCTGCTACTAAATCCTGAGCTGATACAACAAAATATAATTGTGTATCTACCAAAAAGATTATTGGCCTCAAAGTTCTCATGGTACATATAGGAATATTGCTCAGTACTTTAGAAAGACAGGGCAGCAGCACACAGCAAGGCCGTCAGTGGAGAAATCTTAGGATTTCTAGAGGGCATGTAGCTATAAGGCGTCTACTAATAACTATCACCCTTCCAAAAGAAAACATGGCTGCGGCACTTAGAAAAATCCTCAGCTGTGAATAAGATATTTTCCCCTCGTGTTAGGGGCTAGCTGCCCTATTATAGCCACCTCGGGATACTCAAAGCAAGTTCAAGTTGTGAAAAGCAGATAATGCGTAACTCTTGAATAGAGAAGTACTTTTCGTCGTCTCTGTACGTCTCAAAACACATCGAAGAGGTGATCTAGCCACGCTACCACTCCAGCAGGGACTACGGATGCAGGGTGACTACTTTCGTTTGGACAAACTCCTCCATCCCCAAGTGAGCGCCAAATCGGCCCCAACCACTATCGCCATACCCTCCGTAAGGCAGGGTCGGCTCGCCATGCAAGGTCATAGAGTTTATGTGAACTGCACCTGCCTTGATCGACTGGGCTAGCTCAAGGGAACGGCAAATATTCCGGGAGATAATCGAGCCTGACAGTCCATACTTAGCCTCCTTTATCATCGATTTAATCTGCACTTCTGTTTCCACGACCATAATTCCCACCATTGGACCGAATGACTCGATCTCAAACTGCTTCATTTGGGGCGTTAGACCCGTTACCACCGTAGGAGGGAAGCTTCGATCTGACGTGTCGTTGTGATTGACTATTGCGGGCGTATGAATCCGAGCCCCCTCGTCACGCGCATCAGACACGAGCATCTCTACCTTAGCCTTGGCTGCCGTGGAGATGAGTACCGGCATGCTTCTGATGCTGTCCAACATAGCCAGAATCTTAGCTTCGAGAACTGGGGCCACGGTTGCGGTAACCAGGACCTTGTCGGTTGACATGCAAATCTGACCGTTCTGATATGACTTTTAGCTTTTCCTGCTCTCATGGGGATCAATTTTGGTGCTATGACTTACATTGAGGAAGGCACCTCTAGTGATTTCTTCGGCTGCAAGATCTAAATCCGCGTCATCAAGGACTACTGTGAAGTTCTTGCCACCGAGCTCTAACAATATTGGCTTTAGAGCCAAGGCGGCTTGCGAGGCAATTATACGCCCGACATGGGCGGATCCGGTGAAATTGCATTTCTTCACAGCGGAATGGTTAATGAGTGTATTGAAGATCTCGGACGCATCTTCGGGTCGATGTAATAAGAAGTTTAGGACGCCCGGGGGAAAGCCAGCTTTCCGGAAGAGCGAGGCGAGGAGATAGTGGGTCTGGGGACTCAATTCAGAGCCCTACTCTATCCAGCCAATGGTGTTTCCGTGTGTTTTGCTAAACAGTGAGCTACTCATCTTCAAAATTGCGACATTGCCAGCTGCGATAGGAGCCACAACGGCACGGAGGCCCAAAATTATGGGAGCGTTCGAGGGGGCGATTCCAAGAACTACTCCAAGTGGTTCTTTGAAAACTAGACCATGGCCGCTCCGCACAAATGGCATTGAGCCAATGGAGACACTGGTGATGAGAGCACCGTACTCCTCAATCAGTTCAATAGCGTCATTGGTGATTATGTCTGCCCACTGCGGGCCGCAATGGATCTCTCGATCACATACAAGCTTGATTTCCTCAGCTTGGTCACGCAGAACCCGACATTGCCAATCAACTACTGAAGCCTCGGGATCATTTATGTTTGTTTAGTTATACGTACCTCGGCCAATTTAAAGAGTAAGGTCCGACGCTCTATCCGGGGTCGTTTTCGACCATGCGGCAAATGCTTGTGCACAAAAATCTGCAGCTTGCAAAGCTAACTCCTTAGTTACACCCTGATATAAGGCAGTATCTTGTCTATTTGCGTCAACCAGAGTACCTTGCCTATGGGACATAGGCAATAGGACATCTTGTCCATCAATTATGAGAGGTGTTGTCTATATCTTCAGGTGGTGAGAAGCGCAAAACTGATGAACGCCTAGCTTGCGTGAAAGGTGCTTTATGTGAATTTCAATGCTGGGGGCATCTAGATAGAATGTCTAGATAGAATGAGAGAGCGGCGAGAATAATGAAATTGAAGAGCGGACTTTCCCTCTGTGCAAAAGTGATCCCAAATCGGTTCTGGGTAGTAGGGTGGAGCCGAAAACAACACCGGGGAGTAACCGGAATCTCGGAACCCGGTCCTGACCCGGCTGCGAGTACCTCTCACTCGACTTCGAGCAAAGGAAAAAAAATTAAGTCAGCCTAGGTGATTTGGCAGCGCTGGTACTATGGGTTTGACGCGTGCAAGTGCAGCTAAATCGCCCTGGATAGCCCGTTATTGGCAACTACGTCAGCAAATAGCACAGCCTGTCGTTGAGCAAGCTGCCTCCTGCATTTGACCCGCGAATACAGCTCGTATTCCCTTATAGGTAGCCTATGCCTCGGACAGCTACACTTAGGATTCTATGTGGTATAGGGAGAGCACCGAAACAACACCTAAGTAAGAAACGTGCGTACTTGTGAGATCTACACATAATATGCAGGCAACGAGTTCCTACTGTTTGTCCTGTTTGGCTACCTGTTAGTAACCCACGGCTCAAAGAGAGTCGCGACTGGCCTGGACCCTCGCTGGTGGTAAAAACGTTGGACTATTGACCCTCAAAACGAGGTTCACGGAGGGACAGTCTATTGGTCACCCGCAGGCAAGACCGAGATTCTAAGTTTGAAGATAGACATAACTCAGGCGCAGTTAAGCGGGCTCAGCCTCATAATGTATAAATCTAGAATGACCGATAGATTAGTAGTTGTGTTGTTTCAAAAGGCAAAAATGCCACACCATAGATGGGAGGGTTCGGAGATTTACAGGTTACACAAATCATGCTGTATCCACAATATCCGCTGTAACAGGTCAAACTGAACCGGTTCTCACTAAAAAACACCTTTCCCCGCATCATTCCGTTCTGCTGGCCTAGTTGATATTGAACCAATCTGGCTTCAGCTCTTCGCAGAAGGAAAGTACCAGAATAAGACATTACTGTAGTAAGTTGTAAAATTTTGGCCCCATATCCTTTGATCTAGTGGTATAATAATGGCGCTTAGGCAAGAAATCCAATACACCAGACAGAGGAGAAGCAGGTGATTTGGTGGCGTCATAGACTACGGCTACGCTTTTGTCAAGACATGGAGCGGTAACTTACCGGTTAGATAGAAGTCATTTTAGATGGCAACTTTCTTTTGTGTTTTATATGGTAAATTGTTGTCATTGGCAATAGGGCGTTCGTCACAGCGTGTATCTTAGCCATCTACCAGTTATTTCTAATATGCTCCACGGTTTATGTTCTTTCCCCCATCAATCTTTGTCTTCCGAAGATTAATCTCTCTTGTTTTCGCCTCACGCATTCGCCCAAGAAGAGTACTAGTTTATAATGTCTCAGCTTCCTATGGTAGTTTGGTTTCGCCCTCGGATACCGGTCCGAGACAAGAGCAAGTTTGCGGGTAAGCGCCACAGTCCGAACTGAACCTTGAGACTTGGAAAAAATCTACGTGGCAAAGATTATGCCAAAACTTATGCTTTTGGGGGTTCTTGACTTCCTTTTCATAAGGGAATGCTGTTCTGAATTTCTAGCTCTTCACAAGATCACGAATTTGTCCTTTTGATCAACCCCCAAACATCTCCTTAAAATGAATGGGCAAGGCCTTCTCGTCCTATTTTGGGTTCTAGGGGGTCTAGCCACAGTAGTAATAACTTTGCGCGTCTTCGCCAAGGTGAGGATTGGTCGTCTACGTGTGGACGATATGGTTATGCTTTTTGCCTGGGTAGGTGGGTTGCTGCCGTGGGATGTGCTTCAATTCTAATTCATTTTTGACTCACTCTCATTGTTCTCTCCAGAGTCTAGCCATTTATTCGCACCTGGATGCCTTAGGTTTCGGGCTAACAGTTCGGCGGTCTTTGACCTCTCTGAACAATTTGACTTAGTTCCTTTCTCCTACCTGATTGACAGGCCTCTACCCTGACTTGAAGAGTATATCTTTACAGCTAAGGCCAGGAAAAAGCAACGCAGACTGCACTGGCGAGCCCGAAGGGCTGTAAAGGGCTAGCCGGATCGCGCTGGCGGTATAGGGGGTAACGGAGCTCGGTGATCCGGATTAAAGGCAAAAATGCCTCACCCGCAAGGCGCACAAGAGGAACGGAGGGAAAGGATGAGCAGAAGGACGAAAAGCAGCCAGAAGTGAGGGCGGCGACGAAGGGGACTTTATAGAAACACGCACGGCGACGGCAATGCCCAGAGAGGCGCTAAAGCCGAACCGGCACGCTAAACCGATTTGCGTGATTCACCGTAACCGGATTATATGGAGTACAAGTTGTCCATATTATCAATGATACTCCGTGGTTGGAAGGTTTTACGTATGTTTTTGCTTTGTTGTGCTTTGACCCCCGGATCGAAGTGAAATAATCGTCGGATCGTCATGACCACGAGACTTAATTAAGGGGTTCAGTCGTAAATAGACGGCCCAAGGAGCCACAGGTCTTTGGTCTTGGCCTGTGGCTGGGCCGAGTTGGTTGTTTCGCAACTTTCGCTACCTATCATCAATAGTGCAATTGTCCATATAATCTGATTGTGATCGTGGTCTGCAATAGCGCGATCTGGAGAGAGCATCCCTGCACCGTTGGAAGCTTATAACCAAATCTTGATATCAGCAAACCACAAGCAGAGGAACGAGATCTCCGAGAGCAACACAAAGGCCGTGAGCCCCACTGTGGCTCAACCCGCCAAGGGGAAAAGACCAAACGGAACGACCAACCAGCCCCTCTCGAAGCTCCAATTTGACCCAATTCGCCCCGCGAAAAGTCAATTGTCTGTTCCAGGGCTCGCGTGTGTGATTTCCTCTTCTCATCAATCTTTTTTTTCTCGTCATATATCTTCTCTCGTGCACCAATCTTGACAATGAGTTCATCTAGCGAAGCCAGTCCCGGTAACTGGATCGTTGGCAGCTATACCGGTAACAGCGATGGAGTGCGCATCACAATTGCGACCTTTGTGGGCGTCGCATGGTATAATGTGATCGAGCTGATCGTGCTCATTTTCTTGACCTTCAAACGCTATCACGGCCCTTACTTTTGGAGTATGCTTATCTCCTCGATTGGTATCCTCCCATACTCAGTCGGCTATTTGATTAAGTTTTTCGACCTCACCTCAGCCACATGGGTACCCGTCACACTATTGACCGCGGGCTGGTGGACCATGGTCACGGGCCAGTCCTTTGTGCTATACTCGCGTCTGCACTTGGTGCAAGAGAATAAGCGCATTCTGCGAATGGTCAAGGGAATGATTATCATGAATATCTTTTTGCTGCACATCCCGACTACGGTTCTCACCTACGCTGCAAACTTTTCCGAATCCCCCGCTTCTGTGGCGGGGTACGATATTATGGAGAAAATTCAGCTCACGGGGTTCTGTGTCCAGGAGGTTATTATCTCCAGCTTTTATATGTGGGAGACCAATCGCATGTTGCATGATAATTCTGATCCTGGGAGTCGCAAGACTATCTTGCAGTTGCTTGCTGTCAATGTTTCTTGTATCTTGATGGATATCGCGCTGATGGTCATCGAGTTCATGAACTTTTATATCTACCAGACCACTTTGAAGGCGACGCTTTACAGCATCAAGTTGAAGCTGGAAATTGCTGTTTTGGGTAAATTGGTGAAGATCGCCCATCAGAATGTCTATGCGTCACCTTTCAATGCAGGTCATGGTCATTATCCTTCTTACGTTGATCCTGCCCTTCGCAATGGTGACTACAGACACCCGCAGTCTATGGAGGCAAGTCAGGGATCAAAGGGTCGCGAAACTGGACATGGGGCACTTTATTACGATGATGATGTTCGATGATTCAGCACGCGGTGATTTGTTTACCTCAACTCTTCAGCCTGGGTTCTTCTGAGTTCCTCATCAGATCAGACGATGTCATCTCTCCGCCCACTTCAAGCCATTGCGACTTTTGGAGCCAAGTTTCCGTCCGTTCGATCACCTCGGCCTCCCTCACACAAAGTGATCGAGCAATACGCCCTTGATTGCATCATGTTATCTGAGAATCATTCCATATGACGCGCCTCGCCCACTCGTTTCAAGCGAACGGCAAATACTCCCCGCCATACATGACGTCAAAATCTCGGTACGGAACGAATATCGATAAGTTAGCCCCAGGGTCCATACACCTCGGGATCGGATGCTATCTCGGTCCATCGAAGTGACGCGGGATCAAAAAAACGGAGTTAGAGTTGTTTACTATGCATAGCGGTTACGACATTATGACCATATATTTGAACTTATCATAAGCAACATGTAATTTCATGAAATCATGGACGGCTGACGCCGTGTGAGCCAGTAACAGTACAATGGCCACGATAGTGTTGCTTTGAAGGCACAACCACCCTGGAAAGGACAAAGGGTTTGAATGTGAATTGCATTTTTATGCTTTTAAGGAGAATTAATCTACGAAAGGGATCTATACGATTTACTATAGAATGTGGAAATAGACAGCGCTGTGGACGCAGATTCACATTGGACGTACGTCCACAGCTCTAGGTCAAGCAAGGCCTTCAATCCATCAACTGGCGGCCACTATGGCTGAGTAGCCATATGGCAGGGTTGGATGGCGTACCCTAGAAATTCATCTTCTGCTCGTACTCCTCCGGCGACAGGGATAGTAATTCCCTATGCTCTTCCTTTGTGAGCTTCCCTGGACTACGGTTGATTTTTTCCTCGACCGCAAGCCTTGCAAGCCGTCTTGCAGCTTCTTGAATGCCGGCTCTCCGCCTAGTATCAATGACGCTATCGGAAGTCTGAGGTTGAATGTATTGCGAGGGGTCGGTCCAGAGAGTATAGAATAGCACACTGGGTTTTTGGATAAAGGCAGGCTTATCAAGAACCACTGTAAAGTAGTTATAGGGAAGCGGCCGGGCATAGACGTCCCGGTCAATCTGTGGTTGGATCCGCATAACCGAACCGGCCTCAAATTCATGCGAGGCACCCACATCAAATCCGTTGGGTGCAGCAGATATAAGGGAAGACAACGAGGAGCCGGGGATCCTGAACTCAAAATAAAATGTTTTAGACACAGGGAGGCAGGAGACAATGCCAGCGGTGAATGTGCGTGCAGTGGCCTCCAGAAGGGTGGTCTTTTCCTGCTCGATATTGGCGAGGAACTGGACGTAGGTCACATATTAAGGTCGCATTCCGCACCAGAATAGTTGTTCGTGACTGTTACAGTATCCTTTTCAGTCCCAATTGTAAGGTGAAGTGTATTCAAGTCCGCGGGTTGGACTTCTGGCGGTTGCTGCTGCTGCTCCAACACCTCCTGGACATACTGCGAAGTCAGAGTCTCCTCGGAAAGTGGGGTTAGAGGCGGTTCATGAGGTCCATAATCAATTTGCCCAATGGCATATGCCGAATAGGTTTCTCTCAAGATTTCTTTCATATTGTAGCCCATTACATCTTGGTCTGTTGTAATATTCACTTTGATATCGCGAATTTCGGGATTGACTGAACTCCCCACACTCGGCAAAAGTTTTACTGGGCTGTCAAGGCGTTTAATCAAGTCCAATTTGTTCACGGTAGACGGAAGATTCCGATCAAAAGTAATCCACCAGGGCCCCGTGCCGTGGTCATTGTCTGGGAATGAACCTAGGAGGTAGCTCTCGGACGTGAGGAGGAAACAGAATCCGGACATGAATTGATCATCGAAGCCAGTTCGCATCATTGGAATCAAAGGGGGAAGAGACTCGTCATATTCGCCTTGGCGCTGTTCGGCTTGAAGACGCTTGCGATGGGCAGTTTCACGACGCTGATGCTCCACACAAGCCAGACCATCTGGTGGGTTATACGAATAAATTTCCAAAAAGGGGGGTTGACTAACTTCAGAGCAGAAATATTCATACAGTTTCTGCAGCTCCTCTGGCCGGATGGGAGTAGTGCTGTAGACTTGAAGCCGGTAAGCCTCACCGTCCTCTGGCAGATAGAACTTGCTTGCGTATGCCGTCACCTTTCCCAGGATGACGGTGTTGCCTTCGTGGTCAACATATTCCCGTTGAATCCACCGTATAGGCTCGTCGGATGGATCCCGTGCAGTCTGAGCTGTTCTGGCCATGTTTGAAAGATACAATAGAAGGGCGGTGGTTGAAAATGGGAGTGGAGCCACGGTCAAGTATTATCCTCAGCCTGACGGGAAATGACCATGTCGACCCCGCCCCACGAAGCTTAGTTTTATGCTGTTTTATGGCACGATTAACCCACCCTGTTTGCTGCCTAGAATAAATGTATGTAGTCAAATGTATGTAAAATAAAGATAGAAGGCCTGCATTATCAGACAGTTATGAAGGCTCATGGTCTTCTACTCAGCAAATCTATATCCAGAAAACTTGAAAAGAAACTTGAATAAGAGCACAATAATCTTCTCCTCTCAGTAAATTACCTAGATACCAAAGGCACCAAAGCAGTTGCCTCCCCACCTTTCATACGGGCTGAACTGGTCCTGGACGAATGCCGAGTCCTGAGGGAATGTCGCGTTGCTGTGACTGGCGCCACCGCCATCGTTCATCGTTGTTGACCACTAATATTACAGGTCCCAGTCATCTTCATCAGGCAACGGCATGCCTCCACCACAAACATTAGCTTCGATCATATACCGGTGGAGTGCGTCAGGATAATCGTTCGATAACGACCATTCATTAGCCTCCTTCAACTCCCTTATATCATGCACCAGCCCAACTTCCAAATCCCCCATCGGTGCCGCAAGCCCCTTTACTAGCTCCCAAGTCCACGTATCTTCGCTCCACTGATGCACCATGTGAAACGGCAACTTTATTGTGTGCCACATATCAAGAACGACGTCCGCACTGTGCATTGCGTTCCTGAGCGTTCCCGCGATCTGCCCTCCAAGCATCGCGGGATCAGGGTTACACATCAGTGAGACCAACTCATTTGCAAAAGTCTCGTGCTGAGACCATAATACCCTGAAATAGAAATATTCCGGCGCAACCTCTGCTTTGTGGACTATAAGGTCGTAGAGCATGTTCATCCGCAGTCCGTCGAATGCTTGGAGCGGGATCTCCCAGCAGTGCATCGTTACCATATCTGATGGCGCGATACTACGCTCTACCCACCCCAAAGCCATGATGGGTGGTTGCTGAATGAGCATTCGGCGCCAACTTGCCTCTGACCGTCGATATGTGTCGCTGCTTTCAAGGAAATCTTGCATGTCGCCGGCGCCAAAGGCAATGGCGCATGACTTGTGGTCGTCGGCGGGGAACCAGTATGGGAACTTTGATGCTAGGAGGGTATTTGGTTGGCGTGGTGTGCTTTTAGGTGCTGGTTGGAAGAATAGGGCCTGTTGGATTTTGGCAGATTTTTGAATGCAGTTGGCCCATTGCCGGCAGACTCGTTGGGCGAGGAGGAGTGTTTGGATGTCAACTTGTGTGAGGATGGCTTCTAGGAGCTCGGTTGGTAAAGATTGGAGGTCCATTGTTGCTCTTTATTTTGCGGGATTGAGGTGAATGAAGAATCTGGACGCGCTTAAAAAGACTATGGAGGGCTATCAACAAGGTGCCGCTTCAAAATTCAAAAAACAAGGATGCCCCTGGATCTCCTCGTGTCTGGTTAGCGGGGGTCGAAGCCGCCCCCACATTTTCGGAGCTAGTCTATTTCATCTTTAGGTTGGTGTTTGAGATGTTTGAGACACAGTTGCTGAGACAGCGTTATTGTAAAACGTACAATTCATCACAGAAACTTTTATAACAACTATCGGGTTGACTGTATTCACAAATATTCACAAATATACACTCCCCAGGGCTTAACCACACCAATCGTAAAATCGACCCCGACCACGCATTATCTAGATGCAGTGATGGTGGCAACGGGCTTGATGTCCTCCGGCCTGTAGTCGGGATCTTCAAGGTAGCTCCAGGCCGGCATGAAATTGATAGAGCCACATCCACCGGACTTGGGCATACCGAAGATGTCCGTTTGGTCGGGGAGCTTCTCGTACCAGCAAGTGCAGGTATTCTTGTAGCTGTCTCCGAGGATCGAAGTGTCTGTGTCTTTACATTTCACGTCGCCGTGGTCTCCTTGAGATCCAACACCTGTAGGGTCAGACTCGCTGCTGCCAACTGCCATGAGTTGGTATACCTGTGGGTATTGTCAGTATGTGAATTACAGGGATAGAAAGGTCTTTGATATGGGTCACTTACCAGGCAGACTTCCTGGAGACTTCCACCGTATTTCTGGTCTGTTGTTGAGGTGTCGCACTATTTGAAGCGGTTGGTTAGTCTTCGACATGAAATCCAACGTGGCAGATATTGACGTACCCCGTTCATGATTGTACGCAACCTATCCATGCAAAGATCAGTGTCTCGGAGACCCTCTCCTTTGGGCGGCCAAGTCGTCATTCCAATGCAGGCACCCGAGGCAAAGTAAGCGCCAATCCAAAGCTTATCTTTGCCGCCGTTAATGCTGTAGCTTCCACTCGCGCCGAGGGACTTCCCCTTGCCATCCTTTGTCACTCCACAACCTTGATCAATGGGAGGAGTGAAGACATGATTGTAAAGATTCTTATCACTGCAGAAATCTCTGATCTTTGCGTCGGCCTCAGATACACTGAATGCTGACCGACCCGAGGGGTTGCTGCTTCCAGACTTGGCACACGTCGGGTCGGGAGTATTGACATAAGAGCTGAACTCTCGCATCTGACTATTGTACGTGGTAGGGTAGTCCGACTCCGGTGCCAGAGTGTCAGTATCGGCCTCGTCGGGGAGTGTGATATTATCACTGTCATCGAGGTCGTTGGCGACATAGCTCCCGTCATCGTTGGTGGTGAATCCATCGGCGGAAAGCTCGCCTCCGTTAATGCCGAATGTTCCGTTTCCCGACGTCAAAAACATGGCGCTGGTCTTTGGGTGCCATTCAAGAGCTTCGCGGTCGGCAAGGGGGAGCCAGGGGTATTGATTGCCATCCAGCTTAGACTGCACATATTTGGCTTTGCGAAGAGTCAGTATACTCATTGATACACTATTTGCAATACATGAAAGAGAGAGTGAACATACCTAGGGCATATTGGGCATAGTTGTCCGCTGTTCACAAGAAGATGGAACGTTAGTTATAAAATGATTAGCTGGGGGGCTGGATTAGACGCACCATTCATTGTGATACCATCTTGAGCAATATACTGTCTCTGCGTGCGTGCCAGAATTTTACAAGCCAGTGGCTGATAAACATCCCACTTGACCTTCTTCCGGTCGTATCCCCGGTCATAATCGTGACGCTTGTACTCGTAGACATACATAGTCAGATCTTTAATTCGACGATTTTTGTTTTGTGAGTAGGTCATGACTGTAGCATGCATGAATTCGTGCAGAATAATGTATGCTAATCGAAAACAGTGATCTGTCAGGTAATGCTTTTGCGAATATTCACAAAAGGGAAGTGTGACATACCTTGATTCTTGTACTTTGACACATCATATCTCCACTTGAAGTCATCGCTATGCTTCACAGCGTCAACGACCTCGTCAAGCTTCTTGTAGTTGAAGAACTGATCGCAGAAATGGATGTTGGAGACGGCATCCGCCTTGTCATAGCTAGGCGCAGTGTTGGGATCCGAGGCATCTTTCTTGGTATTCCACTGATAGGCGATGACGCCTTGCTTGCTGCACCGATTCTGATATTTCTTATCTTTTGCCGAGCCACAGCGAGCATTCATCTTGTAGCCAGGCCAAACTCCACTGAGTCGGAAAGTTGAAATGTGCTCGAACACGGATTGGATGTTGCCCTGCCAGTCTTTGTTGAGTGCACTTGGACCTAGGTAATCGAGGGCGCCAGGATCATTGCCAAAGTCAATCGTCTTGACATGCTCAGCCATGGTGACTGCATCTTCGTGGGCCGCTTTAATCGCCTTCTGTTGGTCAGAGCTGCAGTCCTGGAAGCTTAACCACGTCCACAGAGCAGAAGCACCATCGTCTCGTTCCTGAATAGGAGAGGCTTGAGTAGAAGAGAGAAGAAGTAATGCCGATCCCAGAAGAATCGGCAGCCGTCGAAAATTAATCATCTTGACGAGCGCCGAGATACACTCGCGATGTGAGGGGAAGACAGAATAAACAACTGCTTTTGTAAGATGTACTTCAATTCTTCATGCCTGACATGAGTCTTATATATACACAAAAATGGGCGTAGAGTAGCAATAAGCCGCACAGACTTCCTCATTTCTCTTCCTGCATGCTCAAGCTAAGCAAATCTTAGCATGTGTATAGCCAGATTGATATGCTATCATTGGTTGATTCGTCTGGTTCCTTGAACGCCAAGACGCTCGACGTTCAGTTTGAAACTCCTCTTCGTCAAGTAAATGCGGGAGAAAAGCCAAAACTAAAAACAGTACCCGCCCCCAAAAGCCTCGCCGAGTTTGCCGAATTGTTTTCCTATTCTGTACGAGGCTCGGCGCCACAAAGGGCCCTGGGCCTTGTGGGCGCGTAAAGAGAACCCTGCACGGAGGATAGATCAGTCTGACTCAACCCGATAGCTGTAACACCGGCTCTTCATCAAATTTGAGTAGATCTCTAATTCATGCTCATGCAACTACTGTACCAACTTTATAGTCTGTGGACATGCTTGGTCCAACTTCAGGCTTCTGTTGGATTTTCTCCTAATCGGCAAGATTTGGATATATTTTGTTGTGAGGAAATCGCAACTAACTCGCTATGTTTGCTGGTCATACGGGAATTTTCCTGCAAACATAAATAGCCCGTAAGCAGCGTTTCACTGACTGAGGCTGAGGCTTAGGTTGGGGTCTGCATTGTGCTTGGCGGAGGTGCCAAGACTTCTCTCACCCTTCACAACCGGCCACGAATTCGCTCAACTTCAACCCCCAAAAACCTACTTCTGCCCCCAAAACTTGGGTCTACTTGCAAAATCTTGCGCGAAAATAATACTCTGACTCACTGATATTTCTGAGGGCCTTTCAGGCCCCCCCTCCGTACAAGTTTCAGTTGATCGCCAGCGATCAAAATGTCACAGAACAACAAGAACATCAAGGCAGATGAGGGCCAACAGCTGCCAAGAGCTCAGAGAGCGCGGTTCTCATCAACTTCTCTTGTCAAGACCCTAACCGCTGTATTTTCTGTTGCTCTCCTTCTCTGGATCTTTCGACGACCATTTGTCGGGGGCTTTACCTACAACCCCGAAATCCAAGCAGCTGAGAAGGGAGACCCGTTGGCTAAGCCTTCATTCAAGAGTCCAAATATCAATTCTCCTAACAGCAGATGCTCCCTACCTACCACGCGCTACGACATCCAGACTGGCATTACGGCTTGCTATCCTTCTTCCGGCGGCATCTGGCTTGCAGATTTAGGGCCCGTGGAGCTACAATACCTGGGCATCAATCGTTTCGATTCCACTGAGCGATCCTTGAACAAAGCCGAAGAAGACCACTTCTGTCACGAGCTACGAAAGTTTGGTGGTGCTTGGTACAACCCCAAGTCGCCTGATGATCTTTGGGTTGGCGGAGAGTGCAGTGAGCTTGATGAATTCGAACCTGTTTTCTCAATTGAACGCCGAGTTGCATTTCCAGAAAAGGGAGGTGTGTGGGTTCTAGGTAGAGATGAGAAGACTGTCAGATTTCCGCTTGGAATGGCTGGTGTCCAAAATTCATTGACAATGGAAGAGCGCTCGATGGCGTTGGAAAAACTGGGTGCAGATTACTGTGACGATGTTGCGGAGTGCCCTCTACTAGATGACCTCAAGAAGGAACCATTCGACCTTGCCGATGGCCTAGACATTTGAATATGATAATGTCACGCAAGTTTATATCAGCAATATTTTTAACGAGTTCGCTTTCTCATGGCGCATTTCCTCGCGACCCTTTTGTCGACGACGATAGATTATATTCGGCAGAGTAAGCTTGCTTTCCCCATACTAACAAAGCGCCCAAGGTTTGGAATTGGGCATCACAAATCGCAGCCTACTTTTTACGGGTATCCTGTTGGCTGCCTAGCCGAAGGTGTTTGATTCGGCATGCAATCAGCTCTGCAAGGCCGCATCCTCACCTAACAATGTATTATCATTGCCATAAAGGGTTGGTAGACAGAAGAAGTGGGAGGACGAGGCGGAGGTGACCAAGAAAACATGTTAATTTCAGGCAAATTGTCGCCCCAAGGCTCGGCTAATCTTGGCTGCCAGGTTAGTGTGCATGGCCAAGAAAAGAGGTATGCACAAATGACCCAGGCAAGCAGCTGAGTTTTCCAAACGACGCTCATGTATAATCAAATCATTCCATATGCCCTGATATGTAAGTACATACCTCCCAGCGCCTTACTTGCATGTGTGTGACATCGAAACATGTTTTGTAAGAGCGCTTTTTCGACAAAGGGGAGTTTCGGTGGAGCACCAACACGCTACAAACCCCGGCACTTCCGGACGGAGCCGTTATTCTCCAAGTGGGAAATCAGCCTGTTTTCAAACCAATAGGAGGGAATTCAGAGCCCCTATTCCCCCACTTCGCGTCCAAATCACTGTATGGTCCTAATTTTCCTAGGAGTTGCGCTGATTATGTGCAGCCTTAGTTTACCTCCAAACCAATGATGGCGGCCCTATGACCCAAGATCTCGCCGCGAACCACGCTTTACGTCGATTTCCAAGCAAGTGCTAAGAGCAAGAGTGTATCTAGTGGAGCTAACATGTCTTGATCGATTTCCGCATATCCCCAACCAGTAAAATACGGTTAACTAGTTGGCCCCTCTAGCTTGCCCAGGAAATAAGGAGTTCTTGGCTAGTACAGTGTAAAAAATATTTTACGTATATACTCTCCCCCCTCCCAGGAGGAGCTCTGGTCGTGCAGTATGCAGAAACTACGACTATTGTCCTGGCTTTCTCCCAGGAGGGCCATAGTTGGATGTGTACTGATTGTTGTCCTTCAAATATCCTACTTCCTACATCGGAGCAATTTGCTTCCTTGGCAAGGTATGGAAGATCTGCGCGGAACTTACCGACCTGAACACCTTTTTAATGATCGTCAGGAACAGCCGGGGCAGTTCTTCGGCATAATGTCGTTCACCAACTTGTCGGCTTGACCAATTCCTATGCCTCGAATTCTGCGAATGCCAGTGTTGGCCTTGTTCTGGCATCGATTCATACCGACGACTTGACGTGGCTACTGGATTATTGCACTGAAAGGTAATCTGGCTCTTTCGGCAATTTCACTTCCGGAGGCTTACCGCCATGTTTAGCGGCAGTGTGCCATTCGTTTACACAACGGAGCGATCTCCCGAGTTCGGTCTGCTAGTTCCCCCTACACTCCGCGGTCGAGAGGCTTCCGCTTATCTTTCCTACGTTATCGAATTCTACGATCATCTCCCGGAATACTCAATTTTTGTCCATGCATTCCCCGAGCAATGGCACAATGACCTTTTTGGGCCTTATACCCTGAACACTTTGAGGAATATTCGGCTCCAGTCCGTCGATGCTTATGGATATGTGAATCTTCGATGCCAGCACAACCCGGGCTGCCCAACAAGCGTATATCCGCTAAGTCCGAGCCAGGCCGACATTGAAAATCACGACATCCGCGCATATTTTTCGGACGCCTATCAGCAAATCTTCAACGTGACCTCAGACAAGGTACCTGGTGCCATCGGAAATGTCTGCTGTGGACAGTTCGCAGTTAGCCGAGACAGAATTAGAGCGCGACCCAGAGAAGACTATCAACGGATTCTAGATTGGGCCGCGACAACTGAACTAACAAATGATTTTGGTGTCGGGTGGGTTCTAGAAAAGCTGTGGCACATTATATTCGGCATGGATGCAGTCTAGTGAGTCTATCCTTTCTTTTGTGCGGAATACCACCGTGGCACTACGATGGTTTACTAATTATATCATTCACAGCTGCCCTCGCTTTGAACAATGCCGCTGCGATGTTTACGGCTGGTGTGGACCTCTACCATCGGGAGAGTCACTGCAAGCAGTTATCAAGCCAGATCCCCACGACGGCTCTCCTACATAGCAAATCGAAAACAGAAGAAGTCAAGATGACGAATAGAATGTTAATTCCGATACCCCCAGTGTCCTTCTCGCTATCCAAGCCCTTTAGCGAAGTTTTATTCTATCTTGTCCTATGTTCAAATCCATTTCACCTCCACGGAGATGCAGCGAACCCATCACGGAACATGGTTGATACGCATTCAATTCAATATCCCGCTGCATTTGGTAAGGTCTCTGGGGTGTCTGCTCGGAATTTATTGGTGATCAAGTTCCCAAATGAGGGGGACCACTCAACTCGAGGAGTGAGGCTTTCCAGGCCCCAGAGCTCAGACACAAATTTAAGAATCGAGGTGTGAGTAAAGTCATTGTTGCCGGAGGTCGGCTTGTTCTGCACCAAACCCTTCTCAACCCAAGGAGAGATCAACAGCGTCGGCACTCGGACACCGAGACGGTCAAAATGGAAAGTATAGTTCTGTCCATCGCTTGCCTTCTCTGTGTAGGTGAGGCTGTCACCGGCAGGAACGCCAGTGGGCGGGGGAACATGGTCGGCAAACCCTCCATGCTCATCCCAAGTGATAATGAACAAGGTTTGGTTCCACTGTGGCGAGCTTCGCAAGGCCTCGTAGATGCCCTTCATGAAATTTTCGCCCATGTTGATGGGAGATTTCGGGTGCATTGACATGTAATCACAACATTCCGGGTTAATCCAGGTGAATTGGGGCAGGTTCCCAGCCTTGGCATCTGTATAGAAGCGATCGATTGGAAGTACATTAGTTTTGTCTTTTCCAGACTTGGCAGTCCATTGATAAAACATGGCATCAGGAGGGAAGCTCGATGGTCCGATGTCGGTTGTATTCTGGTAGTTGATCCAGGTGATGTTCTTCTCAGACAACTGCTGGAAGACCGACTTCTGGGGCATTCCGGAGTTGTAAAACACCTCTCCATTGTCACCATGACCGTAAGATGTTCCGGATGTCAGGTATGCTCTATTTGGATCTGTTGGTCCAGGAATAGCCGCAAACCAGCGATCGAACAGTATGTAGTTCTCTGCCATAGCATTCGTGACGGGGACAAGCTCAGGCTGATAGTAATTGATCACCTCAGCCGCCTCCATCATGTTGTTTTGTAAGCTATACATATAGCTTTGCTCGGTCACGAATCCGCTCATGGCCGAATTTGCATTTGCCTCTGGGTGATAAGTGCCAAAGACTTGCATGTTGCCGCCCGTGATAGTATGATCGGGATCGTCCGACGCGACGTTTTTCGCGATGCCGGCCGCACACACCTCCTCTGAACTTGACTCGGAGACGTTGGCCGGATTGCAATACTTCCTGTTGACCAATCCATCGATGTTTGGGTCGTAAGTAAGACCACCTACGAGGGTGTCAAACGATCGATTCTCCTGCACAAGCACAACAACATTCTTGATGTTTTTCATGCCCGAAGCATGTGGTCGACCCACGGCACCAAGGCCGAGGCCGAGTATGATGAATGCAAGAGTGAGTGTCATTGCTGAGATGCACGGAGTGGGAGTTGAATTCAGCTTTGGGATTGTAGTGTCATTTATGAACCGTCAATCATGTTTATCTTCTACCAGGAACCGACCCGGATTGATGTCGCATCGTGGTGGATGCATTCCGACGTCCCCACATAAACATCACGTAGATCCACTGAGAGCGCCCGAATCTGAGATATTTGTCGATCACCTTTTCCCCTGAGACCCCCGCATCGCTAAACGCGAGTCCACGGCATTCTGGATACATATACCGTCGCTCTTATTGGCCATTGGCCAACCTTCCGTCCTTGATCGTCACTTGAGGTTGCAGAGCCTTTTAAACCTAGAGCTTGACCCGCCGGCCTACGAAACAAATGTTGCATCGCCCTCACAACCCCTCATAACATGACAGACGGGATTGAATGATTGCAAAAGAGGAACCATCTCGTTATTGGAAGAACCAATTGCCCACAGCGATAGCGCATGTGAGTTTGGTCAGAAAACCAAATTTTGTCTGTAGCAGTACTTCTTGAATTGATCCAAATTTGGATATATAGTTTCTCGGTGCCTAATGATTTTCAAGCCAAGCAAGCTTATTGACCTGTGATGGAACGTCGCAACAATTGCCTCTATAATCTCCACGAAGCCACGCATGGACTTGCCGGATTTCCGAAAGGCCGGCGCCCGGAATCGAATCGAGTTCTCCGGCGGATCTAGGTAGGCACTCATATATATTTTCCCCCAAACTTCCGAATAGATGTTGGTTGATTCGTATCTCGGGACTTCCCCCAACGATTCATCTACAATCACACATTTCGGGATACCGTCCGGAGTATAGATACGGCGACTCTAGATCTACCCCCAGCCCAGCTCCGGGAGTTTCTCCTATCTAAGTGAAAAATTCGCTAAGAGATTTGATTGGCTCTGGGAGTAACTTTACCATTGTCCTAATGTACTCCGTATATTTGGAAATTTAAAGCCCTTTTTCCCTTTCCGAAACGGTTTTCAAGAGCTAAGTTAAATCTTATGAAAATTACCATGCCTAATCTCGCCATGAGTATTCCCCTGGGACTAAGTCTGTCGAGCACATCTCCTTTATATCCCTATAAGTCCTGGCTTTAGTCTGACTAACTCCCCAACCGAACTCGCACCCGTTTCGTCCCAGGCCATGGCGACAGGATGGTTTTCTCAGCATAAAATGCTACATCGCGGACCATCGTCCCCACCAATTTGGAATGATGGCGCCGGGCGTCCGGCTCGTCAATCTAGACGTCGAGCACCCCATGCACAATGCGACAGGATCTGCCATTGTCTCGCGTTTAGATGTTCTCCGCTAGCCGGAGACTGCCGGTAGCCCTCTCGACAGCGAGTTCGTCGAGCGTCGGCGGTGTCTTGCAGGTCAGTCGTTTGCTTCCCAATTGGGAGATCACCCAGCTCCAGGGCCACCACCCAAGCGACCGCAAGACCGAGGTGCTTTATATTCATGCCCACGAGACCGTGATACACATGGACGCAGATTAATTGGGTGATCTCGACTCCATTCACTACCACGAGATCACAGCTGAGCCCGTCGAGTTGGTGGCCAAGCCACAGTTCGCCATCCAAAGTTACGAGTGGAAAAGCGGCCTTTTTGGGAGCCAGAGGCTGTCATTTCCAGTGCCAATTCCGAGGTCCTCAAATTCTACTTGTAAATTCGGCTTTCGAGACCCAAAAAGTATCTCTCATGAGGTATGGAGACCCTCATGAAGGGAATACAGCCTCATGTGAGAATTTAGTAATGAGCGAATACCCAAAAAGTAGAAAGCGACATGTTCCCTCGATTCTACTGGTCAGCCAGTCAAAAATCTTAGCGGGTTCATTGGTGCATCATATACTTCCGAAATGAATAAACATCTGGAATTATCCAAATGGCTCAGCAGAGGCTTCACTGATGCCAGTCTTTAGTTCCCGCAGTATATGGATGTTCGGGGTTTGGTCAAAGCATGGCTAAATATCCCGAACAAGTTGACAGTAACTTTCTTAGGTTGAGTAGTATCTCCCAACTGCCTCAACTATTTTTTCACCTCTGTCATCTCGGTGAAGCAAAGTCCGAAGGAGTTCTAATTTCCCCGCATGCCTGAGCGCGATCGGCAGCGGGGAAATATTGGCCTATGAGACTCGAGACACACAGTACGAATTATTGTGGTCGTGTCTTGTATAAAAGAATGGGGGAATTTTTTGAACTGCTAGTCAATGGATTTTCATCAAGACAGAGAAAATAAAAGAGCAACATTTCAACCCCGAGGGACAGTTAGCCTCTGCAGCTACAGATGACGATGCAGAAGATTCTCTGCCTGTCTTTGCTACTAATAGGTGCATCGCATGGAGAAATAACCTGTAATCGGAGATCCAAGATTGTGAAATCCCTGAATGTCAGGAGAAATGTCAGCTCGGATTCGACGCTAACGCCATTGCAAGTCGGCAATGGGAACTTTGCTTTCGGCGCCGACATCACCGGTCTCCAGACCTTCGCTCCATTTGCCATCATGTCCACCTGGGGATGGCATAACTTCAGCTTACCAACTACAGCAGGGCAAACCTCGCCCGATGGTAAGACATGTCCACTTTCTCCTTAATCTGGAGAAACTACTGACACCACTCAGACTTCACGGGGCTTGACTGGTGGACTCATGGGAGACTGGTCAACTACGACATGCCCAACAATGCTGAAAATGACATCTCAAACTGGTTGATCAAGAATCCCCAGCGACTCAATCTGGCAAGGACTGGAGTTTCCTTTGGAGATGTCAACGTCACCGAGGCCGATCTGCAACACAAGAGTCAAGAACTAGACCTGTGGTCGGGAATAATCAACTCATCCTTCGTCTATAACAATACATCTGTTAGTGTTGAGACGGTCGCGGATCCAGTCACCGATACCGTCGGAATCAGTGTGGAATCCAAACTTTTTCAAGACAGCCTGGGAATATTCTTCGATTTCCCGTACTCGGATCTCAACAAGTTCGACGCTCCATTCGTCGGTGTTTGGAATGCGACGTCAAAACATTCCACCAAATTGACCAAAATCAACTCCTACTCCGCTGAAATCAAGCACACATTGGATGAGAATAGCTATTATGTGACAATCAACTGGGAGACCCCTGGTGCTATCTCTGGCCCAACCGATGGGACGCATCGCTATCACTTCCAGTCAACCAGTAGCCGCGTGCGCATGACTGTCAGCTTCTCTCTCGAGCCCAGCAAACAGAGCAAAGATCTCAAATTCTCAGACTTGAAGCGGCAATCCGAGTCTTGGTGGCAATCCTACTGGTGCAAAGGAGCATTTGTTGATCTGTCGGCTGCCGCCACTGTTAATAGCAGTGCCGCGGAGCTGCAACGACGTACAATCCTCTCACAATACCTCGTTGCCGTCAATGAAGCATCATCAAATCCGCCTCAGGAGTCGGGTCTAGTCAACAATGGCTGGTATGGAAAGTTCCATCTCGAGATGACTTTGTGGCACCTGGCACAGTTCGCCCGCTGGAATCACTTTGACCTGTTGGAGCGCAGCGTCCCTTCAATTTACGAGCGTCTCCTTCCTTCAAGCATTGTTCGTGCTAAAGACCAGGGGTATAGTGGAGCACGATGGGGGAAGATGACAGATCCCACTGGCCGATCAGCACCTGGTGAGATCAATGCCCTCCTAATATGGCAACAGCCGCACCCAATGTATTTTGCCGAGCTTGAGCATCGAGCCTTCCCAGGAAAAGCGACCTTGGCTAAATGGGATGCCATTCTCACTGCTTCTGCGGACTTCATGGCTTCCTTCGCGTGGTGGAATACGTCAACTGCTGTCTATGACCTGGGACCGCCCATGTACCCCGTCTCCGAAAACACTTCCCCTAACGTAACGGTCAACCCGACCTTCGAGCTGGCATACTGGCGCTTTGGGCTGGATATTGCTGTGCGCTGGAAGGAACGACAGGGTCAGTCGGCTCCAAAGCTGTGGATTCAGGTTCTCGAGAATCTGGCTCCGCTTCCTATTGTTGAGGACGCCTATGCCGTATACGAAGGCATCCCGAACATGTGGACCAGCAACGACACGACAAACGACCACCCAGCTATGACTGGCATCTACGGTCTTTTGCCGCCACCATTAACCGGCTCGCCAATCAATTTGACGATCGCACGGAATACAGCCGATAAGGTCAAGGAGCTTTGGGCGCTGGAGGATTCATATGGCTGGGATTTCTCGATGTTAGCACTGAATTCGTTACGTCTGGGTGATGTTGAGCAGGCAGTCGCATATCTGCTCGATCCGCGATTCCAATTTGATGACGCTGGGTATCCCGAGGGAGGACGTCGGGTTCCGACTCCGTACATGCCAGATGCTGCTTCTCTACTGCTCACAATGGCCATGATGGCTGGGGGCTGGGATGGAGCGGCAGGGGCCCACTTTCCCAAAGACTGGCCTGTGGAGGTGGACGGGTTTAGCCCTGCAATGTGATAGATCAATCAAATTTGAGGGCCAATAATAACGGCTGATAAGAAGTACTGTATCTGTGCCCTCCGTGATATTGCGGCCCACCCACCGCTTCCGCTTATGGGTGCGCCCTAAATTCCCATCATACTTATTTTTGTATGGCATCTCCATACAAAAGGCATGTACCTCACATTTCTAGTATTCTTCTAAAATCGAGATATCTCTATTAGGGATGCCTGTTTTTTAAAACTTTTTCTAGATTCTAATAGGCATGATCTTTAATCTATAAGGTTTTTAGGAATTCTAGCCTAAGATTAAAGATGTCATAATAGATTTAAAATTTCCTCATAGTAGTTTTTTATTAGGAGAAAAATAGAAGGGAGAGTATTGTATCCTACTATATCTAATTTCTATTTTAAAAACTATGAATAGGAGTAATAGATAGATAATTATCTATGTAGCTAGTTAAATATAGAAGAAAAAAGTGTTGTTGTATATCTAGACCGAATAATCTATATGGAATAGCTATGTATTTTTTGTATGGAGATGCCATACAAAAAAAAGGTGACGGGGATTTAGTGCGCACCCATAAGCGGAAGCGGTGGGTCGGCCGCAATATCACGGAGGGCACAGATAATAGCTAGCCCATGGACGGTTTTTAGATTTGTCCAAGTTTTAACAAACTTCCCCAGATTTACTCTCACGGGCCGCGCCTCCGGGTCCGCGGCAAACGCCCAGCCTCATCAGGAGTCTTCCATGTCCTTCCTCGCAAAACTACGCGTTTGCACTTTGTTTAGACACCGACTGAGACCGCTAGATCTACCCTCGCCCCTGCATTCCCCACAACTTAATCTCTTTTTCTTCCCCGTTCCATATCTTTCCTTTCCATACCTCGCACCAGGATTGACCTCGACAACAAAACCATCACCGTCTAGGTAAGTACGAATATCAGAGGCGCAGGTCCTTAAGGAAGATTCTCTTAAGTCTGATTAGGAACGGTTCTACAGAGCATACAAACTCCGCATGAGCCTACGACAGGTGTTGAAGCTCTCCAATCATATCTTTACATGACACCAGACATCGCACGAACCTATTCGACACTCGCATTTATCGCCATCATGGTCTACGCCATGGAAATCTACACTGATGGTGGCTGTCGAGGCAATGGAAGCCCATGGGCAATAGGAGCCGCTGCCGCCGCTTTCAAGACAAAATGGGGAAAATATCATGGCTGGACAAGAATCTTACCCTCATATCCCCCACCTACAAACCAGCGTGCGGAAATTGTAGCCATAATTCTGGCGCTGGAACAAGCCCTGGAGAAGTATCAGGAGCTTGACACCAATCCATATCTAGATGTCACAATCTATTCTGACTCTAAATATGCGGTTAACTGTATGAAATCGTGGATTTACAAGTGGACCAACAATGGGTGGATCAACGCTGCTGGCAACCCCGTTGCAAACCGTGACCTTCTGGAGGAGGCTTCGGATCTTGACGACAGATTGAGAAACGAGGGAGATGTCGAGTACATCTGGATTCCGAGAGAGGAGAATGAGGTTGCCGATCGATTCTGTAACGAGGCGCTGGACAGGGAGTGAGAGACAAGGCAACGATGATCATTGAAGTGGCATGTTCCACCAGCATTAATGCTAGCCAGTTGATTATGCAACGAGAGGATGGACAGACAGTTAAATGAACGGAGATTACCCTCCAAAATATCGTATGTTTACCAGCATCCCACTATTCAAAGCAGGGCATGTCTATAGATTCCGATGTAATCGTCACTGACACGTGGAATAAAATTAATAAATAGAGACTATGCCCAGGCATACTGACTTAACAAGTCAGAGACCAAATACTGTATGACAGAACTTTTATTTTGCAATGTCTTGTACTGGTGTCAAGGCGAACCATCCTCAACACAGACGGTCGACTACAGGTCCTACGCATTTTAATAATATACTACGCGTGGTCGTCGCTGCCTATCTTGCGAACCTCTTCCGCGCCTTCGATGCAGCGCTTGAGCTAATCTGCGGGGCTCATTATTTCCGCTATAATTTAGGATGATATTAATGGCACGACAAGAGCGTTCATGACACGACATACTAAGCCCCTTTCAGTTAGCTCCCACCCGCCGCCAAAGTGTAGCCTCGACCCCTACAAAAACACTGCTAAGCCATTAATGCCGCGTTACAACAGAGCACCATTTATAAAAGTAGCAGAAACTTTGTAATTACTGATAGTTAAGTAGTCACATACTTAAGGTAGAATTAATATTTAGGCTTACATAGAGAGATATGGATATATACCTGAGGCCTCAGCCGTGTTCATGCAGAAGTCGAAGGTACCTTTTTGTTAGTGGGTGGGAGCTAACCCAAAAGGGGTTTAGTTTGTCGTGTCATGAACGTTCTTGTCGTGCCATTAACGTCATCCTATTTTTATTGTTGTTGCCTCGCGGGAGTTGCTTGCCTCTGCAGCTAGCTCGTCAACACTCATGCAGTCTTGGAAGACTCGATTTTGAGCTCGCTCTTTCCCCCTGTATGTAAAATAAGGGCGAAGCGATAAGTAACCCGTTATTGGCAAAATCTATACTCTCCTTGGTGCTCTTGACTACGTGGGGTCACTAATAAAGAATAAAATTTGTGCAGAATTCAATCTTGGCGAACCCCGCTTTCCTCGTGCTATGATCCACTCAAAAGCCATCACTGCATGAGCACCGCAAAGACTCTTGGACCTTATCCAGCTCCCTCATTACCTTAAGAGTCCGAGCGGAGGCATCTGCTGCGACTACTGCCGCCGATTGCCCGACGGTGCCACCAGTGACAATCATTCCGCCGTCGGTTACACCTGGGCCTTGCACATGCATTGCCGGTTCTTACGATTAGTGTCAATCAAGCTTGGATATCTTGCCGATATGTAACCCCAGTACCGATACCGCGACGACTACTATGAGTGGAGTGTCTACAACTACAACTACTCCAGTCAACACGGTCACCATCACTGAAAACTGGATCTTGCCAACTCCTACTGCTTATAACCGTATGTTCTCATTTAAATGATGTGAAGCCCGAGCTAACCTGATTGATCAGGTGTGAACTACTACCAATACCTTAACAAAAACGTCTATTCTTACGGCTCAGGGGGGTGTGCAAACTGTGGCTGCGGCGGTGGTGGCTACGAAACTTCCGACTGGAATTGTAACTACAGTTGCTATACCAGCGGACTGACTCGGAACATTAACTTTGAGTCTGCAAACTATCTCGACTGGAACACCATTACTTGCCAATTGCCTGGCCAAGTCAAAGCGATAGACTGCTGGCAGTGGACCGTCGTCTTCCAAGGATTCATCCATGCAACCCAGATCGGCAAGTATACTGTTGCGCCTTACAAAGTCACAGATAATGCGCTCTTCTTCTGGGGTGGAGAGAAGGCGTACTCGTCCTATGCAAATGGTAACGTCGATGGCGTTGTTAGCTACTCAGCCGTCTGGTGTGCCTACTACCTTTGACTACGATTTGGTGGCTAGGGAATTCTTCCCCATCACTTTCATTTACGTCAATGGATATGGACCGGGCAAGACTCAAGTTACCATAACTGAGCCTAATGGTACCATGTATCCGACGGACTTGAACCTGTTTGTGCCACCTTGCCCCAGCGGCCCTTTGTTCCTCAGGCTTGGAGACTTCGCACACGCGGACCCCCAAACAGATTCCCTTCTTGTTTGGATACCAGATGATCTGTGGATAGCAATCGCAAATTCTACTACTAGTTATAAGAAATAAACTTGGGGAAATCCGAGGCTATCGTGTATTCGCAAGATGTTTGATAAAAGCTCCAAAAAGACTAATTAAATGGCATCGTCAAATCATGCATTCCTTTGATACGACTTGCTTTGGAGAACTCCCAACGACCTCTATGTAGAGTTCCCTCCCTATTAAAGATGAGATAACAACATTTGAGCCCCACGTTTCTTACTCTGTGAGTCATCTTGAAAGGGCTGACGGTAGGGCAAAATCGCGGCTAAGGTAGCCCCTCGAACGTAGCCCCTCGAACTTAGCAAGGACATCTTTAGTAAATTTTCATACTCTCTAGTGGGCCGAGAATTGCTACACATATCCAAGAGACTTTTAGACGATTCAAAAAGGAAAATACATGCACCAAAATCCCCGACACTCAGTCCAATTCTTCCTCTAAGGTGTCGATGTCGACGTACCCCACCAAGTTTAGCAGTTCGTGCAAGACACGCTCGAGGTCTGGATCATTTGGGCTGCTGAACTTCACAAGGTCGGAATGGTTGCGATTGAGAGGGTGTGTATTGATGTGACCCGCACCCCAAACTTCGCCATCTGTAGCGGAACCGCGATCGACAAGAATCCTCTTCGGGGTTCCTATCATCTTCCACTGTCCATCCGCAGTCTATCACAGTATGAGCAAGCGTTTTCAATTGAGAGATCAGTGAGAGGGGCCTCGATACCTTTTTCGGTGAGAAAGAAGGTTCCATCTCGTAAAAGTATATGATCTTCGGCATTTTCATTGAAGAATCTGATCTGGCGGATTCCGATTTGAACTTTCGACTGAGATCTTGTAGAGTTTCGGATTCATACATGATAGACTTGACGAGAAACTCATTGGGTTGACCTCGGATCATCCCTTCAAGAACTTCGACATGCATGCCGTGGCTTGGTACACCGAAGAATAGGGCGCCGTGGAGGTTTTTGAAGAAACTGCCGGCTTCCGGACTCTCCCTTTCCTGTAATAGTGCCTGCTCGATAGTTTAGCTCTGGGTCATTCGACATTTTCAGTACTAATAGTTACCTCTTTCACAGTAAGTCCTCCAAGACTATGCGCAATAAAGAACGAAGGAACGGCGAAGGCATTCCCAAGGTGAGACATTGTAGAGCTCAAGACCGACTGGGACCGGCGTCTCATAACGCTTCGCATCTCATCCCGTAAGAGTTTGCCTAAATCTTTCAATGTTTGTGTTGACTCGTTCCCATCGAGCCTTGTTTTGGAGCCATAGGTCATCAACCGAGCGTTCGGAAGACGGTCTCGTAGTACGTCCAACACCCACATGAAAGACTGAGATGCACCCTTGTATTTGAACGATCCCCAAGCATGGCCGCCAAGGCCGGCAACGGCGCATACACTAAAAAGTACGTCATTAGCATCTGGTATCTTACTCCGAGGACAATGGCAAATTACTTACTCGATCATGTGCGGCACATCGGGAGGCGGAGAGTAGAGAACAGTCACTCCGCGAAAATGAGTATCGACGGTGATATATGTATCGTCTTCATCAGAGGTCGGCCCAAATTCCCATTCCTCCTTCCCCGGCGTCGACAAACACGCAGGTTGGGGCCTCCACGCCACAACTGCCACCTTGTCTCCCGTCTGACTTGTAGCCAGAGCTTTGATGCGTCCCACGACGGTCGGCTCAATACCAAGCTTACGACTGAGGTATGAGAGTAAATCAGGACCTGTATGCTCAGGCTTTATTCCCCGGATCCGATAATCCAGATCCTTGGTAACCTGGGGTAAAGTTGCAGTCTCGGGAGACATAGGGGGCCGGGCAAATCCTGGATTGTTGACGCCATTTGATGGTCTGCGCAGAGGACCTGGCCGCAATGGGTCCCAGATATTTGGGATGTTGAATTGGTTGCCCATTGATTCCCTCCTTGGTCGTATGTCGAGGCCATCAATATGCTCAGGGATCACTATAGGCGACGGTGAACCTGCGCCTTCGGAATTTTCACGTGAGATCGAAACATGTTGACCGGGAGATGGCTCCGTCTCACGATTTTCCAGGAAAAAAGTCTCCAGTTCGTCCTGAAACTTACTCGCATCTGTCAACTTGAATCAGAACATCGAGTATCCGCTTGAGTATTGTTGCAAGGGATGCTCTTACCATTGGAATTGGTGAACTCAAATCGTAGGTGGCCTAGTGAAAGGAGGAATTGAGTATCTTGTGCTGGCAGATCATCCTCAACAATGCTATCCGCGATCTCCTGTCTTGGGTCTCTTCCTGCCAACCCTGGCTCTTTGTCAGGTGGGGAATGGCGAAGCAAGTCACTAAAACGCCTTAGAAGACCGGTCTTGTTCATCGAGTTTCTGCCTTTTTTAGTTTTCCGAGAAACGAGCTCAACTCGAATTCTTATGCCTGAATCGCTTGTGTGAATTGAATTCCCAAAAAGTCGCAAAGGAACATCGATGTGATAGTATGGTTTGCTCTGTTGCACTAAGAAAGAGACTGATTTGTTTCGGCCGTCGAGATCAGACCATAGCTTTAGTGGCTGAGCGGTACCCTCTGAGCCCCTTCCAGAAGTGATTTCTTCGACTTGAAATGTATGCAGCAAGGCCTTCCCTCGGAGCGCACATTGGAAAGCGATAGCATCAATATCATAACCAAATCTATATGATGGCTTGCGGTCTTTGTGTCGCCATGTTTCGATACCATCAAATTCATCGACATTGCAGGCTTCAAAAAGACGGATCTCGGGGGCATAGAAACGCTCATGTTTGGTATATGGGTGGATTTGAATGATCGAAGGAACTTTGTGACATATTAGTGGGCAATCCTCGGACATGCTGGAAGTAAAAGCCTCACGATGTTGCACAATCCCCCACTCCTTGTCGATTCCGATACTCACTACCGACCGGTCTCCTGACTGAGTGACAACGTCTACTGTATGAAGAGCCCTCTCTTCTTGAAGAGAGTGAGGCTGACTATGCGAATTGGTAAGCAAAATTCTGCTCAAGTTTGTCTAGGAATGTCAACCCTTACACAGTGGCCAAGTCTTCGTCCTTTTCATGAGTATAGACACGCCGCCGTAAGTACGGAGAGAGCCTTTGGGAGCGATAGCTAGACTGTCGTTGTTTCAATGTCTGTTGTGCATACTCGTGCAGTACTCCTCTATCGCTCAGCCTGAAGACCCTTGAGAATATCAACTCTGAGCCGTGAGAAGATAACTCGTGATCTCGAAATCTGGCTAACACAAGATTCCATAACTTCTCACAGTGCACTGCACTCAAAGGGGGCGCTCTTGTTCTTTTAAGTGCCTCGTGGAGCTCAATCAAATGGTGGAAAAGAGGCCAGGTATTCTCCTCGACAGGCTTGAGAGCCGATGGTAAGGTGACTTCATATTGAGGAGCGGCTTTGGCGGCTATCACTTGAGATATGCGATGTAGGTCGGACTGTTTGAAGACAACAGAAAACAGATCCCTATGATTCCAGCGAATATTAGCGGCGGCCTCAAAGCGACTGTGAGAAGGATCAGATGGACTGCGATGAAAGACTGACAGGATGATATCATCCAATTTTGCATTCATGATATGCAGCTGCAAATCAACACGCCTCTCAAGGAGATCCAGGTCGGAGGGGTTATAGACATAACAAGCGGTTTCATGCAGCAGGTTTGTCTGGGGCGTTGTGTCTTGGCGACGCCATCTTGGATTGTGGTGAAGAAAGTCATTGCATTCATCCCAGGTTTGCTGGAATTCATGGTATGACTCAAGAGTCGTGTGTTGAAATCGCAGGATCCGACGGAAGCACCTAAAAGTTCGGTAGAAGGCATGGAAACGTTTAGCAATCCCTTGGATCCTTTCTGTGGGCAGCGCGGCAAGTGGGCCTGCTTGAGCACAGGCAACCCAAAGCTGCAACATGGTGGAAGTAGCGAAGATCGGAGCATTTTGGGGATGAAAATGATATTAATAAGATTTACCCCGAGATCCCTTTTTCGCCGCTATGAGCACGTCCCAATCAAATTCAAAGGGAAAAGAGGCTCTTCAGACGAAGAGAACACGTTCCTGAATTCTAAGCTTTGAGTGGTCGATTGTTCCGTTATATTGGGATGCGCTCGTAGCGCTAGTGGCGTTAGGCACGGACATCACCTTTTTCAATCAGCTCCTCGTGGCCCGCATGACATGTCGTGTCCTGAAAAGTATAACTTCTGCAGTCGTCAGGATTCCCAACCATTTTTGATGGTATGCGGAAGAGCCTTTGAGATCATCGTCTGGCTATGGCGACAGCGCGTCCGATCGACGACGAAGGAAATGTGTCAACGTGGCAAAGGATAAACAATTGGCTACCGTTCCCTTTTGGCGACCATCCGTGGTGGATCGACGGTACTACCCGGGTTCCTGATGAGAAGGACGAGAACCCACGGCTCTGGCGGGAAGGGGTGATCAACATCTTCGATCATAATGGTTTCGACTTGCAGGTCTTCATCGTCGCGGCGTCCGGCTTCTTGACAGATTCATACTCACTGTTCGCGACCAATGTGATCTTGCCCCTGCTGGCCTTCTTGTATTGGCCAGATCGAGCGGACAAACTGCCGGAGCTCTATATCAATGTTGCGACCTTGGCTGGGTCCGTTGTTGGACAGCTGCTCTTTGGGTGGTTGACCGATCGACTTGGACGAAGAAAGCTCTATGGTCTTGAGCTGGTGCTGGTAATATTTGCGACGCTAGGGATGTCACAGGCTTCAAATGGCATGTACAACAACATGAACATATTGAGCTGGATGATATTTTATCGCTTTTTTCTCGGAATGGGTATTGGGGCTGAATATCCCCTGAGTGCTGTGATCACCGCGGAGTTTGCCAGTACCAAGTACCGGGCAAGAATGATGGCCGCTGTATTTCTGATGCAACCGTTGGGGCAGGTCCTTGCAGCTGCAATTGGATGGGGAGTCTTGACAGGTTTGATGCAATCGCGCGGTCTACAGGGTCTCCCAGACCGTGGAGCTGAGTTTGATCGACTCTCTGTGGAGCAACAGCATCTAATCCTGTCAACACTGGATAGTGTTTGGCGCTGGGTAGTTGGTGCTGGCTGCATCCCTGCTCTTCTTGCCATCCTCTGGAGATTTTCTATCCCAGAGTCGCCTCGCTATACGATGGATGTTGCTCATGATCCCAAACAAGCAATCATGGCTACCAAGCGCCAGTTCCGACGTACTGTACAATTGTTAGAATCCCACAACGTGTCCTCGGATGAGGGCGATACTCTGGCTCCTTCGAACCCACGAAGTTTTCCGACATCTCCTGCGCTTACTGCTTCTCCCGATCCAGTACAAGACAGCGACTCGACTTTTTGGACTTTCTTCTTCGTTGAGGGCAATATCCGATACCTTGCAGCGACTTCTATCTGCTGGTTTTTGCTTGATTTCTGCTTTTATGCTCTAGGGATCAACTCCCCACGACCACTTGCCGCTTTGTGGGCCTCATCGATCCCAAATGTCACCATAACCTCTGTTCTCCAAGCTGCCACGACTACGATGACAATTCCTTTCACTCATCCGGTCACATTTAATGGGAATGTTTACAATGTTACAACTTCAATTCTTGCAAATATACCGCCTCCAACAACCACAATCACCAGCCTGGTGGCAGCCACACATTCAAGCCTCCACATTCCTGACTACCAAAATATTTGGGACCCAACATACAACATGTTCACTGAACTATCCCACAACGCAAAGTTCTATATTCTCACCATATCAATCACCTCCTTGGTCGGTGGTGGACTGTTGATTTGGATCATTGACTTCATTCCGCGGAAGACTTGGTTGGTGTCGTCATTTCTGCTGTTGAGTATTTGGTTTGCCGTGTTAGGAGGTGTCCTGGTAGCGACCGAGTTCACAGAGGGCTATGTGGCCAACGTGGTACTGTACGCCTTCTGTCAATTTCTGTTCAATCTTGGTAAGTCTTCCGCTCGAGATTCGGTACATTTCATCCGCTTACATTTTGACGTTTATAGGCCCAAATACCTTGACTTTTATTGTGAGTCTTTCCATAACTACATGATGAAGAGGATTTGACACTAATTTACTTCAGATTCCTGCAGAAATCTTTCCCACCAGATTCCGTGCCACCTGCCATGGTATCTCGGCTGCTTGTGGAAAGCTTGGCGCCATCGTCATTCTCATCCTCACAGAGAAGACTATCCTGAACGCTAATCCTCGGGCCTTGGACAAACTTCTTGGTGCTTTCTCAGTCCCACTGGCAGCTGGGGCTTTCTTTGCGTGGATATGGATCCCCGATCTGCAAACACCACCAACCGGTGATGCACGGGCACTTCGTCTACCACGACTGCCCAACAAAAGTCTGGAACGGTTAGCAAAGGGATGGGCATTCGCGAACGGGACTGATCAAACTCAAGACCCACGCACTCGTCTTCCAAAAGGTGAAAATCAAAGATTGGGTTTTTCGAATAAGCTTCTTGATGCATGGGTTTTCCTTCGATACAGGGGCAAGAGAAGAGTCTTGGGGACAACTAGCACCTCGGTTAGAAGAGCCGGAGAAACTGATGGGTCTATACGAGTGGAAGAGAACAACCTTGCATCAAATCCGCGAGACGACCTCGAAATGTATTCTTAATTTCATGGGCAGACGACTAGAAATCTAATGAAGTATATACATATAATGATTTTTTCTTCATGTATAATCATCGCCCAGCCATGCTATTTGGTGTCCTAGACGCTGTTTCTGCTATTTTTGCCTATCGATTCTCCTCTTTCTTACAATTTTCAAATTCTCCTTTGCCCGTAGGACATGATATACAGTCAGATATCCCCAGACCACGCTCACCAGCAACACACTCACAATGACTCCAATCAAGCTAGCCACGGTGAACCCCGCCGAGGCCCTCTGAAATTTACCACTGCCATGTAACGAATCGGTTCCCAATCCAACTTGCATTGATCCCGCCACGATAGTTACGAAACCGAACACCGAGAAGAGCCAAGCAAAGTTTCGTTCCAAGAATGCCTTCGTCCAAAGAGGCTCCGACATGAAGCCGCGCATGAAGTTTTCACCGGAGAACATACTGGGGGTAAAGCGATAGATAAGATTCAGGCGAGACAGACGCAGTTCTCCAAAATGATAGCGCTTTGAGACAGTGTCAAGGGTTTCTGGGTCGACCCTTGTTAACAAGTCTGTAACGAAAAGAGCCCACTCCTCCCAGGTGATGGATGAAGGAAGCAGTCGAACATCGCGAGCGAGAGCAAGATCCGAGTTGGTACATATCAGCCAACAGTATGATAGGAGAAATCCGCATGCAGCTTGATACAAGGATCTATCTTGAATGAGACAACTGCCTTCTGTCGTCCAAAATTCGTGAGAAATTAAATACTGCGGTAGAGGCTTGATAAATATCCGATTGGAGTTCCAGACCAGATGCTCGTTGGGATTTTCAGTGATGACAATGGTTCTTCCAAGGAGAATCTGGCGATGGATGGGGCGAGCTGCTTTAGGAAGCCCGGCTAACCAAAGATGCGAGTAAATTTTGTCGAGTGCAGGGGTCCGAAGGTCTTGACCAAGGATATTCGATATGGAAGACTGAGGATTAAATCCACTGCTTGCATTGAAGGGTGGAAAACTCGGTCGCGATCTCTGCAATTCATGATGCTTTCTGAACGGCGGATCGAAGAGAACCTATTTTCAGGTGTCAAAGATCGAACATCCTAGATGATAGACTTCACGTACAGGCTTTTCCGCGGAGACTTTGTCCTCCACTGTGAACTCCATTTCCTCAGGAGGAGTACCACGTTCCATACTACCAATATTGCGCAAACAGCCCCTGATTTGCACTCGGAACAATGGTCTCGCTTGAATTTACCTGTTACAGGCCTCTACTTCCTGGCAAAACAGTCATGTAGCACCATCGGTAACTTCTGACCGACGCGCAACCCGGGTGAGAATGTCTGCATGATGGGCCAGGGGGCGGCACTCAGGGTCAAATATTCCGAGGGGCTGATTTGACCTGCAGGCAACGTTGTCCTCAGACGTGGCAATAAGCGGGGCACTCGTAGGCTTGGAGCGCCACTAGGGACATGAAAATCCCAGGTCAGCAAGCGCTCCAAGGCAGAAAGAATATGTTTTCTTTTTCCTTGCTACCGCTGACGGAGAAAATCATCGACTTGCGCCCGGTAGGGCGTAGTGCAGCTTGAGGTTTTCAGCTTGACTGCAAACTGACGCCTTTGCTAAGGAAGACGATAATGAATAAGAAATTCAAATTTCGATCTATTCTACCTGGTCCAGCCCTGTATACACTATGACATTGCAAGTCGCCTTGTGAAAAATCGTATGAGCTTTAGACGGTCGTCTCAGCAGCACGTCTCGTGGCTTGCATGGCTTCCGCAACGAGATCCCTCTCCTCCTGTCCACTGGTATCTCCAAACACTTCGTCAAGCTCTTCCAAAGTCTTGCCACTAGTTTCTGGGACCAAGAAGTACGCCCAGATACCGGCCAGGAAGCACATCGCAGCGAAGAATATGTACGTGCCATAGGTGATGTTTTCCATCATACTCGGAACGGAGATACCGATGATGAAGTCGCAAAGCCAGATCACACATGTAGAAAGCGCAACACCCTTTGATCGAGTGGCAGTGGAGAAAACTTCAGAGGGGAGAGCCCATCCGAGCGGCGAGTACGAGACACCGTATGTGAGGATAAACAGGAACGCCATCGCTACACAGGCCCAGCCTGCGCTCCGGTGAGATTCCCAGTCCTTTTCATAGAGTCCGGATAAAATCGCTATTATGGCGTATGTTACGGCTGTTCCGAATCCACCAAAAATTGCCAATGGACGCCGGCCGACTTTTTCGATAATAAGGAAGCATACAACTGCAGCGACCATCTGAAGAATGTTGAAGACACCCGACATAATCAAAGACATTTCATTGGTTTGGCCCAGCTATTGTTCACCGTTAGCGCGGATCAGAAGCGTCTTAAAAGGTATCAAACCTTACCGATGTAAACAATGTTGGTGCATAATAAATAAAGGCATTAATTCCTGAGAACTGTTGGAAAAAGGCAACTCCAACGCCAACCGCGGTGCGTCTCCAATACTTGCGCTTGAAAAGATCTGCCCACAGCGCAAGCTCCAGCTTAATTCCGCTTATACCCGGGTGTCGCTTCTGTTGGGCAAGCTTCTGAAAGTTGACTTCGGCCATGATACCGTGAAACTCTGCTTGCACTCTCTCGTCGTGGGTTGGCAATCTCCGTAGTCTCTCAAGGCTCTTAAGACAATCGTCTGAGCGATTCACAAGCGCAAGCCAGCGAGGTGAATATGGGAAGAAGTGAATTCCAGCACCCAGAAGAGTTGCGGTGATCATTTGTAGCCCGAATGGCAATCGGAACGCTCCTTCTCCCGTGATGCTTCTGCTTCCAAAGCTAATCCAGTATGCTATCACCACGCCAGAGGTGATGGAGATTGATTCGAGAACGAGTAGTGTTCCACGAATATTTGGAGGGGAAATTTCTGATATGTAAAGAGGTGCGCCCTATTTCCATAGTTCTCATTAGCCAAGGGCGTCAATATGTTTTAGGGTATTAATGTTTACCATTGCCAATGTTCCAACACCAATTCCTCCAATAAACCTACCAGCAACCAATGCTCCATAATTTGGTGCTGCGGTTTGAATTATTGCCCCGATGTCAAAGATCACCACGACCGCTGTCAATGCCCATTTTCGAGAGTATCGGTCTGCCGCGTAAGGCATGAAGATGCAGCCCACGAAAGCTCCCAGCAGCAACATTGCTGTCATAAACTCCTTCCCAAAGGCGGTTGCTGCAAACGGATACTTTGTATGAAACTGATCCATCACATTGATGATTGAAATCACCCCCATGTCGTATCCCATTGAGAACCCGCCCAAGGATGCGAGGACAGCCGCACCGGAGACATAAGGGGAGCTGACGATCCCTGAGATGCCACCAGGGCCATATGAAACGGATTGAAGAAAGCTGGGCTCCGCATAGATTGTCTCGTCATGTTCTGTCTCTGCTTTGCCCGTTTGCTTTGGCTTGGTGGCGAGAGAATCGGCTCGTTTATCGGTAGCCATGATCAATTAACCAACAGGGCTTGAGTTAGATAGATAGCTAAATGAACAGCTGATATGGGTGACTATAGCTCTGTCTGGCGCCTCATTTATAGTCTCTTCACTGGCTTGCGCTAGCTTTCGTCATCTGCGGATGGGATTCTCCGTATGGCTGCTCATTTGCGGGGTAGTCTGGGGAAGGCTGGCCCGGAGAGACCCACACCCCAGGTTTTAGTGTTTCTCGCCGAATATTTCCCTCCCAGAGCTAGGTGATTGTACACATCGCAACGGGGAAGCTTCCCCGGAGGAAAATAATGACGAAATGGCTCAAGAATAAGACTCTTGATGCCCCCGACAAGTCGGGCCGCCCTTGATAAGCCGACGTCTGTTCAGTTGCCGATATCAAATAACAAGGACTGAGATCAGGTCTCCACCTATTATTGCTGCAGGTCTCACATCAGCTAGTATCAGATCGTCTTAGGTCTGCACATATCGGCTTCGACGGCTATTGGCAAAGCTCAGATTCTCGCCGAGTGTCATTACTCTGCAGGGATGAGAATCCTAGGTATGCAACCGTCCGACCGACTGTCCCGACGGCCCCGTCCACCCCGATAGCGAATGTTTTTCTAACAGTTATATTGATGGTAAGGTATGTCAGTAATGAACGGGATGAACGAATAGCCGGAATATTCCCATCTGGTCAAAGGTGGATCTCTTCACCGAGGGTTATACATGATGAACTTCATTACGAAGTAGCTGCCATCAAAACCTGACGTACAGTACCTAGTAAGTATCTACACAATAGGCTATTCGGTCATAATAGGTTGTCGAAGGCGTTCTCTGGGCGTAAGGTAGTTTCACAGTGGCGCCGAGCCAACCTTAAGTGAACAGTCCATTCCACATCCCTCCCAAAGCGACTTTTCATGAGGCCACCGCACGGGATATATCTGCCCGCTGAGATAGCAGCAGTTCCCAATATACCACACACTGGCGGAGGACGGAGGCTCAATAATATGCTAGAAAATCTATTCTCAACTCCACTGCTGCCTTTATCAAGATTGACTATCTGTCAAGTCTTGGAGTTTAGGTTATTGACGTAAGATTTACCCCTGTTCAAGGTGTGATCACCTGATTTTAGGCTACTTGCAAGGCAGAATGCACGTGACATGTGATCGTGGCGATGCAGATGCCTAACCTTATTTTCCAACATATCACAAGCTGATACGAAGGTTCAAGAAATTACGCTGCCTATGTTCAAACTCCTCTAATAACCCGTGAGACCAATTTCTTTGGGTATCAATCAAATGGATCATGTCTTCCGAACATACACCTTCCGACGATAATTCTTCGACATCCACAGAAGCGGGGACAAACGATGCTAGAAGGCTCCAGAATGTCTTTCGAGTGACCCTCCTGGCTAAGAAGCAGAAAACTGAATTCCATTCTCGTCGGTCTCATAAGAAATCTCGAGCCGGTTGCTCAACTTGTAAAAAGCGAAGGGTCAAGGTATGTGCAGTTATAGAGACCTTGTACTGGACCTCAAATACTAAAGTCAGTTCAGTGTGATGAACAAAAGCCGGAATGTCTGAAATGTCAGAAGAAGGGCCTCACATGTTGTTACGCATCGGACGAAAATCATACAACAGATACAGATTCTTCGGTCGGAAGAGTCTCGAAAGCGGCCCCGACTTCAAATTTGTTCTCGCTCTCGCTTGACAATATCACCAGAGAGATTCAGGAGACTCTGAATTTGGATATCAACTGCAAGTCCGTTGCATTCCGGAATCATAATTCAACGCACCTCATGAGTACAGTCGCATTTCACAACTTCGTGAGATGTTCAACCGCCACGATAGCCAGTCCAGCAGTTCGGAATGTAATGAGGTCTGACATGGTACAGGTTTCCTTTAATGTGAGCCATTCCTAGATATTATCAATCGCCTCCATGCAGCCTCTTATCAAAACAAAACAGAGCTCTCATCTGATGTACACCATCCTCGCAGTCGGCATGCTTCATCTCAACCGCGCCTCGCCCAGCAAAGAGCGATCCATCGCGGAATCTTACTTCTGGCAACACGCCCTCCAACATTACCAGAAAGCCCTATCATCAAAACTCAGCAAGGATAATGTTGACGCAATTCTATCCAGCTGTATGCTCATGAGCGTCATGACTGTCTGCCCCGAGAACTTTCAACCCACAGATTCCTGGGTCCTCACAAACAAACCGGAGGCCATGAACTGGCTATGCCTACAAAGTGGACTCCGTTGTATTTTGACTCTTGCATCGCCGTATATACCATCCAGTATCTGGGCCACTGCATTTGCAGGAATCGACAAAGAAGGAGATGAGATTTTTGATAGCCCCCAGCAAGGCCGGGAAGGTCTTGATCCAGATTTGGCAGATCTTTGTGGGATCGATGACTTTACGACGGAGAATATCAATATCTACTACAGTCCGCTTCGGATTCTCACCCCTCTCTTAACATTGGAACGAGATGCCTCAAACTCCGGACATTGTACTTCCTTCATGGGCCGGTTAGAGTGTGACTTTGTTAACCTCTTGAGGGAAAGAGATCCACCCGCCCTTATCATCTTGGCGCACTGGATGGGTCTCATGTGCTGCTTATCACAGTGGCAGCCGTGGATAGAAGGAAGGATTAGAGGGGAGTGTACTGCGATTTGCATGTTTCTGGAACATAGTACCGATCCCCGGATTTTACGACTTTTACAATTCCCGGCGGAGGCATGTGGATATAAGCTCCATACCGATTCATGAGTATCTGATAATAAATACACTTTGTAACTGAATATTCCCGTCACCAATTCTGAGATATCGGAGTATAATATGTCAATAACGCTGTAAGGCCCTCTTCACCCCAATGGAGATGGCTGAAGGTCGGTGAAGATGCCGTTGAACCAAATATCAAAATCAATCTCATCCTGATTCCAAGCGAATTGCATCTCATTGGTGTCCACGCTCCGGAATTCGTCTGGGCTATTGCCAGGAAACTTGCCAAATGCCATTTCGTCATCGGGATTCAGAATCACCCGGCTCAAGGTCGAATAGTTGGCAAAGATCCGATTAAAGTCAATGTGGCCACCGCGTTTTCTTTGCTTAGTTCCAAAGTGGGCCTCTTCCGCAATCAGAATTGCATCGATAAGAGCGACACCACGCTGGGCGAGCAGATCGTGATTTCGTAAAGCGAGACGCTCCCGAGCAGACAGAACGGCCTCTCTGTACATCTCAATTTTGCCATCAGAGGGGTCTTCCACGGTAGCATTGACTTCAAAGCATAGAATGACTGCTGCAGTGATAGCAAAGGCAGTGTGTGTCCAGATTGAGAGGTCTTCCTCCTTGGCAATGGTCTCATGTTCGCGCAGGATTGTCATCGCAGCCGCAATGCAGGTACGCCTTGAATGGCCATAGTTTGGGTCGTGAAATGAGCGGAACAAAAATGGACGATGTATCATGATGATCTTTTCAGCTGCCGTGATGGCAAGACTTCGACGGACGATGCTCAGCCAGGGGATCTTCGACTCTTTTGCCTTGTCTGGTCGCAAAAGGAAAGACGGTATGCCTTTAACAACGGCCCTCATCTTCTGATCCACTTGTAGTATATGTTCATATTGTTCGCGACGAGACTTGCGCTTGTTCATCGGGCCTAATCCATCAACTAGATCTGGCATAAGGGCGGCGAGCTCAACGAGCACCCGTACATATGTGCTGATGGTAGGAATATTGGTAGGCAATTCGCTGAGATTTTGCTCATCCGCATTTAAAGGACGACCGGTAGAATACTGTAAAGGGGAAATGCTGTAAGTGTCCGTGAAAGGAATAGCGAAGTGGTCTTGAATAATCATCTGACACCATACTCGCCGTCCGACTTCTCGCTCCACGCGTTCTTCCCATTGATCTCTGGTATGTGTTAATGTTGACGGGTGGTCTTTAATCTTGTGAAGCCCCAAGCACTCGGCAATTCGAACGGCGGCATTAAACATGGTCGCATTCAGCTGGCTGAGACCGAGATTGTGTGCAACTTCCGTGGAGATGACAATGGCCTGAACAGAGCAGATGGAGAGATTATTGAGAAAATGTGAATGGTACAACGTCTGGACCATGCTCGAGAAAAGCTGCTGGGCAGTTTGCATGCTGTCAAGGTCGACATCGAGGAGGCTTTTAAGTTTTCTGCTGTTTTGAATTGAATTGACTGTGCAACTCAGGACGGACAGATAGAGTGCTATCCAGAGAGGATTGTCACATCTTCCCGTGCTCCAGAACAAATCACATTGTTCAAGGAACGTCTCCCCGTGGAAGCAGTTATGATGCCACGTCAAATGCCCAATGTGAAACTTGATGAGCTTTTGAGCATCATTTGATATGGGCACGAATATTAATGACTCCAGAGCAGATCCATGTAGCTGGAAAGAACCGCTATTCATCGAAAGCATCTCCGGGTTATCTCGCCGATATTGACAAGCGCATCTTCTGTGAGGGAAGCATCCCGCAGAATTTCGGCCCCAGGCTAGATGCTCTATTGCAGTGAGAATGGGTGGATCTGTAGTCTCCGGGGGTGCCTCGGCCAGTCGATGCAGGGCCTGCCTTTCGTCAAACTGATCCGGTTGCTTGACATCCTCCTGCAGCAAATCGGCGGTACTGTTATCTTCATCGGTCGACGTCGTTGATATCCCGGTCTGCAGCTGAGAGATTCTGTCTCTCAACCTTTGCGCAATATGAGGCAGCTTTTGTGTGGAGCCAGTGTCTAGCTCTGCCAATATTGAACCTAGGAATTGGATCTCAGATGCATGTTGCACAGTATTTCTCCGGAGTCGCACGGTCTCCACCGAGCACTCCAAATTGAGGCGTCGACATCTAGAACAAGGTATTTGCTTGTCGCATTTTCTTTTCCGCTTGGTGCATTCTAGGCCACGTCAGTCTCATGTACATAACTCCACTTGGGACGAGAATGGATGATCTACCTCGACATGCGAGGGGCCGCCGCTGCGACACGCGGAGTGGGCCAGCGGCATCGGCTGACCCGGTCATGGCATTAGTGGAGGTGTTTGAAAGAGAAAACTGTCGCCTTTCAATAATGATGCTTCCCCTTTTCTGCTCATCGATGTTATCGATGTCGCGAGTGGAAGGGAAATCCCCTAAGCGGATGAGTGTGGCAACTCGACCGCCCCCGCATTGCCAGTCAGCCAATCATAGGCTGGCGATATCGCGATATCGCGGGGTCGGACTTTATCGGGCGCCGGCTAATTGGCTTTTTGATGCTTCTTGTTAACTTGTCTTAGTGCTGATTACTGGGGAGACACATCCTGTTTGGATTGGAGGATTTGGCGAAACACTTTGGAAGAATAATCCATTGTGGACAACATTTTCTCCGCATGCTTATCATTTAATCTCGTGAATCACTCAAACAGGTCGTTTGTCTCCTCCAATGTCCGGCCAGCAGTCTCGGGAAGCAGAAACCAAGCCCATCCTAGTCCGAAAATGGTCACGGTCGAAAAGATCCAGAATGTTCCCTTCGGCTGGAGAGCACTGTCAAGCAGCATGGATGGCACAGCCTTTTACGGTTAGCGAGATAATTTCTCGGTCAGATAGGCCAAAACGTACCTTGGACAAGCCATACCGGTTGGTATAGTGGAAGCACATCAGAAGACTTGATCCGGTGGCTCGCAGATGCAGGGGGAAAATCTCAGCATTGATGAGATATTGGATCGAGTTCCACCCTATTGCCCAGCCAATTCCCACGAAATACATAAATACAATCGCTGCGATCGCGGCCCGATTCGCCATCGCATGCCGACTTGACCGTGAGAAAGATTGAAATATACAGCAGGGCAATTAGCTGAATTATGATTCCAGAAATCAATGAACTCTTTCGCCCGACATGGTCAATCAACAAAATTGCACAAAAAAACGATGCGAGAAATTTGACTGCGCCAAATATTGCGGTGACAAAAAGCTTCTCCGACTGCCCTGTCAAGCCCAGCAAAGAAAATAGTTCGGGCGCATATGCTTTGTATGGTCAGCAACGCTCTTTCAATAATCATATCTGAGAGGAATACAGACTCGTTATTGAGTTTGCTCCAGACCACTGGCTGAGAATCTGCTCGGAGAAGACAAAAAGCACTCTTTTCTGGTTGGTCCTGACTGCCAACAATTCCTTGAGCGAGGATACCCAAGACTTGTATATGCTAGACTCTTGAAAAGCCTCTAACTGGCTATAAATGCTCGCTATCTCGGACGAGATATCTTCATGGTCGACCGGGAGACCCCACAACCTCCCCAGAGCTCGCCTCGCCTGGTCCGATTTTCCCGCCTTGCACAGACGCCGAGGACTTTCCTCACACAAGAAAGAGGATAGACCCAAACCTCCTGCCACGATGATTTGTATGCTTTGCGGTACGGTCCATTGCCGGGCGGTGCTATCAGAAATATGCAGCGCGGCTCCCCAGGACGAGAAGTACTGGAGCAGTCAGCACGACAACAGCCCTTGCAAGACATCTTTCGACTCACCCCAACCCTGATCCCAATATACTCCGACATCCCAAACAGCGACACCAGCATCCCCCTAGCATGTGCCGGCGCAATTTCAGCCAGGTATGTCGGGGAAATAACACCAGCTTGTCCTATTCCAAGCCCCATAATAAATCGCCCTGCATATATCTGTCCGATACTCCCACTGGAAGTGATAACAATTACCACCCCGATCAGCCAAAGTAGACACAGCTGCCGCATTGACCAGAGTATGCCGATGTGTTCGCAAAGAAGAAAAGCGATCAGTGCGCCTGGGATGCTGCCAATGTGTACCATCGAAGTGATGTTCGAAAGGCGATTGGCTTGCTGAGAGGTGTCGAGATAGCTGGCATTGAGGCCAAATTCATGTATAAAGGATTCTTGGGCGACCGTGGTGGAAATGAGGCCTTCGTCTAGTCCTGCGGCGTATATCACAGTTAGCATCGTCGATTCGACTCGACTCGGGTTTCTTCCCTACCTCGTGACATTCCGGATAGCCCAAAACAAAAAGCTGCGCATATTAGTGGGAAAGTGAAGCATCTCAACGAGGACGCAATTTTCCTTGTTTCCTTCATGGTGGGAACAGACGGAGTAGGAAGGGACGAGCATTTTCTCGAATGCATTCAGGTTGAATCGATGTCTCCAACTCGCTAGGCTGTCGCAAACCTGCTTTGATAATAATCTGCGCACGAACTCTTTAGCATCAATTGTTACAAAAACGTGGACAACGTAATAATTTGTTTTCTATTGGAGAGTAAATTTGGGGTTGGGGGCCGGACTCCACTTAGCCTCGTAGGGCTGAGAACAAGCTTTGATGGATCGATGATGCAGTTTGTTCTGCATGATCATTTTAAATAGCAGATGCGGGTCCCCATAAAATAGAGGCAATTTCTCTTTTTTCGCGAATTACCGGTGGTATTTATCCTGTTGCCTGGCATTTGGCGGGTCTCAAGACCCAGATCCACATTGACCATGATGGAGTTGAACGAAGCGATTTCACCTTAGTGCTCAGAGCTCGTTTATCTTGTTGATCACAAGCTTCCGCTGCACGGGACGGCTAGGAATAATTATGTATACTTGGCGGAATCGCCTGTTTCAATTCGCCTGGTCTAAGACACGACCGATGTTTCTCATACAGAAAGTCCATCTAGACCATATAATATTACGCCTTGCAATGCATTACGACAAAAGACGCTCGCTTTAAATGGTGGCACTGGCTTGCTCCTTGGCAGCCTTAATCCTCTTCTCCGTCCTTTCGCTGAAACGATCACCAAAGAGTTCCAGATGCGGTCGCATCAGGATAGTATATTTGACAAACTCCTCCATGCAATCCACCAAACGATCCCGGTTCCCACTCGGCTTCAGCCGTTGATCTCCCGGCTGGCCTTCATCCGGGAAGTGAGTGTAGGCTTGTGGTATAGAGGATTGGTTGGGAATGGTAAACATGCGCATCCATCGGCCGAGGATACGCAATGAGTTGACGGCATTGAATGATTGGGATCCGCCGCAGACCTGGGCAATGGCGAGTGTGCGGCCTTGAGTTGGACGGACGCTTCCCGTGCTTAGGGGGATCCAGTCAATTTGGTTCTTGAACACTGCAGTCTAGCCATGGTGAAAGTTACATTAATGCTTGGCGGCACACTCTGTGATCAGTAGAAGGGCTAATGCTTACCAAATTTCCATGCTGCTCGGGGGAAACCCAAAGATGTCCATCACTCCACGCACTGAGCTCTCTGAGCTCCTGAACTTTGGCATGGTTCTGATCCCTGTCGTTCTTGACCGGGAGACCTTCAGGATCAAAGACGCGCACGTCACAGCCGAGACGGAAAAGAATTCGTGAAGCTTCATAGGCCACGAGTCGAGAATATGACCTTGACCGAAGACTGCCATAAAGTACAAGCACCTTCAACCTCTGGTTCGTGAGTAGGAGGTTACTTTCAGCCATTTTAAGAGCAGTGGTGAGCTCCAGGCTCTCCACCCAATCCTCGGCGGCATCTTCCGAAAGAATAAACGGGCGATATTTCTCGCGAACTTCAATGTTATCCTCTTTTGGACTTAATGCGAGAGTTTGCAGGTTAGGCAATTGTCGTGCTTCATTTGAGCCATCGAGTTGAACTGCTGCTGCTGCTGAATGTAGAGGGAGAGTGTGGACTGCCATTCTTGAAAAGCCGTGTTGAGTGAATCGTGCTCTTGAGAGGAAGACTGGTTTCGATGATACCACCAAGAACGATCTGGGGAAATTGAGCTTTAAACTATGAGAAAGCCGCATATCTGCACTACCAACAATCGGAATGGAAACGACCCTCGTCTTCTGATTTTGTGCAAAGCATAAGTTGGAAGTCTGTCATTGGCAGATGATGATTGGCTGCTGATTGCTGAAATACCTGCCGTATCGATCATACGCATGTCGCGATATCAGGCCGAGTCGGGAGTCTATATCGTGACTTGATACTGTATTAATGCGTATTATTATTACACAGGTATCGTGACCCTTTGACCAAAGAGTCAGTCATCATTATTAGAAAGCCCCATCACTGTGAAGAATTCATGTTTTGGATATATTCCGAACTAATCATTGACCATATTTATCTGGTCTTTGGTCTTGCTTAAACTTCAAAACTATGAAGAAGAAGGTTAACACAGAAACAACGCAGAAACAAGGCGGCTCCGCCACATTGACTCGCGCCCGAGACAATCAACGGCGGTCGCGTGCCCGCCGCAAAGAGTACATTCAGCACCTTGAGCAACGGCTACGATCTTTCGAAAGCCAAGGAGTGGTCGCATCACAAGAAATTCAACAAGCGGGGAGAAAGGTTGCGAACGAGAATTCTCTTCTCCGGTCACTGCTTCTGCTTCGTGGAGTGACTCAGGACGAAATTGAAGACTTTCTCAAGTCTCATGCAGAGCATACTACTCCACGAGTAATTGTCGGATCAACGTCACCACACCATGGACTGCCTATGGATTTTGTCGTTTCAGGAAGAGCTTGCGATCGAAAACCAAGTACTTTGCCGAGGGGAGATGATTTCGATGAAAGCAGGGACCAATGTCGATCTGTCGAAGTCCATGCGAATAGCAATACGTATGAATTGACGACCAATCAACCGTCGACAAGAATCCAAACCAACATACCTGAGAATGCACCTACACTTCAACGATACAACAAGGGTCATCAGGAACAGGGCCAGTTTACATCGTGCGAGAGTGCAGCCAGAATCATTGCAAGTTTGCGGGGCTATAGCGATACCAATGACCTACGATCAGAGCTTGGCTGCGGCGTAGAAGCAAATTGTATGGTCAAGAATTTGTCCCTCTTTGAGATGCTCGATAAATAATAGTTCACCCAACTTGTGGCTTTAACTAATGTTTTATAACATCTGTCTTGTCAATGTACCGCACGATCTACCTCTAAATTATCGAGAACAATAGCGGGGGCTATCTCATATTCTTGTCGTTGCTTTTTCCCCTTGGCAATGCACACTCAATGAGGCGGTATGATATCCAATGGTGCGAAAGAGGGCTTTAACCAGGATAAGTGCCTGATCAAGATAGGGGCCACTAAGCCTTCGGCGATAAGAAGACTACAGTAGGATGTACACCTCCTATGTATGTACACGTAGAGGTTTGCCGAGTCAACAAAACTCAACGAACTATTCTCATTATTAACAGTTTTATAGTCCGGCGGGGAAATCTCCGCTCGTATGATAGATCCCCGGAATCTGGGCAATCGATTTTCTTGCACAACTGCCGGGATTGTTGCAGCCCTCGTTTAATGTCCTAGTGACCCGCTATTGGATGATAATCAAGGCGAAGCTTTGACGTAAGAACAAAGAGATTCACCCGGTCGAGCCTATTTTCTCTCCTCACTACCCAAGTTCAAGGCAAGACCAGCAAGCAACCCCACTCCGTCCAGTCGGCGAGGAACATTGTTGGCCAACTGGCTCCAGCTCCAGGCGGAGCACCTCGTAGTCATCAAATTCATCGCTGAACATTGTATACTTGTTGTCGTGGTATCGGCGGAAAAGGACAAAATCGGGGGAACGCGGGGGAGAATTACGACATCATTCCTCTTAGGGCAATCCCACGCGTCCAGCACAGGCCGACTCGTCAAGAATTGATCAGTGATCACTGGTTTTTCGCAATAAGCTCACCGTTCTTCTAGAACGCCTTTTTGTTCCTGGAATCTCAGGGCGATCATTCCGGAATTATTCACCAATTAGAAGCCCCGCTGTAACACCGGCTAGAGCCGGTCAGGTTTGATTGGTTATCACCGCCGACGAGGGGTCCCGATCTATAAAAATCACCCCCCAAAATGAAGATGGCCTTGATATGCGCTTGTTGGGCGATAAGATGGTTGGCATTACATGATTTCCGAGTTCTGTCGGGTGCGAAACTATATCTGTGGGATTCATCTACTCTTTCCCCTTCCCCAACCTCTTTGTTCTCATCATTCATTTGGAACTATTGTGCTTGTCTTCCCCCCCCCTTCACCGATCAGCAGAATAGGGCTTTGTGTCTAGACTGATCCACAGTAAGTGATTTCATACATGGCGGGCATTACTGCCCCGCGTTGGATTTGTTTTATCTAATCATAATTCTCTCAAGATCGATTTCCAGTCCGGGAGGGGGAGACATTTTCCTATCTCTACAACTCAGGCCATATTCTATACACACCTGCTTTATTGATCATATACTATATCCAACTTTCACCTGTCTATCCGGCCTCGCCAATAGAGCCTGACAGTTGCTGTCGGCTTGATTTGAGCATTACAATATGAATCACAATATGAAAGACCACGCTCTGCCCCTGGGCATCCACCGGACGGGAAGTCGACTGGGAGAACTTATCGTGGCCGACACTCTGGTTGCAGCAGGTTCATCGGCTCTTATCACCCCGGCGGTGATGATCTTTGACAGGTACGTTACAAAGCACACATATCTATGTGTCTAGAGATCGTGTACTAACCATTCCCAAGACTCGTCGTTGAAAAGTCCTTCTACAATCAGCCCATGTTCCCAGCATTCCGCCGACATCTGTGGTTCTCTCTAACACAGCCCGCAACCTTTTTAACATCTCGACCTGCCCTATTGGTCTGGTCTCTCTATACTGCCACCTTTGCAACTGCCAATATATCCGAGACCCTGCTGAGCAAGGTCTATCCCAAGATCGACCATGCTATTGCAGGCATGACCACCTTTGCCTCGACTTTTGTGGTGAACTCCTCCGTCGGAATCTGGAAAGACGTGAAGTTCGCCCAGCTATTCGGTCATAAAAATAATGCTCCTCCTCCTTCTCCTCCATCAACGACAGCTCCCTCCCCATCTACACCAGCATCTGCATCAGTATCAGCCTCCGCATCTACATCAGCATCAGCGTCAGCGTCACCCTCTACAGCATCTCCATCCCCATCTTCATCTTCATCTTCATCCACCACATCCCCAAAACCAGAAAGCTCCCTCCCCAAAACCGCCCGCTCAATCGGCCGCACCCGCATCCCCCTCGCCACATACTCCGCCTTCCTCCTCCGCGACGGCCTCACCATCTTCGGCTCCTTCAGTCTCCCGGCCATGCTCTCCACCGCAATCCCAGACTCCATCGCCTCCCAAGAATATCTCAAAATCCTGATTGCGCAACTCGCCATCCCGGCCTCCATCCAACTCATCAGTACACCCATCCACCTCTTCGGTCTGGACCTCTACAACCGGCCCCAATCCATGCCGACAAAGGAGCGCGTTAGCCGTATCAGCCGTGACTGGATCGGTGCGTCGCTGCTACGCATGTGTCGTATTATTCCTGCTTTTGGCATTGGTGGGTTCTTGAATACGGAGGGGAGACTTTATTTGCATGATCAGTTGGATGAGAGGCGGATGCCGTCATGAACTGAGCTTCGCTCCCCCTTTCAACTTTGCATATAATCCTTACATGTCCTTTGGATATAACATAGCCTCTCACATAGAAATTATAGATCAATATACCCTTTTCCTTTTTCCTTGTCTCTATCCTCCTTTTTCTCGCGTCTGATCGCGTGTCTCTTTCCAACTCTTTTGGCATTGGCAGTGTCATTGTGGGGTGGAATCCTTATCGCTTCGTTTATCGTCAACCAACCCCACTTGCCGAGGCGTGCGCCGGCCCGGAAACCCGCTTGTAACCGGACAGGTCACCTATTGATTGTTAATGGTTGGAAAATATTCAAGGATCTCGTTTGCGGTGCTTTTTTGAGTGTTTAGAGTGTTTATTGGCTTTGTGTAGGGCTTAGGTCTTTCCCCGCGTTTATCAAAATGGCGGATCGGAATCCCGGTCAAACCGCCAAGTGTACCCGGCTGGTGGCGGCCGAGAGATTTCCGATTTCAGGCCGGAGGGAATTGGGAATTACATTCTATTTTATCGACCGGAAGGTCCGAGAGAAGGGACATGGGTATAATGTTTGCTATATCAAATAATATCTAGATGCCTGTATTCTAGCTCCGGGTTATCCGGGGTAGATCCTGGGAAATTGGTCGGCAGTCGATCATCCTTGGTAGTCAACTAACTATCTTAACCATACAGATCGATGTTAAGAAATATAGACTAGTATAGGCTCTTCTCTATCAAGATATTCACTGAATACTAAGTTAACTTATCTTTGAGGCAATAGATAACTTGCAGGATGCTCGTCAAAGGCATCAAGTTGGCCAGATCACATGACCCTGCTCATAGTTTGAGATCCTTTGCCCTGAACAATCTATTCTCCAATGCATCTCTGATATTTCATTGTACGTACTTGTTCAAGGATTTAGGTACATCTTTATACTACGGTAGACTAGGAATGCTTCGAAAGTTAATCCTTCTTGCGCGCCGCTTCACCATGCACTCTCAAGTTCAACAGTACTACCTCTGGCAAGTGTCGAGTCGAGAAGTAGTATGGGAGCTAGGAAGTCGTGTTGACGAAAACAAACAGCACTCTAAATTGGGCTGGAATCTGGGAATCTTTGAAGTTTCTTGAATATCTTGTGTGGTCTTGCACTTCTCAAGGGCGATGAGTCAGCCTCGGTACGAAACTTAACTTGTGTTCTTCAGAAATAAATAACACCATCCATGCCCCGCGCAAGGTAAACAAGCTTATCTATCAACCATGAAATGTCAAAATACTTTCGGTCGAGAAACTAATAACTACACCCAGACTCGGCTCCCTCCGAAATACTGTACATTCCCCTGAGGAATGAGTCATGAAACTCGAAACAAATCCGTTATGCAGCACTTCTTAGCCCCCGCTCTGGTGGAGACGTTTTACGAACTTTACAGTGTTTTCACTGGGCAATTGGATATCTCATCAACATTTAACTATACTTTTCTAGCTTAGCCTGTATTTAGTTATTAAACAAACTGTGAGGAAATTATTCCTTGTGTACTTTTCTTCCCGCCCGATAAGCTCCCACATAATCCGTCCATGCGACCGACGCCAAGCTTTTGCATGAGTATTTCAAGATTGAGTCATCCCACGCTTCAATCATTTAAATCCGCGCCTCCTAGACCTATCGTCAATATTTTCTCCATTAAATCTTAACCATTGAAAAGCAACATTCACAATGTCCCTCCCCAAAGAACCCCGATCCTGGCAAAAACCAAACTTCCTCATCTCCACCGACAAATCCCTCCTCTCAATCCCAGCAATCAACCACGCATTCAGCCTGGACATTATATACTGGACTCACCCCGTTCCAGACAATATCATGCAAGGCATAGTCGAGAATTCGTTCTGTTTCGGTCTCTACGAAATCACCACCACCAACCCCGACACCAACTCCACAAATGGCCAACAATGCGAATCCTTCCAAAAAGAGTACCTAAAACAAATCGGTTTCGCCCGTCTTGTCGGTGACATGATCACTTTCGCTTATCTGACGGATCTATATGTATTACCGGGGTATCAGGGATTAGGTCTGGGAGGGTGGATGATTGATTGTATTGGGGAGTTGTTGGGTGAGATGCCTTATTTGCGGTGGGCGATGTTGAGAACGTCGATGGAGAAGAGTCGGGATGCTTATGTTAAGAGGCTGGGTATGGCGGTGCTGAAGTCTGGGGATATTGAGGATGGGCCTGTTATGATGGGAGTGAAGGGGAAGAAGGGCGGGCCCTAATTTGCCTTTGAAGATGTAATTTGGTGGATATTTGAGAAGAGCATCAATCATATAGAGTCTGGCATTGAGTGTGCAGGGATACTGGCGAGTCATTTGGTCTGAGATAAAAGACATGCAGAGCCGCAAGTGGGGGCGGGTTAAACGGTGAGGGCATGGCGAATAGGAGGCTAGCTAGTTGATTAGCTTGTTCAACGACGACTCCTGCCCCATGCTGACAGCCTATTCCATTGCATACAAATAACAAGCTTAATCCTAGCTCAATTGATTTCTACATTAAAAACTTCTTACCTTTCTCTATCATCCTAGGAAATCTCATCACAATGACATGCCTAAATATCCCCCCATCCTTCCTCCAAAACCTCCCTCCCAACGCAACCATCCACCCATTAGACTTTACGCAAACCACCCCTCCCATCCCAGCCTACAAAAACCACTTCGCCGCCGTAATCGACAATTTCCTGACCCCGACCGAATGCACCCAACTTCTCCAACTAGCAGGCGAATCCGCTCATCCTCCAACCACCACCACCACCACCACAGCAACCAATAACCTTTCCACATCGTCTCTCCTCGAACCAACCTGGCAACGCGCCCTCGTCAACGCCGGCTCGGGCACCCAAGTCCTATCCTCCACCCGCAAAAGCAGCCGCTACATCCTCGACTCCCCCGAAATCGCCTCTCGCCTGCTGGCCCGCCTAACACCATTTCTATCCTCATTCGGCCTAACACGGATCGAAAAGCAACCACTCATCACGGGCCTGGGCCCCGCGAAGCGCGGCGAGGTATTCGTGTTAGCCGGGTTGAATGAAAGGATGCGGTTTTTGCGGTATGACGGGGGTGATTATTTTCGGCCGCATTGGGATGGGTGTTATATTCGGGATTGTGATGGCGAGGGCGGGGGGGAAGGGGGAGAGAAGTCTTTTGACGGTGCATCTGTATTTGAATGGGGAGGGGGAGCAGGATTGGGGGATTTTGGGGCCGGAGGTTGAGAGGGTGAGTAGGGGGATGTATCTTTTTGAGGGGGGAGGATGGGATGGTTGATTTGAGGGGGGTTGCTGAAGGAAATGGGGATGGAGGAGATGGAGATGGAGATGGAAAGGAGAGTGGAAGTGGGATTGGATCTGGATCTGGTCGGGAACAGGAGACATTACTTGGGGGTGCAACTTCCTTTGGGGATGATTATCGGATGAGAGATTCGGTGCGAGTCTTTCCCAAGACGGGATCGCTGTTGGTCTTTCAGCAGAGGAATCTGATGCATAGTGGGGATGATGTTTTTCGGGGGGTCAAGTATACGGTGAGGACGGATGTGATGTATGCTTTGGAGAAACAGGAAGAAAGTCGTGAGGAGGCTTAGTTGTGTTATTGTATAGTATTAGCAGTTCTAACGGCTAATCGATGAAAATCTCAGTAATAAATAGAGTTAAAGTTCTATCCATGATTCCATGGATCTCATTCTTCACCTTGACTAATCTCGGCCCACGGTGCTGGCTTAAGTCCGAGCTTACGAGCTGCGGGGAGCAGGGGCCCGACCTGAATAATCCGACGTCATTACTCTTTTTGACATGATCTGACATTATCTGACACGAAATCTTCTATATAACTTCATTCTACACCCCCTCCAGCTCAAATACTCACCAAACAGCATCCAAAAGAACCTTTAAAGCTCCATTGAGTTCAATTAACCCATCCACTCCAATCCACTCCTCCAATTAACCACCACAACCACTTATTACCATCACTACCACCAAAATGCCAACAACACACAACCTCGCCTTCACAGCCCCCATCAACCCCCCGGGCACTACCACCACCCTTACCACATCCCAAATTTGGACCGGCCTCCTCCTAAAATGCCGCTCAGCCGAAACCTTCGTCCCAGCCGCAATCCAAGCCACCACCGTGCTGAGCGACACCATCGATCCCGTGACAGGCAACCCAGTGGTCGTCCGCGAAGTCCTGTTCCGCGAGTCGCAGAAGTTGGTGAAGGAGGTTGTTACGGCGTTTGAGCCTTGTCGGGTGGAGTTTGAACAGCCGGATGGGAGTCGTGTTAGTAATGTTGTTAGTGAGGGGGCGGAAGGGGAGCTGTATTTGACTTATATTTTTGAGTGGAGACATCCGGAACTGGATGCAGATGGGGAGGAGAGTTTGGAGGTGTTGAAGAGGGAAAAGAGGATGAGTAAAATGGCTGTTGAGGGGACTATTGCGGTTTTGAGGAGGTTGGTTGAGGAGGGGAAGATTTGAAAAGGACCTGTGAATGATGGGAGCTAGGGATGATATTTGAAAATGGATGTTTGTCTGTAATAGATTAAGAATCTCTTCCGGTTTACTTGCACGCTCTGTTTTAAGCTCAGACGCAAGCTTCATCTCTACACCACACTCCGGAGTAATCTCCGCAAAATGCCTTCACTACTTTCTACTCTCTTCCCACTCAAAGCTAAATAATTCAATTCATATATCAAACTTTGAATATACTCAATCCCTAAGTGTACCATATCAAACCATAGGAACAGCAATCCTCCCCTCCGAAACCCTAACAGCCGACCCCGTCAACTCCACCTCCTTAATCCCCCCCCTCCCCATCCAACTTAACATTAACCCCAATATCACTTCTCCTCCCCATCTCAACCCCCTGCACAAAATAGCTCCGAATCTCCTCCCCACCCTTCCCCTCCGTCAACGCCAACCAAGCCGCAAGTCCACTCGCCGAACTCCCCGTCGCCGGATCCTCAAGTGCCCCCAACATCATCCTTGTCCGAATCACCTTCTTTCCCGTAACATCGTCATCGACGTCCCGGACAAAGAAATACACGCAGATCAGGCCCGATTGCCAGCCGGAATCTAGGTGCTGCGTGACGGAAACGAGGTCCCCGCCTGTAGCCCGGCTTACGGCGGATAGAGCTTCGAGGGTGGGGAGTTCGATGAAGACTTGGCTCATGCCGTTGACGATTGAGAAGAGGGGGAAAGTTGTGTCGGCGGGGAAGTAGGGTTTCAGTGTGGGGTGCAGGTAGAGGAGGTCTGAGAGTGGGTAGCGGTTTGCATGGATGTGTGTGTTATGCGCGATCTTGGCGGCAACGGTTCCTGTTGATGCGTCTTGGATGGAAATTGGGATTTCGCCGGATTTAGTGATTAAGCTGGTGACTTGCTCCGCGATGCCATTCTCGCTGGGGGATTGACAGAGGAACCAATTTGCGGCGCCAATGGTGGGATGCCCCGCAAAGGGAAGTTCGCCTTCGATGGTGAAGATATCGATAGTACGCTTTTTGGGGTCTGTCACTGGGTGGACGAAGATGGTTTCGGAGAGGTTGAATTCCAGAGTTAGGATGTGCTTTTGGCGCTGGGTGAGTTGGTGGGTTGGGTCTTCGGGGAGGAAGACTACGGCGAGCGGGTTGCCGCTGAAGGGTTTGGTTGTGAAGACATCGAGGGTGATGAAGGATAGTTGGGTCATGGTGGATGACTAGGCAATTGAATGGAATTTCTTTTGTATCGAGGTCATTGAGAGCAGATGGAAGAAAGATAATTTATACTTTCCAACCCCTCTAACGCCATCGAGTCAAATGTCATTGACTCATCCAGTGGGTCTGGTTCGGCAATCAATAAGCTACCGGGTAATGTACACGAAGGGCGCGTAGGGCGCGGTCGGGACTTGGGAGACGCAGTACTCCGTCTGGGCGGGAATCAGAAGGCTTAGGCTGGGTCCGATTGACATGAGGAAATACTGGAGGGTGCTACATTGTATAAGCGTATTGAGAATTGGTGTCGTGGGCGGCAGTGGGGTGACGCGTCTTTCGATATTCCACTCTCAAGCGAGGAATGGCTCTTTTGTTTATCTGTCACTATACTTGCATTCCAGTTTTGAGATTAGTTTCAAAGAACAAGCAATTTGATTGTTTTATCTCACTTCTATACTCTTTAACCCCAGCTACCACCACCCACCAAAATGACCCTCCAATCCATCTTCCCCCAATTTTTCAGAGGACGACATCTCATTCATTGAAGATGACAAAAATACCATGAATGAACAAAAATTCTTAAAACTGTGGAAATACTCTCTCCGCTCCGATTTTCACCTCCGACTCTGGCACACCAGCGACCTGGGCTGTCATCCCAAGCACTGGGGTTAAGAAGACGCAAAAACCCGCCTCGACGGTGAAGCAACAACACCCGCAATCAGCCATGTTAATAAATTCGTTGCAGCGGGAATCAAGGACGAAATCCACATTTTTGATCTTGTGACGCACGTCCGGACTGAAGTCTTACGCGGACATACAGGGGAGGTGGTAACTGTGATATTCGCCCCGTGCTTCGATCGTGGATATGCATCCGACACAGATAAAGTGCGGCATCTATTAGCATCGCAGAGCGAGCAAGAAGGCGGTGCGAATGCAGTTAATATTCTGTGCGAATTGGATGAGGATGGAGAACAAGTGCAATCCGTCGATAGGAATACTTCTCCATGAACGCAGCAACCTTGAAGCATTCCGTGACAGTGTGTCATTGAATATTGATATTAATATTTCCCGTCTCATCACCACCAATTCACTTATTCAAGGCACCACAAATTCATCTGCATGCCCCCTCTCCTTCCCCCAAACCTTCATCCCATCCATCAACGCCCTCGCAAAGCCCTCATGATACCTCAGCCCATTCTCCGGCCACGCCAACCGCCCGGATCTCCAAACAGCCCATTTCTCCGCCATAACACCCTCCGGCGCCCTCAACAACCCAGTCGCAACATCCACAATTTCCGGCCGCTCCTTGCACCAGTAAAACACCGTCGCACCACATGTCCCACAGAACGTCCGAACTACGTCCTCGGTCGAGTGGTATGCCTTGGAGGACCCGACTAGCAGGTTTGATGGTACGGCAGGCGTGATGTGATCCACGGGGACGAACATCCAGCCGATGACGTTTGTGCCTGTGACGAGGCGGCAGTCGTCGCAGAGGTCGAGGCTGGCGAGCCAGCGGGTTTTGTCGAGCGGGGAGAGCCAGGTGCTGCTTGCTGGGCTGGTGATGAAGTCCGGGCTGGGTCTGGATATGTGGAAGGATACGTCGCCGCAGTGGCATTGGGCGAGGAGTTTCTCGTTTGGATCTGCAGGTATATCTGCATTGGCATTGCTCCCTTGAGACACGGCCTTTTCTGTAACCGTAGCCGGTGCAGACGAAGCCGTCTTCGTAGAATCAGCAACCGGTAAATCCAGATCCCACATCTTAAGCTCAACCCCGTCCACACTCCCAAAAACACCCGACAACCCCCCATCCCCCGTAGAACCCGGACAAATATGCGAATTAAACTTCCAAATCCCCTCCTCCTCACGATTAGCATCATAAATCGCCGTCGAGATCGTCCAAGAAACTTCCCCTGTCAACGAACTATCCCCGATATGACAACCGCATGTACTGCAGAACCATTTTCTCGAGCGGAAGGATGGATGCGTGTACGAGGTCAGTTTATCTTTGCTGGAGGGCGCGATGAAGTCTAGATCGACGCCGTCTGGGAGCGGCGTGTGGAAACAGCATGGTGCGCCGTGGACGTAGCGGCAGATTGTGCAGTGGCAGATGTGGATTTTTAGTGGGAGGGAGGATTTAGGGAGGGTTATGCTGAATTGGATGTTGCGGCAGTGGCAGGATGCGGTGAGGGTTTTTGTTGGGTGGGAATCTGATGAGGCCATGGTTGTGGTTATGGTTGTGGTATGGTCAGTGAGGTAGTAGGTAGGGTGGTGGTAGTTTCGAAATACGAGAAGGGAAGGGGAGGGAATGATGGACTCTTTTGTATTCCTTCAGAATCCTTGGGTATCCTATCCTACCAAAACAAGGTCTTCAAAGAAATGTCGCACAGACCAGGATGTTCCCTATCCTGGAAAGCTCGTATTCAGAGTCATACTTGCAGGGCTGGATGTAACAGACCCATGTTTATCGTCTCTAAGAGATTGGATGGAGATATCTCATTCGTCAGGTCGGGGATCTAGCTTCATCCAGCTTAGCCGGATTGGTTGATCTTTTACCCCGCAAAGATGGTGAGCCTCTATGCTTCCAGGATTTCCATCATTGTTGACTGTGGATTATTAATCGAAAAGACAGAAAGGGAATGGGATAAAGATTATTAATTACGAGATGGGGTAATTGGTGCCTAATGATGTACTCGGTGCCCATTAGTAGAATGTAAATGAGTTAGAACTATAGCATTGCTTGCACAAGTGTAAGGTTTAGGCAATGGGCGAAGAGTCCACCTAGCCAAGAGATCATATCGCAATATATCATCCTAGTGTGTTACCTTCATTGACTCTACTATGTCATGAACCATTCAATCCAATCCCTTGAAGCACACGTTTGAATTGATATCAAATATTCCATAAATAATGTACTCAAAATAACGTTAACATGTAGAACATGCAGTATGATCCAAGTGCCTATCACAACATGCCCTGGTATCCTCCATTTATGACTTTGTTACAATTCCTCTCCAATGCAAAACAAAACGCCTCATAAGGTCATCATAAAAAATATCATCCACGAGAAACGCGCTCTCCTATTACTCCGAATCGCTCTCGATCACAAACCCGCCTCGCATTCGGCGACTAGAAGGCGCCACGAGCGTCTCTTCTTCGTCACTGTCGACAGGTTGATCAGAGTCCGCAGGCTTAGGCTTAGATCGTCGATCCCGGTTAAAGACGAGATCATCGTCAAAGTCCATCTCATCTTCACTGGATGTAAGGGGCGTATCATCTTGAGCTCCATGGCTAGTAGACACTTCCTGCTGAGAGAGAGGCGATAAATCGTCTGGATCGGCCATGAGGATATCATCGTCATCATCGTCATCACCACTGCCGCTCCCCGCAGAGCCTGATCCACGACGGCGTCGTTTCGACTCGGTGGCTGTTGTGTCGCTCTTGCGCTTGCGAACACTTGATTTTTTTCCCTTACCCTTGCTCTCTGACTGCGCTTGCTCGGTGTCACCAAAGAGAATGGCCTTCTCGACATTACGCGCTTGCTCTTTGCGCCGTTCTTCTTCGAGGCGGAAGAATTCCTGGTCCGCCTCCTCGTCGGTCTCGTCATCACTAGCATGAATGAACAGATCACTTTTAATCTTCCTTTGGCGAGCCAACGAATTTGCAAGACGGGCCTGGCGACGCTCCTCTAGGATTGCATCGTCCAGGGGCTCTTTCTCGGCGTCATCGGTATTACGCGCCTTCTTCTTGCGCTTTTTCTTGAGCTCGTCTAGTGCATTAGACTTGGACCGTGGGTTTGGCGGGAACAAAGGCCCCTCTGGAATATCTTCGCCTTCGGAATCGGAACCAAAGTTCACATCGAGCGTGCCCTGTGCTAGGCTTTCCCGCGCACTGACTGTCTCCTTGCGGCGGAGCAGTTGGCGAGGATCTTCGGTGCTACCCTCGGGCATGGGGTTGATAACAGCCTTGTTGATGGTGGATATGGCTTCATTCAGGTCAGTTGACGACATGGTCGCGGGAATTACCCATTGAGCACCACGCACGTCCTCCTGACCAAGTCTCTCCAGTCCGACAGACTCCATGAGAAGACGGAGCTTGGCGTTGGAGAACATAGAACTTTGAACGAAATCATCAGCGGGTTTGGCATCTGAAAAAGTGTTAGCTCCATGTTTCTCCAGGTTAGTAGGGGAATCAATACATACGAATCAACGGGTTAGGTGTGTTAGTAGCGTCAGGGTTCTCCGCGCGACGAGCTTCATTCTCAGCCTCCCAGTCCTCGCGTTCGGAAGCAGCCGATTTCAACACATCTACAAGCCACTTCACAAGATCCGCCTGTCCGTCAAGGACAAGGGCACCCACCACCACTCCCTGCTTGGCCTCTTTTGTGAGAACCTCCTTGGAAATGAATTGGAGCTCTGCCGGAGGTCGTTTTGCAGTAGACATAGTCTGTCTTTCCTGTCCAAACTCAAGATAGTAGACTGTCGAGTTCATCTTGCTGAACAGCAACTCCGTGATCAAAGCTGGTCGTTGATCGATCCTCTTCGTCAATCGACGAAGGATTTGCCGCACAAATTCCTCCCATTCTTTAAAAACAGGTTCGCTCGAGTCCATCGCCCCGGGACCCTTGATCATTTTGTGGAAGAGGTGGATGATATCCAACCGGAAGAGGAGTGTGGTCATCTCCTGTTTGAATGCGATCCGGTAGAAGTAGCGGTGGGCTCGCTTCAGTTGCTCCGAATTCAACTCGCGGTAGAATTCAGTGAAAGCGACAAATGTGTTCACACAGCTTTGGTTGCAGAACTTGGCGGCGAAGCGCTTGAAGTCAAAAGCACGCTCTCTGGTCACCTGTGCAGAATCGACCAAGTCCTCGTCTTCAGAGTTCACGTCTTCCTCGTTCTCGGCTCCATCTTGGGCTTCGGTTTGAACGGCGTCCTTCTTGCGTTTCCGAGCTCGCCGCTTAGATCGAATTTGCATGTCAACGTTGATCTTGGAATAACGTTCCAGCATGCGCAAGAAGACATGCGCAAGCTCAGTTGCAGCATCCAAATAACCGAATCCTTGATCCTTGTACCCTCGCACGATGGAAAGGATTCGGTCGTGCGTAGTCTCTTCATAGAAGATTCGGTTCTGGATGTTATCGGCGATTTCTTGATCCTCCTCGATCGGGGAGAAGGCCATTTCCTGAACGGTCAACAGGATCTGCGTGAAGCATCGCATCTGTGCGGTCAAGTCGTCCCACTCCTTATTATCCAGGCTCATTTGCATTCCCCTGTTCAAGGAGATGAATGTTTCCTGGTTCAACACGCCGGCAACCAATCCAAAGCTGTCCGGCTCGACAGCCTTCTTCCCTTGTTCGGCATTCTGGATAACTTGTCGGGCACGTCGGGCACGCTCTGCCTCTAGGAACCAACCGACTGTGTAGAAGAACTGTCGAGCATTGATCCCCGTCACCCGGTCCGCCTCCCGTTCGATCGCCTTTCGCACATGGGTGAAGAGAGGGTTGAAACCGGAGTCCAGGAACTCTTCCACAAATATCCTGAAATTCTTCGTCGCTAATAAGGAGAGATGGACGGGAATGTTGAAATCGTTGTACTGGACAGTATCCTCCTTCTTGCGGCGGGGTCGAGGCTTCTTCCACTTCTTGCTCCCATCCATCTTTTGTAGACTAGCTTGGTCGTCTCGTAGAATATTTTGTCCGGATACCGTAGTCACCTTGTGCTCGTCTCGTTTGACCCAGATCATCGTTCCAAATCTGCCATGCCGGGTGGGCGCATTCCTGGCGTATTCTCGCTTAACCTGGTTCTCTTTGCGGAGAAGATCACCAAGCTCGTCAGATCGCTTTGCCTTTCGTTCCTCGTCGTTCAAAAATAGCTTGTCGACATTGACACCCTTGACAAGATGGAAGAGTATCTCCAGCAAAACCACGTCTTGTTGGTTAAAGTCCTCCGCGACATTCGAACACATGGTCAGAATCAGCGCAAACGCATCTTGATCCTGGAATGCATTGATCGTAGCCGATCGGGATGTCTCCTCCTCGTCACCTTCGGCCGCAAGTCGATCATTGGTGGTAATGATGGCGATGTTTCGCAAAAGGTAGAGCATCAACTTGAGGATACCTTCGTCTCGGGACTCGCGCTCGGATCGGGGAATGGCCATGCTCGGGAGGGCGATACGGATGACGGCGCGCAAGAGGTTGGATCCACCATACTTGAGTATGCTGCGCTTGTACTGCACTTGGATTTGTTGGAGGTATGGGGTATGACGGTGGTGATTGGCGGTCATTTGGCTGTGGTACTCGGCGGGCCAGGTCAAGGGTACCAGCAATTCCACTGCGCGAGTTAGTCTTTCTTCTCATATTCTCGCTCGAAATGAGGTATTTCACGTACGACATGCCAAAGCAACTCGCGTCAGATGCTTGCTGTTTTGTCCATTGGCCCACCAGATCGAGAGAATGGGTAGTAGATCGCCAATAACCAAATTCGCTTCTCCGAGACATCGCACCACGTCCATTCGATTGTTCCTTTGGTCGTAGAGCTTCAGCCATCTTCTGATATCACGCAGACAGGACAGCGCATCGTCTCCGAGCATGTAGCGGTCCGCATCTTCGCCATTGAAACCACCCAGCTAACAAAAGATCGCGTTAGTATCGCGTCCACTATAATAGCGAAAGTCGGGGTTTGTTACATACCGCGGTGACCAGACTGTAGACATGGATGCGGACATCCGGGTCAATGACCTGGACATCATGGCCCACGGAGGTCAACTCCTGCTCCATGGTGGGATGGATTCTTGAATATGGACCACTTGAAGCGCACTGTAACTCGAATAGGAAAACGCGTCTCGGACGCGTTTGCCTCGGCGATTCGGAGAAACTGAGAGCGCCGCCCGCTGCCGAAGATAGCCGATGACGTCGGACTAACTTGAGTCGGTCGGACCAACACGTGAAGATCTATACGGCTGGCCCGTAATTCTCTCCTTCTTTTTACTCCGCAAACCTGAGTGATTTCTGCGATTGCAAATATGTTCGCTTCTTCGCTTCGTTCCGTTGCTCGCAATGGCCCGTTGGCTGCCCGTAGCTTCAGCTCGACCGCTGCTACGAGCGCTGCCGAGGTTAAATCGCTCGGTGTGATCGGTGCTGGTCAGATGGTCAGTAAAACGCATGGACGGAGGGGTGTTCTTTCGCCGCTAATAAATTGCAGGGTCTGGGAATCGCTCTGGTTGCCGCAATAAAGGCTGGAGTGCCTGTTACTTTGGTCGATACCTCGCAGGCCTCGCTGGACAAGGGCCTCAAGTTCGCTGGTAAATAAAGCCTTTCATCTAGGTTATCCTCGGTTACTCTGATAATTGGGCTTCACAAAGTTTACGACGGGGCATTCGAAGATTTAGCTAATTGTTGTACTTCTCTCCAGACAAGCTCCTTGAGAAAGATGTCTCCAAGCAGCGTCTCACCCGAGAAGCCGCCGATGCAGCTCGGGCCCTGCTTACCCCTACCGTGAAGATGGACGACCTTTCCTCGGTAGACTTTGTCATTGAGGCCGTTCCCGAGATCCCGGATCTCAAGCAGTCCATCTTCAGGAATCTTGCCCAGATTGCGCCCAAGCATGCCATTCTGGCCACTAACACCTCGTCCATCCCCATCACCAAGATTGCCGCGGCCACCACGACAGACCCGACAGACCTGCAGGCTCCATCGCGGGTGATCTCGACCCACTTCATGAACCCCGTCCCCATCCAAAAGGGTGTGGAGATCATCCGGGGTCTGCAGACCTCGCAGGAGACCATGGACACTGCCATTGCCTTTGTCGAGCGCATGGGCAAGGTGGCCTCGGTGTCCGCCGACTCACCCGGTTTCCTGGCCAATCGTATTCTCATGCCCTACATCAACGAGGCTGTTCTCTGCCTCGAGACTGGTGTCGGTGGTCGTGAGGATATCGATAACATCATGAAGAACGGTACAAATGTTCCCATGGGCCCGCTGACCCTAGCGGATTTCATTGGCTTGGACACTTGCCTGGCTATCATGAATGTGCTTCACCAGGAGACTGGCGACAGCAAGTATAGACCTGCTGGCCTTCTCCGTCGTATGGTTGATGCTGGCTGGATGGGTAAGAAGACCGGTAAGGGCTTCTACGATTATTGATTCTTGATCTATATCTACCCTACAATGGTATGATTCTTTGACGGCGCAAAATCAATTTCTTTTCCTCCGCAAGATACCTTCTGTATGCTACCATCTTAGATTTCACGTGATCAATACATACAATCAAAAAGGCTTATTTTCTTCGAAATGTGCTATGGAACCTCATAACAGACTGGGATTGCTGTTAGGTTAAACGTGCACACCTCTCAGTTAGGTGATGCACTCTCACGTCTCAGTGACTCAGACACGTTATCCCACCACCCCCCTCCCCGCCCACCTCGAATTGCCTGCCCCCCTCGCTCACCAAGGCGTCAGTCTCGGCCCTGCTAAGCGGTGTGGCCAGCTTCAGCAGCATTCTCTAGATCGGCGTGTTCCATGGCCGCCACAACCACCGCAGGGTCGAGACCACCCTCCTCCTGCCACACGGGCTCATACAGGACGTCCGCCGTCTGCCAGCAGCCACAAGGGTGTGCTCGCCCACACACGTAGCTAAATTTTTTATTACAAGTCAGCAAAATCTGAAGCAAACAGGATTGAATAGGATGTCAGCTTCAGCTCCGTCACTTGCCAGAAATCTGCTCCACAGGCGCACTTGATGTGCGAGCATCCCCCATTGCGCTCGACTAAGGCATGGCAACGATAACACCGCTGCCAATGCCGTCGTCGGGCCACATTCAGGATCTCTCCCAGGCCAGGGTCATCCGTGCACTGCCGGTCACCATGAGCCAGATCCTGACAAAGCGGGCAGATGGCGACCCGGCAATACGGGCACTTTTGTGTCTTGGACCGTGGCTTGAGGAACCGGGGAGAGATCCAGGCCCTGCAGTTGACTGCCGGACAGTACCATCGCTCTGCAAGAGGAGTTGCGGCTTCAAATGCACGCGAGATGTAGACCCGTCTGGCCCGGGGGCCCAGAGCGGGTGCTACTTCTTTGGCGGGGATCTCTTTGGCGCAGCAGCGGATTGGGAAGAGACTCCTATCCTTCAGAGCGAGGGTGACCATCTCTTGGATGCAGGGGCGGCAGTATTTATGGTCGCATGTGGCGCTGACCAGCTTGGACGGTTTGACTTCCTTGTCGCACGAGACGCATCTACTGTAAGGAAAGAAAGGTATGTTAGTGAGGTCGATTATTTATGGGAATTCGTTGATACTGACGTCTTCTTGGCCCTTCCGCTCTTCAAGACGAGCTTCAGTCTTTCTCTCAGACCAGGCCGCTTGTCTCGATCTTCTTCTGGGAGGTGACCGCTCGATCTGGTGGTTGGAGCGGTGGGCGTCGATGCGCTCGGAGGATTTGGGTGATTCGGCGTGTTGCTTGCGCCGGGTGCAGCATCTCCAGCCTGTGGCACTGCAGCAAGAGGTCTGGCAAGCCGTGGAAGCTGGCTTGATGTATTGCCCCTCTCTTGGTACAGCCTCTTCAGCCCATGGCGAGCGACGAGATCGGAGATGCTCCGAGAACCGCGAAAGATGCTGGGCAGATCCTCGGGTGAATGTCCTCAAACGATCTACATCAAGAGGTGGGATGCGAAATTGAAATTGAAACTGGAACGGAACCAAAGCCATCTTTCTGATAATCGAGATGATTGGTAGGAGCGACTAGTGGATGGAAGTATGATGGTGTGAGATGATTTGTTTGACGTGCGTTGGAAGTGAGTATGCGCGTCAACGTTTTGATGGGATGAGATGAGTGTCAAGTGAAGAATTGGATGGTGCTATTTAACTCAATGCATGATCTCCGGGCAGCGTCCGACGACTAATCGACCCCCTACGACTCATACCCCGACGATTGATACGGTTTGCCAACTACCGTAGATCAGAAGGCATCGCCCATGGCTAGTATGCTCAGGCATTGTCAATGGCTGTCAGGCTCAGGCCTCGGAAATGCCGTCCAGTTCTCCCGGGTTCCGCGCAAGGCAACGGGATCTGACTATGGTATAACCCTTCTTTAAATATGCGTTGCCCTATTGTGAGCGACTAAGCATCATAGGTCGGGACAGGATTTTGAGATGGCAACATGGTGAAGGTATGTTAAGCCGGTGCTTCTTACTATCCACGGTTGTATGTGTAGAAAACATGATAGATACAAATTCAGCAAGAGAGCGTATCAGAGCGGCGTCATTCCATAGCTAAATTTGTATTGCCAAAAAGATCAAAGAGAACCTTTGGAGACCATATTTAGTTAGGTTGTGGAGCTTAATTATGACCAGGGTTAGACCCGCGGGAAACCATAGAAGATCATTCAAATAGCCGCCATAAAAACCATCAATTAGATAAAAAAACAAGGGTATCAATGCATTAAGGTTTTATGCCCGTATAGCTCCCATAACTCCCAAAATGGCTTGCGGATGTATGATTGCGCATCCCAAATCGCGATCAGATCATGCCGGCGAATCTCCGGCCAGCCCATCCAGATCCGTATTCCTGGTATTCCTGGCGGGTAATGGCCAGCTTGCCCAGTTCTTCGCGGTTACTTGCAAGACGAGAGCCGCCGAGCCAGGTGAAGCGGAAAGGACTAAAAACGGTTAGTCAGTGGAAGCGGAATGGAAACACCACTGGGAGACAACTTACTCCTCAGCACGTCGTACGCGAACAACACATTCTGAAGATGCAATCCCTCGGAGGTCATTTTCTCTGGTATAGCGAGTTAGCAAATTGCCACATCTGAGTCGCAAAGTAGATCATAAACCCAAACTTACAGTCTTTCCATGAACCCGGGGATGCAAGAATTACCACCAACCACCAACACATTCGCCAAGAAAGCAGCATGCAATCCAGGCGGCAGCACTGATAAACTCTGGAGAATCATATCGGGGATACCAGCTTGTTGCATTCCAATATCACTGGGTGTAAATAGAAGCTCCGGGACAGTAAACCTTTCATTGCCTAGAACGAGCACATCCTCAGACAAAACCTCGGCACTGAGACCAGAGAGTGCACCCTTCTTTTTCTTCGCATGTAAGAGTGGATCATGTGGGCGCATGAAACCCGTCTTGTGTGCATTTGGATCAGGAAGCACATAGTCCACTACCACACTTTGGGCTTCTTCACGCTTGCGATTCGCCTTCCAGGTTCGTTCCATATCGCTCTTGAAATCATTGCTAACGAAGCAGACTGCTTCTTTGACTTCGTTCATGATGTAGGTCTCATCCACCATGTTGTATTGTCGCATGGATACAATCTCCTTCAGGTAGTTTGTGAGGAGCTTGCCGCCGACGTCGAGCCGTCGGATGGCACGTTGGATGGGCTGGCCCTTGTATACCGGTGTCACCGTTGTATGTGAGTATCCTGAATCGACGACCAGCAGACAGTCCTTGGGCATGATATCGGAGTCGGTCTTGTTGAGGGGATCGCCAAATAGCGATTGGACCTCATTCCAAGCATTAAGAGTCGGGCCTTCAGAGAAACAATAGAATCAGTATCTTCTATGCTGGAAAGACCATAATATTGGCATATCCATTTCTTACCCAAACACCTAACATAACCTCCAAACCCCCATTCCTCCATAACCATCTCATCCGTATTCCGCTGCAACACCGGCAAGTTATTCGGCGCTTCAGTAAGCACCAGAGTCGTTTCCTCTGGATGAGCAATACGAAGCTGCTTATTCCGCGCCGTCGCCTTCTCCTCGAAGAAAGTCTGATCCCAAATCTCCCTCTCCGCTTCCCAGTTCACGATATATCCCTTCTCCACCGGGCGGCGGAACACCGCCTCGTTCCAGTCGGTAACATGGCTTGCGATTTGTGTGCCAGTCCAAATTCGGTTATCCCGGGTCTTCACGATCGCGTTTGGTATTGAGATGCAGTTGGATAGGGCTTCTTCGGGGGAAGACGAGGGATCGCAGGCATAGCCCGCTTTCATTGTATAGGCGCCATTGTCGATGACGAAGGTCTTGTTGGGTATATGTCGAGCTGGGACATCTGGAGAGTTCTTGGCAGCCTTCGTGGAGGTGCGCGACTTTGTCACCATTTTTGTTAGTTGTTGAATGCTTTGAATGGCGACGAGAGTCGAAGCTCTTTGGATGCTCCGCTAGGTGTTTGTCGTGTTTGATTGAAGCGGAACTTTTTGTGATGCCTGAGGCTTCAGGCTTGTAAGTCTATAGATCACGCTGATGATGGAGTGTTCATGAGTACTATAGGAGCTATTCTTTTTAGGTATTTTCCAGTGAGTCAGGACTAGGCTAGGTAGAATTCTTCAATTGGTCAGTTTAAATTGCAGTAATGCCTGACGGGTATGCACATACTATAGTCAACAGCAAACACTCAAGAGATATATATCCGGGTAGTACTATCTGCCTGCCTAATCAACTCATAAACATTTAAAACCCAATGAAGAAGGAATATTTGAATTACATTGAAGCACAATTGAATTTAATGACAATTTCCAGTCAATCATCCAAGAAATCCTGGAAAACCCAGCTTCATCACTCTAAAGAACATGCCCTACAAGCCCTCCCATTCCTACCCTACCAACTTCAAACTTGCCCCGCCGAGAGCCCCGCGGATTAAAATCAAAATCTCCGCCCAAAATTTCTCTCAGCTCCAAAACACCAACCACCAAACCTCTTCAATACAGCTCTAGTAGCTAAAAACCACCACACACAACCTCTAAAAATGGCCACCCAATTCCCAGTCGTCATATCGACTACCCTCACCCTCCTGGAGAAATTCCAAGCAACCCTCGCATCCCCTACAACCGCAACCGCGCAGGCGCCATCCAAAGATGCCAACGCGAGCGCAGAAGCAGACACCACCACAAACGCTCTCCCCCTCCTCTCAAACTCCGCCGCAGTACTCAAGTCTCAAGTCACCAAGCTCTCGCTCCTAGCCATCACCGCGCCCTTCACTCATTCCGCCGTTAGCACCGTGCTGCGCGCATGCAACGAGTCCGTTCTCCCATCGCTAGTCACCGCCGCTCTACTCGTTACACCCGCTGGGTACACTCAAGCATTTCATACGGAGATTCTTTTACTTGTGAAGACTGCATTGGTGGAGTTTTCTACATTGGTGCGGGATGTGAAGGGGATTGCTGAGACGAAGGACTTGGCGAAGAGGGAGAGGGACGCCAAGAAGGAGAAGGAGGGAGAGATTTCGAAGATCGAGAAGGATGCTGTTATGGTTGCTGTGGGGCGGGTGTGGGATGCTTGTGATGCTGTCACTGAGGTTGCGGGGAAGGGGGTTGTTGGGTTTGTGATGCGGAGGGTGGAGCAGTGGAGGGATCTTGTTAAGGATGCTGTTGAGGAATTGGAGGATTGGGATCCGGAGGAGGATGATGAGTTTTTTGATGAGTTGATGGGGGAGGAGAAGGGTGATGACAACGACGATGACGATGAAGACGAGGACGAGGAGGAGGATACGGCTGCGCTGCAGGAGAACAAGAAGTCGACTCTCCGATTCATCAAGCCCATCGCCCAGGTCTACCCTGCTATTCTTACAAACCGACTTAAGAATGCGGGTGACAAGCCTTTGTCTTCGACGGCTGGCATTGCAAAGCTTGAGTCTTTGATGATCAATCTGCAGAGTATACCTGATCAGGTTGATGAGGCTGCTGGGGCTTTGTATGAGAACAACTGGAGCAAGGCGGCGGAATACCTCAAGAAGACGCAGAAGAATGCGGCGCAGGCTGTGAACTCGGTTTCTTCGCCGTGGATTGTTTCCGAGATTGCGGAGGGCGAGCAACAACCGGCTGACAAGTTTGCTACTTGGTCGAAGATGTGGCTCAAGGTCATGGACGAAGTCAGCAAGCCGATTGATGCCGCTGTGAGCGAATAGATGCTCAAGTATGAGACTGGTGCTGTACGTAACTGGGATCATGGTTCTGTCAGCGTGATAGACACTACTAGTCTTGTCAAGATAATATCCATGAATAAACTAGAATAAATTGGATACACAGCCACTGAAATGTATATGTACATTGAAGAAAATGAAGGGAAAACTATGATACATATGGCAGATGAGTATGAACGGGCAAAGTCTCATCGGTCAAGTCAAAGGGAGAGAATGATAGCCAGACACCAGCTTAGAACGTGTCAACGCGAGCAGCCTTATCTTCATGCTCCCAGTCGGGCAGATCTTGGGTAGGAATATGATCCTTCAAGAACTCCAAAACAGCTTCAGTGCCCTTGGCGACGACTTGCCACCGGGGAACCCGGAATCGATTGCCAGCAACCTCGAACCTTCTCAGTGCTGACCCTGTACCCCAATTCTGCGGAGAACGCTCAGCACCGAGTAGGCCAATCTTAGGAGGTAGATAATCAATGTCGTTGTTGCTGATATCCAACACCTGCAGGCCCTGTACTGCCTCGAACTCCACGCTGGAATACTGATTGTCCGAGGCCAGGAAAGTCTTCATCTCCAAGTATGTCTGTCGAATGTGCGGGAGGGATCCGGTCAGACGGTTGTTGGACACGTCTAGGAAGTTCAGCGATGGAGCTTGCAGGTGTTTCAACAGAGGCTCTAGGGAGGTGAGACCAGCGGCACTGAGATTGAGACTTTGCAGCTTTGGCAGCTCAAGTGAAGAAGACATGAGCTCTGCACTGTTGAGCGGGTTGTGTGAGAGATCAAGCTCAACCAGTCCCTGTGCAAGCATGGTCAAAGCTGGGACAGGGAAAAAACGAAGTTCATTATGCTGCAAGTAAACGCAGCGAACGTCCTCCGGGTTGATCGACTCGATCTTGGTTGATTCCAGATCTGTGAGGTCGGAGTATGATCTGTCGAGGACACCGCCAGGCTTCACCTGCCAACCACTTTCCAGCTCTGGGGTCTCTGGCGCCAGCGTGAACTGAGTCGCGACTGATCCCTCGTCGTCGGTATCTTGAGGTTCGGGTTCGCATCGATTCCGGAGATCCTGGATGATTTCATCCGAGCTCATGCTGAGTAGCTTCCGCTCACGAAGCGGGTTATTGGCAATTTTGAACGTAGACAGGCTTTCGATCAACCCGATCTTCTCATCCACCTGAGTGATGTTATTACCAGTAAAGTCGACTGTCTTGACATTCTTGAGGTCAACGAAACCAGCAGGAATCTCGGTGAGACGATTCACTTCGGCTGCAAGAACTGATAGAGATTGCCATGTAGAAACACAGGGAAGAGCCTTGATGCGATTCACATTGATAATAAGGCTGTGAAGGTTGGGTAAAGATAGCTGATCATTGGCCGCAAGGAGGTCCAATGAATTATTTGCAACATTGAGAGACTGCAGATTCTCCAGTCGGTCCACGCTTTCTGGGATCAATGTCCCATCCATATTGTTCTTGGGGGCATTGAGGGTCTTGAGAGGAAGCTTGCTTAAAGCTTCGAATGGCAAAGAGGTCAATTCATTCTCGCCAACATCCAAGACTTTCAGACAGGTCAGTTCTGAGATTTGATTCGGCAGCCTCGTGAGAGCATTGTTCCGTAGGTCCAAGCTTTCCAAGTGACGGAGACGTCCGATTTCCGAAGGAAAAGTTCCCTCCAACTTATTGGATGCCAATTTCAAGTCCACCAAGGATGGGATTTCCATGATGATCTCGAGCTTGTCCAGGGTTAAATCATTATTCGATAAATTGAGAATACGCAACTGGTGAAGTCGCCGGACTCCCAGTGGTAGAGAGAAGAGCTTGTTTCCATGTAGATCCAATGTCTCTATTCCGCCGAATTGAGGGCCTCGCTCATCACTGTCAGGGTCGAAATCCACGGGGTCGATGTCAGGGAAAACGATATCCGCAATTCCAGTCAATTCATTGTCTGCAGCGATGAATTTGACCAAGTCCACGTTCTCGAACCAGTTGGATGAGTTCTCCGAGTCGAACTCGTACATGTTGATCACCTCATTGGGAATCTCCGTCAATGACATCGCAGCAATATTCAACGTGCCTGATGCACGAGCACCCTCCACACGCTTCTTGAGCACAGCCGTATTGGATCCCTTGGGAAGCTGATTAAATGGATCCTCGGCATCAACGCTTTCCCATGTATTGATGGACGACTTGATAATTTCCGGCTTCGATTTGTCTTTGCTTGTCGCTGTCGCCGCAGCTTTTCTAGCGGCCTTTGCCTTTGCAATACTTTCTCGCAAAGCATTGGATGATTTGGACGCTTTCCTCGCCTCACTTTGCGCCTGCTGCTCCGGCGTAAGTTCGTCCTGTAGGGTCGATGCAGCAGACACGTATCGCGAAGGGGTCGAGGGCGATCTCGTAGAAGAAGGGGAATCTGTTTGAGGTTGAGGTTTCCTGGTCTTCCGTACATGGAGTGGCCGTTCTGGAGGGCCCATATCAGACAGAACGGGCTTTGATGGTTTCTTCACTAGGGAAGGGCGAGCAGGTGACGCTTTACTAGGCACCGCTCCTGGAACAGTCAACTTCCCCGAGGCCACCTTCTTGAGTGAGGGGTTAGATTCGACAATGCCACTTCCAGGTCCAATACTCTGTCTCGCAGATGGTAATCTCATTTTCGAAGGGCTATCGGTGGCCTCTGAAACCTTGCCCGATGCCAAAGATGAGGTCAAAGGTGCCGACGTGCGAGGACGGGAAGGGAATCGGAGCTTGGAGACGGGCGGGGGCAGAAGATCATTCCCGTTTGTTTGGCTAGAGGAGGACCGTGATGGCGACCTTGAATATGTGGACACATTGGATGGCGTCCGCGATGGAGATCGTATTGGGCTGGCACCATTGAAAAAGCTCGATTGTCTTTTCGCCGAAGCCGGCGATGGTGGGATGTGCGCAATTGTCTCGATTGTGCGTTCTGACAGAGATGGACGCTCCTCCTGACGACCGCGAGGCTCCTGTGCAAGTCCATCATTCTCGTCGTCCCCACCTAACAAGCTCGCACCCTCCAATGTTTGTGTTCCGTCTATTTCCGTTTGAGGCTCGTCCCGTTTGGGAGGAGGTCGGACGATTGGCTTTGCTGGTAAGGAGTAGCGTGGGACTGTGGGTGACTTCCGCAGCGATTCATGGGACGGTCGTCGGAGCCGACTATGGTCCAGTCCAGGGTCGGCCTGCAATCGATCGCGGGAGGGGGAGGGGCGGATGGATTTCGGTGCGGTGGATGTTGGCAGGGGCAATCTGGATGCTGCTAGCCGTGGGATACCACTGGCTGGGCGGGTAGTGGTTCTCTGTTGGCTCTCCATCTTTTGACGATGATTGTATTGCTGAAGCGGGGGCTCAGTCAGGGTGGCCAAGTCGTTAGCAAAAACTAGGGACGCTCAATGCCTGAGCAGAGCTAGAAATGTGACAGGTGCGGGGAGGAATCAATGGCGGGGATTGAGTTGGCGTATGGTTGGTCCCGCCTCATGTTCAAACACAAAGAAGAGAAGAGGAACCCCTGGGGCGCCGTCGATTTAGGATGGGAGATCGATCGAAGCTAAAAAAAGGTTGATTGGATTGTTTACATTTACATGTCATCCGAGATCCTCACTGATAGCGGCCTGAGGCACCAACTGCCAATAGTGTTGGACTACTCAAATCAGAGGAAGACATACCTTGCAGGTTTCAGGGAATTTTTTGTGGCGGTCACAATCAATCTATGCAGACATTATGGAGAGTGGCAGATATCATTGTGTTACTACTGCACAGCAAACGAGTTTAACTTTTTCATCTTGAAAGACAGCGTGGAATGGACGGCTAGCTGCCAGCCTACCATGCCAGGGCAGGGACCTAGCCGCGTGGCACACATAGCAATAGTAATTTTCTTGATTCTAGAAGCTATTTCTTCGGTAGTCAATACTATTTTCTAGCCTTAGATATGCAGTGGTAGATAATTTGAAGCTATACGGTACAGACAATACTCACATGATAGTCAACACTACTTCCTCGAACTAAATGCGAAGCTATCATACGAGCACTATTTCACTGTACAAGCAAGGAGGGTTGCTATCTCTCTAGACGCAAGAAGAACCACTAGCTGCCCTATTTAGTTTCTTGTGTATTGCAATAGAACTCGCTTTTGGAATTCAATTAATTGTTTTATTTCATAATGACGTAAATAGGCAATAGACCCCTTTAATCCCTGACAGCAGTGGGCCGAGAAGCAAACTTGAATTACTATTACCTGTGCATCTATGGGACGTGATATGAAGTAGTTTCATCTTATTCAATTAATTACCCTGTAGCTACCCATGTCAGATACGCTTCTATTATTTGGTACTACGTCATGGACCAATTGAGAAGAGATAGTCAATCTTATTGCTATAGTAGTATTAGAACTGAACTATCCATTTTCCCCATTGCGCCTCTTCGTAGGTCAAGTATACGCTCTAGCTCCTCTCTAAATCCTTTTCTGAGCCAACCCAGCTTAATGAGGCTGAATACGGCTGGGGATATACACACTGTGGAAACAGTGATATGATACAATGAGCTGAAACCAAGCTACAGCTAGTGTTCGTCCAAAATTATCGGTTGCCAGCCCAACCCGTAGCCCGCTCCCGCTGTTCGCGGGTGTTTACTTGCCCTGAGCGTCTCGTGATCGTCAGTCTAAACCTCTTCTGGATCAGTGGAGTCACATGTGGGTCACATGATTGGCCCAGATTCCCAGCGGAGGCTGGTGCCAAAGCCCCCAACTGGGTCTTCATCTGACTCCAACTGGCTCCCACTGCCCAGCCGCACTTTGCTATGCCCGTTCCCAGCCTCCCAGCCCCCCTCCTCCACGATATCAATCCAAACCCGTCCCACTACCACTTCCGATTTCCCACAACCCTGCTATCCTCCCCTTCCCTCCCTTTATCCCGCTCCTCTCCCCTCCCCCTGTCATCCTTTGTTCCATTCCCCTCAATCCAATCCATTCTTGACGTCTGCTCGGCCATTCACACAAGTGATTTCCGACGCTTCGTATTCTCGAATCCTTCCAATCTCCGGTATGTTGATCGGCTATCGTTCATATCGCTATCGATAGCGGCCTGATAAACTGATTGAATGTCTAGTGCGAGGATCACACTTCCCCACGGTTGAACTACTACATTCTCTGTCGTCATTCCACTTCTGTTTTGACGACACATCCCCAATCGGTCATGTCTCAAACCGCCTTTCGATCTCCAAGTCCCCTCGCAGCACCGGCGGAGATTCTTGCCCCGGCAACCCCAGTCCGTCGCAACACTCTATCTCCTTCGCCAGACCTCAGTGCCGCCGTCAAAGATCGCTCCTCTCAATCAGACAAGAAGTTCCTGTCTCCACCCGCCCTCTCATCATCCGATATGACTCCGCCGCCTTCCACCCAGATTCCCGGAGCGCCTCTGCGCCGGTCTCACTCTCGCTCTCTAAGTCCCGCCATTGTTACCCCCGCCGACCTGGACAAGTCACTATGCGCCGCCTACGGGGCGTCGGAGAACCTCCCAACGACTGAAGAGATTGACAATGCCAGCGAGACCCGACTGCGACAAATCGCCAAGGATCTTCTCGCCGTGGCCCAAGAGGCTCGCATGTCGGCGCTGCATTTCAAGCTTCAAAACAGTCTGGTCTCATTTGCCAGCAACGAGGCAGTCAAGCGCGCCGAAGTCGAGCAGCAGCTCGCCAAGCGGGAGGTTGAGATTCTTCAGAGCGCCGAGTATCGCAGTCGCTCGCGCCCTGCCGAGCCCTTGACCCCCAAGCAATCTCACTCTGTCCCCACCGACGACTACCTGGCCGTCCTCCACCGATCACAGGAACTAGAAAATGCCAATCTTGTTCTGGACCGCCGTCTTCGCAACGCGAAGCGTGCCATTGACGATACAACTGCCCGCTCAGTGGAGCTGACTGAACAAAATGAGATGTTGAAGCGTCGTATCCAGGACAACCGCAATCACTTTTCCCAAATTTACAACTACGGTGGCTTGTCTCCCGGTATGCAGAATGAGCTCCACACGATATGCCGCGGCGAGCACACCGATGGCCTTGCAGCGCTTCTCTTCGCCGACAAATTCACCAACCGCCTCCATGAACCACAAGGCTCGTATGGCGCCCACTCCTCTGTCCCTGTGACACCCAACCAGCCGCGCTCCGCCCGCCAGGATCGTCACTACCTGACGCCAGGCCGCAATGCACGCGACCAATACGATAGCGACAGCACCGTGTCCCTGTCCGCCCCCGAGTCTGAAGACGAGATTGTCGAGGCCAGGCATCAGCACGTGCGGACTACCGCCCCTAAAACCAGCACTCTTCTTCAGACAAAGCTATTTGGCCAGGTGAAGAAGGCTGGCGTGGAACGTCCCCAATCTTCCAAGCGCAAGGCCGGTTCTGGCGATAGTCCAGCCACGAAGAGATCCAGGACCAATGCCGGAGTGGGTCTGGGCATCGAGACCTAACGGCTCCAGTTCCCCCCACCCTTCGGCTACACGAGCGTCCGCACTGACGCTTGTGCATGTCCACTTTGGATACGATTCATGAACTAGCGCTGCTTCTTGGCCTTTGGCATTCACCTGTGACGACTTGCCTTCCTTTGGGAAATATGAATGATGAACAAACCTCTCCGTCTGTTGACGGCATGCACTTTTCTACTATAGCGATTGGGATTTTGACTTTTTTGACTTTTTTTTTCGTTTTTATGGCTTTGTTTCTTTTCATTGCAGGGTCTGAGTGGCTTTGAGCTTCTACACCAGACAATGGCGTTTAATACAGGGATCATCTTTATCTTGTCTTGTGTGGACTGGATTCTTTATGATCGGTGTGGAATGGCCACACTGTATCTGGTCCACTTTTCCATGGTCGGGTCTGTCGGGGTCGGTAAGATGGGAATTCGTTTCAGACTGCATCATCACTTTGCATGGCTGTACTATAGGAATAGAATTGAATTCAATCATTGAAAAGTTGATCAGCATTCATTGCTCTCTAGTAATCCTTTCATGTTGATGAAGAATAGATACTCGATCTAACCTTAATTGGAACGTGTGTCGGACTAGCTTCCTGATGGAGTAGCATGTTCCTTGTTGGGACATGAATAGGGGAAGACGATATAGTATATTCAAACCCATTTGGTAGGCTCCGTCTTTATTTGAATATCCCTTTGATCCGTAATAATCTAAGTGACTATAAGACTGCCGCCTTCATCCCAGGGCTATCGTGTCCGTATCCAGGCTAAGAGGGCAGGTGCATCATAGAGCTGCACCTGGATAAATAGTAACCGAGTGCTATACACAGTCCACAAGCGTCTTCCCTATGATATCTGATCAATTACATTGCAGCTATTCAACACTCACTTCAGGCATAAATGCGCCGAATCTCTTGACTGGCACCTTCTCTGCGTAGAGACGGTCAATCTCTTCAGTAGTAAGGCCGGTCGTGTTCGGAACACAATAATATGCACAAATGAAGACCAATATCGAGAGACCCGCGAACGGAAATGCGGTCCTCGCCCCGAGATCACTGGAATCCGTGTTATAAATGTAAGGCACGACGAACTGGGTCAGCCAGGTTGACAACGTCTGGAACAGAACTTCAATGGCGAGGGTTTTGGCCGAAGACGAAAACTCGGTATCTCCGCTGCGATGGGCCATCCGATAGCTTGCAGAAGACTGGTTTGGATTGAGATTAGGATGTTCCTAAGAAAGAGATTGATGGTCCGTTAGTGAGTGGGACTCGGTTCAGTATAGGTAGCTTCGTACATTAGGACACTAATAGCCCACACGGCTCCCATTCCTGGGGCCCAGTAAAAGAGCGCCGATGGTGGTCATGAACAGAAAATTTAGAATAATGCCTGAAAGAAGCCACCCGCGCTTGCTGACTTTATGTCCAAAAATACCAAGGCAAATGATAACGATGATGGCCAAGCCACATCCCCCGATACCGATATCGAAGCAGTGCACGGCAGGCAATCCCACCGTGAGAAGGAGGTAGGTGGACTGAGCCAGGAAAGCAGCCCCGACCCAGTTGTTGGTGCTGTAAAGAAAGGCTACCGTCAACGTTCGCTTCAGGATCGTACCGCGGAAGCACTCCATATACGATGCTTCTTCATCAGATGTTGAAGTTGTTCTTCCTCTATCGTCTGGATTAGGTAGGCAACGCGATCCTCATTATCCTCATTCCCACTGTAGATCCGATCGAGGACCTTTTTTGATTGTTCAAGTTTTCCTCGTCGGATCAGATAGACAGGAGATCTGTGGTTTTTTCCAGTATTAGTTCGTACAAACTCGATCTCGCAGTCCAACAAGAAGAAAAATCGAGCACTCAGTCTGGGGTAAGCGCAAACCTAACAAAAGCAAGGAACCCTAGTGCCCACTGAATGGAAAAAACGTTTCGGAATGCTTGAGTTTGCGTATATGGCACGAAGATTCACACAAGACCTAAGCCCACTCCCTGCATGAAAACTACAAATAGCACAAGGCAGGCTTGCATGGGGCCAGCGAGTTTCAGCGGGGCGACTTCAGATGCGTAACTGGTTCCTGCCGTCATTCCAGCTCCAATTGCTGTTCCTGTGATCATTCTCCCAGCCAGAAACCAGTCTCCAATTTCGGCTGTATACAAAACAGCCGTTCCAACCAAGGAGAGAATACCTGCAGCGGCTCCATGCCATTTACGACCCCATCTGTCGGCAACTAGACCGACGGAGTACGCGCCCAGAGCCTGTGCGAGGGAAGCCATCGATGTCCAAACAGATGTCCAGACCTTTGGCAGATAGAGACCAGGGGCATCTGTGGCACCAAACCGGATTATGAAAGAAGGCATGGCGATTACGGATCCATTTACCACGAGATCGTAGGGGTACATCAGACCTGCAGTAAAAGCTACGCTGCCTGATTGGATTCCATGGTGAGTCACTCAATTGGGACCAGTAACTAGCCCGAATACAATAGGAGGACTCTCACAATAGAGAACAGCACGTGGGTACAGCCGGGCTGTTTGCCAGCTGTTAATTGACACTCATCCTCTTGGAGATGGCGTCCACGTTCCACGGCATCACTCGGCTCATTGCCCGCCTTCTCCAAGTGCACAGAGGTGGCGTTGACACTCTTCATGTATTGTCGATTTCCAGGTATAGAGACAGATATGGCAAAGCAAATGTCTTTTTATGTATGGAGGATTGGAATGAATTCAAAAGCCTGGCACTAACGTCCCAACATGAATGGGCTGAATAGGAGGATGTCGAAAAGAGAAATTGAAGTGCGGTTTAAGTAGTTTATCACCTACGCCTAACATTGATCCTCACCCTTTACCGGCAGAGCCCGACTCTCCCCTCATAGAGCCCGGTGGGTTGAAGTTTCTTATCCTCGCCTTCCATATGTTGAGGTATAGCTAGTATGTAAGACACCATGATCAGATTAGCATTGAGGAAAAGTGGCCCTGGCACTCGGCAATTCCGAGCAACCACGAGCCAACGCGAGTCAAATACTGAGCTTGTTGGCGAAGGAGGTTACTTTAGCCGCTGCGATTAGCTAGCAATGTTCCTGACTTGACGAATATAGAAAATACAGTCCCAAAGAGGCGCCACCCCCGCCGGACACTATCCTAGTTCCTGCTTCTGGCTCCCCCCCATCTGCTTCCCCACACATGTTCGGGACATCCGGGGTCTTTACATGCATACTCAGCTCGGCAATCGCGTTAAGTTATTTATACAAAGCATTATGGCACAGCAAGTCCAGATATCCTAGTCGTAAACTCTACTGGATTCACATTGCCTCCTACAGTGCCCAGAACTAATTCGCCACGACGACATTCACGAGCATTAGCGAGGAAGACAAGCCCTCGATTTACACCTCTCCTGATCACACCACCTCCAAAATTGATCCGTTACTATATGGAGGGTTTGCAGAGTATGTGTTGGCTGTTTGCGCCTCAGTATCTTGACTTGGTCTTATGAGCTGACCGCAGTGAGCTAGACACATGGGGCGTTGCATTTATGGCGGGATTTACGATCCCGGCAATAAGAACGGTCTAGTCGACGAGAACGGTTTTCGTACCGATGTGATTGACTGTATGAAAGAATTAAAGGTGCCAATTAGTATGTGAACTTGTCTGCTCGTCTCGTATGAAATAATTTTTTGGGAGAAGTGGACATATACTAAATCTCCCCTCTTCATCTAAATCAGTACGGTACCCTGGAGGGAATTTCACGGTCACGTATCATTGGCTAGACTGAGTAGGTCCAAGGGATCAGCGGCCGAAGAATATACAAGCTGCCTGAAAGGGGGTGGAAAGAAATCACTTCGGTACAGATGAGTTCATGAAGTGGTGTGAGATCATCGAGGCCCAGCCGTATCTGGCGCTGAATATGGGAACTGGTACTCTTGAAGAAGGTGAGTATCGGTCTATCTCTCTGGTTATGCTTGTACCCGGTCAAAAGCTAAAAGCTGGTCATCATTTTGATATATCGTAGCACTAGGTTGGTTGGAGTATTGTAACCTTGACACTGATACACGTTATTCGAATCTCCGAAGGCGGAATGGGCGAGATAGGCCGTATGGAGTGAAGTACTGGGCATTAGGAAATGAAGTATGGGGTCCTTGATTAGTTTCAAGCGCTTTTTCATGTACATTGCTGGGAGATTTACCTCAGTGATGAAGGCAAGTTGAACAAGCTTCGAAGGAAGACTATGCGAAGAAGGCATACCAATGGGCAAAGGTAAATCTTTTCCCTGTCCTCGTTGCTTAAAAATCGGGTTTCAGAAATAGCTGACTCTGGGATCTTTTGCAGCACTGAAACAACTTGACCCAACAATCAAGCTTGTCTTGTGCGGAAAGGACGGACACAGCGATTGGGACCGATACGTGTTACAAGAATGTCTCAAGGTGACCGATCTACACAGTATCAACATATACACCTTTGATATGGAGTAAGGCGTCCAATCACAAACACAGGTTTCAAATTGGGCCAAAAAAACTATCTCTTTTCTATTTCCGTACCTAACTAGACACTACCCCAATGCCCCCAGCCCTAAGGCTGCCGAGAGAGCCATAGAGATTACAGCAGCACTAATCGATTTGGCGCGTACCGAAATGGACTACGAAGCCTTCCCCACACTTTGTGACAAAGCCAAAATCCCTTCACAGACCCAAGATCTCGTTTGAAGAGTGGAATATCTGAAACCCAATCCGAGCTCCAGGAAAAAAGGGTGCGGAAGAGCTCTACGATGGTTTCAGACATGACAGCAGTGGCATTATGTCTCAATGTGTTTATCCGACAGGCACAACATATTGGCATGGCCACGATCGCGCAGAGCATGAACGTGGTTGCCCCCCTGAGGACAAATGAGCAGGGAGTACTCAAGCAGACCACATACTGTCCTTTACTGCTTTTCTCTACTTATATGCGCGGTCAGAGTGTGGCAGTCCACGTCCGGAGTCCGGTTTATACGGGTCGAACTGTCCCAGAATGGCTAGCGAGCACGATGAATATTCCAATTTTGAATGTTTCCGCCGCTCTGAGCGATGATGATTATCTCAATCTGGCTGTGGTGAATATCTCAGACTCCAAATCACAGGAGGCATCCCTCCCGGCGATCCAGGGCCCGGTTCAAGTATTTTGCGTTGGTGGCGATGAGAATGATATTCGGGATACCAACACGTGGGGTTCTCAAAAGGTGGGAGTCAAGGAGTCGACATGGAATGACAAGGGGAAATTCGTCTTTCAAAAGCACAGTTTTACCCTGCTCCGATGGAAGGTCATCGCTTCTAGGTCGAAGATAGAAGAGTGTGGTGTCCCTGTTGATAGCACGTCAGCTACTCTGCATAATGCCCTGCATGGGGTTGATGTGTCTAGATAGAGAATCGAGTATTTTTTTTCAATAAAAAATAGGTCTTCATTACCTTATCATACCAGAACTCTGCTCGGTTCAGGTTGCAGATGTGGCTGTTGGGAAGTCATCGACTAGGTTTAACAGGTTTTAGTCAACATAGAAAACTATGAAATTGTCATCGAACTTCCAACGCACTTTGCTATGCTCCTTCAGAATTTAGTTATATGCTAGCTAGTTCAGAAAAGATTATACCTGTAATTAAGATTATGACTTATATCAACAAATTACAATTACACAGCGAGAGAGTATAAGGAAATCGGCTAATCAGAGCAACGGAATTAGAAAGGAGGGTAATGATATTAGTTGAAAATATGATGTGATTCTGTATCCGTAAAGAATATAAAATGAGCGCGCTTAGGGGTGTCAAAATATTGCTAAGCTTATACTACCTATCATTGTGGTGTGACCATTGTAATGATCATGGGTCTGGACTGGCCTAAGGCATCATCAACTGTAGTGTCTTAAAGTGGGACCGGTGCACGGGACCTGAGGACGGACGGGTCCCAATCCTGCTGAGTCAGCCTGTTCTGGCAAATTACCCGAACGGGCTTAGTTAGGGCTCGCTAAGCGAAGCGGTGAGTGTTGAAAGCGGCCACACGAAAAATGGCAACTTCAGTTTCTGCCGTGAAGGGAGACTTGACCAGCAACCCTCCGACGACCACCACCCGGCTCGATCCCCATCCGTCACCATGGTGCGTTCCCTTCGAATACCCTTTTGCGATTCATGATTATGGAATACCGAAATGCTCTGCGATCACTCTGCTCGATTTTCCGACAAGTGATGCCGCAGTTGGACATGTTGGAAAGGTTCATGGGCTGATTCAATTGTGTGTGGGATTTATAGGCGATCAAGCACAACAACCAAATCCAGAAGAACCGTGAGTGGCCCCCGGACAGTCTTTCAATTCGGCGCTTGATTTTTCTCGAATTTTGGGCGTTGGATTGAAATCAAGGTTTCAATCTCAAGGTATCAAAGATTGTGGTGTGCTAACATTTTTTCAATAGACTTCCGCAAGGATTGGCAGCGTCGTGTGCGTGTGCACTTCGACCAGGTACGACTATCCGATTCCATCTCCCCGAAAAATCTTTCTCTTTTCTCTCGCCGAACGACGTCTCCTCCCCGATTTGACCGGCATTGAATGGGAAAAACTTTTTGCTCGACAGAACTTGGGTCGACTAACATGCGCTTTTTCAACACTTTTTAGCCCGGCCGCAAGCACCGCCGTCGTGAGGCCCGTATCGCCAAGGCCGCCGCCGTTGCTCCTCGCCCCGTCGACAAGCTGCGTCCCGTTGTCCGGTGCCCTACCATCAAGTACAACCGCCGTGTTCGTGCTGGCCGTGGTTTCACCCTCGCTGAGCTGAAGGTAAATCGACCTTGTTTGCAATTGGGACATTTGATCCCTCCAGCAATGGAATTGCAAGAATATATCGCTCACCAATCTTCTTTTTCCCCCAATTTAGGAGGCCGGTATCCCCAAGAAGCTCGCCGGTACCGTCGGTATCTCCGTTGACCACCGCCGCACCAACTACTCCAAGGAGTCCCTTGTCGAGAACGTCGCCCGCCTGAAGGACTACAAGGCCCGCCTGATCCTCTTCCCCCGCAAGAGCGGTCAGTTCAAGAAGCTCGACTCTTCCGCTGAGGAGGTCAAGGCCGCCAAGGCCGGTGAGGGTATCGCCAAGAACGTCGGCGCTTCCTTCCCCATCGTCAACCCCGCCGTCGAGGCCGCCGTCACCGAGGTCAAGCGCGACTCCCTCCCCAAGGGTGAGGAGGCTGCCTACCGCCGTCTCCGTGACGCCCGCGCCGAGGCCCGCCACCGCGGCAAGCGTGAGAAGCGTGCCCGCGTCCAGGCTGAGGAGGAGCAGGCTGCCAAGAAATAAATGTGTTAATTTTCTGCTCGTGCTGATGATGATGATCGGGTCGGTTTTCGGATCGGGGATGAGTGTACTGTGGCATGGCGTGGCGCCTCTCTTCCTTTTCTCCTTTCAAACTGAATCCCTCTCTTAAACCTCTCCTCCTCCCTATCCCCCCTTTTTTTTACTCCTGTCTCTAAAAAGAAAGAACCCGGAAGATCTTCTCGAAATGCAAAACCGCCCAATTTTCTCAAAAATGCCTTCTTTTTGTTTCTCGTCGATCGGCTATTTGGTTCTGGTTCCGGTGTTGGTCTTTGGGCTGGTTCGGTCAAGATTCAACACAGAAACTATGTACCTACCGGTCCTATGGATTCTGTATTGGGTGTGTCAGGTTTCTTCCTGCAAGGATTTAGGGGCGAGGAGAAGATTTGGATACAATCTTGAGGTGAAAGATTGGAATTTGGGACTTATGGAGGCGTCATGCCATGGATAGGCTCATTAGAGCATTTCAGATAGTCCTCGCAATGACAAGAGGCTTCAAAAGTTTCAACTTGGATCATTAAGGTTGTAGATTGAACCCATGTCTAAATGGATGCATAGAGGTGTTTGCTTCACAAATAAACTATAGATTCGAGAATTCGAGTCTTACGTCCAATCGGCGGTATGGTACCCCGCGAAATATATAGTTGCTTGGTTTGCCATACCTTGCTGACGGTGATCCTGGGTGAATGGTTGCCAGTATATATTTTGATCCGGGCAGTTACAGATGGATGAAGAGAAACGTTGATAGGTCATAAGCTTTATTGTTTATTAAACCCAGTAAAGTTGAGAAACTTAAAACATGCATTTGATATTTGACACGATCTTCCAATATCACTCCCACCCCATTCAAGTTAAATATGGTATCTTAATCGCATTCCCTACCAACCCACTCCTTACGCCGACGCTGCCTAAAACCAAACAAAAACAAAAAGATAGAACATAATCAAGCATTACCCAACAAAGCACCGATTGCACCCTCAGTTGCCCGCAAAATTGCATCCGCATGCACACCTCCCGCCATACTTCCGCCAGCAGTAGACGTCTTCGCCTCCCGTAGCAAAGCGTGGAATAGTTTCCTAGTCTCCTGATCGATCTTCTTGCTCGATCCGCTTCCACCAGTGGACGTTGACACACTAAGTTCAGGTTGGAGCTGTGGCTCTCCAGTCCACTCGTCCATGACTAAAGCATTTGAGAGAAGCACCCGAGGGCCGCTATTGCTGGAAGATCCAGCCTTGACAACCATGGTGCTACGCTCAAGGTGCGGAACTAGGCGTCGAAGCTCGGAGACTGAGATGACGCCATCTTGGGAATCAGGAAACGCCTCTTTAGCACGCTTAGAAGAGCCATTGTCATGGTTATTGTCGATTCGAGCCCATAGCTGTGCCCGGGCTACTGATGCTTCCCAATATCGGTTGATGCCCCAACATAGAGTTGCCACATCGAGGGCGAGAAGTGGATTCTCCAGCCGTGAGTCGATCCATTGTCGGAGTGACTCTGGAACTCTTCGTTTTTTGCTGTCGCTGCCCGTTGGTACCGAGACGGAGGTCACGGTCTGTGTTTCTGGGTTGGTTTCGTATACAACAGATACATTGTATAGCGACGATGGGAATGGAGATGGCGCAGTAAATGTCAATGTGTGCGTTTCCAGCAAGGAAGCTGACTTTGAAGCCGTGCGGCTTGTGTTTGTTCGGAGTGTCAAGGGAGCAAACACAGTTAGATAAGACGGTGCATATGATGTCTCCTTCAATGCGAATGGGTTTGTCGGCATTGGAGATGCTTGAGGAGTTGGGCGAGGGAGGGTCGCAGCAAATGGAAGGAGGGTAGAGAGGAGCGCTGACATTGACACTGGAGCCCTCGGAGGCACTGGTTCATTGATGTAGGCTGACTCCTCGACAAGAAGATTCAAGAACTTGTTAAGCTCGTTCGTGTCACTTGACAAATTCATACCCGAGTCGACCTTCTCCGCCCATTTGCTCAGATCGGCAACCTCATTTCTTAATCGGCGTAACTCTGCCTCTAGGTTCTTTCGGGACTGGTGCTTCTCGAAAAGAGCTGCAGAGACATTGTCTTGTGTAATACTCGTGTCATCGTATGGTGATTCTTCCGGGGGCGATTGAAACTTGAGCGTTTTCAATGGGCTTCCTTGAAGCATGTCTGAAGCTTGCCGTTTCATTCGCTTTTCATGCCTTGCACTTGGACTGCTGCTAAGAAGCCCCCTCGGTCGATCGGGTGCTTTTACCAGACCTAATTGCGTTGGTGTTGGGGGCAGATCTGGCTCCAGAGAATCATCATCATCCTCCATGATCCCACCACCAAGATCATTGGTGTCCATATCAAGATCCATGTCTGCGTCCTGGGTGGCAGTACCCAGCTCTAATGCTAGTTGGCCCTCTGGTGTATTGGAGAGGTCTTGCGCTGGTTGTGGTGGTTGTTTGGGTTGTTGGCGAACTGGCGAGCCAAATACAAAATCCGCGGCCGAGATTCTCTTAGATAGTCGGCGAGGAGGTTTTGAAAATGCTTGAATGCCGCTGGGTCGTCTGCTGGGGGAAATGAGCATTGGCGATGCGGACGTTCTTGGTGCTTTTAGAGGACTCGACGGATTCAACGAGGGCCGAAAAGCTTTGCGGTCACGAAGACCGACACTTTTCGCATCCTCTTGGGAAGGTTGTTTGTTTTGACTGTCTCGGCTGGGCGATTGCCTGCTGGGTGACCTGCTGAGAGCGCGTTCGAGCACTTCAGGATGCGACCTGGCCAAGCTTGCTCTCGTGGGTGACTGGAAGGATGCGCGACGTGGTGAGCGCAACTCCCGACCAAGCGGAGGAGGCTGCGACACGCCAATGGACAAATCCACGGCCTCGCCCGTCCTGCGGCGCTTTGGAGGTGAATTCATAGTTGGAATATATAGTTGTTTTAATGTTTAATTATCCCGCCTGCGCGCTCGCCTGCGGAGCGGGCGCATAAACAACGGTGTTTGCAGTGTTTGCACCTATGACTTAATCTCGCAGCAGCCCGAGTTTCTTCATCCTTCTCCCCGACCGCACACGATGAAGTGTCTCGCTGCGGGCAAACAGTCGTTCCAAAGGACGAGAGTCTGTATTGGATCTTCGCCGTATCGAACTGTACCCTCCGTCTCCTCATATCGTCAATATGCCTTGATTCCGACGCCCCGGCGCATGCGGGCACACGACCCGTCCGCCTCTGCACATGTCACCAATGGTTCCTTATCCGGAACCGCCTCATCCTCACAGGCACAACCATTGTCAGGCTACTACTCTTTGATTTTGACATCTCCTCAGCCATCCAGTGGCAGTACAACGAGTGCAGCACCAGCCGCTGCACCCAAGCCCAAGACTCCTCAAGAAAAGATGGCCATTGTCTTTGGTACACGCCTTGCAGGACCTGGCCGCCAATCTCGATACAATCCAGGTGAAGCACCACCAGAATCCATGTGGAAAACAATCAATGGCGTACCAATCCCGCCTCGCCCCGAGGAACCAGACAATTGCTGCATGAGCGGCTGCGTACATTGCGTCTGGGATGACTTCGGGGACGAAATGGAAGATTGGGCTGCTAGAATCGCCAGGGCCAAGGCCAAGGGTGGGCCTGAGAAAGGCACCGCAGATATGCGTGCTGAACCCCGGGCTGAGGTTGACTCGGCTAGTCTCAGTATGGACGATGATGGTGGCGGCAGTGAGACCAATTGGGCTGCACCGAATCAAGATGATGATCTCTTTGCCAGTATTCCCGTTGGCATTCGAGAGTTTATGAAGACGGAGAAAAAGTTACGGGTGAAGCATCAGAAGGAAGCTACGGCTTGAAATTCTATGTGTGGATGCTTTGCTTCTTCTTTTGCGCGCTTCTTATACCCCGTTGCTGTACCTATACTGTTGAAGATAGACCATCAGACTTGAATGGAATATAGACTGTATATAGAAACATTACCATGAATGCGATGAATTCTAACAACTTCAATTGCATGACATCTAATTGTTACAATAAATTGGTGGTTAAAAAGTACGACATCGAGAATATCAAGTTCAAAGTTAAGAATGCCTTCTCTTATCAGCCGTGTGCCTGCCCCGGACTTTGAACGCCGCCGAGTCCGTGCGCCGCGCAGCAGGTTTCCCTTTCGCCTTCTTTTTTCCACAATGCGAACATCCTCAAGCTGACCATTGTCAGTCTTTTGAAGAGCTATGACAAAATTTATGCAGATCAAGCTATTGTGATCAGTCCAAGGATTCCCCAAGCGAGCGCAGATGGATCGGTTATCGCGCCTCGAATTGCCCGCACGTCGGTTCGTTAGCCCACCGTGAACCTCCCTTTCTCTGCGCAAGATGGCGCCCCGAACGAACGCATGTCATTGCATCCAACGTCTCAAAGAAGCGACATATCACCACCGAGATGATCTACACATATATACTCCCTACTGGGGCTCTAGTCGCCACAATTCGACTCCGAGGCTTCGTCGAGACCTATACGCGACCCACCGGACCTTGAATTCGTCGCAAAGCTCGGTCACGACGAGCATACCCGTGTCTAGAGACCAATTGGACTGGAATCGGCGCAGGAGACATGCGATCTGGGCCCGAAAATCTCTGCCCCTTCCTCACGGTGCTCGGAGTTTCTTCAACACACGTTCATTGAGGTCCAATGCCACCGAAGATTCCGGGGAAGACTTGCAAGTCGAGTCTGGCGATGCAGATGTTTCAATTAGTGATAGCACAGTCTCTGCAAATGACAATGATATCGACAAATTTGAAACAAGTTTATCGCCGGCAGCGAGAAAGGATATCAAGACCTTCAGACATCTTTGGAACCGCAAAATCATCCGCCTATCCAGGGACCTCAAGTTGTTCAAAGACAAGGGTAATTCGAAATTCAAATTGAAATTGCGCATACCCAATGGTTTGAACAATGCAGAGGAAACGAAGCTGCGAGTTCGGGGCGAAATCGAAACCACTAGCACGGTCAGTACTTTTTGCCCAGACGAATTGTAATTCTCTTTCACCTAACGATATGATGAACAGGAAGAATTGAAAGCAACCGCCTTTTTGAGCATGATTGCAAAATTAAAGGGAGAGGGATTGTGGGACTCTTTAGTTTCCGAAGGAGATGCAGTCCCTTCTACTGATCAACAGCCCTCGCCTGCGGCTATAGAGCCTTCACGCCCTACTGATGAGACTTCTGCCACTCACGAGCCCCCTCCAGCTGAAGAGGCTATTGCTGAAGAGCTTGCCTCCGTCTCAGATGAGCTAGGCAAGGATGATCTCCAAATTTTGAACAGTCTGGAGCAGAGGAAGTGCCTCCAGCTGGACTTGGAATTTTCGGGCGATCAATTAGCGGGCATGACCTGTTTTGTGGTATGCTCGATACATAGTCTCAAGCGGGACCTGCAGGCTGTTGGTCATGGGATGTCGAAGGTAAAGTCTAACCGATATTGGCTTTTCTCGGAACTTCATGTACTAACGAGCAACGACCAACAGCGAGATGCAAAGCATGATGCTATCCAAGGTTTAATTTCAAACCTAAAAGAAACCGGCATTTGGGAGCAACTCTCACAGCAAGATCACACCAAACTCACTGTGAATGATGATTTGCTTTACATAATGCGCTTTGGAACGCAGAGCTTGATTAAGGCCAGTGATAATCTCCGGTCTTTCATGACAATCAGGGAGAAGCAACATCGACGATCGCAAAAAGATACAGATGCACAAAGTGTGTATAGGACGAAGAGATCCGAGGAACTCGCCAAAGCTCTCCGCAAGTTTCGCGAGTCCAAGGATCCCAAGGTGAGGGCTATTCGGTCCGCAACAAGCAGTCTACCCGTGAACGAACACAAGGAGAGGGTCCTAGACCTTATTCAGAACAACACGTATAGCATCATTGTTGCGGAGACTGGGTCTGGAAAATCGACTCAAGTTCCTCAGATGATTCTCAATGACGCCATCGAGGGGAGCGCTGGAGGTTATTGCAATGTGCTTTGCATTCAGCCACGACGTATCGCAGCCCGTTTGCTGGCTCAGCGGGTCGCCAATGAAAGACTTGAAAGTATTGGCAATACTGTTGGTTACATGATTCGATTTGGAATCAAGCGGCCAGCCAAAGGTGGTAGTATCACGTACTGCACCACCGGTCTCGCTTTGAACCTCTTGCAAGATAACCCTAACTTACTCAACTCATTCTCCCACATCATTCTTGATGAAGTTCATGTTCGCGACATTGACATCGATTTTGTGATGCTGCTATTGAAAAAACACATCGACAACTGCCGAGCAGCGGGAACCCCCACACCCAAGATTGTGGTGATGAGTGCAACGGTCGATGTGGATCTTTTCGCCTCCTACTTCCAGAATATGGGACACGATGGAGGACTGTTGCCTGCTCCACATGTTTCTATACCCGGTCGTCAATTCCACGTGAAATCACATTATCTGGATGAGATTCTCGATGATATCACCGACACACTTCAGAAGGATGTTCTTACGTGGTGTTTGAAAGAGCCGTCGACAATCAAGTTCCTGCAACATCACTACCGTAACTACGCTGCAGAAGATCCCGTCGATGAGGAACCTACTGATGAGGATCCTGTCGATGAGACCAACGATGAGTTTAACGATGATTTGGATACGCCTTTACCTACGGCAGAAACAGACTCGACAATCTCTTTGTCACGTCCCGCTACCATGAAGCGAGTAGACGATGCCCCTTTTGTTCCATCTGGGCTGATTGCTGCCATCACACACCATCTCCTGAGCACGACGGACACAGGTTCCGTCTTGGTTTTCCTGCCTGGGCTCAGCCAAATTATTGCCGCTGAATCTCAGATCATCCAAGCAGCAGAAATGCTGAAACTGGACTTTTCGAATGAAGACAAATTTAGAGTCTTGAAGTTGCATAGCAGTCTCCCCGAGGAATTGGCTAAATTGGATCAAGAAATTCCTGAAGGTTGCCGGAGAATTCTGCTCGCAACTGATATCGCAGAGGCATCCCTCACAATCCCCGACGTGAGATATGTCATTGACTCGGGGAAGGTGAATCAACTGATGTACGACCCTCGGACTCGATCTCACCAGATGACTTGCTGCTGGGCAAGCCAGTCAAGCACCGTCCAACGAGCTGGACGGGCAGGTAGAGTCCAAGATGGAGAATACTTCTTTCTCGGAAACAAGGAATGCTTCGACTCCCTACGTATCACCAAGTCTCCCGAAATTCTTCGGAGTGACCTTCAATCTGTTTGCCTGCGAGCGAAATTGTCCGATCCCGCTACACCTATCAATGAGTTCCTCCAACAAGCCATCGAGTCTCCAGAAGCTACCGACATTGATATGGCTATCGATTCTTTGAAACAATTGCAAGCGCTGGACAACAAGGAGGGTCTCACCAATTTAGGCTCTTTAGTCAGTCACATGCCTATACTACCGCCACACTTTGCCAAGCTGGTCGTTCTGGGCGCCATTTTCCAGTGTCTGGACCCCCTCCTAATAGTGGCAACACTGGGAGAAGAAACAAACTTTTTCTACCGGGGCAGTGACGATAAGCAACGCCAAAAGACATGGGCCGATCAAGTTGCGTTTGCAGGTCAAACTTCCAGCGATCATTTCAGCACAATCAATGCTTTCAAAGCAGTTCGCTCAGTCTGGAACGAGTCTGGCTGGCGAGCCGGTCAAAAATTCGCATTCTCGAAGAATGTCTATGTCCCAGTCTATCGAGAGGCGTTCCTCACGGCCAATCAGATCCTGCGTCAGTTAGAACAAGCACAAATCATTAGCAAATGGCTATCGACTGACAAAGATCCCGAGAATCGATTTGGCGGGCCCAAACTGAATGTCAACTCGAATCATGTCCCACTCATCAAAGCGTTGTTGCTTCATTGTCTATACCCTCGACTCGCTGCACCGAAACCAGACAATAATACCACATTTCTCACTCAGACTGAGAAGAAGGCAGTGCTGCACGCAGGGAGCATGACGAAGAATGGTAAACAGCCGCCACGAGCTCTGCTCGTTTTCAATCAGAAGTTCCTGTGGGGATCGCCGCCTGGTATCACCGGATTGAAAGAGGCTTCTATCGTGACTCCACTTGCAGCATGTCTTTTCGGTGGTAAATTGGCAGTTCAACGCTCTTCTATCGTCATGGATTCGTGGATGCGGACTGGAGTGGAAGTGTTTGACAGTCCAGCCACGCCGAATGAAGTGATCAAGGATGTGGTAGAGTTGAACAACGTTCTTAACGAGGTGAGCATCTCCTACCCCTCTCTATCAGCATCAGATCTGAGCCGATTTGGTCATTCCATACATCATTCTAAGTTTCTTACTTCCATTCCAGGCCTTGACCACGACATTCGATTCCTACCCAAGCGATTTTCGAATGCTGCAAATAAAGAAGAAAAAGGGAAATTTCTTCTCAACTCGTAACCAATTCGTGGCAACGTTGCAGCAGACCATCAAAGATATCCTGGACCGGGACTGTAATCCGGCGAGAACATCTGCGCCTGCTGCATGGAATGAGCATGACGTTAGTAGATACTCAGGTCGAGGGTGAAACGTCTACCATGTACAATAGATTCTCTACTTCTACGTAGAATCCAAATGAAAATACAAACAAAGACCGTCAAAGTAGATCTAATTCCATACCCTCTAGTCTACATTGTATATAGTCCTCGATATGCAGATCCCCCTCACCGCCTTTGATATCTTATCGCTCAAAAAAGTTCAAGCTACACCTAACACTACGCTGTCCAACTTTACATTCCCCTTTAACAAGGCCAAACAAACACCAAAAACATAAGGATGGCTCTATCAAAGAGCGAATCCGACATAATACTCAACAGGGCAAACGTCGCTCTAGCCCGCAGCCAACGCCTCGTCGCATCCTGGCTCCCCGAGAAAACTACCTCCGGACTCGAAAACACAAAATCCGAAGAAGAAATTCAACGAGAAGAAGATGAGATTTTCACTGCTGTTCCTGAGACGTGAGCTGCCCTACCTCCCTCAAACTTACTGACACCCCTCTTAAACTGTCTTGAGCGTTTTGTCCGGAATTGGTACTGATTTATTTGTTGCCAGTCTCGGCGTCGGCGCCCCCCTCCCCGAAAAAGCCGCCGATGGAAGTTGGAATCGCACTGAGTTAAGCTCAAACGATCAGTTGCGGAAACAATTGTTGGGCAGGAATTATGATAAATTTATGAAAGCCGCTGCGGAGAAGAAACAGGCTTCTGCTGCTGCTAAGGTTAGCGCATCGCAGACGGCGGGGAAGACTGGGCCTTCCGGTTCTGCTGGGGTTAATAACGACGACGATGAAGATGATGAGGAGGAGGGGAGGGTTTCCATGGTTGGTATGAAGAATAAGAAGAGGAGGAGGGGGGTTGAGAAGTCTCGTGCTACTGCCTCTGGCGCTGGTTCCGCGGCGAGCAATAGCAATGGCGATGATGCAGTCGAGAAGGGGGATAATGGGGCGGTCGAGACTGAGGAGCCTGTTAATGTTAAACAGGCCCCGTCGAAGGGCAGGAAAAAGGCTACGAGTTATTTGGATGAGCTTTTGGCTGAGAGGTCGAGGAAGAGGAAGAAACGGTGAATATGGTTGCACTGCATATGAAACCTTTTTCTCTTTTATCTTCTTTCATTCGAGTAGGCTCCTCTTGGCCTGGTCGAGACTTTGGTCGGTCTGGACTGCTACCAAGGGCAGCTTGAGCATCAACCCTGCCACAAGGTCTAGCCCTGGTTGTGTATTGACCCTTGCAGTCGAACCAGGCCTAGTTCCAGGGATCCTCCTGCAACGCACCACTGCAGGCAGCAATCGCTGTGTCCATCCCAGCTGATTTTACGAGGCTCACCTTCTTACAGGGCCTATCCTCCCCAATCAAATCAACGGGCAAAAGTTACGCAAAACATCCTCGAATTAAGTGGGCACAGGGCTATAGAATACACAAAAATTCCATTCCAGACAGTTCTAGATGCCACCATGATGTTTTTCTTTGCTCCGTCCGACACCAGGGTATATAAAATATGCTGCGAGAATGAAGTATAGAACCCAGAAGCAGAAACCATGTCATCACTGGACACCGACAGTGTGAAAATTTCCAAAGGAAAAGAGAAAAAAAGATTATGACAAAGAGAGAGATAGATAGAGGGAGAGAGAGACGAGGAAAGAAAAAGAGTAAAATGAAATAGAGAAATGAGGGGAAAATAGGCGTTGTAGTGACACATCTACAGACACAAGATAGGAAATCGGATAGATAAAGTGAGTCGAGGATGCTGTCGAGCTTTTGTCCCCAAGGAGATGGAGATGAGGTGTGGCTGTAGGTGTTGGAAGGTATACAGATGCTGTCCAAGAAAAAGAGGCGGGTTGCCGAGGAGTGTGGTTGGATATATGGAGAGTTGATTGACCAGAAGATCATTCGGAGATGGCCGAGTCGTGTGAGATGATAGATGATGGTCTGGGAATACGACAAGGACGAGATGTTGGGTTGGTCGGCAATATTTAATTCCGCCAATGCTGCATTTAATGCTGACCAGATCTATTCCAACCGTTTTCGTTTCCGATCCTCTTGTTGGTCTTCGTCCGGCCGTTCGGCAGTATCGGCCGGATTGAGTAGGGAATGGACGTTGCTTGCCATGCTCGAGCGGCGAGTTGCAGGCAGTGACGATTCTTGACGGGGGAATCGCGAACCACCCAGAGTCCAGCCATTATCGACACTAAGCATCGACGGCGATGGCTCGGCCCCAGTCGGAGGTGTGGCATGTCGGGACTGATCTTGGAGACGTCGGGGTGCGCCCATCTCATATTGAGCTAGCACATCCCGAACTTGTTGCTCGCTGCTTGTCGGTACTCGATGAGGCGATGAGGGCCAGGGACCACTGCTTCCACCGCCTCCACCAGTGCTTCCTGGAGGGAAAGGAGAAGTGCCAGTCGGAGGCCAATCGGCTTGCCGAATATCCGCAAATGTGTGGCGGCGGCCTAGATTCGGGGCCCCGGGAGGAGTTGATATGGAAAGAGGATGCGGTGTCGCTTGTTGTGGTTGTTGCGGTGGAGGGTGAGCAGCAGCGCCGCCACGTTCAGAAGGAGGCTGAAGTCGATTGTAATTAGGAATAGGCGCATTGGCACCTCCAATGGAGCCGTAGCGACGAGGGGACACAGCAAGGTGAGGAGGGACAGGAGGCCGAATCATAGATGGGCGTCGGCTGTCGTCTTGAGGTAACTGGCGAGGGGACAAGGGGGGGCCAGATTCGACTGGCAAGTTCCCAAAGAATGGTTGGCGTGGTGGCATAAGAGTATCGTGAGAAGCTTCCATGGAGCGAACTGATTCAAGATGCTTCTCAACCTCTCTTTGCATGTTTAAGACTGGGAGAGTCGTGTTAGTCAAGCTTGCGAAGTCGGGGAGCGGAGATGGGTCATTCTCGTACTGTCGCGATATAGAGGGCTCTCCTGGTTGGGAACGACTCCGTGTAGAAAGCGGGAGATCGAATGCGTCCACTGTAAATGGATATTAGTCGGCGAACCTCCCACAACCACGGGAAGACATACTTGGTAGCATTTGACGAGCCCCTCAGCCATGTTCTGGCATTTTGAGCTCAACGCGACATTACCTTCTTCCGCACGAGTGAGGCGAGCATGCATGTCGTGGAGACTGTATTCGAGGTTCATAAGCCGGGCTTCCGTCGCATCGGGAACAGGCTCAGCAGGGGTGCCCGGTTGCGATGCAGTAGCCTTGTGGCCTGGGAACGAGTCGCGGTGAATCAAGGCATGTCGAGATGCGCGCCGCTTAATCTCGCGGAGACCGATCAAATCACCCCGTTTGAAGTTGCCATTTCCGTGTTTGAATTCCCAGAGCGCAGAGTCCGGGGAGCCGGTATGAAAGACGTCGCTCACTGCCGGATTGGATTAGCGGATGCGCCTCTTGTCTCAGTTTTGATTTGCTGGAACGACGAACCTTTGTGAAACCCGTACATGTTCAACTGACGGACAAAGGATGAGATATTGGTGTGCTTGAAATACTGACTGGTGGGATATTAGCAACCCAGACCACTCCGGTATGACTGGAAAACTGACGCTAGGACTTTGGAGAATTCAGAAGTCGGTGACATGACAAAACTGTCGTTGGTACTGGACCACGATATCAAATGCTGAATGCTGGAATCCTCAAGCATGCTGTGCGAAAGTTAGATAATGTTCGTAAACTGTAGGGATAATTCGAAACCGCAGCCCAGACTCGCCGACGTACTTGTAGAGCTTGTGGATAAATGCGGTTTGTACCACTTTGGGTTGCTGGGCTGCAGCAGCAGCCCCAACGGCGGAGTTTTGGGGATTGCTCGTGATTCCGACTTCGGCGCCATTGGTATTGATTGCGCCGGTACGGTCGCTATCAGGACTGCTGTGGATGGCAATTCCGCCAACTGCGACAGAGGATGGAGGAGTGATCTCCATTGCTGCCGGGGAGTGTTGAGCGGATTGCGAGAGGACCGGGAGGTTTCGTGTTTTGCCGGAACCATCTGCAGGCCCGGCGAAAGTGGCCCTGGAAGATGGGGGATCGGCGAGACCACTCATGACGGGCGAAAAGGGGAGGCCAGAGGAAGATTAAACAGTGCGACAACGAGGATGACGGCGGCTGACGAGCCCACGATCGTCGCCGGTGTATAGAATTTCAGTGAGGAGAACGAGGTGACAAACGGGGCTGAGGGAGTTGGTGAAAGGCAAATCGGACGCGATCGATTTGGCCGTTGGAAACCCGCTCGTGGCGGGAGAAACGTGCGATAGGAAGGAAAGGCTCGTGAAGGCCAGCGAGGCGCAGATCAACACCGAAGTAGCGACACCTGGTCTATCATTGCGCCCGCGAATTGAAGTCGAGAGAGGAGGTGATCGGAAAGGAAGGGAGTTTCGGGTTCTCGAGAGGAGGTTTGCGCTGAGGTTCTGGAAAGCTGCGGGGAAGGGGGAAGAGGGGAGCAACCGGAGCAGCGCGTCTCGGTCGGGGATCTGCAGCACTGGTGAAGCTCAGGGATCGGGGGGAGTGGCGAGGTTGACACAATCAAGACTAGTTATAACAAGGCAAGCGACGAGGTTTGAGGTGGAAGTTGACAGTTGGAAGAAAAGACGATGGAAGGTGGAGAGAGAAAAGGGGGGGAAAGTTGGTGGTTTCGGTGGTTGAAGAAGGAGGAATGAGACTGACTGGTGATGCTCCACTCCTCTTCTCTCTGGAGCGATACTCGCCTCGCCCTCACACGCTCACGGATCATCAACACAACCACGAAGCTCGTACTCGTTCCTATTCTAATCCAACACACTCTCACACCTTCAACCTCCATGAAGGTCTCCTTGTCTCAGTCATGGATATCATTTCCGAGGATCAAGCCCTTCTGAGGCAATACCAGGACCTGCCCAAGTCAAGTCGCCAAGCTATGTATGTATCCATCCATACGAGGCATTGATTTGCCCTTCACCTGAAGCGAAAGGATAAAAGCTGACCCAGTCTACAGCTTGCGTGGCATCTTGGATCAGCTGCCTCGAGATGGTTGGCGTGAAATCAAGGCACAAGCTGATGTTCATACTTTCCAGTATGATATCCTGGGGAAGCTGCCCTTAGAGCTTGCCGCCCTTGTGGCCGAGTGCTTGCCACTCGTTGATATCATCCGCCTTCGAAGGGTACGCTGGAATGATCCATGTTCGGGAGAAGAAATTATCATGTTTATCGAGAGACTAACATACTAATGAACAGGTCTCGCAACGATGGCAACAAGTCTTGTCATCTCCTTCGCTGTGTCGTGCTGCGGCTCGAGCAACCCTGGGCAAAGATCCCTGGGCACTGTCTTCATCTGAGCCTCAACTGGACACACGTGCACCTGGTACTTTGACCTCCGCTCCAACAGTCTCCCCTGATACCATGGTCACTGCGAGTACCCCTAACTCGGGCCATGATTTCACCTCTTACTCTACCGCCTCATTTACCAAGATTGTTAAAAGAAGACACCGCCTGGAACAAGGAAATCCATACAAAGTTACCACGATGCCATTCCCGTTACCGATAGAGGACACGCAAAATCATAGTGAACTCGATCTTGATCCAAGGACTTTCGTCACCTATTCAGACAGCAGCTGTGCTTGGCTGGATCCAAAGGAGAACCTAACGACCGTGGTCGTCTTGGACCTAGTCAATGAGAACAGAAAGAAGTTCACCACAGACAACAGAGAAAAATTGTGCTCTCTTCAATTTGCCAAGCCTTTCATTGCTGCAGTGTCGATCAGAGGTTATTGTCATGTCTGGAATATTGACACTTTCGAGTTCTCATCGTTTCGGATTCCTTCCATCGACTTCTTGAACATGTTGATCAGCGGAACCAAGGTCTTGGTTCAATTTCATCACTGTGTTGTCCACTGGTGCTTCAAAACAAGAATTGCTCGGACCATGGAGACCGGGTCTGTTATCGCCCTAGCGCTTCATCCTTCAGAAGACCAGATCACCACAGTCTGTCTCTGCGCAAAGGACGAGAAGCAAAATTGGAGCAAAGTGCCCATTCAAGATTGCCAGCTGCGCATAGAAAAACATGCCTTGGACAGCAGACATGAATGGTGCTTACTTTCTTGGCGTTACCAGCCGATATCAGTTTCGGCTTTTCCTGAGCAAGCGACCTATTTTGCGGGGATCTTGGACTCAGGTGGGACGCTCTATTCCGGCCAGTCTAACATGGTTATGTATACTCGTGAAGAGATTGAGAAAGATTTCATAGAGAGCAGTCGCCTGTTCTGCTTGTCCATTGAGCCCGACGAACGAGTCGTTTTCCACACATTTCCAACAGATGTTCATGATCTCACCTGCCCCGAGCGAGGTGTGATCTATGCTCCCCGTGTGAGCACATATTCCAGTCAGTACGTAATCATGAAGTCTAAAGCTATGACGGACCCTGAAAACCTATCGATATGGTATGATTACTATATCCACCGCACGATAGAGGCTGAGTATACCCCATGGATCATGGGCGATGCTCGTTTCTTAATCGTCTTTGATGACGAGCAAATGAATGTCGGGACTATGGATGAGCCTGATCTAGAGGACCGAGAAGCCGTGGACCGGGTGAACGAGCTTATATTTTGAAAGACCCATCTTGTGCTTGATGGCCTATATTCTTTGGCTGAGGCTAATCGCGCGAGCCTTTGCACGCCAGACTATTCCATTGCAGAATTATGAATAACTATATATCCTCATAGTACCTACTAAGCCTTCTAGCTATTAATAAAGGATCAAATAACATATAGAAAAATCTTTCATGAAAGGTAAAGTTAAAGCATGCATAATCCCTTTGTAAAACTGTTTCTCCAGTCTAGATATCAGAGATCCAGTGTACATGTACGTATTCTCCACCATATCCCAAAATGGAATAGTCTATCGTACGATTAGCCTCAGCCAAAGTAGATGCTCCACTCCTCTTCTCTGGAGTATGATATTCCTCGCTTTACAGATACACGACTCACGACTCACAGCTCACCAACCCCGATAGCGAATCCAAGAAACAGCATATTCGAATCCCATATCGAGTCAAAACAACGACTACGTTCTAACTTCTGGTGCAAGACGTCACTTGTCTGGTCCTTTGGTGGCTGGAGCTTTCTACCATCTGTGAGTTCACAGGCAGTCAGTCTATACAAGGATGTTTCTGACTCTGCTAGAATCTTCTCTTCCTTCTCTCACTCTTCTCTTCCTTGTCTCCCTCCTTCTCTTCTTTCTCTCCTTTCTTCTCTCCCTCAGTCTACGTCCCTTTTCTGGGTTGGAAAATTCAACTTAAGCATCTTGCCTGATCGACAACTCTCTCACTTTCCAGTCATTTTTTACACCTCTCCCTTCTGCCTGCGAAGGATAACGCCTGGAAGGGTGGTCCCATCTCGTCACCCGATCCCTCACTCCTTCCATCTGAGCACCTTGAGCATAAAAGCTTCCCCTGCCATCCCTCATGGATATCGATTCAGAGGTCGCAGGCCTCTTGCAGCAATACCAAAATCTGCCGGACTCATGCCGGCAAGAGATGTATGTATCATTTTTGCCCTGTCAGCCAAGCCAAAGCATGAAAGATGATCACTGTCTATAGCTGGCACGATCTACCCGCTCAGCTGTCACCAGATGAGTGGCACAGGATCAAAGCAAAAAATGGGAGCAATACTTTCCCGTATGACATTTTGGGGAGCCTGCCCCTCGAAATCGCGTCTCTTGTCGCGGAGCACTTGCCAGTAGTGGAAATTGTCCGGCTACGAAGGGTATACTCTGACATCATCTGATGTAAAACTTGTGTTAATTTCATTCAGAGGCTAACATAATACTATCGGTATCCCGGACATGGCAACAGGCCCTCTCGTCAGCGCCGTTGTGTCGTGCCGCGGCGAGGGTTACCTCGGGGACAGATCACTGAGCACCTCCCCCTGGACCGTGAGGGTTCAACTGTCAGTCTCTCAGTATCACACTGTTAAATACTACATCCTCACTCGCAACATACTCAATTCTTCACCCCTTCTCAACATGTACATTACAACTTTTGCTCGAGGTTTGAGTCATTGTACATCAATCATAGATCCTGCATTTGAGAACCTTGTCCTGCTCATTAATAGCCTGGGCCTGGAGGACCCCCTCTGGCCCGATGCCATGCAGAAGCATATTGGTTCCATTGCACTGCCTGCAGCGCTGCAAAGCCACAACGACCGTCCCCAGCGCTCGCCAACTCGCTTGATGGGGTCACCATACCCATTCAGACTGGTTACTATCCTTAAGGGCTCCGTCTCATCACTGTCGACGGCTATCATCACCGTGCTGCCCAACGAGAAGTAACCGCCCTCGAGCGTCCTGTCGCAAGAAGCGTCAACACGAACACATGGAGTAAAGTTGAAGTTCATCGCAGCCAAGAGGGGGTGGTCGAGAACCCACACATAGAAGAGGGCCGTGGGCCTGTAGAGGCCACGTCCTCTTTGGAAATGGACGGATTGCTCATCATGCACACGTTCCCACCCGAGCTTTCCCACGGACGTCAGTTCATGTGCACCGTGAGGGGTATTCTGTATGCCTTTGTTGAGGATGGTAACCCCCGGAAATACATGATTGCTACATCTAAGGCCATGCCAGGCACTTCGAACGGATACATCTGGCACGACTAGTCGAGCAGTGTCTGCGCATTTTGAGGGACCCGCAGTTCCTGGTCTTTGGGGCTAGAGTACTATGGATATTTGGAAATCGACTGAGAAGGCGACGCAAAGAGACTAGAAGCATATCGTGAGAGTTGGTTCACAAGTCATACCACATAGGTCACAGCATAGTCAAAAGATCTTGGGTCTCACGATAGCTCACGTTCACATATTAGGACAAACTTGAAACTTGTAATCCAGTCCCGCTCTCAAGTCCACAAGTAACACTATCAAGATTCACCACAAAGAGGTACCATGAAGGCACAAGATCTCCCTACCAACACGAACATCTACAAGGTTTCGGTATCTCTCCATACGAAACAACCGAGTCATCATCTCACTTCTTCCAATTAGGAAATGATATAAAAATCATAGAAACACTCAAGAATACAGTGACAAAAAGAAATGTAAATGACACAGGAACAGGCGCGCCGCAGCCAAGCACACACAGGGTGGGTGGGTGTTCTCTAGATTAAAAAACAAACAAAGACGTCAAATGGTCCCCATGAAGCTGGCTCGCAGGCTCCCAATGCATGGCCTCCTCCTCCTTCTTCTTCTTCTTCTTCACCTTGAAAGATCCGTAGACTCAGACAATTTAAAATTCCATTTTAAATTTAGGTCTGAATCATTTAGATTCCGAGGGTGAACTCGACACCGACGTCGATCTCGCGGGCCATCTTGACGACCTTGGAGAACTGCACGGACTTTTCGGCGGCGTTCTGGAGGTCCTCGATGGAGAAAATCTTGAGGCCTGACTCGTTGATCTGGAAAGATATGATGTTAGTAAGGGCTTCAAGGGACAAAAAAGGGTAGGGGTATATCATACCAGCTTGTGAGCCTGCTCCATGTTGGTACCCTGGAGACGGGCAACAATGGGAGTGCGGAGACCCATGTCCTGCACAACGTTGATCAGACCCTGGGCGATGGCGTCACAGCGGACGATACCACCGAAGATGTTGACGAAGATGGCAGACACCTTGGGGTCGCTGGTGATCAGCTCGAAAGCGCTCTTGATGGCAGCGGGGGTAGCACCACCACCGACGTCAAGGAAGTTAGCGGGGCTACCGCCGTTCAACTTGATGATATCCATGGTGGCCATGGCCAGACCGGCACCGTTGACCAGGCAGCCAATGTCACCATCCAGCTTGATGAAGTTCAAGCCGAACTCGGCAGCCTTAACCTCGTCGGCATCCTCCTGGGTGACATCGCGCCACGAGAAGACCTCCTTCTGGCGGAACTCGGCGTTGTCATCGAAGCCCAGCTTGGCGTCCATAGCCAGGACCTGGTGGTCGGAGGTCTCGGACAGAGGGTTAATCTCGATCTGAGTGGCGTCCTTGTCCATGAAAACCTTGTACAGGTTCTGGATGGTGGTCTTGGCCTCCTCGATGCACTGCTCGGAGAAGCCGAGGTCGGTAGCGATGGTGCGGGCGATCTCGTCGGTGACACCGGTGTGGATGTCGATGGGGGTGGTGATGATGGCATCGGGGTTCTCCTTGGCGACGGTCTCAATGTCCATACCACCCTGGGAGGAGGCGACGATGACGGGGCTCTGGGTGCCACGGTCCATGAGGATGGCGAGGTAGAACTCGCGACGGGCGAACTTGCGCTCGCAAATGTAGACGGAGTTGCAGAGACGGCCAGCGGCACCGGTCTGCTTCGTAACGAGCTTGTGGCCGATCATCTCGTGGGCGAAGATCTTGGCCTCGGCAGGACTGCAAAGAAACACATAGGTTAGCTTGTTCTTCCGCTTATCGCAGTGTCTAACAGACACCGAATGTACCGAGGGATATCGGATTCTGTCGTAGGCGGGATAAAAAACTTACGAGTAGATCACACGGACACCACCCTTGAGACCGTTGTCAAAGGTACCCTTACCACGGCCACCAGCCAGGACCTGGGCCTTGATAACCATGTCATCGTTTCCTAGTCGTGGAGTGTTAGGCGGGAGAGCGCAAAGAAGGGGGCCAGGAAAGTCTGGAGATAGGATGATATACCGATAGACTTGGCGACCTTCTCAGCCTCCTCAGCGGTAGAAGCAACCTCGCCCTTGGGGACACCGACACCGTACTATCCTCGATTATCAGCAAACCGACCCGAAACACAATGTATATCACCGATTCTTTCCGCGACCGCAGGATCTGAACGCGCTGGACATACCTGCTTCAGGAGACGAGCGGACAGGTACTCGTGGATGGACAGGTTCCGCTTCTGCTGCTGAGCCAGACGGGAAGAGACGGAGGACTCCTAGATTGATAGACATGACATGAATCAGTTTGCAGTTCATCAACAAAAACCGGGTACGGCCCGATAGCACGGCATTCGAGGCAGATCTCACCGTCGCAGCCCTGAGAGCCGCGGCAATTGGGCGACCGCGGGCGAGCTTGAACATTGTGAATAAAAAGGAAGGGGAAGAGAGGAGAGGGGAGAGGGTAGGATGGAAGAGTATAGGATTCGAAGAAGAGTTGAGGATCGAGAACCCTTTAGGGAGAATTGGAGGTTAGTCGGACCGGGAGAACAGCTTTCTTTTTCTCGGGATGGCATTGCGTCGCGGTAAAATCGGGTGTCGCAGCCAACCAGCAGCCGGTCCCTGGCTGACTCAGCCGTACCTCGGGCGCAGACGCGAATATCACGGAACTGGCTTCGGTTCATTCTAAGAAGGTAGTAATGAGATGATATATCTCAAAAAATAGTATGAATACTATACAAGATTAGATGTTTATTGTAATACAAATTGTCCCATCGCATTATTACATAACAGTTACTCAGGGTATAGCAAAATCTCATCTCAACCACCAGATCTAGTCCCGTCTTCAACCGACCATCTCCCTTCCTACTTCTTCAACGCCGCCTTAATCTTCCACAGCTTGAACATACGGGTCATAATCCGGGTAAACAGCCCATTCCAGGCCCATCCACCCGACAGCAACCAGATCAGCCAGCTCATCCGACCCTCCCAGATCGTGGTCTTGCGACCCTGTGCCCATGGCCACAGCCAGCGCCATGGTGCCGATCCATACAGTACCTGGGTGACCACGCTGCGGGCATACTTTTCATTGGGCATGGCATTGTGTTGGCTATGCACCACACGACGGTTGTATTCTTCCTCGATAGGGAGATACATCGAGTCGGGCTTCAATGTGCGCTCGGTACGAGCAATGCGAGATTGAACGCCGCCGGTAACGACGGTGATCACCTTGACGCTGTTCGGAGGTTAGCGCATACGGCTTAAATGGTGGACTAGATGTCTTTGTTTCATTGGGGAGACTTACTCATATGGAGCTAACTCGACACGGAGGGTATCGCTGAAGGAATGTAGAGCAGCCTTGGAGGCATTGTAGACTGACCCAAACACGTAAGGGATGATCTGTGTAGCGTCAGTATATAGACTTCTCTATTTTGGTATGATAACCGGTTGATATATACCCCAGCAACAGAACCAATCTGCACGATAGTGCCCTTAGCTTTAATCAAAAGCGGCACGAAGGTCTGGCACATGGTGATGACCGAAAAAAGATTGGTCTCGAATGTCAGACGAGCCTCGTCTAGCTCCACCTCCATGGCAGGAACAGTGTAGTCTAGTATTAGCCAGTTAGTTGAATGAATCAGCTTCTTCAAATGTCGTGATAAACAGATAAACATACTTCGGCCGCTATCCATGGTGATTAGTTTAAGTCAAATCGAAACAAAACATACTCCGGGTCGGCTAACTCACGCATTGTTCACGAGATAATCAAGACCCTTGTCCCCAAGTCTTTTCTGAACATCAGCGAAACACGCCTTGACACTCTCCTGGTCATCGACCACCAGGCTCAGGGTCTCGATGCCGATCTCAGCCAAGTCAGCAATGGTAGCGGCCTGTCGAGCCGTGGCAAACACGCGCAATCCATTGCGGTTGAACTCGCGTGCAAGAGAGTTACCAATGCCGCCGGGCGAGCACCTGTTACTTTTGTCAGAGGTTTGGTTTGCGCGACGGTGTCTTGAGGCGCGTCTTGCGCAAGCTGGGATGCTTACCCGGTGATCAGCACGGACTTGCGCGTGTCCGTGACTCCTGGCATGATCACGCGTTGATTCGAGGGGAAGCTATAATTAAGAAACTGGTTAATGGTCTGGAATAGTAGCTTTAGTGCTTTTATATGCTGGAGAGAAATGAAGAGGTCAAGGGTCCTCCTATCTGATTACTGGATGTCAGGTGTAATGAACCTCGGCTCATCACAGGGGAGCTTTAGTAGACAACCCTAAACCCTATTACTTCTTTAGGATGTTGTTGTTGTTCTATGTACCTGGATCCTCTAGAACGAAACGGCAGAGATAAGCAACAAAGCAACAAAATTTTCTATCTAAATCTCTACTTGTACCAGTCAAGCAATTAGAATAGACCGATTCCTGGCAGTCTCCTGCCAAGCTTGTGGAGGAGATCCTGTGGCGGGCGGATCCAGTCCATACTTCCACCATTTTATATTTCCATCATCAATATAGTTCCAGTTCCAGGCTTTCATTATTCCCAGCTCCTAGTACCCTATCAAAGTCTATCCTTAATACACGATCCCTACAGTCGGGCTGCTATGCATTTGCATTTACTATTTGCAGTAAATCTCTCCGAAATCACGGAAACCCCCGCCCCAAATTGACGGTGGACACACCCGCTACAAGTGCCGATTCCCGAGGAGAACCCAACGTCAATCCCCATGGCCAATGAATCCAATAGAAAACCTCCTAAAGTGAATAACAACCCGCCTATCGCGGCGATCTGCGAATATTTGAGTTCGGCAAACCTCCACCTAACTCAAAAGTACAGGCTACAGATTTAAGATGTCGTTCATTCCCCGTAACTAGATGTTTAGTCGTTTTCGATTTCTTCAGACTCTCCTCTCCCCCGCTCCTCCATCTCACGATCCCGGTTCATCGCTCCACGTCATCGCCGCCCGTTTTTTATTCGTTGCAAATCAGGGCTGAAGGATCGTGTACTGGTGTCCGAGTTCCGAATTCTCCACGTTAAATGGGCCTAATTTTCTACGAATCGGAAACGAGGTCTGCACTTTGGTTGGTTGTTACCGCTGTATCGCTCGTCTTTGCTGGTGAGACGTCATATTAGCCTTCTTGGTGGCTTCCACGAGGTGCTTTTGTTTCTGTTTCGTATTTTCTTCTCGTCGCCGTCCGACGGTTAAGAAAATACTCCTCTCCCTGGTTTGATCCATGGTCCTATTGCTATCAGGACGGCGGTACCTATCCTATTGCTGTGTGTATGAGGGAAACTAGGTTTATCTCTTGGTCTCGGCTCCCCAAGCGCTACACCCGCTAGTTGTACATCGCCATGTCCTACTCCACAGACCTACAGCGGGTTCCTAGGTACTTGAGAAGCCCCGGCGACGATGGCTACCGGACACCAACGATCGAAGATGCAGAGCGGACTCTTGCTGTTCTGGGCGTAGCGGATGCTCCTTGTCTGGGTAGCAGTAGCAATGCCCGCCAGGTTCATACATCTGCATTGGAAGCCGCTTTTTACAAAGTCGCTTCTCGAGCGACCGACCAGACAAGTGATAACAAGAATTTTAGCCATTGCGTGGATCGTGATGGCGCAGAACTTACTCGGAAAGTGACGGATGCTTCGGCGTCGAGTCTTAAATGGAAGAAGCGTATTCGTCATGTTACTTGGGCATATTTTACCTTGACGATGGCTACTGGGGGGTTGGCGAATGTGTTGTATGAAGGTAGTAGTGCTTGATCTCTTTTGATACGTCAGTGCTCATGTGATACAGTCCCTTATCGCTTCCGCGGATTGGATACAATTGGAACGGTCATTTTTCTGATCAACATTGCTCTGTACCTCTTCATCTGGGGGCTTCTGTTAGCCAGATTCTACCACTACCCGTACACCTTCAAAGCATCATTTCTACATCCCACCGAGTCGCTATTCGTTCCTGCTTGTGTCGTCTCCTTTGGCACTATCCTAATCAACATCTCCCAATATGGACCTGAGAATACCGGCCCCTGGTTGATGGAAGCCGTCGGGATATTATTCTGGATTGATGCTGTTCTTGCTGTGATATTCTCTGCAGGCATCTATCTCGTTCTGTAAGTCACGAATCATAGCTGCTCTAGCTATTGGAAAGCTTCAGACTTCAGATACTAATGAAAGTCCTCAGGTGGTCCACCCAGACCTTTACTATCGCCCAAATGACTCCGATTTGGATTTTCCCCGCCTACCCCATGCTTATCATAGGTCCTCACGCCGGAATCCTGAGCGCAAAACTCGAACAGGCTCGCTCCCTACGCATTATTATCGGAGGAACAACCATTCAAGGCGTTGGGTTTCTAGTGTCGTTGATGGTCTACTCGGCCTTTATCTATCGACTCATGACCCAAAAGCTTCCCAAGGAAAATATTCGCCCAGGAATGTTTGTTTCTGTGGGACCTAGTGGCTTTACTGTCGCGGGAATTGTGAATATGGCAGCTTCGGCGAAGCGTTCATTCCCAGCGGATTTCATGGGAAATGGAGAACTGGCTGCTGATGTATTAAGGGTGGTGGTTGATTTTGCCGCATTGTGGCTATGGGGGTAATAACATTCTCCTCCCTATTTGCCCTTTCTTTGGTGACTATGGAGACTAACTTTACAACTTTATATCATGATAGGCTGGCAATCTTCTTTTTCATCATTGCAAGCGCAGCACACTGGTCTGCTATCGGCCCAGGTCGAATGGTCTTCTCAATGACTTGGTTCTCGTTTGTTTTTCCAAATACTTCCCTGATTACTGCGACATTTGCCATCGGCAAGGCATTCTCTTGCAAGGCGATTAATATCGTTGGATGTGTGGCAATTCTCCCATTGATACTCATGTACTTCTTTGTATGCTACATGATGATTCGAGCTATTGTCACACACCAGATTTTGTGGCCGCAAAAGGGAGAAGATAGAGATGAGGGTGGGTTTGCGATCCATCAGGTTCAGCCCGATGCAGAGATGTCCGATGAGACCAATAAATCATCTGTGTGAAAGGAATGTCATAAGCTGCATCACCCAGATATTCAACACGTTGAACGCACATACATGAACAACCTTTGTTTTTTTCCAAAGGCCGCAGAGAACTCCCCAAGCTAAACCCTGCTCTACATTACCTCGCTGAATTGAAATTAACAAAACGCCTGCCTCTACTGCCAAGATCGAAGCCAAACTAAGCGCTGAAGATGCTAGCCTGTCTACTCGCGCGCGCTCTCGGGACGAACTTGAAAATGAATTAATAGTGTTTGCACAGGGTTGACCCTGTCAAATACTCGCCCGAAAAGAAAAGAAACTGACAATAAAACAAGAAATAAGAGAATCCGACAAAAAAGAATCCGAAACCGAAACTAAAACCGAACCCGAACCAACCCAAACTACCTCTCTGTACCAGGTGTCCCCGATCCCCCAACTCCCACATCCGCTTCACAACTGATATGCATTGCCCACATCAATCGTCGTCAAAGACCCACCAGTACCGTCGCATATCCGCGACGAGCAAGCGGTTGCGCTCCTTACGAAGCTCATCATCCGTGAACAGGTCGAAAAGGATCCGCTTGACCTGGAGCCCGGTCATGAAGACTTGATTCCGGCATGCGACCAAGGCGTCGAGCCCCTCCTTATCCCACACGCCCTCCCAGACCGCAACACCTCCAGCCCGATCCAGTTCGTTCTGCTTAGAAACAAAATAACGGGCAAAAACCAGGCTGGAGGGATCGAAGTCCGGGCTGAGCATGTGGAGGTTCCGGGTGACGAAGATCGCCTGCACGGTCTCAAACTCCCACTCGCGACGCTCCACGCGCCAACGGCGTGCCTTAATCGCAAAGGTTGACATTTGGAGAGAGAAGGCCGTGTCCCACTCTTCCAGGAGCGTAACGATGATCTCAAGACGCTTGATTTCGGTGTCGGCGTCTTCGTTCATCTCGACATCGTGGATGTCGATGACGATCTCTCCTTCGGTGACGAGATCAAAGTAAGGCGCGACGGCCTTAGGGAGGAGGTAGACGTCTCTTCCCGCGGTGGGGGTCGGCGGGTCGACCACGAGCAAGACGCTGTGCTGGGCTTGACCAACTTCTTCGATGACCCGGCCAGGATTGCGGTACTGGTCGGGGGTGAATGAGGCCCGCACTTTACCGACGAGGCGAGTCCGCATGGGCAGTGGGTTCCACAGTGGCAGCTCTTCCTTAAAGGGCTCGAGGTCGAAGTCGAGACAGCAGGTCGGATCGGTGTCGGTAGTGGCGGCAAGGTTAATTCTGCAGTCTTCGGGCAGGAGTCGGATGGTTCCATCTGGCATGAACCATGTCGGCGGGTTCTGGGCTCGGCGAGCTAAGGCGAGGGCAAGAACGCCGTCAAGGGCGATAACTGCGTTCATTCGCTCCTCAAACTCCGTCACTTCCTGCATTCTGCGGGAGGGCCGACCGTAGGGGGGAGTGTCCCCGACCCAGTTCATGTTTTCAGCCATGATTTTTTCTGCTTCTGCTATGATCAGTCAGCTGAAACAGACTATTGGCCTCATAAGGAGGCATGTTGAGATGAATAACATGATGACTTACCCGAGATATGATGGATTTCCCGCAAAATCTGATGGAAATGGTGGACGACGAGGGAAGAAGAAAGGTGAGAAGAGAAAGAGAAGTTCATAGCTTTGCAACTGCCTGATCATTCCATGCTTATGTCGTGAAGAGGCAATCGATTATGTCGTCGAGGTTCAGTCGATTATATCGTCGAGGGAGACAGGCATATGAAGATGACAAGACGGTGACGACCGTATTGCTACATGAAGGAGACGCACAGCTCCTTGAGCTTCGAAACTCCGTATTGGAATAATCCATAATACGACAGAGAGCACGAGACTATCATGAAGCATGGTATGGCACTTGGAATCATGGAGTTGATGCATAAAGCTGCAGAGACTATTCGCAAAATCGATGAGCTGACCCATTAGAAGATCCCCCGTAGACATTATGAGGATAATTCCATCTTTAAAAGGAGAACCCTGAAGCAGAAAAGCAAATTATTAATATTATTTAGCACTTTTGGCTTCTCTGATCTGATTCCATGTTACTAAAGTATCATAGTAGAAGAAGTAATGCCTACAGTAAGTTAGGGCCAGTGTGGCCACGTGACCGTGCCACTCGCATGGACGAGGCTAACGGAAAAACCAGCCCTTTTTGCTCCTTCTTCTCAATATTCCTTTAAGAAGTTTGTGATCTACTTAATCTAAACCAAGTCGAATCTAACACTCGTGAGTGTCTAATTATTCACGAGTGCCGAGTCCTGAATAGCACGGGGGAATGCGTGACTATATGATGCTTCTAGAATGTAGATAGAATGATCTTCCTGCATTAAAAATTCTAGATACATGTTCTGCATAATACTTGCAAATCTTTGGATTTTTCTTCTACAGGAGCTCCGGTTGTGGCTAATGAAAAATACTTTATGAATTTGTAATAACAACTCAGATTATAGCTGATCGATTTTATAGACAAAGAAATCTCATGGTCTAAAGATTAAATCGGAATGCTCACTAGAAAGAAGTTTTCAAAATGTCTGTACGTAGTCATTGAGTGAGTCAAGAATCTATTTGCATGACATCTTTTCGAGGAAAAGAGATAGCTGGATCTCCCTTTTAGAATCACATCCGGCTACTTCCTAACCGGCTATATTAGACGCTAATCAGCTTCTGGGTCATAGAATTAAACTAAGAATAAAGGTTTATTTGCGTCACATGGTCTCCTGTGAGAGAATTATTGTTTAAGCTCCTACATGCGACTTGCGATGCTCATTCCTGGATCTTTCAAAACGCTAGAGGTCTGGTTCAGATTAAACCTTTGATTTTGTTGTGGAGCAGTGGAGCGATTAAACTCATGCATTAATCGGCCGAGAGAATATGCATGATCTCCCTTTCATGCACGATATTAGAGTTCATTGCGTAGGGCAAACAATAAATGCGCGTCTAGTATTGGTTCGCTGGTCCCCGTTCTAGAAGCGGGCTGAGCACATCATATGGTGAACGATTGTGCGATGCAGGATCTCCACCCGATATAGTCGGAGAGGTATATACCGCAATATCCAAAAGTTACGTCTAAGATTGATCCTGGTTTCAATTTTGAGTCAGTTCAGCTTGATGATTAATTCAGAGAAAGACTATGTAGATCAATTCAAGGAACCGTCTGCGGGATGCTGAGAACTTCCATCGTCATCTATACCCCCGATGATGCGATTATACTTTGAAGTTTTATAAGATATGCGGGTAGCTTGTATTTAGAAGTCCCATATTGAGCAGTGCGAAGTTCATTGATTTTTCTTTGTGACGCAAATCGACTTTCTATCTGAAAAGTCAAACGATGGTGTCCACTGAGTACCAAGATGCTACAACTGGTAGCAAGAACTTCATAGATGTCGAGAGCCAAGGAACGCCCCAACGAAAAGCAGAAGCGCCAAAAACTCTCGGTGCAGGAGTATGTCATTCCAATGAAGCACCAGAGAGCCGTTGTTTACTAATATCGACTACAGTCTGCGTTAGCTCTAGGCGCATTCGGAACAACCTTAACAACCCTCTCTCTGAGTCTTATGGAATGGCGCGGCGTCACAACCAATAATGTCTTCGTCGCCAATTTCTTCTTCATTGCAGCCTTTGGTCTAGTTATCACGGCGCAGTGGGAGCTTTCCATTGGAAATGGTTTTGCTTACACGGTCTTTAGTGCTTTCGGTGGGTTCCATGCTCTTTGAACTACACATCGTGTAAACAGTATAGCTGATATTCACTTTATTTAAACAGGTCTTTTCTACGCAGGCTACGGTGCCCTATTAATACCATCCCTTGGTATCGCACAGGCATACGGCGATGATACAGTGCAGTACAACAATGCGGTGGGATTCTTCATGATATTATGGACTGTGTTTGTGTTTACTTTTCTCGTCGCTTCCCTTCCTAGTAATATCGCGTATATCCTGGTGTTTTTCCTGGTGGATCTGGGATTTCTTACTGTTGCGGCTAGTTACTTTGCTAAAGCTGATGGCCACGCTGCGGCTGCTGTTGCGTTGCAGAAATCGGGGGGCGTGTTTTGTTTCCTTGCGGGTTTGATTGGATGGTATATTGTTTTTCATTTGCTTTTGCAGGATTCGCTTTTGGATTTGCCGTTGGGTGATACTTCGCGGTATTTCGGGAAAAGGAAGAGTCAGTGATGGCTGTATTTACGATGGGATATAGAAAGCGTTTGGGGGAGATCATAAGATAGGAGGTAGGCCTCATAGGCTATTGGGCGATAATACTGTCAATTTTAAGCCTCGCTTGATTTTCCTCTTATTGCCTTTGATTAGTTACAATATCCGTAGAACCTACCTCCATACTCTCTCCAGTTTCGCCAGACCATAGTTCATCAAAGTTTCCACTCGGCCGTAGTGGTGGGGCGTGAGCGGTTAGGTGATCTGCCCTCCCCTCCACCAAACCCCGATAACGACATACTCCACGACATTGACGAACGCAATGAGACCGCGATTCCTCAATTTTAGGTTAAGAATTGCGAGCAACACATCGCATCATTTGATGCAGGCAGCATGTCATACGTACGAAGTATGTCTCGAGCAACTACTAGATATACCGACCCCTCCCCTGCGTTGAATCGATCCTATACTCACCTTCAATAAGATTGATCTACATACTTGAGTACTCGAACTACACTTGTGATACCTGAAAATGACCAGGACCCAAGTCCCTGCGACAAATCCGGCTGTCTATGCCGAATACCAGGCCAAATGGTCTGCTCTTCCTGATACTGCAGACACATGGTTGGCAAGAGCACGTGAAGTCGCCGAGGTTCTGGCCCAGGATGCAGCACAGCGAGATCAGGAGAATAAGTCTCCTCGTGCAGAGGTGGCGCTGCTTAAGCACTCGGGTCTGCTGAAGCTGCTTGGGCCTAAGAAGTATGGTGGTGGAGAACAGCCTTGGAGTGTTGGGTATAAGGCTATCCGGGAGGTTGCGAAGGCGGATGGGTGAGTGATAGTCAAAGATTGGATATTATTTGAGTCTTCGATTGGAGCAAATTCTAACGTTCTGACACTATAGGTCTATTGGTATGCTATTGGGCTACCATCTCCTTTGGTCTACCACCGCCAGCATCGTCGGAACCCCTGAACAAGCCGAGCGAACCCATGAACTCATCCTCTCGAACAACTACTTCGTGGGCGGTGCTGTGAACCCTCGTGACAACGACCTGAAGATCACATCTGATGGAGACCATCTTGTGTTCAACGGGTCCAAGCACTTCAATACCGGAGGTGTTGTTTCTGATCTCACCGTGCTGGAGGGTGTACTTGAAGGCACCGAGGGCCATATCTTTGCGCTCGTTCCCACTGAGCAGGCTGGTATTCAGTTTGCCTACAATTGGCATAATATTGGTCTTCGCTTGACGGAATCTGGCGGTGTCAAGATTGAGAATGTTCGTGTGCCATGGGCTGATGCCCTGGGCTGGGATGAGTCGAGCAAGACTCCTCGTGAGGATATTCTCCTTATTCCTTTTGCTAGCCTCTTGCTGCCAACGTGAGTGTCTTCAGTCCTCATCTCCTTGATCGCGTATGGCTAACTGATCTCCTTTCAATCTCGCACAGAATTCAACTCGTCTTCAGCAATTTCTACCTAGGCATCGCCATCGGAGCCCTGGAATTCGCAGCAAAGTACACTACAAGCTCAACTCGAGCCTGGCCCTTCGGAGGCGACAACAAGGACTCCCCAACAGACGAGTTTTACATCCTCGAGCGCTACGGGAACTTCTTCGCGCATCTCCGAGCCACCGAAGCTCTAGCCGATCGTGCTGGCGACCAACTCACCACACTGTATGACCGCTACTCAACCGATCGATCGGCTCTCACTGCAGACGAGCGAGGCGAAGTTGCGGAATGGATTGCCAGCGTCAAGGTGGTCACCACGGATGTTGGACTTCGAGTTACATCGGGGATCTTTGAGGTCACTGGGGCTCGGGCCACTGCGTTGAAAGTCGGGCTTGATCGATTCTGGCGCGATATCCGGACTCATACTCTACATGACCCGGTGGCGTACAAGAACCGAGAACTCGGGCGGTTCGTGCTCCTGCAGGAATACCCCGCTCCAACGTGGTATACTTGAAAGTGGGGGTGATAACGATAGCAAAGATGATGAGTATATGAGATAGGAATCATATAATGAGAAGAGGGTCATATTGATAATGAGTAAATGACTGTATAGACTGTGTCCCTGTAGACCCTGACAGGTAGTTGAAGAGGGGTGACTATGGTGACTGCGGGACCCCGCCGGAGATAAGCGCCTCCCCGCGCCCAGGCCGATAAAATGAGAAAAAAAAAAAATATGCCGATCCGAAAATTTTCTGCCCTTTTTTCTGTGGGCCTCGAACTTTGCGACTTTCCTCGGCTTCTTCCCTTCTAAGACTTGCTTTTTGTGTCAGACCTCCTTGAGCTTATATTGCTCCTCTTTGCATTTTATCGCATATAACCCAGTTACTCCTGTCAAGACATACCTTCTCCTTCATTTCAACCCGCCAAAATGGTCCAGAAGTTCTACGTCACCTACAACCAGGTGCACAAGCTGTGCCAGCAGTCCGCCGATGCTATCCTCAAGGAATTCCACCCTACCCTGATGATTGCCATCGGTGGTGGTGGCTATGTTCCTGCCCGCATTCTCCGGTATGTCCTGACCCGACTCGACTTTGCGCGCATGCGCCAAGAAGCGAGGCACCAGCAGGGTTTCCAGTTCTAGTTCTAGCTCTAACGTACATCTTTCTTCTGCCGTATAGATCCTTCCTCAAGCGTCCCGGTGACCCCAACATCCCCATCCAGGCTATCGGTCTGTCCCTCTACGAGGATCACGGCCGCGGTGATCCCGAGGAGGTCCCCGGCACCAAGGTCACCCGCACTCAATGGCTGGACCTGAGCTCTCTCGAGATGGCCAACCTGATTGGCAAGAACATCCTGATCGTCGATGAGGTCGATGACACCCGGACAACTCTTGAGTATGCCGTGCGCGAGCTCGAGAAGGATGTTGAGGAGGCGCAGAAGCAGCTCGGTCGTGAGGGCGAGAAGACTAACTTTTTCGTCTATGTTCTCCACGTACGTTATCTCCAGACACTGCTTTGCTATCGTGTTACGGAGGATTTGGAATTTCTTTTGCTAATTTCCGGCTTTTGTCTTCAATAGAACAAGAACAAGCCCAAGAAGGGTGTTTTGCCCGCCGATATGATGGAAAGTGGTCGGTACCATGCCTCCGTCACCACTGACGATGTCTGGATTTGCTACCCTTGGGAGGCTAAGTATGTCCCTGCTGCGCGCATCTTTAACCTACCAGAAAGACTTGTTGAAGCTAACTATCTTTTCTAATAGGGACATTGATGAGCACGATGCTCTAGCCAAGGAGAACCCCATCATTTAAGCAGCTCATTATTGCATTGGCGAACTGCATTCCATTCTGCGAGGCGCTCTGGTACTGTTGGTGGCTATTTGGTGCCTCAGTTTTGACAACGATGGCCCCCCTCTTCCCGGCGTGGAAGTAGATCCCGGGCATGTCCATTTTTTACGATATCCTTATGAATTTTTAGAAAAAGTTTTCCCCCCATAATTCATACATACCGACCACTATATCCCAAATCGAGTCTATCTGTCTACCAGATCTGCAGGGGTGGTCGAATCTACAAAGAGAGACCAGACCTCTCGCGAGAAAGATCCAAGAATCAAAAGCCTTTGAATGGGTATCAAACGGGAGTGTTTATTTGTTGGCAAAAAGAACAAACAGCAATTAAAAAAAGCACCGTGTTTTATAATGCCCTGGTGCAGGCACAAGCCTTCCTCCTCCCGCCTTCTTTAGGTGGGTAGGAGCTAAGCTCCTGCATCCAAGCTCTAGGACAAGGTCGGCCCCGGTATCCCGCCCATGCCCTGATAATCCAATTCCACACGCAACATGATTGTATTTGAGCGTTTAGTCCACCTCGACATTGCCCTTGCGCAGCTCAACCTTGGCCAATTCAATCTCCTTCTGCAGCTCGGCGTGAGCCTCGGGGACGTCGTTGAAAGTGAAGATTGCCACACCGAGGCGACCGAGGAGGTAACAACCGAAAACGATGAGCGCGTAGAAGGGGAGCTATAATTTGAACGAAAGAGGTTTGGTTAGTGTTCGGTGTTGGCGCGCGTCAAGGGTATATTGCGTTGTCGCGACGTACCACGGGGATGATCTCGGTCTGGACGGTCTCGTTCAGGGGGACCAGGCCGAGGTAGAGGGAAAGGTAGAGCTATAAGGCATGTTAGCGAATGTATTCGGGTATGCGTCCGTGGTGGGACTGGGGGCGTTATGTACTGGGCGTTCAACATACGGAGGAGACGAGGAGGAGGACGGAGAGAGTCTGCTGAGCGCGTGTCATGATGAAGGTAGGGAGAGAGGGCGTTTTGACAAAATGGAGATTTGGAGAATTGTAAGGAAAAGAGGCGATCGGGTCGGTAGGCGACTCAATATCAGATCCAATTGACCGCAGAGAATGAAGGAGAGACGGGGTCGGTTGTGAGTTGTCGAGTTGTTGGAGTAGTGGGACGGGGGAGGCCAGCTTGAGGTGATGCTTGGCAAGGCGGAAGTCCCCTGGGGTCCGCCGGTTTAAGGTGTCGATGTTGATGGCCTGGGGAACTACAATGGGTCAATAGTACAGCTCCATGTGTACAGTACTAACAATTAGCAGATACGCTAGCTACAAATTGAACCTGAGCTAAATCTAGGCAACTCACGCTCATCATTATCTTTTGATTAATATCAACTCTGTTGAATCATTGATTCTGTCCTCGTCCCACTGGCTTGTCCACACCTTACCTAAACAGGGTGGGTGCCTGAATCCACCTCAGGCAGCACTATCGCGATTGGATCGTTTTCCGTGCCAAATCATTTAGTGTCTCTTACCTCGAAGCCCTGCAACTCATTCGAGTCCCTCGTGAGCATATCCAAGGACCCACCAGCACTTCTCTATGACTCAAATGTCACATTAGTGTCCTCACCATCTCCCCTGGTTCTACCATCTAGGCTCCTCTCGTCTCCTCGGAGGGAGTCTATATTACCCGTCTAGGAAAGGAGCCTCACCACTCCACCAAATCACTCGAAGGCAGCCATCACCCCCTCGCGGCTCAAAATCTAACCAGAGCAAAGACCCAGTATGGCGTCTGCAGAGGGTATATCTATGGCCATGGCAGCCGGGACAGAGGCTGCTCGCCAGCACTCTGTTCAAGCTACCAGCTTTGATTTCCCATCCGTGCAACAAATCTTCTCTGAGTTGCCTGAGTCGTCTTCATCTTTGTCTGATCGAGGCTCGGAGACGCTGAGCTTGGAAGAGCATGAGAAGATGTTTCGTGCCTTGAGCTTGGTCATTGAGAATGCCGAGAGCGCGGCCGAGTCCGGAAATGCCTTTGATCTTAAGGAGTTGCATGCTTCCCTGGAACAGGCTGATGCTGATGCACGACGTGGTCGAAGGGATGTGGAGTCCTTGCAAAGTGTGCTGGAAATTCTCAACAAGCTGTGGGCTAGTAACTCTGAGTTTCTAGTCCAGGCCGCTGAGGTTATGGCTAATGGGAGTCGAGAGCGTGAGCTTGTCCTGGTTCTCTTCTTTTTGAATGGAATGCAAACTGACAGAAATTTAGTTTCATGGCGTGGTCCAATCGGAAAATCTGGGATCTTGAAGTTCTTCCTCGATGTCATCTCATCCAAGAAGAATGTGGGCGTCAAATTGCTGTACCATTCTTTGCGGTTGGTGGGCAATACTTGCGCTGATATGAGTACGTCAATCGGATATGCATCTCTCCCCTCCCATTGCGACTTTACTAATACAAAGACAAAAATGTAGACGAGAACAGGCAGATTGTCCTCGAGGGGTTCTACACGCTCCCAATCATCAGGCATTTCCTGAACCCTGAGCTGGTGCATGTTGCGATTCCAGTTATCTACAATATCTGCATGGATTATGGTGAGGAATCTTCGCATCTCCATAAATAGCAATCACTAACAGAGAAACAGAGCCCGCGCACGCCCAAGTAGCCGAGAACCGAACGGCATACATCATCTTGAAGCTTCTCAAAGACGGTGTTATTAAGGATAACAGTGCTCTTCTCAACTTCTCTTATGACCTGGTGGAGCTGGCCTCGGAGCAAGGTAAGACAACGAAATTTCCATGGCTGATTAGTTTGGGCTCATGCTAATCCTGCACAGCACAAGGCATTGATAACTCTCCCGATGGAACTATCTGGCTTCTCACACAACTCGCCTTGGAAGAAACCGAATTCGACCACTTCTCTTCACTAGTGAACAGTCTCACAGCCTACCTGGACAAAGAGCGATTCCAGAACGCCTGTGTTTCAAACAACATGGTCGAGGACGTGCTATCTGTTCTTCGCCGGTCCTTCTCCATCGAAATCGACGAGACCTCAAAAGAGGAAGTTTCAGGCATTGCCCAGATCCGACTCAAGATCAACCAAGCTCTAGGCGAAGTCTCAGCTTCGGAGTTATTCGCTGAGCACTACCCTCTTGACTCTGCCCTAGCACAGACACTAAAGTCCTGGATTATTGCAGACGAGGAGCAACTTCAGATCTGCGCGTGCGTCATGCTCGGAAACCTGGCTCGATCTGATGAGGTTTGTCAAGTGATGGTGCGGGACTTGAAGATTCATGTGGAATTGGTCTCCGTCCTCGAAAGTGGCTCGCGCGGTTCAGTCCTTCACTCTGTCCTTGGCTTTTTGAAGAATCTCGCCATCGCTGGTGATAACCGCGTCAGCCTTGCCGAAGCCGGGATTATCCCAGCTGTATCCCGCTTATGGGCGTTCGAGTCCGTCCCACAGGTCCAGTTCATGGCTGCTAGTATCGCTCGCCAAGTGACTATCTCTTCCATGGAAAATATCGCGCGTCTGCTGGCTCCGCTGTCAGAAGACCCGGATTCCCCTGCTCACAAGCGGACCTATCTTTCCCTACTACTATCTCTCTTCGAGAAGACTGACTCTGCACCTATCAAGACGGAAATCGGACGTACTGTGGCTTCTATTTGCCGAACGGTTACTCCAAAGGCTCGCGAGGGAGATGAAGCTGCGAAGTCACTGTTGGAAAAATTGTACACCCTCCACGAAGGTGTTGCTCGACCAGTCGGTGCAATGATTACTCAAACTCAATGGCCTGTCGTTCGAAGCGAGGGCTGGTTTGCTCTCGCTTTGATGGCAAGTAACCATTCCGGCTGTGTAGCTGTGGTGAACTGCCTGCACAACGAAGAGGTTGCAATGCTACTTAAGAAGACTCTAGATGGGGAGGTTTCTGCCTCAGATGCCTCCGATGAATCCAGCAAGCCGGATGAGACCCAAGTGACCAAGGACCGAGACAATGTCTTTGTTCTTGTGCAGGAATTGTTGAAGAATGAGGTAAGGCTTCTCTATATTTTGAATTTACTTTGTGTCTATACTAATCACTTCCAGGCTGGTGCACTTCCTATGGGTTCTCGGGAAACGTTAGAAGGTCTAGTGAAGACTAGCTCGTTACGACTGAAGGGTACACAGGATGCTTGAAGTAAGCATTAAGGCTAGCATGGCCGCGCGAATACATGATGACTATGATTTGACGGATGTGACTTTCATTCGTATGTTCTGAGGTACTTTTAGAATAAGACACGGACGATAAATCAAAGAAGGCTGCACAGAATCAACGGACCATGTCAATCTTAAAGGAACAACAAGTCTCATGCAAGCGAGGTTCAATCCACAGCATGTGAATTATCAAGGATACATCTCTAGAGAATAAGCTATAGGTAGTGAACTTTGAAAGGCTACCAGAAGCAATTTCAATTTCACAGGGAGCAATAGGAAAAGTCGATGAGCGAGCAAGCAATAGTGACTCCACCGTGTATGAGCAACCTTTCCATCACGAATATCATAGATTCAAATCATGACTAGGTTGTAAGCCATTCTGAGACTTGCCGAAGGACATGTTGCCACTTTGACACACGCTACTTCTGAGGTATGTTGGCAACTGTATCTCCTGATGCAGCATATGGAGGAGGTGGATCGTTGCACATAGAAGAACTTGACGCTGGCGGGTTCGACTTCGTATCTTCGGATGCTTCGTCTTCGTATGTGAGGACATCCCAGAAATGTCCCTTTGTTAATGCCATGGCATATAATGGGGTTGTGTCCCACAGCAAATCTTCAATGTCCTGTTTGTTCTGCCCCTTTTTTTTTCTGTGAACTCAACCCCTCGATATCGAATGCAATATCCACATTCGACAGTGCAGTGACCTTGCCCTTTCTTTCTATGTGCGGACGAGGCACGTCTTTCGCAACAGCCACATCCCCGAGCACAGCAGCCTCCTTGACTCACACAGTCGCCAGTCAGTCTAGTGGTGAGGAACCATGTAGGTCGTTCTCTGACGGCGAAATAGTTCTCTCTCACACAGCGTCCCATGCTCCATTCAGCTCGGTAGAGAGTCTGTTCTTGTAACCCGATTGTTTTTCGAAAGTCCTTGATTTCACCCTATTTTTCAAACTCTGCTTTGGCGTTGTCATTGTCGGGATCAATAGCCATTCGCTTCCTCTGCCCTTCCAAATTTTCTTCCAGCGCCTCCTCTCGCTGCGTACTTTCGCGAACATGGGTTTGGGCGATTATAATGTTCAAGAACATCGAAGCTTCATAGTCATTGACATATTCTTTGTTTTCATCGTAATGATGGAATCTTCTGTGAGTTATGACGGCCTCCGCTTTGTCCCACCTTGTGACAGATCCGTACGATGGCCAGGTTACGAGGGACATTTTTGAGTCTAGCTGCGAATGATTGAGGAAAATAGGAAGTGTTGTAAAGTGGCTGTGAATGATTGAGGCATAGTTCCATCTGAAAGAGTAGCGGACCCTAGAATAGGTACCAAAAAAGGACTAGTATGTCTAAACAATCCATACTTGGTTGATAGTTCACAGCAGCGGCGGCATCTGGACTTCACCCTGGTCATCATTGAGTCACCAAATATTCATGCTCGCAAGTAACAAGGTGCGGTCTCGCCCACCAGACTTGGGCGATTAATCCAAGTGCCAGCTACCTGCGAAATCGTATCATTCGCATAATGCGTTTGACACTTCTCTGAAACATGGAAGAAAATTATAATCATGTTTTTATATGTCCAAACTTTCTAAATATGTGCATATCCTCATGAAACAACATCCACCGCCCAGGCTTGCTTCACTATTTCAAATCTCTTCCATATCCCATTACATAGTCTGTCGGCAAACCTTTTCTTGAGCATAGGCACGATACCGCTCCAAAAGATCCGTCGCATCCAAGCCATCAGCACCCAGTTTAGCCGAGTAATGCGATACCAGGCCCTTCCCGTCAATCGTAACGTTAGGACGAGATCCATCTGCCGCAATCCACGACTTGGATAGTTCTTCACTGATTTTATGACCGAAGATCTCCCCCAATGCCTCAGCATCCTTGCCCCAGAAACAACCGAAACTGCTACTGGCAGGCTCAGTCGGGTTCACCCACATGGGGAATTTGTATCGACTCAAAGTATTCGACTCAAGGTGATCAAGGAACGAGTAGTGCTGCTGTGCACTAACCGTCCAATCCTGCAGAGTCGGACCGGTTTCCGTGTACACGGAAGACGCAATGGGGTCTCGGTCTGCGCCTGCACCGGCTGGTAATAGCCAACGATGGCCTTGGAAAGGTGGTTGAAAGCCCTTTTGAACTCTGAAGCTGGCGGGTCCTTCCCATCGTGGAAGACTCGATGCCCTCCAGTCACTGCGGAGTTGGGACTTTGACCGAGAAGGCTGCTCAACGTGGTGGATTTCGGGTAGATATGGTAGCGCAACACCTGGATGGCTGTGGAGAGAAGAGAGTGCGCCTTCGTTGACGACATTTGCAGATACCATCATCGCTCCAGGGTTGTCCAATTTTGTTTTGACGATCGTTGGGATAGTGTGGTCTTCCATGAAGACGACATCCCCGTCAATACGGATGTACATGACGTCGTCGTGGGTAAACTTCCAGTCCATATCGTGACCGGATAGAGAGATGGCGTATTCGGGGGTTTGTTGTACTAAAGATTTGAGCCATTGTAGGCTGACGGCGTCTTGCGTCTGGGGGATGAAAACAACTTGATCGAGGAAGCCATGATTGTGGACCAAGTTTTGCTATGAACTAGTTAGACTCGAGAGTCACACTTCTGACAACACGGGCGAGCAACTCACCTGTAGGTAACAGTCCAGAATAGCAGTGCGCTCATGGTAGTTGAATGGAACCAGAGCAACTATCTTGAACCCGTGTGGCTTCGGGAAACGTTCCGAACCATGCGAGAATGCATAGAACGGCGAAATATCCTTGTTGAAAAGCAAAGATGTCGGGTCAAATGGTAATAGAGATGGGTTATAATAACCAATCACTGTCAATATAACGCACAAATAACCCAGCAGACTCCATGATAACACGACTGCCCAGTCACGCCATGTGCAAAGCTCCTCCTCTTCGTCGTGATTAGCCTCGACATCATCCAAATTTCGTGAGCGGCCCATAGTGAAGAACCGATCGGCTGGTAGTCTCAAAAGGTATTGAAAAGGTAAGCTTCATCATGAATATTAGGGTCACCTTCGTCCATTTAATTACTACGCAAGGCCCTGGCCTATTTCATCGATCTGTAGCTTCTTTGTCCCGTTTTCGGGGTACCTGGACCCTCGATGGTAACATGAAACCGCTGCAAAAAAGCAAGATCGACGGATGAACGCTTTACTTTCTCCTTGGTCGAATGGTCGTTATTGAGTATCCGGAATAGGACTTGAATAGGTGGAAAACGGACAAAGCGACAATCGAAGAATGCGCCCTGGAATGTGGAGCCCCTGGGTTTTGCGACCGCGAGTCCGTATGTACCGCCTCCTCCAGGATCTTCGGAGATCTCATTGTGTTTTTGAGGCTGTGTAAATGAGATGTCTTAAGCTTATTATATTTTTGTAAAAATGTTCTCTTGTATCGTGGGTCGAGGGTTGTATAGTTCACGACAAAGGCTTCGGTGGCGCTTGTATAGTTCGGGGTAGCCAGACAGGGAAGGGAATTGGTCGATGAGTCCTGATTAACACTTTCCAATTTCTGAAATAAATGAATCATTATGACTTGCTTCTGACGATCTCCTTTTATTTACTATTCCACTCGAGTATTTTTTGAATGTTGCTATTATCAAGAGTGCATAATAAGCTTATGCATCCTCGGCCCACGGAACCTGTTTCGATGACGTCGCAACACGTGCCAATTATCGGGCCTGTTATCGGTCGCCGGTCATCTTCTTCCTCCATGAACCACAATTGAATCATGAGGGCCGTCCTCCTAGGTCGGCTCTGTCTAAGGCGTGGCTTTACACATCTACCGCGACATGCATTTACACAATCATGGCGAGTACCCGCCAAGCGCATTCCCAGAAGGGCACCGGCGCCGGTGATCGGCGGGCTGGTGATGGCTGCGCTCGCGCCCAGCGCATTTCTCAAGCTTGCGGAGGACTCGGATGGCGATGACAAGACGGGTGAGATGCAGATGCTGGAGGCTTCGCGGGAGGAGATTCGGAAGACGGTCTCGAAAGATGCGAGGGGTCTTACAAGGCTTTGTCAGTCGCTCCGCGTCTTCTGGTATTACTATGTCTATGATCCCATTGCGACTGGGTTTCGGTTCCTTCATCTGGCTGTTATCTTCATACCTGTTCTTGTCACTGTGCCGGTTATTTGGATTGGGAGAAGAATTGACGGAGGTAGTAATGCGCAGACTGGCACGATATGGTGGTATCGGTTCTTGGTGAATGCCATGGAGCGCGCGGGTCCGGCGTTTATCAAGGTAGGTCTTTCAAGATTGCCTCATCTTCAGTGCGTTTCAATGGCACATGTCTTACTCGATATCTATCTCTGAATAGCTCGGACAATGGGCCGCTTCCCGTACCGATATCTTTCCACCGGAGATGTGCAACATCATGTCCTCACTCCACTCAAATGCCCCCGCCCACTCACTCGAGGATACGAAACGCATCATCCGAAAGGCTTTCAACGGTATGCCATTCGAAGACATATTTGAAGAATTCCACGAGGAACCCCTCGGTGTTGGTGCCATTGCCCAAGTGTACAAGGCCAAACTCAAGCCAAGCTTGGCCACCAGCAACCAAGAATTGGGACTCCAGCCCATCACATTAGGAGAGAAGGTGCGAAAGAACATGGACGTTCTGGTCAAGAGCTCACCACAAAGAGTACCATCGTCATACGTCGCGATCAAAGTTCTGCATCCCAAGGTTGAGAAGATGATCCATCGCGACTTGCGAATCATGGGCTTCTTCGCCTCTCTGATCAATGCCATTCCAACCATGCATTGGCTTTCTTTCCCCGATGAGGTCCAACAATTCGGTGAAATGATGAAGCTCCAGCTGGACATGCGCATTGAAGCGACCAATCTTGTCATCTTCCGCGAGAAATTCAAGACTCGCACACCAGCCTGGTTCCCGTATCCATACATGGAGTATACGACTCGGGAGGTGTTGATCGAGGAATTCGCCCAGGGTATCCCGCTAGCGACGTTCTTGGATATTGGTGGAGGTATCTTCCAACATGAGATTGCCAATGAAGGACTGGATGCGTTTTTGCACATGCTTCTGATTGATAACTTTGTGCACGCCGATCTGCATCCAGGGAATATCATGGTTCGCTTCTACAAGCCCAGTGAACTTGACCTTTCTCTTCGAAAGCACTCGCGCGCCACCGAGGCTCCGACTCGCGCAGAAGTAGACGTGACAGAGGCAGTTCTGGCGCGCTTACGTCCGCATATGGGCAACAAAGCTGATTGGGAATTTGCGCTCGCCAAACTCAACGATGAGGGTTATCGTCCACAATTGATCTTCATCGATACGGGCCTTGTCACTCAGCTCAATGATCACAATCGACGGAATTTCTTGGATCTTTTCCGGGCTATTGCCGAGTTTGATGGATACCGGGCTGGGCATTTGATGGTTGAGCGGTGTCGCACACCAGAAGAAGTCATCGAACCCGAAATCTTCGCATTAAAAATGCAGCATTTGGTTCTAAGCATCAAATCTCGTACATTTGCCCTCGGCAATATCAAGATCGGTGACGTGCTCAGCGAAGTCCTAACAATGGTCCGTGGCCACCACGTCCGGTTTGAAGGAGACTTTGTAAACGTCGTCATTTCTTGTCTCCTTCTTGAAGGTATTGGCCGAAGCCTGAATCCTAATCTAGATCTGTTCCAGAGGTGAGTACTTTCTTTCTTCTTTGGTTCTCGGTTGTGTCTATCTGGTTTCCCAAACTAATGCTCGAATATAGTGCCCTTCCTATTCTCCGACAACTTGGTACTGGCCAAACCTTCTTGCAGACAGTGCGTTCGGGCGATACTTCGATGCTTCGGGTCTGGGTTGGCTTGGAAGCTCGTGGGTTGCTGCAGGCCAGCATTGAAAGCGTGGAACGGTGTGTCAAGTATGATTTGTTGTCGCCGAATATTTGAGGATAGACCATTTCTTGGTTTTTTGTATTATAGACTCTTTTTTACACATGAGAATTCAATGACATGAGATATTTTGTAATGATGAAGAGGTGCTCGTTGGGCGTATTAGCAGGTAGAAAGAAGATTGGAATAGATTCATTTGAAGCTGAAGCTGAAGATTAAGCAAAATGAAACAAAAGAAAACTCCCAATTCATCAATGCATCCTCGCAACATCACTTTCCTTCCATTATCGTCTGCCGGTGTACATAAGTTGATGGTAAATGAAATAGTAAGACAAGGGGAAATGATATAAGACAGGTGTGAGAAGAAGAAAAAAGAATATGGAAGGTCATGAAAAACAACCCCCCGAACGCCTGTGCCATGTCTATTGAATTTACAAAGTGTGAGAGTGGAGAAGCATCGAACTTCAAGACCGACTTGGAGACGGTTTTTTTAGTGGTGGCCGTGACTCTGGCCAGGTTCACGGACAGCACCGCCGCTGGCTCGCCACCAGACATCACCACCCCATCTCATCAGGCGCTCGACGGCAGCGGTGGGGGAGTCCAGAGCAGGGCGAATGTCAAGGTAAAAGACGGGCTCACCGTTGGGCTCGGGATCGCCGGAGTAATAATCGATCACGTAACGGACCTCCTTAGGACCCGAGGGAGTTTGACGCTGAACGAACCAGTCGTGGCGGTCGAAGGGGGGAGGAGACCTAGAAACAAAAATTAGCGGATGTTTTGCAAAAAGTCTTGCACAGGCAATACATACTCAAACTTGGCAGGGTACACCCATCCAAGGCCCTGGAAAATGCGAGCCTTGGGAGTCAACTCCTTAGGCCGGCCTTGGAATCGGATCAGACGAGGCTCAGTCGCCTGATCAATGTTGCCCGTCATCTCGTCCCTCATCAGCTGGAAGTTCAGATTCTCTTCACCGCGACGGCATCGCTCCCAACCAGCTCCGAGACCCTTCGCGAACGTACGTTCCCATCCGATGATCTCGTTCCAAGCACCTTCGTTCAGGAAATTGTGAACAGCAACCATAGACTCGACCGCATCCTGGGGGGTATCCGTATATCCTTTGCGCAGCATCGCGTTGTACATTTGCTGCGCGGAGGGATACTCCCAGTTACCCTGCGAGTCACCCCTAGGAATCGATGACGTCTCACGATCAACGGAGAGGTCAACGGTCTGCTGGGGCGCGCGCTCTTGGGAGATCGAGGAGAACATGTAGTTCAGCGGGTTCAGCTTGGACAGGGTGGACTGTTGGGGAGCGGCCGGCGCTGGCGGAGCGGGCGTATCCACGGGTTTCTGGGTCGCATAAAAAGGGGAGTCTTTGGCCTTGGACATGGGACAGTTGCTGGGAGGTTCGGCAGTCTTGGGTGCAGCAGCTGGTGCTGAACCCGACTCGTGCATCGGACATCCGGGCTGTCGATAAGGGTCAGTCGCGAAACAATTGGTCTGTTTTTTGGGAATCATACTGGAATGGCAGCACCAGGTGTTGTTGGGTGTGGCGCAACAGGCGCCTTTGACTGTGTATCGGCCCAGAACCAACCCATTTTGAATTAGACGTTAGAATGTAGAATGTCAGACGTATACAGGATAAAATCGCATTTCGCGATAAAAGATCGGGGAGAAAAATGCGGAGATGACATAATGTGCACGTGATTTGGATCGGCTTCCTGATGCCGAAGTATACAGTAGTCCTTTGCCGGTAGATCTTGAAGATGTATCGATTTGCATCCAAGTCTGACATCCTTCTATTCTAACTCTCAGCTATCATTTAGTTATCTCTCATCATCTTATATCGTAGACTTTTCAAGATTACACACAAGATTCAGTCCAAAAACCTTGCGAGACCATAAATTTCGTATACGCTAAATGTACAGACAAGCAAACAACCATCAATTAAATCCGCCCATGACCCATAAAGTTACACTGGACCTTTTGAGTTGTACAGAGATTAGAAAGAAATCTTGTAAAACACAGGGTGGCCTAACGCCTAACTTTCAAGATTCGTCCGACGAGACCACGAATCCCGCCATCGCCTCGTCCCAAACGGATCTCCATTCCATGCGATGGAGAGCGGGGATGTAAAAGTGATCAGACATGATCCTGGAGACTTGGTCCCAGGTTTGCCATTCGCAGATCATTGCAACGCGGGCTAGCCGCTCCACGAACCAGGGCCTATCGGCCTCACCGGCTGATCCTTGTGCCCCGACAAATAAGGCCCAAGCGAATAAGCCAAAGTTTTCCTTTGGCATGGTGAGAAGAAGGGAGAGTTTGCAGTTGTGCACGGCAGAGACGATGTGGCTTGTGAGGGCTCGGCCGAGGCCGGATGAGGGGGGAGAGACAATTAGGAAGTTGTTCAGGAAGCCGATTGCGGCCACGCGGGTGACTGCTTCGAGGGGGTGAATGTCTATGGTGAGTTGAGAGGGGTTTGTGGTTTCCTGATTTTCAGGGTAGATATAGCTCAGTAGCTGGTGCTCTGCTTCGCAGTTCAGGACTCGGAAGAAGTGGTTGTCCGCTGGATGGAGTGCATCGGGTTTCGTTTGCACGGCGATGCTATAGTAAATAATATCCCGCACCACGTGTAGAATGCGGATGAGTTGGGAGCTGAGTAGCATGCTGGAGAAGAATCCAGAGCCCAGTTGGTGGGCGGGCGAGGAATCTGGAGGTTGGATCCGCTGCTGGATATCCTGGGGGACGGGATGCGCATCCCAAGTGAGAGGGAAGACTGGTTTGACCAGTAGGCCAGAAGCGGCTTTCACATCAGTACTGGAACCAGGTATTAGCCGGGCTTCATCGACGAGTAGTTGAGAAACATACGTGATTATTGCGGACAACATCGAAGCAGAGCGGATGCTCTCATCTGTGATACCGCCACGCAGCTCTACCATATGTTTGAGACCAGTCAAGTGGATCCGGGCTTCATCAAATAAACCAGCGATTAACTGCACAGAATTATCAGCAATCCAACCTCTTCCAAACCTCGCAGTCAGGGACATACCGAGCCCGTGAGCAAGTTCACAATCGTGTCGAATGCCTCATCACTTAGTGCCCGTTTAGGATCTCGCATCTTGGCGTTCATTTCTCGAATGGATTTTGCTTTCATAGTGCAGAAATCAGGGTCATTGACGATGGTGTTTGCGCGAGCGGAGCTTGATGCATCATAGCGAGCGACCGATAGAACCGCCCGGTGTGCCGCACACATGGTCATCAGACCAAAGAAGCTTCCAGGGTCGGAGAACGAGGATCGAACCATCAATTCTACCTCACGACACTCCTGCCCATTGAGTTCACTAGGAAAGGTCATCGGTACGAATACAGATTTCCCTGAACTCGTTAGCTTTATCCAGATCAAATTGGAAGCAATGAGGGACAGGCGAAGCTATGACTTACAGTAGTAAATCAAATGTGCAACCATAGAAGGTAGCTCACTAGTCCCCGGTAGTGAGCAAAAGGGATCAAAGAACCAAGAGTTCGGTAATGACCGCGGATTAGGGTTCAATTGAGGCGACAATGGGTAGCCAGCACTCCATCTTGCAGGCCGAACTCGTCGCGGCTTAGAAGAGACATAATTGTTGTCAGGCTCGGTGTCGGCCAACGATGAGGAAGCAGACGATGGAGATGCTGATCTTATAGCTAGTCGTTGCTCCTTGGGCTCTTCTTTTATCTTTGACTGCGCTTTCGCAGAGGCTGACTGACCCCTGCTGTCGCGCTTAGAGGTTCGTTTCAAACCAGCTAGTCTCTCGCGACGGCGTACATCACGCATAACATGGGAGCGAATGGCCTTGCGAGCATTGACATCTTTGATCCGCTTGGATGTCAAGTCATCGTCGTGATCAATAAAAGTGAATGATGGCTGATCCAGCGGCGCAGCTGGTTTCGAGGTTTTATCTGGACTCGAAATTAGTACAAGAGATTTTAATCAATAATTGACCAGGGTTAAATGATCTTGTTGCATCTGCCCGGGGGAAATCCGAGACCAGACATCTATCTAGTAGTTACTAGATAATGATGATGCCCTCACAAGGGAAATTGACAGAGAATGAACGAGATTCGCCACCGGGCGCCAGTCAAGTTCTCGTCCAAGCCACCGGAGGTTTCCCCATACGAGCATCAGCAATTCACTGCAGACCAAGCGCATCGAGCACAGATCTTTAGTGTTGAGGCCCCCCAAGCCCTCAAGGGAAAATAGTGGTGGGGCTAGCCCAGGCAATATGCATGAGAGAAGTAGTGAGCACAAACCTGAATGGGAAGGCCGAGAAAGCGCCGCAGAGCTGTAAGGCTGCAGCTGATCCATCGTGGGCCCGAAGGCCAGGGGTTTAAATTTCGGTAGCGCCGTATCTGAAGATCAACCCAGGCAGACTAGCAAACTGACAAGACCATCACAAACCAATGAAGAAGAGAAGTGTGTGGGGAAGGCGGATTTAGAAGAGAGAAAAAGGAGTAGTTACGTTGACAATAATTTGCGGGGGGTCCGGGGGGCAGAAACGAGCGCCAGCCCGATTGAGCGCATCTTCCAGTTGGCAGATCCGGTGATGTCCGGTGTAACGAACAAAAATTGGGTTAACTTGTTAAAGCGGTAATATTCCTTGGAGTCGAGTGATTGACAAGTACATAGCAATGGGCAATGGTAGTAAAATAGTTACAATTCAAGAAATTAGGACCAACGCCCGTTCCATTCAGCCAAAAAGTTAATCAAGTGGTACCCCCATATCTCCAATGCGCCGCAGGATGCTGCCAATATGAAAAGCAATAAAGTAAACCGCTAACGACAGGGCCGAAGAGAAGAAAAAATACAATCAAAGATGTCTAGTGACCAGCCCAGCATCCTCGGCTTATCTTTCTCTCTCTCTCTCTCTCTCTCTCTCTCTCTTTCTCATCCTTGTACGTCACTGACCAGTCGGGACAGCAGCGCATAGCCAAATAGCACGGCCAATCCAATCCAAACTCGGTTGCGGCGTGCCCAACTCTGTCCGGCTTCCCGAGCCACATGTCCGCCTTCCATTACGGCACCGATCCCGGGAGCACTCCCATTAGGTCGGCGACGGAGGGCGCTGGTCTCTGGAGAGCACTTGGTGGGGGCGTTGGGGTCGGGGAGGATCTGACCGGTACTGGTGTCAATGCGATGCTCCTTCATCCAGGCCCAGTTCTCCTGATCCAGTTCGGGCCATTCGGTGCGGAACTTTAAGCCACCATCCCCCGCCTTGACATTATTAATTCCTTTGGTCGTCTTCGTCACACCCGGGGTAGCGCTGGAATGCGAGCCGCCACCGGTCGAGTTCCACCATCGCGATCGCGCGGCGAGCACTCGGCGCTCGCTCTCGGTGGCACTGACACTACCCGTGGTCATCTCTTCACTGGTCATGAATGAAAGTAGTCCGATCAAGATTGTCGAGACCTCCCATGCGGGGTTGAAGGACTTGGGATGAAAGTCGCTAATGCTCAGGCAGAGCCTTGTCGACGGTTGGAATCGGCCGCTTGGGGTGTGCATTCGAATGGCAGGAGGCGCAAAGGGATACTCGGGAGGGAACATGAGGGTGCCCCAGTACTGCCCATTCTCATATGGGGTGCCAGGGGGTCCGGTCAAGATATAGTGCCATCTAGGCAGACGTCAACATCGAGAAACTTGGGGTAAATGGACAAGGTGAAAGAACTGACTCGAGAATATTTGTTTCGGATGGATGGGCAATGATAAAAGGTGGTGGGTTCTTTTGGATATTTTGGTACTCCCGAGTGAGCTGTATATACCGTTAGAATGTTGCGGCATTTGCCTGCGCATGAAGTCATGTCGGGCCACTCACCCGCTTGAAAGCTGCCTTTGTCGCCATTTTCTAAATCGTTGATTCGGAAAGTATGAACCGCGAGAAAGATAAGATTGAAACAAATGAGAAGCGTGGCTCAAGAAACCGCGCGCGCAAAACCGACCGTTGAATGTTGAGTGTTGGAGAGTGTCGAGCGTCGAGAGTCAAACGGCCAAGATGTCGCCGTTACGCCGCACTGGTCCCGAGGGTCACGTGCGGCTCCGTTTTCCCACGCGATCAACTGCGCTCAGAATCCACAGGTTCTGGCCATTGCAGCCGTCACAATGTCCTCCTCCCTCTCTGCTGATGATGAAGACGTACGGAACCCTCCAATACAGCTTATGTGTTGCCCCTGTCTCGTGGTACTAACAATTGCGGCAGATCTTCGAGCGCTTGCAACAACGCAAGGACCCGAAGGTGTTGGAAGAGCAGCAGCAGGCTGTGAACGAGCGTACGCAAGCCATTCTCCAGAAGGCTCAAGCTCGTCTTGCAGAATTGGTATGATATCACCATCTGTATTGTTTGTCTCAATGACAGAACAGATCTCCGACGCGGTCAAATTTCGGAGCTTTCGGCTAACCATGACTTTGTTATCAGCTTGACCAAAACTCGACCTTGCCATGCGCGATCTCGTCCGTTCAGGTGCTTAGTGCTCCTCACACCCGCCGAGGCTTCCTGGAGAAAATCCTCAGCCCCCTTCTCAGCGAGAACAAGGACCGACCCTATACCCTGTCCGAGGCCTTGCGGGAGATTTCGGCAACGGCCGACAAGCTGGGACGATTTGGTTCGTGAACCAGGCTCGATACGGAGGATATTTCGGCTTTGATATTCTAACCTGGAATATAGACCTATTCCAACAGCCAATTGCCGTCCACCTGGATGAGTCCAACAAGGACGTCTCCGGTCTCCGCACCATCGATGTCCTTCTGGCAACCAAAGAGAAGTCCCGAGTGCTCTTGAAGACCGGTACTGATCTCGGAAACGCCGAGGGATCGGCTTACGGTAACCTCTTGTGGCGCAATGTGTTCGGTGGTGCCGAGACCCTCAACTTGAACGCGTCGCTGGGTACGCGCACACGGTCCGCCTACCAGGCCGCCTTCGAGACCCCGATCCTGTGCGACCCCGACTTCCGCCTGGAGGTGGGCGCCATCGCCAGTTCCACCCAAAAGTCCTGGTCCAGCCACGAGGAGGTGCTTAAGGGTGGTTGGAGTAAGCTTCGCTGGCTGTCTCAATCCGGACACCGTCATGAACTGGGCTACAATGGTTTCTGGAGGCAAGTCACCGGTCTGGCTGAGAATGCCTCTCCTACGGTTCGCGCGGATGCCGGTGATAGTGTGAAGAGCAGCATCTTCCATAGCTGGGTCAATGACCAGCGTGATCACCCCATGCTGCCTTCTCGCGGTTACTATGCCAAGATCTTCAACGAGGTTGCTGGCTGGGGTCCGTTGAAGGGAGATGTCTCTTTCTGGAAGTCCGAGATCGAGACACAGGGTGCCATCCCCATCCCCATCCCTGGAATCCAGGGCGATAGCGGGATCAGCCTCACCACCGGCTTCCGTGCCGGTCTTCTAGTTCCTCTGGGCCTGGACTCGAACTCCCGCCCCCAGCTCTCCCGCATCAATGACCGCTTCTTCCTCGGCGGGCCTACTGATGTTCGCGGATTCCGCCTGTGCGGTCTTGGCCCCCGTGAGGGTGTCGATTCCCTCGGCGGTGACTTCTACGCCGCTGGAAGCGCCAACCTGCTCCTCCCCCTTCCCCGTGTGGGCGCTGACAAGCCCCTGCGGTTGCAACTCTTCATGAACGGCGGCCGCCTCTTGCCTCTTCGTACATCGCAGAAGGCAGCCCCTACTACCAGCGGCGAGGTGCAGGATGCCGTGGTCTCGACCATCTCGGACCTGCAAACCGGCCTGCCTAGCATCGCTGCTGGTGTTGGTATTGTGTATGCCCACCCCGTGGCACGCTTCGAACTGAACTTCTCCCTGCCTCTGGTTTTGCGGAAGGGCGAGGAGGGCCGCAAGGGCCTGCAGTTGGGTATTGGCATCAACTTCCTATAGAAACACGTTTCCTTTATCAGAGCTTAGCGGCGTCAAATTATACCTCACTTTTCATTTGTATCAAAATTTGTATACTACATGTATTACAACTACTACTATTCATGTATCCATCTTGTCTTTCCTCCCTACAGTACTGTTTAGACTCATATAGTTCAGTCTCCCCGGATGCATGGCTCCACACGTGGCTGAGTAAGCAGGCATCAGCTGGAGGGCGAACCGCCAGCTGGCTGGCTGGAGCATCTTCAAGCTCTCCCAGCTCCCCATTCTCAACATCAAATCCCGCGCCTACACCTCTCCTTCTACCCTCTTACCCTAAGAGAAGAACAAACACATTCGACTCATTCTCTCACCACCCCAGCCGCAATGGCTCAGTACTACCCCAACCAACAACAGCAACAGGGCTACGCACCCCAAGCCAACGCCCAGAATCTCCAGTTCTTCCCCTCGTCCTACTCCTCAGTCTCCGGCCACACGACCCCCTCACAAGCCTCCTACGGAGCGGGCTTTGGCGGTGCTCCGAATCCCTCCACGCAAGCTTATCCCGTCGGTGGCGGGTATGGGGGCTTTGGGTCTCCGGCCGCGGGTGTGAGTGGGAGGATGGGGGAACAGGGTGGTTTAAGGACGGGTTGGTTGGCGGCGTTTGGAACGGAGGGGTATGATGGTGAACCGCCTTTGTTGGAGGAATTGGGGGTTAATTTTGAGCATATTCGGACGAAGGTTAGTTGGATTGAATTGAGGTGATGGGGGATTTTGATTGATGGGGTGGAAGGAGTGCGATGCAATGCGATGCGCCTGGAACCGGGTCTGGGTGTTATACCTCGATTGGCCTCCAGGAAGTTTGCATGCGAAATGACCTCCTCCTCGCCAATCTGAGATCTACTTGCTGGTCAAGACAAGACAAGAAGATACATCAAACTAACTCCAATTCAGACCCTATCCGTCCTCAACCCCTTCGCCTCAATCGACAATCACCTCATGGACGACAGCGACCTCTACGGCGCCCTCCTCTACATCGTCCTCTACGGAACATTCCTCCTCCTCTCCGGAAAAGTCTTCTACGGCTACATCTACGGCGTCGCCGTCTTCGGCACCGTCGCCCTCCACCTCATCCTAAGCCTAATGTCCCCCGCCCTCGACACAGCACCACCCCCCAACACCGCCGATCCCGCAAACTACAACCCCCACCACAAACCCTCGCTCTCTGCCGCCTCCTCCACTGTTGGCCATTTCTCTGCCACACTGACTTTCCCCCGCTCCGCCAGCGTGTTGGGATATTGTTTCTTGCCGCTGGTTTTGACTGCGTTGATTGGGATTTTGATTCCCATGGATACGCTTTTCGGGTATCTTTTGACTACGGCGGCCGTTGGGTGGTGCACGTATAGCTCGTCCGGGATGTTTTGTGCCGTGGCACGGATGAGTGGGATGCGTGGATTGGTGGCGTATCCGTTGGCGTTGTTTTATGTTGTTTTTGGTATTATGGGGATTTTCTCGTCGAGGGGGACGGGTTCGCTGGCTGCGAAGACGGGTGCTGCTTGAAGGGTGGTGCTGTGATGGTGTCTTGCAAAAGCGTGGTGTTTCTTTTACTTTCGAATCTCCCATCCCCCTTTTTGTCTTCGCTGGTGGGTTTCTGGCGAAAATATTTGGATGGGTTGGGATGGATTGGCATTGGGATCCATAGACTGGGCTGCTGTGTGGGGATGGAATTCCCTTTACATTGTCTAACTTGCACCTTTTCTTTCCTCTTGCATTTAATCATGAATATTACGAGACTCGCAGCTGTTATATATATAATTCATTTATGCATTTCATCTTCATTAGACCTCGTGAGCGCTTCTCCCATCTATCCAACTCCTGTATGCATCCCAACCATCCACATATAATGCAACGCAGTCATGATCAGATCATCAGTCCAAATAGTCAACCTCGATCTATATATCTCTCGTCTCATCGCGCAATCTCCCCCCTCACAGGCGCCCACTTCCCCAACCACTCCCTCATCTTCTCCAAATCCCCACCAGCAGCTTCAGCACCGGCAACACACCACGCCAAATCATACGCCTTCCCTGCAACATCACCAGCCACACCTTCCGCAGCAACCATCTCCGCCAAGTTCCTCCGATGCTGGCCCGTCTCATCTGTGCAGAAATAAAACGGCGCTGTATTGGTCATGTCGGGATTAACGGTAACAGGTTCGATGAGCGGACGTGTCACTTTGGTTATATCCGCCACACTCATTGGCGCCACGGGCTCTGTTGATGTCTTCTGTTTGCCCGTTTTGCAGTATGCATTTTGACACCAGGGTTTACCGCATCCTGTCATTAATTGCGAGAGATAGCGTCGCTCGATTCGGCGGCGCAGCGCTTTGCCTTCTGGGTCGTATGTGTCGACGTATAAAGGTCCGTAACAGATATTGCATAGACCGAGGGACTTGTTGCTGGCGCTGGTGAGTGTGCGCCCGCAGTTTTGATTGAGACAGATCCGTGGTGGAGGGCGTGATACGCGTTCTAGGTCGTGGTGCCGGAGATGCGTGTTCATATCTCGGAGACGAATGATTTTGCTGCAGAGGTGGCATTCTGTTGTTCTTCCGCCATCGACGAGTTCGTGTGGTGTTAGGCCTGAGAGGAGGACTTCTGGATCGTGCAGGTCTGGATCGGACTCTCCTTGTTGCGGGACGAGGAGGTGGCAGAATTGGCAGAGGATTAGTTTGCCCGGGCATGAGGTTGTTCGGTGCTGGGCGAGATTGGGGAGGCCTTCGAATTGGGCGGGGCAGTCGGGGCAGGTGTACGGTTTGTGGTATATTGAGTCGTGGGTTACTTTGCTTGTGGTGTCGTTGCCGTGGGAGGAGTCGTGCGGGCAGTGCCAGTGGTTTTCCCATTCGGGGGACCGTTTTTGGAAGACGTTGCCGCATTGTGTGCAGAGGATGTTATTGCGTAGACAGAAGTTTTCGTGGAGGATGAGGGTTCGTTCTGGGACCCATTGTTGACAGTTCTTGCATTGGACATCGCCGGGTGCGTGAGACTCCTCGGTGGACTCGTCGGTTTCTGTCGTCTCGTCTACCGTGTCCACGGCATTCGTCGTTATCCGTAGGTTGTACCTGAGAGGAAGCTTTTGCTGTGCTAGCGTTGAGGATTCAACACCCGAATCTGAAGGACTGGCATAAGCAGAGACATAAATAGCCTCCGCCCCCTCAAGCGCCACATTCGTAGGCCGTATCTTAAACCTCTTGGAAGACTGCATTGAAAAGTCTCCCCAGACATGCATATCCGTCCTCGGACGACCTTGCTGACGCGAACCAAGAGGACTAACAAAAAGAAACACATTCGGCTCATCCGTCGTAAGCTCAATCTCCAGCTCATCCTCTCGGTTCCACTCCCGAAGCTCGTAATCCACATACTCCCCCGCCAGGACTTGAGCAGCTACCTCCTCCCCAGTAGCAAGCACACCTCCTACAGAGCTCCCACTCGTCGTACCGGGAGCTCGCGCTGCCCGCTCCAGGCGCTTCTGCAGGGTCTCCCGGGCCTGTTCTTCGGATAGAGCCACAATATCAACCTCCAGATCGGTGTCCACGACGCAAATCCCGTCCCCCTCGGGGAATACCTTGTCCAGCAAGAACCGGAAGGACTCGTTGCGTGTCCCGGGTACAGTCAGGATTTCACCCGTCGTCAAAGTCGTAAAATTGTCACGCAGGTGTCGCTCTAACAGCGCTTTCCAGTCCTCCGGGTCATACCCAGCTTCAAGCGGACGTAGGCGTACATACGTGCCCTTGGGTAATTGCTTCGCATGTACAGTAACGACCGCGGGTTCTGTTTGCGCTCGAGTCGGTTGTCTCTCCACATCTTCTCCCTCCATGTTATCCCCATTGACATTATTCACACCCTCAAGCTCCCCACCCTCAATCCCAAGCACCTCCCGTAACCCAGCACTTAGTACAACCTCATTCTCCGCAGCAGAAAACTCCCGAATCCCCGCATACACGAACCGGTCATTCAACGGGTTCACAATCCGAAACGTCAACGGATGGGGTAATTGTTGCTGGCGCTCTTCAATCTGCTGCCGCGCCCGCGACTCCGCCGCGAATGTATGTGGATTGAATGGGTCAAAGGTGGAGGTGTGTACGCGCGCGGTATTCGACGGGGTCGGGATCGGTTGGAGAGGTGCTGCGGCGAGAAGCTGTTCTAGTGCGGACTGGGGTAATGTGATTTTGTCGCCTGGGAGGCGGGGGGCGTGTTGGGGGGGGTGTTACGGATAGTTGGGCGGACCAGGTTAGAGTGGGAGTATTGTCCGCCATGGTGGAGGGGTTGGAGAGATTAAGGAAGAGAGGAGTCTCTTGAATGTTGAAAGTTGGAGATTATTATAAACGGGGAGTGGAGCGGGAAGCTCGAGGGACGTTCTGGAAGAGTCTCCCCCGCGCCCCCACTATCATTAGTGATCTAAATAAGCTAAACAATCTGAACAATCTAAATTCAGCGCTATAAATTTGATGTATGAGTGGAGAAATCTGGATTATAAATCCAGATGAATCATTTCATATCTGCTCAAAATAACAAAATTCATGACCCTCTCCTGCTCTAACGGAAGCTCCGCATTCGGTGGCGAGAGCTGGTATTGCACCAGTCGCACTAGTTTGAGATGTTAGCTTTCGTCTCAAAATGATGGATTAGGTGCTGGTTTTGTAATTCCAAACTTACCATAGTCGCCGAGCATCCCTCATTATGCTCGATGCAGTAATCACCTCGGCAGCTCTGACAGGTGCGCTGAGTGTGTCGCTTGCATGAACCGCACTGTACACAGATTAGCATCAGGTCTATATTAAATAATAATTTGAGAATACGCACAGTTGGACCACACTCCCAGCAATCCTTGCTCACCCCTCGCTCGAGTCTCTGTTCAAGACGTTAGTAAACCATATATTTTATTAATCAACTTTCCACCACATACCTCTCGCTCAACATGAACAGGTCCATTCCCATGCGTATACTGATGCGGTGGCCGGATCGCAGTCTGATGCGGCGTCAAGCTAGCCTGAACATGCTGCGGATGCGGCAGACAGTTCGAACAGAACCACTTGTTGCACCGGTGGCACCAGCGATCAGTCAAGCAGTCAGTACACCGCGCGATCAGCACAGGATGCTCGCCGGGAATAAGCTCTGGCCGCTTGGCCGCAGCAACACTGGACACATGCAAAGGAACAGGGCTCAGCAGTGGGAACTGGGTGTCTGGGGACTGGCCCCAGATTGCCGGGCCTTCGGGCGAACTATGGCATCCATCGCATCCTCGTGGGCCCAGAGCCACGGTGGCGATAGAGGGGCCAAGTAAGCGGCCCTCGGGGGCGGGGTTCTCCTCATCTGCGTTGGAGTAGAGATTGACATCATGGCGTGGTCCGCGGCACAAGACTGCGTCAAAGGCGATGATCCCCTCGCATTTCTGGAGAGTCTGCGCCCAGCCTTCGTCTATACTGTGCTTGAATACTTTTCCCGAAGGACTGTACCACTCGTTTCGCTCGTATCGTCGAGTCACTGTTTCTGCCTCTTCGTCTTCGTTGTCGGAGGAGCTGTTTGACGGGCTCTGGCTGGAGCTTCGTGAGCTTCCCACCCGGGATCCCCACCAGTCACGGTATCGTCGTCGCACTGCGGCGCGCGGGGGAGTATGCATTGGGGAGAAATGATAGATTCCCTTCACTTTCGGGGTTCCCTCTGGGCGTGTGGGCCGCACGGCATGTTGGATGACTTGGATCAGCTTGCGCTCGTTGAGGTGTTGACACTCGCGGATAGACAGAATGTTGACATTGAATCGATCGGACATGATAATGTCTGCGATCAGGTCGGCTGGCACTGAAAGACCGTCCAGGACCAGTGTGCGCACGTCTTGCAAGATGGAACGCTTTTCAAGGCTGCCGAAGATGCGCCGCAATGGAGCCGAGTATACCTCATCCTCGGTCTTCATTTCATCCTCCTTGGACGATTTGATGGGCAATTGCGCACCTCTGCAGCGAGTCAGATCCAAATGTCTGAACACGTAAGGAGTACCCGTAATCACATTGTAGAGGAGTCGCGAAGTCGAAGCCAGGGCCATTAGCGATGGCGTGGCGAGATACGGCGCCATATTGTCAAGGATCAGACTATTGGTGAGCATATCCTCCAGCGGAGCTCGTCGTTTGGCTGCAGGCTTGCGTTGCGGAATGGGCTCAACAGGAGCAATCTTCTCTGCCGGAATTTCTCGTACGACCGGCTCGAGGCCCAATTCCTTCATGGTAAATCGACGAGAGCCGTAGAAATCTGGGGCGCGGCTGATTAGATTTTGACGATATGCGGCCATGGCGCCGACGGCGACCTCGTCGCCAATGCGCAGGAGCGGCGCATGAGGGTGAATTTCCTGGAGCGCCGCGCGAGCCTTGACCAGCTCGGATTCAAGAAGGTGAATGGTGGATTGGAGAAGGGCAGGCATGGTGTCGGAGTTGGGAGTGGGATGAATTGCAGAGACCAAAGAAACCCAAAGATCGTCGGTCATAGTCCGGTGCTTTATAGTTCCAAACAGTTGAGGGTTAAGCACGAACAAAGGGTGGATCCACTAGTACCATGGGTGTGGGGGGAATTAAAGAGAAAGGGTTAAGAGTGAGAGGGACCGGACGGATAAAATGATAATTGGCAGCGGTTGAACTCGATTCGGATAGGGGATGTTTGAGTCAGAAGGACGAATGCGCCAGTTTGTAGATGAATGGGACGGTATTGTATGGGAGTGAATGGGGCCAGACCCAATAAAGCTCCGGTGGAGACGGAAACTGAGATCCGGGGTGGAGTCAAGAAGAGGAGGGGGGAAGAAAGGGTTTAGAGATTGGATTATTCGATTGAGTAATGATAAGAGCGACCCGAATAGGAACGGAGGGTAATAAGTATAATGTGATCGAAGAAGGCAAGTAATCTGGACAACTGTAACAAAGTCGGTCAGAGTCACTCTAGAGTGGTGGTGAGTGGGAAGTTTAAAACCAGAAAATCGGACGGGAGGCCCGAATGCAGCAAGTCCGGGGATCTCGGATGGGTTCTTATACTTGTTGACAGAAATTAGAAAGAACAGATAAACTCATCAGCAAACATGGAGAAGACGGCCCGATTGTAAGACAACAAGAACAGAGAAAAAGAAAAGAAGAATAAACATCCAATGAGAATGATAGTGGGCCCATCAAGATCGTGGCATGTACAGGAGTTTCTCCTATCTCCCGTATATCCCGGAGATACAATAGTTAAAACCATGATGCCACGGTGGAGGAGGAGCAAGGGGAGGAAGGACAGGACGTACTTGGTACGCAGGAGTACTTGGCAGCGGGTCCAAGGGATACTTTGTTGAATGCCTATTTACTCCTTTCTAAGTTTCTACAAAGTATACCCAAGTACATAGACCCAGTTATAGACATTACACTCTCCAAAACCATACTTTTAGTATACTGTAAATCCTCTCCTAGCCCACGAGTAAATACCTATCTCAGTACAATTCAATCCAGGTAAAGTAATCAGCCTAATTCATTATTCCTTTTTCTTTCCTGTCAATCGGTCCCCACTGATCCGCCAGTCACGCGGACAGCCTCTTCTCGGCCGCGTCAGTGCAACCGATCCACTTGCTTCTTTTTCTTCTCGAAATATTAAGTTATTATTATTATCATGATTAGTGATTACTGCTCCAGCAAGTGGCAATGACCAGGGGTCCGCTGTCGTGGTCCAATGGCTTTGGCGCGTGGGGGGAGAACCCTTTCCTATCCTTAGCCCTCTGGATCGAGTCCTTGGCTAGGCCATATGTATGGAGGCCGGGTGCAGACTGTACATACAGATTGTTCTCCAGCCTACAGGATATACATAAAACAACGAGTTGACGCAATCCAAGTACCTATTCGCTGTATATCCACGTCGGCAGTGTCCTATCATCAAAAACATATATAGTAGACCACTCTGCAACCCCCTTAGCATAATGTACTTAACAAACTACTTATCCTCACCTGTCACACCGTCTCTCACTATCAAATCCAAGAATCTTGGAGATCCTTGGCATTGAATATCGGATACACACCCCCATCATGCTGTGCAGTGTGAAGACTGCAGTCATCTCGCCAAGACCAATAGCTGGGATGGAGTACTGCAGTGATGCACCGCCGCAGACGCTGGGGAGATCTTCGCCAAGCAAATGATGGTCGATCATCTTGGTAGAGAGACTCAGAGAGAGATCAGAGATCATCGGTTTTCTATTTATTTTGTATCATCTTGCTGGCTGCTGTGGCAGTGTTGATAAGGAGTAGGACTAAACTCTTGGAGGAGGATAGTCAAGTGTATAGTTTGCTTATAGTTTCACGCGCTTCGAGTGCCAAGGAACTCGGGGTGAGTGTCCTACCTTGAGCCAGGTTTCTGTATATTGCATGTAGTAGAGAAATCGTTAAAATATCCCATCAATCCCTCAGTACTAACAAATCATCACGGATCATACACTATCCCCGTGCTGACACCCCCATTCCCCACATGCCCCCATCCCATCATAATTGCACCATCGCTGTTACTACTGTAGTGTTAACCGATCGATCCAACTTAGCCGAGTGGCCAAGACGGGGAAAGGGGATACAGTAACAAAGCCAAGCCATTGGCCCAGGTCTACAGTACTCCGTCAACTCCGTCCTGTACAGTACATGTTCAACTGGCTGGTGGATGTGCAGGAAGACGTGGCTTAACTTTGCGTCTCCCCCATTTATTCTTGAATGGCCCCGTTTCGACAGGATCTCCCGCCCCTAGTCCCACTTCAGCCGCCCGGTGAGGGCGCTGGTTCCCCTTTAGGCTCTGGGAGGCTTGAATGTTGCAAGGCTAACTGTGGAGTGGCACTGACAAGTTCAACTGTTCGGTACGGGGAAATCGTGCAGTCAAGACGGAAAAATTGTCATTTTTATGTACGGAGTACAGTATGACTATGGGGGTTGTGTAATGATATGATACCTGACTGGTTAGGATAGGAGTGTTACTGTTGCTTTTACTTTACTTGTTATTATTTTTACTGAGGACAATTCCCTCCCAGTTGAGTAGTTCTAAGCGTTCCCCAACGGTCAACATCTTTGATTCTTGATTCCTAATCAGGACACGGCACGATGCATCCCAATCCCCGATTCTCCGTGCCAAGGGATGCAGTAGGACCTTTGTATGCCATTTCCCTAGGACGCTATCCTAGTAGACTGCGACTCTATATCCTACTACCCCAGTTATCTTACTATACATCCTGGCTGTTGGCTGTTTCATACCAACACACGCCGTGACACCTGACACCACTATGCAATGCATTTCAGATTCGGAGGGAAATGGGTAGGATTAAAAACTAGTGGTACAGGTCGTGGATCATCCCCTCCCAAAAAAGTCGAGGGTTCTTCCCCAGGATGAACGCTGCACGCCCTCGCTTGGCGCCTCGAAGTGTTGCAGTTTCTCGGCCTTCTCTCTGTCTCTGCCTCTTCAAGTCCGGTTTTTACTTCCACAACTTCGACACCGCAACCTCCTTATCATCATGCTTGTTGAGAATCTTGGCAGTCGCCAAGTCAAAGTCTTCCTGCGTGACGTGCACTCGTCGCTCACGCAGCGCGTACATGCCGGCCTCCGTGCAGACTCCCTTCAACTCCGCACCGGAGCATCCGTTCATCTTCTCCGCGATCTTGGTCAGGTTGATTCCACGGGTCAGGTTCATCGACCGGGAGTGGATTCGTAGAATATCGGCACGAGCTTCGACACTGCAAGTAGAGAGAAAAAGAACTGTGTTAGTATAGATCATGCATCACACGGTGCGTGAGTATGTATAAAAAAGAGGGAAGACATCACTCACGATGGGGGAGGGAACTCGATCTTCCGGTCAATTCGCCCAGGCCGCAACAAGGCCGGGTCCAGAATATCCAGTCGATTCGTGGCCATAATAATCTTGATGTCCTTGGTAGGCTCGAAACCATCCAGCTGGTTGAGCAGTTCCAGCATGGTCCGTTGCACCTCCGAGTCACCACCACCGGCCGAGTCTATCCGGCTAGAACCAATGCTATCAATCTCGTCCATGAAGATGATACTAGGCGCATGCTCTCGGGCCATGACGAACAGTTCTCGCACCATGCGACTACCCTCACCAATGTACTTCTGCACCAGCTCCGATCCACTGACACGAATGAAACGGCAGTCTGTGTGATGAGCCACAGCTCGGGCCAGCAACGTCTTTCCGGTACCGGGAGGGCCGTACAGCAGGACACCCTTCGGTTGTGCGATACCCAGAGACTCAAACAGCTCCGGGTGCTTCAGACCAAGCTCGATCACTTCCTTGATCTCCTTGATCTGTTGGTCCAATCCACCGATCATGTCATATGTACTGTCCGGAACCTTCTCCACCATCATCAGTGATACCAGCGGATCGACTGAGGACGGCAGCATCTTTTCCAACTTGTAGGAATCTGAGAGCAGAGCCACCCGCTTGCCGACAGTGAGCTTGGCAATGTCCACGTCGTCGGCGATATCAACCACTGTAGATCAAGGAAAGAACCAGTTAGAAACACGTCGTAGAACGGAGACCAGGAAGTTAGTAGCTCATTTATGATCATGAGATTCGTACCATATTTGCCCTCTGGGTGTACCTTCACCAGCACCTTCTTCGTGCTCATCACTTTCACCACTTCGCCGACATACGAGCCGGGTTGTTGAAGCAGACCGAGCTCCTCCCGTAGCAGGCGCACTCGCGAGTTGTAATCATTGCGCTGTGCCTCCAAACGTCGAAGAACTGCCTGGCCCTGGATGATCTCGAGCTTCATGCCCTCGATCTTGTTCCGGTAATAGTTGTCCAGCGCCATGGCGGATAGAGGGATGACGATATCGGGCGAGCAAAGTCAAAGGGGATGGCGTGGATGAATCGAAAGAATGAATCCGGTATACAGAGCCTCCACTATCTAGTCCAGACAGAGGTATAGAAGCTGGAGGATACGCAACGGGCACGGGTGGTAGGAGGCGATGACGATGTTTGGGATGAGATCTGGAGCTGGACCAGCTTGAAGCTGCGGGCATCGCCAGCAGATGACTAAAGTGAGATACCTTATAAGTCAGGCCGTAACAGACAAACCAAGCAAACTAAGCAGCTGCGCAGCTCCCCACTATGGATGAGTCAGCGTTCACCTGATTGGCCCAACCATCTAATGGTCATCTGGAAGCTCTCCACGCGGCCGTGTGCTACCCTGCGGCCTGCATCGTCCTTTGTACATTTCTACAGCTGAGGAGACAAAGCAGATGATCGAAGAGTCTGGGGTTTTCTTGTCTTGGATTCTGTTGAACCCCGCAATGTGAAGTGGGAGTTGCCAAGTGCCCATTTTGCCCTTGATTTAAAAGCACCCCTCTCTGCAAGCTTGGACGTTCCGCTGTTTTTTGTTTTAGACCCGTCGCGGATCATCGACGAGACATGGCGGGCGATAAGAGAGACCCCGACCAGCCCGAGCCCTCTCGAGTGTCGGGTACACCAGGCAGTGACTACGTCTCTGCGTCATCTATGCCTCCTATGCGATCAACGGCTTCGGTTCGGAGAGGCTACGGTAAGCTTGACAATTTTGTGTAACCTCAAAAAGGCCCGTTTTTGTGCTGACCGCTGGATATGGGGGAACCAGGAACCCTGGATGCGCAATCCTTCGATTCGGCGTCCGAGGTACGCAACGAGGAAACCACTCAGGAAGATTATTCGAGCCGCGCGTTTACCTCCTCATCTATGGTCCCCGATCGGCCTCGAAAGCCCTCGGTCACCCGTCGCATGTCTTCCAAACGACAAGTGCCCCACAAGGGCCAGGAATTCTCGACTGACGATGATGTCAAGGAAGTCGAGGAGGACTTTGCTCTACATAAGGTCTCGTCCAACCAGCAGCTGTCTCCGAGGATTCGTCCCATGCGGGCTCCGGGCTCCACGTTACGCCGTCATGCCAGTGCTCGTGTCAGCCCATTGGTTAGAGGTGAATCCGACAACCTGAGTGTGGATGACACTATCTTGCCAAAACCGAACTTGGACTTGGAAGACGACGCCCCGTCGATCAGACAGTCTGATGGTGGTAGCGACAATGAGAGTGAGGATGAATCGCCTGTGTCGGACGAGGATGACGAGGTGACCAGTGATGCCGAGAGCTTCACGCTGAAGGATCGCCAGCAAGCGATCAACGAGACCCATCCTTTCGGTATCAGGATCTGGAAGCCTGCTCTGTACAAGAAGAGCCGCTCGGTGGAGAAGACTGCCGAGGGCGATATCCATTCGTCTCCGGGAGGTCGTGTCAGTCCCATGCTCTTTTTGACAAACCTCCTATGGTCAGCGCTCTTTGGTTGGTGGTTAGCTCTAGCTGCTTTGCTGGCTGCGATCGCATGCTTTTTCTGTGCATTCTCTTCCAGTGCCGTCGCTTATGGAAGGGTCTTTGCTGGACTCTCACGCTACTTGCTCTACCCGTTCGGCTCCTTTGTACTTCTGAGAACTGATGACAATTATGCCGAGGAAGACGAGGGAGAAGGCCGCAGCATCAGCGAGTATGAACAATGGCAGAACGGTGACTTGGAACATGGTCGACTCTTTTTCGGACCTCGCAGAGACCGATCTCTTGTCGGACGGCGGCGCAACAGCATTGATTCTGCTGGTGAGCAGGACAGTCTCCTCGGCCGGACTCAGCGTGGATCAGGCGAGGATCTGCAGTTAAACCCTTCTAAACGTCGCCTCTTCGGTCGTGGTGAATGGACCCTCGGGCGAGTTGTCTTCTTTGTGTTCTTCTACTTTTGGGTGGGACCTTTGATGCTCATGGTCTCACTGATCTGTTGGCTGCTCGTCTTCTGGATCCCAATGGGCCGAGTAACTACCATCTTGGTGAGCCATCTGCGACGCCATCCTCTAGCACTGTCCTTCCACTCCGACACTTCCTATTCCCGCCTTGCCACGGGCTCTTCATCGTCATCTATTCTTTTGTGCACTTATCGCGCAGCCGGAACGAGATACTGGAAATACACCATTGACGGCACGAACATTTTCTTCATCAACTTGCTAGCTCTCGTCGCCTTTGTCATTTTCGACTACTTTGTGCTGGACACATTTCTGGGTATTGAGTCCTGGCTGACTCACCCCGGGTTGATCTTTACTCTCTCCCTGTTTTCCATCATCCCTCTAGCCTACTTCATCGGTCAGGCTGTGGCATCCATCTCTGCCCAGTCGTCAATGGGCTTGGGTGCCGCGATTAATGCCTTTTTCTCGACTATCGTAGAAGTGTATCTCTATTGCGTTGCCCTGACTGAAGGCAAGTCCCAGCTTGTGGAAGGAAGTATCATTGGCAGTATCTTCGCAGGTATCCTGTTCTTGCCCGGGTTGTCCATGTGTTTCGGTGCAATCAAGCGCAAGACGCAGCGATTTAATGTGAAGTCTGCCGGTGTGACCTCAACGATGCTGTTGTTTGCCGTCATCGCGGCCTTTGGTCCTACTCTTTTCTATCAGGTCTATGGCAGTGTAAGTCTTTCGCTCTGGGATTTGCCTCTCATGTTGAAATGCAACGCTAACCCATCATATAGCACGAGCTCAACTGCCATGCATGCGTTCGGGAGTACGACCCAGAGAGCCGAGACTGCCGTCGATGCTACTTTTCCCAAAGCGCAGATGTCCACGATGCATTCTTTGAGAAGGCAGTCCAGCCGTATGCATGGTTCTGCGCCGTTTTCCTATTCCTGTCGTACATCATCGGTCTCTGGTTCACCCTGCGGACTCACGCCGCCTTGATCTGGGCTACTGAGAACGAGGAGAAGGAGAAGAAGGCCGCCCAGCCCATCTCTGATTCATTCACGTTTGAATCACGTCACCTGCTCTTCCCCCCTGGTGCTCCCGAGGCATCGGGTGCGATTCCGGGCCACAAAGATTCCATTCGCGAGTCTCAACTCTACAAACGCATTCTTGGGCAATCACTGAGACAAGTTGGCCTCGAAGATACCAGTGGCGCCAACTGGGATCAAATCGAAAGCAGCTCCCCATTGGACAAAAAGGTAAACATCCCTCATCTGGTTCCTCCACGTTCTGGCGGGGATGATGTGCCAAAGGGTATCCGCGGTCTTAGTGGAGAGGAAAATGAGCGGCTCGTGCGTCAAGTCACGGAAGTGGCTGCCACCGCGGCTGCAGTCGCTGCTCGTGATGCGGCTCGTAGTCGCAAGTACTCAAACCAGCAGGGCTCTTCCTCTACACGCCAAGCTGCCCGTCCCCCGGCAGAGCAGGCAAAGCCCCATCCTCCTCCTGGTGAGGAGACCGAGGATATTGGTATCGTTGCGGAGCCTGCGCACAACGGCGGTGGTCACGATGCACCAAATTGGAGCAAGGCGAAGAGTTCTATCATCTTGCTGGGTGCCACTGTTCTCTATGCTATTATTGCAGAGATCCTGGTCAATACGGTGGATGTGGTGTTGGAAAGTGTGGATATCGATGAAAAGTTCCTTGGTATTACGCTGTTTGCCTTGGTGCCGAACACAACTGAGTTCTTGGTATGAGATTCCTCCTTACTCCACCAAATTGGATGCCTGAGTCATTAACATTCTGATAGAACGCCATCTCGTTCGCCATGAACGGCAATATCGCTTTGTCCATGGAAATTGGTTCGGCCTACGCGCTTCAAGTCTGCCTGTTGCAGGTGCCGGCCGTGGTCCTCTTCAGTGCCTTCTACACCCGATCCATCGACGCCGCCGAGCTGGCCAGCCACTCCTTCAAGTAAGACTCCCCTCCCAGTATCTCACAATATTGATACGAAGACCCTTTTCTAACTCCACTACTAGTCTAATCTTCCCCCAGTGGGACATGATCACAGTCATCCTCTGCGTCTTCCTCCTCTCCTACGTCTACGGCGAAGGCAAGAGTAACTACTTCAAAGGATCCGTCCTCGTACTGACCTACCTGGTCGTCGTGATCGGTTTTTACCTGTCGGGCTACAGCAACATGGACACTCTAGGCGTGGACCGCTTCGACACACTCGCCCTGGGAGCAAGCAGATCCGAAAAATTCTACACTGTCGGCCGCTCACGCTCCGGTGCCGCATATTAAATGTTTCTATGTTCCATATCTTGGACATAATCCTAATGGCTATGGCAATGTCTTCTTTTCTGAAGAAAATGTCCTGCGCAGCACGGGCACAGCACAGCAACAGCAATGCTGGGACTTTTTCTCGTGTTATCATAATCTTCTTTGCATAGCGGATTTTTGAAGTTTGCATTCATAACCTTCTCCTCAATGACTTCTTCTTTGCTTTTTTGACTTTCTTGCTTTTTTTGGCTTCGCTTTGCTTTGGCTTATGCTTGTTATTATTGTATCTACAATTTTTGGCTTTTTGCTCCTTGCTGGACGGGAGATATGACTGGAACACTTTTTTTTGGCATCGTTCATATCACATCACTGCTGTTATTGAACGACTGTCCGTTTGATGATTTTGGTTTCTTGTTATTTGCTTTGGATCGAACATAAATCATTTGCTAGACTTGATACTACTCTTCTTTTGGTCTACGGTGTAGAGCTCCTGTTTGGTAGAGTCGGTTTCGATAAGTTTGAACCCCTGCTAAATCATCTAAGTAGGTGAAGGATGGACTACTTGGAAGAAATTGTGTCTGAGTTATCAAGGCGATTTAAATGACATTTAGAAGTATCGAAGGACAAGAAATGAAGACACATCTGGTTCTAGGATCTCTAGATTCAAACTTTTATTTTAAACTGCCACTGTAATGACTGTCATATTCTGGAACCATACTTCTTATAATCGTTATATAATTCGTGTACTCTTCCCACAGTCTGAAAGTGTCGTCATAGAAATTCGTAGTCATACCCAGAATTGCCCTTTTTCCCTTTCCTGTCTAAGCAGACCCCCAGGTACCAACAGCATCATCAACCATCTGTCGATACTTCTGCTGTCCAAAGCACTGCTCCAGGAACACCTTATACTTAGCCTGCAACAAAGCCTTCTCATTCCCATCATCCGTCGGCATAACCTTCTTACCAGGCTTGCTCATCCGATCCATAATATCCCACAAATCCTCCGTCCGACCCTCCGAGTCAGAACTGGCAGCTTTAGCGCCTAGCATGGCCGCGCCGTGACACACGGCCGCGTGGATGTATCGTGGGATTATAACCGGCATATCGCATGCAGACGCGATCAGGCGTACCAGGATGTCGTTTTGGCATTGAGAGCCGGACATGAAAATCGATGTTATGTTGTGGCCGGCCTTGTTCATTGTTTCCACGATTTGCTTGGTTTGTAGGGCGATGAACTCTAGTGTGCCGTAGTAGTACATCGCTAGACCGTCGACGCTCTTGTCGCTGGTAAGTCCGAAGATGGATCCTGTCATGTTGGGATCTGCGATGGGCGATCTGTTACCCCATAGGTCGCCGTAGAAGAAGAAGTGGCGGCCGAGATAGGACACGCATGGTACGTTCTGGTCTTGCACCATCTCCTTCAGATGCTCGTTTAGATACTCGTAGATGTTGGCGTGGTAGGATTCGGCGATTGAGTGCGCTTGGTTGAATGCTGGGTGTGTTTCGATTACGTGTTTGAGTAGTTCGCCTGTTGCGGATTGTCCGCCTTCGGCCATCCAGTAGCCTGGTATGATGGTGTCTTTGTATGGACCCCAGACACCGTTCACGAAGACTGGGTCTGGGGACATGGCCAGGTGGCAGGTTGATGTGCCAGCTACCGCTGCCAGTCGAGTGAATGCTTGTGCCTTGTCGTTCTTGGCCACTTCCTCGGTCAACTGGCCTGGATCTAGGTTGACCTTGGCTCCGACGGTGCCAATCCAACCAGCATATGCGTCGATCACACCACTGCCAATGGCAATACCAGCCGGCAAGCCCAGTTCGGCAGCGGCTTTATCGCAAAGAGTACCGACCAATTCTCCGGCACTCAGATAATCGCCGTTCTAGATCACGCAAGAATTCAAAAGTCAGCGAATGGGTGCACACCTGTATCTCGGAATTAGGCTCACCACCCCGTTGACGCCGCCCATGCGCTTAAAGTTATCCTCCGTCAAATCACTCAATCCAATCTCGTTCAGGAAATCTTCCTGCCATCCCTTGACACTACCATCCACACCGACAGGAACATAGCCCTGCTTGCAGACTACACTGCAGAAGCTCCGCTTCTCGTTACCCGTGGCAATGTGAGTCAGCGCGTCGCTCAAATCGTAGAATTTACATTTATCGAAGAGCTCCTTGGGCATGTTGTTCTTTAGCCAGAGCACCTTGGGAATTTCCATCTCAATGGACATCGTCCCACCAACGTAACGGAGTAGGTTGTGGTTAGTTGCGTTGATCTTTGCAGCCTCCTCGACTGGTCGATGGTCCAGCCACAGAATCACATTACGGTCTGAGTCGAAGTTTGGTCCCGTCACTGAGACGGGCTCGTCGGTTTCATGGTTGAAAACTGACAGCGAGCAGGTGGCGTCGAATCCAATACCCCGGACAGTCTCGGGACTGATATTATGCTGGCTGATGGCTCGCTGCACGGCAATGCAAATGCAGCGCCAGATGTCGGTGGTAGATTGTTCCTGGGCTCGCGAGTCAGTCGGGATGTTGTTTCGGCGGGGTTGGCCGGGCTATTGGAGATGTCGTACATAGTAACCATGTTCTGGCTGCCAGAGTCCAATGTTCTCAGAGGCTAGGCCGACAATGTCGCCCTTGGCATCAATGATACAAGCTCGGGCACTGCCGGTTCCAACGTCAATGCCGATGAAATGGTCCAGATGGACCTGGATATCCTCGCGCGGGTCACTGGAGGCCTGGCGGGAGCTCTGACGAGAGGGACGACGGAAGGGCAGCGAGGCCATGGCGTCGTTCAATGGGGGTGGGTTATAATCTGTATGATGGGAGGAGCGGTGGGGAGTCTATAGAGTATGCGGTCAGAGGTGAGCTCAACCTTACACTTGAATATGGTTTGGCGGAGTAGCACGGAGCTTACTGATAAGAATATTAAGGGTGTGAGAATGGGACGAGGGGAGGAATTGAGGAGAAAAGAGGAGAGGAGGGGCTGTCGAGGTATTTGTTTCTTTGTTCTTGGATGGAGGGGAAAGTAACTGACCTAGTAACTTAGGTTATTTAAGTCAGTTGACTTGTGAATAATTTGTTAGTCACTGCGTCAGTTGGTACCCCGTCTCGAGTCCACATTAAGTACATTGTACACTATTTAGTATTAAGTATGTACATTTTATTGTCAAGAACCACACGGGGCTCCTGTGGGGTAAAAAAGTAAAATTTAAAACCCGACGGAGTAGAGCTGACCGGTTTTAGCCTTTACAAGAGGCAAAAAGAGAGAAAGAGAGAGATGTTATGTATACAAGTGGCAAAGTAGTATGCAAGGGTGCATTGTACCTATCCTATATAGCAATTGATCGACTTCGAGTACTTTGGAAGCTATCAACGAAGTAACTAGTGTGTCAAGTAGCCTGAATTGAATACTGTGACATCTATCGTATAGCTACAATAGCTCTTCTTTGGTATTTAACCGGCAACGGAGTCGATCTCGACTAGCTGTCTATCTAATTACCCGTGCACCGAGTACAAAAAGCTCCATAAAGTCTGTAGATTAATTGCAATGCCAATTATCTAGATATACACTCATAAAATAGAATTCATATACTATTCTCTAAAGTCAATTTGTCGAGTTCATCATCACAATCTACTATAAACTAACATTAACGGAGACAAGCACGGGCCGAGAACCTCCCAAGAACCCGGAGATCACCTTCTCATCGCCATCTCCACCACTCCACCCACCTCCCATCCTTAACAACCACCACCCCATACAACAATGAATCTCCTCTCCCTCCTAGGAGCCCTCACGCTCCTCATAACCTCCATCCACGCCGACTCCCTCCCCTCAACAACAGAAATCCTCTACTGGCCCCTCGGCTCCACCAAACCCTCCATCCTCGCCCGCGTCGCCTACGATCCGACCTCCCTAAAATCCAACATCCTAACTTACAACCCACCCAAACCCGACAGTCACGCCGACGGTGATCTCGTTCGTCTGGGCCTCTACACCACAACCCCAACCAACCCCAAACAATGGACCGGAAGTCTTGTCTCGCTTTCGTCGCTGACGGGCGGCGCGCCCACGCTGCGCTTGCATCTGGGTCCCGATCCGGAGAGTGAAGTTTATCATGTGTCTGTGGCGGCGTTTGAGCCTCTCGCGCAGAAGGGTAGTGAGCCCGCTGTGGAATTGGTGGTTAGTGAGGCTGGGGCGCAGCCGCATTTGAATCGGCCCGTTGTTGTGAGAGCTGATGGGCAGAGTGTGGAGGAGGTGCCGGAGAAGACTTTGATTCAGAAGTAAGTCATATAAGGATGTTATTGTGGGGATTATGGTGGTTGTTGTGGACGTTGGCTAACTTCTTGCTCGCCATTCTGCAGGTACTGGTGGGTGCTTTTGGTCGTGATGTTCTTGACCATGTCTGGTGGTGGTGGTGGTGGAGAGGGACAATAGACCGTATTATAGTCTACGATTAATCAATGATCCATTTCATCTGCGATACAAGTGTTTTCTCGAAAGCAATGTTATTCCATTCTTTCGTCGACTTCCTAACTATGGATATCAAGGTAAATCAAATGCTATGCAGGTGGTATCAAGGGCAAACGAGGTTTCGGTCGATAAATGCAGCCAGGAAATCCAGCTTCAAATGCAAAGAACAAAGATTGAAGAGAAAAAGAGAGAGAGAAAGCCAAAAAGACGCCACTGTGATGCCCTGCAACCATCCTTGATATCGAATCATTCCATAGTGACCAGCTCCAGCTCAGAAGATATCCAGGCGCTCAACGACCTCGACGCCTCGACCCGAGGGCCGAATGTCCAGGAGCATCAACCCACGATCAGTGACGGCAACGAGCTCATGCTCATTCTCCGCAAACTTCAACTGCGAGCAGACCGCGTTCAGCTGGATTGCTGCGGGTCGCAGCTCCGTCAATCCGGCCGAGTTAATCCACGACTCCGGGTAGTAGCCCAGTTTCTCGTCAACGATCATTGTCGGCTCCAGTGCCCACACTGTCACAGTCTTCCAACTGGCAATTGCAATTCGAGTCCCCAGTGGAGACGCCGCAATCAGAGCGCCTTGAGTGGTGTTGGACTCTTGGTATCCGCCCAGCTGTGCCACGACGGTCCAGTCATCGAAGCGTCGTCCACGGTCAAGATTCATAACGTGACTGCATCGGAAAACTGAGGGGTGGGCTTGGGATTTCAAGAGACATGCCACCGTCCAGTGTTCGACCCGGTGTGTCGCGATGCCCACGGACAGGTACTGCCAGTGGCAAGTGCCGGGCACGGTGCTGTCACCGCCATTCCGGTGCGTTGCGAAGAAGGGAATGCCTATCGCGAATTGGAGCATCAGCGAGGGCGAGTATTCCACCACGCACGTGTTGTCATGCACCCTTGGCTCTGGAGTTGCAGTGACGGAATGGAGTTTTTGGAAGGAGCTGAAGAGGGGCTGCGCTCTGTAGTGGTGCAAAAGTTGGAGTCCGCGATCATTGAAGGTTAGTTTGGTGGTTGGTCCTTTTCCGATGAGGGCCACGTCGCTGTTTCTAGTGTCTGTTATCTCGGTCAGGCTGTAGGAGTCGTAGGAAGAGCCTATTATGTGTTGTTAGTGAAAATCAATTTTGCGAGACGTTGAACCATACTGATGATGCTGAGCACCGTCTTTTGCGGGTCATCCGAAGCCTCAAGTCCACCATTCTCTTTTCGACCACCCTCGTCGCTTGCGTCTTCCATTTCCTCATCCTCAACTTCATCATCGTCGTCGTCATCATCTTCATTTTCATCAGGCTCGTCAACTAGATACATAATGACGTGGTGATCCTGGGCATGTTGACGGTGCTGCCAAGAAATAGCAAACTTCTCGTCGCGGTGAGCAGCAATAGCAATTGGATCATATCCATTCTCATCGGCAAAGCTATACAGCCGCACACCCTTCGCCGTAGGATCAAAGCTGTAGTAGGCCAAGAAGATACTCCCCTGCGGGTACGACTGCATCGCCTGCTTGACAAATGGGTGCGTGGTATCCAACTTCGTGTCGAGGAATGGCTGGAACCGATGCAAAACATATGCTCCACTACTATTAAAAGCAGTATGAAGCACTTCGATACTTCCGAACCGCTTTGCGGGGGATTCCAGTCGTCGTCGAAGGCTGACGGTTCCAGCGCGGATATCGACAAAGTAGACCGTTTCGTCACCCTGGAATACAAGGAGAGCTCTGTTCCTCAGAATTGGAGCTTCCAGTGAGGAAGCCTGGACATTGAGCTTTTTGCCTTGGAAATCAGTAATGAGTTTGCGGTCCGTGAAGTGCTCAGTGCCGAAGAGCTCTTGGTGGGAGCGTTTCTTGAGTAGCTGGACGAGTTCCTGGGTACTCAATATGTCGAGGGCGTCGGTGCGGCCGGGAGTTTGGAGCAATTGGTGTAGAACGAGCTTCCGGTTATTCGTTGCCAGGTCTTTTAGACTGCGACAACTTTGCGCTAGCTGTAGGTAGGTTGCTGTGTCGCAGCTCCGGAGAATGAGCTGGACTAGCTCCACGGGTAGATCTGTGAACATCTTCTCTGATTTGAGAGTGGTGATCACCTGGCGAGAATTAGAGGTATGATGTGTTGAGAGTAAGAAAGAGGATCAGTTGGTTGATGTGGTGGAGGTTTTATAGAGTCGCGGGGCCCGCACGAGCCGCCTGTTGCCTGGTCTCAACCTAAAATGAAGCAAGCTAAACTGAAAGAAAGTCCAGCCCGCGATCAGCGTTTAGGCAGGAGAGCCGCAGGTGGAGACGGAAGGTTCCCTCGTTGCGTAAATGTTCACTTGGCCAGTCTGAGGCTGTTGTGCGAGTTGAATGAGGAAGAACTGTGTTTGTTTTGATCGCATTAAAGGATCATTGTCTCGTCAGCGCCCCGCTTCGTCAACCGCTCTAGGCGCTTAACACATATATATTCTACGCAAAACCCATACGGAGGTTATCCCGCTCGAGATTACTCCTGAAATACGATCTATTACGAATAGAAGCACTTACAAGAGGCATCAAACACAAAGTCGTCATTAATGAGAAAAAAGTCAAAATTCGTTGCTTTCATGCATATATCCAGCTGACCTCTTTCCCAGGCCAAACGCCCACAATGCAAGTACAGAAAGAATCAATTCGAGGGCCCGAAACAATAAAACCTGGGTATCCGCTATCATCATGGAGAGAGAGGAGAAAGGAGAAGAGAGGTCTTTCACCGCGATTACGTTTAATCATCCTCGTCATCCATCCGGGAGACGAGCCACTCGAGCACGCTCTCATAACAGAGCACGAACTGACTCAGATTCTGAACCATGCTGGGTCGTTGAGTCCGGAAGTCTTCCACAGTCTTGACGATCAGGTCGAGACTCGGGTTTTGGAGAGCATCAAAGTTGGAGTCCTCGCTGCTCATGCGTTGTCGCTTGAGCATATCGAGCACGCTGTCGACGGTGCAGAAGGTTCCTGTGCGCCCACAGCCTGCGCTGCAGTGGACCAGGACCGGTCGCTGGCCTTTTGGCTCGGCATCTTGGTTTCCGAATTTGGAGGTGCTCGTGGACCGGATCACCTTGTTACATTGCTCAATCAGGTTCAGGAGGTGGGCTGGTTGGGAGGTCGTTCCAAAGTCGGGCCAGTAGGGGTATTGAAGCTGAGTGATATCCCGAAGAGGTTGGAATGGGAATGCGGTATGATAGAGACTGAAGTGTCGTACGATGATGACCGGGTTTTCATTCGACTCATCCGTCCTTTGTGCTTGCTGGCTAGACCCGAGAGGAGATTTTGCCGTCGGGTCAATGGATCGGTCCTTGGTATCCACGTTGATGAATCTCTCTGAGTAAGCCTTGACCTTGAAAGGGCCATAATCTCCCGACTTCCAGTAGGGATGGCACTTGGTCTGGCCTCGCTCAACCTCGGCGGTCAAAGAAACGAGCAGTCGAACGTCTTGTTCCCATACTACGCGCCAAAAGTCCTGTATACCCGGTGTCAGTAATTGGCGATAGAGAACAAAAGAAGAACAAGAGGACTACTCACATTGAAGGTATCAGGTACTGGAGCCTGTGTGGCGATGTAACGCCGGTTACTGAACTCAGCCTGGATATGATTGGCATTCACATAGTCACAGCCCCCAGACGGAATCCCTTCAAGCCGGACGCGAGAATGGTCAAATGGATAAATGTCGTTGTAGCGGTTCTTCGTGCCTTTCTCAATTCCGGCGACGCGATATTTCTTGGTAGCCCCACCAGTAGACGCCGAGCTTCCTTCGTACGTCAACGCCTGCTTCATTCGTTCCAATTCCCTCTTCTCCAGGTCCAAGAACTTCTCGGAGAGACGGTGTCCCTGATCCTTGACATCCGAGGCTTCTCGTAACCATGGAGGAAGTTCCTGTCGTTGTGTTTCTGTTAAACCATCTGGTAGCTTCAATGGTATTTGGCCGACTCCTCCCATGAGATCCATATTCTGTCGAATGTTGCCAAAGAAAGGATTAGCGGCGGATGAGGATGCGGGCAGTGCGCAACCCCCGACAACGGGAGCAATAGAGTTTAGATCGATGCTCATTGGGGAGCGTTTCTTCTTCGGCGATGGTCCTGCCGTCTGTGCCTGTGGTCGGCGAACGAGTTGCGGGTATTGGCTGGAAAAAGCCTTGAACCCTCCCTGCAAGATCAAACCCTCCCCTTCCCAGTTTTCTGCCTGAAACTTGGTGATGACATGCCCCAAGGGAACGGCATCCTTGACATCTGATGTAGCAGAGTCATAGACAATAATCGTAGTACACTCTCGCCATCGAGCAAAGTTTCCTTTATCATCGTCAGAGGTGAAGGTTTTCTCGAGTTTCTGTGTGTCGAACGAGCGACGTTTGAGAAGGGTAGTAGGGATGCATAAATTCAAAGAGCCAGTGATGTTGGACTGGGAGAAATGGGCATATGGGCGAACGTCCAGAAGCAAAACCTTCTGTGACTTGGACTTGATGAGCTCAGCACAACGCTCAGCTGTGATCCATCGAGATGGTATGGATGATCCGTCATCTAGCGATAGCAAGGTTAGCATGTCAATAAGGTCCTTGGTGGGGATATCAACATGGCTTGTCGAAGGGAGGGCTCACCTGATGACGCAGCCCCTGGATTCTGTCCAGGCTTGATGCAATAACCACTCGGGGATCCCTGTACCCGGTTGTTTGCTAGCCCACCCGTCGTCGGGGGATGGGAGGTCCTCAACCATGTTCGGTTAGCCGGTGAATCTCCGTTTGTAGAGAAACTTTGCAGAGCCGACTCGCGTCGCCCTTTGTCAACCTCCGACTCGGATCTCAGGAGGGTTGACAGATTCTCTGATACCGGCTCCTGGACGTAGAGTTGAAGTTTGGGACTTGGTAAGGAGGATTGAAATGATGCCCAGTTCCTTTGCAAGTGTGGTCCAGCATTTGAGGTGGGAGGATTGCTGGAGTGGTCCACCGTGATACCAAAGTAGTTGGGGCTGGGTCGCTCTGAACTCGTGTGCATGCTCGTCTGTGTAGGTGACAAACCAGGATGAAAAGGTTGGTTGGCTCTTCCTTGTGCACTCTGCACCCACGGTGAGGAGGGCGATCGCCCTGGACCGGTCATGATGATGACGGTCAGTCTGACTCCCACCGAGTTGGATGAAGGTGCAAGTATCGGAAAAAGCAACGATGTCTTTGCTATACCATCGGCTCAGCTTGTATGCAATTGTGTTGAAATCGATAGCCAGGAGTGCCAGGATACGGTTTTGAAGACCTGTCACCAAGATCTGGCAATCTTGAGGTCTAGAGCGAGGAAAGACACCACGACATGAACAGCAGAGCCCCGAAGTGACTGACGTAAGGCGCAGAAGAAGGAATTCGACTCAGAGGGGCAGAGAGGCGAAAAGGGGGATTAATCTAGCCCAACCTTTACTGGGGGTACATAGACAAACCAATGAAAAGTAGGGCTTCACTTTCTGAAGAGGGGAGCAGCATCAGAAGGATCGGTGTCATTCCATGATTAATAAGAAGATTAACTAAGGCACAATTGGGGGGAGGGGGCTTCCAGCCATTCCAGAAAAAAACTAAGGGCTATGACGTTATTGTGTGGGGATCACGGGTTTGGTCAGCCCTCGGTTCGGCCTAGACCCATCTGGATCACCTACGTAGTTCGACTGGATGCCTGTTGATGATTTAATTTATATGGATCTACGTTCTTGTCGGCAGAGCAAGAGTTTAAAAACAGTTTCACAGGATATATAAAAGCATGACACCATTCTCTTAAGACATATCTACCCAGGGTCACTACTTCCCAACCCCCCCAGATCAACCAAACGCTCATCGCCTGGTCTGCCGAATCCGGCCACGGTCCTGAACGCCTCCTTGTCATAGCAGTGCCCATCGAACCCTCTAGACCGATAATACGGCATAGGACATATACGATATACCCGACAGTATGGGCACTCCAACGAATCCAAAGTATTCGCGGAATGATGAACTCCCCGATATTCGCCCTCTGATCTTTACCCTTAACCGTCCTCGGCAACCGGAGAGGCAGGAGGGTCTCCGCAAAATGCTCAATACCCACTGGGAGTCCTCCACATGATCTCATCTTGACCCTTGAGTAATACCCGACGATCCAACCAGGCTAAATTTCCAGGACCTACTGCATATGTCTCCACTCCCCCTGAGAAGCATCATCTCTCAAAACACGTCAACAAATACATGACATCCCCGAGGAGCAGGAATTGACAGCTTCGAGGTTAATCCACTTTTGTCTCCCTGTCGGATGTGTTAAACACAGCCTCCGGGGGTGCAGACACAGGTACATAGGTCATGTCATCGGTGGTGCCGGCAGGAGCGTTCTTGCTTAATTGAAGCCAACGTAGGCTGACCGACGACCGGCTGAACAAGCCACATAGAAAATTCAGGATTCTGTGTTGAAGGCTGGACAGGGTCTTGAGCCATGGGTCCTGCGGACTGCGCGTGTATAGTGAGGCTTCCTCGTCAAAACCGAGATAGGGCAGCACGAACACCCACTCATCGGGCCGAGCGAGGAGACATGTCGATGACAAGTGACACACCGTGAGATCGTAGTCTCTCAGCGCTCTTCTTTCATTTTTGATTCCTAATCCATATCATATCCGACCATCAGGCTCGCCCTCGAACCGCTTGACTCGTTTTTGTTCCCAGTTGTCCAAGTCCTTCGCCATGAGTCTCTGTGAATGGGATCAGTATGCCGTCCAAGATTTGGACAATTGAACAATATTGGAGAAATAGAGCTCGTACGTAGTATTCCTCCCGTTCGTCACCAATAATTCTGCGGCGTGGGTTCCGCTTGATTCCTTCTTCTCCGTCGGGACCTTTGAGTCCCAATTCAAAAGCTTCCTCTTTGCTCATTTGTTGCACTTTGCGATCATATCTTTCGTACCGAAGGGCCGCCGCGGGCGTTAGAGCAAAAGACCCAGCCACAATGACGGCCATGAACGGAAGGCCGAAGAGGAGAAAAGGGTGTCGAGTTAGTCGGGCCCGGTAGAATGCACCAAGACGCTCTCCGAAGGAGGAGGATGCGGTGGTCGCTCGACGGAATGTTTTGGACTGAAAGGTAGGCATTGTGTGATAGCGACTCCTGTAGACCAAAACAAGAGGTGCAGTCAAGTAAAAAAAGGAACAAGGTTCAATCTAAAGTGGTGCCATTTCCAGGCCGGGGAAAGATGAAGACTAAATTGGGCGGAGAATTGATTGTCCGAGATGCCGGGATTGAATTGTTTGGGCCGCGCATCGCAAGCAATGAGCTTCTTCAAAGCTGACCTTTTTTAAATTCGGAACTGGGTCCTACTGGCGGAGACGCAAAGGTCTTTGAGGACTGCCTGAAACGGAATCTGAAGGCTGCAGTCTGTCCACATTGGACTTGTTTGGTCTTTTTGTCCAGCTCCTAAGGCATTCGCGACCTCAATTTTTCTTCCCCCCTCCTCAGCAACGCCGCCTAGAGAACCCCCTCTCGTCGAGGTCCACCAATCGATACAGATCAGAGCTAGCTAGTCACACTAAGCTTGCTACTAGATCATGAGTTCTAACACAAGCTCTCTCTTCGGAGGAGGAGCCAGCAGTTTCGGGTCCACAACAAACCAACGCCCAAACTTGTTCGGCTCAACCATCAACGCGCCCAGCACCTTTGGAAACACCTCGACTGCACCGGCACAGAGTACCCAACCCTCTTCCTTGTTTGGGCAGAGTCAGGCCCAGCCCCAGCAACCAGCTCAATCCTCTTCCTTGTTTGGGCAGAGCCAAGCTCAAGCTCAGCAACCAGCTCAATCCTCGCTATTCGGTCAGCCCCAGCCGCAGGCTAGCACCGCGCAAGCCCCAGGACAAGCCTCGACTCAAGGGACCCAGCCGGCATTCTTCAACAGCCTCTTGGAACGGGGTAAGAAGCGGCCACTGTCTGCTACTGTGCAGAGCGGCAACTTCGAAGATGTTCCCAGTCTTCAATTGGGCCTGGATGACATTCGGAGAAAGGCTAGGGAACTAGGCACACCCGGAACCAAGGACTCTCTGCAGAAAGGCACGGCTACCAAGGCGTAAGTTGATCAATAATCTTCGTGTCTATGCTTTGATAGGTGTTGTGGTCTGATTTCGTTTTTCTCTCAACAGTCATTATCTCCTCGCCTCCTCGGGCGTTTCCCCCGGCGGGCGCTGCGAGACCTCAGATCTCTAGACCCTCAAGCTTCTATGGCCCCGGTGCGAGAACCCGACAGCTTCGACCCCGACAACCAGCGATTCTTGAGAAACATCCAGCAGCGTGGCCGGCAGGTGATGATTAACGAGAGTCTTTCTCGCGCGCAAAGAGATTTTGATACATTCTTGGAAGAGAAGGTGGACATGGACTGGGAAGAGCAGCGTCAAAAGATTTTCCAACACTTTGGGCTCTCGCAGAAAGATGCGTCCACTGCTGGTGATCTGAAATCGACCATGCGCGGTGCCTTTGGCCGATCTGCGAGACAATCCAAGCCAGCGGGAGGCCCCTCGGCTGCATCCCGCAGAAGTGTGTTTGGCCGTTCTGGTCTGGATAAATCTGTCATCGGGACACCCGGGACCGGCCTTGCCAGTCGCCAGCTTTTCGAAGACCCCGCCGAACGAGGCGAAGGACTTGCGACTTCCTCACCGGATCTCCGTTTCTTGCGGGAGAAGATGGGTCACTATGCCGAGAAGGTTCAAGATTTGAACCTCTCCCGGCTTCAGGGCAAAACGTATCCCATCCTGCACCACTTTTCGGAAGTTGAAATGCATGCCGGCGGCGATGTAAGACTTTCACTACTATCTTATAGTTTCCCTCTTTTCATATCGCTAACAATCATTCAGGTTCCTCAACAGCTACTGGCTGCATACCGCGCTTTGACAACCATCATCAAGGAAAATCCCAGCATCACTGACAAGACCGAGCCCGGTGCTGTGAGAGAACGGCAGTTTGCGGCTGACTACCTAGAGGAGTCAGTCAAGTCCTACAACTCTGTCAACCTGAAGAACAAGATCCTCGAGGGTTCAAGAACTTTCTTGGAGAAGACGTTTTTCAGCGAGGTGGAGAACGCCATTGCTAAAAACCCACGAGAAGCCCAATTGGGCGGCATCCCGAGTACTATCAACAAGATTCGGGCATACATTCGCCTCCGCGCCGCGAGGAAAGACTTGGCCCCCGATGGAACCGAACTTCAGATGGTTAATGGCGACTATTGTTGGATTTTGATCTTCTACCTGCTTCGTTGTGGATTTGTTCAGGAGGCGGCCACCTATGCGACCAATGATCCTGGGTTCCGGTCACTGGATCAGAAGTTCGTGACATATTTGACAACCTATGTGCAGGATAAACGTCTTCAGCGGGACTTGCAGCAGAGAATCAATGGCGAGTACCAGCAACGACTGCGAAACGCGCCAGAGGGCACAGTCGACCCTTATCGTATGGCTTGCTACAAGATTATTGGCCGCTGTGACCTGTCCCGACGTCGTCTGGAAGGTATTAACCAAAGTGTTGAGGATTGGATGTGGCTACAGTTCAGTCTCGCTCGGGAAGATGACCGTGCTGAGGAGGTCGCGGGTGACGTCTTTGGTCTGGAGGATATCCAGACGGATATTGCTGAGATTGGACAGAGAGTTTTCACCAAGGGCCAGGGCCAGGATGCCCCCGGTGGCTATGGAACTTTCTTCCTCCTTCAGATTCTGGGTGGCATGTTCGAACAGGCTGTGGCTTATCTCGGCACCTATGCTCCCGTGACTGCTGTTCACTTTGCTATCGCGTTGGCTTATTATGGCCTGCTGCGTGTTTCTGACTTTTACACTTCTGGAGAAGAGATCCGTAAGTTTCAAACCTCAGCGCGCGGAAAATTTTCGCGGCGTACGATATTTGGCTCAACACTGTTTGTGTTTTGACTGACAATTGTCCCCCTCTGTAGTGTCGTTCACGGTGAAGCAATACCCCCAGATCAACTTTGGATATCTCATCACCCAGTACACGCGGGAATTCCGAACCGGTTACGTTGAAGCTGCCATTGATTATTTCACCCTGATCTGCTTGAATGCAGACCTCGGGGGCGCTCTTGGCAAGTCTCAGTCGTCGGTTTGCCATGAAGCTCTCCGTGAGTTCATTCTTGAGACCAGAGACTTTGCCAAGTTGCTGGGAGATATTCGCGATGACGGCACCCGAATCAAGGGTATTATTGAGCAGCGCCTTGATTTGATCAACCTCGCCGATCAGGAGGATTTCCTGAAGAACATCACCATCCAAGCTGCTGGCGTGGCAGATGACAAGGGTCTGATCACCGACGCAGTGCTTTTGTATCACTTGGCAGAGAATTATGACCGTGTCATTGATATCATCAACCGTGCTCTGTCAGATGCGATCGCGATCGAGCTGGGAGGAACCATGCCCAAGTTGCAGCCCCTCCGCCCACGACTTCAAGAGGGCCAGCCAGGCCCCATCGACCCGGGCAGCAGCCTCAGCTTGACATCTGTTGACGACCCGGTCGAGCTTGGCAAGACCATGATCAGCCTCTACGATGGGAAGCCGATGTACTATGAACAGATCCGTCCCATCAACCGGGATTCCTGTGGCCTTCTTCTTCGTATGTTGACGGCCAAGCATGAAGTTGAGGCCGGACGATGGGCCCCCGCACTCGATGTAAATCTACCCCCTTCTTTAGTAGCATGTGTACATTCTTGATGCTAACTTTTACATAGGCTATCAACGCATTGGGCATCCTTCCTCTGCAGGCCCAGGGTGTCATGCAAAAGGTCCGCAGCGCAGCGCAGGCTTTCTCATCTTTGCCGGAGATCATTTCTCGCAACATTGGACATGTTATCATGTGGAGCATTGCGTGTATCGGAAACGAACGTCGCCGGCAGACGAGCGGTCCGTACGAGACCGATATGCACCAAGGCTTTGCGGACCAATTGTTGGTTATGGCTAAGGATTTGATGATCTTCTCTGGTATGGTGAAGTACAAGCTGCCTCCCAAGGTTTACGAGGCTCTTGCTCGTGCTGGGGCGGATATTGGCGCGTACTAGGGAACTAGTTGGCTGAGTTCATGTACTCTTCTGTTTATTAAGTAATACAGAGTCCTCTTTCCTTAGACAACGGGTTTTTTCCCCCTAAATCAAGGCTGTGTATCTGGTCTTGGTATGACCTGCATAAATCGTGCTTCAAAAGATACTATTTACGTGTTGAAATTGCCCACTGCTTCAGCTAGATATGTATTTGCACCGATGCAGACAGCGGAAATTAGTGGTAGGCATTAAGTTGGAATCAAGAGTTCTGGCTATGTATCTTGGTTGAATTTTCAGGAAATCAACTTGAATGTTTTGATCAACAGTGACTCTTATCTATATCGAATGTCAAATTGCCGCGGTTCGTTCCCACGGATCGTTTCCGCTAAGAACGCCAAGCCTCTGGGGGGAACTTCTGCAACACGAGATCCGCTTTACACAAGCAAAGTCCCCGTTGACAGCTGATGGGGCCGCCTTTTCGATCGCGCCCAAATGTGCCCTCGCCGAAATCGACCTCGAACGGCCACTGATTGATTTCTACCCACGTCGCTGTCGGGCCGCAGCCCACCATGGACGATGTCCCTCCCCGCGCATCGGACTCGAGCGCGTCGGCGGATACGGTGAGAAGCGTTTCCATATCCCCGCACGAGGATGGACATGCCGGCGATATCGTGGAAAATCCCGACCAAGAGACCCAACTCCTACCAGATATTGTTCGAGAAGATGCAATGGACGAAGATCCTCCATCAGAGCCTGCCACGGCCCCTATAAACCTATCCGGCGCGTTGGCGAAGCAAGCACAACAAGGGAACGCCAATGAGTCCATGCTCCAGACAATTTCAACCGAGGCTGGTGAAGCTGGGCCTATGGCCCCTGGTATGCAAGCAGCTCAGAGCATGTTCGATAACCCGCCAAACCTCGCACGGATTCGCCGCGTTTTGTTCGAATGCAAAGATCCAATTGAGATCAGCTTGGAGGAATTCGAGACATACTGGCCATTCATCGATAATGTTTGGGTCAAGCAGAGGACCAATGCTAGCAAAGAGGGCCACTGTACTACGGACTATTACATGTGTCGGCTACGACGCCCGACCCATCGCACATCAGAGACTCGCCCGCTGCCAGAAGGGAAACGTCCTCGCAAGAAACGCGTGCGCGAAGGTGGTCTTTGCAATTTCCAAATCAAGGTGGTCCGGTTTGACGGTGCATATACCACGGTCACGATTGCGAGAACTCCCGGAAGTGGCAGCGTTCATTCCCATGATTTGGACTATATCGACCGAGTCAAGCGCAACTCGGGACTGATGGAGTTTGCACGCAGAGAATCTGCTAAGGGATATCTGCCTTCCTCGATTTACACCAAATTCCAGGAGGAACCAGAGAAGTTGAATGAAGCTGGAGGGCGGTTTCTCACCGTGACAGACGTGCGCAACGTTTCTGCCAAGTGGCGCATCCAAAACCCGGAGGTCAAACTTATTCCCCACGATGGGTATGAGCTGGTCAAGGGCCACGGGATTGTCAAATCCGTGAACGCCGTCAGTACCGGCGAATCTGCACAGGCCAACCCCATTCCGAATACCTCATCACCGCATCTGCCGCCGGACACGTTATCTTTCCCTAATTTCTCACTTGACTTCTTACAACCCTATTTACCTAACCACGCGGAAAAACGCGATCTGCCTCACGTCACTCTATCCTATGCATCGTCCATGGACTCCAAGATCTCCCTTCTACCTGGAATGCAGACGGTTTTATCAGGGCCTGAGGCCAAGCTCATGACCCATTATCTTCGCTCGCGCCACGATGCGATTCTCATTGGGGTTGGCACCGTCCTTGCCGATAACCCGGGCTTGAACTGTCGCCTCGAAGGAGCAGGAGGCTTTGGAGGTCTAGGACGGATGTGGCAGCCTCGTCCCGTGGTGATTGACCCCATGGGACGTTGGCCCATTCACCCAGAATGCCGCATGCTCCGAACGGCCGTGGAGGGCAAAGGCAAAGCACCGTGGGTTGTTGTATCACCAGGAGCTCAGATCAACCCTCAAAGACTGATGATGCTCAAGGGGTATGGCGGTGATTTCCTCCGTATTGTGGAATACAATCAGAACTGGCGATTACGGTGGGAAGCTGTCCTCCGAGCCCTTGCATCCGAGGGCATCAAGAGTGTCATGATTGAAGGCGGTGCCACGGTCTTGAGTGAGCTCCTGAACCCGGAGTATACCAACTTCATTGACTCGATTATCGTGACGGTGGCGCCCACGTATCTAGGTCGGGGAGGTGTGAGTGTCAGTCCGGATTCCAAGCTGGACCAAGAGGGCAAGCCCAATGCGGCGTTGAACCCTCGTGATGTCAAATGGACGCCGCTGGGCCAGAATGTTATTATGTGTGGTAACATTCGACAGCGTGAGACTGAGCGACCGGAAGATCCCGTATGATTGTGCGATGTCCTCGGTCTTTGCTTTGGTGGTACGGAGATTCGATGTGTAGAGGGGGTGAAGCAGTGTAGTAGTATAATGGTGTGATATACCCTGTAATTACGATGGCTATGACAATGACAACGAGATAATGAAACATGACAAGAAGCAGAATTAGAGCTGGAATAATAACAATAAAAACGCTGCGTATTAGGATGAGACAGATATCAGCGCAGGACCAATTTATGAGGCTGTAGGTAATATCCGACATAGCCTCATATACGCCTATATTGTTTGGAGTGGTATGATGGTGGTTATGATGGGCTAACACCTCATGGTCAGAGTGTCTACCAGAGGCAGCTGTAAATAAAACTGCGCCTGATACTCCCAGGCAACAATTGTAGAAAATGATCAAAACAAGCAACCAGGTGTAGACAATTACCGCCTTATTGGGGGATCAATAGAAAGTTCCTTTGTTTGCTGAACAATAAGCGGTTTAGTGCCTGATCTTTTTTTTCTGCCGCTGCCTTCGGGAGGCCGGGGGGAATGCCGCATTATTTATTGATCTCCCACGTTTCCCGGCACCACTCTGTCGCGTCTTTTTTTTCCTCTCTCAATTCACACTCATCTCTCAATTCCGCTTCCCCCTTTCTCACTTTACCTCCCTACATTCCTACTAACACCATGCCTCCCAAGAAGAAGAATGCCGACCCTGCTCCGGCTGCTAAGCCAAAGGCTCCAGCGGCCAAAACCACCACCAAACCTGCAGCCAAAGCTGCATCCAAGCCTGGCCGCCCCAAGAAGACCGACACCGAGCCAGCCCCTAAGAGCACCAAGGCCACGGTGAAGAAGGTTACCAAGAAGGTGACCAAGGAGTCCGCCCCTGCTGCCTCCGCCGGCGCGTCGAAGACCAAGGCGCAGCCCACCAAGAGAGAGCCCGCAAAGAAGACCACGGCCAAGGCCTCCACCACCATGTCAACCACCGCGTCTAAGAAGCGCAAGGCCGAGGAGGCCGAGGAGGAGAAGCCTCGCGCGCCCAAGAAGCCTCGCGTCATCCGCGAGCCCAAGCCCAAGATCGTCAAGCCCAAAGTCGTCATCAACGAGGTGCCCACGACGCGCCTGAACGTTTTCGTCTGCGGTGAGGGTAGCTCCGGTGAGCTGGGCCTGGGTGCCGCCAAAAACGCCATCGACGTGAAGCGGCCCCGTTTGAACAAGTTCCTGGACGCCCAGGAGGTGGGTGTTGTTCAGATCGCCGTCGGAGGCATGCACTGCCTGGCACTCACCCACGACAACAAGATCTTCACGTGGGGCGTCAATGATCAAGGCGCACTCGGCCGCGATACCACCTGGGACGGCGGCTACAAGGAGATCAAGGAGAACGCTGGAAGTGACTCGGACTCGGAGGACGAAGACGACAGCGGGCTGAACCCCCGGGAGTCGACTCCCACAGCCATTCCCTCCAGCGAGTTCCCTGAAGAGACCGTTTTTGTTGCTGTTGCCGCTGCCGATAGCGCCAGCTTTGCGCTGACCGACGATGGTCAGGTCTACGGTTGGGGAACTTTCCGAGTAAGTTGATATTCTTTCATTTCTTCTCTAGCTTGGTCTCATCATACTAATCATCGATTTTTCTGGGTTCAACAGAGCAACGACGGCATCTTGGGCTTTGATCCGGAGCACCGCGTTCAGACCACTCCCGTCCTCATCCCCGCCCTCAAGAAGATCAAGCAGCTGGCTTGCGGTGCCAACCATGTCCTCGCTCTGAACGACCGCGGCAGCGTCTTTTCCTGGGGTTCTGGTCAACAGAACCAACTCGGTCGCCGTATTGTGGAGCGCAACAAGCTCCACGGTCTTCAGCCTCGTGAGTTTGGCCTGCGCAAGAACATTGTTCACGTGGGCTCTGGCTCCTACCACTCCTTCGCCGTGCACGCCAACGGCACGGTCTACGCCTGGGGTCTGAACAGTTTCGGTGCGACTGGTATCAAGGACAACGCTGGTGACGACGAAGCCGCCATTCCTCACCCAATCCCCGTTGAATCTCTCTCCAATCAGGACATTACCCAGCTCTGCGGTGGAGCTCACCACTCGATTGCCCGCACTAAGGATGGCAAATGCTTGGTTTGGGGTCGCGTCGATGGTCACCAGAGTGGCCTGAAGGTCGACTCTCTCCCCGAGGACTCTCTCATCAAGGACACTCGCGGACGTCCCCGCATTCTCATCGAGCCCACCCAAGTCCCGGGCATCAACGCTGTCGCCGTCGCTGCCGCTTCCGACCACTCCCTCGCCATCGACGCTGATGGTCGTGCTTGGTCTTGGGGTTTCTCCGCTACCTACCAGACTGGACAAGGCACTCAGGATGATATTGAGGTCGCTACCAAGATCGACAACACCGCCACCCGCGACCGCAAGCTGAACTGGGCTGGTGCCGGTGGTCAGTTCTCCGTCTTCACCGATGCTGCGTGAAGCTGATCCTCTTCTCACTTCCCTGTTTCTGGTACCACCCTGATGACCTCGCTCGGCGCTTCTATGATATAGTGGGGGAAGTCTTGTTTGATTAATACTTTTCCTTTCTCATGGTCTCTGCTTCACTGATGCAAATGATATTTCCCGAGGGTTGTATTTTTCTTTCTTTTTTTCTTCTGGGTTTCCGAATTTTCTGTTATCATCGTTCGGCGCATGCAAGTGAAATTCCTTCCACCCCTGAGGATTTGTTCAGGCATGTCAAAATAATATCTCTAGAATCTGTTCTCTGCTCTACTCAATGATCTCGATGTTCTAGACGAAATCCGTCTAGCTATGTCATAATACTCAATGAAATTTGGTACATTATGATATTGCAATTCATTCTTATCATTATTAAAAGTACAGTACTTTGATGGTCCACACTACAATCCCAAGTCATTCATAGCTTCGTATTCAGCATCAAAATCATCAAACTCAGTGTTTTGGGGTCTTGAAGCTGGTTCGGGCATTCCAGACATGACCTCCTCTTGCTCCCGGAGAAGATCTTCCAGATCATCGTCATCGGGCTCGGGATGACTGACTGGTGGCCTATTCTCGGCTTCAGGATCCGGCATGAACAGGTCATCGCCATCTGATCCCACCTGGTTGGATCCAGACGGGGCAGGCGCTGAGGTTTCTGTTTTATCTGCGCCATTTTGATCGGAGGGCCTCGTAGGAAAATCAGGCATAATGATTGTATCACCGAACGGCTTCGGTTTCTCCTCCTCGATCCATTCTCGTCTCATAACTTGCATGCGTTTGGTATGGCCCAATTTCTCAATAATGCTCAAGCCGTCTGCGAAGTTGGCGCGTGGGTAGAGGTCGTCTAGCCATAGCTGGTAGAAGTTCAATAGTCGTTCAGCGTCTTGGAACTATAGAAACGGAAAAATCGAGTAAGCTTCAGTGGCATTGCTATCGAATCTTTGGCAAAGAAACTTACCTCGTATCCCTTGCCCTTGAGTCTGAGCTTGCGCTTCGCTGTGCGGCGTAGCTTGGGGATTCCGGGCTGTGATAATAGGCTGTAATAAACACGTTAGTCTGGAATGTCTCTCTAGGCTGAGCGGGGAGGAGTTGGAGGGCGTACCGGGCCTCGTCGAGCTTGGGTGCGGGTTGTCTTTTCTTGGTGACTTTGACTTCCTCGTCAAGTCCAAGTCCTAGTGATGTGGGATCGCCCGTGGTCGGTTTGGGTGCATTGGTGGTAGGTGGAGGGTTGGGTTGGATGTCCTCGAGGCCGACATCGTAGTCGAAAAGGTCATCCACATTGGTGGAAGAGTGGCCAGGTTCTGGTGTGGCTTCCATTGTAGCGAGCTGTAATCCTTTCAGTAGTCTAGGACTTTGGTGCTTCAATTCTTCAATGCGATGGACGGATGCGATCACCATAGAACGCGTCTGAAGGTCCATTGACCGCGCCGAGTAATCAGCAAAGGCGATTGGCTGCGGCGGTGCTGCCCGCCCGGAGTGCGCTAAACCCAAAACAGCCTAGTGGCCTCCTCCCTCCAACTTCCGAACTTCGAACTTCGACTCTGCACAACAATCCCCACCAACAGCATCATGGCTTCCGACCACAGCACAGCCATTGTGCCCCCTAAGCGGGCTGTTACTGATTACCCGGTACGAATTGGTTCTCTCTAGTGCCTTGAAGATCCCTAGCTAATCACCTTCTCTCCCCGCAGCTGATTGATTCCGACCCGTACGATATCCGATACTCCCCCGAGGCTTTCCCTTGAATCGAGAACTCACCAGCTTTATCTAGGCATTTGCGCCGGGTTTTCGGATATGCCCGCCCTACCGATTATGCTGTTGCCGGTGCAGCTGCGTCCGTCTCCCCCATTGCCTTCTGGGTTATGGAGCGAGTGAGCCCGTCGCATGTTGGTCGTGGTGGCTTCTCCCCAGTGATGCGCCTGGCCACTGCTGTCGGTCTCCTCGGTGGTCTTCACGTCCTGTACCAGCGCTCTTGCCGTATGTTTATGGAGGTTTCTAATCTGGGGTTTGATTGAGTGACTGACACCTATTACAGAGCGTTTCTACGGATTCACTGAGAACACCCGGGAAGTCGAGATGGATATGCGCGAGATGGTTGACAAGGTGAAGAAGGGCGAGCCCCTGTACGGCACATCCCAGGTGTCTTCCTATCTCCAGGGTGTTGCTGCCCGCAACTCGCGGTACTCCCAGCTGTTCATCCACGTCCTGCCGTGGATCAACCTCGTCAACCACGACCAGGTTAGTTTCTATCATGCTCTATTCTCCGGGACATTAGTCGTGGCTCATACTGACTTTTCGAATTAGCACGGTGTCGACACTGCCAAATACTACCAGCAAGCGGAGCGTGAATTGGAAGCAGAGCGTTTGAGCAAGGCCTGATTATTTGCCCTATAAAGAGCTCTACGGTACCACCCACGAAGGTGGACTGGGAGTTGCACAAGTTTTGTACACATATCCTTTTGTGTTTTTTCATTTCCCTTCCAGGCGCAATTTGCAATTAAAACAATTATCTGTTCTTATCCGGCATTCCTCGCAGCCCTCGCAGTGGGAATACTTGTAAACCTGGATCCATTTCCTTAACTCCTGATAATGCGCACGCAAAAGCGTCCAGACCAAAGCACAAATATGGAACTGCCTCTCCTTCTAAGAGCATGGCAGTGTCTCATTCCCATTTCCGGGCGGGATCTCGCGCAGCTTGTCAAATGCAGTGTTGAGCTCGCGGTTCTTCTTGGGACGTGGGTTGGGTGCTGGCGAGGGATGTTAGCACTGCGGGGGATATTCATGCTGAGACTCTTGAGCTCGACTAACCCTTGTCATTCTCTTGGATGTAGAAGCGGCGCAGGAGCATGACGGCTTCCTTCTGGAACAGTCCACCATACACCGGGTAGGTAGGGTCGATGGAAGGGCTGTTAAAATGGTCAGTAAGCAGTTAAGAGCCTCAAAGTAAGAGAGATTCTATCACTAACTCGGAATGAATGGTCAGAACACCGCCGGTGCCTCCAAACCGGTCATTGGCACAACCAAAGTACACACAACGAATGCGGTACTGCTTGAGGGCTGAGGCACACATGACACAGGGCTCGACGGTCACGTAGAGATCGGTAGACTGGAGAGCAGACTTGGGGTAGTTCTGGAGCATCTCCGCGATGGCCAGAAACTCGGCGTGGCGGGTTCCCTGGTGGGCTTTTAGTATTCGAAAGTTTCTTTATTTCTTCAGCTAGAGGGGAGGTGATCTCTTACATTCATCGAACGGTTGGTATCGTTCATGCCCCGGCCGACGACCTGGTCATTGTAGACCAGGACACAACCGACAGGAGTCTCACCATGCTTGAGGGCTGTCTCTCCCTGACAGTAGCTGTCAGTCGTTCGAACTTGATCAGCAAAAAAAATAGTAGCTTACCATCTTCAACGCCTCCTTCATCCAGTGGGCATGCTTGGGGTTCTCGGAAAATACCGAGGGGATTTGGGTCTCCATCGGGTCGTCCGTGGTGGCGTCGAAGTCTTTTCTGGGGGATATGATGTATGTTAGAGGAGAGGAAGATGGGACGCAAAGAAAAGAAAGACGTGCTGCACCCTGCCTTTGTTTAAAAGACAAGGCGGAGGCACGTGCCAGAAAAAGGACGAGGTTGAAGAATCATGAGGGGAATGGGGATTTCCATAGAAGCTCACAAGCAAAAGTCAGAAGCCATGGCGAAATGTAAGGGAAATCTTCCCTGTGCTTCGATTGGGAGATAATTGTATAGTCCCTATTCAATAGGCCTTCTCTTATAATGATAAAAATGGTTCACATCAACGTGAATGCCCATTGCTCCTGTGTGTAGTCATCTATAAGCACTCTTTACTTTTATGTCCTGAGGATTTCGACGGAAGAGGCAAAAGTGGTGGTGGGAAATTGGTGGCCTGAGGTGTCCATGACATCCTTATCGTTATCGGCAGCGCGTATTGGCGGCTCTTCTCCAACTCGCGTTCATCTGGATTACATCTGGTCTGGGGAAAATCAACAACTTTCTTATGGATATGTGTGTCTACAATGGCAGGTGAAGGGGATTATGCTCAAGGCTCTGCCTTTGAAGATGACAGACCCGCAGAGCCACCAGCCTCGTCCATCCTGGCCACCCATTTCGCTCCACGCCTAGCAACTCAAGGGCATGAGCCGCAGCGACTGTCTCGGGAGGCATTTTCACAGCTCCGACAAGAGCTATTGGGCGAGAAATTTACCCAGTCTCGCTTGGATGAGGGTATCGCCGATATCAATAAGCTGATATGTATCATTCTCAAGGCCGGGTTGGAAGCTAGCCCCACCAGCAGCGGCCCAGAAGAAGACTTGGAAGGTCAAGTCCTGGATTGTTTGGAGATCATTCAAGTCAGCATCGACAAAGCTCCCCAATCTCTGTGGGATGTATCAGATCCTCTTATTTTGGGCGAAGATGTCCAGGCGCCCTTGTTCTCGTGGTTGATTCTACGGTTGATCAGAGTCGCGTGCACGTGGCATGTCGAGGCTGTGCAGGACAGAGTCCATTCCATTTTCACCAGCATGGCTTGTTTGCAGTATAAACAAGTCCGGTCGTCGCCGTCATGCTATGGAATCTCGGCATTCCTTCGGGCTTGCGCACTGGGTACGTTGATGCTCCTTGTTCTTCGTGATATAGGCCTTGCAAGTAATTAACATGTTACAGACATTTTGTGCTCACTGGAAGGCTTCCTGGATATGGACCTACGCAGTTTTCGCCCTGTCAAGCTATTGATGCCATCGAAAAGTGGATCCCTCATGGTGAACCTAGATAATCTGGGTCTTTCTCGTGGTCTGTTGAAACGCAGTCTGACTCTGGGTTCATTTTCCCAAGCTGCGGCTCTTGCCACAGCATTGTTGGATGCTCTTAGTCCTGAGGCGTCAGCTCAGGGTTCCTCCAAGCGACGAAACTGCACACTCCGACAGAACCTTCCATGGGCGTTGAATGGGTATCATCGCCTTCGAAGAGTGCTGGTCAGATGGTTACAGACCCCGGGTTTAAAAGTTACGTCGGCCGACGAGCAGATTCTCTCACAGTTCTTGGAGTATACCCGGCGTCTCTGTGTTTCCGAGTCATCTATGGCTACTATGTTGTCCGACATGAGTCTGGCTTCCACCTGGACTCAATGCCTCGCCGAATTCCTTCCCCCCAGCATTAGTCTCTCAATGCCTACAATTCAACTTGAATTGAGCCATTTTGTGGACGAAGTGACGTTAGCTATCAAACAATCCAAATTGGCTGTGCCACAACTGAGAGACATTCTTCTTCCTGTTCTCACAGACATCCGGGCCCAGGACTCCAATCCTCAGATAGTGGAAAAGTGTCTCGGGGTAAATTACCTGTCTATGTTCAGCTGGGTGTTTACATTGGCTAATTAACTTCTTAGACTTCTATCACCAGCCTTTATAGCCAACTGCTTGATAATATCTCGCTTACACTGCACTCCGCGACCTCCCCTGATGTTGATTCATCTGTTGCGCACCAAAGACCACGGACCATGGATCAGGAGACAGAACAAGGTGAGCAAGAAATGCGGGCATCAAAGCGGATGTGTCTGTCCGCAGAGTCCTCCGATGCAGATCTAGTTCAAATGCTGTTAGAGGAACTTTCGACATTGCTAGGTTCTGGGTGTGCAACAAATTTGACAGATTTGTGTACCGCCGTACAGTAAGCTCGGACGACCCGTGCTGGACTTGAAGGCAAATACTCATATAATTTTACAATAGGAACCTATACGAAGGAGCTTCCGAGCCCCAACGAACGCAATTTCTACAGGTTCTGGGTAAACTTCCGTGTGCAGTGGTGGGAACTTTGGTGCGGAAGCCATCAGGCCTTATCACAAGCGACACCCTTTTCTGCCAAAGATGTGACAGTGATCAACATGAACTGGGCAATATCCCTGAGAGAGAGATCGCTAGCTACGAAGATCTCTGGACCATTTTGAATTTCGTCCTACCGCGGCTCTCACGTACTCCTGGTCCGAGAATAGCTGCCATGGTCGCCTTAAGACGCATCCTGATGCACTCGCCAAATTTAAACCATATGCATCTTTCCTCTTCTACGCCCGGAGAGTTTTGCCTGCACTCCCTTCGAAGTTCAATTCGAGAGCTTCGAGTGGCGACTGGGTATGTTCCCTATACGGCATACTGGCAATGGTAAAGACTGACATCCTTCTTAGACACTCGGTCGTAGCATTTGTGCGACCAAACCTCCAGCCGGATGTTCGACGAGCCAACTTTGTGGTCGTTCTAGAGTGGCTGAGAAATCTGTCCGAAAAAGACGACATGCCCTTACAAGAGGCATGCATTTTGACCCTATGTCGTCTCGCAAGGTATGTGACCCAGCATCAAGTTCTTTCTCATGTGCACTCAGCTCATCATGTCAACAATAGAGTTTCGGAAGATGACGAGAAAAATATCATCCTCTTACGCCTACTGGAATACCTCGGTCATCCAAACCCCTACGTCTGCGCCGTGACCTACAATGAAGTAAGTAATGTGCATTTGATCATGCCTTTGGCCCATTGGGACTGTCTCCATCTGCTTGCGCAATCTCTGCTACTGGTCATCACCTGTACTAACTGATTTTTTTAGCTTTCCAAACTCGCGCAGCTATTCTCAGTGACACCTGCCGGCTTGTTCCGGCCGTACTGGCGAACACTCTCCGTTGCAGTTGTCAAGAACCTGCAGACTCGCCCATATATGGCTGAACAACTCTGCGAACTGCTGGGCATGAAAGTTGACGGCTTCCTTCGGCTGACAGAGGTTCACGTGCTCCCCTATCTAGTCTTGACAAGAAAGCGCGACATTATTTGCAGAATTGGAGCAAGTCGTAATGAAGGTGAATCTCCTTTTGACGTCTGCTCTGAAAAGAACAACCTTGCTGCGATTCTGGCCTTTCTTCTCGCCCAACAGTCTGACAATCCGGAAGCTATGATCATGTCACTTCTTGCGGAAATAGATCCTGCATTCAAGGGTCGATCCTTGGCTGAATTGGTGCGAATTGAACCGATTCTTATCGCATGTGACTTGCTGAAGAGCCTTGGAGATGCGGGGGAGCAGAACAAAGAAAGGGTGAGTATACATGATTTCTTAAGTCCCATAGTAAATCTGAGGGATAATGATACCATAGCACACACTTGGCTAATGCTTAACATTAGTTCCTTCAAGCCCTCCGTCGGCTTGCCACTTTCGTCCCTCGAAAATTCTTGCACGCAAGCTCTTCCAAGAAAGCAGATCTCTTGAGCCACTTCATCGAGGAGCATGTTCTCGGAATCATCACTCAATTTGCAAATGCAATCAACGATTTTCAAGTGAGACAAACTCTGGCTGAAAAGCGGCGCAACCTCAAAGCTATCGAGGAAATGATCAATATTGCTCAGGGACATGTGAGCAATGCACTGCCTCAGGTCTGCGCTTGTCTTCGATCCGCGCTCGAGATTGAAGAATTGTGTGACTATGCATTTTCAGCTTGGAAGACATTGATTCGTTCTCTAAGCGAAGAGGATATCGAGCCTCTGATTGACCAGACCTGGGCAATCGTGATCAAATATTGGGACAAGTTGACCGATGAGAGCAGAAGGCAAGCTCATCAGCTCATTGACCATATCCTGACTAACCAGCCTAATCTTGTACGGGATACCTTCAACACCATGCCCTCGCTTGCCTCTATCCCTGAATTGGCCGTATTCGAGACCAAGATCAGTGAGCTGCGAGCGGAAATGGATGTTCGGAGCAGATTCCTAGCCCTCATTCGACGTTGTCAGAGTGAAAATTCAACCGTCGTTGAGCAAGCTCTGAAGGAATTGATGCCTTTTCTCTCGGAGAATGAGGAATTTCTACATGTGTCCGTTCTCAGTGAACAGCCCGATCCCGTTGTTGCGCATTTGACCCGAGCATTGCTTGATTGCTGCGTGAAGTTCAGCACCAGCTCCGACTCCATTACATTGTTATCGTCACAATGCTTGGGCCTTGTCGGTTGTCTTGATCCAAATCGGGTGGAGACAATCAAGGAGAAGAAGGACATTCTCGTTCTATCAAACTTTGACAGGATGGAAGAGACTGTCGAGTTTATTCTCTTTTTCCTCCAGCATGTCCTGGTCGAGGCATTTTTATCGGCGTCCAACACGCGAGCGCAGGGATTCCTAGCCTATGCCATGCAGGGTCTTCTCAAGATTTGCAACTTAAATGCGGCTGTCACTCAGAGAGCTCGCAATCTCCAAGGCGACGAAAAGTATCAACGGTGGATGGAGCTTCCAGAAAGCGTCCGAAACACGCTCACTCCATTCCTCACATCCACATACACAGTCACTGTTGTCGCTACGAATTCAAAAGCCACATATCCTTTGCTGTCGCCTAAGATAACACACAGTGAATGGCTTCGGACCCTAGTGCAAGACCTGCTTCAAACGGGAAATGGAGACAACGCAAAGCTCATATTTGCAGTATGTAGCCGAGTGGTCAAGGGTCAAGACATCTCCATCTCCTCTTTCCTCTTTCCATTCGCCGCCTTGAATCGCATCGTCGGGGGAACGGAGCAGGAGCAGCAGGATCTTCAGCTCGAACTTCTGAATGTCCTTTCCCATCCTCTCCCCGAGGCGAACAACAATTTCCGCGAAACAATTATTAGCAGCAGCCAGGTAAGTCTTCCCGTGCTAGCGTTACGGTATCTTGTACTGACATGCATGGCGTACAGAGTGTCTTTGAGGTTCTAGATTACCTGTCAAGGTGGCTTCAAGGCAAGAAAAAACAACTGAATGCTCTAAATCTTCAGTCATATCAGTCGAGTCGGTCCCACAAAGATGCCAGTCGGGATTCACTACTCGACAAATATGCCTCGCAGATCAAATCGGTTGAAGCGTTACTTGCTGCAATCCCACCAGAAATCATCTCAAAGAGAGCCGTCGAATGCAAATCGTTCTCCAGGGCTCTCTTCCACTGGGAACAATACATCCGCAAGTGCAAGTCACAAACGGAACCACAAGAATCGACCAGCTCTGAACAGCTGTACGAGAGACTGCAGGATATTTACAGCCAGATTGACGAACCCGATGGAATAGAGGGTATCTCGAGTCATCTATCGGCCCTTAGTATTGATCAGCAGGTTCTGGAGCATCGGAAGGCGGGTAGATGGGCCACCGCACAGAGTTGGTATGAGCTGGAGTTGGAGAAAGAACCCGATAATATTGATGCTCAGTGGAACCTCATCACCTGTCTCAAGGAATCTGGCCAGCAAGGTAATACCCACATTTTGGGCCCATTCTTCCATCTCTCTTTTCTTTGTGACTTAGTCGCTAATTGATGCCAGATGCAATTGTCACTCGATTTGAGGTTCTCAAGCAGTATGAACCTGCTGCTTCTCGACTCCTGCCATTTGCAGTTGAAGCCTCATGGATCACTAGCAGGTGGGACAAGCTACAGGGGTACCTCGAACTCTGTGCTGACAAAGAGACCGGAGAATTCAATGTTGGCATTGGATCGGCTCTCAATGCCCTTCGCGAGAAGGGAACCGCTGCTTTCGTGGAAATCATCAACGAACTCAGACTCGGCGTGGCAAAGTCATTGACAGCTAATTCCGTGGCTTCGTTACAGTCCTGCCACGATGACATGCTTCGATTACATGCATTGGCAGATGTGGAAGCCATTGTTCACGCAGGACCTGACGAATCCCATCCTCCCAAGGATTTCTTGCTCCGCACCATGAACCGCAGGTTAGATGTACTTGGGGGTTATCTTGCTGACAAGCAGTATCTGTTGGGCTTAAGGCGAGCGGCAATGGAGCTAACGTACGTTTACATCGACTTTATGGGGGTTTTGGTTATTGACTTCTTATTTTAGGGGCGGCTTTGGCAACTCTGACATATCTGCTGCTTGGCTCACCAGTGCCCATCTCTCGAGAAAAGGCAATTTCACTGGCCAAGCATACCACTCGATGCTACATGCCGCACGCTTAAAGGATCGGTCGGCTACCATTGAACACGCCAGACTGCTTTGGAAAGACGGACACCACCGAAAAGCAATCCAGACTCTGGAAGGTGCCATAGCGTCTAATGATTCGAACATAACAACCTCCTCTGTTGATTCCCAGACCGCCTCCTTCCTTTCAGGTCGTGGGAAGAATCAGAATGAGACTGCTGCTGTGGTATGTTTCTGTTGGACCTTTGACCGCTTGTTGACCATCCACTGACCAAAAATGATTAGGCACATCTCATGTTAGCGAAATGGACAGACAGGGCCGGGCAAACGCATTCCCATGCCATTGTTCAACGATATCGAGCAGCCATCAGGCTATATCCCAAGTATGTTATGGAAGTCACTTCGGCGGTTTTAATAGATTCTAACGGTGATAATCAGATGGGAAAAGGCGCACTACTACTTGGGGAAGCATTACAACAAGATCCTTGATCTCGAAAAGGTCAAGCCCATGGGGAAAGAGGCACAGATCTAGTATGCGCTTCCCTTGATTGATGCACGGTTCATGGCTAACGCAATCTCGTTTAGCCTGAGTGGAGAAGCCACAAAGTTGGTGATTGATAATTACCTTCGCTCACTGACATATGGGTGCAAATACGTGTTCCAAACACTGCCGAAGATCTTAACGCTTTGGCTAGAACATGCATCTGTCGTCGACCAGCCAATGGACCCGAAAAGAGGCGATAACGAGTACGTAATTATCGATTTCAAAAGTATTATTGCTCTTGCTTACCTTCGGTGCCAAATCAACCAGGGATTTCCGGCAACATACCCATGCCCAGAGACTCAAGAGTTTGGATGAGATACACAGTCAGCTGAAAAAATACATCTCAAGTCGCCTTCAGGCTTTCTTGGTGAGCCACCTTCGTGATCCGACTTTGTCGCAATCCTTTGGATCATATACTAACAACTGCAGTTGTTCACGATCCTGCCCCAAGTGGTAGCTCGTATTTGTCATCGCAACAACACCGTTTACGACCTTCTAACAAGAATGGTGACAAAGGCTGTTCAAAGCTTCCCACAACAAGGCTTGTGGACTGTCCTTGCGGTAGTCAAATCCTCCAACAAGGACCGGGCTCTCAAAGGGCAGGCTTGTCTGAGCAAGATTCAGGATTATAGCAGCAAGGTGAAGAAAGACACTACTGAAATTCGCCGCATGATTCTGCAAGGCCAAAAGTTCTCTGATGAGTTGCTTTCACTTTGTCTCGCTCGTGTGGAAGACAGAGCCTCCAAGGTCACTCTTGCTCGAAATCTCGGTTTCAACCATAAAGTCGCTCCTTGTCGACTGGTTGTGCCTTTCCAGGCAATGTTGATTCCCAGTCTCCCTGTCATTCAAGATTCTGAGCATTTGAAAGGGTTCCGGCCCTTCCCCCGTGATCCAACGACGATAGAGGGTATGTTAAAACCCTTGCTTTGGTTTGTTTCTCAAGCTATACTAACTAGCTCTAGCCGTTCTCGACGAGGCCCAAATCCTCAACTCTCTTCAGAAACCCCGCAAGATCAGCATTCGAGGCTCAGACGGAAAGATCTACAATGCACTTTGCAAACCCAAAGATGATTTGCGCAAGGATCAACGCCTGATGGAATTCAACAATATGATCAATCGCTTCTTGAAGCGAGATGTCGAGTCCAGCAAGCGACGAATGTGTATGTAACCCCTTGGTCTGATATTGGCATCCTTTCAAGCTGACTGACTCACCAGACATCAAAACTTATGCTGTGACTCCCTTGAATGAGGAATGTGGTATCATTGAGTGGGTCGATAACCTTCGCACCCTGAGGGACATTATCGTCAAGCACCTGCGCGAGCGAAGAATCGCACCGAACGTAAGCCTACCATGCCCCTGCTGGGCCTTGAATACCTGGCTGGGTCCGCTAACTTCTATATCAAAACAAACAGTACACCGAGATCAGGCATTACCTCGACGAGATTTGTGCAGACAAAACATTTTCGAAATTGTCTCTCTTCAACACAAAGATTCTAACCAAGTATGGTCCTCTTTTCCTATGATTCAAAGGCAATCAGTACTGATTTAAACAGGCTTCCTGCTGTACTTCACGAATGGTTCATTGAAATGTTCCCGGAAACCGAATCGTGGTTCACGGCAAGACTACGGTATACGCGGTCTTCAGCTGTAATGTCAATGGTTGGATATGTTCTAGGGTATGTCAAGTATAAACTTGAAGCCTATCAATCTTGTCATACTCATCAATCTCCCTCAAACAGACTTGGCGATCGGCATGGCGAGAATTTGTTGTTTGAAGAAGGAACAGGCGGTATCCTTCACGTCGACTTCAATTGTCTTTTCGACAAGGTATGAATACCATGAGCCCTAACCTACTAAACTCATCATACTGATTTCAACAGGGTCAAACATTCGAAAAACCCGAGGTCGTTCCATTCCGCCTGACTCATAACATGATAGACGCATTTGGTGCTTACGGATACAATGGTGGGTAATTTGCACACGCTGTTCAATTGTTCACCTACTAAAATTTGCATCTTTAGGACCCTTCCGCAGAACCTGCGAGATCACCCTCGGCCTCTTACGACAAAACGAAGACGCACTTATGACCATCCTAGAGACTTTCCTGCACGACCCAACAACAGATTTCATTGGGAAAAGAGTAAGTTTGATCTACTCGACAACGCGAGAGAGTTTGCTTGTTAACCTGTTTCTTTATCGCTATAGCGTCGCACTCATGTCAACGTTCCCGATACACCGGCCGGTGTCTTGGAAGATGTCCGCAATAAACTTCGTGGTTTCATGTCCAAACAGCCTATTCCATTGTCTGTGGATGGACAAGTGGATGAGCTGATCGTTCAAGCGACTGACAAGAAGAATCTTGCATCGATGTATGTTGGTTGGTGTGCTTTCTTCTGAGCTTACAAAGACCTGTCCCGGTCACAATGCAGTCTTGACTAGAATTTTCAAATAACCCCACCGATCTGGCTGTATTCTACGGCAGTGAAATCTCCATATTCTAGATAGAGCCACAGTGCGAGGCTTAGAGTATTTCCTAGTATTTGATCAGTACTAGTTCATATTTATCATAGAGTCAGAGCCAGTTTGAGTTCTGTGGGCCTACGAGACAGGGGAATTTTTAATTGTTCAATGTTTGTATTTTTTGGTCATTTCCTGATTATCATTGAACAGACAGTGGCACGATCATTGTAAGTAAGATCACCTTTGAAGCTCACTTCAAGAACCCATCCGTCCACATCTGTTATCCGCTGCGCAAACTAATGCCGATTCCGACTCCGATCCCTCACTGGACTCCGACTTCTGTCACTGCGACTGCTGTATCCATAGCTACTGTAACTGGGGCTCCGTCGCCGGCGCTGTCGCGGGCTCTCAGGGCGTCGACTACCTCGGCGAGGAGGGGAACGAGACCGAGAATAAGATCGGGACCGCACTGGTGATCGCGACCTTGAAAGAGACGGTGGTCGATATGTGTCGCGCCGTTCCGCTTGACGCGCACGTCCTTGTCTCCTGGGGGGTGAATCTCCATATGGTCTTTTGCCAAAGCGGGAGCGCCCGCCATTCCCTCTGTTGGATACCGGTGGTGGTGAGCGTGAGAAGTTTCGGCGTGGGAGTACAATTGACACGTTCAGGATCGCGCCATCAAGTTGGGCCTCGTGCATGTGGGCGATGGCTGCTTCGGCATCGGCTGGGTCGTAGTAGAGGATGTAGGCGGTGCCACGGTTGGTCATAACTAGATCAAAGCAGACAGGAATTAGTACGTATAAAAGGTGTCGGCGACATCAATCTGGAGTTTTCGTACAGGATCTGTTCATGGGCAGGTCGAGGTATTCGATGTCTCCGAAGCTGCCAAATATTTCACGAAGGTGGCTCTCCGTGACATTCTTGGTCAACTTCTCAACCACAATCTATAAGGGCAATTACTGTTAGCAAAATTGATCACCTCGAGCCTCGATACTAGCATGCGATCATCTTACCTTGGCGCTCGGTGGGGGACTCTGATTTGGGCTGGGAGAGCGACTGTAACTTGCGCTCCTGTAACGTCTCCCACCTCTTGCAGGACTGCGAGAACGAGAAGGGGATCGGCCTCGGGATGCGGATCGACTTCTGCTCCCAGTGCGACGCTGACGGTCTGGTGTTGGGCTTCGTGAAACACTTCGTGGCCGGCGATCTCCCGGAGGTGATTTTGCTGGGTTGCGATCCGGGGATCGCATGGGTGAAAGGCCCCGAGAGGATCGCAGGGACATGGCTGTGTCTTTGGGGATGATTTGCGGGAAGAGGAGGTCAAGCGAAAGGAGGACGAAGGACGGTGAAGTTGAAAGAAAGGTGGAAGGAGGATAGAAGCTGTACCTGCATGCTGCATGTCAAGTCACGAGTCCGCGAGGTTTAAATCAAGGGCGTGTAGCTGGGGATCACGCTAGCCGCATCGGGTAATCACCTTAATGCATAGCGCAGATACAGTAGACTCCATCCAATAGCTAGGTTACTATGAGACATTGAAAGGCAAAATGGTAATGTGAGAATCATCTTCACCCGTATCTATTGAGAGGATTTATATCGATCCAGGGTATCACCAATCTAACAGGGTCGTCTCTTATATCTATTTCTGTGCATCTCGCCACTGTTCATACTCTTGGATGACAGCGTCTGTGATTTGACGCCGCACCTGAGTCAAGGCGTACTCAAAGTGCTTCAACTTCACATCTTGTTCCTGTTGTGTCTCCTCCTCTTCATCCAGTGCTGCGTCACCTGCAGTCTCACAGATGCTGACCATTTCGGCACCCGAGTAGCCCTCTGTGCAAGCTGCCAGTTCATCCAGATCAACATCTGGATGAATGACGGACTTACTTGCCCAGATCCGCAGAATTTCCCGTCGGGCTTCAAAGTCTGGAGGACCGATATAAAGGATGTTATCTAGGCGACCAGGTCGCATGAGGGCAGGGTCCAGGACATCCGGTTTGTTTGTGGCAGCAATGACCAACACATTGCGCAATTCCTCAATACCATCCATCTCGTTGAGAAGCGTGGTTAGGACATTGACACCACCCTGAGAGCTGCTGCTGCGACGAGTAGCAATAGCATCGATCTCATCGAAGAAGATGATACTCGGCCGTGCTGCGCGAGCCTTCCGGAAAATCTCTCGCAGTGACCGCTCGGATTCTCCGACATACATGCTCAGGATTTCCGCTCCCTTGACAGCCAAGAAGTTCAGACCAGCTTCAGTAGCTAGTGCCTTTACAGTAAGAGTCTTGGAGCATCCTGGAGGTCCGTACAAAAGAATACCCTTTTTACTCTTTACGTTGAGTCGGCGCATTCGTTCCGGGTGCTGGGATAGATAATTAGCCTGTGTCAAAGAAGACAGTGAGGAAGTTTTAGAACGATAGTTCTTACCTTGAGGGGTCTTTCGACGGCCTGCTGGAGGCGTTTCTTAATCTCATGCTGTCCTCCAATGTCCGACCACCGAACCTTTGGTGTCTCCAAGAAGACCTCACGCATGGCCGTTGGGCGGATCTCTTGCATGGACGCAAGAATGTCCGCCTCCTTAATATCCAAGTCGACGCGAACATCCCCATTACTAAAATCATCAAGATCACCAAGGGCTGAGTCCACTTCTGGAGGGGTTGGCTTCGCCGGTAGAATGGCGGAACCTTGCTCAGCCAGCTGCCGTTGTCGAGCTTTCCGACAAATGAGCTGAAGAAGAGCGTATAGATCTGCCCCGACGTATCCGTGAGTTTTCTCGGCGATGAAATCAATCAGATCATCACTGAGTCCCGCAAAGGCAGGCCCGCGAATGGCTCGCAGAATCTCAGCCCGATCCTGGGCTGTAGGAACTTGTAGTTCGATTTCAGTTCCAAGTCGATGAGGGGTTCGAAGAACGTCGTCAACATTATTAGGATGCCGTGTAGCCGCCACCACAAGAACGGATCCACTGTGAATCGCATCGAGGTTTTCGCACAGAACAGACACCAGGGACTGCGATTCAAAGGAAGTTCGCTTCGGTGCGATGAATTCCAACTGGTCAATGAGGATCACGCTTGGCTTGGCACGAGCAGCTTCTTGGAATAGATTGCGGAGCTTCTTCTCGCTTTCGCTAGTACTGCGACCAAGGGAAGATGTGTCGATTCTGAATACTTGCTTCCAGCCAGCTGACTCAATCTGTCGCAGGAGAGCCGTCTTGCCTGTTCCTTTGGGACCATATAGAAGGATTCCCCGGTTATGCTCATAGAATGATGGCATGGCAGGGCTACGCGGATCAAGATTGAAATCAGAGAGACTCTCGTTGATGTCCTCGATTTGACGAGCGAGACCACCCAGGCCCACAGGCTGGACAGCAATGCTTGATCGCGAGTCATCCCTTGTCTGTACCTCTGTTCCAATCGAAACCTTGGAGTTCTTGGTGAACCGGAAAATGGTACGGTTTAGGCTCGCGCCTGGGGCGTATATGTTGACGACTTTAAAGTTGCGGCGCTGGCCCTTGAGCTCCAACTCGAAGACCAAGCCATTCGTCAGGACTTCAGTCCTGAGGAGTGGGAACTCCAAGGTCCATTCCCAATGAGACTTTTCCTCATCAGCAATTGGGCCAAATCTTTCGATTTTCTCGGCGTCGGAGCAATCCACCAGGATAATCGATTCGATCTCGTCAAGAGTTCCGTCAATTTTGGTGATCGCAACTTTGTCTCCGACCTTGATACCGTAAGAGTCCTGAAGAGTCCTTGACATCTGTACCACCGTACTTTGTATATTCTCCACCGCAGTCCAAGCAATTGCAGTCTTTGGGGATCCTTCGGCCCACGACAAGGTACATAGGTCATCGGCGCGGAGCCTCAGAGCTGCCAGGGAGGAGGAAGACAGATAGATGCGAAACGCATCTTTGAGGTCGCTGCGGGCCTGCTTCGACAGTGGTCGAACGGTAAAACTGCGAACGTCGGCCATCTGTAGGTAGGATGCTCAAGGGAGCATAAAACAAGCGGGTCTCGAAGATAAATGGGAAACGAGCGAGTTCGTGTCACCGCCACGTCTCAATAGCCGCTTTAAAGGGGTATGATAAGGTGCGTCAGGGTAAGGCTTTCGATTGTTGAACACGAACCTAAAGTGACAAGTTAGCAAGTCTATTCACAAATTGTTCAAGATGGACGAGCGCACCCTAGTTGCTGGTGCTTGGATGTACCGCGCAGGATGAGAATTGGTCGAATCTTAGTACCAATATCCCAATCCTATCGACTTCAAAGTACGAGAGTATATTCAGCCCGCCACTTCAAGGTGTCCCGAACTCTTCAGTGTTGACGAGCTTCACGAGTCGCAGATTGTAGAAATTTAAAGTGGGGTGAAGCTGGAGGGATCTTATCGGGCGACCGATAGGAACCAAGAAAAGTGGGTCGGAGGGCCACCATGTGAAGTGAAGTATGGAGTACAGTACAATAAACTTGATCAAAGGGGTGTAATAGAAAATAAAAGGCTCATTCGATTAACATCAGGATTATAGACATATCATATCCTCCACAGATAGACCGAATGACTACTCAACAAGTACTACTCAGCATAAACAAGCATCAAGAAACGGAGACGGGTTGCCACGGGCTATGGACAGATATGTATGATACTCAGTAACGGGCGCCAGATCTCCATAGAGAAACTGGACTTTCAAATCTTAGCACATGAAATTGCAGGCAGAAGGATATGGGGGAACAGCTGCGCGGGGGAAACGACCAAGTGCGGCACGAGAAACAGATCAAAAACACACGTGTGCGGCGAAGAGAAAGGAAACAGGCAGAAGGAAATAGGAAAAAAGAGAAGTGGTGATGATGGTCATGGCGAGGTGGTGGTACAGGGGTGTTCTAGCAGCACTTCCCGCCAGCGCTCGCATTCTGACCCGATCCCTGATCTACATGGAGCCCTGGCGAGCTACCATTGTCAGTCTTGGAGGTATCCATACCCTTCTTGATGTCCGATGCAAGACTGTAAAAGGCCTTCTCGATGTTGATGTTGTTCTTCGCGGACACCTCCAGGAAGGGAATGCCAAGCTCATCAGCCAGCTGTTGGCCTTGCTCGGTGGAGACGGCCCTCTTCTCCTCCCAGTCGCACTTGTTTCCGATCAGGATCTTGTGAACGCCCTCGCTGGCGTGTTGCTCGACGTTGGAAAACCAGGTTCGGATGTCTATTCGAGATGGTCAGACCTGTTGCGTTGGGGGGGGGGGGGGCTAGGGGAGGGAGAGAAACTCGTGGGAAAGGGGGGAAGACGGCATATGGGTATTTGGAGGAGGGGACAAGCGTGTAGTACTTACTCTGGAAAGACCGTTCATCGGTCACGTCGTAGACCAGGAGGATACCCATCGCGCCACGGTAGTAGGCGGTCGTGATGGTTCGGAAACGTTCCTGGCCAGCTGTATCCCAGATCTGCAGTTTCACTCTCTTGCCGTCCAACTCGATTGTACGGATCTTGAAGTCGATACCGATGGTTGTAATGAAGGACGGGGTGAACGAGTCCTCACTGAAGCGCAACAGACAGCATGACTTGCCCACACCGGAATCTCCGATCAACAGCAACTTGATCTATGGTACATCCTCTTGTCAGAAAAATGGCGATTGAAAAGACCTGGAAGCGATCGGATACACTTACCAGGAAGTCATAATTCCGTGTACCAGCCATGATGGAGTGGTTTGTTTGTTGGTTGGCGTTATGGGGTTGGTGTTCTCAGATAGGAGACAGTGAAGACTGTCAGCACGTTCCACAGATGAACGGAGGACGTGCAAGTTTATGTGACGCTCTTGCAAAGATGCTGAGAGGTTATGTCGGTAGAGAGCAATCGCAAGGTGAATCGCAGCTCGTAGAAATTTGAGTGACCAGGGCCTGGTGCCTCCAGGGACTTTATCAGGAGTGCCGGGGTTGGTGGTTTCAGGATCGCCCGCTGGTGCAGGAGAGCAGGAGATCAAGCGCAGATGGGTAGATGTTTGAGAGACTTGAGACCAGCCCCAAAATATTCAGAACACAAGCAAGTTGAGAAAAGGACGAGTGAGGGGGATGGGAAGGGCAAGAGTAGTTAACACCACGCGGAGTGATGACGGTACTGCGGGTGCTGCTACGATCGATGGCCGGGTTATGTAAGCGGACTCGATTCCTGGAGGTTTTTGTTGGATTTGTTGGATACATAGCAGCCTGGCCCGGACAGAACACTTTTAGATGAGCCAAGGGGAGGCTTAAGGAGATATTCAGACATGATTTCATTACCTAAGAGTACCTGGTTGGATAATCTTTTGGTCGGTTTTATCGGCGTGATCACTCCAAGGTGGGTGCTACTTCCATTTCAAGACCGAGTACTGAACTACACAACACAATACACTAGGGCAGATATCGAGGCGGATAAGGAATTCACCATGTCTCCTAGTACCCAGAAATGGTAGATAGAGAATGATTTCCATATGTCACAGAATTTTTTATCATACAAAATCATCATCGTTATCCCTCCATCCTACTGGAAGTATGCCCATCTCATCCTCTCTACAACCCGCAGCTGCTTCTCCACGCCACTCTGGACATCGAGCAGGTCTTGGACATCCTCTCGGAATTCCCGGTATTGAATACCTCCCAGGACCAGTCTGATCTTCTGGAGAAGTGCTTCGGCCTCGCAGATGAGTCGACCGGACTCCTTGTAGGACATTGTCCCGTCAGACGGCCGGGCGGATGTGATAATACGGGTGACATTCCTGATTCGTCAGTTCATTGCGAACCTCACTATTTCCAAGGGTGGGATGTGCTTACCGTAGTCCCCGACGAATCTCATGCCTTTTCTTCCCCCTCTGTAGACCACGACGGTTGCCAAAGAGTCCAATCAGCCAGCGTAGAGAAGCATACGAAACCAGAATTCCAGGTGTGAGACCAACGAAACTAGATGGAACCCGTTAGTTCATGCGGAAAGGGCCAATTTCATAGGAAAGAGAAAATAAAATCAAAAGTAGGGAGGACAAGGAGTAATATGTACCCAAAGACGAGTTCTTGACTCTTCAGAAGAGCATCAATACCACTGATGGCGATTTCAACATCGACCTTGGTCTTCTGGATCTGGATCAAAAGAGCGCGCACCAAGTCGCCGCGGACAGTGCCGACAAAGGGTGTTCGGAGGTCTCGCTCATAGGCTTTGAGGACTGGAGTCAAGTCGCCTTCCTTGACGGCGTTCGCAATGGCCGTGGTGTCTTCCACAGGTAGTTGCCCTTGGCTAGTGTCGGCGCGGTCACGGACAAAATCAATGACCATCCGTTCCAGACTCGCCCGGTCGGCCACCAAGCTGTTCTTGCTCATGATGGCAATCTCACTTTTCTCATCGTGTCGAATGGTTCCGATCAGTTTGCGAATGGGATCCACCACCCAGTTTCCTCCAAAGTCAATAATGGTAGAGCCAAAATCTATGATCCATTGTAGAATCTGGTCTTGCCGATGAGCCAAGAACTTCAATGATGCACTTCCCGATAGGATCGCCAGTGACACCGGGATCCAATACCGGGTCACTCGTGAAGGTCGACCATGCAAAGCGACAAACGTGGACATCGAGGATGTATGAGCGGGAAGGTGATCCCGAAGAAGAGAGACCAGGCGCTGAATCAAATCCGCTGGGGTTTGCGTGGAGTACAAACCATTGTCGAGCATGTGCATACCGGCCTGGTCCTCTTTAAGAGTCGTGACCACTCGCTCCTCAAAGCCGACCACATTTGACTGGTTGATGGCCTGATGAAGGATGGTTTCTGTGAGGATCACAATCCGGGAGACTGTCTCTTGCCACTGAGCCCGAGACAATTGCGCGCCCTCCACGGCCGCATCCTCAGTTTGAAAGGCATGCCAACTTTCCATAAGCAGACCTAGGCTACTAGTATGGATGTCCGTCATGGCCACGAGGCGGTCTCTTTTTTGGCGAGCCTCAGCGCGACAAGATCGGATTGGAGAAGACCAATTGAGTCGGAGAGGAGACTCCGACATGCTTTGTCGAGCAATTTGGTAGAATTGCGCCCATCGGGCAGCCAAGGATCTGGAGAGGGATGCGGAGGAGGCGTTTCGGATTGAAGGAAGACCCTTAGTCCAATGCCAGAATCGTGTAGGTGCTGTCTGGGCCGTGTAGAGACCGCTATTCCATACCGACCCGAGCACGTCGTTCCAGTAGTAAGTCTCTTCCTGAAGTCGGAGCGTCTGGTCCAAAAGGGAGTGCATCACCAAGCCTGATGCCTGGACCGAGGCTTTGGCAGCAACCAACCACAGATAATCCGACACATGCTCCTCAGCCTGAGATTCAGTGTCAATCTGGACTTCTGCGGCGACGGGGAATTGACGCGTCAAGGTAGGGTCTGCAAGCAAATCTGCCAGACGAGTGGCTGAAAGGAAGGGCTGGGTCTTGGAAGTCACCGAGATGGATCCGATGACATTTTGCAGGCGACGAACGTGTACCGGAGGGGCATCTTCGGTATACAGAAGCTTCTCCGGCCGGGTTATCTGCTGTTGCAATTGGTCGAGTTGAATATTCACGCCGCAGGCCGTTCTAGATGGATAGGACGAGTCAGCCTGTACAGCAATGAAGGGATCAGATCATCTCGGAGGGGGAGAGAAAGCAAGACACTTACTCCTGGACAATCGACATGGCGCCTAGCGGAGCGTCGACCAGGTCCGACTACTACGTCGGCGCGTCGGCATTTACATTATTAGGGTGGGCGCATTATCGTATGTCGTCATGGTGCAAACCAGGCAAACTAAAAACTCCCAGATCCTGGTTGAGCGAGTTTATGTAATCCGTACAAACAGTGCAAACAGCAATCTTCTCGCGACTCTCTCGTACTCGAAAGTACACGGTACTCTACGGTCCAATCCCGAGTGGGATGATCAATTTGTTATAGTACGGAGTATGTAGTACCGAGTAGTATCATTAATAGTCTACTTTTTACTGGTCTGATGATAAACGGAACGCTCGGAACCGGTGTTGGATGACCCTTGATCATGATCATGATTACGATCATGACACCCCAGTTGAGCTGTACTATAACTGGATATCGCGGGGTAGTTAGATCATGAACGGTAGAGTACTAGAGATAGAACACTGCCCTGCCCACTCTCTGTGTGTTTCTAGCAGTAGAGGTAGAGTAGACCAACAAATGTAGCATGAGTAATTAGAAAGAGATAACTAGTATCGACCAGCAATATACACAAGTATAATATATAGAGACACTCCCCACTGGCTAGTTATCTCACACATGCTTATCAGATTACATACAACTCTCATCTGCTTACCTACAGCCCTCGTTTCAGAGGCACCGGAGCCAAGGACGCTCCGCATGGGCTGAGCAGTGGACAGGCGATCTCGGCGGGGGCCTCTGTTATGCGCAATCCTGTTTGTATGGCGTGAGTCCTGACTGGGCCACTGAGGCTGGGGCCTGGCGAGGTGGGCAGAAACCAACCAGAGACCCGGAAATTCCGCATTATTTCCATTCTTCGTTTGGTGGAGACTCTCGGATGGTGATCGGGTCGCCAGTGGCCTTACCCAGTTGTTCAGAGTTAGCAGCCCGATGGTTGGTTGATTCTAGTGCAAACACGACAAACTGGCCTCGCGGAGTCCTGCGGTTTTTCAGGGGAAATTGGGAAATTGGGAAATTCGTGAAGGTCTCGCCACTTCGGGAATGGCCCGTCCTGTTCGCCGAACAATCCATCCTAATTTAATTATCTGCAACTCTTCTCCCTTTTCTCCTTCCCCTTCTTGACAGGTCGGTGTTGCTTTAATTATCACCTCTCCCACTTCTTTTCTACTGGAATTTGGAACAATCAAATCCTCTATTCTCCCCCAATCTCATCTGGTGATACCCTTCATACGGGAAAAAAAAAACACAATGTACGTGAATCAATCTCCTTTCGGCCACTTCTGCCTCTCTCCTTCCCGCGCAGTACCATCGAGATCTCCCATACTAATCTGCCCTCTTGGAACGTGTATAGGAACTCGACCGTGCTCTCTTCGACCACCTACTGGGGTCAATTCGAGGAGATTGGCAAGTACAATGCCAACCTGAACGTTGCCGAGCGCTTGTGGGCGGCCTGGTACGCGTGGATGCAGAACGATGTCCTGGCCACCGGTATCATGTCTTTCATGATGCACGAGTTGGTCTACTTTGGCCGCTCGTTGCCTTGGATCTTCATCGACAGTCTGGGTTTGTTCAAGGGTTACAAGATTCAGAGCGTAAGTACCGATTGGAGTTCCTGCATTTGTCCTCGGTCAATTGTCACCTTCAGGGATCGATTTGCTAATCCCTGGATAGAGCAAGATTCCCTCTTTGCGCGAGCAGTGGGACTGTGCTAAGTTCGTGCTCCTGAGTCACTTCACCGTGGAACTTCCTCAGATTTGGTAAGATTGAACCTGAACACCTCGTCCATTCGGACCTGGGTGGCGACTCTGAGCTAACAGCCCTTTTCTTCTTCATAGGCTCTTCCACCCAATGGCTCAATTCTTTGGTCTCTCGACTTCGGTACCTTTCCCCTCCCTCTGGACCATGGCTTACCAAATCGCGATCTTCTTCGTGATGGAAGATACCTGGCACTACTTCTCCCACCGTGCTCTGCACTGGGGTCCTCTCTACAAGGCCATTCACAAGATTCACCACCAATACTCGGCGCCCTTCGGTCTGGCTGCCGAATACGCCTCCCCGATCGAGGTCATGATCCTCGGTTTCGGAACCGTCGGCTGCCCAATCGTTTGGTGCGCCTTCACCGGTGACTTGCACATTCTAACCATGTACATCTGGATTGTCCTGCGTCTCTTCCAGGCCATCGACGCGCACAGCGGCTATGAATTCCCCTGGAGTCTTCACCACTTCCTGCCTTTCTGGGCCGGTGCGGATCACCACGACCTCCACCACGAGAAGTTCATTGGCAACTATTCCAGCAGCTTCCGCTGGTGGGACTACGTTCTGGACACCGAGTACACCCCCGATGCGCTCAAGCGCCGGAGGGAGCAGGCGCCCGCAAAGAAGGCTCAATGAGCCGACTTGGGTACCTCTCATTCTAGAGAAAGCCGACCTACTGGATTAACTTCTCGTTACTCTGAGTGGGGCATGGCTTTTTCTTCATTTCCTTTCTCCTATCCTCTAGTCTGCCTTGCCGATACCACGAGGGTCACGGGTGCAATAACAGGTTTTCACCCCGACAATGAACCGTCCACTTCGCGGAGACATTTGGCACCATGCCACAGCGCGATATAAATCGTGCATAATCGGACAGCCTCCCAGCTATCCAGACCTATGTGTATAGCATGCTCTCGTGCGATGCGGCGGCGCGATCCCCAATAATGTTCTAATGTACCTACTTAATTTCGTGATGAATTCCCGGTGCCAGTGTCCGGGTCACTATGATCTGCATCTTAGAAATTTGACATATATAACTTAATAGTCTCTGGTGCGCAGCTGTTATAAAGATTCCCTCGGTAGTTGTGTATTAGATTACAGTGAATTGGCCTATATCTGGTAACATCGGTTTGAGAGGTGGGAATACGTCATGTTGTTCAAGAGTCTAGCGAACTAGACTGATAATTAGAGACGAGAGCTGATGTGGCTACAGAATAATTAATACTATTCAAAGCGACAGATAGCAAAGGTGAAGAAAACTTCTACTTTGTCTACCTGATTGAATAATCAATAGCACCGTCGAGTCAGGTGAGATCATTGCATTCCTATAGATGGGAGACTGATGATTATAAAATGAGAACGATCCTCTAGGGTATGGGGTTGTTACTGTTCGCGCCTAGCTTAACAAGCCAAAAAGACCAAATATGGCAGAACATGAGTTCAGTCATGTCTGGGAACGACGTAATAAGCGCACATGACGTTAGTGAGACAGTTCTAATCCTAGCAAATTGGTGGATGACATGACGGAGGCAAAAAAGAAATACGATGTTCCCTCGAACCGGAATCGAGCCGGTGACCTTTCGGTTATATGATGATCCATTACAGCCGAACGTGATATCCAACTACACCATCGAGGGTTTAATCGTGTTTGAAGAGAGCATTATTGAGTCTATGAACTTTCTCTGTGTAACCTGATGAAGATAACTGCTATTCAAGGACCGCTTGCTTTAGTTGGGTTCTAAACTTCAGACTTTCTTGTCAAATATGAAACAATTAACAAGAGCCAGAGATGGAACCTAGGCTATCAAGAAAAACAAATGAATCTACCTTCTAGAAAGACCTTTCAAATAATTGGAGGAAATCACGTTTAACTAACTATTCCTCGTGTCTTTCTTTCCATGCGAATTTTCAGCTTCCACTGTACAACCAGCGTTTAGGCAGTAGTATAGGCAGCAAAAATTCTTCAACACTCCCTCGAACCGGAATCGAGCCGGTGACCTTTCGGTTATATGTGATCCATTACAGCCGAACGTGATATCCAACTACACCATCGAGGGTTTGGTTGTGGTGGGGCCTTGAAAATTCTGCGTTATACAGAAGATTTAATTTATCCGTATAGGGATTTCTCCTCCATACTATCGCTATACCCTACCCGCACTAAGAAACCTTTAATATAGAATGTTAGGTCTTTTCCCTCTAATGGTCGATTAGTGTGGATCGTCTAGACGATAGGGGTACCAAAGACTAGTCTAGCACACAGCCTTCGCGTTAAGGGGATTTTCGGGAAGTTCTTAGGTATGGTACCACATGTAATGTATGCTTTAATAAGTCAGATTGGATCTTTTTTCCTACGGCGTATAGGAGAGAACCTCACACCGAGCTTGAAATATATAGGGTATCTACAAAGTAAATGACAAGGTTGCCTCCGGACCCCTAGACCTTCTGCTCTTTCCCCAACCTTCAGAAATTGAAGTAGATCGATATAAACATCGCGAAAGATACTTATGGACTGAACGCATGAATAATATAATATTAATTCTGCTCACATTTAGAGCCAAAAAGGCTTATTCTTTTTTGATCTCAAGCTTCCTTATGGTTTTTGATCCATAGGAACGGACTGCCACGGAGAGAAAGCGCAGTACGGAGTTGTACCACCAGCCGGCTTGGTAACCGAAAAATAACGCCTCTTTGGGGCTGATCCCACCTGAATTTGAGGTTCCTGACGGTTTACAGGGACAGTAGATGAAGGCCGCAGGTTCGGCAGGAGGCCCTGGCGATAGTCATCAACAGGCCACAGATTGGTGCGGGCAAAAAGTACAAGGATGACATAAAAGCAGAGGCGCCACGGAAGTCCTGTAGGTAAAAGGTGGTTAGCTGTTCGCTTGTATTCAAGGTATTCCAGACCAAGAAAATAGTAGTCGTAAAAGGCGAGTTTGTCCATATCATGGTCGGAATTAGGGCTGGGCGGCAGAGATGAGCCTGTCGGCGCATCCACAGACCGAAGACAGGCGAGAGTATTACTGCTGTGCATAATATTGTAATATGTAGTAGTTTATATAATTCGTTTTCAATCACTATCCTATTTGGCATTCTTCAGTGGTCACTTAAGGAAGGCAAAGTTCAATATTTCCCTTTCCCATCTGGCAGACGATCAGGTGACAGTCGAGTCTTGGCAGGAGACCCTGTAGTAACTACTGACTGCGGCAAACTCCTCAGTCTCACTTCACTTAGATTATTATCTGCAGCGATACTACCTCAAAGAAAATGGCACACCAAGCCCATAATATCCCATGGAGTTTGCTGGCATCAAATCTCCACTGGAGCACAACCTCTCGGCGTGCCCGTAGCGTCACAAATCTCCGCCCTAGCATGAAACCGGACCAAGGCAAAGAGCTCACTTACTTCATCGAAGCGTTTATTCGAACCATCGATGACCACTCACTATGCGAGCGCAAGAAATATCCCTCGGTATATGATGTGGTTGATTCCACGGAAGTCATTCTTGACTCGGCCACTGTTCAGAGAATTACCCCTACTGTCCGTAAATGGCGTAGCTATGGATTCGGAGGCAGATGCCCCAGCGGAATTTGCAAGGTAGCTCAGAACAAGGAAGATTGTCAATGCATTCCAATCCCAAATGAAGAGAGAACGGCGTCGGCATTTCTCCGGCCTCCTGGTCCGAGAGATTGCTACCGGTTCTTCAATTTGAACCGTGAAGCGTTCTTCAATGTCGAAGTGGTGAAAACTTTGCTTTTGCACGGGGAGATGGACACTATCCTGCGCGTGTGCGCTCTGCCTGGAGTGAGTCCACCGCAATGGTGGCCTGACAGCGAGTGCATGTGTGAGGTGAGTCCTTGGATGCGTGCTTGGCTGCAAGAAGCCCGTTGAAAATCTCGTTTCTCGAAGACATGATGCATTCCTAGTTCAAAAACAATTATCGCATATACTGACTAGTATAGGATGCCGTACTCGGATGGGATCAAATATGCATCAAGGCCCTTAGAGCCTATATATGCCTGAACACTATTCACTGCTTCCCAGAAATATGGGATAACGCTTCCGGCAGAACCATGGAGATGGACTACCGCAGCAGCAAGTTCTATCAATTTACGCTGAGAACATGCACGGGCACGGGGCAACCATCAGAAGTGAGCACATATCCGCATCGGCAATTCTTTGGGATAAGCGACGACCAATTCCAAGGCGAAAACGATTATCCCTTGTTCAAGAGCGCACCCTGGTTACAATGGGCGGACTTCAAGCATCAGGGCACCGGGTACCACCGACGCCGGGTCGATCATTATGGAAAGGTGCCCATTAACGAGTTTCTCACCTTGGAGAATGAAACGTCAGCGGGCCACCAGCCAGGTACGCTTGAGGTAGTACTGGTTCGGGACTACTTATATCGGAAGGGTCTACCGGCGGAGCTGGTGTTGAACGTCATGGAGCTCGCTGGGTATAGACCGGTAGGGCGACTGAGAGAGCCCCATGATCCCGTTCCACCCATCAAACCGCCAGGAATTTTCTCGCTACCTCACATATTGTTGGCGATTGCTAGTCCACCTTGACATGATGGCTAATGCCCTTGGCATGGAATTTCCATGGAAACAACTTATTGGCGACTGTATTACTGATTTCTGGGCTGATGAGCGCTGTGGACAAGGGACCTTCTTTTGGTATCCTGTGAATGAGTACGGTGGCAGAATGCCTCGGGTTTTTATCAAGCCTTAATCTATAGGCTCGAAATCGGAGGGCTGAGAACACGGTTTTGGGGGCAGATTTAGGCCAACCTATGTTGACTCAAATCTGTAAGGAATCCAAGGCAAGCATGACAATCAAAAAATTAGGCAGGTGCTATTATATGATCAATAGGCCACATCTGAACTCCACGTGAAGATTCACAAGCAGTAAGATGCGGTGCTACTGGGATGTGTTTAGCCTCTCCTACGGCTTTAATCCTACATACATGTGAGCAGACTAAACATGGTTAAAATCGTATAAAACTCAACTCGGTAATTATGGTTTAATTCAGCAACCTGGCAGTGCTTACTCCATTATTATGCCTCTTGGAGCGAATAGAGGCTATTTTTTTCCATAGCGCCGCTATCAAATTTGCCGAAGCCATATCGCCTATACAAGTCATTCAGCCCTTCAATCTTCCCCGTCGTACTATCTATATCAGCCACTTCCTTCAAATCCTCTCGAAGGCCAGATGAGTAGATAACATATGGGATCATGGTGGCGGTGTGAGTCGGCATTATGGGTAATAGCTTGCGCTTCAGCCAGCTGAAGTGGTACCCAAGCACCAGATGGACCGCTAACACGAAAGCGATCAGGAGTGTAGATCCTGTAGCTGCTGCGAGGTCGCTCTCAAAGGTGGTTGATCTGTATGACGATGCGGAGAGCTGTAATGAACCGAGGAAGATCGTTAAGATAGTTGTTGCCAGAGAAGCGAGCATTGAGTTGCAGACAAGACAGCGCCCGTTTCTACCGGCGACTCAGGCCTCCCATGGTGGTATATTGCTGGTGTAATCTGCCCATAGAATATTGAGACGATGGTAGTCCTGCGGGTAGTCCTGCGCGAGAGCGTAAAATGGCGCAAGGGATCGCACGGCGTGGTCGATCACGTCGACGATTAACTAGATACTATAGTTAGTCGGGCCCAGGGCGAAGCAGCGCGAGAAAAGGGACAGAGGTGCAAGCTCACCTGGACCAAAATACCCACGATCTGGTAAACCCTTGGATCGATTGAAATGCCGTACTTCCACTTGAGCTTGCCGTCGATGAGGTGAAATTCTGAGGATGCGAACTTTTCCTCTATCTTCGAGAGTGACAAGCTGCTGGAGCTGGACGGCAACTTTAAGCTAGCAGCATCGAACTCTTCTAGGAGATCCACTAGGCCGGCAATGCCTCTGACGCCCCCGGAAAGACCAGTCTTCTGCGAGTGAATGAGAATGAAGAGGACCAGACAGCAATTCTCCGCCACAGCCAAGGCCCCGATTAGTTTATAAGCCCAACCGTGCTCGACGAGAGCTACCTGCCAGGAGTACGTATCTGGCCAGTCAAGTGCGGCGCCAGAGTACACTTCCCAGCAGAAGACTTAATTTCCGAACACCGGTATCAAAATTGTGGCCAGGATATTCCCTTGGCTCGAGATAGCGACAGACCAAAGCCGGTATCTGAGGTCTGGAAGTGGCTCAGCGGCGCCCAAAACGTGTGGTAATTAAGACACAAAGACCGGTCACCTGTCGTCCCGTTTGGCTTTTGCAGCCGATAATACATGTCAATGCGCTTGATGTCGTCGTCAAGAACCTTCCACATGCGGCCGTAAAGAACCGCCAAGAGCATTGGAAGATAGGTGAAGGCCGAGTAGACGCCACGACCTAATCTTTGGGCTCCGTTCTTCTGGCTCCAAACACCATCGAGAGTTATAGTAAAACGACAAAGACCCCGGGGCGGTCGGTCGAACGTTGGCGACCTGATAATTCTCGAGTTGAATGGGTCCCCTGTCCAGGGCCCGCTGGAGACGGAGCCACCAGACCAGTCTATCTCATCTACATCAGCATAGAGAATTGTATACTTGGCAATAGGTGAACTTACGCTGGACAAGCGGATCTGGCTGCTGGCTCCTCCACTGAAGGAATACAACGAGGGCGATGAGGCCCACTGTGATGCAGCTGATAAAAGCCAAATATGTGGAGTTGAATGTCCATGGTCGCCAGTCCTTATTTTGAGGCCTTTTTGAACCTTTTAGCCGCGCAAGGAGCTTGAAAAGCCCAGACGGCAGAAGTGTGAGGAAAGGAACCAGCAGCAAGGCGATCAAGACTACTTCGACCAGGTACTCGTAGAAGAACCGACCATATAGCCACGTCCCGTACGGAGGCGTAAACAGCGGCCAGAGAAATTGGTGAACATGGGCTTGCTGTGGTTTGCGAATCCTGTAGTGCTAAAAGAGAATGAGCCAGAGACATAGCGTTAAATGATTTGAAGGCTCCTTACTTGCCACCAATCACCTTGGATATACCGTCCGGAACGAGGTATCCTACAGTATTGTATTTGTAGTCCACAGGCGCTAGCAATGATATATCGTAGTTGACAGGGCCGGAGGAAGAGACCATGAATGGTTTTTGGGTGTCCACCTTAAGCAGGCAACCGCCAAACATCAGCAAGAACCTTGAATTTAGGAGGCAGGAGCTCCCAGCAGTGGGGTAGTTCGGGCAAAATTTGGATTGATCTGCGCTCTGAGCCAGACAGCACTATAAGGCTCATGCCATTAATGACGAAAGCAAAATCTACGGTGAACTGATAGGATGATATCGTACCTCGGAAGGCTCAAGACCCAGGCGTCGGCAAGGGCCGTGACATCGTTTGTCCGCCAATCAGGACGATGTTGTGTGAGGGTTTATCCTGGGAAGATCCAGAAGCCACGCAGGCGGACATTTGCCAGGATGGGAAAGTCTAAGGGGGATCGAGATTCTTCCCATCAGCTTGTGCGACGTCATCAATAGCATCTCCGTTCAAGTCAGTACCGGTTTGTACAATCCATTCTTGCGATTCGATATCAAACACGTATATTGACGACATCCGGGCCTAGTCAGGTATCAGCCGGCAATCTCGTCGAATACTACACGCAACACCTGCTTTCACCTCACCAGAGACAATGTCCCGTTCCTCTCGACATAACCTCCTAAGGCCACTAGAGCACCGCTACGCGTCGCCGTGTTGAGAATCACGAGGCTCTGGTTGACCACGGGCACAAAGTCTGGAACAGGGATGGTCGACATCGTCTCTTGCTGCATATTGAATACGGTGAGGAAGTGAAGGTAGGTAACCGAGGACTCTGTCACAGTGTTTCCTCCAGTCCGAGTTATGCCTCCCCAGTAATAGCCTTTCTGTAGGTCCGGGACATTGCAGCTGGCGCCATGACTTGGGCGACTGTTGGTAACATTTTCTCCTGCGTCGAGTTCGGTCCACCCACTACCAACACCGCCCTCGTCCATCTCGAAGTGCCAAAGATCGTTCTTCAGCGATTGGTTCTTGTGCAATGGCATCTCACAGAACAGCCAGGCGCGATCGACCAGGTTGCTCCAAATGAAGCCAAATGAAGCCAAATGAAGCCAAATGAAGCCAAATGAAGCCAAATGAAGCCAAATGAAGCCAAATGAAGCCATTAGAGACGAAGGGAGCGTTTGACGGCCTAGAGGAAGTCTTCCCAGGTGGACTGATGAAGTCTAAAGTCAAGTTGGCCAGAAACTCTGGGACTGTTCATCGCGTTAGTTCTAAAGGTACTTTCGCATCGTGAATTTCTTCTTGCCTCAACCCAGTGCTGTGCCGTTTTCATCAACGTAACGACCACCGTCGACCCATAGGGTCTCCATGAGTGTGAAGCCTATACGGGGACACATAAGCCCCAGAAACGTCAAGCAGATCGATCATTATATACTTTGCAATCCCACCCTCTGAGGCGACTGTTGTACGTTTGCCCCGGTGCTGAGATCGCAGAGGATCACGGCGGATATTCAGGCGTTGCTGACCAGGTTGGCACGCATTGTGTCGCCGTATTGGAAGGCCTCGGATGTATGATGTCTCGAGCTGGCGATCTGCTGGCCAATATCAGGAGCTAGATTTGGAATCAACAGAAATAAGAGAAGGTTTGGTTTGTCTTGGGCCAAATGAAGACCAAGACGAGAGGTTCAGTAAATAATGGGGCGCGGTGTGGGCCAGGGTCTATGGATAGTTTGGATACAGTATGGTGATAAAGGGGGAAAAGGTCCCATCCGATATGACCTCCTTTTGGCACTGTAGAGCAGTCATTGGTGGGATCCGTGACTCACTCCAATTTGCAACAAGCCCGGCAATCATTGAATTATGCTCCGGCAACGATAGCCAGGCTCATCAGTTTTCTCGCGTCCGCAATGCTCGCCTGATAATGAGTAATATCATCCCCGATATGCAAGAACCTGCTACCGAGCCATACTGCATTCGGTATCCAGAACCTGCATCGGTATCCATCGATGCGCTATCAAGTCGGCCGCGCATGTGCTGCTGCTTGGTATACGTATCTTTACAAAGAATTGGATCTTCTGCCAAACGTATCTATTGCTGAAGAAGCCCGCAATGCTGCCGAAGATGCCGACATCTACAAGATTATTATGTCGGCCCCTCAAAGATGGGCTGTTATGGATGATTTTACTCGATCGGTGAATCTTGAAAACCCGCCGGCACCCGCCTTTCTCAATGGCAATATGAAGTTCCGACGGGCTTTGGGCCGGCGGGTTCTTCCTCCCAAGAACTTGCCAGATACAACCGCAGATGATATTAACATTGAGGAAGATGGATTTATTGGGTTGAAAGAACAACTCAGCAAAGTAGATCGCGATGCGATAGTCGGCCCAGGTGCGAAACTTGGCCCAGGAGACTCTGAGCATTTGTGGATGCCTCTTCCGCCTGATCTTCCAGTTCTTGACAAACGCCCTCCAACGCAAATGGCTGCAGGGAGGGTAATGTGGATAGATACGCTCGATTGATGCATCCACGGAGGCTCAGGACGGAAATTGAATACAATTGTATCCTTCGCGGGATTTATCACCATACAATTTTTGCCCGATTGTAGGCCTATCAACTGGAGACCAACCCTGGGCGAATCATTCTCCCAGGTAAATTGCTCAACGAAGGCAATGAGCGTGAGTGTCGCGAGATTCGCACTGGGATAAATGCTCGCAAAATCATGAACAACGATATCTCTGACCTTGAAGATGACTCTGACTGCCTCCCTTGGCTTATCTGGTGGCCGGTAGAGCTTAATGAGAACATTTTGCGTGAGCTTGCTAGCAAGTGTCCGTCCATGAGACACCAAATTGCGATCACCGCCATACTTTGTGACTACAAGTCACTTTTCTGGTCGTTGAAGCCTCTTCCACACGAGTCCTTCTTCGAGGCTGCTAAACAAAGCAGAAACACGTTCTACCTTGTCAGGGAGCGTTCCATTAGAAGCAGAGAAACCTCAGAGTTCGGCCCTTATAATACCACCTGGGAAACAAGTTTACAGCCTGATTTGGAGCCTAGAGATTCTTCTGCTCACTCTTCTATCCAATTTTCTGATATGGCTGTTCCTTGGGGGCAGCATCCCAGAGACGAATGGGGCTCTCCTGGAATGTATGGCGGTCAGCCGGCTGACCCGGGTGTTGTGGAGAGATACATGTGGCTGTCAACTGAAACTGCGCAGAAGATCCAAGACGAATCCAGCGGAATCTACGACGATAGCGCGGGTACTGGCTACTTGTATATTGAAAATGATGATTCGGAAAACGAACTTTGGCTGAAGCTCTCACGTCCTCTAAAGCGTATGACATCCTTCGAAATGAAAGACTTGGGGGACAAAAGCTAGTTATATCGAATGATTTAATTCTCTCGGACCTTTGTTTATTTCAAACATTGCCGTCCTGTCATAGCTCTTTGGATTACATCTCTATAGCAAAATATCGCTTGGATTAGCCGCTCTATATTAGAGTCCCTTGCTAAATAAAAATTCAATTTGAATCTAGGTAGAGGTTGAAAATCCCAAAACAGTAGATAATAGAGCGTCGTAGGTTGTACTGATTTATATCGTGGGAAGAATTACACTAGGCTTAGCTCCTTTCTAGGAAATCGGTCTACTCAATTGATAGCTCATGACGCCAGGAACTGCCGCCTTTCCACCCGGAACTTCCAGCGGCAAGCCATCACCACTTATCTACAATATTGAATAGCGTTACAATCAATAATTGACTGCACATAAGTGCCAGTATTTGCTAAACGAACACAAGGAGGTAGCATAATCAAATTTGATGGCGATCTATCGCCACTTCGCAAGGAAGCCAGAGAGAGGAACAATCTAGTTCGAATACGTGAACAACCTCTGCAGAAGAAGAAGAAGAAGAAGAAGAAGAAGAAGAAGAAGAAGAAGAAGAAGAAGAAAGGAAACAAAGAAGGGAAGGCCTATATAGGCCGAAGCAATCAACCTGGCCCTGGAATCATCCTCTAGGAGAATCCCGAGCAGGGATCTCCCTATCGGATCTCCTTCAAAGTTCAATCCCAAACCCCCACCTACCACCGAAGTGTACGGACTCTACTTACTACCCTTCCAATCCCAGGCCCATGCAGCCTGCCGGACCATCTCAATGTCGCTCCCCTTCCACCTCTCAATCATACCGAGTGTACGCTCATTCAGTGGCACCTCCGCTCTATGTGCAGTCTCCAACAGCAGCACTGCCAATTTCACTCGGACCCAGACCTTGACGAGCCTATCTCGATTATCCCCATCATCGAAGTCTTCCCCAAGCAGCAGAGCACAATCCTCGCGTTGATCCTGGCGGACCTCTCTCAAAATTGGCGCAAAGGAATCCACCTTGATCAGTAACACGGGGTCTGCGGCGTATTTGGATATCATTCCAATGATTCCCGAAACAAAATCTCCCAACGCCGAATTTGATGGAAGTGGGCTCCGCGACGGCGAGGGAAGCATCTGAACCTCGTATTCAAATGTGGCTGGGACGGCTACTAGATGAGTGCTTAATTCTGGCGACCATCCTTCTTTCCGGACCAGTTCGGCTGCCTCCACGATACTCATCATGAGCTTGGTGGCATTGCTATAACGCGAGGGGAAATGAACACCTAGATCTCCTCTTGCCTTCCTCAATCTCTGCAGAATACACAACGTATAACTCGGATGAACGCTGTATCTCCCCAGTTGATGGTTGTATGCGACTGGACACTTCGAGAACAGTTCGACACGAGATCTGAAGTCATCAAGTAAGATCTCATCCGTGATGCCGTTTGGAACTTTGCTATCCATAAGGAAACAAGAACGATAGGTATAATCGAAAGGACATCGATCACGCTGGGACCTGAGAAGGGCTTGCAAATGATCTCGCACATTGGCGTCTTCTTTTATTGGGTCCGTGGACGACGCGAGCGCTTCGGAGATCCGATTAAAAGAGTCACGGTGCAAGTACATTAGGCCCCAGCTATGATGATACTGCAAGTAGGTCGCCGGGAGGTAGCGTGCCCATTTGCGGAGGACATTGTTGATTAGGTCAGAAGGGAAAGGACCGATGTCCGCGGCGGTTAGACCGAGACCTGAGAGTGAAAGACCGAGCCTTGCGAGCAAGACGGTCATCCATCGGGTGTGTTGCCGGATAGACTCTGTCACCACACGCAGCACGACTTTTTGAACATAATCCGAATGCAATTCTTTCGGGACGTTTGTGGCTGCATCCGAGATAATCAAATCTAGGATCGGACGGGAGCTCGAGACTAGAGGCAGAGAGGCTCCAGCCTCCGCTGCCCGCCAGCTATCCTCAGTGATAATGTGCCTCTCACTAGGTCCTACCGCCGACGACAAGGCAATAGTGGACAAGGCTTGGAATACATCATCATTCTGATTCGGGCGAATCAGGTTGAAAAAAGCTTTGACTATCTCCACACGGACGTCAATATGACTGCTGGCACCGTACATGCTGCGGAGGAGATGTAGTTGAGTAGATGGTGCAAGAAAATCTGCCTCGGCAAGAGCCTGTACGAGCATCTTTGCTGTGGTGATCTTGACAAACGGCTTTGCTGGGATGTCACCCGGTTCTCGCTGCCTTTGGAGTGTATCACACACATCCATAACAAAAGTCTGCATTAGGTCGCCGGCTTGGTCTGGCGTAAGGATTCGTCCAATCTTCACAAGGTTCATCTTGCGATGGCTTGAAGAATCATGAGGGAATTCCTTCCATACTCTCAATGCCACTCCTGTCATCAGCTGGGGCTGACTGCTGTGCAATAGTAATTTGATCAACTCAAACGTACAATGCAAGAGCTTTGGATAATTGGGAGCATTCGGCGATGCTTTCAGCGTATCCAAGAAGGAATAGATGAGATCTCGCAGTATCTGAGCTGGTACATGCTGAACAGCCCCCTCCAAAGCGACGAGCGTCTTTGTCATGACCTCATTCCCCTCCGGCTTAATCACTCGCGTTACAAACTCGTCAGATAGATTTGTTGGTCCGTAGCGTGGACCTTCGGCCTCAGGGAAACCCGTCCCTAAGAGCCGTGGCTGTGAGGTGTAGTGGTCTAAAATTAGCAGGGCTGACAAGATCACTGCTTCCCGGCGGTTGACACAAAGATCCTTGCTTCCAGCAGTATATGAAGAGTCATCGAGCCAGAATCCGATTGGACCGAGCTTTGATTGCGGCTTTATCTCTCGGGTGCGAACAAATGATTCATCGCCGATCCGCATTGGGAGGTGCATGCGGTAATTGAGAAGGATTCAAGGTATTTCTCTTGGCCTTTTCTCATTCACTAAGGGCACACCAAGTTCCATATCCTCGGCATCTTGGTGTGGATTCCATTTTGTTACCTCCGGTACCATTGGAACTTTCGATATCAACGATATGCGTGGTGATGAAGGAGGCCGCACAATATTGATTGCTTCAACTGCACAACCATCTCGAAGAACACCAACGAGCCAATCCTCGAAAATCTCAAGGTGCAACAGCTGTGTCTGAAGGATCGAGGAATAATGCTTCCAAATAAGTGTGACCGACTTGGTCTTGTCTGCTTCGCGCGAAACCATGGCACGAATTGCATATCCCAAGTCATCCACAAACATGGGAATGGGCCCGAGCGGATGTGTTTTCGCGGCGACGACGATATCCCGTGGGCTGAATAAGATTTCGCTGAGCCTAGACGACAGAAATGGTGCTTCTTCAGGACGCTCCAAGGCATGGTACAGCCATGTTGAGTCCATAACCAAACGCTGGATTGGAAGCCCTCGAGGCCAACAGGGCTCTAATGTGGAGATATCTGGGGTATTGCGAGCACGCAGGTCTTTCCAAAGCTTATCCCTTGCTTTTGCCAGTCGGTCCATAAATGAAAGGTCGACTCGGCTAGGGCTGCTAGGGCACTCGACATTCCCCATTGCTCCCGCTGGACCGCTCCAGGAGAAGACTGCCTGGCCTTGTATGTTTCCTTCACGCTCAAAATCAATGATGAGTGGTAACGTGGAGTCAAGCAATGTCTCAACTAGCTCAGACTCTGGGGCTAATTCGTTGGACAGGTAGTACCGTACCGCAACCATCCTCTGGCGGACGATAGTAGATAACATGGAAGGCACCATGGATGTCATGCTTCTCATATTACGAGCCCATGGTTCGCGAAGTAAAAGTAGTAAACTCTCAAGCAGGCCCTTCAAAGTTAGATGTGCCTTCTGCACATCGGCTCGAAGGTCCAGTTTGGATATCGGCTTCACTACTCGTGTATCAGCTCCGCATGAGAAGACATCTTTGGCCTCAAAGTAAATAAGAGCCAATATACTGGGAAACGTTTTCTTTTAATATGATGATAAGTCAGAAAGAGTACGAAGTTTTCTGGGAAGAAAGGATAATTACCTGATCTCGGAGGAATCGCTGACTCCATTTCACCAAGTCGCAGAAGATACTCACAGACTTTGTTTCAGAGGCAAGCTTTATGGCCGATCTTGCCCATTTTAACCGCTCACTACTCTCTCGGTCACGCGTTGCTCGCTTTTTCATCTCGGCGAGGGCTAGATGCTGTTAGCTGAGTTGCTAGATGCCGCACGCGCATGCAGGGGTTAGTTCTTATGTATACCTTTGAGAGTAACAGGAAAGTCATCGCTTGTTTTCGCAGTCGAACCCTCCCACTTTGCCCAAAGGGAGCATTGATTTTCCCAAAACAGTTTCCACGAGTTTCGCTCCACTAGATCACTCGGTAAATATGTGTCGCAGTGATGACTCTGGAGTATTCGTCGGAAGAGGGCCTTAGAGCTAGATACAGGCAACCCGCGCAGAACATCATACTCCCAAACCGGGATGAGCTTTCTTTCTTCTTCCGACGGAGGCCAGACAGTAAGATCAAAGTTCAGAGTAGGTGAATGCCTGCAAAGAAGTTGGAGAAACTCGAGCTTTCCATCAATGTGCACATATGAGAGCAGTTTGCATAACTCTCGTGTAAATGTTGCCTGCGTCCGCTGCACTGAGAGCCGCTCGTCTCTGCTTTTCAACACCTGTTGTATAAGACAATATTCTAACGCAGCTTGGTTCACGGCGCTAGGTCTGGAAGGAGACGATGCTCGGAGCCTTCTCATGGTCGGGTAAAAGGGTCCTTGATGTCCAGAGGCGCCAAACCGTGCTAGCGACCAGCATCGAATGACCTCTACTGGGAGGTACTGGGACAACCAATCCGAAGAATCTGCAACTCGACACATTTCCAAGCTGGAACTAATGATGGGTAGGATGGAATCAAATGGCAGGTTGCGGCGAATGGCAAGGCGCACAACCAACTCGGTCCATCGTCGGATTAGGATCTGGTTTGTCCATAGGTCAGGCTCGTCGGCTCTGATGTGCGATAGCAGGTCCAGGCCAAATTTTAGGCCCGGAGGAATATCTGGCGGAATATCTGTGGCATGAATTGGAACGTATGCTTCATTCGACTGCAATAATGCGTTTACACAAGTGTCCAGGATACGGCGCCGCACCTTCGGTGGTACCTCCACCGTACCGTTTGCGATCTGTCGTAGGAGTTGCGAATGGCGTCGACCGAGTTCACGGTAGAAGGGCCCGGAACAAAGGATACTGGATCTCAGAATCTCGGTCACTCTCTTTGAAGTACAGCATGCATACAAAGGGGCCATATAAGTTGACAAGGATCTTGTGGTCCAAGTGTCAGACGAATCGATGTTGGCCACGAGGTCATCAATACATATCGCGAACAATTCCCCGCCTGGACCTGGGGATATGGCTTTGACGAACCACCGCACTTGAGCCTGTGGAAGTCCGTCAAGAAGGGTCTTGATTCCCTGCGCTCCACCAAGAGGGTCCCATCCGCGCGTTTTCCATGATTTTTTACGGAAGATGTGTCGTAGAACCTTGCTGCCTGCTCGGCGGACTCCAGCGGATTTCTGATCGCAAAGTGCGCCGAAGAGAAGGTGGGGCGAATGTCGATAGGCTATGAATAGCCAGACTTGGTAGACGAAAGAAGAGACCGCTTCCGTGTAGACCTGATGCAGAATATACGAGTTGATAGAGCTGAGATTTTCCTGCGAAGGGTCGCTCAGCAATATGGTTTGCAGATGCTTGGCGAGCGCAGCCGGGTGGACCAGCAACACTCGGGGCTGTAGATCCTCGGGGATCTGCATCTTCTGTGTGTCGATTTTTGTTGAGGCGTAACTTGACTTGGAAAGAAATTATGGTTTGATTGTATCCTTATACGTTCCCGTTGAAGCAGTAGACTCTGAGTCACTATCTCAGAGGCAAAAACGCTAGCGCAAAACTAACCCAGCGGGATCCCGATCGGGATAGCCTCGTCCTCATTATTAGGATTAGTGCACCAACCTCCAAGGCTACGGTGATTAATGCCACTAGGGGAAGATGGAGCTTGACTATAAACGTTCAGAAGTGACTACAGTATAAGGGCCCTGAACCAAAAGAGCAAAACTCACTCGAACAGGCAATTCGCAGATCCGTCGTTATAGCCTATTTTCAGACTACTCCGCTGTTGTCAATAAATTCACTACCTGGTTTGACGCTAACTACCCTAATACACAATATAATATTTTCTCTAGCCAAACAATCTCTTCTAGGCCTCCTCGCCCACATGATACATAATTAGCTTTAATTCTACCTTCTACGTGATGTCGGACCGATAACTACACTATAGGGTAGGTGACGGTCTGCGCACTAAGCACTGGATATATTACTACGAGTCTACGCAAACTTTTCTTAACGAAATATACAAGGGGCCCGAAGTACAAATTAGTTAACGATAATAATGATTGTATACTAGGAAGAATGGGAAAACATAATATAGTTATCTATGTTTGTCTAGAGGGAGAATATCCACAATCTTGACAGTGCCCACGGCACTGTTGGCACAGGAAGCGAAGAGAGAAGAGGGAGACTGAGTCAAATTGGTCTACCTAGAACAAGGAAGACGAAGACGACTAGGAAAGGAAGAAGAAGCAGAAAGGAACAGAACAGGGTCTATAAGGCCCTGAAGCACAAAGGAAAGGAACATGCCTGGACCTAGCAGGAAATCACCAGCCTGCTTCATGCAGGGCCAAAGAGGACGACAAACCCTGCAAACCCTATCGAGGTCAAAGGGGATCGAGTCATCAAATCTAATAGCTACGGAGTACTTAGAAAGGGCTAATCAGAGTAACAGAATCGAGAAAGGAGGGAAATAATATTAATTAAGTAAAGGAATGATTAATTAATTAATTAAAGAACATAAAATAGGGGAGCTTAGGGGGTTAAAATACCCCTAAGCTTATAGTATAACTGAGGTCCTCGAATATTATAATCCTAGTCACCTAATCTTAATAGAAATAGCTAGAGATTACAATATAAAAATGTTACCTTAGGTTAGTATAAATTTATTATAATATATACTACTTGTTACGGTATAAGAAGTAACCAATTTAGGTTATAATATCCCTTTGGCAAGGAGAGATTACGAAGCTTACTATTTAGCTAATATCTTCTATGTTTAAAATTTGTATAAATTCAGTATACTTTTAGCGAGGGAGGATCATTATAAGCTTATTAGCTACTACACCACCCGCCCAAAAGTCTGTATGCACTTAGCCCCACTACCCATCACCGTAACAACCACCTACAATCTTGTTTTTCCTCCTACACCACCCCTATAGCTCTAATCGCTATACGGGTGCAAATCGTATCTAAGGGGCTGAACTTTCGGCTAAGCAGCGTACTGCAATTATATACGCTCTCGAAAATAGGCTTTCGAGCTAGGCTAAGTTGGCTAAGGAGTTTAGTTGCCACCGTAATACAATAGCTAACACCTTTAAGCGCTAGCAGGAACGTAATGATACGAAATCACGCCCTCGTAGCGGCCGACCCCCTAAGTTTAATACCCGATCTCGCAATTTAATTAAAATATACGCCCGCCGGAACCCTTTTTAGTCCTATCGAGCCCTAGTAAGTAGGGTGACTGGTTCTCTATTAGTTAATACGATTCGACGGACTTTAAAGCGATCGGGGATCGTTCGGCGCCTCGTAAAGCGTAAGATCCCTATTAGTAGGATTCTTGCGTTTAAACAAAAGAGATTTACTCGCTGTTAATGCTCCGAATTTTATATAATCTCTACGTTTCGAAATTAGATCTTCTCTAATAACTATTCTATCTAACGAACTTCGAATAATAGGCTACAATAGTACTAGCGGCTTACTTCTAAAGTATACCGGATTAATCTTATAAATCCTAAGATTTATTTAAGGGTAACGCTGTTAGCACCTAACAGAAATGCTGGCCGCACCTAATAGGGCCTGATTTCTGCCTGATTTTTGCCAAGCCTTTTACGCCTTACAATTACCAATTCAACCACCCTCTTTCTTCTTACACACACATCCTTTCCTTCTTCTATTCTATCTTCTACTACGAGGCCTATCACATAACCTCCTACTAGCCCTACTATAATCATATAACCTACGCACTAATTTTATTCAATCTATTTACTAACTAACTCTTACCTACTACCCCCTACTACTAGTTACTAACTATAGATTCTTTATACTCTATAATCCTACCTACCCTATTACTAAACCTGCTATAATTCTATAAGAGCTTTGACCTTATAAGGGAAGCCTGTCACGGGCCAGTGCCCGATATAGGTCACGTGTATCACGAGACCTTGGCGTATTGACGTGGAGAACGCGCGGGATAAACTTCCCCTCCTTAAGCTTTTTGTAAACAGCATGTTGGCCTAGTTAGATTGAATCTAAGTCTTGCTTCAGCCCTTCACATACAAAAAGCTTCCTTCTACACCTAGAAGTATCATTGGTCATTGGAAAAGCCCTAGGAAAGCGACCTAGGCACTCATTGGAAACACCCCTGAATCCCAAGCGATTCAGTGACGAACACATATCGGAACGGAATCCTCGCGCATAGATCTCTCAGCGCTCGAGACGGATTAGAAAGCCCTAGAAGATCTCAATTCCTAGGCACACTGGAACATTGGACGAAAAGCGACCGAAGCATTACCGGCACGCTACACAACCCCTAGGCGCTATGCAGCACCAGGAATCGACGAGCCCTCCCGGGTGGGCGCAAACGCTATTACAGCAGATAGCACAGACCCAGGCTATGCAGAACGAAGAAAGGGAGCGGCGTCACCAGCAAGATGCTGCTCAAGAGGAGCGGATGCGTCGCCTCGAGGCAATGCTGGAGCATCAGGCCTCACTAGCCATAACGACAACCACGACGAACGAAGGGCAGGCGACACCTGCACGATCAGCCACCGAATCGGTGCCGGTTCCCCCACGAACAGAGATTGTTCACCGACCGAAACCACGTCTCCCGGACCCAAAACCATTCGGTGGAAGCACGAGCGATTGGCCAACCTGGCGCATTTCGATGGAGAACAAGCTTAGTGTGGACGGCGAAGCTATCGGTTCCCCTCAAGACCAATTCATGTACGTATTCTCTAGACTAGAGAAGCTCGCCTGGAAGAATACTGGAACCTTCGTGAAACTCCGCCGGAACACTGGCGAACCGCAAGCCTTACTCGGCCACCTTGAGAATATCTACGGAGACCCGAATATCAAAGCACGCGCAGCAAGACGACTCCACCAGATTCGACAACCAGAAGACATGAGCTTTTCTAGGTTCCTTCCTAGACTAGAAAAGGAATTCGCTGATGCAGACGCTCTTGAATGGCACGACGAGGCAAAAAGGCAGATCCTTCTTAGCGCGCTCAATAAGACCATGACGAATGCGTTAATGAATCGAGGCATCCCTGCTACCTCGGCGGACCTGATCTCCCGGCTTCACGAGATCAGCTCAGATATGGATGCCCTTAATATCAACAAAGAGGAACGAACACGTCGTCCGCGCTCGCCTAGACAAAATAGCGATGAAATGGATTGGACACCGACCGTGTCGGTAACCCGTGCCGAACCACACACGAAACACCGCCGACCCGAAAGCGGAACGCCGAGACAAGCTCAATGGGTTAGTCAGGACGAGATAGATCGGCGACGTGCTGAAGGGAAATGCCTACGATGTGGAAAATCTGGACACCTTATCGCGAGGTGCGCGCTCCTACCGGCACAACGGCCGAATGGTACACGTATCGCTACTACCTCGAGCAAGAAGGGAAAGGAGCGCACGGTCAAAGTGAAGAAGTCGAAGCCTGCAAGTGACCTAGATTCAGTAATAACGGCTTCTGACGACGAGAGTGTGACTACTGAGGATGAATCGGGAAAAGAGTAGCTCCTGTTCTAAGTCGCGAGCAGGAGCAAAAGGGGGTCGAGAAGCTACTGGAACGTAAGACATTACCGTTTATAGTCGATGCTAGAGTGAATAGAATCCAATTTACACAAGCTCTCGTCGATAGCGGCTGCCGCTGCTATGCAACGGTAAACGAGTCTCTAGTCCAGTCGCTCGACCTCCCGCGCATTGAGATACAGCCACGAGTCCTTGACGGGGTGGTGCCGGATCAGTACCGAATCACCCACATTACCCATTTCGACCTCGACGTCCACGGCCAGCAACAAGGCCGCGTGTTTGCGTATATCATCGGACCCCAAAGCGACAGTATGATACTTGGGGACCCATGGCTACACGACGTGAACGGACGATATTCAGCACGGAAAGGATACCTAGACATCTTCACAAAGTCTGGGGAGCGGACAAGATGTTGGAACCGCGCGGATCGCACTATCGGGCCCCCTGGAGTGAAGGCGCTACGCGTGGCACAGACAGAAGCTTCTTCTATCCAACAGCTTGTACGGAGCGTATCGGATGCAAATCGTTTGCAGATCGGTAGGGTTTCGTTAGACGATATCGAGAAGGCATTACGACCAAAGAAGTACCTCGATCCAAAGGACAAACTGCCGAAACACTACTGGCAATGGCTTGCCGCTTTTAGCCAACAGTTAGCCGATCAGCTGCCTCCACACCGGCCAGGAATCGATCATAAAATCCCTCTGAAACGCGATCGAAACGGTGTCGAAGAGCCACCGCCATATGGCCCTCTCTACGGCATGAACAAGGAAGAGCTTCTTTACCTACGAAAGACCTTAACAGACCTGCTTGGGAAGAACTTCATACGTGTAAGCCAATCGCCTGCGGCAGCACCGATCTTGCTAGTTAGGAAGCCAGGCGGCGGCGTACGAT